GCTGCTGGTCTGACCTGTCTGTTGCGTGATGGGTGAGTGGACGAGCAAGGTGTGTGTGTCGTGGGAATTCCGTCCGAGTGCCGGGAAATTTTTTGCATCGGCAAAAGAAAGCGTGCCCCTCTATTCCGCAAAGCTCCCCCGTCTCTACTGCGCCCGACGTCTTCTTCGCTGGCAAGCTGAGAGCCTCGCCTTGGAGTCTCGGTGCCGGAATAGGGGCATTCCATCGCTGGACACCGCTTACAAGCCCGAGCTGCCATGATTGTCAGGGCCAAGAGCGGGTAACCAATTTGTCGGGAGCTGTGCTCCGTAGCAGCAGCAGCACAAAGCATGATTGATGGAGCGTGCGCAGAGACGGAAAAGATTCGAGCCACTCTCTACGTGCGACACTGGGCATGGAGGACCGTTTGGGAAAAAGCCACCAACCGCGAGCCCGGATAGACCCTGCTGCGTGGTGCTAGCGGGCTAGTGCTGTGGTGCTGGTAGTGCCGTGGCAGTCGCTGGCTACTACTAGTATAGCACTTGTACCTAATCGCGGTGCTACTGTACCTGGACTTCAGTACTCCGCAGTCCTTGGAATTCGAGCTGTTGGTTCACAGAGAGTCATATGGAACTTTCGAGCTGGCTTCTACCAACAGTTCCAAGGCAGATCACGCTGGCGCCTTAGTTTCCCCAGACTACTGTGTACTACTGTGGTGCGCTGTAGATCTCTCGTTGGTGTTGGCAGCCGCGCTGTCGAGAGGCGGTCACGGAGACGTCGCGGGCGGCGCTGCGCTTGCCTGGTGCCCGCGTTTAGCTCTTGCCGCCACTCCCCGCCATCCACTGCTGGCTACAAGACCCAAAGTAGAGCTGCTGCCACTGCAAAGGCACTTACAGTGCTAAAGGCGCAGGACTGTACTTTTCCAAAAGGTCACACCTAATTCATCATTCTGCTTGCTGCCACCACCACTGCCCATCCCGCCTGCCAAGACATGCCCATGCGCCCTTTCCCTCTGAAGCTAAAAGCAGCTTCAACGTAACCCAAAGTCATCTTCTGCAAACCACTTACATCATCTGGCAGAAAGCCACACCGAGCTAGGCCTATGGCTTGCATGTCGAGGGCCATGACAGCGATCAACAGGAGAGTCGATACCGTTGAGATAGCCGGCTTGCTGATCAGCCAATCCATGCGCGCATCTTCTGCGGTCGACTTTTATCCGTGACCTGGGCCGCCGATCGCCCAGCTGGCGTGATGTGCTGCGAGGCGCACGTGTGAGCAGATCCGGCAGCGTCTGGATACTTGCCTTACTCGTGCAGCTGCTAATGCCTACTACCAGGTACTAGGTATACAGCAATGCCAGTGCAGACTGAAGATTGCTCCTGCGAAGAGGCTAGAAGAAAAAGAAGAAGAGAAGACAGTTCCATCCAGGCACGCAAGACCTGTTGCTCGCACCAATGTTTTAGTTGCGGCAATCGCTTGATGCCGAGTGGAACTGCTCGAGATGCAGTAAAATGAAGGACCGTCTCGGCGCTGGAGACGGTATCAGAACGGAGCCAGAAGTGTGGCACAACCGCCGGCTGGGCGGTGTCATTGGACGAGCCGCAGACGCTCAGCACAGCGACGACAGTCGGCAGCGGCGCATCAGATCAGCCGGGCGACATCATCTGATCTGAGACCGCATCGGCCGGTGGCGAGATGCCTATCCCTCCAAGATTGCCGCGACCTGTGAAACCGCCTGGGACAGGCCACCGCGTGTTTCTGAACTTACTCGCGGGTGTCTCCAGGTGCTTTGCGCATGTCACTGCGCCGTCTGAGGGGCCGTTGGAGGAAACGGAGCGCCTCCGTTAACTTCAGAGGCACAAGTGCCAGCGTGCCGCGTGTGGAGTGCGCTACACCCCTCCCCCACTGCGCCACCAGGTACCATCTGCTGGTGCTGTGCTGGTGTTGTGCTGATGCTTTCTACGGCCACTACTGGAGTAGCTGGCTCGCTTCCATGTTCTGCCCATGGACAAGTTGGGACAGTTGTCACCCTTGCTGCTGTTGCTTGGCGAAAGCTCGGCATCGAATGCAGCCTCCGTCTGCCCAGACGCTGTGTGCAGGCGAGCATCTCCAGCATTTCTGTTTACTCACATGCGTTGGATGCCTGATGTCAGCCAACGTGTAAAGGTACGGGCATGCCACGCTGCCGCCGCCGACGGAGCATGTACAAGTACTCGCCTGGTATTGACAGGCGTGTGTCCAATAGGACAGGGAACCGGGGCTTTGCAGCAACCTCGCCAGATTGCCTATTGATGCATCTGCCCGTCTTGCAACCAACAGAAATCGCTCTTCTGGAAACATGCTGTGGTGCTGCGTCCAGGCATTGGCTGCTCATTTCCCCCTAGTCGCTGAGTTCATGCGAAGGCCACGCGAGACACCGAGCCTCGAAACAGGTTGTGGGATGATTGTTTGGATACGGTAATGCTTGTTGCTGTTGATGATGCTAGCCGTCTTTTTCCGCTTCCTGTTTCTCTCAACTACTGTAAGAAAAATCTCTGCCCCTTGTCTGTTCTTCTCGGTCGCAGGTTTCGGACTTGTCAATGAGCCAGGCGCTAGACATCTATCGCCTAGGCTCTCTTCCGCAACAAGTAGTATCAGCGGCATCTCGGAGAAATCGTGCGCGCCCTCTTCACACACTCACATGGAGGCTGTGGCGGGCCAGGGGCGTCTTGGTCATGGTACTATTTCGGGCAAAGTCCTCCGTCAAAACTGAGTCTCAGAAGGCATTGCTACGGCTCTCTGATTGGCCGGTCGACTCGAATGATTGCCGTGCGATTAGTATTTCCAATTGGACAAAGTGCACGGCTGATAAAGTAAAGCCCAATTTAAGCTCGCCGCCACACATGTAGGCATAGGTATGCTCGCGCCACTCTCCACCAGACGACTGTCTTGCTTCAACCCTCACCGTCGCTCATCAGCTGCCCGCTTACAATAGAAATCGTGGCATCGTGATCGGATTGGGCCAACAGGTGGCGGCTCCGGCGTGTCGATCACCGACGGCTCCACCAAACAAAGCGCGTATCGACCCTTGCCCTCCAAGACATGCAGCTAGGTCGACTTCTGCCCAAGACTTGGTGTGTCGCTAGCACCACCCATCCTGTCAGCTCTCAGCTCTCAGTGGCCTCGCTGCCATATCCAGTTGTCCACGGATGCAGCTGTGTGTGCCGTGCCAGTTCAAACGGTAGGGGTTGGACGGAACCTGCGAAAACAGTCGTCGACTCACGGAAGAGGGGGCCCAATCGGACATGATCGACTGTGCAAAACCAGATGGCGGTTTCAAAGGCGGCACTCGCATTTAATTCAGGATCAAGATACCTACAAATGGCTGTTACTGACAGTGTGCCTGCCACGGCTCCTTCGGACGGCTGTTGTTCCTCGGTGTCGATTTTGACAAGAACCAATGCTTGCTGAAGCCTTCACGAAGTACTCCGTAGGATTGCGGATCGCATCGGCGCCTTTAACCCCCATTGGCGCCCAGTTTGATTCCTCGATTACCCTACAAGGAGCACTGCAACTGTATGATTCCCACTGCTGCTGGGGAGGGCATGAGTGGGCCGGCGCCGAGCTGCAGTCGCATCGTGAACTTGCTTCAGTCGGGTACCTAGTCGATTGTAGTCGACGCCGTTTTTTCCCTTCCTGGCATGCTAGAAACACGGGATGGCAGGCAGTGATCTCATTGCCTAAGCAGGCGAGCGAATGCTACGCTCCTCCGGGCATCACGATAACGGGAAACGCCTCGTCCTTTCCCAGGTCCGAGCTTCATGTGCTACTTGTCAAGGGCGAACCTTATCACCAAGACTATTGAGCTGCCTGTAAAGCGCGCTCCGAAGAACCACCATGATCCGCCTAGGCCGAGGCGCCAGGAACGCACGAGCTTGTAGCATCGCAAAGCGGAGCGGCCATGCTTCGGCCTCCATTCGCTTTTCCCGCATCGTACCTGTATACGATGGCGTTATCACTCGGTGGGGGCATGTGAAGTAACGAGAAAAATCAAGATCGATAGGAATGGAGAGAAGAAAAAATTTTTCTTTTCAGAACTCACCCAGCTGCGGGCAAAGTGACAGGTGATAAGGACTGCAGCGACAGGCTCGTGCATGTAGAAAAAGTTCCAGCTTGTGCGCGCACGATAACGCAGCAACAAGTCGTCAGGGGAGCAGCCCACCTTTTGGTTTGATGCTGTTGACGCATGTGCCACTTGGCGCGCCTGCTATTCCCACGTCGTCATGCTACCAAACCACACAGTAAAAGACGGTGCGGGTTCACGGGACTGAAGAGGGGGCAAGTCGCTAGAAACGATGAAGAATGCAAGAATGCTGCGTGGAAATCCAGCCTACTCGAGGCCGTCAAAGTCTAAACCTCAGCAGGCCCCAAAAGTTCCATTTTGGCGAGAGGCGCAAAAGGGTGGCGTAAGATGCGATCCTGCTGTTGGGCGAATAGCGCTTGATGCCGAGAGATCTTCCCGCCTTGACGGGTGTGTCATCTCAGGTGATTTTTCTACCTGACCTCCCACATTCCGCCGCCTACTTGAGCAGATCGATTGGCTCAGCTGAGCTGGTGCCCGAGGTGCTGACCCTTTTTGCGGAGGCTTATGTAAGTCAGGCTCTCTCTCGAGATGCGTTGTCTTCATCAGCTCTTGCTTGTGCTACTACTACCTACTTGCAAACCTGCTCACCGCTTGATCTGGAGAGCTGTCAAGCTGCAATGGAATAAAATGTGGGATTCGGATCGCTCATCTAACTCTTGGCGACCTAGATTTCAGGCCAAATGCCGGAGGTGTCCCTGAATAGGGATAGCATCACGATCTGTGCGGGCAGCGTATGAGCTCTTAGCTCTGTTTTGAGCCAGCATCAGCATCGAGTGACCGGCAAGTCTCTCTTCCGACAGCCCGCACAGCAGAGCAGATAGCGACGCGAGATGCCGTCTCCGCGGATACCCTATGCCAGGCTACATTACCTGCGACTTGAGAGGAGAGAGGCACAGAAAGATGCGAAACGATGGTAATTTACAACTTGTGCTGGTACCTGGCAATCCAATTCACATGGCTAACGCTCCTAGCAGACTTGAACGAGAAATTCCCAAATCTGACCATGGTATCCTGCGAGGGCCTGGGTTTGATGCACCAGCGAGGCAGGCGAATCCCGCCACCCGCCATGCCCAACCCCGGATCTACCAGCATACAGGTACGAGTAAGACGAGGCATCCCGCCTGGTCCTACCGCTCCCGGCATTTGGCGGAGAGGCTGTCATAGCTATCATAAGCCATGCCCTGATGGGTCTATCTACGTATACATACAGCAGATGGCTACGTACAGACTTGTCCAAGCAAAGAGCCAAGACGTGGGACCATCGTTACTCCCCGATTGGCTAGGCCATGAGTTCCGACTATAGGAGTACAACGTTGCAGCAATGCCTCGATATCTCTTGCGCCTGCTGCCGTTTATCCACCCTCCTTCACCTCTAGACGGCAACGAGCTCATCAGATAAGTACTATAGCTTTATCTTTGGCTCTAGTATAGAGCTCTTACGCCTCCAGCGGACGCTAATTGCCCAGCATTGTGGCATTGAGTCAAAATGTCTCATCCAAGCTTTGCCTTTGACGTGTCCGAAAGCACCGAAGGATCACCAGGGGGCTTGTTCATCAACCAAAGTACGAAAGGCTTCCTGTGTTTGTGAAAAACTTTCTTTTTTTTTAATATGTGTATATTTAAACGCGTACAAGTGCCTCAATATGGCCCGTACCTTTCCTTAGCCGCCTGATTAGAGCCTTTTTGGAAGCATTTCCTGTACGGAGGACTGACTGATTGATCCTAGTGCAGACAACCGGGCCTTGAAAACTGGACCTGGTTTTCCGGGGTTGATATCCAGCCTTTTGATTGGTGGTTTCACTCTACGCCCCAGGAACTCAACCCGCGTTTTGACAAGCTCGCGGCCGGGGCGTGCGCGGAACAAAAGAGCTAAAAGAAATCACTCCGATGATGAGCCGGGAAATAGCGGGGACCGGCCGTATTGCAGGCGGACGCTGGCGAAATGGACCGTCTCGAGGTTCCCCAGACTGACAAGACAATTGCAGCTGTCGGCTGACATGCTTCCCCGCAAAGACGGGTCGCTGGCCAACTGGCGGGCCATCAAGTTGTACGCATTTTGCTAACCCTGATCCCAATGCTGGTTTTCGAGACGTAATTGCAGAGCTTTGTCGCGTGGCGCGCGCTGCCGTATTCGGCATTGTCCTTTCATGGGAGTTTCTGAGAGGTGCGTGCTGAGAAATGACGACTGCAAGCAGATGCGAATCCAACGCTTACCACTAGTAAGGACTTTTACTAGTTGTCAATGCGAATTCTATGGGATCAGCGGTACTCAGGCGAGCAAAATAAGAAGCTTATTTGCCGAATACCTAGTGCTAGTATACAATTTCTCATCATTGGACCATGTGTCTAGAATTGTCTCCGAGCCAAGTGGGCGGCTACGGCTATTTTGTCAATGGGAGTCGTCCCACATGCAGAGGCATGGCAATGAGCCGTCCCAACAGCAATTTGCGGCCCGATGAATCTCGCATGCGCCTCTTGCTCAACCAACGTCGTGAACTGGTCAACACGTGGAATCCCCATGGGGTTTGATTTCAATGTGTCACAGCTTCACTGCCATTCCGTCTCGGCTCCTACGTGGCGGCAGAGCTAGTACAGAGCGGCCCTTTGAATGCAACACGGGTATCTTGCCACAAAAGTTCCCAGTCTCAACTGGAAGAAGGGTCAAAGCTCTGTCCTTATAAAATACCAGCTAGGCACCTATTTGCATGGCATCGTCTGCCCAAGCCTACAGGTGGGCTGCCAAAATGAATCACGTTCCAACGCAGCAGACTTGATCGGATATCAGGGTCTGCATATATGCGCTGAAGAAAATTTCGGTGACGAGCTTGATGCATTGGCGCACCACTGGCTGCACCCTTTCCATGTGCCTCTCCAGTTCTCCACTGTCAGGCTCTCGCAAAAAGACCCAAGTTACTCGTCAAGTAAGTGGCTATGAACTGTGTGATGCCGTCTGATACCTAGGCAGGCCTACTATGCATAAAAAATGTCTGCAAGCGAACAAGTTACCCCTCCAAGTCTTGCGTCGCCCTTGTCCACGCGCCATCTAGCGAACATGACATGCCACCTGTTGATCGCTGCCGGCTAGGACTATCGCCGTCGATAACCTCAGCCACGCGGAGTTGGGCAGGAAAACGGGCGCATGGATGGCATCCGGCTACAACTGCAGCTGTGGCCGCCCTCCTCTGGCCCTGGCATATCATGCAGGTGCAGCATCCTTCAAAGACTCTTAGCCACATATACTACTACTAGCTACCTTATACTTTACATGTATCGCACCACTAAGTACCTATTTGATCTGCCCGCATGCTAGACGCAGGGCCGGAGGGCTCAGATTCGTCGGCTATACTCTACCAAGACTTTACCTGGCTTTGGCTTTGACTTTGGCAGCCATCAAAACTTCAGCAACCATGTGTCTAGCAGTTGAGCACGGCTGCATCAAATTGTGCCGAGAGTAACCATGCGTGTATGCAGCCAAGCACGCAATAGAGAGGTATGTTTCTACACAGGCCTCTTCTGGAGAAAATGGTTCCTCGCGAGGTGTCACAAAAGACAGTGCTGGTGTACGGCGCATTATACAGTAGAGCGTCCAGAAACGAAAAAAAAAAAAGAGAAAAAAATGGAACATGCAAGCAGAAATGTACAAATAGTACTACAACTACTGGAGCCACCACCGGGCCCTGCTAGTTAGTGGTATGAGTCGGCGGCAATATTCACACCGCGCCCCTGCTCAAGACCTCAAACTCGAAAGGTGGATGAGTTTCGAGCTGCCTACATCCACTTGCACGCTGGTTTCCGAAATGAATCATTATGCATGGCAAGCGGGCATCCAGCGTCGCATTCTTGGCTGTTTTCCCTCAGTCTACGGCTGCATTGGAGAGACAGGCTAAAAGACCCAGGCTGCAGAAATGGAGAGAGATACGGTCAGGTGCGTTATAAACGGCGTCTACGGAGTACGCCGTGCTTGTTGCTCCTCCAGTCTCCCCACATGGAAACTTCTGCATGCTTTGGCAAGGTTGTTCGTGTGCTGGTTTATTTTTGTTTAGTGCTCTCTTTTTTATCCAATTTGTTTCTCGATTTCCGAGTTCTGACCATGCCGCGGTACGGATACAAACAGCAACTTTACGAGCAATTCAACCAAGCCGCTTTTGTTTCTAATCGTGGGTATATGAGACTAAGCAAGGCAAGGTGGCATAAACTGCATGATACGTTTGATCTCTTCATTTTTTGACTTGGTCTATATGAAGATGATAGATGAAGCCCCATCCCTCCTGTTATCACATCTAGTTCTTTTCCCATCTACTGATGGAGCGGAGCTGCTAACATGTCGATAGCCTGCGGCATGTCTCAGCCTAGATGATAAACGACAATGGGCAATGGCGTGTCTCCCCGGTATTTCGCAGACTACTACGACTACTTGGTACAAGTACGGATGTGGCGACAGCCGCTGATGGCTTGCGTCTGCACCCCGGACCTTGGCTGTCGAGGTAACATTTCCTTTTATGCGACATGGAACGCTACATTCGAGCTGTCGACTGGGGTGGCACTGCAGCCGTGAAATACCCCTTGAGGAAGGTATGAAGCCCATTCCATGTCAAAGTGGTAACATATCCTGCCCACGTCGACTCGAATTGAGGCAGTCAGTCTACATTTCCTGCACTGACGTATCTAATTTAACAGAGTAGCATGTAAGGAAAAATGTTCTGCAGCGTTCGAAGCGTGGCTAGCTATTCCCACCATCCTGGCACTGGAGCCCTCCTCTGCCATGGTACAGTACATTTGCAAGTACAACTACAGTAGGACAGCCACTGGCCGTTGCCCGATAGGGCCCTTGCATGAAGCTCTGCAAGGTAGACATGCGGATGTGGGATTCACAGCCGCAGTTCCCGAAGGCCTTTGGAGGGTGGCAGCAGGGCCAGACACTGCTCCTCTTCCTCCATGTCTATCGATTGCATGATCTAGGCGCACCGCACCTACATCTTCGGCAAGGCATGTCCTTCGATCTTGCCACCGGGCTAGCCACTGAGACACAATATCGCTCGTCAACTTATCCAGGAACCGAGGCACCCTTTGTCAAACCAGTGGCTCGGACGACTCCCGACTCATCAGCATTGTCCATTCGCGGTGTGCTCATGCGTTGCACTGAATGTGGGGATGCTTGGTTTGCCTTGCCCTGCGATCGCTTGACGGCTCAACTGCTGATCGATGTTTTCTCGCATCTCCACCTTTATTCCCTGGAGTTTAGCTGAGAGAGATTAGGTATTCATACGGCATACAAAGCTGCAAGTTGGGTACGAAGAGAATAGAGCTGAGCTGCAGAGGGAAGAGACTGGGAAGGCATCGCGATAGGGACAGAGTTCCAACTAGAGCGGCTGCCTGAAGCCAAATCACATACTTGGCAGCGGGTCTATGGTAGTGAGCGATAGGGCCGCGCTGCCTCTTTTCGTCCTCCTCTGCGCTGCCTGCTGAGCCGTTCGATTCCTCAAAGAGTCCGGGGCCCGGAGTTGGCCATGCCCCAGCGGTCCAGGTAGGTAAACAGGTAGCGATCGTCGATACGCGCCCCCCCCCCTCTGTCTTTCCCCCTCCACAGAAGAGCTACGACGACAAGGGAAATAGGGTCTTGGTCTTGCCAAAGGGTCCTTTCGCCATTGCCTTATCATAGCTCGCTGTCGACGCGTTGCCACAAATGGCATGGGTGTCGCTCTGCGCATGCACCGAACACTGCTTTTGTGCTTTTGGAGAGAAAAACGAACTTTTGCCGCTGCTCCACCCTCCCACGTCCCTCCCAGGCTGTCGAGATTGGAGAGGGGCATGGCGGCTAGGCAGGATTGCAGTAGCCCGGCCGGGCGAAGACATGTACGAGAGCGAATTTGGAGGCGAGCGCGGGGTCTCGCTGTGGCTTTTTCTTGGTCTCTGGCGAGAGGGCCAAGAGAGATTGTTTTGTTTTTGCTTACTACGTGTCGCCCTGCCTCCATGACAAAGTTGCTGCGTGTGAGTGTGTTTATTTTATTTCGCATGCTACAAGTACTTTTCACAGAATTAGAACAGCAAGTGGAGATTTCTTAAATGGAGAAGAGAAAAATGTCTTGAAGCAACGTGGGAGAAGAAAACGAGGCCCCCAATGCCGAGCTAAGTCTCACAGGGTGTCTTTTTGTCGTAAAAAAAGAGGAGAATGGAAGAGAGAACACAAAAAAAAAAAAAAAAAAAAAAAAACAGGTGAGTGGATTTCCAGCGAACTGGTGACTGTTTCGATGCTGCTACGGTATCATCATCCCCATTCTGCTGCTTTTTCCAAATACGAAAGACGCAATGTGTAAGTAAGATACATGGTTCGTACCCACGCAAAACGCGACGCTAGGATCGTGATAAGAGAGAGATTGCACTTTTGTCTTTTCGACTAAGGTTGTTTTTTTCTTGTCTTCTTTCGTCATTTGTCTTTCCTATCAGTGAGCGAAAAAAAAAAAAAATCCCACTTGTACATATGTACAGGCCCTGTTATCTTTTTATCTTTTCTCTACTATTGTAAAACGGGGTCATCATAGTTTATCATCGGTCGAGGGTATGAGACGAAATGCAAAAGGTCCCTTAAGCGAGACAGGCTTTATTTTCCTTTCTTTTTTTTGTTTCCTTAGAGGCTAGACTGGGATGTATGCCCAGAGCAATTGATTGAGGGGAGGTTCTAGAATAGTAGTAACAGAAGAAAAGAAACGAAAGCTGATGTCGGAGGGTTATGCGGCAGGGTTATGATGAGGTTTTTTTTTTAGTTGGTGTGCCCGCGATAATATGATAGTTTCTTTCCGGCAAGCGGCTAATCTAGGTCCATGATCCTTCTGTTGTTTTTTTTTTTTTTGAAATGGCCCCGATGCATCTTCTAGAACATGAGGGTGAAGAAGACTAAAAAGGCGAGCTACGTTCCGAACATGCAGTGTACTCTTTTTGTCAATTTCATCGAGGCATGCTGTAAAAGATCTAGAATGTAAAAAAGTCATGTATTTCAGAAAGTGATATCAATTCCAAATACTATTCCCTTGCGCTTGCCATAAAAAAAAGGCTACACAATTATGCTTCTTTTATTCCAAATCGGCGAATATTACTCTTTTCGCTACCGAATTATACTAAACTGCACTGAATGCTCTAAATAGCACATGAAGGTCGGGAATGGCATCGTAATGGTCCGTCATTGGTTGACCGGCTGTAAGCATATTCTCGTCACATTTCGCAAGAAGGATTCGGACTGTATTCTCCGAATGGGTGCATGACTGGGCGGTTAATCTGCAGAGTGAATGCAGGTGGACAGTACGACTCAAATACAGGCCTTCATGTTGGATTCGTTGGCATACCTTCGAGTCACGGTAATGGGGCGCATAGTATCGTAGCAAAGTTGAAAGAATAAAATATTAACTGAGATGTAGGGGAATATCGACTACAGTCATTCCCATCCGTCTATGTAGAGGAACCTCAGGTTCAAGAAAAATCATCCACATCTCGGGACTGGTAAATAAAATAGCATCATGGGTCAAAATGGTGTACACAAGCGGAGCCTTCGCATGTGCTCTTCAATCAATACACTTGAGCACACGAATAGTCTCGTCTCATCTAAGGGTGCCTGGAGGCTCTTCTCTTTCCTTTCAACTATTATAACCAACTTGTACAACGCTCATCTCATATATCACATTATATTTACAACAAAACAGCAGCGACGGCGCCGGCGATCAGGGCAACCATGGCAGGGGCGCGGAATTCAGCGGCTCCAGCCGGGACGGGAGGCAGGCCGGATTGGGCAGGCTGAGAAGGAGCAGAGCCGCTAGGGGCGACGACGGTTGTCAGGCCACCGGTAGGAAGGGGGCCAGAGCCCGGCGTGATGACTGGAGGAACGACAGCCGGAGAAGAAACAGCGTGCTGAGGCGGTGCCGGCGGGTAGTAGGCGGACTGAGCCGGCTGAGCCGGGCTGGTGACGGCAGGGGCTGTGGCCGATGAAGCTGCATTGGTCAAGATGGGAGTCGAAGCAATGCCGGAGGGGGTGGGGACTGCAGCAGCAGCACAAGTGGCGCATGAGGGGATCGCAACGGGAGCCGTCTGGGTGACAATGGGGGTGACGACAATGACGTGAGGCGCCGTGTGAGGGTTGGAGCAGGAGTCCTTGCCCTGGGGACAGGTGTAAGTGTTGGGCAGCGTGAAGGTGGCGGTGATTTCGGGAGCCGCTGGCACGCTGGGGACAGCAGTAGGACTGGAATCCTCAACCGGGCACCAAGTCGTGTAGGCAGTAACAACTTCGGTCGTGACGTGGCCAACAGGGCAGTTGGTGACACTGGGTGGGCAAGAGGTGATGGTATACACGTTGGTCGTGGTGAAGGTCGAGGTGTAAGTTGGAGCGGCAGTGGTACCGGACGCAGGCGCGGTGGTGGTGTCGAGCTGGGTGGCAGCGGCCGAGCTAATCTCAGAGATGACGGTGGTTCTGCCATGCGGGACGCTGTAGGTAACAGTGCCGTTGGCAAAGCGATGAGACGAGGTCGTGGCCTTCAATCCGCTGGTAGCCGGTGCAGTGGTGGTGATGGCGACAGATGTGGTAGTGGCTGCTGCAGACGTGGAGACGCGCGCAGAGGTGCTGGCGGCGGCGGAGGTGGTTTGCACAGCAGAGGTGGTTGTCTGGCCAGCAGCAGCGCAATCACCCTTGAGGCCGGATGGGACAGCGTCAGCGCCCTTGCCGATGGGAATCAGGTGTGTACCGCAGTCCTCGTTCTTGGCAACGTGGATGTTTTGGTTGTCCCAGTCAAAGACCACATAAGCAGCCCTCAAGAAGGTATCGCCGAGAACGGGGAAGTCGTCATCCTGAGAAACGCCAAGCTTGCAGATGCCCAGGTCAGGCTGCTGCCAGATGAAGTCCTTGTAGTCGACGCTGACAGTGGCATCGCCAAACTGGAAGTTGACTGATCCAGGGGTGTCGATGATATCACAGGGCACCAAGTAGTCGCCGGAGCTAGCCTCAATGTGAGCCATGGGGAAAGCTGCGAGGATCTTTGTGAAGATGGAGCTAGGAAGAGTGCTGACGGTGTAGCCGCTGTCGAGAAGCACCGGCTGGCCGTTGGGCTTGTTGAAGATTTCGACGTGGGATCCATCCTCGGTGGTAATGGTCATACCATCCATGTAGATCCAGTAACGAGTATAACCATCCGGAGACGAGGCGGCGGGGATGATAGGTCGCTTCACCAGGGGACCGGAAAACTTCTTGGTGTCGATACCACCGTAGATGACGGAGCCTCGGTCGCTGTCAAGGCCTCGGATATCAAGACTGAAAGCTCTACTGTTGATGAAGCCCTGCTTGGCCAAGTTGTCGATGACCAGCGGGTAAGAACTAGTCCAGCCACTCAGGTTAGGGCCAGCACCGAGGATACCAATCGAGGCAAATTCACTGTCAGTCGCAACACCGAAGAGCTGCTGGCTGATTCTGGATGCTGCGTTGCGAGTTAGCGAATGTTTTTTTCTTTTCCCTCTTCTGCGTACTACATTGCCCTCGTCCAAAAAGCTCGTCCCTTGGTAGCCTTGCTCCGAGTAGCTGCGTATGATTTATTGTGTGGCCGTCTTTCACCCCCTTCCCTCAAATAAAAACTTTTTCCGAAGTGACAAGAAAGAAATGAAAACTATGTGTAAACTTACAGCCAAGCTGGACATAGTCGTAGCCGTAGACGAAATCAACATATCCGGTGCCGTACTTGATACCTCCGTCGGCCTTGGTGTCGACAAAAGTCTTGGATGCGTTGTATCGGCCAAAGCTCTGGCAAAAGGCTGGGTCGGTAGCCTTGCTGCACTCGGGGTTGACCCATAGCTCAGAAGAGCCTGTATCGAAATTGACGCTCACTGCCTGCGGTGGGGTACCGATTTCGAGTTCGATGCTGTAAAAGTAACCAGTCTCCTGGGATTGCAATTCGGCGGTGTCCTGGCGCCTGTGGAGGTGCTTGGAACGAGCACCTTTGGCAGCAGTAAGAGAATATCGCATAATGCCGCCTTCTTCGACGTTCTTGTTGTCGTCGAGGAATTCGAGGGCCTGAGCCGCAAGCGGCCATGCCGCGAGCGCATAAAGAGTGGAACGCATGCTGTGATAGTATGCAAAACAATGCCGGCGTAAAGAATGACCGGCAAAGAAGCTGTATTAGAAGTCAAAAAAGAATGAAAGACTGAAATTCAGTTGGATAAGGAAAGGGAGTGACGTGGGTGAGAAGAAGGGAGACCTCTAAAGTAGAGGGAGCGAGCTGGCTCAGGGCAGCATTATGTATAATTAAAGCAATTCCCTGCCTGCGTGTGGATAGATTTGGTTCACCTTGACGAGCGAACAGCAACCCATGGCCGTCGCGTGGGTCTCCATGCACGAATGGCGCTGCTTCAACGAGCAAAACGGCCACAGGGTTGCGCCAGTACGACGGCTCTGCTGGAGTCTGTTTGGGCCAAGCCGCCGGCTGTGGGTAACGGGAGCACAGAGGAAATGAAGACGGGCCAGGGGAAGGCGGAGAGCTCCCGCCTTTCCACCTCCTCGTTGTGGCGATGGACTAAAGAGCTAAAGAGCTAAAGAGGCGCTTGAGCGTAGCACCAGCGCGAGAGGCCTCTGCTATTTTGCAGCTTCAATCGGCCGAGTCTTGTTGCAGAACAAAGAGCAGTGCATCGGCTATATTCCCATGCTAAAGTGCCGGGCCATGGACCTGTATGCTTGGATTGTGCGTGGCGATGCTCGTATGCAGTTCTGCTTTGTTTCTAAACAAGCGATTGCACTCCTTTTCGTGTCATTCCCCGTATCTTTCTCTTGGCTAGATCTTCAGCTTTGCCGTCCTTTCTCCTTGGCAGATGGAAGCAGGTGATGGCAGGCTGACAGGCTTGCTGCTCTCAGCTACCGAAAGAGGAGGGGGAAGATATGCTTCTTAGGGCCTTGGCGGCGATCCTGAAATCAAGGAAGCATGAATACCCAAGTACGCTGCTCGACTAGTCCCCTCTCGCATCGGTCGATATACTCGTCGATCCTTCTTGTCTTTGAGGCTGTGACCACTGCGCCAATTGGCGGGATGCGAAGTTAAACTCCAAGCCCATCGCCCGTAAAGGCAAAGACAGGCGCCTTGTGTGGAGGAAACGAGAGAAAGAAACGCTTCGGTAGCGTTAATTGAACACGATGATGGGGCTAAACCACTGGATATGAGGACTGGAGACAGGGATCCGATATAAAGGGGGTCTGAGCTGAACACCAACAGCCGTCCGTTAATATCGCAGGGTTTCGCGTAAGAGAACAGACGAAACGAAACAAACGGGTCGCCAAGATGTATTCGGATACGCACCGACAGCTGAGCGGCTCTCCTGTATACTTTTGTTCGAATCCGATGATGATCAAGCAGCCAGATGAAGATGAGCCTGGGCTGGTTGTATCTCTGCCAATGGCCTTCTTGCGGCGACAACGATGAAGGAAAGATGAAGGGATCCGCCATGTTTCGGTTCCTGCATTAGACCCAACACGCTTATCGCTTAGTTTAGGTGCTTAGTGCCCCTTTTTTGGCCCTTGGCGACTATGCGCTGCAGGGGTTGCCCATCTGTTGTGGGCGGTACGAGCCTGTGGTTGCAGTAGAGGCCCTGTACAGGCGCTGTACAGGCGCTGATACAAGGCTGATAAGGCACCTGGCGTGCTGATGAGCTGCCACAGCATTGATCACTATGCATGCGTACATGTACAGTTAGTTTTGTAAATAACCTGCATGTAATGACTTCGTATTGGCAATCATAACATTGGCATCTTTATTTTTATCAGATGAGCTGCCCTCAGTGAGCAAAGCGGCTTTGGAACATCCCCGGTTTTTTGTCGCTCTGGCGTCGATGGATTTTGTACGCCAATCACTCCGTAATTAGGTAGACATGGGGAGGCAGCCTGTTAACGTAAAAGTAGCATAGACTAGATTATGGGATACTTATGAAGTAACAATGCTACTACTACTGAGCACATGTACCTAATTTACTCTTGGTAAGGCTACCGATCTCTAATAACGCTTGGTTTGGTTGCAACATCTAAGATTGCGTTGTTCCCTGGCAATTTGCTTTAGCTGTAGAATAAATCTGGAGCACAATGTCCATGGCCTATCAGGTATTTCTTGCTACATAAAGCAGCTGCAATCACTCTGAGAAGGGCTGATACAGATCATCTTGGTCTATGAGCTACATGTAGGTATATTTGGCATTCGCTTATACGCGATCTGAACCAGAGCAGACAAGCAGAGATAGTAGTACGCAATAAATAACCGAGCTGCCTGGCGCAATTGAGACTCATTTCGTGCATCGGTGCAGCCGCTATTAGCCTCTCGGATCTGTTTCAATCTGTGATACTGTATCTCAGCTGGAAGGGCAGTATAACCCGTCTCTTGGTCAAACATGATTGCTATACTCCTTGGACTGTGCATGGGATACGTAGACGGTCGATATAGGACTAGGCGGAAGATTCACTTTATATCTTGTCGAAAATATTTAATGAAATCTCGAGGATTATAAGCGAGTAATATTGACATTGATAGCGAAATACGCGACACTACAGGTCGACTTGCGTTTAATGGCAACATTCGATACCTATCTACCTATGTAAGATTGGAATATGGTTGTATTTAGACTTGTTCGATGGATCTACCGAATACCCTTTACGTGTAGCTTAATTTCGTGTACGATTCTGCGGGCTAACTAGAATTACCAGTCTCTATTTTTTTTGCGTCCTTTCCTCCACAAGAAAGAAGTCGGGTAGATTTGTGATGGAAGTTGCAATACCAGTGCGACTTTTTAGGGTAGCCCAATGTAAGTGCTGATGTGCGAATGTCAGTTTAGACGCCCAAAGTTCAAGCTTTTGCGGGTGCACCCGTAAGCTATTCCGATCTCGTAGACTTAAAGCCGTATAGGGTAATAGGGTAATTTGGCCGTCAAATTCTTTGCAGTGTTGTATTATTACAAGTGACACAAAAGAATGCGCCGTTCACCGCACTATTTCATCTACTCTCTTGTTCGATGAGGCCTATCTATGAGATAAGTACAGTGGGCTGATAAACGTCTCACCAGCTACGCGCAGAAGCAAACATCGAATGACATTCTGGAGAGTGAGACACTCTTATTTTCATCAAAAATATGCCGTACTCATATACACTTCCATTCGTCCTATCAAGTGGAACGCAGGGGGCTTTGGAGCCGAGGTACGAAGTAAGAATCTATATCGAGCTGAAAGAATCAGCGTAATTGCTACATCGTCATCGAGCGGCCTCGGTTTTTTGCCGGGCTCCGGTGTTGTCGTAACTTGCCTACATTCGGATGAATAGCAAGGCCGAGGACGCCTTTGATTTGAAACCAACGAAATGCATCGCTGTCGTAATCGCAACCTAACAGCAGTTGTTTTCTCAAGATGCGTGGCGACTTGTTGTCCGCGTTTGCGCAGTTGGTTGACTGCATTATATAATCAGAATTAGGCGAATGCGAGTCCGACGTGTGAAGAGGGAAAGCCACAAAGATGAGTAATCGAGCGATGCGCTGTGCATGTCGATGCCGCAATCATTCGAAGATGGTCAACAGGTGATGAATGCCATACTCGCACTCGGAATTCAAACAGGCAGATGAATTGCGAGTTGCGACGCATACTGTATACTGCACACCTATGTGCCTGGAGCTGGAGTGGAGAACGTCGCATCGGCATTATAAACGCGTTGGTCCCTCGCTAAAAAACGAAAGATTTCCGTCTGGACAGATTCCACTTCGAATCAAAGCAACAATTCGACTCTTTTCTCTCCTTGTACGACTTCACACGACAACTAGAAAATGTTTGGACTATTCGGCACCCAATTTGCTCCCGAAAAGGATATACCTTCGCAGGAAGGAAAAGTAATTGTCGTTACTGGAGGGTTAGTCCCCGCGCTCTAATTTCTCACCTGAGATCTATCTTGTCCTTTTAGCTGCGCCAAGATTGAGCCTTGAACTGATACCGGGGGTTTTAACAGCAATGCTGGAATTGGCAAAGAGACTATACTGCAGCTGTGCAAGCACTCGCCGAAGAAGGTCTTCTTAGCCACCAGGAATGAGGCCAAAGCGAAAGACGCCATTGAGTCCATTAACTCTCAGCTGCCTCAGCCAGCCGACATCGTCTTCGTGCCGCTCAATCTCAGTAACCTGGCTTCTGTCGCCGCCGCTGCAGACACGCTGAACCAGAGCACCGACCGAATTGACTTGCTCTTTCTGAATGCCGGAATCATGAACCTGCCGCCAGGCAAAACTGACGATGGATTCGACATTCAGTTTGGTACCAATCACATCGGCCACTTTCTCCTCACAACGCGGCTGCTCCCTCTGCTCAAGCAAACTGTGACCAAGTACAATGCCGACGTACGAGTCCTGTCCATCTCATCCATGGCGAACATGGCGGCGCCATCATTGGATACCATTATCTCGGAAGACCTATGGAAAAAGGGCGGATGGACGTCTTATGCCTCCTCCAAGGCCGCCAATATCCTCTTCGCTGCCGAGTTGGCCAAGCGCCACCCCGAGATCACCGCCATGTCTATCCATCCTGGTCTTATCAAGACGGATTTGTATAGCGAGACTTTTGAAAACAGCTACTTTATGAGATTCGGAATGGCGCTGGTTGGTCCCTTGGTTTACCACGATGCGGTATATGGAGCCTTGACACAGCTCTGGACCGCTACTGCAGACAAGAACAAAATCCAGCAGGGTGGATTCTATTCGCCTGTGGGAAAGCTGCAGAAAGGGAATTCATGGGCCAACAATGCGGATGCGTCGAAGAAGCTGTGGGAATGGACGGAGGAGAAGTTGAAGGAGAAGGGGTTCTAACAAGAAGGCCTATGGTTATTTTTGTCAATGATTTTGCTTGCATTTGGTGGCGTGTATGGCTTTGCGTCGAGTTCTGTTTTCGTCTTTAAAGTACACGAAGAGATCATATATAGACGATTGTCGATTGATATAATAGATGCTATAATAACAGCGTGTAAGGACCGAGATCAATTGAGATATTTTGAAAGTTCGCTGCCGAGTTTAAAGTCTTGCGCATCTGCAAACCGCCGCACTTGACGATTATATTATGCTGTAGGATCGATTTCGCCGTCTTCTTCTCCGATCTCGCCGAAAATGGCATTATTCGGAGTAATGACAGCACCAGATCCACATATTGCTACAATAGTGCATGTGTCATGAAAGATAACTCATCCCTTTTCAAAAAGGTGAAATTCTTTAATTTTATGTTTACAGCCCGAATAAGTGATTGACTCGATTTCTGGCGTTATGGCATTCCCGAACGCTATTACGGGAGGATGCCTCTGTGGCTCAATCCGCTACTCAATATCTGCGTCCGGCGAAAGCCCATGGCCGCCTCAGGTACGAGCCCGAATATAATTTTGATGTCTGAAGGAATGCAACTTGGAACTTACCCTTTTTTTTCTTCCTCAAGTCATCGGCCTGTCAATGTAAGTCTCACCTAATTTATTCGCCTCAAAGTATGCCGAGTTAATCACTCAACAGGCACAATGTGTCGCAAGTGGACATCGTCCCTCATTGCTCAATTCATCATCGTTTTGCCGGCACAGTTGAGTCCTCCATTTCACACTCAGGAGACATTCGAGGAGTACGAATCATCACCTGGCCGTTACCGAGGATTTTGTAAGCGATGTGGGACCTCGTTAGTTTGGCGCTCAACAGACGATGGCAGCACAGTCGATGTATTTCTGGGGACAGTCGATGAAAGATGGCTTGTCCATGAGGATGAAGGCAAGGTTGGGCAGGCACTTGGGAGACCAAATGGAACGCAGTTTTGGATGGAGAATGCGATCCCGGGTGTGACTGATCTCATGAAGGGAGGAAAAGAGTTTCTGAGGGAGGGCGAAGATGGGTGGGAGAGAAAAAAAGAGTAAAACTGTAAAGGTAAATGTATAGACAAAAGCAGAATTTGTACATAGATGGGCATAGAGCGAAATAATTATATATTCCTGGAGGCATAATGTCACGTTGAAGACTATATAGTGTCCGCTAAGAGTGCGTCTACAATACAACCTTGTGTCATACTATGCTTTCTTCTCATCTCCTCAACTCTTTCGACTTTCAATCCTCTCATCATGCTCACTGGTTCATTGTCCGGCAACTGTCCTCTGCAGCGGATATGAGCAGCTCTGAGGTTATTGCCACCGGCCCATAGAAATTTGAGAAGATACTTGAAAGCAGCCTATCGGATGGCTTGACCGTGCCTTGCTACGAGACTCTTGTAAATCTGGTATGTTTATTGTGCATCTGTCTAACATTATTATCCTATTTTGTTCAAGCCGTATTTGATCAACATTATTCTATAACATGCGCTTCATCTCAATACTCGCGGAATCCCCCCCCCTAGTCTTTGACCACGGCACTGGTTATGATTTGGGTGTCACCGCAGTCTCTACGCAGCCTTCAGAATGCACCAGTGGATTGACCGAGGTAGCTACATGTGCAGGCATCCGACAAAATATCATCGGCCAGATGTTCTTATGGATGTACCTCAGTAATGACAAGTCAACTCTGGTTACTGTCACCCCGACAAAGGCTGGCGCAGATATGATTGTGGTACGGGTAACTGCATTTGACGGGTCTTTGGCGACTCCTGTTGCATCAACGACTGGATTTGATCTCATAGACAAGAGTTTACTTTCTACTCTGAATACCCCAAGCGAAAGCACGCCAGCCCTTTGTATTACTTCGAATTGAGCACGTCAACTTCTGTCACTGCTGCGTTAAGAACGCATTGTCTGTAGATACCTCGGGCCAAACCCGAACTCGATCAACTCAACTCTGGTAACGACGGTAATGACAGTGGTAATAGTGGCTGCGGTTGGAGCTCAAGAATCGAGTTGGGATAGCCCAAATTGACCGAAATTAACCATTTCGGGCGGCACCACTAACGCTTCAAGACTTCGACGCCCCAATCAGCTTGTGAATAGCCAAGAGAAAGCCATTTCACCACTTCTTACCCCGCGTCTCTCTAGCCCTTGAGCTTCTTGTATAATCTGGGGATCGCGGACCGCCACGGCGTAGCGCGGATTGTGGCGGGCCCCATCCGGACCGAAGCTGGAGTCATTCTCGGCGGACTGACAAAGAGCCCGGCATCGGATAATACCAGTTGCGGGAACATGTTTAAATATATATCAAGGGCCGCTCATTTTGCTTTTAAGACCTCGGCTATACACTTGTTAAACCGAAGGAAGACCTGTTGCCCTCGTCTGCGTGTATTCCTTGCAGTAGCCTGACAGATGGATCCCCTGGAGCACTTTAGCACCGCTATGGACGGATTGTCCGATAGCAGCTCCCTTAGCCCAGAGCCTCATTCGTCTTCAAAGCAGCCGGTGCGAAGAGCGAGCAAGGCGTGTCTTGCATGTAGAGCCAGAAAGGTCAGATGCGATGTGACTATACGATCACCATGCGGCAACTGTCAGTGGAATGGACAGCAGTGTGTTACACATGCTCGTCGGCCCAGGAGGTATGCACTTGAGAACTGAGTTGTGAAGTATCAAGAATATCTATTAACAGTGCTTAGACGGCGCAAGAGACAAACACAAAGCACGACCTCGGCTGAGTTGAATACGATCACGGAGGCTGTCATGAAGGATGGCGGATGCAACTTGCTGGAAGAGTTTGCAATCGATACTTCGGAAGCAGCCATCTCCATGGAAGACTTGGAGCTTTTACGAGCAGACATCGAATCCGACAAATCCCCACAAGACGATTCCCCATCAGACGACGCTCAAAGCTTTGATCTGCCACAGTATGTCCGGCCATTGACGAGCCTACCGCCGGACGATATGACCTATCTGCACAATGAGGGCGCCTTGGATCTTCCAGACGGCGCACTTCAGAACGCCCTACTCCGCGCCTTCTTCGAATACGTGCATCCGTATGTACCGACTCTTGACTTGGATGGCTTTCTACACGCCATAGAAACACATGATGGGTCGGCAGGCCAGGTCAGCTTGCTGTTGCTTCAGGCTGTACTGGCAGCGGGAACTGCACACGTAGAGCTGGATGCTCTCAGAAATGCTGGATTCCAGACGCGAAAGCAGGCCCGTACGACGTTTATGAAGAGAGTCAGGGTGAGTTTTTTGCAACAAGAACAAGGCCTTTATATTGTCTACATCCAGGTAGTCGCTAACATATCCTTTGTTCAACAGCTCTTATACAAGTACAACTGCGAGCTGGATCAAATGGTCCTCACACAGTCTCTGCTACTCATCACCTCATGGCAAGACGCCTCTGACGAGCATGGGAAGACCTGGTTCTGGATCGACGCCGCTGTGTCCCACGCCTTTGCAGCAGGACTGCACCTCGAGCCATCGGTGAACAAGCCCAACCTATCAAAGCGCAAGCAGAGGCTGCGCCGGCGCGTCTGGTGGTGCTGCTTCATCCGCGACCGCCTCCTATCACTCGGCATGAAGCGGCTCCCGCGAATCAAGGACGGCGACTTCCAAGTCTCGATGCTCGAAGAGGCCGATTTCCAGCCGGAGCAGATCCGCAGCGACGACGACCACGCCAAATTCGAGGCCGTGTGCGTCTACGTCAAGAGCCGCAAGAAGCGCGCTGAGCTGGCACGCATGTGTGTCGCACAGGCAACTCTTTGCCAGTCGATGAGCTTCCTGTCCAGCAGCATGTACATTGCGCCCCACGACAACTTTTCCAACTTTTCCGAGACACGCAAGATCACGGCCGAGGGCGAACAGAAGTTCACCACGTATATGCGGGACCTGCTGGAGTGGAGAGATGGCTTGCCGGAGAGTGTCTCATACAGGCCCATCTCGAACAGCGACATAGGCAAGGATGGAAACACGAGCATATCATTGGATCGTGCAGTCTTGCACATGATTTACTACACAGCGGTGCTTTGTCTCTATCGCTCCAGGTTCATGGCGCTGATTAACGACGCGAGTGCATCTACCATGGAAAGGGAGATGTGCAAGATTCACATGCAGCATTCGGCCAAGAGGATTGAAGAAATCTCCAAGAATATATACGACCATGGCCTCGACCGATTACTCCCCAGCATGGCGGCGAACATAGCAGTGTCCGCCGCAAGCGTATACATGCTGGAGCAAAAGGGCCAGCTCCAAGGCTGTGCAACGGAGCAGGGATATCGCCAGAGCATGAGGCTAATGCAGTCTATGCGTGACACGTATGCAGGGGCTGATTTGGCAAAGGCCTCTCTGGAGTGGGATAAGGAGGACAAGGAGGAGCTACGTGGAGGACAAGCAGGAGAGTCCAATAAGGCAGAGGAGGATTATCTCGTGGCTGACCAGGATTGGTTAAAGGACCTGGAGGCTGCGACATGCTGGTATGTGGCGGAGCCTTTCCGGGCGGATAGCTTTTTGCAACATTCGGGAGAGGGACTGGACATATTCAATGAGTTTTTTGTTTGTTAAGGGTTCATGGGATGTGGAAAGTCATTTCTTGGAGTACAGGCTATAGTTTACTTCCGATAGTAGGCAAACTTGGGATCATTGAATAGTCATATAATATACTCGAGAGCTAATCTCTCGTCATTACATCCATTTTTGAGATGTTGACGTGAATTTGAGTGTTTACCTCTTGCAATTCTCTCTTCTCCTCGCACCATCCGATCTTGACAATCAGATTACTGCGATATCGGGTCCCCTATCCGATGATCAACCCACTTTGTACTCTGTGCTACTCCGTTATCTTGACCCTCATGGATGGCAAGACGCAGCAGGTCATACGTATCCGCCACGACGCATACTACGAGGCGAGGTACATCCAGCATCGGATAACCTCACAAGCCAAAGTGGTGGATCTCACTCCTCGAGCGTCTGTTTCACATACTCGGGCGAGTTGAGTTACAAACAAGAAAGCAATAATGTGATGAGCCAAACAGCAGAATGCCTCAATGGTTGCTGTTGTCCTAATTTCTCAAGAAACTGCCTAATTAGGCAACCGACGAACTACGCTCCGTTTTGCGCCACCCAGCTTGTGCTCTATTATACAAATCAAGTGAAAGCCTGCGGCGCCGTCTCGAAATAGGCTGTCCTTAGCTCCCGCTCTGCACTAAACTTTAGAACGAATATTGCCATCAATGATCCCTACCAACCACGCATTCGCCTTCCGATAGCGTTTCCTTACCCCACAAAGATGAGATACATTGGCCACACGAACCGTCATTGGCTGTAAGACATCTCGGACCGCCATCATCTGCAGCTGGACATGCGGTCCGGTCGTAGCTATGTGGCGGGGTGAAGTAGATCTGGGGTTTAGAGTGGAGGAGGGGAGAGAGGAAGCTATATTGGACTGACTTGTGGCTTGCTTAGGCATGTCTCGAAATGTATGTCTATTAACGATAAGAGTATATTTCCGAGAAGCGAGACAGCTTCGTATACTATGCTAGTATGACGCTGCTTGGCATTAGTGGCTGGCTGTTTTGTGTTACGGACCGCTTCAGTCTCTGCGGGGATGAAAGGTGATGTGATTCCGAAAACGGAATTCATAAGGGAGAGAGCTATCTGGAGTCAACATAAAGTGGCTTGTAGAACGCCCCTATCTACATGCCCGAAGAGTAGTAAATCCTCTCCCTCCAAGTCTCTTTTCTTTATCTGCCCTTTGTAGCAAGCGTTTTTTTCACATACTACACTATATACTTACTACATACTACATATTCTCGCAATGGCACCCTCAGCTATTGACTCAACAGCCAACGACGTCCAAAACCTGGACTTCCAAGGCAACTTTGTCCAAATCATCAACGGCAAAAGTGCACCAACAGACAAAACCCGCCACGGAATCAACCCAGCCACTCTCAAGCCGAGGCCTGACGTCCCCGTCGCGACTCAGGAGGACGTCGACAAGGCCGTCGAGGCCGGCAAGGCGGCGTTTAAGAAGTGGCGCAAGGTCCCCTACGAGGAGCGCAAGGCTGCCGTGTTGGCATACGCAGATGCCATTGAAAAGTTCCAGACCGAGTTTCGAGATTTGCTCATCTCGGAGCAGGGAAAGCCGGTACGAGAAACACTTTACAAATGACTTGACTTGACTGCTCAAGGCAAAATTGCTAATATAACGTTGCCTTCTAGATCCCCCAAGCAGATGTCGAAACAGGTGCCGCGATTGCCTGGTTCAGGGGCATGGCCTCCATCGAGCTCCCCGAGGAAATCATCGAAGACAACGACAAGCACACAATCTTCACCAGATACACGCCTTTGGGCGTGGCTGCCGCCATCGTTCCCTGGAACTTCCCCCTCTTGGTAGCAGCTGGAAAGATGGCACCCGCTTTGCTCACGGGAAACGTCGTCATCCTCAAGCCCTCGTAAGCCTCGCCCCTACTATCAGCATGCTTCAACGTTTTGCCCTTTCTCTCTAACTCGTGTATTAGGCCTTTCACGCCCTACGGCGGCCTGAAGCTCGTTGAGTTGGCGCAGCAGTTCTTCCCTCCTGGCGTTGTTCAATCTCTCAGCGGAGATGACAATCTTGGTCCTTGGATCACTAGCCACCCTGGCATCGACAAGATTAGCTTTACAGGTTCAACACACACAGGGAAGCTGGTTATGCAGAGTGCGTCCAAAACTCTGAAGAGAGTCACTCTTGAGCTGTAAGTCTTCTGATCTATAAGTCTTGGTCTTAGTAGGAGCATTATCTGACAGCATTAATAGTGGTGGCAATGACGCGGCCATTGTCTTCCCCGATGTAGATGTCGAAAGCGTAGCAGAAAAAGCTGCTCTCTACGCCTTTGTCAACTCTGGACAGGTAAGCCACGTCAACAGATACGCCTCAAAAACAGTCCGGCTAACGTGCTCCTTTTTGCTCAGGTCTGCTTAAACATGAAGCGCATCTACGTCCACGAATCCATCTTTGAACAGTTTCGCGACGCCATGGTCAAGCACATCAAGGCCTACACCGTGGGCGACGGATCCCAGACCGGTGTCAGTCACGGGCCTGTTCAAAACTCGATGCAGTACGAGCGCGTCAAGACATACTTTGACGATATCGAGAAGCAAGGCTGGAAGGTCGCTGTTGGCGGCAAGATTGAGCCTTTAGCGAATGGCTACTATATCACCCCTACTGTTATTGACCGACCTCCTGAAGACTCGCGAATTGTCGTGGAGGAACCTTTTGGTAAGAGAGAAAAGAAGATGGATATCATAGAGAGTATGATACTAATGGCTTTGCAATTATTCAGGCCCCATCGTTCCCCTGCTCTCATGGAGCACCGAAGAAGAAGTCATCGCTCGCGCAAACAACTCAACCATGGGCCTCGGCGCCTCCGTATGGTCCAAGGACGTCAAGAAAGCCGAGCAGTTCGGCCGCGATCTCGAAGCCGGGACCGTCTGGATCAACGGACACTTTGAGATCAACCCGCTGGTGCCATTTGGCGGACACAAGGAGAGCGGCATCGGTGTCGAGTGGGGAGCCAACGGCTTGAAGGAGTACTGCAACGTGCAGTCTATGTTTGTGAACAAATAAAGTAGACGGAGAGGCTCTCGGATGATGCATCTCTGATAATAAATATACCCTTATTGAAGCTACTGTCACGAGCTGCGTTTATACATGACAATAGCATACAAAGCATGCGCAAGAGGTGAAAACGGTCAAGTTAGAGATTCGCTCTTATATTAATGGTATATTGTCATATCCACAGCCGTCAAATGCACATGTCAAACAGTCGTCAACTTTTTTCTCCCAAATATATCGTGTGCCAAATATGTCGTGTGCGTAGTTCATACTGCTAAATCAACATCTTGTTGCTATATCGTTTCATCATTCGCTATAAACAAGATAAAAGCAGAGGCGTTTCTCATAAGGGTACGCCGTTACCAAGAAAAGCAACGTTTGGATCGGAATTCGCATCGGAGCCTAAGCCCGAAAACCCATCATTACTGTCAAGGCTCATTTGAGCATTGAGTGGGCTTAGAAACGTATCAGTGGATAAAGGAGGGGGTGTTAGTGCTGTCTCGTTCAGTGCCGACATGGCTACGTAGTCGACCATGAGCCACAGCGCAGATTCCAATTTCGGATCGACTTCCGGCGTTTGGGAGTCCACAAGGGCGGCGAGAGAATGGTAGTTGGCATCGAATAGCATTAATTGAAGATGCTGATATAGCAAGTGGGATGTCAATAATCATAGAATGGCGCGGAATAAGCAATGTAGACTCACCATTTTCGAAGCATGATCCCATCTCCTCCCTGTCCTTTCTAGTATATGAATGGCCTTTTGGTAGTGGTTGAGTGTTTCCGGGTCCGTCACCTGCCCCTTCTCTTGGTCGATATGGATGGCTAAAGAGAGAATGCCACCGGCAAGGATGGAGGCATATGCGTAAAAGGAGGATTGAACATGGCAGCCAGATGCAATGGCATCCTCCACTAAGCTGGATATTGATCGAGCATGATTGCAGCTGATTTGAAAGGAACGAGTTAAAAATTTCGGCGGTACCTTGCAATTTGATTTCTGGAGCCTCATCCGGAGAAGAAAGGGGTGATTAAGGAGACAGTGAGCGGTGTGAAATACGATGCGCGCAAACACAACGTGTTCAAGTGACTGGAAGTCCAGGGTGCCATCCGGCCTGCGATAGTGCTCTACAATTTGAGGGATAGAAGGAGTCTCCACTTGAAGATGATGGTCGATTAAAAGTAAAAAGGTGTTTAGTAGTGTGAAGTCGGACCTGGGATCCCATGGTGGCATTTCGTCCATCTCACGCCCATGCAAGACATATCGACAACATCGACCCAAGGCTGTCGCAGCGAGTATCGTCTGCGTAAAGGTGCCGTTGACCGATGATTCCGTCTCGGATTTCCAGTTGATAAGCTGATGGAGTGTGGGAGTCTTCTTCCAGATGCCCCTTCTGAGTGTCTCCTCGTCGCTGGGCAGTTGGACGTGAATATCCTCCTCGGCAATGGCAGGCGGGCGGCTTTGACCAACTGAGACCAGCTTGTCAAGAAGGTATATTGACCAAAAAGCCCTCCGGTGTTCTTCCTGCTCAATTGGTGGCATTGTATTTTTCGGTTCCCTCATGAGCTGCAAGTCTTGCGCAATGCGGACGGCAAGGCCAATCTTTAACCACCCTGAACTTGTACGACCGCCTATATAAAACAAAGTTAACAATGTCAACGTTCGTTCCTTATTAAGATGTGGCTTACATGTAAAATCGACCACGCCAAGGATGTTGCTAGCTTGGGCAACTGCCAACGTCGGATTGTTCTCGACGGTCAGATGCTCATGGAGGATGGCTAGCCAGGCTTCTCTAGCGTATGCCTCGGTGGCCTCGCGTATGGAACCCTGGAAGTATTCGATATCTGAGAATTTAAGGGCAGAGGCCAAAATTGCAAAGAGCAGGCACTTTGGTATAAGACCGTAGTTGACCCTCTCCCGGAAGCTCTGTTCGTGAAAATATGAATATGGCTGGTTGTGGACGTGGAGGAAATATGCATCGATGAGGTGATCCATGACGGCGGGAGGCGGCGCGGTAGTAAATCTCCTATAGGAGAAGTTAGCCCATGCTGTCATTCCAAAGTAGGAAAGGATATTCCCATCCGTTCATGTCACGGTGGTTGAAGCCAACATACATTGTACTTGACAAGTCGGGAACGGTGTTTGTGGGCTCGGGGGCGGAAGGCGGATATTGATGCTGAGGAGGCGATGGCTCGGTGAGCTTTGGCGAGACTTCCTGGTAGCCAGTGGCAGCCGCGAGATCTGGGAAAGCAACGGATCCATTCTGATGCTCGCCATTCCTGTAAACGAGAGACGCATGGTTAGTACCGAATTCCATTTGATATGCGGTCGTCGTCCGGTGATTGGGACGGGAGCATTGATCGGGGATGACAAACAGAAAGCCAATCAGGCCTTGGCTGTGCAGTTGCGCCAGCTGCGATTCGATGGTGTTGATCCTATTCAGGAGCTCCGGCTACATATCCCATGGTTAGTACGCAACTCGTCTACCACCAGGATTGATTTCCAAGGGTTCATGGCTCACATCAACCACGCCGGCGCGAGGGAAGAGAGAAGACGGCGATTTGCCCTTTGCCGCGCCATTGTTCGCAGCAACTGAAGCTGAGCTCGGGGGATTGGTGGTGGAGTAGGGTTCATAGTGGCAGACGCGATCGACTCGTCGACAGTTCATGCATCTGGGCCGCTCGCCGGAACATCTCGTCTTGCGATGCCTGGAGAAGAAGATTCACACACAAAAGTCAGCCTCTGGGGTATTCCCATCTTGTTCGTTCGACACAATGTGCACGGCCCAGAGAGAGCTGGACCGGAGACGTGTTGGCGGGTGGTTGCGCACCGACAATTCGTGCAGGCCTGGCGGATGCGGCGGATGGTGTTGACAGTTGGTGGAGGCCGCGATCGGCCATCGGACCGTTCCCATGAAGCATCGGCTGCTGTTCCGTCGGACGAGGACATGGTGTCGCCGCATGCCTCAGATGACGGAGGCGGAGAAAACCATGGACAGCAGAGTCGAGATGAGATGCAGCACGAAGATTGCTTCCATGGAACAAAAGAATGAGCGGGGTACATAACGGGTAGCGTTTGTGCATAACTGCATAGCTGGCAGCCGAGTCGGGTACCGGCTACAGGCCGTTTGCCGCGGGGTACCTGCCAGGGGGGCGGTGCCAGGCTGTCGGAGGGCTACTGGCCAGCGTGCACAGCGCCTGTAGCGAGCAGCTGACGCAAGACCGCGCTGTACCCTTAGCGCTGGTCGCTCGTACTCGGTACCTCTGAGCTGATGTCTCCTGGCCCAGATCACTAACACTGTTTAGCGGCCTCTAGTTGCGATGGGCGCTCCCCACGGGGATCTACTCCTTTATGTTGTACCGCGTTTTCGACTCTTTTGTTGGGTATCGCTGGCTGTTGGAAATAGCATTTGATTTCTTCATAGCCTCGAATTGTGTCGTGCCGCATCTCTTCTCAGTGACTGAAAATTTTCTCCCTCTTCGCTCTTCCAAACAGCACGATGCTGAGGGCTGATTAGTGAACGACAGCTCGCCATCAAGCCTATCGATTGCCTCCAGGTCAGCAAGGCCTGCGCTCTGGAAATGCTGGCAATGACTCGGGCTATTCCGCTGACAAACCACCAATTGCTGGTTTATGCCTCCTGTTGGTAGAAATCGAAATATTGATGACATGCCGGTAATGGTGTCGGTCGTATACGCCCCGTAAAGCCAGCGAATGAAACTCGTGGAAAGCAGTATTCCGCCGGCCTCTGCGCAGGCCTGGTCTTGTTATTCCGATTCCTAGACGGGATAGTTGACCATGTCTCGTGTTGCTGTCTGCCCCTCTTCTTGCATAGCATGGCATCTTCAAGGAGCGTCTCCAAATGCGCGTATGGAATCGAATGCCTGTACCCTCACCCTTGTCGACTTGCGTTTTAGTATGAGCCACTTTGACGATTGAGCAATCGGATGGCTCATCTCGCTTCTCCAGGTCCGCCCGTCGAACAGGCAGCGAGATTCTTGAGGCACCAAGAACTTCTAAATCGGGCAACGGACGCGAAGAACGCTGTAGCTTATCTGCACGAACTCTAATCGTTCATTAGTTGCATCTGAAGAGAATATCTCGGAGCCAGATTCAGTTAGACAGGCATGCCTTCAGCCTAATCAACGAACTCCAAGGAGACTCCCATCAAACCCTCCATGTCGGAGGTTTAGCAACAGCTTGATGGTGAACAGGGAAGTTATGATGATCTATGATTCACCATTTTGGAATGCACCCTGCGATATATTAGTTGGCATCCTGCATAGTGCTCTGGATAAGATTCGATACTCGGACCTGACGGCCGCATCTTGACCTGGACAAGGCTGGGCATTTGCTTACCATCTAACAGGCGCCGCGCTTTTTGAAGACTGAAGTCAGAAAATCTCGAAGCGCAGAGATGCTTATTCCATCTCATGAGAAAGGAAGAGATGCCGGGGTACCCGGTGCAGATCGCCCATCGTCAATCTCGTCTAGCGGATCCTGGCCGGGATTCGCAGTTGGGGAGGCGTCTCATGGCACACCATCCTCTAGAACGCGAGCCTTTGCGCGCGACATCTTGGAGATGCAATCCTCAGAGCTCCAGTAGAGCAATTCAGTTATTGTTTGCCTCTTGTGAAGATGCAACTGCTGTGATGTCGTTGTACCCCTCTATACTCGGTTGGACGATGCACCGGTCCGCAGCGGTCCGCGTGGGGCCTTTCCGGCGCATTGTTGCGAATAGTCAACAATATGTACCAAGTATCTCCAAGGAATCGGTAGCTTGCGATGGTGAATTTAAGGGCGAAATATGTACGGCTGTACTTGTCGAGATTCTCCAGTCGGTCGGCCTCAAGCCTGCGGAATTGAGGTGGTGAGTGCAAAACACATAGTGCTGTACATACCTGCCTATGTACATGTAGGTAACTGGAGACCAAGCTCTTGGTGATTAAGTCACTGGAGATGAGATGTTACACGATGCAGGTATAATACATGCACCTATTCCATGACTGCTAGAACATGGTAAGAGCGCGAAGAGCCGAGCGAAAGACGTGAATTAATAAAGGGATGGGGATCTTCACTTGAAATGGTTGCTAAGCGGGCAGCATCAATGGTTCCACATTCGGATCAATAGACTATTGATATGGAGAGCCGACACCAAAAGATAAGACTTGGACTAGTTTCATTGCACTCAAGGCAAGGGAGAACCTGACAGCGACTTCTGTGTTGTCGCTTGGTAGCGTACGATGGTGGCATTTATTTTTACATTTTCCGTCAAGCAATCAAGAAGGTTTCTAGTGAGCAGCAAATCAAATTAATCTCGCTTGTCCAAATTTTCACAACTAGAATACCGCAATCTATAAATCTCTCTATATGCTATAAATTTCTGTCGCCATCTTCAACTGTGTGTTCCAACTACCGGACCTCCATTGCTTGCATTGAAATGCGGCCTCTTTTGCCCATTCGCGGCTCGAAGAGAAGCGCTCTTTGCCATGCCATTATGGCAGCCGTTGAAAGAAAGTTCACTAATACCAGGGTAGCCCTTGATACCCGTGGCCTTCTCCAGTCTAACGGCTAGATCATCCGACACTTCGCGGAATATGGCAATCTGGCGCTTAATAATCTCCTTTTCAGTACAAGTGCTCATATGGCCGGCCACGTTGTTGATGAATCGCTCCTTGGCGGCGTCATCAAAAACTCTCTCCCAAAGGGCACGAGGCTGGTTAAAGTCCTCGGGCCTGATCTCTGAGAGGAAAGTGACTGCCTTTCCAACAAAGGCCCCGTGAGTCTCGTCTAAATTTGTGTTGCGTTCTTTGAAAGAAATCGGCTCAATGGAAGAAAAGTAGTTTGCTCTTCCGCCCTGGTTGAAGAAGGCCATGGGGCCGTCTCGCTGGAAGTTGGCCATTTGGTAGCCTGTGCGCGGCGCATTGACGGGAAGTTGCTGATAATTTACACCTAGACGGTGGCGTTGAGTGTCGGGATATGAAAACAAGCGGCCTTGGAGAACAGGGTCGGCCGAGGGTTCAATTCCTAGTATCTGATTAGACACATTTTGCGATGATCATGATAGTGTTGGGCTTACCGGGAACGAGATGAGACGGGCTGAAAGCGATTTGCTCAATCTCGGCAAAGTAATTCTTCACATTCTCATTCAAACAGAGCTCTCCAACCTTGCGGAGAGGAAACTGGCCTTGGGGCCAGCAGTGAGTAAGATCAAAGACGTTGATCTTTTGAGTCTCCCACAGCTCCTCGGCTTGCTTTGGAGTCATGGTCTGCACGCATAAATCCCACTGAGGAAACTCGCCACGCTCAATGGCTTGGTAAAGATCCTTTTGATTCGCATCTGGCGAGCGGCGTGTAGACTCTTGTTGCGTCAGAAAGCCAGTGCCCTGCTTCGAGCGGATGTGGATCTGGCAGTACACCCACGAGCCCTCCTTGTTGACGAGTTTGAAGGTGTGGCCACTGTATCCGTGCATATGGCGCCAGCTATCTGGGATGCCGCGATCGCCAAACGTGTACATGACTTGGTGAACGGATTCCGGATTTTGACAGAAATATTCCCAAAAGATGGTGGAGTCATCGCCGCTGCCGAGATGGCTTGCGGGGTGTCGCTTCTGAGTATGGATCAAATGAGGGAACTTTGCGGGATCTCTGATGAAGAAAACCGGCGTATTGTTTTGCACAAGATCCCAGTTGCCTTCATCAGTGCGGAACTTGATGGAGAAGCCTCGCGGGTCTCGTGCATGGTCATGGGAACCACTTTCACCACCGACGGTTGAAAACCGGATGGAAATAGGACACTCTTTTCCTTCAGCGGAGAAAATATCCGCAAGGCAGAGATCGTCGAGCGGATTGGTAGTTCTGTAGTAGCCATGGGCACCGCCACCCTTTGCATGGACAACTCTCTCGGGGATTCTCTCGCGATCAAAGTGTGACAGGAGATCGATGAGGTGAAAGTCTTGGAGCAGCAAAGGGCCATTTTCTCCAGCTCGCTGGGTTTCTACATATCAGTTAGTCTACTGTATTCACTTCTAGTAGTTGAGAACGAGAAGTGTGTGACTGTAGTAATGCATACCGAAAGGATGAGGAATTGGTGCACCATTGCTAGCCGTATACACGGTCTGCTGAGATGTAGTGTTGCGATCATTGGTATAGTTCAGGTGCAAATCGCCTGCTCTAAATTAGCCTCAATTTCTAAAGGTCCAGCTTCAGTAACATTATGAGGCAGGTATACACATACCATTCTTACGGCTTGATGCCGAGTAAGATGTAGAAGCCATGGTTTAATCTGTCAAAGTCTTTTCTTTTGATACTAGAAACGAAACACTTTGAAAACAAAACACTTTGAATGTGTCTTTCTATCTGGGGAATTTCCATCAACAAACAGCTCTTAGGGTTTATATACGTGATCATGGTCAATGAATACTTGGTACAATATGACTGGATTTGCCTTGAGCTAGGAGCTCCCGTGTAAGTGAAGCCTGTGACGTAGCGTGCCTGAATAACTCTTCAGCACGTGGCTAATCAAACAGCTTTGACGCCATTGGCCGAGATGACTCGACCTCGTTCACGCATCTGCAAATGGGGCAAGACTCGGATCTCCGACGGTAGCGGCTAGGCTGTTCTTGGAAGCGCACGGCGAGGCTTTACTCGTTTGACGCAACTCACGGCTTGCAAGTACATATTCACGCTCACATAACGTTTCGTAAGCCAGTTGTTTCCGTGCAAGTGCCGAAGGCCCGATAGCGTATCTAAGATGCAGATTTTCGGCAGTTGAGTCCCATGTGCGATGTAGTCCTCGTATGTACGATGCGCTGCTGCCGACGCAAGATGATGTAAGAATCCTAGGCAGCTGTGCATTTGAACTTTCTGCAACCTGGAAGTGGACATCTTGAGCGATAGTAGGATTTTCGGCTGAAATTCCATACGATTTAGAAACATGGCTATGCCGATTTGTTAATTTGACCAGTCAAGAAACCAAGACGACGAGTTTACACTAACAATTTTCTTGTCTCTCGCTCCTTAGATGATGACTTCCAAAACCCATGACATAATCATATCTTTAGCTAGATGGCTATACAATTGTAGCGTTGCTGTTGAAAATCCCGAGCTGCCCCGTGTCTCTGCAAGTGGGTGGCACAAGTTTGATCTCTTGTGAATAATGAGCATCATACGTGGTAGTTTCCGTCCTTCCGCCGGACGATATCACTAATTATGCTTAGGTGTTGTTTTATGAAATGAAATGTGGTATCAAATAGGTGTTGTAAATTTCCATTCATCCGTATATGCTTGGGAAGTATATAAAACTAGCATTGAGGAGTGCTAGTGAGATTTCGGTGTAAGAGTCTGGCCGTTTACAAGCAGTAGCGAAGAAGTAAATCAAACTACATTCAATTATAGACTATTTAGTATTTTCAATTTGAGAGATTAGCGAGCTTAGCGATTATACTGAACATTAAAATTATTACTCAAGATGTCAAGTTCAATGTCTTCTTCGTTCTTAGACGTGGTCGCTGCGGCTATCCAATTCCGGTAAGCGCGCTGTTCAAATCCTCGAGGCCAGAGGCTATTCCATAATTAGCAGTTGACAGCGAACAGTCATAACACCAGAGACTGACATCATTGAAGGATTGAACATGATGGGCAGCAGAAGGAATTTCTCTTCGTAATACAGAGAATATGGAATAGCTTGATAAGCCTGAATCAGAACGCAAAGCATACAAATCTGCCAGTCTTGGGAGATTGCACATCGAACGTATACGTAGAACAAAGTGGCATAAGTGGACTCCGATTGAAGCTATCCAGGTAAGATGCCATTCCATGTAAAAGTCTATAAATGTATTGCCCTTGTGTCGTTCATTTGCCCAATATAAGTCATCTCATCATTCCCAACATTACCAGATTCCTAGTAGACTCATTGATATCCAACTTCACTCCCGCCAGGTGTCCGTTGGTGAATCGGTAATAACCGGCTTCCATTCATATGATCACGAAGAATGTCGTCAAAGTTAAACCTCGCCTGCGAAGAGCGACTTTTCCAACTGCTCGCAATTGGACGATTCGTAATCCACTCCCATGTAAACTGCTCTTCCATAGATCGCTGCTCATCGTAAATGTCAATCTCCCGCTTAGCCGCACTATTGTCGTCAAGCTCGGGAGAGAAGCGCGCCTGAGCAATGGGATAATAAGTTAGAGTCTCTCGATTGATCCAGCCGCTGTTGAATCGAGAGGGCTTGGCATAGTAGCACATGAAGCCTTGGGCGCTCGTCTCCGGTATCAGCATGGAGATAATCCGCAGCGCTGGGCTGGGATATCGCTCGATCCTGTCTGTCGAGAGTAGGTTGTGGCTGAGCTCCATCTTATGCAGGACTTTGAGGCTGGCAGAGAGAACGTAGCCGTTGAATAGCCCCTGTTCTCCAGTCTGCTGCATCAGCTGCGCGATCCAGCGGAGCCATGATGGCCAAGGGCTGCACTGGCCAGCGATATATAGGATGGGTAAGAAGCTGTGATCCATCTCCTCGCCGGAAACAGGAACATCTGTAGAGTATACGGCAGTGGGGAGAGTCCGTGAGTGAGTGTTCATAGCATGAGTGGCTGCAAAACGTATAGTCTGGTAAAAGTGTATGTAGGCTTCGGATTCCAACTTTTTGACATCTTGGCTCTTATCATAAAGGCAGAGCGTCCACAAGATGCGAGCCGTGAGGAAGTTGAACATTGCCCCAGAGAGACATAGGTGCAGTGGCAGTGGCAAGAAGGGAGACGGAGGGATGGGAAAATGAGACTCTTCTGAGCTGCCGAGGCTGGCCAGGGATGCCGTGTCCAGTTCAAGGCTCGGATGGAGATGGCCATGGACGTCTCTCCACTCTCGCAAATCACGCTGCAGTCGGTAGACCTTTTCCAGCAGCACAGCGGGATCCTGTCGAGTTGGTGTGAGATTCCACATCTCATCGTGTGCCCCAGAGTCAGCAAGAAGCTGAAGCAGGCTGCGTTGCAGGTCGAAGGCGTTTGATGCAATATGGCTGGTAGGCATCGTATGGCCAATAGAGAGGAGCATATTAGGAAGCGGCACCGCCATGTAGCAGGTCCACGCAAGAGTCTGCAGTGTAGTTTCTAGAGACTCCAGCGCAAGATCATCAACACGAAGTGAGGTATTAGACCTCAGAGCTGTGAAGTAGTAGTGAGCTGTGCGGACATGGCCATAAGCAGCCGGGATGTTGCCTGCAAAGCACTATTGAGACGATTGCCTTCAATATTAGCCACGATAACCGCATGTCACACTCTTGTATTCATCTTCAATACGCCACTTACCTCAAAGTAGGCCATGAACACCAACACGGCCGTCAAAATGTCGAGAGACTTCTCGGCTTCATCGAGACAGCCTGAGAGCTCCTGCAACGCCCTTGTGTAACCCTGAACGGCAATCACTTTGGTGTCCAGCCCGCGGTTCTGGTCGTTCTCCCCAAGCATGGCAGTCATGAGGGAAGCACGGTGCATGCACCCCAGCGCCAGGATTCCGCGCTGGGCATACTCGATGATCAAGGCCTCCTCACATAGGCGGTCTCTCCAGAACGGCAACCGGTCAGCCGGGAACAGCATGACTACTGTCCGGAAGAAGAACTGGTGATACGAGAGCACTTCCCTGGCGGCGGCACAGGGACGAAGCGACATGCGAGGGTTGCTGGGCAGACCAATCAACGGCAAGCCGTCGACACGGAACTGCGGCCGGGGCAGAGCGGGATGGGCGGGTATGCCGGACGGGCCGCTGGCGCCGGAGGGCGGTCCGGAGGGAGTGGAACCGGCACCGAGGCTCTGGGAGCTCTGGTTCTGCGGCGAGACGCGGAACTCGTCGCCGGTGCCGTCATGGTCGTCGGCCGGCGAGTTCTGCTGCGAGTGGGACGCGCCACGAAGGCTCGGCGCCCGCACCTCGATGTGCCTCCTGGGCGCGTAACCCGCACATTCGACGTTGGCGATGGCGCAGCGGTTACAGGCCGGCTTGCGCTCGTCGCACTTGACGCGGCGGGCCCGACACGTGAGGCAGCCAGTGCGCGTGCGTCTCTTGATCTCGCTCATGATAGACGACTCCTCCCGAGGAAAAGGGGGGCGTCACGTCTCTTCCAAAGGATTTGATGGGTTGGGATGCTTGCTTTCGAGCCAAGCGAGCTAAGCGTTGCAGCCCCCCATGACTTGCGTACATTAGGTAATTTCGGAGACACGGTAGGCTCCTGATTTGAACGTGTAGCCGGAGATGAACCCACTTTGAATCTGGGGTTGCAGACCAGCAGACGAGATAGGCGAGGGTGCCGAATCCGCAGTGCTGCTGCTGGCCGCTTTGTGAGTTGCTCCGGACTGTACAAAACATGCAATTCTCTGCAATTGGTACCATATAGTTGGAGTTTGAACAGCCGTTGATGCAGCCATCTGTGTAGAGGCGAGATTGCCGAACGCCTCTTTTCCGCATTTCCTTATGCGGTAACTGTCACTTACAGCCGCATATGGCTATTCGCAGCGAGTAATGCATCGTCATCATACGCCTTTTGGTCTCTTATAAACAGAGAATTCCACGATTAAAAGCCATAAAACGCCACATCTCTTTCTTGGCATCTTTATTTTTGCCCAGATAGAAAAGAATCTTTTTTTTTCGCACTTGTTCCGTCTTAGTACAATGTCACATTCACAAATACAAACTGAAAATCGGGAGCTACCCTTGAACCAGCCAAACAACTGGCAAGTCAAGTTCCCTCGTTACATGGTCGAACTTCCCGAAGATGTCAATGACATTAGCATCACTTATATCGGCATTCAGCCTCGCCATGAAGAGAATCCTGCCAAGGGGATACATACCGAGCTCCACGCCCATGTCACCTCTGCTGTTCAGAGAAAGGTTGGAGCTATGATCGAGGACTGGGCTCGGCAAGGAGCTGGAAGCCTTGCGCCAATCTTGTGGGAAAAAATGTATGTCGAAGCTGGCTATGATCTTCCAGATACAGAAATTTACATTTGCTATTGGACCGACAAAGATGTTGCAGAGGCAGCCACCAGGAGCCTAAATCTACGACAGCTATATAGCTCACTATTCCCTTCAGAACAAGAAGTCATAGCCTTATGGCGAGAGTCATTATCAGTTCCAAAAACTCGAATTGAAACAGTCTACTCTGGAAATGACTATCAGCCAGGCATCGCTTCCATTCCGGGTGCCGCCCAAGTCGGTCACAAATTCACCGGATACTGGGGAGCAGCTCGTGATCGTTTACCAGCATCGTCGCATGACTCTTTTGAGCCAGAGTATAAACTCGGCACACCAAACTTTGGCAAGGACACCAAGGGCCGTGTCATTGAAGGAGAAAACAAGGTCTCTGTCGCCCACATTCGGTCTGGCCAGTTCTGGGAGCGATGTAAAGACGATGAAAGAGAGGCGTATGAGAGCACGCTTGAGCCAATCCTGAGAGAGGGAATGACTTTTCTTGAAGAGAATGCGGAAGAGACGGGCGATATTGGACTACGTTTCTCTCGCCACATGGTTACGAACCGGCTTCTCCAAGCAGAAGAGGCGAAAAAGATGGCTGCATTGAACGGCAATGGGAATGCGGTGATTAATGGACTTGCAAATCTCGTCAAGAGCTATACGGGACACTGTAATGGTATAAATGGCACCAATGAAACGAACAGCACAAACAGTACTCATGGCATCAACGGCATAAATGGAATCAATGCAACTCATGAGACCAATGGCCACTCCAGCGACATCGACAGTCACACCTCCGACGCAGACAAATTCGGTCTCGCCGTCACAAAAGACCGCCGCAGACTCGAAACATGCAGCAGCGGCTTCTTCCGATCCCTCAAGGACATCGAAGCGTGGTCCTCCAAGCACAAGACGCACCACAAAATCTTCCACGGCGCGCACGCTCACTCCATCAAATTCGGCAAGACGACGTTCAAGTTCCGCTCTTGGCATGAGATGTCGACTTTGAAGCCTGGCGAGGTGACGTACGAGTACATCAACTGTCATCCGAGGACGGGACTGATTCCTTTCTTTGATGTTTGAGTTTTGTCTTGAGAGGATACATGGAAGAGGCATGGTGATGCGGCAGAAGCGCAGCGTGGCATAGCATAGCATAGAGTATAGTTAGATGTTCCATTTGTATTTTTGGCTCGTGTTTATAGCATATACAATATCGCTTCACTCACTTTTTATTCTATTTCGGTGTAAACAGACCATTGTTTGGAATAATGGACATGAGCTTACTGTATGAGAACTGTATGAAATCGTTAAAGAGACCAAATGATTTATTCCTATTGACCACTATTTCTCAACCTATCTATCCTTTTATGCTTCATTACGATAGGCCGTTTACCGTTTCTCCACTTTGGCATTAGCAGTTAGAAGACTTTGAGCAGCCGTGAGATTTTAGCTGGACTCCGCCGCGAATATCGATGCATGCAGCAATGACGATGAACTTACCTTTGAGGTGAATTTTCCAATTTGAGACAGGAATTGATGATTGACATAAGCAATTTCCTTATTAAAATATCGACTGTTTGATGGCGAGTAGGTAGGTTCACGCCACTCATAGCCATTTGGCTAGTTTCACTAATAAATGAGTAAGATATTAAACACACAACGGCAAGCCAACCAAATTAGATTCAAGACATTTCTTTTCCTATCCTATTGATTCCATTCCAACTAAAGTATTAAACTTTAAATTCAGTACTTTCTTTTCCTTTTCGCTATGCATTAATTCAAGACGCCCTTTTTATACTGTCCTATTTGTGGCTGGGTAGCAAAACAACTCTGTATTGCACCTTGCCCGCCTCAAGACGCTCAAACGCCTTGTTAATACCATCTTCTGACATCTCAAACTTCTCAAGCACAGGCTTGATCTGGTGAAGAGCGGCAAACTCCAACATCTTGCGGTGAATAGGGCGCGAAGCGACGAGAGAGCCTTGAATGGTGATGCCGCCATTGATAAGAGGCATGTAGGGCATTTCCAGGTTGTCAGAAGACACTGATAGAGGGTAAATGCGAGCACGAGGAGAAAGGAGCGGCAGAATCTTTTGCCAGTCTGGCTGAGCAGAAGTAGTGACCAGGAGACGGGAGATTTTCCAGTCACCCAGCTGCTTCTCAACGTCACCCTCCTTCATGGCGACGAATCTGTGAGCACCAAGCTTGGCAGCATCGGATTTCTTGCTATCGGAGCCAGAGAGCACAACAACTCGGCAGCCAAGCTTGGCGGCGAACTGAATGGCGATGTGACCGAGGCCTCCAACTCCCATGATACCAACAGTGTCGTTGGAATCCACATCGTGCAGAGCAGTGAAGACTGTCGCACCAGCACACTGAAGAGGAGCAGCATCCTCGTCGCTAATATCGTCAGGGATGGGGTGCAGGAAAGCCTCTCGGAGAACAGCGTGAGTAGCAAAGCTGCCCTGGTCGGTGTTTCCCGAGCCGTAAATAACACGCTCGTTGCAGTAAACGTCGTTTCCCTGAAGACACTCGAGACAGTGGCCGCAGTGATCAGTTTGGTAACCCCAGCCTACTCGATCTCCCTTCTTCAGATATGTGACCCCGGGGCCAGTCTGTTCAACAACTGCAACACCTTCGTGACCCAGTGCCGTGTCTCCATGTTTCTGTGGATGATTCGTCAGCAATTGTTGAAATTATCGATTGATTTTAATGATTGTGGCTTGAGATGAGACAACTTACATAATGCACATCGGTAAAGCACATTCCAGAGGCTGTGACTCGGACATAGACTTGGTCGCCGGTGAGCTGATCGGACTTGGTGGTAGTGCGAGGCTTGACAGAGCCATCTTTGGATCCTGTGTAGACGGTGAAGGAGGGCATGGTGACTGCAAATCTGTATTGGTGTAATAGGTGTAATCAGATAGTGGTCGTAGTCGGTAGCTGGTGATTATCGACTCTTTGCCTTGAATTTGAGTTGTGTATGGTTGTTGTATATCGAAGAAGCTGTTGAGTTGTCTGAAGACTCAAAACAATCTTCGAGCTCTTCATCCGGGGTTATATGTACTTTTCTCCTCTTCTCAGCCCAACTACATCATCTCACCTGATTTTGCGGAGGCGCCTCCAAAGCTTGCTGAGACTGAGCTCCAGACTGGCCCGCTCTGATCGCATGCATCGCTTGGATCGGCCGATTGGCTGCTAGAAACGCCATCGTCGAATGGGCTTGCGCTAACACGGAGCTCGGGCGCGAGTCTAGCTGCAGGGCTCTCGCTTGTTTTTTTGTTGATTCCATATGTCTCGGAATTTCCCATCAGATGCTGTTGCATTGAACCCTCGCGCTTGACATATTCGGAGAATATGACGGGGCTTAATCGGCGTTGGGCATCTCAACAAGTAAAGTGCTTACCTAGATTAGAAATCTCGCTGTCGTATCGATCTTGAGTCACACAGACTGGGCGGTAGGGATTCTGCACAGGGACGCTTTCATAACTGAAGAGAATGCCTAAGACAAGGAGGGAGAAAGTCTTGCCTATTCAGGTGCTGAACTCTATAGCACCCAATCAGACTTTGATCAAGCCGAGTCAAAGCTGTCATAACTGCAATAATTCGACAACTGTTGTAGCTACTAGCCGTATAGCTGCAGTAGCTGCCTGAGAATTGCCGAATTGCGTAGAAAAAACAGTGTCAATGTGACATCGACATACGTCAGTAAGCGCCCGGAGGATTTCGCCCTTGCGGAAGTTGCCGCCTTTTGAAATAGCGCTGCGATAGAAGCGACGAGGTTCTAAATTTGATAACTGAGATGACATAGATGACAAAGCTGGAACTTGCCGCCTTTGGAATGTTTTGTCCATTAGTAACCGCGTTTAACAGGTTTCTAGAACCTGGATGCCGTAAACTTTCTCACGTAATGCCAGTTACGTCGAATAGGTAGAAGATCAATGACGCGGACCAGGTTTCACTATTGAGACATCAGGACTGTATGATATCAGTTACCGAATCAACATGCAATATTTGCAGTAAATAGCATTACCACGCACACAGAGTTGCATTTCATTATATTGGGGGCTTACTTTATCGCCTCCTTTCTCAAGGCTTCTAATCCTGCTGCAAGTCTCTCGCCAAGTCCTCCAGTGCTTCCACTCCAATACTGAGTCTGACCAGCCTCTGGTCAATGCTGGTATTCGTCATAGCTCGCCATTCCATCAGGCTCTCTACGCCTCCGAGGCTGGTTGCATGTTGAAAAAGTCTCAATTTGCTTGGCAGCCGTTTTGCCAAGACCGCATCCTTTAGGGTAATGGATAACAGCGCCGTAGCCGTTGGGCATTTGTTTTCGTAACCAGCTACCGTCTTCCTTTGCTTCGGTTTGCAAACTGGCATGATGAACTTCTTGAGCTAATTCATGAACCGCTGTGGATGGATCATGAAGCTGGCTGTGGAACCACGAGACCAGCGCCGTTGCAGTGGCGCTTTGCCGTATGACACGCAGCTCGAGAGTGCGTAGAGACATACATGTACCCAGCCAGCTTTCCGTGTTACCTGCAACTGAGCCCAGATAGACACGATCACTGTATAGCTTCATCAAGAAGTCATGCTGGGGTTTAGCGGCCAATATGCCACACAACATATCGGATTGTTCTCCAAAATACTTGGTCCCGCTGTGAAGAACGATATCAGCCCCAAAGTCGAACGGATTCTGCAGCGGCGGCGGGCCAAAAGTCGCATCAACAATCAGAAACGCTCTCATCTTATGGGCCTTATCCGCATAATACTGCAAGTCGATGGCTTCTCTAGTTGGATTCAGAGGTGTCTCAACATGAATAATGTCGCCTGGCTGTAGCTCTGCGGCATCGCAGTCCAAAGGCAAGTTCTTGAGGCCGGTCATACGGGAGACCATGCTGATGACACCATTGCAGCCGTGATATCCCTCGCCAATGGCAATGCGCCGCGAATTTAGGAGTACAAGAACAGCGTGGAAAGCTGCCAAACCAGAAGCGTATGTGAGAGCTGGTCCGCCGAGGATAGAAGTCAGGATAGCCTCAAAGCGGACTATTCTTAAATCAGTTGATAGATTCAAAATACAGCGAAAGATGCTTTTTTTGGACTGGATTGCTGGGGCAACGCCAAATAGCAGCTGCCATCCACCGTGTTATGGCGCTGATGCCTAATCGAGAAGGAGTTGAGGAGATGAGTAGTAGGTTTTACAATGCGATGGCTCTCTTGATACAAAACTATAACAACAATCAACAAGTATCAAGCCAGCCATCTGTTTCTATCTTTTTGATTCACTTCTCTCTTAACAGTACCGATTTTGGCCCTTTGCACTGCTGCCATTAATCCACCCGTCTTTCAATTATAATTCTTTTTAAATTATTCTTCTCCCCGCCCGCAACTTGTATTTTCATCTTATTCCTCGTCTTTCATTACTTTGATTAGCCGCTCAACCAAGCGACTCTCCGCTCGACAATGTCAGTGGCGCCATATGGCATTTCGGCTGCGCGGCAAGTCCTATGGCTGCCCGAGCTCCTCACCATGATATTGGAGGCCAGAGAATTGAAATGGAATATCTTTCAGCATGTTTTAAGCGACGACGATCTCAAAAACGTCATCCGGGTGAATCGATTCTGGTTTGAAATCGGATCGCGAAAGTTATGGGCTAGCCTTGAAAGTATTTTCCCGCTTTTATACGTGCGGCCTGCTCGCCGACAGATTTATGCGTCCAAGGTGACTCAGATTACATCTCGGGGGCAACCCCTAGAGCTGATTCATCACACATACAGAGATCTTGTGTTTGAGAGACTGAGAGAAGCTATCATTCGAATCAACCAACTTTGCACCATGGAACACGTGAAACCGTTTCTTGTGCCTTGCCTGCGATCCTTCTGCCTTATCGACGACAGAGATTTGAGACCCGAGGTTTTCTCCCAGTTGGCGAGAGCATGCCCAAATCTGCGACACATCAAAATATACGCACATAAAGTTAGATCTAGGCCCACGCTTGAGGCATTTTCTAGTTTCATCCGGCAAGCTCTATTTCTCAAAGAGGTGACGGTGATTCTTCATGGGAATAACACGGCGAATGCTGAACTTTTGTCCTCATTGGCTCATAGCAGCAGGTTAGAGCGACTGCAGACCTCATGGTTATGGACAACGTGCCAATCACGGCAAGCTGCGGCCGCAGTGTCGCATTCGGGCATTGTGCCTTTCCCCAAAATTACACATATGAATATACTTGTTCGGTCAAAGGCTGTTGGCAAGCTGGTTCCTCTTGTTGCGAACATACAGCATCTCGCAATGACGGTCAGAGACTCAAATGATGATGTGCTATCGCATGTGTCAAATCTAGGAAACCTGAAGAGCTTCATTATCCATTACCAGCTACCCTGCTTCATTCCTAGACAATCATTGTTGGGACTGGGCGCCCTTTCAAGGCTTCTATTTCTTAACTTGTGTTCCTGTTCCCGTGCAACGACTGGTGGAAATGTCGTGTGGTCTAACCTTTCGGACGATGACGTTGAGGTATTGGCCCGTCGATTGCCGAATCTCTACGACCTTCGACTTCGGCTGCGCTGCGATATTTCTACCAGAGCGGTGGAATCCTTTCTACGTCATTGTCCGAGACTTCGGGTGTGCTCAATCGTCCAGCGGCTCGATACTACTGATTTATTCACTTCTACATCTGACGACATGGTATTTCCGCAATTACGTAGGCTATGTTTGGGCGGCCTAAGCGGCGAGGCAATCATGAGGTCAGTGTGAATCTTCTTGCTCAGTCACAGCACTTGATTCAAACGTTTGTAGAAGAGACTAATCGAATTACTTTTGGTGTGATGTAGCCGATTGGATCCAGCACAATTTTGTGCTTCATTTGAGAGGCAGTTCCCTGGCGTTAACTATGTGGAGCTTGGGCATGGTAGCAATGCAGAACGTGACTACTACGACGAAGTTTTTGACTTATGGCGAGCCAGTGAGCCCGGAAGATTTTGGGAAAGCATCAGGTTTGGCCATCACCCACAGGCAGCCCCTGGAGTTGCAGTGAGCCAGAGCATCCCCCTAGGGCTAGATTGGTAGCAACCTTTTATTTTATTTTCAAGCTTCTCTGATGAATACATTCACACAGTCATTTGGCCTGCGCTCATGCCTTTGCCTTCCACTAGCACGCCAGCTTTGCGCAAGATGGACACACAGCTCGTCACCACCTCGGGCTTGACGCCCTCTGTCTTGGCCGGAAACGTGACAGTCTTGAGCCACTCTCTAGCATCCTCGGCCGAGTAATCCAGATTTGTTGAAATGTACTCGACGGCCTCGTCTGGGTTCTTGTTGAAGTGCGCCACGCCCTGGTCCAGCTTCTCAAACAGATGCTTTACACGAGCGTCCAGCCCGCCCTGGGTGAGCCTCGTCGACGCCACAATCTTCCAGCTGCTCCACGGCGTGTAGATTTCGCCCACGCGGCGGATCTCGCCCGAGTCGTAGTACTTTTTGGACGTGAAGTGCTCCCACATGAAGAAGTCTGCCTCGCCCGAGTTGACGGCGTTGCGCAGCTTCTCAAACGTGTTGAGCACGACGTGGTCGGAATAGGGGGAGTCTGCGCCCGGGGTGGACAGCCAGCCGTTCTTGTCGGCGAGGACGTAGCCCATCACGTAGCTGCCGGAGCCGATGCGCGAGACGCCGATTTTGCCGCCTTTGAGGGAGTCGACGGATGTGATTTCAGGGCGTTGAGCGCCGGTTGAGATGGCCCAGCCTTGAAATGTTAGTGTTTGGAACTTGTCATGATCTCTCTATGAATTGGCAGCACTTGTGCACTTACAGAGCGGCGTCTCAACGTAGGTGCCCACCAGGCGATATCCTCCATCTCCCTCGACTCCGTCTTTGCCCAGCCCTGCAATCCAAGCCTCGGTCAGGCCAATGCCAATGTCAATCTCATTCGCTCGCAGAGCCGTAATCATGTGGCCGGTGCCTGAGGGAAACGGGATGAGAGTGGCATCGAGGCCGTAGTATTTCTGAGCAAAGTGCAGCGGGGTAGAAAAGTGCTCGGGCACGAAGCCGATGCGGAGGGGGGTGGCCATGATGAGAATTGATGGAGTTTTTGCTGGGAGAAGAAATAATTACTGGTCTTCTCCTTTTTATTCTGGGAAATCTTGGAAGAGTGAGAGGTTGTCAAGGTGTTGAAGAGTTTTTACTTTGTTCTTGTTTTGGCTATTGCGCGCCTGTCGCACTGAGTGGGGTTGAAGACATGGCGATGATGAAATAAGCTCTTGATTACTTGTATGTTTGCTATTTGCTTACTGAGCAACACAATGAATGGCATTTGAGACGATTTGGTCTTTTATTCTATCTGAATCGAGACGGCATGGCTTTTTCTTAGACTACATGGGCTCACTTCCTTTGAATACTGTTCAATTCTCATATAACTACTACTAGTAGTAACTCTCCTTAATAACTACCTACCTAGTACCTAGGCTGCGAAAAGTACCGCTACAGACACTTTCAGCGCCTCCATCATAGCCATTGTCCATGACTAAATTGCTCTTCACTGCCTCGAGCCAATCAACGAATCCTGCATTTATTGACGAGATCATCATGTAGGAGATATCTCAGCCGGGACAAGCCAATGGTCATGTGTGGCCAATTTATAACACGCGTCCTTTCCAAGTATCCAGGTGTTTATAATACAGAATATCAGCAGCGGCATTTGCAGCCTAATTCGTAGCCTCATGACGCCGAGATCCCTTGATATTGCCCGTGGGCTTAGACTCGCCTCAGAGATGGTGTGGACAAGAGAAACGCTGCGCCGAGCCTGACGGACCGGGGTCGGATTACAAAGTCGGGAGGATTCCGTCTTTCTCTTCTATTTCGCACTAGAAGCCGCCCTTTGTCGTTATCAATCTCCCCCATTTTTTTCGGCCCCTGTACCCTCGACTATACATGTGCTGAGCCACTAGGAATCATTGCTGTCGCGTAATTCCTTGCTCTTCCAATGACCATCGATTAAAACGCAGTCATTCTTGTTCTCACAGCTCGTTCTTCACTCATGTCAAACCACGAGCCACACGCTCACGAGGACGCGCCTCTGCTGGGCCATGAGCGCCAACATGAATCCGAATCCATCAGCGACGAGGCGCCGATAATCAACGCAGCGCGATGGCAGGTCAAGACGAGGAGCTCAATTGTCAGAACCATCGCGGTGGTGCAATGCGCCATCATCGGCACCGGCATGCTGCTGCTCATTCCTCTCTACCGGCTGATTGAAGACAGCGTCTGCCACGTCTTTTACGGCGACGACTCTTTGGACGTGATTGATGAGATGAAGTGTAAAACGGACGAGGTCCAGGCCCAGATGGCATATCTGCTTGGATGGCTGGGCCTTTTCCACTCCATCATGAGTCCGTTTCTCTCTCTACATCATTGCTTGTGAATGACAATCTAAAATAGCGCTGCTAACTCTTGATGTCTTGATCGCTCATATGAATAGGCTTGCTCTCGACGTTTCCCTTTGGCATGCTTGCCGACAAGATTGGGCGCAAGCCGACGATTCTCCTCGCTTCCATCGGCATGGCCTTGGGACCCCTTTCTGGCCCGTTTTTGCTCGGATTTTTCCAGTCTGCTGTTCGCAAGAATCCGTATATCCTAATGACGAGCTCCCTCTTCCTCTTGATTGGCGGCGGAACCCAGGTTGTACTGGCCATGCTGTATGCCATGGCCGCTGATGTTAGCTCAGAAAAGGAAAAGTAAGCAACTCCCAATAGCTCCAACAACGAATATGTTTAAAAACAAGTACTGATTGTAAATCACTTCATTGCCTTGTAGAGCTGCTAGCTTCCTTCAGCTCACATTTGGTGCTACTGTCGGTGGCCTTGTCGGCCCTCTGCTCAATGGGTTCTTGATGCAAAAGTATGGCCCTTGGGTTCCCATTTCTGTCTCCATCTGCTGCATGCCCTTCATCTTCCTCTCATTCGGCTTCCTCCCCGAGACGCTCCCGGTTGACCGGAGGAAGAAAGGAGGCGATGGCGACCTATCTGTTGAATCACTCAAGCGAAAAGTCGGCGCAGCCCTGGTTGAGCTCAGAAAAGCTCTGGCCCTGTTTACAAACCCCAGCATTCCTCTGATACTCCTTACTTTTCTGTTCCAGGCCGCACGCTACACCGCCTATACCAGCACAATTTTGCAATATGTCAGCAAACACTTTGGATGGCGCCTCGCGCAGACCAGCTTCCTCCTATCGCCCTTTGGACTTCTCAACTTGATCGTTCTGGCTGTTCTCCCTCGCATCTCCACACTCCTCATGTCACACCGCTTCGGCTACTCTTCCTTTAACAAAGATTTGCTGTTGACACGATATTCTACCGTGCTGCTCTTTGTTGGCGCCGTCGTTGAAGGCTTCAGCCACAACATTGTCTTATTCATCATTGGTCTGTTCATCGAGACCTTTGGAGCCGCCGTGAGCCCCTTGGCGCGAGCCACCATAACGCACTACGTCGACCCAGAGCATACTTCCACGCTCTATGCCTTGATCAGCACGACTGAGATTTTCGGCACCTTTATCGGAGGGCCCGCGCTGGCATGGTGTTTCGACCAAGGCCTGCAGAAGAAGGGACTCTGGATTGGCATGCCTTGGTTTTACATTGCGCTGCTATGCTTCATCGCCTGGACTGGGCTTTTGTTTGTGCAGCCGCCGGCAAAGAGCAGGTCAACAAACGGAAATGGCGAGGACGAGAGAGTCGACTCTCACGAAGACTAGCTCTAGTTGAGGCTTCCGTAATTCATGAATCTTCATTTCCATTTTCTACTGTATATAGAGTGAGTCATCAGGTGTAAATAAGATGGATATACGACAATTTTGCTGTATTCCACATCCTTCTGACCATTACTTATTTATACAAAAACCATACTCGGCAGCATTCGCCCCTTGCTTACTGCGGAAGAGACATTCACTGTCATCAGTTTACCTGCCTAAAACGGCGTCGGCCAACTCATTAGTGCACTCCAATTCTTCAACCCAAAATTCGCCAAGCCAGCCCGCCAATTACGCCGCAAGGCCGCGCAACAATCACGCGGCCTGTGACGAGCTCCAGAGAAAAATAAGTTTAAAACAAAAGTGCCCCCAATAGCGGACGGCTCTTCCCCACTACCTGCAGGAACTAGAGCTATGGCGGGATAACAAAAGGGCATAAAGGCAACGAGATAAAACGAATTATTAACAAGGCTCTAGTATCCGGGTGAGTTTATGAGTCAACGCCGACGTTACGGGTACAGCTACCGGAAGTCGTCAGCACTGCTAGAGTCGATTTCGTGATATGCTCCACGCGTTGGTCGGGTCTTGTGTGTCGTCAATGATTAGGCGGCGAATGATGTGTGCGTGTTGAAAATACGTGTACGGACCCTCTGAAGGATCTGGAAGCTTTTGGGAGAACCGCGTGTGGAGGTTGATATAAACATTGTCTAAGCCTCCCCCACAGTCTCTAAATACATGTATTCTTCAGCCCTACATCTCAAAACAAGCTTTCAAGAAACACCGTGCGGCATGAGGTTATAAATCATTATTGTAAAAAATAAGTATTCGTTGGTCTTATCCATAAAATGATCCACCACCGGGCCTATAACGCCACGGCATGTGGTGATGGCTTCCTTGGCCCAGGCGTCTGGGCTGAGGGCTGTCGAGGCGGTTTCGACTTCACATGTGCGAACAATCAGCTTTCCATGAGTCAAGTACAGTGTTTTTTATCGCATATGCTTTGCTAACCCTACCATTTCTTGCGTAGTGTCTTTTGAAGAGAGCATCTTGTCTGTTCTTCCATCTGCTTTGTTTCTTCTCCTTTCGATACCGAGAATCGCATATCTCCTACGGACCCCTGATAAAACAAAGCGTCGATCAGCATACACACCAAAGCTTGTCAGTTTGGCACTTCCAAAATTGCAAACATCACAACAGGCTTCTAATTGACCGCCGATAGATCGTATCGAGTGCATATGCCGGCATCCAGGTCGGATGCTTGGCCCTCACAGCCTCATCACGACACCTCGACACACGATTCTCCATCGCCGCCGCCGTTCTCAGCCTCGTCGCCGCATGCTGCATCGTCCTTCTCTCGCACATTGAGCACGTCAAGTCGATTCGTCCCTCCTTCCTCCTGACCTCGTATCTCTTCACCACTCTCCTCTTCGACGCCGCCCGATTACGGACCGAATGGCTCCTCTCCGTCAACGTCGCATACGCAGCAGTGCTCTCGACCTCGACGATATTAAAACTAGCCCTGCTCGTACTGGAAAACATCGAAAAGAGACGCATTTTGCTAGACTCGAGTAAAAACCCGTCAACGGAGAGCACGAGCGGGCCGTTCAACCGCGGCTTCTTCGTCTGGCTCAACTCGCTGCTCATCACCGGATGGGCCACCGTCTTGACACTGCACGATCTCCCCGCCATTTACGAAAAGCTTTCATCTGAAAAGCTTGCCGTGATTTTCTCGAAACGATGGGACAAGGGTATGGTTTTCTAGGTGTATACAGCGTCTTTCTATTACAGTTTCTCAGCTAATAACGCCTATTCCTCAAGTCACCCATGGCGGACAAAGAGCCTCTCTCTTTCTCAACACCGTCTGGATCCTCAAGCGCGAAATTGCCGGCATTGTGATTCCTCGGTTGGCCGTCGTCGCCTTGACAATTGCCCAGCCTTTCCTGGTGTCCCAAGCGCTGCGATTTCTGTCCATGCCCAAAGACGAGCACTCTGACAATGTCGGCTACGGCTTGATCGGCGCCTTTGCCTTTGTCTTTATAGGATCTGCTGTGCGTCTCAAAAACCCGACTTATTATTTGTGTAAGCTAATCATTTATATCAGATCTTAACGGCATGGTACGAGCATCTTACGTTCCGAGTCGGTGCCATGATTCGAGGAGGCCTCATTGGCCTCATCTATCGCAAAATACTGCGGCTTTCCACCAGCGACCTAAATGAATCGTCCGCATTGGCGCTCATGGGCAACGACATTGAGACTCTGGCTGAACGTGCAAACGCTCTGCTCATTGAAGCGTACGCCAACTCTCTCACGGTTGGCATCGCCGTCTATATGCTGTACGCACAACTGGGTCCCGTCTGCGTTGCCCCTATTGTCATGGCTATCAGTAAGTGCTTCGATCGGGTTCATTTCCTGCTAAGTTCTATACTCACAACGTATAGTCTCCATTGTGCTGTGCTGGTTTATTGGAAGGGTGCTCGTCAAACGCCAGACCGTCTATCAAAAAGCAACGCAGGACCGCATCAATTTCACCTCTGAAGTGCTCGGTTCTATCAAAGCCGTCAAGATGCTAGGATACACGGAGCGCTTCACCGACCTGCTTGAAGACAAGCGTGACCAGGATCTGAATGTTGGTAAACACTACCGAGAGATGATTGTATGGGCCAACACAGTCGGTAAGTCGATCCCTCTCACCAGTTACACCTTGTGTCTCTTCAGGAATTCAGTCCAACTTATCTGAATATCACTAGGAAACGCCAACGTCAGCTTAACTCAAGCCGCCACTTTTGGAGCCTACGCCATTGTCGCCAAGCTCAGCAACAATCAATCCTTCTCGGCATCGCAGGCCATTACTGCACTGTCCATTCTCAACGTCATGGTAAACCCGCTCAGCTTCCTCCTCGGTAACATTTCAGCCGCCTATGCCGCATTTGGCTGCTTCAAGCGTATCCAGGAATTCCTACTTCTCGACGAAAGAATCGATAGCCGGCAAATAAGTCCACAGCTGGGAGTGCCAACAAAGAGCGAGCAAGTCGGATCACGCAGAAGCAGTATGGAGCTCCGTCCGCTCGATCGTTACACCGAGGAAGGCGAGCGCATCTTTATTTCCGAGGGAGCCTTCTCGTGGAAAGAAAAGAAAGTATTGAGCAACATCAATGTGTCCTTCTCACAGACACAATCCGGATCTCTCACCACGATAGTTGGTCCGATCGGCTCAGGCAAGTCGAGCTTGCTCAAGGCCATTCTCGGTGAAGCATCCTCGACTGGAGGCAAAATCTCGTTGTCGACGCCGAGCATCGCCTTCTGTGACCAAACCCCCTGGGTGATGAATGCAACAATCAGAGACAACATTGTGGCGGAATCCGGCTTTTTCGACGACAAATGGTTCGACACGGTCGTCGAAGCCTGCGATTTGACTCAAGACTTTGCGCGGTTGCCAGATGGTGTTTCGACCGTTGTTGGAGACAAGGGAGTGAAGCTCAGCGGAGGTCAAAAGCAGAGACTTGTAAGTGCCCTTTCTTATACCAGTTTGATGAGAGGTGTCTAACAATTCAAAGGCCATTGCCCGTGCCGTCTACGCCCGCAAGCCCGTCGCCATGTTTGACGATGTCTTCAGCGCATTGGACAAGACAACAGAACGCATCGTCTTTGCTCGCGTCTTCAGCAAAGACGGACTGCTCCGCCGTAGCCGCACCACCGTTATCCTCGCAACTCATTCCGGTAAGACATGAAACCATCACTTTCCACAAGTCTTTGAGCAGCTTACTAAATCATTCCCGTCTCAAGTCCACCTCTTACCCAGCTCCGATCACATCATCGCCCTCGGCCAAGACGGCCAAGTTATCGAGCAAGGAGCCTTTGTCAAACTTCGATCCAGTGGCAAATACATTCAGAGTCTCGACATCACCGATCCACACTCCGATGATGATGAAGATAGCAAAGACAGCCCTGAGCAAGACATTATCGAAGAGATTAAGAACCTCGTCCACGTCAGCGAAGAGGCCGAGCAAGAAAACGAAGCAGAGCAAACAGTATCAAGTGATCGCAGCACGTTCAAATACTACTTTTCCGCCATGAGACCCCTCAGTTTGGCCGTGGGTGGTGGATACATCTTTGGGCAAGCCTTCTCTGCTGCTTTCAGGGGTAAGTGGAACAGACAACTGCGATGCCGAATCTTGTCTAATGTTTTTCTTTTTAGCTGTCTGGCTTACCTGGTGGGGTGATGGCCGAGGACGACCCAGCAACGACGTGGGTTACTGGCTAAGTATTTTCACTGTCTTGGCCGTTGTAGAAGCTGTATTGATCTCCCTGGCAATCATGTAAGTCTCGACTCAGAATGAATATCAAATCCTAGCCTATTGACTTAATGCCAGGCACTTCTTATTGATCATCGGACCTACCGTCAGCAAAAAGTTCCACACCAGAATTTTGAACGCAGTCATGAGGTAAATTGTCGTGTTTAACTTCTCTTGAGCAACAGCTAACGTTGACGCCAGGGCTCCAATGTCATTTCTTTCCAACACTGACACTGGCTCACTCATTAACCGGTAAATATCTCCTCCAACTCCATTCAAATCATTCTTCATATTTTCTAACCTGCTATTCTTGAAACAGATTCAGCCAAGACTTGCGCCTAGTCGATATTGACCTCCCTGTCAATCTCGCCATTTTCCTCTTTGGTAGCTACTCTCCTCTCTCACTGCAGAGATTAATCAACCCAACTGACTTAATAAACACATAGATGTCATGACTTGTATTAGTGTTACCGGACTGGCTGTTGGAGCAGTCAGCTACTTCGCCGCCGCTCTCCCCTTCATCATCGTCATCCTCCTCATAATCCAACGATTCTACGTTCGAACCTCCAAGCAACTTCGTATTCTAGAGTAAGCATCAAATCCTTTCTTCCTCTAATACAATCCAAATACTAATCTTGCATCTTCTTTCTAGAATCGAACACAAAGCCCCGCTATACTCGCACTTCCTCGAATCTATCAACGGCCTCGCCACAATCCGCGCCTTTGGCTGGATCCTCCCCTACTCCACCAAGAGCCTCTCCCTCCTCGATAGCGCACAGAAGCCCTCCTATCTTCTCAACTGCATTCAGCGATGGCTCACCTTAGTTCTCGACTTGGTCGTTGCGATTCTCACCATCTTGCTCGTTGTTTTCGCCGTCACTCTAAGGGGAAAGCTGAATCCCGCTCTCCTGGGCATTGCGCTCGTCAATATGATGAACCTGGGTCTCAATCTCAAGGGCATCATCCTGGCATGGTCCCAGCTGGAAACTTCTCTCGGAGCCGTCACTCGCATCAAGACCTTTGAAGAAACAACTCCATCTGAGCTGTTCCCTCACGAAAACTACACTCCCCCTGAAGAATGGCCCTCTCAGGGCTCTCTCGATTTCATCGACTTATCCGTACACTACGAGTATGTATAAACCTATTTCATCTTCTGACCAAAAGCTAATCCAATCTCCGCAGCTCCACCGCCCATCCCGTCCTCCGCAACATCTCCTTCACCATCCGCCCAGGCGAAAAGCTCGGCCTCGTCGGTCGCAGCGGCAGCGGCAAAAGCTCTCTCATCCAAGCTCTCTTCCGCATGGCCAACACTCCCACCGGCCAAATCCTCCTTGACGGCCAAGACATCTCGAATATCCCCAAGCCCCTCATCCGCCAGAAACTCAGCTGCCTCACCCAGGATCCTTTCCTCTTCACCAACACGATACGCTTCAACGCCGACCCTCTTGGCGTTCACTCCGACGAGGCAATCGCCGACGCACTTCAGCGAGCCGCCATCTGGGATGTCATCACCTCCAAGATAGACGCCGGTAAAAATCCCCTCGACGAGAAAATGGACGAAACTTTCTTCTCTCACGGGCAGCGGCAGCTATTCTGTCTGGGCAGAGCACTCCTTAAGAAGAGCAGCACTCTCATCCTGGATGAGCCAACCAGCAAGTACGTTTACCTTATTTAAAAAAAAAAAGATGTTAAAAGAAGAATCAAAATTAATCTTAACTAGCATCGATAACCAAACCGACGCGCAAATTCAGCGTGTCATCAAATCCGAGTTCAAAGACCGCACAGTCATCATGATTGCCCACCGGCTTGACTCACTACTGGAATTCGACACAATCGCTGTGCTAGAAGAAGGTTCGCTGGCGGAAATTGGCACTCCCAAAGAATTACTATTGCAAAAAGGTGGTGTTTTTGCGCAATTGTATGATTCTGATAAAACTAATAAGAGGAGGAACTCGGACGAAATCTCGCGAGCATGATATTTCTGTTTTGGACGATAGACGACTTGATGAGTTATTTATGAAGCGAGCATGAATTACAGTTTGCACATGGTTATACAAGATTATAGTTAGGATATAATACCTCTTTTTCAATATACAGGTTCTCTAAGCAGCTCCACCCAAGTCAATGCTATCCAAATATTCTGCATAAGCCAGATACGCCTTGCTACTTTCATATGCGATAGTACACTCCAAAATATGTATTTTGATCCAGAAACTCAACAACTTCATCATCACAACTAAATACCCAAGCCTTGAGTGAAGGCGTCGCGTCCATCCAACCATCAGCGCAGCATATACGTCAAATCCGGGATATCCCGTAAGAGTTTTGCCACGGTTTCCTCATCTTCAGCGCTCAAACTAAGTCTAGCCGGCGAAAACTGCATCGATGACGCGCCGGCAGACATTGTATGTGTATGGCGAGTAGGTGTGACCCGAGGCGGCGTCATCGGCTTAGACAACGGGCTCGGGAACAGTGGTGTCGAAGGCGTCTTGGCCCCTCGTTTAAAGGGCTTGGCAAGCGTCTGCCCCAGATGCCAAGACAAGGGTCGCTTGCTGGCTTTCTCAATCCTTGGCGATGCGACTTTGGAGCTATCAAATACCGTTTCGAACTGGAAAGCGGACTGGGGATCAATACTGCTACGGTTGCTGTTGAACCCTCTCTCGTCCTCGGTGAAAGATGGCGAATCAACCGGGGTAGCGGTCATCATATCGCCCCAGTCATCGTCGCCATCTTCGTCTTGGCCTATGGGTAGAGTGGGTGGGATCTTGATGGGTGTGGGAATATGCCCCCGAGTGTGAAGCGGCGGCGGCTCAAGAGCCAAGGAGTGTCGAGCCGAGTCGACTTTCGGCTCCTTCGGCTCTTTAGGTGACTGCGCTTCTCGCGCATCTGGATTCTGAAACTCATTTGCCAACGGATGTCTAGCAACCGCTGGTGAGGATGGAACACTGCTCGCCCAGCCAAATGACGATGCAGTGGGCGATGGAGCGGCAGATCTCACCGTCATTGACGAGTTTCTCGAATGCCTTCCCAGAAACTCTCCGATTTCTGCAGGTGCTGTCGAGTTCCAGTTGAACATGACTGCACCAGATCCGCCCAGCCGTCTACCCAAGACCACACGTCCAGTGATGGAGTCTTCTTCCATCCATCTCCTCACGGTCTGGGTAGTACGGTCTCGAATTTGTGATCCGGACCAGCCAACTCGTATATAATTATCATCGTCTCCCAAATCATGCTTCCTCTTGGATCCGAATCGAGAGATTCGGTACCACGCCTTGCGCTCGCTGCTAGAAGCAAAGGTGTCATCTATGACAACGTCCGGAACAAGTTCTGCTTCAACCGTAACAGCAGGCGTCGACGGGAACAAGTCGTCAAGTTTGGTGAGATCGACAGGGTATGATATACCTAAATCTTTCAAGACCCATGGTGTGTCTTGCTCAGCTGGCTGAGACTGCAAAGTATTGGATGGCGATTCTAATTCTTTAGTCTCGCTTACAGCTGGCGACTCGGGTATCTCATCTCGCGATTCCTGAGGCTGGTGCTGAGGTTCTGTAGCCGTCTCAATTTTTATGGGCGGCGGAAGCTGGTCACCTTCCGGTTCTGGATCGACTGCAGCATCATCAATCGCTGGTACAGCTGCTATTGGCTGCTCCTCTTTCGTATCAACGCCATTTGGGATACCAATTGCATCCTCTTTCTGAACGGGCTCATCAGCTGTAAACAGCTGTTCAACAGGCTCTTTATCATGCTCCTCCTGCTTCACGTCAAGCACTGGTATCTCGACATCCGGAGACGAGTCAGGTTCTTTAAGCTGAATAACAGGGATCCCGTCTGGAGCCGGCGCTTCCGGCGCCACTTCAATACCCCAGGCGTCCTCAGTGGCATCAACATCCAATGACGGTACTACAGCCGGAATGCCGCTCTTCAAAGTATCCTCCCTCTGCAATTCATGTCCCTCTCCAAGGCTAATTGCCGAATCCACGACTCGGCCGTCCCCGGACGTCTCAGAAGCTCTCCTCGCTCTTGGCTGTCTTTCCTCCTTCTCCAGCGTTGTCGTGTCCAATCTTTGTAAAGCCACCTCTTTCCAGGGATCCGGCGACAAGGACCTCACCGACGGCGCCATCTGCAATGGCTTCAGCCCAGGACTTCTCCCCCATCCGGGACTCTCCTTGCCGCTGGCGCTGCCGTCGGGGGCACCACCGCCATTCCACCCACCCCACGCATCGTCGTCTTCAAATCCGGGCGATCGTGACGGCGCAGGCGAACGAGAGTTGCGTCGAGGGAAAAGGCTGTCGGCAGAGAAATGCGCATTCTGGGGCGCGGCTGGGAGCTCTATCTTTGCAGGAGAGTCTGCAGCCCACGGCGAACCCCAGGGATCTTCCATTCCAGGCGACTTGGCATGTCGCGGTGCCAAGCGACTGCTGTAGAGAGAGAGAGGAGCCGATAGGCAAAGGGATATATTATTGTAGCGCTAGGTATCATAAACTGAGTTGTAACATTGCGAATCTCGCAGTCGGGATCGAGTTCCGAATAGTGCCTAGGTAGGCAATCTCGCTTCACCTAGGACGGCAATAGATTGTCCCTCCTAGGGCAATTGGAGATCGGGCAAATAGGAGCTGCTCAAGTGGTTTGCGCAATCGGATGGGGTCGGCAGTTTCGAAAAAGTTATCGACGATCTAAAAAGACCCAACAAGGTTCTCACCTCATCATCTGTAATTCCTTGTGTAAGCTGCGGTGAGATGCGATTGCAAGAGAGAAAGATAGAAAACGGCCGTATAATGAGTTAGTCGGACAATAATAGGCGCCGGCGCTTCAGGGGGTCCAAGGACCTGCTTTAGCGAATTGCTTGTATTTTGCAAGCCCCGCGCTTCCGCGTCATCCACCCGCCCATATCGAAAGGAGTAACGGCTTGCGTTCAACAACTTTTGAAACAAAAATCACATTCACGAGACGATAAATTTCATGCAGAGTATATTTCCCCAAAGAGAGAAAGCCAGTGGTGCCGCCATTCAGCACCCCAAATAGAATTTTTGCTTGCTACTCCCTAGATACAATACATGCCAAACCGTATGCTCAATAAAATGCAGCTCCCTTGAGCCATGCCATGCAAACAAATAAGCCCGGCCCAAAACTCACGACCAGCTTTTGAAAACTCTCAAAATAACTGGCTTAATCTAGTATCGTCCAAAAAAACTCCATGCTAAGTTGGATCGTCAAATCGTAACACGAGAATGCCGCCCGCGACCTTCAAAGATATTACCTCGCCTCATAGGGTGATTTCATGGCCGGGTTTCAGCTCCCATTCCTTGATTCGACCGGCACCTTTCTTTTCCGCAACATGCTCAATGGTGTTTTTGACTTCCAACCGAGAGGCGCTATCTCTAAACTGATGGAAGATGAAATCAACAATGCCGACCTTGGAAAGAGCTTTGTTGTCTAGAATGGCCTGCTTGACTCCGTTCAAAAGCTCAGGTTTGACCAACTTGCCCGGGGCTGAGTTCGAATTACCCGCACTGCCCAGCGCGGCGAAGGCGTTTGTTGGGACTGGTGGAAGAGCTTTGGCATCGTTTTCAGATTTAATAGTCTTTGGGGCCTTGCCCTTGGGAGCCTTCGTAGCAGGCTCTAGCTCCCAATATTTAGTTGAAAAGGGGTCAATGTCCCATTGCATATCAAATCCTTCTAGGGAGTACATTAGCGTAGTTTGACAATGGAACCTCGACGTGTATAATAACTCACCATGGATGAATTCCATCTTCTTCTCGTGTAATGCCAAGGCTGAGCCCTTTCGATTCTGGCCCTCAAAAAATGGGCCTACGATGTCGGGCTGCAGAGTATCCGCAAATATTCTTCTGGAGACACCAACATCCTCAGAATCGTCGAGAAAGCCATCCATGTCGTCCTCATCATCCTGCTCTTCTTCCTCGTCCTCCATGTCAAGATCCTCGCCCTCTTCTTCATCCTGCCATTCGGCTTCAGAGTCATACTCATAGTCCAGAGGCAGTCGACGGTGCATAGATCTTCTCGCCAGCTTATACATATTTCCTTTGCCGAGGGCAAAAGCTTTAAATGTCACTGTACCGTAGTAAGGCGGGCGCACGTCCTGGGAGAAGGCAATTACTTTCAGAGGAATCTTGCTCAGTCCCGTTCGGACTTGGGTGAAAATGTTGCTAGCATCTGCACTGCCGTTCTTTTCTGAGTTTTGTGCAGCCTTATATGCAGTCTCCATTATGTGCCGAACCGGCTGATGCAGTTTACCGCGAGGTGGAGGAAGATTCGAGAAGGAAAAGACATCCACAGGATCGAATTTGAGAGGGGCACCGTTGTTCTGCTGCTGGTTCGCGATATAGTCGTCCAAGGCCTTTGATTTCGCTTCTTGTATCGTCTTATCCATTTGTGATACCATGGGTGCTAATCGGGCGTTTGCTTTGACGAAGAACGGTTTGAACATCTTTGAATATTCCGAGTTTGTTGGTTTTCCCTCTGCCGCCGATGAATTGATCTTGGCGGGGCTATTATCTTTTGCCGCATCATCTGTTTCGGCTTTCTTAGGGGTACTGGGGATCTTGAAGAAGCTTCCCAGTGTCTTCTGACTTCTAGCCTTTCGGTCCTTTTCCTCCTGAATGCGCTGCAGCTCCTCTTCCTTCTTTCGCTTCTTGTCAGCCTTGGCACGATCCTCTTCTTCTTTCAACTTTCGCTTTTCCTCCTTTTCCTTTGCTCTTGCTGCTTTTTCCTCTTCTTTTTTGGCCTTTTCTTCATCTTTCTTGGCCTTGTCAGCAGCTTTTCCGGCCGCTTGAGCCACTGCCTTCTCCTCGCGCTCCTTCTTCCTCTCGACAAGCTCCTTATCCCGGGCTTCTTTTTCTGCTGGAGTTAGACGCTTCCGCTTCGGGGGCGGATTGGCATTTGTAGCAGATTTCGAACTTGATTGCTGCAGCGCGGATGACCCTGATGTCTCTTGTTTTGTGGATTCTGACGATGTTGACAGTGAGATTAGATCGTTTGCTAATAGCGTGTCGTCGCCTAGAACTTCTGATAGAGCTGGAGAGGATAAAGGAGAGGATAGACACTGGGCTGCTGACAGAAATCAGTATCGTCACAGAAATAAAATGAGCTCTTGAGGTTTATACTCACAGTCATCTTCAGGCTCTTGTATGCTCACGGGCGGGATGTTCTTAACATCTTCTGCCAGTTCAGCTTTGCCTGCTTCAGCAGAGAACTCATCGTGATTTCTCTTTCGATTAGAGGATTCCGACTCTCTGACGTTATGTGATACCTCAAACAGAGGCATTGTTAATTGCGTCATGGTTTAAAAGACTTGAAAAGACCTCAATGTATGCGCCCGAGTTCGTTCTGTCGTTATGATGGATCTCTGATGTTGCATTCGCCGTGCCGCTAAATGCACAATTGCACAGGCATGCAAAAGGAGGGGAGAACCTTCAAGACGAGGCAGGCGAGCTTTAGGCACCAATCTAGGCAATGGAATTGTTCAGAGGCCAAATAAAGCACAGAAGCCGTATTTACCCTGGATCCAGACAAGAGGAGCGATTGTGTGGATGCGGCGACTTGGAGGCAAAAGCGGCACTGCGCAACAACGATGTTGTACAGAATGCGTATCGCGATGGCTCCAAAGACTAAAGACGCGTAAATTTGGCGCTTTCCACTTGAAGAACGCGTTAATCGCTAAAGAGAAGCCCAACTAGTGCGGCTAAAGATCGGAGCGATGGCGCCGAAAGGCTGTTCTAAATCGATACTAAAACCAACCCCACCACTCTACGCTTTGTTACAGCGAACTGCGATAGAATAATAGAGAGAAAGACATTTGAGAGCATGTGACGGTGTAGCAAGAGCTTTTAGAGAGTAGATTAAATGATCACAAGAACACCAATATACTAGTAAGCGGATGCACTATACTGAACGCAAAATAAATTACTTATTTCCACTGCTCATCTTATATGTTAATGCTTTTCGACTGCCGGACCGCCATCAACGCTATCGTATAACCCGAGTCTCATCAAAATACAATATAAGATTTCTAGCAGTATTCTAATTATGTGTAAACATCAAGAACATGAAAACGAGTCTGTGGCTCTATTCTGCGTCTTCTCCTCTAATCAGTCTAAAGCGTGATGCTTGCTACCTATGCACCGGCTTCAAGAAATCGATGACGGCAAAATTACCAAGCAACCTTATGCAAATAAATTAAAAGCACAAAAATCTACTTCAGCACCTGCCGTGCAAAACATACTCGTCACAAAATCATCCAATGGAAGGGAAAAATAAGAGAGGTTATTATTTATTAACCATTACGTCATACTATCTTCTCTTTTCAACTGCCTTTCTCGGGCAACATTGAAAATACAGTTTTTTCTTCTTCTCTCTCCGAGTCATCCATGCTTTCCGCCGCCTCGCTCAGCCAGCAAGCTTAATTTCAGAAGCGAAAGTATATTAGATAATAAAAAAAGGAAAATTCAAGATGTATCCCGCTGTCCAAAGCAGAATGGCTCTTCCTTAGCGACTGTAGATTCCTCCTTCCAATGCTCAAATTGGTATGAACATATCCAAACGCCAAACAATGCGAGTAATAAAAAGCTATAGGAAAGAACATAATACACAAGCGAATGGATTTTTTTTGCTGATAGACAGTGATTAATACATAGCGAACGGAAGGTGGCTGAGGCGGCGTCGATTCTATCGTCACGAAATGGTGTGGTATAGGTATGCTGAATGTATGAGCTTTTCCCCTCTGTGAATCGATGGTTATCAATCGGGGTTGGCAATGTAAAGGCGCTGAGATGTAAGAGTGGCTGTTCGCTCGTCCACGCTTCCTCGTCTCTTTAGCTCCTCGGGCGATTTGACGCTCTTTTCTCTTGTGAGGGCAGAGTGCATTAGAGATTTGCTCGCAAGCCTTGGGGCCGCTCCTAGCTCGCCAACGTTGTCTGCGCGCTCAGCGCTGCTTCCACTATGCGTGCTCTGAGCTCTGCCGCTGGCGGCGTCGTCGATGATGGGCATGGTGTCTTCGGGCTGCTCAGCCAGGCTCCCGGCCCTTTCAGGAGTATCGCCGGGGCTCCATCTCCGTCCGGGCTGTCCAGTAATCGTTCCTGAAGAGGCTCGATAGGTGACGTTGCGGCGACCGCTGCTACCGACGCTGCTTCGTCCACTACTTCCCGTCCTGCGGTGATGCGAGCGCGACGCAAAGTCCTCTTCTTCGCTGCTCTCCCCTTCCACCTCGGTGGCGCTCAGGCGCATGGGCACTCCTCCAACGCCAACATGGTTTTCGTTGGCATACCCAACCACTGGCGTCTTCCCGTGATGGCGGATTTTGGCGGCGACCTTTCCGGTAGCGCTAATGCCCGTGCTCGTGCGGCCACCTGACGAAGATCCAGCTGAGCCAGCCCCTCGGCTCCCTCCGCTGACCTCCAAGTTGGCGCGCATCTTGGCGGCGCGCTGCTGGGCGGCCAGCCTAGGGTCCTCGTACTGAGCGCGATCGCACCATACCGTTGCCTTTTGTTTGCGCAGCAGGGCTACATAGCCGGTTGCCTGGGGCTGTCCAAAGGAGCGGTTAGAGATGGAGCGTCGGAGGTCCGAGTTGGACGAAGTTCGGTACGCAGCGGGCGGTTGTATGCTCGAGTTGCTAAAGGTGCTGACAGAGGGCGATCGCCGGTTGTTGAACTGTTGATTCGACATTGGGTGCGACAAAAGCATAGGCGGGGGGTGCTGCGGTTGCGGTGGAAAGACGTTGGAAGACGTTGTTCGCGAGCGCGAGTGGCTGTAGACGCCTCCCTGGTCCATTTTCCTGCCCGGCAAGCGGTAGCCCGATCGGCCTGGACGCGGCCTCTTCGCTCCCTGGTTGACGCTTGGCGATGGCCGTCAAGAGAGAGAAAAGTTGAGGGTTTGGGATGGCAGTACCCTCGGTCAGTGGGGGGGATGCCCGCCGTTGGAGTCCCAGAAGCGAAGTCACCGAGCGAGACCGATTTCTCCGGCCGCCAGGGTCCGGCCAAGAAGGAAAATAAAAAAAGGCGCAGTATGCTTGTGAGAACGCGGTCCAAAATCGTGCAGGCTAGGAGAGAGCAGCCGCACAGAGAGGATGCGGGTTCATGGCAAGAAGATACAGAAAAGAAGTGGGAGGGAGGGTGAGATATTTGATGTGACTTTGCGTGGAGCCCATGCACTTTGGCGACTTAGCGCTGCAAAGTCCCACTATAGAGCCTAGAACGGCACCTAAGCGCAAGGTTCTAGCCAGCTGAACCAGCTGTACAGTTGGGGGGATGGCGCGCTAGCGGGCCTGGAGAGGGGAAAGGCTGCAGGAGTTGGCGGGCAAGGATTACTCGTGCATATTGGTGGTTGAGTGAGCGCATTCCATTGCTCGACATGCTGCAAGAGGCACCAGACTGTGACGATGCGTGGAATCATCCAGAATGCTCCGGAGACTGGCCTAAGCAGCGCCGCGACATTGCAGCCTGTAAATCAGCGGATGGGCAGCCTTTTCTCCCCTCAATGGCTTGCGCAACACTAGATATCTGGACGGACAAACAGAGGCGAGGAGGAGAATTTGAGTATACAAAGTAGGCACAGAGGGGCTGGCCCCGGTGGTAAGAAAACATGTGCAGCCCGCTTGCCACATCGCGTGTTCGTTAGCGGGCAACTATTCGAGCTTACAGCATGGCGCTTCCTTGGCGTGGGAACTGGCTCGAGATTTGATCCGATGGGACAGCGCCAGAGAAACTCGAACAGGGGAGCACACAAGGCTCCGGCACCGACGTTGATATGGCAAAACTCCATGCAATACTACGATGCCATAACGTTGCACTCGCTAAAGAGCAGAGTCCCGAAAACCTCAACTGGGACTTCCTGCAACGGTTTTGCCTTCAACTTAAGCAGCTCGACCGCGTGCTTCAGATAAATTGGCTTCCGTGCTTCGGTCTCCATCTGCCATGTTTGACTTTGATGTCATCCCACGTTTCCAAAAAGCCAAAACAGAAAAGAAAGTATAGCCTAGATTCCCAATTAAGCGAAACCAAATTTCCCCCGTCTCATTATCCAATCAAGGGGGCTCTTGATTAAAGGGCCTGCCAGCGTTTCAATGTCATAACTGAAGCGAAACAAGCCCGAAGAAGAAGGAAAAAACGCCTCGGCAAATACCCATCAGGGTATGGAATCTGCCTTGCCAGGGCGTCCGGCGTCTTTCCATTTTTTTTGTGGAGGTCTGGTGCCTCTCTGTTTTTTTTTCTCCTTCTTCTTCGCTCTTCAGTGGAGCCTCGCGCAGCTCTCCACCGCTGATGTCACCGGCATCGCCGGGAATTAAAAAGCACAGTTGAACATGAGCCCATCAATTGGTGCTTCTCCGCAGTGCCACAGGCGTAGCATCGGCTCTCCCAAGCTCGGGCATCCAGCGCACCCGTTCCTAGATCTTTGCTTTGCTGCACTCGGCTGTCGCCTTGCGAGATTTAGCGCACGTGTGTGCTGATTAGACCGACCGGAGTCTTACGATTTCCCAACGGGGGACCCAGACACAGTCAGATCTCATTAAGCTTTGGGGCGGCCAGCGCAGCAACGGCGTGATGACAGGAACATAACATGCATCCAGGAACACGCTGCTTGTATTACGTAGACCACTGTAGTCACGGGCAAAGAAACGGCGGCCATTCCCTTGCGGCACGCACGATATCACACGGGCCGTGTCTTCTCGGTATACGGATCATCGTCTAGCGAGATTCACCAAATTCCAGGCCAGCCATTGCCTGGCGCCGCACATCCATTCCTCCCGCAGATCGCCAATTGAGACCCGGCGCAAGTGGAGATGGCAGACGACAGAGCTTCAAAATCGCGGGGATACAAAATCTCACGGCTGTGGGGCTGGGACCATTTACTGTCTTGCGACGAAACGAAGTGGGAAATATATTGCGTTCAATCCTCATTGTGGAGTACTTGAATATGTTGGCAGCAGCATGCATTATCCCATCAGACATGTTACTTACTTGCAAGGGGCAGAGAGTAGTTCGCGCCCTCCTCCAGGAACAGATGACTTCAATCCTAATTTGTCCATCTCCATGCGGCATAAAGAATGCTCAGGCACTAGCTCAGAATCATCCACTTGGATTGTTGGCGATTCGGGCTAATGGCCAGGCTTTCATCTGCAGTCATTGCCAGTGCATGGATATTTCCTTGTTTGTTGGCGCATACAGCATGCATACATATACCTACAGGTGCTACTACTAATATATTACAAGCATACCACTACCATACTAATTCGATGGACCTTTTCCTAGGACCATCTAGCACTGCAGTGTGATAATGTTCGTTGATGCCTACTAGGACCACTTGGTATGTGAGTATGCCGGCTCTTATGGTGCCATTACCACATGCGGTATCACTGCTCCGGCCTCAACCTCCTCTCATTCCCCATGGGTTACATTCTGCGCCCAATTTTTGTACATGCTACTGTGGGTTGACGTAATTGATTTTTTTTCCCCCTAAGTTGACAGTTGCCAGACTGAGCTCGGAAGAATTCGTGCCTGGACAGTTTTGCATTGCTCCAACTTACACCATCTCTGCCAACGATAAGCATTGCATTGGGCGGCGTGAAGCTCCCTCGCTTAGGAGCAATAGATTTTGGGGGCCGCGGGTTCATCCGCCGAAATCCCAATTCATTGAGTAATAGTTACAGACATTTTTTATTCCTGTCAAGCTAATGCAAGGGAAATGCCAATAGTCAACGCCCCCGAGTTATTACCCGACATCCCAAAGTACTCGATGTTTATCATGTACCTAGGTATGGCATAGCATGCATACCCAGATTAGCTAGGAAATGGAAACTATCTAAATGCTTGAGCTAGCTAATAAATTTTAAGTAATTTCTACATTCACAAGAGAAATAACAAATTCATTTTTCTGCCTCGTGGAGAGATGGGCTGTATAAGGGGATGGCTACCAGGTGATTGGAAGACAACCTTGGTTGGAGATTCCTTTTATTTCTACCTATACTTTCCATGATACAAAACCCCAGTTCCCTAAAACCTTGAGCACACCTTGTACAACCAATAACTATTTTAACTTGCATACCCAAGCCCTATTCCTAACTCCCCTGTCCATTGGCAAACGAATCTGATGTAAATCACGCTGAACTCTTACCCCCGTGCCACCTTTCAAGACACCTGTCTAAGCTGCGTTTCCCTCGTACCTCTATTTGGCAATCATTTCTTGGACGATAGGCCAACCATGAAATTCAATATTAGTTTGTGCGGCGAAAGACCCGACTGAACGTGGACGACCTTTTAGGCTTGGTCTCTACAGTCTCTACAGTCTCTGCAGGCCTTGCAAGTGTGGTTTTAGGGCCAGGCTGCTGGTCCAATACAATCCGTCCACAGTTGTTGTCCTTGCAGTGCCTGCAAAGGGAACTTTGCTGATCGAAAAGCTGCTCGTGAACTTTTTCGCATTGATCGGCGCCACGAGGATTCCACTTGTTGTATATTAGTTCAACTTCCCGGGCATCGCATAACTCGCGCTCGATGCGCTCATCTAGGTAATGTCCCTTTTTAGTGTAACCCGGAAGATTTTCGTCTGGCTGAAGCCCAAACTCTACTTTGGGGGCGGTGCAAGCATAATTCAGGCACGGGCAAAACCGATAGGTATGCGTGATATGACACATGTTGCTTATGTATGTTTGGTGGTGTTGACGGTAATGGGCGCCTTGTAAGTCTTGTTTCTACGCAATGTTGCTCTTCTGTCTTCCTTGAGTGGCGATTGTCGATGGCTGATGTCTGCTTGTCCGGTGGTATTTGTTTTAATGCACTTATACAAACTATATCCGTGGCATGTCGATATCATGGGCTTATATATCAATGTGAGAAGCGTATATTGACAAGCAAACAATCCGCTACGCTCATGAATTCATGGATCAGAGGCAGTTGAGGGGAATCTGTTCAACTCAATTATCTTGTTTACATTATGTTCAAGCCTTGAAGCAATGCGCGACCATTGACAAATAATAGTCAGTTATTCTTATAACTTCACAGATCAGAGGCCTTTGAAGGAAAACTGTTGAACTTGATTCTCTTGCCCATGTCTTATTTAAACCTCAAAAAAAATGCATAGCCACTTAGCGAATGGCAGTCCATTATCCTCATAACTTCACGGATCAAAGGCCTTTGAAAACACTGTTGAACTCGATTCCCTTGTTACGTTCTGTTCAAATCTCAACGCGGTGCGTGGCCATTTGGAGAATAATCCGCTACTCTCGTAATCTTACTGATCAGAGGGCTTTTGAAAGCAAAATTCTTGAACTCGACTCCCTTTTCTGCATTTTATTCAACTCTCAAAGCGCTGTGTCCTGGGCTCTACCTTGTTTTAATCCTTCCCTCAGCCTGCACAACCTGCCTACTATTTCTACCACCTCTTTCAGTACCTATCAAACAATATCAACGCCATCACTTCAACCACCCCTTTCAGTATCATACAATATCAACGCCATCAATTCATGTTACAAGTAAGTCTCTATCAAAGTGCCAAAGACCGCCCCCACGATAATGCGTCGAGTGCGGCTGAATTAGGATCCAGGGCACGCGGTGGCGCTCGGGAATAGCGATAAGTACTAGCGATATCAGGGGTTCAATGCAACCAAAATAGCCCTTCTCCTCCACCGCTCTTTGAGGATTAGCAACAGCCCGGACTGAAAGATTTTCCTATTTATTCCTTTGGGAGCCTGGATACAAAGTAGAAAACAAAACTCCTGGGAATGGCATCCAAGACCTGCAGTCGAGTGATTGGACCAGGCCGCGCAGATCAAACAGCCCCAGAAACATCTTGCGACTCCATACAATAAAGCACATATTTCGCCAGTTTTCTTGTCTAGCGCTCTTTAGCGCCCCTGACGTACTTGACGCATCAACCAGCAGCAAAAAGCGGGCCGATCTGAAGCTCCCAAGACAGCAGCTTCGCACGTGTCGCAGCGGCGGCTTCTCACAGGCCTGTTGCAGATTCATCTCATTCCGGTGCCTGGAGCCTGCGTATCCAAGACATTCCGTCCAGCAGCCGATAGGGCTTGAATGCACGCATTGTCGCCGGCCGGACGTGCATTTACATGTCGCCCCTGCGCCAGGCGAGACCTCTTGTGCATTGGATGCTGGCGAACCCTGTCCGGCTTTAGGCCTCGCAGCGCAGCACCATGAAGTTTGCAAAGGAGCTCGAGCGCGAGGCAGTTCCTGGTAAGGATCCGGCTCCTTTCTTGTTGTTTGCATTGCCATTGTCGTTTGTTTTCCTTGTCCTTGTCCTTGTCATTTTTGTTCGTTGTCTGTACCGCCTCGGCTTGTACAAACCAACGTCTTTCAACCGCTGACTTTTTTCGGGTTCAACCACACAGAGTGGCGAATCAAGTACCTCAACTACAAAGCAGGGAAAAAATACGTCAAGGCCATCTCCTCAGCTGTTCAGAGAACCTCGGGCTCTACTCCTCTAACTCGAAGCTCGAATCGTCGCACGCCTACCTTCTATTCAATTGTAGATCCTAACTCGGAGTCCCCCACTTTTGGAGTCCAGGGCGATGCTCCTACAAGCTCAAGATGGCATGGGCAACCGAAATCGACGCCGGTGAACATTGCAAAGCAGGCAGAGGATGAGGCTCTAAATAGCGATGGCAACAGCTTGCAGTATGGCAGCTTCGTGCCAACTCCTGCCGAACAATCGCGGCCGTTGTCTCGTGATCACCAGACTGACGACCAACATGACGGCCAGAACAATAACCAAAATGGTGCCAACGACCACAACGACGACAACGAATTTGAGTTACCTGAGCCGGCAATTTATACGACATCGTCATCTCCGGGCACCAGACAGTCGTTCAGCCCCGTTAAGAAGTCTACTCGTTTCAACTTTCGCAGATCAAATTCGTCTGTTCCGCTCAACTCTGGAGATCTCCCACCGCTAGGGTCAGCCAACCACCATGAAGAGCAGCTTCGCCGGATCTTTTCCAACGCAAAAGACTCTGGTCGAATTACGGGGCTTCCGCGACAAAGCCTCGATCTTGTCCGAGAGCGAGAGCAGCAGTTTTACCAGTTCATGGACTCGGAACTAGAAAAGGTGGAGACTTTTTATCAGAAGAATGAAGACCGAGCTGGGCAGCGATTGATGATGCTGCGAGAACAACTTCATGAAATGCGCAATCGGCGTATACAAGAAATCGCCAACGAAGAGAGTAATCGATCATTCTCCGGGCTGTCCACTCAAAAACTCCAAGAAGGCAACCCCGACAAGTCCAGTGGTTGGGTGCATCCCCTCAAGAACAAGATCTTCCCACCAGGACCAAACTCCAAGAGTTTCCAGGACATGCCTCAAACACCTCACATGGCGGCAGGAGGAAGATCGCATGATGGCCGCATGGACTATGTGCGGCGGCCAGAAAACCACGAGGTTGCGTATCGAACAGCGAAGCGGAAACTAAAGCTTGCAATGCAAGAGTTCTATCGCAGCTTGGAACTTCTCAAATCATACGCCATGCTTAACCGCACTGCCTTTCGAAAGCTCAACAAGAAGTTTGACAAGGCCGTCAATGCTCGGCCTCCGATGCGCTACATGAACGAAAAGGTCAACAAAGCTTGGTTTGTCAATAGCGATGTCCTGGAGGGCCACATCAAGGCTGTAGAGGATCTCTACGCACGATATTTCGAGCGCGGGAACCAGAAGCTTGCGGTTGGCAAGCTGCGCAAACTGCATAGGAAACCCAAGGACGAGTCAGGGAGCTCGTTTGTCAACGGGATCCTCATTGGTACGGGGGCTGTCTTTACCATCCAGGGCCTCGTTTACGGTTCTGAGCTACTCCATCACGACGATCTAACAATTCGCACCCAAACGAGCTACCTGTTACAAATATACGCCGGCTTTTTCCTGATGCTCATGCTCTTTTCCTTGTTCTGCATCAACTGTAGCATTTGGCTACGAAATAAGGTCAATTATCAATTCATCTTTGAATTTGACCACCGAAGTATGCTCGATTGGCGTCAACTGGCAGAATTTCCATCCTTCTTCCTCCTACTTCTTGGAGTCATCATGTGGGCGAATTTCAGCAGATACGGAGACGATTCCATGTATCTCTATTACCCTGTTGCTCTGATCGGCCTCAGCATCGTCATCATTCTACTTCCCTTCCCTGTCCTTTCTTACAAGAGCCGTAGGTGGTTTGCATATTCACATGTTAGTAGCCCCTCAGTTCCCAATGAAGTGTCTCACCCAGCAATGCTAACCGCACGATAGTGGCGTCTCCTTTTGTCCGGGCTATACCCTGTAGAATTTCGCGATTTCTTTCTTGGAGATATGTACTGTTCCCTGACCTATTCAATGGCGGTAAGTTGACAACCTTCTCTGGTAATATCATGGAGCAACCAATATCTGACTAGTGGCTGCGATAGAACGTGGAGCTATTCTTCTGTTTGTATGCCCACCACTGGGAGAACCCTGGCCAATGCAACTCGACAAGTTCTCGCCTGCTCGGTTTCTTCACAACTTTGCCGGCCATATGGCGCTTTCTCCAGTGTATTCGGCGTTACAGAGACACACGCAACGTTTTCCCGCATCTGGTAAATTGTGGAAAATATGCTGCAACGATATTATCCTACGTTTGTCTATCTCTCTATCGCGTTCACCAAACTCATTCAAACCTTGCTTTATTTGTCACCTTTTCAACCATCAATGGTGTATATACTAGTGAGCTGCTCTCTTTGCTTCCCTCTTTACGTCTGCGTACTGACTTAACAATTCAAGGCATCTGGGATCTATTCATGGACTTTTCCCTACTTCAGCCTCAAAGTAGGCACACCGCCCTTCGAGACATTCTAGCTCTGAAGCACCGCTGGATCTACTACGTAATCATGGTCATCGATCCTATATTGCGCTTTGCATGGATCTTCTACGCCATATTCACACACGACCTCCAGCATTCAACCATTGTATCATTCATGGTTAGCTTCGCCGAGGTCTTCCGTCGAGGCATCTGGTCTCTTCTCCGTGTGGAAAACGAGCACTGCGCCAACGTAGCTCAGTACAAGGCCTCGCGTGACGTTCCTCTCCCCTATCATATCGAACCCCTGATGGAGCGCGCCAGCACCGAGTCCAGCCCTGCGATACAACCCCAAGGCTTGCCACAGCCGCCTCAGCCGCAACCGGCAGAGCACCCCAGCCTCTACGACTCTGCAAGCTCCACTGCCGTTGCTGGTCCTCCCAGTGGCGGCCTTGCCCAGCGCCGCACCGACCTTCCTTCACCTGGCATCACCCGAAGCTTCTCCAAAGTGCTGGCGGAGGCGCATAAACAAGATTTCGAGAAGAAGCGGAGGCCCGTCAATGAGGGTAGCGATCTGACTGTAGTAGCTAGCCAGAGCGACGATTTCGACGACGACGATGACGACGACGATGATGACGACTCAGCTACTTTGCCAGACTTGCCGCCCCAGGGTGGTGAGAACGCGGCCTAATTCTAAGCATTTCTTTTCTTCTCTCTCTTTCTTTTCTTTTTTTAAGACTGAAGACAATTGTTTCATGTCTGATTGTTCTCGTCTTGGCGCTGCATAGCATGCCTGGATGAATGAATGTGATATATGACAGCATTATAACAACTTAGCTACGCGAGCGAATAGCAAGAGGAGTTGCGCTTTCTACTTGGAGGGGATTACATGTTGTGAACGATGATACGATTTGAGCTAGCTCATTTTTGTGGTAATTTAGACTGGAATTGTGAAGAAACAAAAATTGGCGACATGAGAAAGGAATATTGTGCATGGTGGCTAGTATGGCAAAGGAAGCAAAATCTGGGATTGGAGGAGAATCAATGCCTAGCATGTAAATAAGTACGCATAATCAAAATTGCAATAGGAGGGGGGGGGTGAGAAGAAGATGGAAGAGAATTTATTTCATGGCCATTCAATCACATTGCAAGCCAATCATTTTATTAAAAAAATCATCTATTCGCTATTACGTTTGTCATTTCATGACATGCAAAGTCTAGTTCTCCATCCATCTACTTGATCTCTCATCCATTACATCCCACTGTCAACAAGATCGCCCTATATATATATATGCTATTAATCCATCCCATCTATTCCCTCAAAGCACTTCACTCCCATTCACCATCAACCTGTTCCCAAAAGTCAAGGAAGCCCTTGAAGAACTGCACTCCCAAGCCAGGATCCAAAGAACCAGTCGTAGCACGGATGGAATGCATGCTCAGCTGCGGCAGACCCGCATCAGCAGCACGCACACCCATAGCGCTCGACAGCATAGGGCCAACAGTGCCACCGCTGCGCGAATCGTTGCGGATCTGGAAGTCCTGCAGCTTGGCACCGCAGAGATTGGCGACGCGGTGCATGATGGCGGATGAGACGGCATCGGTGGTCATGTGGCCGTTGCTGTCGCCGCAGACAACCAGGCCGACGTTGAGCTTGGGGATGTGCTCAGGCATGTAGTTGCCAATGAAGTTGGGGTGGCCAGCGTGGGAGACGTCGGCAGACAAGAGGAAGGATTTGGCAAAAGTCTGACCTATGACGCCAGGGCCGTAGGAGTTGGGGCTGAGAGCCTCAACAGCGCGTTCAACAGTGGAAGGGAGGAAGTTGCCGCGAGCACCCTGTCTTAACAGAGAACCGATTTCTTCGTCGTCGAACAGGGCCACCAGCTTGATGTAACTATCGTCATCGGACTCCGTAGTGTGCAAGAGACCCATGAGAGCAGACCACGAGCACAGCTTGTCGTCAATTCGTCCCGCAGTAATAAGCTCCTTGTCCAGGCCAAAGACAGATGCAGGCTGAGAGTCGAAAAGCTCGAGCTCCCAGTTGACAATGGAGTCGTACGACGTGATACCGAGCTGCTTGGAGATGAGCTTGACCAGCTTGGGCGGCTGGGTGTTGACAAAGGAGCCAGCAGAGCCCAGAATCTCCGTGTCAGCACCATTGGAGCTTTCCAGCCCAATAACGGGGACAGCCTGCGTCTCCGGGTTGTTCTGGCCCATCATGCCAACGCCAAAGTGCGGCGCCAGCGTGGGGATCTTGGCAATAGGCCAGTCCAGCTCGACAAGCTTGCTGGTGGTCTTGCCCGTCTTCTCGTCGCGCACAATGACTCGGCCACCGATGCTCAGGTCTCGATCCCACCAGGTCTGGTTCAGGGCGCCGGCATAGGGGGCGACGCCGAGCTGGACGTAGCCAGCAGTGTTGGGCTTGGTGCTGACGGGCTTGAGTCGGGCGGTGAGGGCGTCGATGTGGCCGGCGATCATGCCGACGCCGTTGCCAGGCTTGTAGGCCTTGCCAACGGCGAATGCGATGATGGAGCTGCCATTGCGCGTGACCCAGTACTTGCCGCCGGGCTGGATCTTGTTGGCCCAGGAATCGCGCGCCGGAAGCTATAGGGCTGTCAGCGTTTGTCAAACTTTGAGTGAGTCACCGGGCGCAAATACCTCTTCGTATCCAGAATCATTCAGCTTCGACTTGAAGTAGTCAACGGCGTGGAAGACGGTCGGGTTCTCGCGCAAGAAGTCGAGGAAGGGATTCGTAAATGCTTCAGGCTTGAGGTCCCTCACGGCGCAGAGTCGGCACTTGCTCTCCTCGTCGATGTGCCAGTTCACCTGCCGAATCTCGCTGGGCGACAGCTTGGCGATGCATTTGATGCAGGCGCGGTTATCGACAGTGGGACGGCCGTTCATGTCTGCGAGGACAAAGTGCTTCGAGGAAGCAGGAGCTTGGACTGGGGCGTTTGGCGCTGGGATCCGCGCGGTAGAAGCAGTTGATGAACTGGCAACAGAAGAGACAGAAGTGGTTGAGTAGGCGGAAGCTTGTTGTCGGAGAGACAGAGAAGAGGGAACGCGGCGAGTCATGATTGCGACGAGGGTGCCGAGGAGAGTTTGAAGAAAGGGATGCGCTTTAAAGGACGATGCAGGAGGCTGGTTCGGGAGCAGATCGCAGGGAGGAGTTGCGCATGCGCGGCTTACTGTCCGGCTTACGGAGCAAAGCGCTCAGCTCCCCGGATCGAGGCGCAGCACAGAAGCTGGGGTAGCACCATCGCTATCGCTATCAAGATAAGCCCAGGGCCTTTTGAAGACGCTAAAGGGCGCCGTTGCTTGCCGCGGGAAGCCACTGAGGGGCACTGGAATTAGGGCATCTGTAGCGGAAAAGGCGCCATGGAGGAGCTCAGTGCCAAAAGGTTTCAGTGCTGGTGAAACAACAAGCGGTCCAAAGAAGAGTGAGGGAATGAATGGTTTAGTATCTCGAAACATTCATAGATGGAACATCATGGCAAAAGTATACAAATTCAAGCCAAAATAGATACATCAAGGAAAGATATCAACGTACATCATGCCCATTTTGGGATTCTTTCTTCGGCCGCTCGACATAACTGTCACGAGGGCAAAGGACTATAACCGTCACATACCGCATACCTGTGTCTTGCTTTTCGCCCAAAGAAAAGTTTGGTCAACGTCACAAGTCTAACCGTACAGAATCAGCCCTATTGGTATTTGTTCGCCCATCAATGTCTATAAAAATGCTAGCACACCCGTTCCAAGTGAGACGCTTCTCATATCGTCTAAGAGCACCCCACAGCTTTTACGAGGCAGCTTCTAAGCAGAGCTACGACATGTCACAGATTCTTCGCCGGTTGTAACAAGTCAAGTTTGTCGCCGGTCAGAAGCTGAATGTTGGATCATGAAGATGGAGTTTTGTAGTTCCGTCTTTGAATTGATTGAATCGAATCAGATTGTACAACTTGGCATGCGTAGGTATATGCAATGGCTCTTGTATCCTAAATTTAAGAGACATAATAGCTGTATTAGTCTATTGGAGGAATGCCAGCGTTTCGCGTCCAGCAGTTTCTCTACCATTATTTCTGTGAAAGCACACATACAATTGGAAGTTTACACACTTGCTACATTCCGAAAATAAAATCTGATGAACGAATGTATATGCAGAAGCAAGGATATGGGACTCAGCTGGCAACCGAGGCGAATCCAGGTCCTGCATCCTTCACGGGTATTTTATGGAGTGCATGCAACAGCATCGCTCTACTTGCACGTAATTGGAGCTCCAAGGATCCGGCAGCATTTTTCTTAACCGTCTTTGGGACCCTTGCAAACCTAGATGTCCAAAATGGGAAATAATACCATCATAAGCGTTCAGCTTATACCCAAGATGCCAATTAAAGGCACAGAAAAGTATACTTGATTGCGGCCAATAGGTAGTCACTCTAAGGAAGATGGAAATCTAACAAAAGTGTATATGTATATTATAAGGTATTACTATATAGATTAAGAATTACTTTATACGCCTTCGGATCCAGGCAATTCAGTACTGTAACACCATTATATCCGTCGCTTCCAATGCCGTTAACAAAGCTCGATCAATCAGGTCAAATTTTCGCTGCTACTCAATGCAAAAAAGAAGAAGAAGCAAACATTTATGGGCCGTACTGGCTCCAGTTGATGGAGGCAACATCGGCGTAGCACTCAGACTGGAGGGCAAACTCGTGGCTGGCGTAGGATCCAGCAGGGAGAGCCTCGAGAGGAGCACACTCCGGGACGAGGCGGACGGGAGCACAGCCCTCAGGGAGGTTCTTGGCGACCTGGCCGTCGGAGCCGACGGTGGTGGCGGCCTGCTCAACGACGAGGAACTTCTGGCCCTGGTAGTACTGGAGGGCGTTGTTGCAGATGACAAAGGTCTCGGGCTCGAGGAACAGGAAGCCCTCGGGGAACTGGGAGATCTGCACGCCGGGAGTGCCAGCGCCGCCGTTGATGTAGGCGGAGGAGACGGAGTCGGAGTCGGCGTTCTTGCTCAGGGAGAGGCCGAAGGGAGTCAAGGGCGTGGCCTCGTCGGTGATGGTGGTGGCGCTGCTGAAGCGGAACTCAGAGGCGGTGCCGTTCTGGTAGAAGACGTTGGACACGTCCTTGGAGCCAACGCCGGCCACGTTGAGGCCAGCGCCGACGTGGATGCTGTTGACGTACAGGCCCTGGACGGAGGGCTTGAGGTCGAGGGCCTTGTCGGTGACGTTGACGACCAGGCGGAAGCCTTGGGACTGCTGGTGAGCAGGGTAGTTGGGCACGACGTTGGCGGGAGCGGCAACAGCGGCGGTGGCAAGGCCAAGGATAGCAGCAGAGAAGAACATCTTGAAAGAAGTTGTTGGTGGTGTTGTTGTTGGTGGTGGTGTTGTTGTGGAAGTGTTGATTGATTGGCTTGATGTGATTGTCGAGGCTGTTGGATGAGGAGGAGATTCTGGACCAGAGAATGGCGCTGCTGCCCAGTTATATATTCAGAAGGCCGTCCCCACGATCGTCAGATGTCATCCAGCCAGCGGATCTTCCGAGACCAGCAGGCATGGGAGAGGGGCAGAAACAAAGAAGCACGGACAAAGCAGCATGCCTGAGCTGGCATCGCCACTCACCCGCCGCGCTCACCTTCCCCCGCCATAAACGGTCCCCCCCAGTAGCCCCAAAGCACAGCGCCATCGCACTGCTAAAGGCCGTTGGCCTTTACTGCTTTAGGGGAGCAGGCCTTCCCAAACGGCCCCTAGCCAGCAGTAGCACGGGGGGCTAAGAATGCCGACGTGACGCCACATCTTGATGATCGGCAATAGGCCCTTGGCAGCGTCATCAGCTCGTATTGCGCTGTGCATTGACGATGGCGGTATTTGGCAGCCATTGATTACATTTGCTTGGGCATCGCATCTGGTGCAATTACTCCTTTACGATTATTCCATTTGCCCAGTCTGGTAGTGCTTTAGAGGTCAAACGCGTTGTTCCAGAATGATCTGATGGCATCTGCGTAGCTTCATGCACGCGTACCGACTTACATGAGCGCCAGATCTTAGTAGCAGCTAATAAAGTTTGCCCTTATTTTAGCCTGTTAGTTTCGAGTCAGTCGAGTCCAGTCCAGCCTGTAATTACTCCGTAATAGTGGTGTTATTGCTGCTCCAGAGTATAGGCCTAGATGTTAGGTATACCTTGAGCAAATCTCGTGACTGGGTACATACCTAGTCGACAGCTCTAGCTTGGAGAGCTCCAAGGTGGAATATCCTCGTTAGCCTTTGGCCCTTTTTCCTAAAACACCACAAGATCGTCCATCACCTTCCGTGCTTCCCTTGTCTAATTTTAGACGACGACCTATGATTCCACTTGCTCATTACTGCATTACTCGGCCGAAAGCTACGACTACTCTACGTGCTCCTTTCTTCTCTTCTCTTATTCCACTGTGCCTCTTTGATCTCATCTTCTCGTATTTGCCGGCCTCTTGTCGTTGTACGAAACCCCCAAATCGACATGATTCCATGCAATCATCAGGAGTTGACGGTGGATCAATGCAGATGAGACGGGCTTTTCTCCCGGAGTTTTCTTCGAGGACCACTGCCAATGATTATTTTCCCACCTGCCTAGACTCCTTGATACCCACTGCAAAGGAAAAAAAGGGAGTTTCGTAGAGGCCTCGGAGATGCAAGACGTGCGTTGTATGTCTTTCCTATACTGCTCTACACTTTATGCTGACCTGCCGTTGACGTCGCTAGTCACGTTTCAAACGAACAGAGGTTATGTGGGAAATGGCCAGGGATTATCGTCACATCACACGGCCAGCCCGATCGGTTTTCCAGAAGACAAATGTTAGTGGCAGTGTGTAACACGGAGAGAGTCCAGCGACTAGTATTTTGTTTTGATGGGCGAAACCCAGCCACAGTTCACATTTCCACGATTGCTTTCCCAAATTAGCAGAGGTCGTCATGCGAAGGATCCGGGAAGCTGTGCCGAGACTATGCTAGAGAGCCGCATGTAAGTCCATGACTTTTGACATCCGTCGGCTCTCGCTTGGACCAGCAACAAACAGATTAGGCACTTTCTTCGATTACCATAAGCGGCAGTATCACTTCGGTATGGCTACTGAATTCGTCATAGTACACGTCTACAGAAAAGATACTCCTTTGCCACGTTTCACATACAGCACAGCAGAGCACAGCACAGCACAACCATGTTCTCCTGAAAGCTCCACATTCAGCCCTGACGGCTGCTACGCTGCACCTACGTAGCAGCAGCACGTATATGCAGCGTCATATGCAGACCTATCTCCCAATATTGTCCGAGTAGCCTATCGGGATCTCTATCTCGGCCTCATCTCACCCTGCATTGCCGGGCAAAAAAAGCCGGTCTGCGCCACTCCCATCGGGAGATGGACAAGTAGAAACTGACTAGATTCCAGCGGCCCGTGCTTCTTCATTGCTGGCATATTCGCCTGCCGCGATCTTCGGGAGAAGATAGAAGAGCCATAGAATACGAGGCACTAGGAGAGGGCTTTCGGACGATATCCCTGTCGCCCGGCTTGTGGGCGACGGGCCTAAGCGGCCGACGATTCCCCCTTGGTAAGTGTTGAGTAATTGTGTCCCTGAGCACTGCATCGTGAATCGTGATGGCAAATAGCAGCTGAGGTTTGCTGCAAGCAACACCGCGATAGTGGCCGTGCACACCGCTGTTTCTATCCCTTACATACTCTCAGCAAGCGAGTACGAAGTAGCTGTAAACTTATAGTGCTCCATTGGAATACGGAATACTCTTTTTAGATATATTTCTCTCTCTATTTCAAGACGTAGCTGGTTAGTCAGCGGAAGATGGTGGTTCAGTACCTCTAGGGAGTCGAAAGAAGTCGAACCTTGCACTCAAGTATCCTTCACAGCGTCAAAGCACCCACTGATCAGCAGCCTTTTAGCCGCGTTCAATATTGTGATTCTGGGATATCGATGCCACAGCATACTAGTCATCTACGAGGGCTAAATTGAAGGTTGTAGGAGTTGTACAGGGTAATACTATAGGTTGAACGCAAGCTTACATGTAGCTTCCGCCAACCTTCTAGAACTGGCATTTGCACTAGTGGTAGATCGATCTCCTGTAAGCCTTTTGTGCATTTCCAACAAAGGACTTTGCATCTCCTTTCTACACTTCAGGTATTCCAGTTGCTGATCACGGTGATCAAATACCGTTTCAAGAGCTTGGTATCAATAGCAATCATCTCAATTACAGCTACGGCAGAGTGGTTTCGGAGATTAGGGCCTGGGCTGCAGGTCGACAAGCATTCCGTACCCGCTTGCAAGCTATGATCTGCCACAGAGCTGGGCTTTACATTATCAATCTTTGGATGCTGGCTGTAATATTATGTTTTTCTCTTGGCTTGAATTTCTCCATGCTGCATATTACATGTTCGCTGTAGCCTCACATATCCGCATTCGCCCGTTGAGTTGCTAGTATAGTCGCTTACATGAAATTAGAACTTTACACTTAGTACACGTACCTATCAACTGAGAAAACGCAGAGATATCTCTGACACAACCTACATACTTATTCTGCCGAGTGCATGCGCATAGCTACTCTCCTCTCTTCAGCCCAAATCTGAACCTCCTTTCTGCTGACCATGGGGAAACAATAAGTTGTCTCTGGTATAGGGTAAACCACAATATGCCGATACGAAGCCTACATGTTCATATAATCAGTCGGCCGCAATTACGACATCGTACCTTTAAAATTCGCCTGACAGCATCGCAGTGCGCATCATTTCCGAATAAGGACACTTTGTTCGAGCCGTTTCTCGTATCTTGTAGAGCACCACCAATTGTGATAATGAGGAGCCAAAAATTAGCGGTATGAATAATGCTGAGAAAGCATCTCCTGAATCTCTCATTCCGACATCACATTCTCATCGACTTGTACAGTCTTCCAAGGCTTCATCTCATGTCCCGATCGAGTCATCCAGGGCTTAACCTCATGCCCTTGTCAAGCCATGCTGCTGTTTGGCAAAGCAACTTGGCAGAGTGTCACCTCTTGAACCTCTTTCATTTTCATCGAAACGAAATTGGGCTTTGCAGCACCAAAGGTCCTTTGGGCATTAGACACGAGCTCAATGTCGTCGAAAAGGAGGCTGTCACCGCTTCACTGCACCACGGTGGGATGAATGAGCCCAGAGCCTTGACACCGCCATGTCATTGAATGCAGCAACGTTGAGTTGACACGAGCTGATCGAATCTCAGTCTCAGTGTACCACATCAAGATACTGTATGCTGGTTCGTCCAAATGATCCAGACTTTCACTCTGCTCATGGCTGCTGTTTTGCCTGTGTCTGGTCTAGGTTGTCATGCCATAGGATACACCGTGTCTTCAGCAGCAAGCGCTCTATTGCCCCTCGATGTCGTTCCGACCGCCGCTCGATTCGGTTCCTCGACACAAACGTTGTATATCAACGGGAAAAATGAAGACGAAAAAAACCGCCGGTCGAATTTCGAGACCCAGATTCCAAGTCGTTGGTCCGACTCCAAAAGAGCATCACCTGCCACCGTGTCCAAACACGGTGTGAATGCCAGAGATCCGTGGGGGGAGGGCCTTCTGTGTGTAGCTTTCAGTCTCTTGAGATCCAATCAGCAACAGCTCCTCGTTGCAGCCCGTAACGCGTCATTTTTTGAGCGCTTGGAGAACGGCCTAGACCTGCAAACTTGGCCCGAAAGACCGACGGCCGCCGAGTATGACGAGCCAAAGGGGTTCTCACTCGCTCGGACATGTCTCGCTAGGCAGAAGGGAGAGGGGATTCTCGCTTCAAAGCGCATGTTCCGTAGACACAGTTGGCCTTGCTTTCTCTTGGTAATCTTCACATAATGGCCACTGGGCTTGCAAACCACGAAGCGGCAATTCTGCTTCCATTTGAGCGGCATACATGCCATCCATATCTGCCGAAGCCCAGCATGTCACGACGCGCTGCCATGTTCAAGTATAATCTCCAAACACTCACGGCTCGGCGGCATACGCAATGCCGAAGACTAACGGATGGGCGATATTCGGGGAAGTGGGACATTCGAGCTTACTAGGCACATTAGTGGATAATGGCGCCTTCAGCACACGCGAGATTGCCGCTTATAAGAACCATGGCCTGCGGGGGGGGCTTTTCGTAGGCCCGGTTGCGGGTGAGGAGGTTCGGAGATTCGGGGAGGGCATCACGGGTCTCCCGGCAAGCGGGGAAACACCCACGCTTTAGTACCTGCATGCCTTGAGTTTTCGATGGAACTAGAGAGGATTGGGTGTGACGTGGTGGCAGAGCAGAAAGTCGCCTACAGTTGAAACAGAAGCTCGTGCTGTTGTTGGTGCCCGCACGAGCAGAAGTGGGTGTGTTCATCAGCAGTGACACGGACTTGGAATAGGCCTAGATCTTCTTTCGTGACGGAAGTGGCAATGAATCGCTCGTTACGGAGCAAAGGAACAGATTTGGAAACAATTAAGCTTGGTACCAGCACAGATTATGACATATGAAATGACTGAGAAGCCATCTTACAGAGTGCCTAATGCGTAGATGGTACACGCAGCTTACATGGTTGTATCAGTACATGGATTCAGAGGTATCTACCAGTCAATTGGAGACCAATGTATGACCCGTTATACTCATCTTGAACACAGTGGTCGGCAATTACATGTAAACAAAACAGTCTTTATCCAATGTATCTCCATTCTATGAGAATGAGATTGATATTGCCAACAATGAACCAGCTATCTGCTATAATCTATGATACGGCTCTACTAGATTGGACCAAGTATAAAAGTGTGTGTGTGGCAGCAATGAGATGAGCATGAATACCATAAATTAGAAAAGCTCTAAAGATATCAAAGAACAAAGTATTGGATGTGTTGTTTACCCATGTGACTTGACGCCAAGTAGGTTGTAGTTCATATGCAGAGAGGTGATGTCTCATGGCAGCTTCTTGGTCGAGTATTATATGGCATCCACATCGGATAACCTTGAATACAGCTAAGCAAGTAGTTTAGAAGACGATTAGCTATAGAAAACGCAGAGTGCTGTTATAATGCCTAGTCTTGATCAAGCATGAGCCTTCTCATCTGTGATAAACCAGCTGTTGCACCAGGGACCTCAGATAGCCGCTATACGTCCCTACACATGCCAATCAACTACAGATTCAGAATACTGAGATGAAATAAGACGCATCTACATCATGTGAATCAAAATTTCCCATGCTGTGAAGTTAACATTACCTAGTGGGCTTTGCTGTGGGTCTTTTTCGAACGACGGACGAGTATCCAGCCAGTCCTCTCTGGGCAGCGAGGTGAGGGCACGGTAGCGAGATCTTTCCAGAAGCAATCTAGTCGTACGATGACCAAATCGACTTGACGGTACGGAGTACAGGACCCGTTGATATCGATCCGCCCGTTCCTGCAGGAGATATGGGGAGAGACGAGGCGAGGAATATGCAATGTACATGCGGTCTGCGCTTCAGCTGAATGCATTCAGATCAGATCTAGCAAAATAGTACAGCAGGCTACAGACTATTCACTAGTATCGTTGATGATGTATTCATTTTGGAGACTTAATCATGAGAAGGTTGAGTCATGTGCTAGTTTGTGAACATGTGTATAAAACTTGATCTTAGTCCACTCAACGAACATCGTAGCAAGTATGTACGCACACCTACGAGTAACAATTTATAATGCTATTAAACACAATGATATTAAAATGGATTATATTACATCTTGAGAAACTTTCAGTCTTGTCCAAACCACCAATAGCTGCGGAGCACCGAACGCTTGAGTCTTCTTACCTATTAGGGTAGGCAAGCCACGGCTCCCCAAGCTGCATGCACAAGTAACATGCATATCTTGGCAATCTCCCAGATGGGATTTTGGGGTAGCAAGCGCGCTTACCTCGCCATTGCCATGCATTCAATGCTACATACTGTGCTGCATCCTGCATTTAGGCGAGCTGCCGTTTCTTTTAGGTACATGTAGATGGACACATCAGGCTGGCTGGCAGCAATTTGGACGTCTTCAGCGGAGAGCCAAAAGAGCGGGGCCTGCCGGGGTGGGGATGTTTCTTCCCAATTTGGTCACAATTGCGGCAGAGCTTCTTACACGGTACGTGAGAAGCCAGAACCCCTCATCAGCAATGACAAGACATGGAGCAAAAGGGCTGCTTGATGGAGGGGGATGGCAACGGGAGAAAAGAGGAGGTCGAGCTAATTGCGTTGCATGCTGTTACGCTTAAGATGATGCAGTGCTCTTTTCTTACGTGCCCGCGCCAAAGCTAGCAGGCAATGGGTGTCTCGAGCTACAAGTACACACGAACACTAAACGTACCGCCGGCCTAAACTTTTGGGCTCCGTACCTCTATATCGGAGTTTTGCCAGTCAAACATGAAAGCTTGCAAGAACTAAGACGTGCTAATTTTACCCTCAGCAATTGGCAGAAATCTCAAAGCTAGCAAGGCTGCCTCGCAGCTGGGGAAATTGCCTCAAAGCAGCGCTTGGCTTCGCTTAGGGGGATCTCAGCCTCAGACGAAGAGGATTTGCGTTTTCCGTGGGTTGCATTAGCGGAGTGCCATTGCATCTAGAGGCAACAAAACATTGCAACTTCAACTGTAGCCACGGAGAGGGGCTAGGCATGCGATGCCGTCGTATTGCTGTTGTGTGCATCTTGTTTTGGAGTAGCAACTTGCATGCATGGCTGCCTGTACTCCACGCCCAACGATCAAAGTGTCATTGGGCCTGTACACATGTATAGGTACGGACAGTATCATCACCAACTCCCCTTCAAGCCTCAACTCTGTCCTATTCTGTCAATTCATAACAAAAAAAAAAGTGAATACCTTGTAGTCCAGGTATCGTTACATGTCTGCAGTACAAGCAGCCAACTTTCGAACAAGGATCAGCCGCGATCAGCTTCTTCCCCGCTCTCTGCCGCTCCCCACATCTCCAACGCGGCCCCGAATCCCGAGATATGTACGGACCGGCCTCAAGCCTCGCGATGCCACCGCAACGACGCCTTCGGCTAGATTAACTGGAACCCGCTTCGACACCCTCTTTGTTCTGCCCAATTGCTTACTAGCAGTACTAGCTTCCCCCTTATTCATGCAGGCTTTTGTCTTTTTTATTTTTTTTTGGAGACTCTTCTCCAAGCCTCTCCCTCTCTCCAATGGCGGGATGCCGAGCCAGCTGCGAAGCCAGTCGTGGGTCCGGCGATGGGTTGCGCCCACCTCCATGGATGAGCAGCAGTGAGGAGAAGACGAGGCAAACTGTGGCCAGCGCGAGTGATTTGAATTACGTAGATGAGGGGCTTTTTCGCTGGGTTTGCTCATATTTTTTTTTTCTCTCAATTTTCTACTGTATAGTAGTAGACTGTAGTATGTGTCACGGCTACCGGTGGGACAAGGAGGAAAGCGAAAGAATGGGCACAGAAAGCGTAGGCTCTCGGAGCATAAATAACGGCCCTCTCGTTCCGAAATCGTCTTTGATGCTACTCTGCCTCTCTCACCACCAACAATCCTCCCCCTTCTACTCCAGATAAGCCCTGCAGGCCTAAAGAACAGCCGACCAAGCCTCAATTCAGCCGCCCGAGAGACGACAGGATCAGCCCATCGCTCTCCACCCTTGTTTCCGGCCTCTCCACCAACCCAACTCTGCTCTTCTATATAAGAAGTCTTGCAAAGGACAAAGTTTCCTTTTTCAATCCAACATCATCTTCTCTTTTTTCTTTAAACAAGGAAAAATACAACAACCGCCAAAATGGTATCTTTCCGCCCCATCTCCCGCTCCATTTCTCTCGCCTCGCGAGCTTCCCTTTCTGCTTCTTCCGCTGCCCCCTCGATTGCCTGCCGCCAATTCTCCTCCCAAGCCGCAGCTGGCCTCACCACTGCCAAGCTGGGCTCTGCCATCAAGCCTCGAGTTCTGCCCTCGTCGATCCGCACGCTGACATCCGCCCGCGAAAAGGTCAAGGTTCTTCTCTGTCTCTACGATGGCGGCAAGCACGCCCAGGATGTAAGTTTTTAATCTCATTTCACCTAAACAAGTTTACTTGTACATCATCTTTTATCTCTTCTTTATGGACTCTGGTCACTGTCTTGACGACAATGAGCTGAGCTGGGAGCTTCTTGTCTCTGGGTCCCCGCCGCGTGTAATTCGGCCACAATTGTGGAGTCCGCAGATGTCACTACAATCTGGGGAAAAAACACCAAAAAAAAAAAAAGACGGGGCCGTTTTTGCGCGCGCCGGGCTCTCAGACCACGCCCCGATTTCTTCCAAGAAAATGCGGGGAGGGGGGAGCCGGCTGCCGAAAGATGGGACTCTCCACGCCAAGCTCATGAAGACGATGATATACAAGTAAACACAGCTTCAGATATAGAACAGCTTTGCTAATCAGACATGACCTCCAGGTCCCTGCTCTCCTCGGAACAACTGAGAACGAGCTCGGCATCCGCAAGTGGCTCGAGGACCAGGGCCACACTCTGGTCACCACCTCTGACAAGGAGGGCCCCAACTCCGTCTTTGAGAAGGAGCTCGTCGACGCCGAAGTCATCATCACCACTCCGTAGGTTCACAATCCACCTATTGTGAGAAAAAACTCAAAGGGCTAACAAGCATGTCCAGCTTCCACCCCGGCTACCTGACCCCTGAGCGCCTCGCCAAGGCCAAGAACCTCAAGATCGCCATCACCGCCGGTATTGGCTCCGACCACGTCGACCTGCCCGCCGCCAACAAGACCAACGGCGGCATCACCGTCGCCGAGGTCACCGGCTCCAACGTCGTCTCCGTCGCCGAGCACGTCGTCATGACCATCCTCGTGCTGCTGCGCAACTTTGTCCCCGCCCACGAGCAGGTCGCCAAGGGCAACTGGGACGTCGCCGCCGTCGCCAAGCAGGAGTACGACCTCGAGGGCAAGGTTGTCGGCACCGTCGCCGTCGGCCGCATTGGTGAGCGTGTGCTGCGCCGCCTCAAGCCCTTTGGCTGCAAGGAGCTGCTGTACTTTGACTACCAGCCCCTGAGCGCCGACAAGGAGGCCGAGATTGGCTGCCGCCGCGTCGACAGCCTCGAGGAGATGCTCGCCCAGTGCGACGTCGTCACCATCAACTGCCCGCTGCACGAGAAGACCCAGGGCCTGTTCAACAAGGAGCTCATCTCCAAGATGAAGCCCGGCTCCTACCTCGTCAACACCGCCCGTGGCGCCATCGTCGTCAAGGAGGACGTCGCCGCCGCCCTCAAGTCCGGCCACCTCGCCGGCTACGGAGGTGACGTCTGGTTCCCCCAGCCCGCTCCCGCCGACCACCCGCTCCGCACCGCCGTCAACCCCTTCGGCTTCGGCAACGCCATGACCCCCCACATGTCCGGAACCTCCCTGGACGCCCAGAAGCGCTACGCCGACGGCACAAAGGCCATCCTCGAGAGCTACCTGACCGGCAAGCACGACTACCGCCCCGAGGACCTGATCGTCTACGGTGGTGACTGGGCTACCAAGTCTTACGGCCAGCGTGACAAGGTCAACAAGCAGTAAATTTCTTCTCTCTCTCATGAACAAGGAGAAACGAGTTGAATAAAAAAGGAGCTTGATGATGAATACCGACACACACACACACACATACAACACACACAAACAAAAATAATGTCAAAACAACTATAAAATACGGCTCATGGATATGATGACTCTGAATAACTACAATGTATAACTCTTGCATATCTAGCTACTAGCAATACATCTTTTTTTATTTTTTTCACTTGACATGGCCCTCTAATATGAAGTGAAACTTGTATTTTATAGTCTACAATCAAGTACATAAACGTGTCTCAATCGTAGATTGAATACCAAGAATTCATCATACCTGACAATATCACATTGACAACACAAGCAATAAATTAGCAGAAAATCAAAAGGCCTTTATTCATTACATGTGTATAAAAAATGCGTCTCTTCGTTTGTCTCTTTTTCTTTGCCCACCGCCATGCGTTACCTTCATTCTATCCCATTTCTCAGTCATACAAATCATACCCCCCTCTGCTGGCGCCATATAAGCAAAAAAATCGCCCTTTCCTCCCAAGCCATCAAAAAAGCCAATTAGAAGAAGAGAAAACAAAAGGCAGCATTAATAAGTAGTACCATGTGTAAAACCACCCTACGCGAATCCCATCATTAGAAAACAAGAGCATTTCTTTTTCCCTTTTCTACTTTTTTTCAATCATCTCCAGAACCGCCACCAAGGCTTCTCTCCATCGCCGACATCGCCACTTCTTCGCGTAATCGACCTATCTCTCCCCCTTATCCGCCAGTAATACACGGGTATACCTGCCATGACAAACGCCACCACAATCAGCGTCTGCAGGGGCTTCGCAAACACAGCTCTGCTCAGCAAAAAGAGACTGACGCAGCAAAAGATAATGGGCGTGGCGATCCACGTCTTATAGGGTCGCTCCAGGTGCGGTTCCTTGACTCGCAGCACGATGAGGCCAAGAACAGTGACAAAATAAAATGTGTAGCCGGCTACGCCGTAAAATGTGACAAGTGTGCTGAACTCGCCTGCCATGCAATAACCACAGGTAAGCACGGCATTGAGGAGGAGGGCGTTGACGGGCGTGAAGAAGAGCCCAGTATCTTCGTCGCCAAAGCAGCTGCGGAACTTCTTGGAGACCCAGCTGCGAGAGCGCTGTGTCGACAGGCCGTGGTCGTTTTGGCCGCCACTGGTACCGAAACCCAAGCGCCCAAAGAGATCGGGGATGTAGCCTTCCTTGCCGGCAACGTAAATGAGGCGGCTGGCTGTAAAAGTAGATGAGTTAAGAGCGCCAAAGCAGCTTGCGCTGACAATGAGGGCGAAAATGAGAGCGCCTGCGGGTCCAAAGACTTTGGATCCAAACATGACGGCAACGGTGTTTGAAGCGTTGATTGAAGCCAAGGGGAGAACGAGAAAGTAGGACACGTTGGCAAGGACGTAAGAGAGGATAACCAAAGGCATAGCCGAGTGAATGACGCGAGGAAGATCCCTGGAGGGATTGCGAAATTCGCCCACCACGTAGTTTGTCTGGAAAAGCCCATGTTAGAAGATGTCTCTCTCAGCTGCGCTCGGGGAAGAGCATTTGCGCGCTCAACTTACGTTATCCCATCCGTCATAAGCCCAAAGTCCAGCATACAGAGCAATCGCCCAGTTTGACGGATCTGACGACGTCCCCTCGAACCAATCGTTCGTTTTCCACTCGGTGCTCGCCTCCCCCTTGTATGAATAGCCCGTGATGGCCACCACAATGCCAATCACGGTAACGGCAATCAGGGCCACAAACTTGAGAAACATGAGAACGTCATTGACTCGGGTGCCCACCCTCGTGGACACGCAGTTGAGAAACGTCACGATAAAGATTCCCACCAGCGCAACGGCCTTGTTTATCCACGGATTGATCGTCTCGGCCTCGGCGCCAATAATGGCCCTGACGAAATACTCGCCCATGATGATGGCGATGATGGCAGCACTCCCGGGCTTGAGCACCAGCAGGGCCACCCACGAAAAGAGGAACCCAGAGAGCTCGTTGAACGTTTTGGCAAGATAGACTTGGGAACCGCCGTTGAGGGGAATTGCGCCTCCCAGCTCGGCATACGAGGCGCCGCCCGTCCAAGCGAGAATGCCCGCCACCACCCACACGATGAGAGCCGCGCCAGGGGATCCGAGCTTCGAGCTCACCTGGCTGGGCGACGAGAAGATGCCAGACCCGATAATCAGCCCGATGATCAGGGACAGCCCGTTCAGAAACGTCAGCGTCTTGAGCTTCTCCAGCGATCCCCCGCCCAGCCCGCCGTTCGGCCCCCCTGCAGACGTCGGCGCGCCAATGGGTGCGTATCCGCCAGCGCCAGCGGTCGAGCTCAGCGGGAACAGGTTGCCCGCAAAGTCAAACGCCGACGACACAGAGTACGAGCGGCCCAGCCTGCCCCCCGCTGCCGGGTTGTTGTCGTTCAAGGGGTCCTCTTCCTCCACCATGGACAGGCGCCGCGAGGACGAGATGCTGGGGCGCGAAGACACTTCCGAGGCGGCGCCATCGTGGGCGACGCTGGAGCTGGCCAGCGAAGCGAGCTCGAGGGAGTCTCGAGACTGCGACTGGAAGGGCATTGCCACCGGACTTTTGTGTTTTTGCCTCCTCTCTTCTCTGTCTTGTCCTTGCTTAGTTCCTCCTCGGCTACGAGTCCCTTCCCCTCTCCAAGCAGAGATGGCAGCCCCGTATTATTCTAGGTATCTTCTTTCGACCGGCGAATCAGCAGAAATAGCCCATATCGTTGAGGATCTGAATTCCGAAACAAAAGGATGAGAATGTCGTCAAGTACTTTCGCGCGAGAAATTGAAAATCGCAGGAATCCGAAAGTCGTCGGTAGATGTGCGTTTGGTAACAAAAACTCGGCCCGCGCGCGCCTCGAAATTAGCAAGTCAAGAGGAAAAGCCAACGAAGGAAGAGAGAGAAAAAAAGAGTCGTAAAGGCTTCGTAAACGGGCGTTTCAATAAAAGGAGAGAAGACAAGAATTAAATGCTAGAATCTGTTAAAAAGGATCCCCCTGAATTAAAATAATTTGGCCCTAGAAAACAAGAGAAAGAGTCGGTGGACCAGGAAAGACGGCACTTTTTAGATCAATAGAGAAGAAATGCAAGGCACGCGCACTGCCACTTTAGAAGATCGAAGCCATTGGGGAAATCCATCCCCCCCCTGCCCGTTCTAATTGGGGCCCTCCCTAGTCATAGATTTGCATCAATGCGTTTAAGCTTTGCGCTTAGCGTTCTATTGTCGCTCTTCTCTTTGGTGCTCCAAAGCAACGCTCTCCTTGCTGACTAAGGCGGGTGAACCTACAATGCACTGTCGTTTGGCTTTCTGCCCTTTTCCATCTTACACGGAGAGAAAGCATTCGGCGGTTTGAACCAGCAATGGGCTCCGACGACTACAAGGCCATCGGCGGCGGTGGCGCGCTCAAGCTGAAAGGCGCAAAAGTCAGCAAGAAGAAGAAGAAGGCCGCCAAATCAGACCTGGAAAAGAACCTGTCCGGCGGCGACGAGAATGCGGCGCTTGTCAAAACGAAGGACGATGACGAAGACGCCCCCAAAGAGAAACGCGACAAGCAAAAGAGCTCCCGGGAAGAGAATCAGAGAAGAGAGGATGAGGATGAGAGGGAGGACGAGGACGAGGACCAGCCGGTTGTGGTAAAGACGGAATCAGAGCGACGGCACGAGGAAGCAAGGAAGAAGAGGGTAAGCAGACGAGAATTATAATCAATAGGAACAGATGGCTGACATCTTCGATTTTCCAAACAGCTTCTTCAGAGCGCGCAATCGTCCGGATCCCGACCCGAGTTGCTAAAGACACATAAAGAGCGAGTCGAGGAGTTGAATACATACTTGTCCCGGCTGAGCGAGCATCACGACATGCCAAAGATTGGACCGGGCTAAGCATCTACGTCCAGTGGTGGCGTGAGGAGGATTATACATGCATGGGATGGAGTTTGTGGTGTTTCTTGTCTTTGGGATAACTGATATTAACAATTATGACTGATATATCCTTTGAAAAATTGCCAAGGGCAGCCCAAATCTTACAAGAAATATTGGATAATTATTTAGAATGTGCAATCACTTTAGCACTACAGTTTAAACAATGCCAGAGGAACTTTGACCTGATTTGCCTTGAATGTGCGGCTGCTTCTTTTGCGTGCTTGCTGTGCTATATATGCTGAAAATACAATTCAAATCCCCTTTTTAGTGCCAAAAATGATGTATGCTTTGCAGTTGCGCAGAGGGTCCCCGTCCCAGTCTATCAAGTTCGAGTGTGCCAAAAAGAAATCAAAACAAGAAAACAAAAATATGCTGTTGCCCAATCTATGTATCCCGCCGAGTTGCGCTATGTATTAGAGAAGAAGGAGTGGTTAGGAAGTAGCCGTGAATGTCGTGATTACAAGGAATGAATAATACGCCGGTGCCAATTCCAGTAGCATGGATATGCTGATGCAGTTTGATAAGAGAGTGAAAACGGGAAAGCAAAAGGGAGTGAAAACCAAGGAATGCGTCTTGTTCTTTGTGGCTTATGCCAACAGAACAGCTCCGACCAAAAGACCAATGGCAGCGGGCATCATCATCTCGCCACGAGGGTGAGACGCGGCATTCTGAAGGTCAGGGTTCTTTGAGCCGTCGGCATGGCTGGTGGGCAAGACGGCCACCCAGGAAGTGGAAGTGAGGGTAGTGGTGCCTCCATCGGGAAGTGTCCTGGTGAAGGTGTGGGCAACGGGAGCAGACGTGGTCTTGGAGCCCGATGTGATGGTTGATTGCGGAGTTTCGCTGGCCTCAGTCGAGGATGGGCCTTGGGTTACGGATTCTTCTGTTTGGAGAGTGTTAGCTAATTTGCCTAGATCACCCTGAATGAATATTTGACTCGGGGAAAAAAGAACGGAAAAATAATTTTCTAGATCCAAGTAACAAGTCTCGAAGCACTTGCAACCCAGACTGTCGACGGCTGTTTTCACATCCAGTAAATGATCCATGACTACTACCAACGCTGAAACGCCCATCTCGACAATGTCAAAGCGACAGTGCGAAAATCTGACATACCAGTAGTGGTTTCTGCCGCCGTCGCCGAGTTCGGTGAGGTCGAGGTAGGAAAGGAAGAGGATGAAGAGGAAGGGGATGAAGAATCAAAGGTAGTTGTTGCCTCAGACGAGGCAACGGACGAAGTAATGCCTAACGACAACCTACCAGAAGAGGTGGTGGACGCCGGAGCAGTAGTGGGAGAGGAGGAAGCAGCCGTAGTGGTCTCTTCTTCCGTGGTGGACGTACCAGAGGTTGAAGAAGCAGAAGAAGTAGTCGAAGCAGGGGCCGAGCTTGGGGTGCTGGAGGGTGCTGCGGTGGTGGATTGTTCCGAAGCAGTGGTTGATTCTGCGGTGGTGGACGCAGGAGCAGAGGACGAAGACGAATCTGCGGTAGTGGACTCAGCAGTAGAGCTAGACGAGTCGCCTATTTGATGCCACAGTTAGTTATGATGATCAAAGCCTCCGAGACATAAAAGTACAACTTACTTGAACTAGTTTCAGAAGCAGTGGTCGATTCAGCGCTGCTAGCAGTTGAAGATTGTACGTCCGTTGATGACTGCACAGCTGTGCTCGAGGGAGCCGTGCTGGTCGGAGCAGCCGTAGTAGAGTTGCTGTTGCTCGGTCCATTGTCCTGTCTCTTGGCAATCTGAACGATGGCCGAGGCCACAGAAGGATCCCTCTCGCTAATGGCATCGATGGCATCCTTATCAGTGGCAAACACTCCATGCTGATATCTCTCAGGGAGATAGGCATGGAGCAGCCGGTGAAGCAGATCAGGAGAGGCCTTCTGAAGTGCCTCGGCGAGCTCCCCATTGGAGCTGTGAGCCTTGGCCAAGTCCATCTTGGAGTTGTCGCTGTGTCTCTGGCAGTTCATCAAGCTCGGCCGGGCAGTGGCAACGCCCAAGCCGAGGACGAAGCCCATGACGATGACGAGCAGCGCCCGCCTAAAGTAAATCATCTTGTTGCTCCTGGTCTTGGTCTTCAACGCAGGTGGCGAATAGTCCTGGTATCCGGTCTGCTTCTCTCCTTGGGTGCTCTTGAGTAGTCCAGCCTCTAGGTGGCCATCACCGTCGGTGTAACCGGTGGGAGCCATGAGTGCGGAAGATGTAGGTAGATATAAGGTATATCCAGAAGACACGAGAGAGGGGCAGGTGTCAAACAAAGCGTGGTCGATATGCAAGCCTCGTGTGCTGCAGTCAACGGGCAGGGCAGGGGTGTCTTGAAGTTTACGAGACTCGACGAAAACGAGACGCACGCCACCTCCGGCAGGACGAGCGGAGAGGTTTTGGGGATTTTGGGTTCAACTATGCTGGACCCGGAAGGTCTAGCAAGAGAGAAGGTCTGAGTGATAGCGGGTCCTCGTTCGTGCTGATTGAAGAATTGGCCTCGTGCTGGGGCAAAGTCTGGGGCTGCCGGGCAAAAGAGAGCTGCAGGTCAAGCTTTTAGTCTCCGCCAGATAGGTTTGCTGTCAAGAAGCCACGGGGGATAGCCGGTCGACCAACGAGAGCGGCGAGAACAGCAAAGTGTCGGATGCAGGTGAAGGAGAGAAGAGAAAGGGCTGTCGACGAAGAAAAGTATAAGTTTGGGGGCTGGTGGAGAGGCCGCGGGCTTGCATAAGTCACGTCGGCCGGCCGTTGTGAAGACAGATAAGAAGAGCTGGTATCGTGTCGTGTCGTCAGTCCCGATCTGGTGCGACCTTGGCGCAAGACAAGGCCCTGCTCTGCTGCTCGTCTCGTCTCTTGTCTGCGTCCGCCTCACTGCCTCACTGCCTCTCTCTCTGCCGTGTCTGCTGCTATCCACGGATACGAGACGCTCTCGACCCCAGTCTTGCAGGCCCGGGCTCTCGGCCCAGCCCACTCGCTGCTTCAGCTGCCAAGGGAAACGCGGCATCATTGACAGCTCATCGAGCCTGCGACAAGGACCAGGTCCGTTGAAGCACTGGCTTATCCGTGCGTCATTCTTAGCGGCCGGAGCAGCGCGCTTGCGGGCCTTGGAGGCTGGGATGGCGGAGTCGTGATGGCAGCATCTCGAGAGGGAAGCCGTCTGGAGGCTGTGACTGGCTGCAGCTCGGATAGCCACTGGCGGCGGCTTGCATCGTTGACGCTCTGGAGGGCTGCAGCAGCCCACTAGGCCGCCACAGGGGCTCTGGAGGCTCCAGTTGCGTACAGCAGATGCGCCTGTCGAGGCTCAGGCTCCCAGAGCTCTGTGGCAGCTATACCGGAGCTATGGATTGCCGGACGCCTTGGCGCCAGTGGGAGCTTACAGGGCTGGGCGTAGCGCTGCGGTACCCAGGGAGCAGCTCGGGAGTCGATGCAGGGAGATGAAGGAGAAACAAGTACCTTGATGGAAGATGTAAAAGGGAAAAATTATCTAGCACTTCAATTCTATCATCTAACACTCTAGGTAGCTAGTGTAGGTATTGTAGACTACATAGGTATGTACTTATTACTGCCACCTCAAAGTACGGCTTATATGACAATCAAGTACTTGATATGTAGATTGACTGCCTTGTTCGGCAACAGCTGGGTACCTAAGTAAATATTAAACAACGAGCTGGGGGGGCGGGAATTTCCCAAAATGAACAATTGATGAAATAAATTGAAACCCCAAACCCGATCGATTGGCAGCGCAGCATGCCAGCACAGAACAGGCGTTACGCCACGCCGTCCCCTGGTTCCTTGATTTAACCTTTGGAAACTCTGGCTTTGGTTGTGAGGTTTTGTCTAAGCTTATGAACTTCACTAGCATGCCCAACCAGCACGACTCAATCTACATACGTACCTGTGTAATCCCTAACATCAAGGAGACGCTCGGCGATAGCAGAGGAGAATTAGGTAAGACGAAAAGAAGATAGAGAGGATGACTAGCACCTAGCACGCAAGCAGAGCTTGAATCCTTCTTGTGTGCTATTATTAGGCACGCATGGCTACATATCTGGATCTGACGTTGCTTCAACGCAGGGCTGTTTCACGAACCAAGCCGTATGCCATCCTCTTGTCTGAGACATGCATGTACGGCAACGCTTTAAACGCTACATGTCTATGAAGGTTATCCATGCTTCGATAATCCCAGGTAGTGCTACCACCGACAGAATCCACTTGCCGACAAGAGTCGCCACCCAAACACACATGTTTAGGCGATTGGAGGAAACGCATTGGGTGTTGCCATTCACTGACAAGGAATAAACAGGCTGGCTGCTTGATATCTGTCCATGGGCGCCGAACCGGTCAACTTGACCACCTCATGACTTCATGTTTACTCTTGCAATTCATGCTCCTCGCTTGAGCATCTCCATCCAGCACGTCGACCTCGGCATTGCTGGTTGCGCGAATACACGCACTCTTCGCATCCTTTTGTCGGGCCTCTGTTTTCGTATCCCCATTTAGCAGTGCTCGTAACGGAGTCCCTGCTCCGCGGTTGTACGAGAACACCCGCATTTACGAAGCGCAAAGTAGCATCGTCCTCTCCTTATGATCACCAACTGGTCATATATCACCCTCTTCGTCCCAGGGTCAGACACCAAGAGAGCTGCGAATACAGACCACGATAGTACCTCTGTCAAGGATCCCTCATTCCACCCGCCAACCACCTGCATCTTGTATTTGCACAATCGTTTCCTGACGCTCGTACTCTGTATCTACAAGCTCTGCTAATGGGTACCTTTTGCGATTTCACTTCGGGAAGCGTGGCGTGATTTCCATCTCCACAGACGGTTCTGCTAACAGCTCTCGGTGCCGGCATTCCCGCTGCTTACCCATTCTTCGTCTCTACCGCCTCCCAGCTAGGATCATGACAGGGCCTGTCGTGAAAAATCGGGGCGGTGCAGCCCCTTTGTCGGCGCCTACAAGACGACGCAGCATGATCTCGTAACCATGATAGTGTTTCCCCAGCGATATGATGCGCACAATTGCAAAATCGAGTGCGTCTGTGAAAAGGGCCTCCCCGTGAATATACCCTCGCTTTCGTCTATCCTTTGCTGATCACCCCGAGGCGGTATGAAGAGAAAAGATGAAACAATTGCCAGCAAAAGCTGCTAGGGCCAGCACTATTCCGTAGCTGCTCTCCATAACTGACATCATCGAAAAGAAAAAAAGAGCTCAGCGGAGCTTGTGAAGCCGCATCGTTTGCCGCTCGTATTGACAACTGGATGGAGGAATGGAAGACTTGGCCGGCCCCAACCGGTACAAACGAGACAAACAAGTTCAAAGCGGACGAGGTCTAGAACTTTGTCGTCTCCGGCCAATGTGCAAAGAGCAAAAAGTTTTGGATTTCGGCCAAGGCTCATTTAGGCATAAGATCAACGTCAAGATTGGCGAGGCCTCTCAGCCTCATGGAGAATATGGCAGGCAAAGCAAGGGTATCCACGCTTCTGGAAACGCCTCTCAGGTAACAATATATTTTTAGCGTAGAGCTTGAAAACGGGGCAAAAGAAGGCAGAAAAGAAGAAACGAAAAAAAAAAAAAAAGGGTCGGCCCTCAATCTTCGTTGGGTATCGAGATGCGTAGAAGCTGCAGACTGCATGCATGCTGCATTGAGTCGGTATTTCATGTCGCTTGCCAGATTTGTGGTTGGTGGCATTAGTAGCGCTTCTCAGGATGCCGCGATAGTCGCCAGAATAGTTGAGCCTGAATAATCGAGCCGCAACTCGATTCTGCTTGCAACAATTAGCCCCCGCCTCGCTCTGTAGCGCCAACTCTGTTCAACTTCAGCCGCCTGTAAGGTTGCGGTTGTAAGAAGGCTATTATGTGCCACTTCAACTGAATGGGCATCCAGATTGAGACTTTGGTACTCAGCATTAACCGGCCTGCTATGCTACTTTGAGTCCATTTCTCCAGCACATATCTGCTATGTGTACGCAGCCAGTACCTACCTGCAGTCATTGAATCATCATGTGCTTGCACACGTCGATATATGTAAAATATGTATTAGTCTGCTGTAGAATTCTCAGCTGGATAGTAAATTGTCAACGCTGAGAAAACAAAAGCTCGCCGGTTGAGTAATTTGTTCGATGACCAAATCCCCAAGAAACATACCTAAATCAGCTGGTTTCGAGATATTGAATACCCCAAGTGGCGCCCCCAGAGCCTTACCCCCCTCTAGCCAAACTGAGCTCTTCTCATGGGCGTATGCAGATCTTCTCCGGGTCGCCTACACATGGCGTTGTCTGCGGCGTCGTCCACTAACCTCATGCCGTTTGGATGGCATCAAAATGCAGACCAGACCGAAACTCTGAATAAGAGCGAATTAGAATGAACCCAAGGCCCAGAAGCTGGCCACCGCAGGCACCGCGCAGCCCAAGTGCTCGAAAGCTCCAAGCCTCGGACATGTGATGATATAGAGCGTTATAATTGGGATGTTCATCAGTCTCTCTTCATATCAGTTGAAATCACATGTACAACCTAAATGTTACCTTTTTACCCACGAATGGATATCTTGTCCCGGAATTGGTGATGTTGTATCGTCGGGTATTGATTATGACAACGATATCCGTGTATTAATTCCCGTGGCCTCCAAGGAGTATTTGTAGGGCTGTTTTGCATATGTATGTGACCATAAGTCGGAATACAAGTTGTTAGGTATTCGCAGACACAGCTAGAAGTCGTTGCGCAATTTTTCACTCAGTAAAAGTGAGTGCATGTCAACCGTCTTCGTCAAAAAGCAAATATGCTTCTCGTTCGAGCATCAAACTGGCCGATCAGAGACAAAAGAGGAAGGCTTTACATGGCAGCTTCCATAATTCGGCCGCGCGCAACTCCAATGTTTTGAGTCCAAATATCTTACAGAGAATGAGATATTCTACCTAGTGTGCCTAAAAAAACGAGGCTAGAAACTTTGCCTGGTGTATTCCATTTTTTGCCCATTTTGGAAATATTCAAGCAACTTGATAAGTCGCTAGTTGTAAAGTGGCTGTTGCTAAGATGGCAGCCGTTGAAACAATTAAACGGGAGCTCTTGGGCAAAGCGGATCTGATTCCAAGTAAAACGTGGTCTCACAGTGATCAAGGCAAACGAATGCTGCGTGATTGTAATTTTTTAATAGTATTAAGACAAGGATCTCTTTTCAATTCCTGTGACATTATTACTGCAACTGATAGCAGAGGTGCATTTCTAGAGCGCTGATCGATGCAAGTACTATGCGCGTATGATTTGCAGCGGGTGACTTTGGACCACTGAGACTTCACGTGATGGTACCCAGCAAAAAGGACACCATCAATTCGGCCCATGCCAGCAAACCGGGGGTAGCTTTCATGTGAAAGCGCAAGCTCAATTCTACGGCACCTTGTCATTTTTCTGTTATCCCCCGTCCAGATTCTTCCCAATGTGAAATCCTCTTTGCATGCTGAAGCTGCTTGAGTAGCAATCATATCGTTTGCTGGAGCCTCGACGCTTCGGCCGCGCAATACGTCATCTAGCCTCGAGCTATATTCCATCCCAATCGTCTTCAATGGTTCCTAGCAAAGGTGGCCTCACACAACATGTCAAGCCACCTCAGCCCAGAGTCACGTCCGACTGAGGAACAAGACAATCTGCGAGTGTTGAACCGATCGCCTCACCCGTATCATCATCAGAGCTCTGAACTGCCCCATCCTTCCGAGCAGCCAATCTCTCGCCGCCAACGGACAGCATCTTCGAGATTGGGAAGCGACCCGAACCAGCCATCGCCGTCCGTTCCACCGACCTTCTCCAAGGAGTCGACTCCAGCAAGCGATAGCGGCACGGATGCTGACGACGAGCATTTCCTCAAGGGCTTGCCGCCCTCCAAGCTGCGACCTCACAAAGGGCTGAGAGGGAAGAATGAAGTCATATCTGGCACATCGACGCCGGTGCTATCGCCTGCCGTGCTGCAGGAGCCAGTGCCCACAGCTGGTCGCAAGGCATCACTTGGCGGCAAAAAGACCGAAGAGAAAGCTATAGTGCCGGATGCTATCCGACGGAGGAAGATACTTGTGCAACGAGCCCTCGAAGCTGGCATTATCATTACTTTGGCTAGGATGATCCAAACAAACAAGCTGCTGTCGCCCATCTTAGATACTTGGCGCAAAGGTATATACCACCCCCCTTTTGTCTTTATGGGACAGGCTCTTACCAGTAGCAGACTTTTATCTATTCAGCGCCTTGTACGGAGGATTGCTCTTGCTCTACCCCTTTCGAGTCATGATATGGGGCTACAAGCTTCAGAAGCCGTCTTCAAACTTGCCATTGAAGCTCCTCACAGCCTTCGATCCCGCGCCTCTTCTCTATCCTCCTTCGATTACGATATTTGTGTCGCTATTAGTTTCAGTCAACTGCCCGGCAGTCATCCTTCCGAACCTTATGCTGAGCATAAGCTCGATCCCTCAGCAAGTGATACCCAAATTCGACCAGTACGCGGCATACGACTCTCTTCACTGGGTTCTGTCATGTCTCCCTCTGATTTGGCGATCCCCTCTTTCCGACGGCTCTCGGTTTGCACCGACTTACGCTTTTCTTACGCAAGAAGACCTTGTCTTGCTGTATCCTTTGCATAGAACTGCTTCTGCTGTGTTACATCATCTTACTACAACTAGCCTCCTTACCGCCGAACTTCAGCTTCTTTCGATTGCTTTGATCAACGTCTTGCTTCTAGCGTCTTCACCCCAGATTCAGATCCTAAAAGCTTTGTTGTGGGGTGGCGGTTTAAGTTTACTGGTACTATGTGGCGCCGTGATTAGATGGGGAATTGTGTTGGCAAGAGTTCCCAAATGGCGTTTTCGAAGAGAGCCATATCCCCCAAGGCGTCCATTTTGGAAGTCTTTGATCAGGGGATTGTCTTGGCAGAAATTCAAGAGTGAGATCCTGGGCTCACCTCTGGATCAACATAGCGACGATGCGCTCTTCTCAACCGATGAGGACGAAGACGACTTACGGTTCAGCGGCCCTACTAGAGTCCAAACTATTGGTGCAACAGAGAAGCCATCTCTTGATACATCCGCCAAAAATGGGTGGAAAACAGGCGCAGTTTCCAGAAGAAATACAATTCCTCACATGGATAAGGCTTCTCGCAAAATGGCAACGCACACTCCATCTGGAAGAAGAAAACGGACGGCATCCGTTACTATTCGTGCATATTTCAAATTTACCCCCGCACAGGCAGCAATGAGAAAGTGGCTGTATGCAGGCTATGTATATGTGTGTTTGGCGGTCATCATAGTGGCATTTATCCGTCCCTATGTGGGAAAATATGCCCTCGGTGGCAGGGAGCCCCTAGGCTGGGCTCTCGGATACTTTTTTGGTGATCTGCCAGAGTTCAGATATCGTGTTGTTAGAGCTAATCTGGAACGTTGGATCTCTCTTCCACCAAGAACTGAGGCTTGGGGCGAAAAAGAATGCGGTCTTGGTTGGGTACAACATGTGCGCCACAACGACTTTGGCGAAGCCAACACACGACTCTTCATCAGCGGCTACTGGGTTGCGATTCTTATTGTCGGACTCGCAATCGTGTTTCAGTTGACAAATACATATGAGGTGGACACACGGCGGAAGGTATTCCACTTTATGATGGTCGGCATGCTTCTACCAGCGACTTTTATAGATCCCACGTTTGTTGCCTTGGCGCTATCAATCGTTTTGGCCATCTTTTTAATCCTGGATTTACTGCGAGCAAGCCAGTTACCCCCTCTCTCCAAGCCGATAGCCTCTTTCCTGGCTCCATATGTCGACGGCAGAGATTTCCGCGGACCTGTCGTGATATCTCACATCTTTCTTCTGATTGGGTGTGCCATTCCTCTCTGGTTATCGCTTGGATCCTTGCCACGGACTGGATCGGATTACCTGACCGGCTGGGAAATATCCACCAGAGAGATCAGTATGATTTCAGGGGTTGTTTGTGTTGGCTTAGGCGATGCGGCAGCCTCGCTTATTGGGCGCCGCTACGGTCGCCGCAAATGGCTCTGGGGTGGCGGCAAAAGCCTTGAAGGGAGCTTGGCATTCACAGCTGCCGTCTTCCTTGGCCTCACAGCTGCGAGCATCTGGCTTCGCATAGGGAAATGGCCCATAGCCGGTGAGGATATGAGCATGACGACCAGAGCTGGACATGCTTTGGTGTGCTCCTCCATGGCTAGTTTGACAGAGGCGGTCCTGACGGGAGGCAACGATAACGTCATTGTGCCAGTTGTTCTCTGGACATGCGTAAAAGCGCTTGAGATTTAATTTTATAGAGGCATAATTACGGCGTTTGTCTTCTTCTTCTTCGGATTTATTTACGGTTGGTAATCGATTGGCGATAGGAGGCCATACGACGATATGATGCTTTTTTTGACCATCGTCTTTGTGCTGTTTTATAGATCTTTTTCATACGGTTTACATGACTAAACGTGATCGGATAACATTTATATACAAAGAATAAGATGGCTTAATGATTCGATTTGAGATATAGACAAGTGGATATTAAAGATGGGCACGTCACCAGTTGGAAGTGATTATGAATCAGAAAATATCATCACTTTTGGTATATTCATCGTCCTTGTGCTTCATTTTATAGTATATATAGAGATTAATTTGGCGGAGCAACAGCTCATACCAGCTTGATAAAGAGAAATCGGAAAGAGCCAAAACAAAATCTATGCAGTCAAATCTTCTAAAATGGCTTCGAGGTCTTCTTTCCTGAAAGGCAGGCTTAATAGCTCTGTTCCAAGGTTGTCTTTGCGGCTTGTTAACATTTGATGGTCGTGAAATCTACATGTCCATCGTTAGCATCTTTCACAAAGAAAGCAGAGAGGGATGATCATAATGATTTATGTGCTTACTCTTTGAGCAGTGTCCGGAAAGCCATCTCGGAACTGCAAATGAACTCCTCAACGGCCTTGTTGTATACCATCCTATACTCGAGACCGACATCCTCGTCGCCTTCGTCTTCCATTGCGATGAGAACCTCGCCAACAAGGAGACGAAACAGGTTCTTTGCGTTTTCCGTAAGACTCTTCAAAACAAAGGCGACACCTTCGCGGCCGTTGACGCGCTGTGATTGTCGGCCGAGAAGCTCGTGCACGTCGTCCACGACGTCCAGCTCGACCTTGAAGGGAGAGAAAGTAGTGCAGTCGTGGAACACAAAGTTGAAGTCTGAGCGGACGCCAATGTCCCATAGCAGCGTGAAGTCGGGAGTATCGGCAGAGCATATCAGGTTGACTTGCGGGAGGGCTGCAAGCTGGGCGAGGACGGCCTGAGAGCCCGGCTTGCGGAGGGGCGTGGCGTCGATGGAGTTTACAATGATGGTGAGGGTGAGTTTGGGGGCGGCGGATAGGAGAAGAGAGGCGATGCTTTGTATCATGATGGCAGGCTGGGCGGTTGGGATCCTTTGGTTGGGATCGATGGCGGAGGCGACGACGCTGAGGATTTCGCGGAGGTTTGTGGTGTGGGCGTAGCCGTTGACCATGACGATCTTGCCGGCTGGTTTGCTGCTTTTGTTGTTGGAATGGATGTAGGTGGCAAACTTGTGTAGCAGAGGTCTCTTGGAACCTAGGCCAAAGAGACATATGCTGAAGCCCTGTGATAGCTCAAAGGCCCATTGTGGGAAAGATTCAGCGTGCAAGGACTCGAGATATTCGATGTTCTCGGCATGGCGATCTTGGTGATTGCGTAAGATGCTAAAGTACTCGTCGTGGGAGAGCAAGTTGAGAGACGCCAGCGTGTTATCCGACGTCTTGGGCCGGCCAGGCTTGTTATGTAGAAAGTACAGCTCATGAGGAGGCAGATCCCGCGGCGGCGTTGGAGATCTCGCTCTCTTGGCCCTTGCTTTTCGCCGAGCTGGTGTTTTCGAAGGCGTAGCAGGGTCGCCGTGTGCCAATCCCGCTGATTCGCCGTCTGTTCTCTCTTCGAGCTCGTCCTCGCCATCATCTTCATCCTCGGCATCGCTCGACTCGTAAATCTGCCGCGTGATGTCGGCCCCGAGCTGGTCGTCGTCGTCGCTGTCCCCGTCGCCAACAACTCGGTCTATCAGGGCTCTTGCGCTCTTCCTCCGCGCGGATCGATCTGCGGCTCTGCCTGGGGTGAGGACATTGAAGCCCACTGCTTTGGTAGGTGTTGCAAAGACCGGTACCACGTTTGATTTTGCATTCGGGGTGCTGTTGTTGGACCTGGATTTCGGAGGGCGGCCGCGGCGTCGAGGCGTTGGTGTTGCTGCAGATGGTTCGGGCTCTGTCGCTGTCTCTTGGATTTCAATGTCCATCTTGTCGCCCAATGATGGGGGGTTTGTGTTATCTTCTTCATTTGTGTCCATTGGATTGCGAGGATTTCGTTTGGAAGGATTCAAGACTCGTGAGATGTCGAAGCTGCTTTCGTCGCCGTCGAGGTTGGAGGGGCTGCTGGAGGGTATGTTTGTAGCAACCTGAAAGACTCTAATATCAACACGTCTCAGTGACAGGATGCAGCAATTGGCTGAGAAGGAATTGGTATTTTGATCAAGTTTAGGGAATATTCCTCAACGCATAATGTTTCTGTCAACGCATGTCAATGTAGAGAACTTGCAGCAGCTGATGGCGAACCAGCTCTGACCTCATCCGAGGATTCTCCCTGGCAAAAGCACCTGCACCACTCAACGCGCTGGACGCGCTGCGGCTCCAGAGCTCAGGGCCCTGAGGCGCTAATCCAGAATCCATGGCGCAGTGCTAATCCGACCCACTGAAGCTCCAGCGGAAGAAATTCCAGCTTGTCGAAACACCAATCCATTGATCCAGTAGCCATTGCTTTCAACTTGTATAACTGAAGCATTGCAGCCCCTAAGTAGAGAAGCGTCTTCAAAATGAACTTCAACTTGTACGGATCACTCAACTCTGCAAAGCTGCTGCTCAAGCCCGGCCTGTGTTTGCCTCACCACATAGCCCCGACGTTTAACGATCTTCCCATCCCGCTTGATGCGGTGCTGCAGAGAGACGGCCGAAGAGCCAATATCAAGGCCGTAGTCTTGGATAAGGACGACTGTTTTGCTTATCCTGATGCAAAAGAAGTATATCCTGCTTACAAGGTAGCACCACACCCTGCCAATTGTTCCCTGCGGCGCTGCTAACAGAAGGCTTCAGCAACACTTTGAAAAGCTGAAGCAGACATACCCTGGACGAAAGCTCTTGGTGGTGTCTAATACGGCTGGCTCTACTAGCTGGGATAAAGATCTCAAGCAAGCGGCCGAGGTGGAAAAAAGCACTGGAGTCTTTGTTCTCCCTCATTCTACCAAGAAGCCTGGCTGTGGTGCTGAGATCATGGCGTATTTCAAGAAGTATCCAGAGACTGGAGTGACCGATCCATCTCACATTGCTGTTGTTGGTGATAGGCTCACCACTGATGTGATGCTTGCTAACATGATGGGCGCCTGGGGATTCTGGATAAAAGATGGCGTGGTGCCGTTGAGCCAGAAGAGCATCGTGAGTGCATGAAATCGTTAAATGGTAACTTGTGTATGAATCTGACAATGTGTAGTTCTCAAGGATTGATCACTGCCTGGCGGGATTTCTGCAAGCAAGAGGCGTGAGGCCCCCTGAGCCGCAAGTTTCGTCTGAAAAATACTGAAATCTTTGGCGCCCTGACCAACCCGCGCTCTCGATATGCGCATCTTGCTCTATTTCCCTCACACTGCAACTGTGATTCACAGTCAAAGCATGAGAATCACCTGTTGCAAGGCCATCAGGCGGTCAACAATAGTATTGAAAGTTGATACACTGATGGACTGAATCAGCTCTCGGAAATCATCACATGTGTTTCGCCGCTATAAAACCTTGCTCTCTATATCCGATTCCATGATCGCTGTTGACTGGGGACTGGATGCTTTTTTTAACTCTTTACCAAACTTTGTAACTTGTCAGCTCTGGAGCATATACCATTGCTACCTTACTCAGACTTCCAGATTGCCAATTTCCTTCCACCAGATACAGCATTTCTTCATTATCCCTTGCGTTTTTACCGTATACACAATGGGCGGCAAAACATGGTCCAGACAAGAGGAGCGCTTCTTCTGGAGAACCATCGTGCCACAGTCACCAAAGGCTGTGAAACCGTCCGATCGAGTTCACGACTGGAAGGTCTGCGCCGAGATCATGCAACAGGAAATGGGAGTGAATGCTCGCCGCAAGTATTCGAAGCTGATGCTCTGTACGTAGCGTAACCCGTGTGAATCTAGGTGGCGGCATGCAGAGACTTTGTTGCTAATCTTTTCTTACCTTCAAGTCGAACACTATTTCCAGAATGTCCAAACTGGACACAAGTCTCCTTGCGCTCGCGAGTTCGTGGTGGAGCATAAGCGCGCTCTCGGTGAGTTTCGCAAAAGGACAAGTGGTGGCCTTTGATATAATGACTGAGAAGGACCTAGTGGAGGCTCAGCAGCGAATTCATGCCGTGGTGCAGATGGAGGCAGCGCAATATGATCATTGAGTGGCACGATGTATCAACCTGGCTAGACCTGGGACATTTGATGAGCATGAAAGAGCAAGGAGGAGAAGAACGAAGATGGCAGTTATTGTTGATTCAAGACGCCAGGTATTAGTACTAGACGATATTCTGATGAGGTTTACAAGTAGAAATGCGGCATATCTCTGTTTGAGCGTGACAGTGCGTTCATGGAAGCTTCTCGCATTTCGCATTTCGTATTTCCCATCTGCACAACTGCCAGTCACTAAAGAGACAGACCTGCTTTGTTGATTATGCTTGACAAAATCAGGTAAAGAGCTTCGTTATTGGTATCACCTATTACCCCCCAATCCAAAATCCAAAACTCCATAACGCCATACTCAAAATTTAATCCTTCCAAATCATCTTTCTGATTTCCTCTCCGCCTACCAACCCAACAGCAGCAGGCCATCCTCCCAACGCACCAAAGACCCACCCATACGTCGCTTCATGCGCATACTTGACGCCTCCCAGCAACAAATTGGCAACATCAAAGGCCAGACTCTCCTTGGGCGCAACCCTCATCACAAGCTGAGTGCCCGTCTCGTCCACGTCCAAAGACCAGTCGAGGTCGAGCGTATGTCCAGAGCGCGAAATATCCACCGTGTGGTTTTTGGTGGCCGAGTCGACGAGGTTGTATGCCAGCTCGATCTTGTCCGGGTTGCTGTAAAAGGACCAGAAACCGCCCCAGGGAGGCGTAGATATGGTGATGGTGCCCCTTTGACCGACGGCTGTGAGCTTGCCGTTGAGCGTCGTTTCGCCGGTTATGATGAACTCTATGCGCGCGCTGGGGCCCTCGCCAGAGTCAAAGTTGCTGAGCGATGTGAGGACGATTTCGCCGATTCGACCACCGTTGATTGATGGGCCGGCTTCAAAGGGCAGATATTTCTTCCTCTCTGCTTCCTGTAGGCCACAGATTAGCATATTGATTGCGCATTGAAATGAGTCTGTGAATATCTCACGTTTGATCTGCTTGAAATGCCGGCAAAAGTAGGCCACCATTGGTTGTTGCCTTTGGTAATGTCAAAGTGGATGTTTGTTATGAACATTTTGAGCCCCGGTGGGAGCTTGTCCACCACCAGAACTTGGCTGACTGATCCCCAGACCATTTTGGCAATGTAGTGTTGCTTGTATGAGTGAGATGGTAAAGAATAGAGAGATGCTGCGTGCGTCTATTTTATGAAGGAGAAGGTGCTGCATTTATGATGAATATATAGCATCTTACACTGCAATGGTTCATAATTCGGCCAAGCGATATCATCACATGAACTATGGCATCGCTCTAGATCGGTCGAGATATCATCCGGCACTTCAGCTGCTGGCACCAGTACTCTCAACTGGCCAATTACCGCATGCTGATCGACCCCATTGCCCTCAGCTGAAAAGATCATGGCCGACTCTTGCCACCCAGATTGTCCAGATTTGTCAACATGACTGCCAGGCCAAAGCAAGGGAGGAATCAGACCGCCCGCAACGGCAACCATCTCTCTCAGCCGCTCTCAAACCTGGCTACACGGCAAAAGATGGCAGTCCAGAACTCGCGACCCCCAGCCCGGCAGATGGCTAGATCGCAGTCTCCAGGCAATATTTCCCAGGGACCGTGGCTTGGCTAGCGGACGGGCCGCGCCTAAGTGGAGCAGAGAGGCTTAGGAGAGACAAAAAGGCTCCAGCTCAGCTGGGCCAAGAGTCGATAATTCGCCTGTGGCGTGCCTGGAAACGGGGTGGTCCGTTGATAGTTGCCTGTAGAGTTGTTCGTTTGGTCTGGTAGCGTCCCAGCTGTGATGCCTGCCCGAGGCGCTCATCTCGTCTTATGTCCCCATTGGACCAGGTACATGCGTGTATATATAGACTGTATATGAACGGCACCAATGTCGTGTGAATTTTATCAAAGTAATAAAACTCTCTGTTTATTTCATTTGCCTTTTTTACTTGTTTTTTTATTCCTATTTCGCATCACATCACAGTATATCCCAGCGCCATGGTCTATCTCCCCGCCACAAGACACCTCAACGGCGTCCGCCTCCTCGCTCTGGATGGCGGCGGCGTCCGAGGCGTGGCATCCCTCATCATCCTCAAGGAAATCATGAAGAGAGTCCAAGCGCGAAAGGGCCTCAAGGAGGAATGCCGTCCTGCAGACTACTTTGAGCTCGGCGCGGGCACCAGCACTGGCGGTATCATCGGCATCATGCTCTTCCGGCTTCGCATGACGGCCTCGGAAGCCATTGCAGAGTACGACGACATTTCCAAGGAGGTGTTTAGCCCCAAGATGTACGGCTGGAACATTACGCGCGTGATGCCCAACAGGTTTGCTTCTTGGATCAACAACAGCAAGACGCTGGTGCAGAGCAGCCGGTTCGATGATGCATCGTTGAAGAAGGCCATTAACAAGGTTGTGGCCAAATATGGCCTGGACGAGGAGGACAGGCGGTTAGAAGGCGATGCACCTTTACTACACCCCAAATCAGGCAGAATGTGGGTTCTGCAACACCTTGTCCGTTATACCTTGGATGAATGTATCTAATAAGATGATAGGATTGTCTGCACAACGGCCCAAAACAGGGCTGAAACAGTCCTGCTGAGATCCTACAAAGACAACACAATCCATGTCAAGTCCAAAGTCAACGATGCCATGAAGGAGCACTCTGAGAAAATCACAATCAGCCTGGCCACACGAGCCACTTCCGCCGCACCCACTTACTTCCCCGAAGTGAAGTGGCCAGAGCACGACCCCAAGTTGACATTCTGGGACGGCGGTCTCCTCAACAACAACCCCATCGACCAGCTGTGGTACTCGAGATATGAACTCGTCCAGCCAAGCGAGCCATCCCCTCCAGTCTCGTGCGTCATCAGTCTGGGCACCGGCTACGTCAGGCCCGACTCGCCCTCAGAGTCATGGTTCCAGCTTGCGGGCGTGGCATCTTCCGTCATGGGCTTTGCGACAAACACAAATGCAAAGGGCAAGGACTTTTCACGGCACATGACGGCGTTGAACAATCGTCCCGAGCATGCAAAGACGAGATATGTCAGATTAAACCCGTCGCTGGGTGCTAGCGATATTGGACTGGCGGATTACACAAAGATGGAGGAGCTGAAGACGTTGGCGACCAAGTATATTGAGGACAAGGACAACCAGCTGTGGATTGACAAGGCTGTCCTCGCAGTGTGCGATGAGTAAGGGTTTGTGATGGTTTTGCTTGGAAGAAATTGAAAGAGAATCTATGTATATGCCAGCGTGCGCAATGGATGATATTTTAGAAGTTGGAATGGATGAAACTACATGTTAATTTCGGTGTTAGATACAACAAGAAAGCCTTGCCTTCTGCATGTCGTTCCTCATTTAGTACTGTTCTTGAAATTGTCTCATTCAAATTTCGGAATACTGAACCAAAACACCATTAAACATGTTATTCTCGAATATCATATGCGTCCTTCATAAAGTGCTCGAGACTTCACCCGCATCGACCTCTTCGCTCCGCTCCGCCCCGCCCCGGCCGGCGGCACCGATAAAAAAAAATCCCCGCCGCGGGGGACCAACCCACCCGCCAAGGCGGTCAAGCCCGGCAGAAATAATTCCTTCTCCGAATCCTCGATAGCAGCTCCAAGGTGACAACCTGCTGCCATAACAAGACCATCCCCCCATCATTCGGCAGCGCATTTCTTAAGAGACACTCTCTGGCCACCGCCGTAGACGAATTCACTTCCATACCACATCGCCCTTGCCCATCATGAACGTCCCTTCACCTTTCGGCGGCAACACTCCCTCCATTCCCCAGTTTGGTAACCAAGATCCAAATGTCAGAGCTGTAGGTCCCGCTGCTACCTTTACTTTTCTTTTCTTCTCAGCGCATATACAGCTTTGCTAATTCGCTTTCGCGGGTCTAGATCCAAGGCGCAATGGAGTCATGCTATGGAAAGTCCATCATGTCAGGTGTAATGGGTTTCGGCATGGGCGGACTGTTTGGTCTCTTCATGGCTTCGGTACGTTTCTAGCCCATATTCCTCGTTTCCAGCTGCTCAAGCTAGCTCACTCCCAACATCTTTGCACTTGTACTAACCTGGCTTTCTTTTTTTTTTCTTTTGCTATAGATGTCCTACGATACACCCTTCGGCAGTCCCCTCCAAGGCGCCAACGGCCAACCCGCCGTCACCTCACTCCCCCTCCGCCAGCAGCTCAAAATCGGCTTCAAAGACATGGGCACGCGATCTTGGAGCATGGCAAAGAACTTTGGAAAGGTCGGCGGCCTGTTTTCCGGAATCGAGTGCGGCATCGAGGGCCTGCGAGCCAAGAACGACCTGGTCAACGGCATGGCGGCGGGATGTCTAACGGGAGGCATCCTGGCCAAGAATGCGGGACCGCAGGCTGTTGTTGGAGGCTGCGCTGCGTTTGCGGCGTTTAGTGCGGCGATTGATGCGTACATGAGGCAGCCGAGCGATGAGTAAACACGGCGGGACGCTGTCTTGCCTCTACAAAAATGACAGTGGGCGACAGAGAGAGAGAGATGTTGTACGATGATACGAGGATTTTTGAACTACATTAGGTTTGGCTTTGTCCTGATTACGGACTGAGGAGTTACGGTAGAGTGAACATATAGAGCATCTGGGCTGGCGTTGGAGGCACTGACATGGTACATCTCTCCACTTTTGTGTGGTCTTTTCAAGATACGAGGAGAGAGAGAAAAGGAGGGGACAGAGGTAACAGCATGCTGTCATCTCTCTTCATTGAGGAATCTGGGTGTGTATGATAAATACCCAGGCTGCTATAGAAGCAAGTTATCTGTATTATAAGAATCATATTATTTAATTATCAAATATTAACGGCAGGCCCCTTTTCGTCAAGGGACCATATATTCATTCCTTATTTGTACCGTTTTTTTCCTTTCTTTTCTCATTACTACGTGAAATAAATCGGCATTCATCCTGTTTCTGTAACCTTTTACGACAGTAATTTTGAGCCTCACTTCATTGAACGACTGGAGATTGTGCTGGCTATGATGACTGGTAGACTTGGAATTTGCCAACTTCCCAGTAGGCGTCAGTGAAAGACTCTGGGTTGTTGGCAACAATGTCTGTGCAGTTGCTTGAGCCTAGAAGAATAAGAATGTTAGTAAAAATTTCTGCATACGTACTCCCCGTATGGATGGGTATATATAAGAAGAGCACGGAAGAAGAAGCCATGTCCAGAAACACTTACAGCCAGACTTATCCCAAACTCCATACACCAAATCGCCACAGAGATCAATGTTCAAAATGATGGAGTTGTTCCTAAAGTGGTTCCCAACATTGCAGTCCGTGCTTGGGAAATCAGCCGCCGCCTCGCCCCAGGTGCTGGGATCGGGCTTCTGGCTGGTGATGTCCGAGGGGATGGCGCTGCGGGCAAACTGCCACACACGAATGCCCGCATCACGCCACTCCATGGCCATGATGCCACCGCCGTTCTTGTTGTAGGCCGAGCCAAAGGTGCTGGTCTCGCCCTGGACGCCGCAGCCGGCGTTGCCGTTCTTTGACGAGTCGCAGTTGTCCTGCAGGGCCTTGTCGGCCTGCTTGCGCTTGACGTCCATGGAGCAGCTGGGCGAGGTGTGCAGCGTCATCTGGTTGCCGTCGTCGGCCTTGTTGGTCGCCTCCATGACGTCGATCTCGCCGTTCTTGGGCCAGTTGGACGGGTCGGTGAGCCACAGGGCCGGCCAGGAGCCGCAGCCGGTGGGCGTGTGGCGGACGTCGAAGATGAAGAGGCCGTCGTTGTAGGTGTTTTTGGACTCTACGCGGACAGAGAAGCGGCCAGTGGAGGCGTTGGGGACGCTCTTGGGGCCGACGGAGGTGTCGACTCTGAGGACCGCGGCATCCTGAGATGCAAAGGTCAGGTTCTGTTGATGAATGTTAGCGACATCAGACAAGGGCATAAGACGACAAGCAGGGTGAATGGGTCATGAGTCATCGAGACACTTACAAGCCGCTGGGCTTCAACCTCCGGGACATAGTGCACAAAGCCCTGGGCAGGGTCGTAGCCAGTATAGTAGTTGAAGTTGTCAAAGAAGTTTTCGCCTTGGACTAATGGGGTTGTGCGCGAGCATTTATTAGCATTGTTGTTGTGGAACAGATAGATGTCAACATTCAATCGTGAGTGAGTTGAATAAACGCCAACAAACACTGAACAACCAAATGTGACGGAAAAGAGAAGAGAAAACTCACATGTATCTTTCAGAGTGTAAGTAAGCTGAGAGTAATCGGGATACGAGCTCTTCTTCCCCTGCGTCACACCCACAGCCACGCCAATGACAATGGCGATGACGACCACAGCCGCAACGCCGATCCATACTTTTTTGTTCTTCCACCAGGGAGCGCCATATCGGGCGCCATCACCACCGCCAGATCCGAGATTGACCTCGTCGTACCTTGGAGGGATCTCGCCCGGCTTGATGCGGTCCATTTCCGTGTAAAGATGCGAGCGAATGGCTTTTGTTGCAGAGAAGAGAAGAGAGAGGGTGAGAATGAGAGGGACAAAATAACGAGCGAGTGCCCTTTTCACCCTTTTTTTGCGTATTTGTCTTGGCACCAACACGGTCCAAAGAAGAATACGCAAAGATATCGTGTTAAACGACCAATCGCTTTGGAAGGATTCCGGCAAATGACCGACAAGTGGTTAATATGGTCGGCGATAGCCTCTTTGGGAAGAACCACGCCAGGCACGGCAAAGTCGACGATAACGAGCGCAGGGTAGAATATCCGGAGCCTCCAAGCTTTGAAGAAGCTGATGGGGAAAAAAGGCAAAAAAGATATATGAGAGAGGGAAAAGAGAGCGAGCGCTCTGGGATGTTTAAGGGATGACAGAAGCACAAGAAAAACCCTTGGAAAGCTTACGGGCAGTGAATGAATACGAGAGTGAGAGCGAAAAAAAAGGTGGATTAGACATGGCCGGCCACTCAGAATCTACAGCAGCAGATACGAGTCCGGCTTTAACGTCCATCGTACGAAAAAAAGAGACAGCGCTCCATTTCTCCATTCCATGCAACGTGCTCGGCACTAGGCGCAAATCGGATACAGCGGCAACCCTGAAGCGCTTCGCCTCGATACTTGGGAACGTTGATACTGTAGATACCTAGATACCTAGATAAACAGGCATTGAATAATTGTACCTGGTTGAGAGGCGATTGGTTACTCGCTTGAACATCAACGCAGAATTGGATAGCTGGGTACAGGCTATAATGAAGACGACGGTAAGAATGCAGCTAAACCACGTTTATCTTGAGCTCCATGTCAAAATCTCGATACAGCCCAGCTCTTAAACCGTGGAGCGACACTCTCGAGTTTCACATGACGCGCGTCAGTGTTGCAGGGCCATGTTGATCCCCCAAGCCCAACGAAGCTTTGCTTTCTGTCGCCATCATGCCGCTTTCGGCCATGTCTCCTCTTCAATGATTCCAAGTGCACGGCTCTGCAATTTTCATTTTCATCACAACCTTTTTAAGGCTAGTTCAGGGCCGTCTTTTGGCCTTTTGTGTGTGTCTGATGTCTTTGACGTCAGGTACAGATTAAGTGACGCTAAATATAGGCGCCCCCCATTGGACTACTAAGGTATTAGAGCAGCGGCTACATGACATGTGCCTGGCCGCTGTGGCGCAGAGTATTCTCCGAGATTAGACACTTACTGCCCCAAGCTTTACCTGTAGCTAAGCTGCATGTAAACTTCAACTGGCCTAATTCCCCAGAACGACAGCGTCGAGACTCACTACATCGAGAGTTTCTTTCCGCAGGATAATCGACTTATCCCCATCGCATACATCCTGCTAGCCATTAGCTAGGAAAAAAAAGACCAGCCACTTGAGCAGCGTGAAAGCGGCGTGTCGCCATCGTTAAAAGGTCTCCCAATCACTTACGGAGAGCCTGGCATTTGTCATGACATCGTAAAGCCCACAGTTAGGCTGTCAAATTCCAACTATTGCCTCGAGGCCCCCACTACCTATTGAATAAATGAAGATACTATTGTACATGAGAAGCAGCTATTGGAGAGCACCGCTTCATATCCAAGTTCATGTAGCCGCTTTTAAATCCATTGTGGTAGCCTAAAATTGTTTTGAGACAGAAGCTGTTATAGTCAACCGTAGTTAGTTGACTATAACAGCTTCTGTCTCAAAACACAGTGCGCAAGAGCAGTGCTACCCGCCCGTCTGATCGTTTAATAATTTGAAACGGTGGGAATATATATATGCAAGTCTTTCGATATATACTTCAAAGGGAATTCCCCATTGGTACCAATTGTCAATGTTCTCTTTCTATTGCAATACCAGAGATGGCAAGTTGTAGTATATGTTTACTCTTCCACCAGCTGATAGGCGCAATGGCAGTAGTTGGGCTATGATGGGCCATTTCATTACGGCTACTCAAGGGAAGAGGACAAGACTGATAAAAGAATCATCCAAAGAGGCGGAAAGCCTTCTGAAGGAAGCAGTCCATGTTCACATCTTGTTGGGAGGCGGTTGCAAAGGGCAAAAGAGGCATGTTTGATACCAGAGCATGGATAAGCATGCTAAATAAGGCTCTATGGGCAATCCGAACTCATTCTATTTTAAGCTGATTGGATGACGAAAAGGCAGCTCTTTCACAAGTTTAAGCCTTGGATGCTTTTGAAGCTTTTACTCAACAACGTTCTCGCCACTGGGTCCGGCAGCTATATCTGTACCGTTTGCTTCTCCTAATAATCTTCCCCTTGGAAGGACCAACAAGAGTCTGGAAGCTTTGTTTCGAAAAAACGCTTGCAACGTGATTAATTAATAGTATTGTGTGCCGTTAGAGTACAGAGATATATGAGGCATGAATATTAGCCAGACTATAAATAGTAGGTAGATAGTCGACATCTCCGCGCAACAGTACAAATTGGATCCGCACGTCTTTGCAGCACATGAGGCGAATGTAAGAAAACAAGGGGGGAAAAATCAGTACCAAGAGAGGACGCGCAGTCGTGAAAATGTCAAGGTCATCGCTTTCGCTACCCTCTTAGCCGCGGATAACGATCCTATCAACTAAACTCTCCCATTGCCAAACCCAACCAACCACCTACCCCTTGACTCACATCTTTTGCTCTAGCCAAAGCCTAATCTTGAATCACACACGTATATATAGTAAAGGAAAAAAAAGACCAAAAGACCAAAAGAACAATAAGAGATGGAGTTGATTCAATGGAGAACGTAAAGCATCAAGTCATCAACTCCTTGACATTGGAGATTGCATTGCCATTCCTTATCCCAATATTTTCTAAAGCCTATTGTCGCTGCACATATTCGTTGAATCGCCCAATGTGTTTTGTTTTTTCGTTTCATGGTGATCGAGTCTTGCGATCTCTGCATTCCGAACTACGTTAGCCGCTAAAGACATTCAAAAAGAACGAAAAGACGCGTTAACAACAAGAACAAGCACAAAAAAAATATCACAAGGCTTGAAAATGCCGAGAGTGAAAGCAAACCGAATTGCGAGGGCATCTTCTTGGGGGGAATACTCACGTGCTAAGTCTCCGGGACAGCTGGTGCAGCTTCTTATCATTATCAGCCTCTTCCGCGGCTTTCTGCAAGGCGATCGCTCTCTCCTCTTCCTGATGCTTCACAACCTCATCATGAGTAGGGGGAAGGTGTTCATTCTGCAAATCGACCTTTCGGGCATCCTCAAACGAGCTAATCGCATTCTTGATACCTTCAGCACCGAGCATTAGGGTGCCGGCGGGCAGCCTTCCACCAGATACAGTTTTCAGCTCCGTAACGCGCTCAGACTCTTCTCGCAGAACCTGGAAGACGCGAGACATGCGGCCAATGGCCAGGATCTTGTTCTTGATCGCCCTGCGCTTGAATTCGATCGAGTTGGGATCCTCCAGACCGCTGGTAAGAGCCGGCGAGCTGGGGCCAGGCGAGTGTGAAGAAGGCGTCTCTTCCTTCAGCTCCTCCTCCGAGCACGTGCTCAGAATGGCAATGAGCATGTCGGTAATCTTTTCACCAACAAAAGGCAGCGACCAGGTGAAGACATCCATGAAATTGGGAAGCCAGTACGGGTGCGGCGTGCAGTTGAATTGCCGAATATTCATTACGTTGTTCTCATATTTTAGCACGGCGGCTTTGTTGTTATAAACGTCGAGGTAGTTTGGCGCCGAGAAGATGGTCATAACACTGGGGAAGCCGGTCGTCCGCGTTTTGCGGTACATTCTGTATCCGGCATCCTGGGCTTCGTGGGCACGGATGACAGAGAGCAAGTTGTTCTTTTCCAGGAAAGCACAGGCGGCGTGATATGAAAAGAAATACGAGCACCCTCGCACGTGGTTATGCAAAAAGAAATCGCTGGATTTTTCTTGTCCAAAGTCTTCGAGGGGGTCGGCCCACAGGATGTCGCACATGAGACCTTGGGTAGGGGGCTCTCTGAATCGATCAATCTGTGCCCGTCACATGTTAGTCTCGGATCAGACAGGTTTTCGTACTTTTGAAAATAGTTTCATAGTAAACCAGCAGTTGGACAGCAAGACTTACACTTCTAAGGTCGTCGAGGGTATGCAGCTCAGGGCTCAGTCCACCGTGGATACACAGGAACTGCTTGTTCATCACGGCAGCCAGGGGAAGACAGCAGAACGACTCCATACAGGCTTCGTAGACGGCTTCTGAGTATTTGTGCTTGCACTCCAGCTTGAAGGTGAAGTAGTCGGTCAAATGACGGCACTCGTGGTTGCCTCGCAGGAGCCATAGTGTGTTGGGGTAGTGAATCTTGAGGGACCATAGGTAAAGGACACACTCGATGGAGAAGTAGCCACGGTCGACGTAGTCGCCGAGGAAGAGATAGCGTGTTTCGGCAGGATCACCTCCAACCTCGAACAGCTTCATCAGATCGTAGTACTGGCCGTGAACATCACCGCAGACGGTGATGGGCGCATCCATCTCAAGAAGGTTGGGCTCTGCTCGCAGAATCTCCGTGCCCTTCTTGATAATCCATATCGCCTGCTCCTCGGTGAGTCTGCCCTCGCGGTAAAAGTGCTGCTTCAGAAAGTTGATGTCGGGCTTCTCCTTGGTATCATCTTCAAAAAACTGCTCATCGGTCGGCTTGAACATGGCCGGCGCCTGGACATCTGTACATAGGGCGGTGCCATGAGAGTCAGCGGCGTCGCGGTTGAGGCATTGTGAGACATTGATGTCGGAAAACAGCACCCCCCCTATCGACAACAATAATGGCGGGGTAGTTGACAGAAGCTGAACTCGACAAAGCACGGGGTGCAGCCAGACGTACCTTTGCACACTCGCTCGAGCGTGCTGACCTGAGTGCCGTCCTCCATCATGTGGATGGTGAAGTCGATCTCGGGCAGAGGCTTCTTCTCCTGAATCGCGCGAATGGCATTGTCGACCTGGGCGGTTCGTCGAGGCGCCTGATCGGCAGCGTGGGCGTCGCCTTCGGTATCCATGTTGGCGACTGGTGGGCTACGGAGCTGGATAAAAGACTAGAAGCAGAAAATAAAGAAAAAAAGAAGGACTCTCTGGATGGCGAAGACTTTTGAGGGAGCGAGTCAGAGGAGCTGCCGGAGACTTCTGCTCGGCGCCGAGGGTCCAAGAGTTCGCAGAAGCCCAGGAGCTGGAAGGCGTGGCGGGTGGCGGTGAGAGCAGCGAAAAGCAGCAGGCCTGCAGCTGCTAGCAGTTGACGGAGATGCTGGGGGCGAGTCGAATCAGGACCCGTGGCAGCGACGTTTTGGCGGAAATCCCAGATAAAAATGTGCTCGAGGGCCAAAAGTGTGTTCGAGGCAAAGGCGAGACAGGCCGACAGGAGACTGAGAACTTGGCGGTGCCCGCGCGGGAGCTGGCCACGGGGGCGGACTGGAGCTAGCACGACTTATTACACACTGGACTGCTCCAGGGCTATCAATTAGGGGACTGCCACTCCGTACAAGTACAGCGCCTAATTTAACTGGCGGCCGGTACCTCATGCCTTAGCAGCACCTTGGCCTCGACTGCTGCAGAATTCGCTGCTGCTGGTTGGTTGGAGGCATAGCAGGACATGTCTTGGACGGCCTCCAGCTCAATCATGGCTGTGGCCCGCAACGAGGATGCGGCTGACGGGGCTCGTTATTTTTGGCAACGTAAATACTTAGTCGTAGTACATATTTTAATTTTTGGTGTCACTACCTTATCTTGGGAGTGTATTTACACTGGGTGCTCCAGATACATCTCAGAGACATGTCAGTCTCTCATGTCAATACTTCACAGGCAGACAAGCATTTTAAGCTCCAGATATTCCTTGCTGCAGAGCCTGTCCGAGAAAGGGGCGGGGGGAGTACAGGTTCATTGACATCACTGCTATCCCTAATATCCCCTTCCCGTACCCAATACGAGCTACCACTGTTAGCCCGCTACCACAAGTGCCCCCGTGCAACTAGACTGTCCCCCAACATCCATCTACAAAGTGCCCAACTCCGTAACTCCATCCTCTGTATCATTGAATCTCTCACCAGGCTTGGCTGATTTGAAATGCACGCAGGCCTGTGAGTAACACCGCGGCCGCCCCCAAACCTGCTCCTTCAGGCTTCATCTTCAGGCTGGCCTTGCCCCTCAAATCTTTCTACTACTACCACTGCGGGTTCCCGCTGGAGCCCCGCTTCAATTCCGCCGCCACTAGACCCTTAGGAACGGAAGCTTGCCTTCATGTTGAGTGCTACTGTACATTTGCTGCTTAGCTAAACTTGAGCTCATGTAGTCGTAACTGCACCGTTGGTTGATGTCATTTGTTTTAATGTAAATTCTCTAAGCCTGCGTCTTTATCGATATGAACAAGACTATCTCGCCGCAGTAATATACTATGTAGTTTATACAGAGACGCCCATCTTTCGCAACAATTCTATTGTCTATCGCAAACCATGCCCATTAGTTCCCATTGTTTTTTAAATTTTCCTCTCGCCATTGTTTTTATTCCCATCCATGTATGTAGCCCATTATGGCAGGCTGTAGCCGCCATCGACAATCATATCAAGACCGGTCGTGTAGGAGCTCGCATCACTCGCCAGGTACAGGTATGCGCCCTTGAGCTCTCCGGCGTGACCCTCGCGGCTATGCGAATATTAGCATCTTGACCCTGTTCTTTATAGTGCCTAGCTATAACAGAAAGATGCAACTTACCCCATGACAGTCTTGTCCTTCCAGACCTTCTTTGTCTCCGTAGGCACAAAGGATGAGATCTCGGTCAGGATATATCCGGGGGATACGGTGTTGGCCCGGGCAAATCCAACCCACTCGACGGCCAAACTCTTGCCTAAAACAGCTCTTGTTAGCCTTCTGTGCAGCCCTCAAAGGCCATCATGGACCCTGGTGACATACAAAAGTGGATCACGGCCGCCTTGGAGCCGTTGTAGACAGCCTGCAGCTGCGGAATGTTGACGATGCTGCCGCTCATCGACGCCGTCGCAATAAAGCTTCCGGTCGTGTAGTTCTCCAGAGGCTTGCCGTCAATCGTCGTGCCCTCCTCCTTCTGGCGGCGGAAGTGGGCGCCGGCGCTCTTTGCACACCACATGACGCCGTCCACGTTGACGGACATGACATCGCGGGCCATGTCGGCAGGGCCGTCAATGAAGGCGCCCTTGGTCCATGGGATGCCCGAGTTGGCGACAAAGACGTCGAGGCGGCCGTTGAACTCCTTGACAATGTCCGCGATGGCCTTGTCGACGGCCTCGGCCGAGGTGACGTTTACCTGGTATGCCTTGCCTGTTATTTGAACCAGAGTTTTAGCACCTCGGGTATCTACCATGGCATACATGGATAGAGGAAAAGAAGAGAAATACGCACACTTGACGCCGTACGTCTTGGCAATGGCTGCAGCCGACTCTTCGGCCTGCTTGTTGCTGTTATACCAGATCGCAACGTTGGCGCCGGCCTCTGCAAAGGCCTCTACGACGGCGAGACCGATGCCAGCACCGGCGCCTGAGACAATTGCGGTTCTTCCCTTGAGCGAAAAGAGGGGCAGCACTCGGTCGACGTTGGGGACGGGGGTATTGTCGTGCTTGAAAGCGCCGTTGGTGATTTCCGCCATTTTGAATGGATTTCTTGCAACAAATAAATAATGGCTTGGCTAACTGATAATCTCGAAGAAACCAAGCAAATGGGTAAACGAAGAGGGTATCAACACTGCAGAGTAACTTGGGAAATAAAAAGTGACGCTATCGCGAAAGAATTGCGACTGCGGGGGAAGATGGAAAGCCACGCCCTCTTTATAATCCTTGGCCTCCTCCTCATCATCATCTCCGGCCTTCAGAGCCGCCGCTACTCTCCGCAGGTACTCCATCTCCAACCACCAGACCGAGACTTCTGACGGCGGGACCCTCCATGCGACATTTTACCGCATCTATTTGGCCGCGGTTGACACGCGCTCCAATGTCGAGTCGCTATTCTTTGGGCTTCGTCTTTCTCCAACATGGCCTGTCTCTTAGTCCGTGTGGAGCTGAGCGGGATTCGTCGCTGACCCCACGTTGGCATTGATTCATTTGCTCCATATCTACGTACGGAGCAGGCCTATCTGCTTCGTATCTATCCGTACAACATATGTTCGATGCTACGGTGGCATTGGTACACGTGCTACTATGCACCGGCAATATTCCATCCGACTTTATCTAGCAATAGTCCGATATCCCTGGCTGCCACATACTACTACTACCTAGTAGCTGTTCCTCATCTGGTGCCTGAATATCGACATCTGCAAACTCGTGCTCCTTTGTTCCTTTGGCAATGATAACCAGCTTCGGTTATCAATGGCCCCCGCCAAACATCGACGTCTTGGGTTACTCCGCCAGAAGCCAAAAAACCCCGTAGCGGATCCATCTCCGTTTGCGATGCCGGACTATGGCCAAGTCGGGAGGTTGCGCCTGAAGATCCCCACGTCATAGTGGTGGGGGGAGATTCTGCAACGCTGCGTGTATTTCAGGTTATTATTTACTTTTGCTTGTGATTTCCGGGAGGCGGTAAGGTGAGCGCTTCTGTTGAGTGAGGCTATTTGTTGTGATGGAAATCTATTAGACCAGATGTATCAGCGGTATCTTGAAACGGCGCCTAAACCGAAATCACGATCGGGATTATGGCAGTGTGCATCTACAGCTTCCATCTTTGTTGAGTCTATAGAGTTCAGTCGATATATACTTGACAACTTTATCCAACTTTATACACGACTAAGAGCTTCTCTGCAGGAGATCCATCTGCTCTTTTCTGTCGAATGTTATCGTAGCTGCATATTCGACGCAATGACATCTTCTCGTGGGAAGTTGGTCATTTTCCAGCGAGAGATAAAGTCATCACGGCTGACTATTTTCCAGAATGTTAGTTTCTTTTCCTAATCATACCATCTCTGGAACACAGCTAAATTGGTGAAACAGCAAGTTGTGTTGCTAGACTTACTATACGCGCCGCAGATGCGCCGCAGCCCCTCAAAGGCGCTTCGCCCATGAAGCACCCGCCAGTTGTCAAAGACTGTTGCGAAGAGTTTAGCATCACAGCGGACTTCAATTCTGTGTGATTTCAGCACACTTACTCAGCACTCGTCCTGGCTCAAGTTGGAACCAGAACTCGCTCTCTTTACTTTTCAGTATCTCATCCCATTTCCGTGCCGCTTGGTACCACGCATCGACGTCGATATCCGTGGGCACAACGCCTCGGTCGTCATTGTTCCACCTGATCCTGTGCAAGTTGCCGCCATTGGTTTCAATCACTGGATATGCCATATCTGGCGCAATTGCAACGCCTTGGTTGCCGCTAGCATGCCATGGCAGCTTGACTTTGCGCAGTATCTCAAAATCTCCTGGCGATTCCTTTCTAAGAGTCTCGGCGGCATGGAATCCATCGACGAGCAATGACTGCCCGCCAAGAACCTCATCAGCGGGCTTGTTGGCAGGTGGTGTGTGAGACAGCAGATGGAAAGCCTGTAGACCAGCCGGTTCCGTAAAATATGTTGTATCTGTATGAGCTGGGAGAGCCAAGTTGGTGTAGGCCGTATCAGCGAGGGCTAGATCTGGAATGAAGTCGTAGAAGCCGCCATAGTGCGTGTTTCGTATAGGCCCGATGGTTTCCAAGAGCTTCTCTGTCGCCTCTGGAGTTTTTGGCGAGTCGGTAACGAAGCAGAGCCCATATTGACGCTATTCATGGTTAGTTTTCAATCAACTACTTCGATATAAATGTAGTCGGTACGTACAATCTTGCTGGTCAAGTCGGCCAGTCCCTTCGGAGAAGTGCTGCTCATGACATCGTCAAACCGGACTTCTGGAGGAGCTGAAGCTATCGTGGCGCCCCAGAGCTTTCTTTCGCTGCATACAATGTTAGTTGGCCTGACAATTAAAGCTAACAGGTACATAATTTAGCGCACTCTTGGTTCGCAAGCTTCTTATGGCTTATGTCGCGAAGAGTGAGGCTTAACCAAGACCAAGGGTAGTGACTCTTGTGGGAATCCGACCCTAATAGAAAACAGTAAGTTTGCATCTCATAGCGCGAGAGGGCGGTGGTTTGTGTCTCAAGTACATAAAACGTCGACGCCGTCATTCTTGGGCGAGATCTCCTGGGGCGAGAGGTCTTTCGGTATCTGCAAAGCACAGCCAAATCAGCTGTCAATGTCCAAGAAGAGCGTTCAAGGGCCAATGGCTACCGCGAAAGTGTCAAAGTTGCGCTGCAGGGTATCTTGGTTTACGCATTGCGCGCAGCGGCAGTTGTCGCTGCATAAAGAGATTCGCTGGTTAGCCTTGTGTTACATTCCATGCTCGATGCTGTCATGTGTATGCAGCATGTGAGCGCACACACCGGAGCCATAATTTAGATCTTGCAGTCTTAATTAGCGATTTCCCTCACACAAAACTATCCGGCAGAAAGAGAGACATAACTACTTACAATTCTGCTTTGAAAGGAGATCCAGGCTCGCTGCTCTTGAAAATGAGCCCCTTGGAGCCCGCCTCGAGGCTTGCTGCGTAAAATCGTGGTCTCGCGACAGCAGCCGAGGCATGCCGGTGAATGAGACCACTCCGGCCGCTGAGACGGCCACAGCTGCATGTAGCACAAAGATGATCAACCAAGAGTTTATACGTGAAGATCAAGAATTCTTGTTGCTCACCCAGCAGTGATACGGCCTTTCAATATGAAATGCATAGCTCGAGCAGGAACACAGTGATGTGACAAAACTAGTCCTCGATTCCATTGAACCGGCGGAAGAAGCTGCCTTTCGATAGGTATGGAGCAATAGGACGATGGCACGAGCTAGTAGAGCTACTGCACTGGGGTGAGGTGCCATTAGGTAATACAGTTGCTGGCTCTAAAGTCTGGGGTTGAAACATTGCTTTGGATCTGCATGTCCTTTGTAGTTTCGTTTCTAACGCCGATTACTATCATCTTTGAAGCTATCTAAGCGGCAGTATCATTGCCGATTTAATTCCATCAGAGTAGGTGCTGTTTGATCGGTTGTGAGTGTTTGAGCCTATTCATCATACTAGCAGAAAACCAAAAGATAGTATTGTTGGTTTGCTTTCCAGCTATAAAATTACATGTGAATCACCATCCAAGGATCATGGATATCTCTCGAGCTGTTTATGTTAAACTCTTATCCATCTATCTGCTTGCATCAATTACTTGGACTACTAGAAAGTACTGTGCGCTCTCTACTATTGAAGATGGAGGGTTCCTGCATCTTTAAATTGCGTGCATGCTCTGTTTTTAGCCGCGCGAAACAAGCGCTGATTCGGCACAGGCCACGGATTAGCAGCCTGCCACTGAAGATAATCCGGCTCCCGGGTCTATTCTTAGCTGTTGAGTTCACACCAAGTAATATTTCGTTGCTTCATTAAAAAACACCTGTACGGAACACTTGTACGAAACACGAAATTCTAGCTCGCATCTCCTTCCTTGCAATAAGCCTTTCTTCCAGGTTGCGATACCTTATTACTACTGCGCGGCTTCACGACTCTTTCAGCGAGGCGTTTCCGATCGGCATATCGAGACCTCCTCGAAGAATATACCGTCGCTATCACGATACTCTGCGCAGCGCCCTGCTGGCCATGGAAGCTTCGTCATCCAAAAGCCGCAGCACGATAGCTTAAATCTTGCGGGAATACAGGCGCGTGGGGTCCTGGGAGAAGGCAAAGTTTGGCAGTATGAATTCGCGACAGGACGGGTTCGATACCTTTTACGACGACCAGGTCGCAGCCCGTCGACAGTTTTACGCGCGAGAACACGCCATCAATCGCACCAACGACGTTGCCGTTCTTCTTACTGTCGTCGCCCTTCTGGTAACCCTTCTATTCAAATACATAAGCCCTGACGGATCGCTTGAGGGGGCATTTTCGACGATCGGCAACTTCCTATGGGACGCGCTCGTATTTATCATCCCTGCGCCGCTGCTTTTCGCAATCGACAGCTGGATGAATTCCGCCACGACATCACCGATGCACAATACTTTGAAAACAAGTAGCCATGCCGCCAAGAGTGAAGCCTTGCGGAGGGTGATGGGGTTGGATCGCGAGGACGGCGTAATGAACTCGGTCCTTCGAGCCAGAACAAGAGCCCTCTCCATGACAGGCAGTGTTTTGGGGCTTAAAATCGACTCAGATCGGCCGGCAGGATTGGGAAACAGAGATAACTCGTGTTACCAGAACAGCGTTCTTCAGGGACTGGCTTCGCTGCACTCAATGCCAGACTACCTCTCGGCGTGTCTCAGGGGCGCTGAAGAGTTTGGCGATGGCATGGACAAAAACGTTGCGCATACGCTGCGGTCACTCATCGCAGATCTAAACGACGTATCGAATAACGGAAAGACATTATGGACGCCCTCTTTGCTGAAATCGATGAACACATGGACTCAACAAGATGCACAAGAGTACTATTCGAAAGTTCTGGACGACATCGAAAAAGGAGCAGCCTTGATAGCGAAAAATGTGACTTCTGCTACACCACTCATCGGACTGGAGGGCGGCGATTATATCGGCAGAGAAGAATATTCTACAAGCGAGCACAGTGACGATAGCGGTTATCAGAGCCAATCGCCAGACTCCAGAGCAGACTCTAAAAGGGCTGTGCGAAATCCCCTGGAAGGCCTTTTGGCTCAACGCGTTGCCTGTGTCCAGTGCGGCCATTCGGATGGGCTGTCCATGATTCCATTCAACTGCCTGACCCTTAGTCTTGGCCTTGACAAGAACCATCATGATCTCTATGATAGACTTGATTCGTACAGCAAGGTTGAAGAGATTGAGGGAGTGGAGTGTCCGAAATGTACTCTGCTGAAGGCACAGAGGCTTCTGACCAAGCTGGTAGAGAGACTGGAGGCTGGTGGCTCAAAGAAAGAACAATTGGCTGAACCTCTACGTAGGTTGGAAGCTGTCCAAACTGCCTTGGAAGAAGATGATTTTACCGAAGAGACGATCAAAGATGGCTGCAAGATCACTGCTCAGAGCAGAGTCAACGTGACGAAGACGAAGCAGATGGTGATTGCGCGACCTCCTCAAAGCCTAGCTATCCACGTGAATCGATCTGTCTTTGATCCATCGACTTTTAACATGATTAAGAATTCGGCACCGGTGAACTTCCCAATGACACTGGATCTAGGTCCCTGGTGCTTGGGAAGCGCTGAAAGTATGAAATCTACAAGCGAGAAGCATGCAGGAGATGACCAAGACAGCGAGGAAGAGTGGCAGCTACATCCCATGTCCTCCATGGTCGCGGGAGATTTGGGAGAATCGCGATTGACGGGCCCTATATATGAGCTTAGGGCGGCTGTCACGCACTATGGGCGGCATGAGAATGGGCATTACATCTGCTATCGCAAATACCCGCCTTCTGATTCAGATGATGTGAATGATGTGGATGAGAAACACGCAATTTCACCCAAAGAAACAACACCCAAAGCGGCAACGGATAGCACCGGCGATGACGACCCAGCGGACCCAAACACAGAGGAAGAAGCCAAGAGCAACAGCCATGGCAACAGAGATTCGTCTTGGTGGAGGCTAAGCGATCAGAATGTGTCACAAGTCAACGAAGAGACAGTTATGAGCCTATCGCCAGGCGTATTTATGCTGTTTTACGAATGCATTGACCCCTCCATGATTCTATCATCGGAGCTGAAAGACAAGGTCACGGAGTTGACGAATGCTACAGCACAAGTCTCAGTTACGAAGCAGGATGAAAGCGAAGTGGACGATGCGACTACTTTGACTCCGGCAACGACGGTAACTTCAGACGCTGTAGAAGCCGAGCTGAAGGCAGCATCCGAGGATATCCTGGCCAAGAGACTCTCATCAATACAAGTCTGAGGTCCTTGCGGTTCTTTTTTCCGCTTTTCTTTTCTATTCCCAATCTTCAACTACATCATATTAAATTGCATAGCGACGGCGTTGGTGTCGGTTTTCGGGCAAGAGAGTCTGCGAGTTTTGGATTCTAGACGGCTCAATGGTTGATTGGGAGAGCGCGTGCTGATGGGACAATGGACGGCACGCCATAACAATTTGGAATATCGAGGATGCTGGTCTGTTTTGTACCGGTTGCGTCGAGTCAAAATAGTATATAGAACTACTCGGTGCCTCTGTGGTATCGTATTTCTCTGCACAACCTGAGATGAGAGACATTGAAAACACTATTCAGGGTTCAGAATCAGATGCCCGCGTAACCCATGCCCGTGACACGCCATGTTCTGCGTCAGCTGCGACTGATGGGCCGAGGAGAAATTTGCTGAGAGGCGGGTTTGCCGGGACTGCACAGCCACGGGGACTAATACAGCCATGCAAAGAGGATTCGCGCTGACGATACCCCGTGATGATTGTTGCGCCGACTACGGCAAAAAAAATCCTGCAATGGTCCAACATATCGCGGATGAAAAATCGTTGCCAGACCCGATGCGACGCTGCACCTGTGGTGTAGTAAACGCCGGTCTGGATCTCGCTGCATGCAGGGCTGCGCTGGCCTGCCGCAAGAATATAATAACCAAAGCTGGAAATGTCCAGGGCCAGATGCGAAGGAGGAAAAAAAAACAAGCACTACGCTAGACAGGGGCGCCCTGAATCTCGGCCCAATCGGCGCCCCGTGAAGAACCATGGCGCTTCTACCCGCATAGATTTAGCGGCCTCAGCAGCTTGCTAGCGAGGCCATGCTGCCTGTAAGCCCGCGGCTGGCAGAAAGCTTGGCGGTCGAGCGCATGCTAGCCACGAACAGAAACGGGGGGTTTATGCGTCTGGTCTGGTCTGTTATACGCCATGAGTAGCGCCCACTCGCTGGTGCAGGACCGGGGGCTAGAAGGCTCTGCTGCTCTAGGTGGCGAGCAATTGTTGCAAGGGGGTGGGCAGACCCCTTTTTTGGTGTATCTGATGTTGCAGGATCAGGTACGAGGATGCTAGTTGCGGCTTTATGCCTAACATGAAAAGTGCTGAGCCAACAACGTAAAAGAACATTGAATTGCGCTGTTGGGAAAAAACAGCCTTTTCCTCGTCCTAAAAGTCTAAAAGCGGCTAGAAGATGGGGTGGGATGAGTGGGATGAACGTGGGCGGCGGAGAGATCGGCCGGTCAATACTTTTTCCCTTTCTTTTTCCTCTTTTCTTCGCCGGATCAGCTACCCGAACCTTACGCGGCGAACGCGACGATGCCAACCAGCAATGGAGACAAGAACGTCACTAAGAAACGGTGGACGACTTTTTCAAGATGAAGGACGTTGGCATTTGAGTCTAGAGCTGGTAGCACTTGGACTTGTTAGATACGAGGTGGGGGGAGGAGCAGAGATTCGTTTGAAAGCCGCTGAGCTCCGTCTGGGTGGGTACGGCGAGAGGAACAGGCCCGCTATAGCAAGTCCGGCGTGGCAGCGGTACTGGGAGGCTACGAAACACTTTGTACCTTTTGACCTGCGGCATTGCTTCGTAGTAGATGGACACCATGGCCTCTTTGTCAATGGGAAACAAGATTTACCCTGTAGCATGATCAGCAGATGCGGATGAATGCGCCGGCAGAATGTAGCGAGAGGCCATTCTTCCAGCGTCGGATTTGCTCGGCGTGTTGGCCAGAAGAGCTCTATGCTAACAAGCTCCAGCTACCTGTACCTCAAGCACTGCAGGCGGCAGGTACAGTCTTTGGCGGTAGAGCGCGGCAAACGTCCGTGATTTAGTCGCTGGTACCTCGTATCCAGTACACGGCTCGTAGCGTGTGCTTGTACGTACTACCAAGGTACCTGACAGCAGAAACAAAGCCGCAGCAACCTCCCGCCTGCCAAACCGCTTTCCGCGGGGCGTTGACGCTTTAGGGGCGCCTTGATGCGACTCGGCCGGACCTTCTGAAAGCTCCTGCCCATGCCAACCAGATGCAGCCAAAGGCAGCAAGGCGCGAGACGCTGCAGTACTTGCCCGTGGCTTTAACGCTTTAACTCTGGCCATGGCCATCTAGACCGATCAGGATTGGTCAGACTGCGCCCGGCCGCGAATTCATCCTTTTCTCTTTTCTTACCTTTAAAGCCCAAATTCTCCTTCTTCTTCCATTCCCTCTCCTGCAATACCCGCCGAGCTGCTTCACCCATCCCTGCCGCCTTTGCCAATTCGCTGGGTCCAGATTCCTCTCCCTTTTTCTTCCTGGTTTTTTTTGGGCGGCGCCGGGCTGAGGGGAAATAATCATCTTCGTCTTCCGTCATTTGTTCATATTCTGCGTTTTGTTTGCATCTCATTGTTTGCGGCTGAGCTTTGTGAATTTGCCCTTCTTTGCTCTTTTTTCTTGGCCGAGCCCGAGCTGCATCTTGATTTCGAAGTCGCCTCTACCTTTTTTTTTTTGGACCCAAGCCGTGTCTTGGCATCGGTGATCCTGTCGATCCGCCAGCCTCGGCATCATAATACGAAAACAGAAGAGGAATCAAGCGAAAAAAACAAGAAAAAGAAATCACAGTCGATAATTTTTGAAAATCGGAACAAATTGCTTCAGCGCTACATAGGGACTTCAATTGGAGAGGCCGATAAATCTTTGTGCGAATTCTTACGACTTAATTAATCGCTCGCATTTACACGACACACTCCCGAGTACTTTCGCGACGGCGCATCCTAGTGCTGCGGGAGAGGCAGTCGGCCGACGTCGAGACGAGCCATTTTACCATTTTCTAATTTGGATTTAATACTTTTCTTGGTCGGGCGGAACACGACATCGAGTTACAGTTCTCAATCGCCTCTGCAAACACTGCAGTGATTCTGATTTCGCTACCTAGCAAGGCTAGCTATGACAATTTCAAATTCCAACGGCGGTTTGATTCCTATGATGGAGATGATACCCTCCGTCAAGATAAATATCCCCATCTGGGCGCATGTAATGTAAGAGACATGCCCTTGTCCGAATGGTCTGTGTAGGCGGGCAGACACTGAGGTGAGATTGAAGGAATGAGAGGGCTAACGATTTGATCCACGTAGAAATTGGATGTTCTTTTCGAATGTTACCATCATCTTCAATAAGTGGCTATTAGACACTGCTGGGTTCAGTAAGTACCCGACCTTTCTGACGAATCTGGCCAACGGGAGTCGCTAACAAGCAATTATAGAATACCGTAAGTTCGAATTCACATGCCGCATGTTCTGGGAGAAAGAAGCAAAAAGGGATAACCGACAATTGTATGCTGACTTTGTGAAACAGCCATCATCCTCACCTGCTGGCATCTCATCTACGCCACCATCGCAACTCAGATCCTCGCTCGCACGACGACACTTCTCGACTCCCGCCGCAATTTCCCCGTTACCGGCCGCCTCTACCTCCGCACCATTCTCCCCATTGGCCTGCTATACTCCGGCTCTCTTATCTGCTCCAATGTCGTGTATCTCTATCTCTCTGTCTCCTTTATTCAGATGCTCAAGGCCGCTTCGCCAGTTGCTGTGTTATTCGCTTCCTGGTCTTGGGGTGTTGCTGAACCAAACTTGGCCAAATTCCTCAACGTCCTAGTTATTGTTTTTGGTGTTGCTGTCTCGAGCTTTGGAGAAATTCAATTTTCTTGGACAGGATTCTTTTTCCAGATTGGAGGAACCACCTTTGAAGCTGTTCGCGTTGTTATGATCCAGGTCATGCTTAGTGGCGAAGGACTCAACATGGACCCTCTTGTCAGCCTCTATTACTATGCGCCTGTCTGCGCCGTCATGAATTTTCTCATCGCACTTGTTGGCGAAGTGCCAAAGTTCAAATTGGAGCACGCTGCCCAGGCTGGCTATGGAATGCTCTTCCTCAATGCCTCCATTGCGTTCATCTTGAACGTCGCCAGCGTATTCTTGGTATGCTTATCCCGTTTGAATCTAGAATTCAAGCCTCTGCTCATCCTTTGTATTTCTCCAATGCTAACACTCATGGTTTCGTAGATCGGCAAAACCTCAGGTCTAGTCATGACTCTTACCGGTATCTTCAAAAGCATCCTGCTTGTCGTTGTCTCTATCCTGATCTGGTCAACCCCGATTACGTTCCTCCAAGCTGTGGGCTATGCCATAGCTCTTGCAGGACTCACTTACTATTCCCTTGGATACGACCAGCTTGCCAGCATCGGCGCATCAGTAGTTGGCTGGACAAGTGAATTCTTTTCAACGAGTGGAGGACGCGGCCATGCGATGCGGTCAAAACGGATAATAGTGGTTGGCCTATCTTCGCTAGTAGCTATGATTGTGGTACTTGAGTTGACTCTGAGTGAACGGGGGAGAAGGCTACTGGGAGGATCTTCGTGGCATGGGGGTCGTCGTTTCAGCCCGAATCATGGGCATCACGCGAACAACGGCAGCCACTAACTGCAATCTATAAAAAATAAAAACGAGAGACGAATGATTCTAGTAATATTTTATGCCATGGTTGATATAAGACAGCATAATAGGCGCTGTCGATTACGAAAATATTATATTATACCCCTTTCAATAAAACCCCAATTGAATCCCACTTTACTGGTCGTGATAGTCAGCAAACAAAGTGTATTTTCCATCTATGCTCCCCATCAAACCGTAAACTACCATAAGCTAAGCTTCAATGAAGCATCCCTTTTTTGTCCATGACCTTTTTCTATCCATTATCCAGGGTATCTCTTCTTGCATCTTCTTTAGAAGCCAATTGATCATCATGAATGCCCCCTTTTTTCTCAATCTGTAACGCACGAGTAACACCAAAGCGGCATTAAAAGGGGGGAAAACTGCTAATCATGAAAATGAAAAATCACGAGAAATTAAAGAAATCCCTGCACGCTAGCAATCTTTCCCAAAAGAGCTTTTTTTTTTTTTTTTTTACCATCATCGACTCCTACTCCGACGGCGGCTTCGGCTGCGATGTCTCTCTCGGCGAGGCGATAGGCTGCGATCTCGTCTGTTGCGCCTATCACGGTCTCGATCGCGATCTCTGTCTCTATCTCGGTCTCGATCTCTGTCTCGGTCTCTGTCCCGGCTGCGGTCCCGTTCACGTTCTCGTCGATCACGGTCTCGGTCGCGTTCTCGGTCTCGGTCACGATCTCGGTCGCGGTCTCTATCGCGGTCTCGTCGGTCCCTATCCCTGTCCCTATCTCGGTCTCGGTTGTCTCGTTCGCGGAACCGGTTCCTGTCCCGACTGTTGCTGCGCGATCTGCTCCTAAGTCTCTCGTCCCGGGCTCCAGGAGCATATCTGTCAACTGCTTGTCCATCACCCTTGTGTCGTGTCGCAAGTGTCTTCTCACCACTATTCTTCTTGTCATCAACCCCGGGGATTGGCAAGCCTTTCGCTCTGGCGTCCTTCTGAGCCGCCAGGTAAGCCTTGGCTTCCTTCTCCCGCTTTTTGACTTCCTCGAGTTTCCACTCTTCGAGCTCATCTTTGGTAGCTGCATGTGGCACAGTTGATGAGCCGGGACGAGATCGCGATCGGCTTCGTCGATCCCGCGTGCGATCTCTTTCTTGCTCTCGTTCTTTGTGATCCTTTTCTCGATCTCGATCTTTATCTCTATCGCCAGATCGATCACGGCTGCGGCGGCGAGGTGATCGAGCGTCTGACCTAGTAGGATAGTAAGAATCTGCAACACCAACACCAACACCAACGCCAACACCACGGCGACTATCCCTTGACCGGCTGCGGTTTCGTCGAGCAGCATGTGAACGGCTTCTCTCCCGACGGTCTGTTCGCAAATGCGAGCGTGAACGGTCTCGACGGTCTCGGCTACGCTCCCTACTGCGGTCCCGGCGGTCGGGTTTCGCTCGTGACCGGCTTCTCTCGCGCCTAGTAGATCGAGCCCGTGACCGGCTTGGAACTCGCCGTCGTGAGTTGCTTCTAGCAGAGCGGTCCCGTTTAGGCCTCGAGCGGCTTCGTTCGCGTCTATCGTCCCTTCGCGGCCGAGATCGACTTCTGTCCCTCCTCAACTTTGAGCGGCTCCTATCCCGCCTATCCCTGATTCTGGAACGACTGCGGTCCCGCCTTGGCGAGTCGGATCGATGATCACGGCGACGTCGATCATCAGTGTCTCTTTGGTGGCTTCGATCTCGGTCCTTGGCTCTATCAAGATCCGCGTCATGAGCTCGGGGCGGACTTCTACTGGAATGACGCTCTTCTCTCAATCCGGATGGTTTCGGGTCCATGGACGACTTTGAGTCCCTTCTTTCGATGGGTTTTCTGGACTCGGCGGTTTTCGAAGAATCCCTTCGGATCGGGTTGATAGCTGAGGCTGGGCCAGTCTTTCTAGGAGGGGGGGCCAAGGTGGAATCGATATCCATTTCGAGCTTTGCGCGAGTCGACTTGCTGCTTTCACGCAAAAGATCGGCCAGAGCTTCCTGTTCCAGCCGCTCATGGTCCTCTTTGGACATCTTTTTCTTCAACTCCTCGGGCAGAACCGCGTTTTCTTTACGTGAATTTTCGCCTTCACGGTCACGGTCTCGTTCCCGTTCTCGATCGCGACCTCTGTCCCTGTCCCTGACTCTGTCCCTGTCTCGATCTCTATCCCGATCTCTGTCTCTGTCTCGATCAGTATCCCTATCGTCCCTTTCTCGCTTCTCCCGCTCCTTGTGCCTTTGTTCTCGCTCTAAGTCACGCAGTCGCTCTCTCTCTTCACGATCCTTCTCTCGCTTCCGCCGCCGCTCGTCTCGTTCTTCCTGGCGTTTGATCTCAGCCTTTTCGCGTTCCTTTTCTTCTTGACGGCGCTCTTCCTTAGCGATACGCCTCTTTTCCTCTTCAATGGCTGCCTCTTTCTGCCTCAGCTCGTCTCGCACCCTTTCACGCTCGGCTTGCTTGGCTGCGGTGTCGGCAGCATAATCCTCGTCGGTTTTTGCTCCACGTTCCTGTTCTTCGCCGGCCTCTTCCTGGCCAATCTCTGCTCGCCTAATTCCCCGAATGCTTTGCTCAATCGCCTCGACATCAATCAGCTTCCCAATGACCTCTTCAGCCTTGTGATACACGCCCGATCGTTCCAATGCGCCATCAATCAGCGCTGCAGCTTTTCTCCGGTCCAAGGTGAGGAGTTGATGCGGATTGCGCTCGACTTCTTGTTCTGCAACCTCGAGAATCGCTTTTGTAACTTGAGCCTCGTAATCCTAAAAGAGAGACAGAGAAGAAAAAAAGATTAGTGACGGTAGAGGATATTGACAATTGCTGATTGTTGTTCTGCGTACACTAGCTTCAAACTTGTCCCAAACTTGCTTCCTTATCGAGTCATAGGCGCCTTCTTTCTTGAAGCTATGTGCCAGGGATTCGATTGCTGCCCGTGTCGCCGATGGCAGCGGCAATTCAGATGCCTTGAATTTCCGCGGCGACGGACCAGCACTCGGGTCGCCGGCCATGTTCGACTGCTCTGCAGACGTCGCCATGGCGCTGAAATTTGTGTCTGCGTAGAGTCGCAGGCTGGCGCCGAGCGTGTCGTAGTGCGCGCGCCTCGCCTGGAGATTGTAAAAATCGATGGTTCAAGTCAAGACATGCCGCTAGATCAAAATCTTATTGGAGCACCAAACATAGCTTGTTAGACGAGCCGTAGAGTAAAATGTTACTTGGTATATCGCTATGTTTTCATTTATCTGGAGGGAGGTGCAGAGTTGAAGGGCTGGAGTGGCATACTATCAGGTGAACGCCTGCTCACGTGACTGATATCGTTGTTTGATAGAGAACTGAAAGCCTCAAGTCTAGTAGGTACCTGTCTATGAAGGCATCTATCTGCAATTCAATAGCAAATTAATATTATCAACCATGAGATCTCTACTACAGTTCACGGTGCTTCCCAATTTCTGAACGCTATGAGCCAATAGTGATTTTTTTCTCATATCATCACCCACACAGCTGTCACCTCGTCTCTGCTACCTGATTGCAATTGTAAAATGTATTTGTATTTGCACTCATTCTACGCTATATCAGCATTACAGAGCAAAATCCTAAAATAGACAACATATACTACCAAATGCTCTGCTTTCTAATAAAAGAACGGATAGTTTTTCAAGGCCATTCGTGCATGCGTATGAATGAAGGTATGGTCGTGATGCCGTCGTCCCATCATAAAATTCGTTTTGTAGCGGAGAGTTTCCTTTCGTTCTGTCATCCCTTGGAGATGTGTACCGATATTCTTTCCTCCTTCTTTCCCCCTTTTCTTCCTGACTTTGATTTCTCAAATGGTATACACAGTCTGTTTCGACTTATACTTGTTTTATTTGTGTTTTCGTCTAGAATTCACCATCGCCGCCATGTCCAACCATGTTCGCTCCCCAGAGGCCGACCAGTCCCCACCAGCCGATTCGCCATCCTCTCCAGAGACCCTCCATGCCTTGACCCTTCTTGTACGTCGGCTGGAGATTCTTGGTCTTGAGTTTGCCTCGCTTACTTACTACGGGCTTGGGTGGGATTTCCCGATTGCCCTCTTCGGTGACAATGTGGTACATTGTACCGAAGACGCCATAGTATTTCCCAGTGGGCACAATGGTCTCCAGAGCCGGTTCGCCGTCATTGAGAGCTTCCAAATACTCGGGCTCAGAGAGCACGGAGAGCTGGCCTCGGCGCAGAACGGTCTCCAGCGGAAGCTTAATCAGAATTCCAACTGAAGAGGCAACAAACTTTGAAACGGAAAATGTCATGGGTGCAAGCTCGCTTGTGACCATGAACTTGGTCTTTAAAGCCAAGGGAGTAGATAGAGTGAATACGGGGTTAATGAGGGAGTGGAGGATGGTAGGAGCAACGATGGCGGGAGGGCAGTAGTAGGATGGAAGAGCTCGAAGGCTTGCAATCGTCCTTCGCTGTCCCTTGAAAGGGTTGGTGAGAATCAATCTGGCACCAGGTCAGTGTCAAAGCAAATGAAATCGAGTAGCTACGTCACATACCTCGTGCGGATGAGATCTAAAGGCGCAAGGGCAAGGCTAGTGGTGACAGCTGCGGCGGCAGCCACGAATAACGAAGCCCAAGGGTACGGGGATGCAATGTCGACAACACGTTCAATGCTGTCTTTCACCCCCAAATCCGGCACATTGAAAACGGCGCTCAAAAAGCTTCTTGACCAGTTCTCTAGCAAAGATTGTAAGACGGTGTATAGAAAGGTTGCATTCGCTCCTTTCCATACTCCCCATGCGCCGTCTCTCTGCCATAGCTGCCCAATGACGTCGAGGATAGCGTCGGGCCGGCGAAGATTTAGAAAGTGCTCGGAAAGGACGATGTCTTTCTTCGACGCCGTTGGAGACTGCAGAGGCGACTCTGTGCGCCGACTGCTGGGTCGTTTCTCGGGCTGGGGCTGATTTTGATCCCAGGGATTTGGTATGGTGGGATCGTTCGATGTGAAGTAAGCCGGCTCCTCCCCGTCAGAATCCTCCTAGTACAGTATCTTCTTTAGCAAACAACGCAAGACGTTGGCGACCAATCTCAGGGAAACAGCGCTTACATCAAATGCCGAGCCAGCTCGACTTGGTACCTGAGGCGCGGGAGCTGGCTCTGGCTCTGCGGCCACCGCAAAGGCAGCTTTTTCGTCTTGATCCCGAGCCTGCAAGATCATCTTGGCAACCTCGAAAGGCTGCCCAATCAGGACGGACATGTACTTCCATATCAGCTCGTCAACGAGCTCTCTGGCACTTTCGACAACCGATGGCGACGGCTCACCAACCAACCCCTTGTAGTCGAGATCATTGAGCATGTGCTTCGCCTTGGAGGCGTATTTGGCGCCACTAGCAACATCGTAGCTGTTGCCACCGGAAAACGGATTCGAGCTGGGGATCGATACCGGTTCGGCCTGCTGCTCGATTGTGGGAGGTCGGTAGTACGGCCGTAGAGGGTTCACGGTTTCTTCTTTTAGGGACGCCATGATTCATTAAAAAGAGAGAGATTCCAGATCCCCGTCTTTTTTTGCAAATACCCAAGTTGGGCTCCTGAGGTCGAGTCATTGAAGAGCTGGGGGGGAGCTACTGTTTGTGCCTCCCCCGGTAGATGAATTGTGCAGCCGATAAGCATCGTTATCGGCCGGCGGGCATTTCACGCTACCAAGAATTTCCAGCTTCGGAGATGCGAGCCTCTAGCGAACCGGAGACGGTTTATTAACGAGCATATCCGGATCTGTTCTTTTGTGGTTCTTTTGGCTCGTTAAATTTGCCTTGACACAGTCCCAGGATACCGGCGATCCTGCAGCGTTGCCCAATTTCAATTTGCGACGACGATATACAGGCCTTCTTCGCCTCCGTCGCAATTTTTCTTTCGAGCTGCCGAGTTCCGATACGATCCAACGCTCCACATGTCGGCGTCCAGAACACTCTCGCGAAGCCTGGCGAGGCTATCGCAAGTGGGATCACGTTCCTCTATGAATGCGCCGCCTAAAAGCCTTATTTCCACCAGTGCTTCAGCTCAATGCGCTCCTATATTCAAGGCTCTGCAATCTCGTCAGTTGCCTCTGAGCCGGCGAGCATTCTCCACAACGTCTCAGCAGCGGCACGGCCATGTCACCCCGCCAAAGGCCGGCGAAGAGTGAGCAACAAGCATTTTTTGGCCACGGATTGAAGTCCTTACAATTGCTAACAAGTGCGCAGACTTTGGGTCACATTTATTGACAAGGATGGCGAAGAACACAAGTTTGCCGTCTCGGCCGGTGATAACCTGCTCGACATTGCCCAGGCCAACGATTTGGAGATGGAGGGCGCCTGCGGGGGTTCATGCGCATGCTCGACTTGCCATGTTATCGTAGAGGGAGAAGATCACTATGACAAGATGCCCGAGCCCGAAGACGACGAGAACGACATGCTGGATCTCGCCTTTGGCTTGACTGAGACGAGCCGTCTGGGCTGCCAGGTCAAGATGACAAAAGAGCTGGACGGCTTGGTCGTCAGGCTGCCTTCCATGACGAGGAATCTGCAAGCCAGCGACTTCCAATGAGTAAATAGGAGTCTTTTAATGTTAATATGATGAATAGACGAAGAAGGAGCCTTGTATTTTTAAATGTTGGACAAGCATAGAAGCGGTGGGAGAGGCCGGCGAGCCTCGGTTGGACACAAAGCATTTGCCCAAGGAGGGGTATCTTTGATGTGAAATATTGTATACCTAGTGATAGTACTAAAATCTCAAGACAGGCCGAAAATCGCTCCCTATATAGATACATATTGTGGAGGAAAAACCATAAGCAAAAAAAAAAAAAACAAACAAAACCGTGAATATTACCCCCTACGCCTCTTCCAAGGGAGCCTTCTTTAAACCGCCTCCTCCCGAAGCAATCAGATCCAAGAAACCCTTCTTGCTCATCTCGTTAATCTTCTCTTCTCTTGTATTCTTTCCAATGACGCCCTCCTTTCTGACACTTTTCTCTGCATCAGCTGCTTGTACCTGAGCGGCTCTTACGGCATTGAACATGCGGATAACACCTCTCTGGGCGGTCTTGCGCAGGGCCTTTTCAATGGCCAGGATATTGGAAGTTGTCGTCTCCGGCTCGCCCGACTCATCGATTGTCGCTACCAAGATATCCTTGACACGACCCTTTTCCAATGCAACTCTCTTCTGCTCCTTGAGCTTTCTCCGGGCCTTGGCCTCCAGCGCATTATCCACGGCAGCTTTGGAAGCCTCGTGCGCGGCAACGCTTCGCGACAAGACTGGGTCTGACCGTTTTGATGCGGATAGCTTGGTTGATAGAATCTTGGACAGAGACGTAGCGAACGCAGTAGGGTCGTTTCGTTTTGACTTTGTCTTTGTTTCGCCCATGTCGAACTCTTCCATGTCGTCGTCCTCATCGTCGTTTTCCGACTCGCTTCTCTCTTCTTCCTCTTCTTCTTCCTCTTCCATTTCTTCCTTGTCGTCTTGCTCTTGTTGCGCAGCCTTGCGCTTTGGCTGTTTTGACTTTATGTCCTTGGCCTTGGCCTTCTTCACCACGGGCGTTTCCTCATCTGAGCTGGAGGACAGGTTTTCATCATCACCAGCGCCATCGTCTGCGGGCGCATTGTGAATGTCGTCGTCGGAATCTAGCAGGTTGACAGCGTCAAAGGCCTGTTGTTCCTGGTCCTCTTCATTGTCTGAGTCGCTGTTGTACGCTTGGGCTTGTCGCTGCTTTTTAGTTGGGCGATGTGATTTGTTATCATGGCGTCTCTTCTTGTTTGGAAATCCGGCCATTGTGTCGAATTGCTTTGGTAGGAATCTGGTGATGTCGTCTCCAGGATCTTCCTAAAAATTCAAAAAAGTTCTGGGCCAGGACCGATTTTGCCGGGTACAACTTTTTCGCTGGAGCTGCGGCTGCACAATGGGGAAGGCGGTGAGGGTGCCTCGCTAGAGAGCTTTCAGTAAGCGGAGGTACGTACTCTAGACCCTCGTGCGGCATTGCAGCTTGCGGTCACCAGTTGAGATCCCTCAGGATTTCATTTTTTGTGACGTACGACCGCACCATCATTTTGGTGAAGAATGTAATTTAAAAATTAACGAGAGATTCCTCATCCATCTAGGCCAAATACCCAAGATTGGCAACTACAATTGCAACGCCGTTCATCTTTCTCCATTAATCTACACTTGTTGGTTCAAAAGCCCGATTCGGGGTCGGCCTTTTTGCGGGGCAATAGCCGGTGCCATTTGGCGGATCTCATGGAGCTTGGCAGCAGCGTTGCGCGCTTTCATTAAGAGCTTCATGAGAGCTGAGAGAGCTTCACTGGGCGCTCCACCACGCAACGCATCATAGCAGCCTCATCCTCAATCTCTCATTTCACTTGACAACGCTGGTGCCTTGGCTAAGTCTCTGGCGGAAGAGCCAGCGAGCTGTCAAACTGCTCCTCCTCTCTTCGCTCTCTGAATACACTACAACCGACGAGAAAAAGCGTAGTTACTGGACAATCTGTACTTGCGCAATCATGTTCGGCCAGTATTCCCTAAATACCAGCCCCACCGATAGCAGCTACCGGGCGCCGAAACTCAACCACAGGAAATCTCGCTATGGCTGCCAGCGATGTCGCATGCGTCGCGTGAAATGCAACGAGGCAAAGCCAACCTGTCACCACTGCGAGCGCCATAGAGCGCAGTGCATCTATGATCGGCTTCCGCGGAATGCAAAGAGCAGAGAATCGTCTCCAGCATCTTCATCTCGGCCCCTGACCAGTGAGGCCAGAACCTCTGAAAGTGGCTCCGACAAGCAGTCTCCTCTGTCATCGGTGGACACGGCGGATGACGATGCCCCGGAATCAAAACAGCGGCGGCTTCTGGAGGCGAGACTGATGCATCTATATCTCACCGAGACGGGTCCCTCCCTGCCTATCGATGATATAACTCGCCCAGTCTTCGCCAACATGATGCCCAAGCTGGCCCTAGACTCAGAAGCCCTGCTGTATTCCATTTATGCTCTCGCAGCCGTCCATTCGTGCGTATGCAACATAGATTCTACCTTTGACGGACTCGAAGTCCATAGGAAATATTTGGCAATGGCTTTGCACGAACATACAAAGGATATTGCCGAGCTCAGCGAGTCGAATTTCGAAAGCGTGTTTCTCACGACGCATTTGTTGCGCGTGTGTATGTTTGCCAATCTGCGATTTCGAAATCGTTCGCCGTATACTCCTCCTCTGGAATGGATACTCACCACTGGGACGCAACAAGCCCTCTTCACTAAGGCTTGGAGCATTATTGTGGCTCATCCAGAATCCATCGCGGCGCGCATGGTGACGAGCTCGCCCATCATATACGATGCCGAGGAAAGATTCGGCGAGAGCCAACGAAAAGGACTAGAGTATATCCTCGAACGGGATGATGAAGACGAAGCGTCCGAGCCGTGGGATCCAGAGATTCAGGACGCGTACGAGACGACGCTCAGCTACCTCGGCGGTTGTTTGCAGCTGCTGGATCCCAATAGTGAAAGGTTCAACGTCAACGACGCGAGGAGGAGGATGGTCATTTTCCCCATGGCCGTGAAGAAGAGTTTTCTCGATCTCACGCAAGAGGCTCGCCCGCGGGCCATGGTGGTCATGGCGTACTATTTTGCGATTCTTGTCATCGAGACGACGTGGTGGGTTGGCGACGTGAGGACGCTGGAGGTGCGGGCCATTGCCGAGAGTCTGCCAGCCAAGTGGCTCAAGATGGTAGAGTGGCCATTGCGAGTAGTAGAGGCCGGGGCTATTCTGCCGATCTAACGAGAGATCTGGGCGTCTCAGAGGACGAAGCGGAGTGTTGTTTCCATCTACCTAGCCAGCGTTTGTTTAGATTGAAGTCTCCAGAACGAAGTAGCAACAAAAGTAGTAACATGATCAATAATAGCGTCAAGTCTCCTGCTTAGCAACATCCCCTTACAAAATATTGATCGCTAATACTACCGATATCAATTCTCTTATCCACATTACGTGTTGCTTCGTTCTCGCTTTCAACTCATACACGAATGGAGGTCGTTCTCGTTCTTCTGAATGGGGTTTAGCCTCTCCGATCCAGCATGCAGCTCAATGCGACTCCATGCAGCTCGCTTTCGCTCCGCCAGGAGCAGCGAGCGCCACCATAACATCATTTCTAATTGAAGCGCTGTGCGCCCGGAAGAGGTACAAGTCAATTGTATATTGAACTTGTTGTGATATGTGGTGGAAACCATGACAACTCCAATCTTCGCTTTCGCTTTGTATGCGAGGAGATCTCGAGATGTCCGCATTGCCTCGGCATTGCAGTCCGCGCTGTCCGTGTAAGTGGTAGCAGGATGGGCTTCATAAAAAAGATATAAAGACTCGACTGGCGACGTTGAGAAACAGCTTTATTACAGAAGTCAGATCAGATACCAAGCCATACTATCAGTTACAAAACACATACATCGCTCCCATTACTTATCCATTTCGAATAATCCTTTATTAAAACTCGCACTTCCCCATCTCTCAACTCTTCACCTCTCAGATTATAAAAACAGAGCAAAATAGATTTCAAAACAAGCAGAAATACTCCCAAAATGCTCCAACTAAGCCCCGACTCGAGCTTCCACTTTGAAATCCTCCGCGCCGTCTCCCTCGCGCCCTACCAAGGCGCCGACGTGGGCGAAGTCCTCACGGCCGCCGAGAAGATCATCCCAGGCGACTTTGAAAGCTACTACACTGCCTTCAACGACCTCGCCGTCCGCGTACACGCACAGGCCGAAGGGATCGACGCGAGCAAGTATCCCGTCTCTGCGAGGAACGCCTACTTCCGGGAGGCATCGTACCTCCGCAGCGCAGAATTCTTCCTCCACGGCAACTGGGAGGACTCGCGCATAAACTCCGCCTTTGCTCAACACACAGCCGCCTTTGACAAAGCCCTTGCGCTGCTCCCCGTGCCTGGCCAGAGAGTCACGCTCAAGGCTCAGGGGTTTGATGTGCCGGCCATCTTCTACGGCTGTGGACGGCCCGGCCGCCGTCCAACTATTATCATGGGCAACGGCTATGACGGCTATCAGGAGGAGCTCTACCATGTTGCCGTCGAGGCTGCCCTCACCAGGGGCATCAACGTGATTACTTACGAAGGACCTGGCCAGCCCACCGTCCGCCGCGAGCAAAACGCCGGCTTCATCCACGACTGGGAGCGCGTCGCATCTCCAGTTGTCGACTATGTGCTTACAAGAGATGATGTCGATCCCAACGCCATCGGCATCTGGGGATACTCGCTGGGCGGATATCTCGCCGCTCGTGCTGCAGCCTTTGAGCCTCGTCTAGCTGCCGTCATGGCCATTGACGGGGCCAGCGATTTTGGATACACAGTTCACAGCAAGTTCCCTCCGGAGTTGGAAGCTCTATTCCAAGCCGGCAACAAGGAAGCTGTTGACCAAGCCTTGGCGCAAGTCTTGGCCTCTCCGGGAGCACCTACACCTCTTCGCTGGGCCGTAGAACATGGCACGTGGGCGTATAATACCAAGTCGCCGTTTGAATGGGCAGCCAAGTGCCTCGACTTCAAACTAGGCGATGCTATCCACAATATCAAGGTGCCGTTTTTCGTAGCTGATGCAGAGGCTGACGATTTGATGCCTGGGCAGGCAAAGGGCGTGGCGGAAGCAGTCGGAGAGATGGCAACGTACCACTTGTTCACGACGGAAGATGGAGCTGGAGCGCACTGTTCTATTGGAGCGGCCGTGCTCCAGAACCAAGTTGTTTTCGACTGGTTCCAAGAGGTGGTATCGAAAAAGAGGGCTTAAAGGATTGAGCTTCGAGAATTCAGAGCATGTAGATAAACATTGTTTTGAACAGACTTATATAAGAAGAAATAGCGCAGCATATTGTAAGCCACAAATTTCAACCGCTTTGTTCCCATACATAAACCCCGATAGAAAAGCAATACGCCCATCATAAAATTTGTTATCCATGTTGAAATTTCCCCACATAACTCAAATGGCCCTATTGCATCCCAAAACATATTCAGCGGGTAGCCCATCCGTACACAACTTGTCATCATATGTGCCTCAACATACATATATAAGTTTAAAGGAACGCCCCAGCCAAAGGACAAACAGATTCCCAAAAACAAACTCCAAATTGTCTCGTCTCTCCGTTACATAGAGAAGGCTTACCAGTTCCTGAGTCGATCCCAGAAAGAACCCGAGGCCGCCTTTTTCTCCTCTTCAGCGGGGAGTGGTGGCGCGGTAATGGTTGTGTTCCATTTTTCCTCGCCACTAATAAAGAGACGATACAGGAGCTTGCTATCGCCGTCCTCTTCTTCGATAGTAAAGGCACCAAACTTGGACATGCCGGAGTGATGATATCTGTAGGCAAGGTTAGACTTTTTTCGTCGTGGCATGAGTGGTTATATGACAAACTTACTGGATAAGAACGTCTTCATTATCCACTTGCTTGTACGAAGGTATAGGAGAAGCAAACTGGTTGAGTGGACTCGTAGAGAACTCGTAGACAGTGGCCTCCTCTGGCCATTCAGATTCGGGTGGGGGCGGGAACTTGGTCGCCGCGAATTCATGTCTATCGCCAGACAGGACCACGACTCCGACTCCTCGAGCAGAAACGCCCCACATGGCTTCAAGGATCTTTTTTCGCTCGACCAAGAATCCGCCCCAAGTATCCTTTACATTCACAGGCCAGTTCTTGGTAAATGGAATAGATGATGCGATAAACTTCCACCTAACTCCCTGGGGCTCCGGGCGTTTGAGCCAGGCCAAAAAGTCAGCCAGCTGGTCAGCACCCAGCATCGTCTTCTCCGTATCATCAAATGGTGTCTTGTTGCTAGATCGGTAGCTGCGAGTGTCGAGCATAAAGAAGCTCACAGGACCCTGCACGAATTCAAACCAGGTAGCGCCAGGGCGGCGCTCACTCTTCGTACCTGCAGCTACAGCAGCTGGAGGGTTGATCTGAGCTTGATATATGTGCCAGGGGTCCACGGCATTTTTGTAAATACCAGTAGTGTTTGCATCCCAATCCTTTTTGGTATTAGCCAGATGTCAAAGACGCAGCACATCAGGGACGAAAACTGACATTTGCAATTTCATGATCATCTAGGACATGAATCCAGCTTAAATTTTGGCCAACAGTGGCCCACTCCGGAGAGGCATAGACCTGACGATACTGCATGCGATACTCCTCAGCCGACTTTCCGAAGCGCTCGGGAACATCCACGTAAATGAAATCGCCCAAGAATAGCATGAACTGAGCACTTAGTTCAGGCAACCTCTTGGCCAGATTCCGTAACCCCGGAATTGCGAGAGGGTGGTCAAAGGGATTATAAGGGAAACGAGGCAAGATGCACGAGGTAGACAAAAACGTATATTTGCCTCCGTTTTGAACCGGCATCTTACCAGGCTTGGGTGCAGCCGTCAGTTCACCTGTGTGGTTGTTCGAGGTCCTCCATTCATACTTTTGCTGCTCTGTATAGCTCAGAAGCGGAATCGTAAGCGCGCCGGTGAAATCAGTCTCATTGGTGGTCGCTTTGACACTGCCAACAGACTGCCAAATGAGACCATTGTAGTGTCGGATCTGGAATGTGACGGGCATCTTGGCCTGGTCGGGCTCCCGAATAAGGAAATTGGCCTCGTTGTGAGAGACAAATCCAAGTCGCACGAAAGACAGGTCATCAGCCGGGTAATACCACCTGGCACGGTACAGAGCGTCGGCGGTAAGACCAACAAACACCAGATTGATGAGAAAGCTCAGCAGGGAACTAAAGGGTCGCTTCGAACTAGGAGCGCCATAGAAGATGATTTTCCATGCTGGGACATCTTTTCCGGCGAAGGAGATGGTTTCTTTCACATCAACCTCTTCGGCGACAAGCTCCTCATCGTCATCGTCGTCGATTACAGCTTCTTTGATAGTGACATCAACTCGATCACTCACAACTTCAAGCTCGGGCGAGGAGAACAAGCTCGTCAAGAAGGACGGGATGTATATGGCGAAGAGGGCGAAGATGATGGACGGCAGATGAGCCTAAGCGTGGTTAGGCTGGCGTGTTTACTTACTTTGACGGCCTCACGGGCAACGGCAGACTTACAGGAAACTATGCAGGGCGTTAGCTGACATTACACACATCCGGGCACTAATCAGAGGGCATCACATACAGCACGGAAAAAGGCAATGGACCCTATCCTTATTGCGACCGAAGACGCATTGGCGACGCTTCTTTGGATGGCCATCTTGAGCAAGACGCCAGCTCGGCTCCCCGCAATGTGAGACGGGTCACTGAGAGGAGCAGGCCACTTTTAAGCAGTAATCAGAGAGGGGTTGAGGAGATGCGAATCAGGGCAGCGAAGCAAGAGAGAGATGAAAATATATGCCCATCACCTCATGACGATGAGAATTTTGAAAGATAGAGAGAGCAGCTGGAAGGCGAGATTGCGGAATCGACGTCACCTCCAATAAGAACAACAAACTGAGCGCGGGTGCACGCCAATGATGTAGCGGTGTCTCAGCCTGTGGCTAAGAGTGGTGCCGCTATTGCAGGCGATCCCACACTGTGGCACCATAGGCATCAATGCAGCAGAGCCTCTAGTGCGTGGGATCAGGGGTCGGCGATTGCAAAATTCCGCTCCGAGAGGTGCTCTCCCGGCAATTGCCCCCCTAGCAGCTGTGGCTGGAGTGGCTGGTGCGCTGGACAGCTGCAGTGCAATAGAGCGGGCTTGCGCCAATGTGTCCCATTCAAGCCTCCCTGACAAGCAACTCGACAACGTCGACCAGCACAACGACACGATGAGATTCCCGACGCTGATAGCCGGCCTGATGGCCTTTATGGCCACCAATGTTGCTGCGACAGCATTGACCTACAAGCTTGCCGCCAACGAAAAGGCTTGCTTCTATGCGACCACGAAGAACCAGGACGAGAAGGTCGCCTTTTATTTTGCTGTTAGTTGGCGCCAGCCCCGTTGCGTTGCGTTGCTGCATTGGGATGCACGCAAGCCATTTGGACACGAAAACACTAATCATAGCGGCTGAAACAGGTTCAATCGGGTGGTTCGTTTGATGTCGACTACCTCGTCGAGGGTCCCGGCGGAAAGGTCATCCTGCAAGGCGAAAAAGAGCGACAGGGCGACTTCGTCTTTACTGCGCAGCTGATTGGAGAGTACTCGTTCTGCTTCGACAACGAGATGAGCACATTTTCCGAGAAATTCGTCGACTTCGAGATTGCTGTTAGTAGAAGGCTGCAAAAGAACTTACAAACTTCATCCAAGCTAATCATCCTCCCCTCCTAGGTCGAAAACGAGTCCCGAACCGCCCAGCTGCCCTCCAAACAGGGCTCATCACCAGAACAGACGTCCGTCTTGGAGGAATCCATCTTCAAGATCTCCGGCCAGCTCTCCACCATTTCCCGAAACCAAAAATACTTTAGAACACGCGAGAACCGCAACTTTAGCACCGTTACAAGCACAGAGAAGCGCATTGTCAACTTCAGCATGATCCAGATTGCTCTTATTGTCTGCATGGGTGCGTTGCAGGTATTCGTCGTCAGATTCTTCTTCCAGGGTGCTCGCAAGGGTTACGTTTGAGCAAATCTTGCAATCAAGTGTTTTTTACGTCTACATCTATATATATGGAAAGGTAGACCAGGCAATAGACTGCTGGTTGACACAGGGATGGATGGTGGGTGTTGGTGTTTGTATGCGCAGGGATGGGTACTTGGGTAGGCCAGCGTGGCCGAAAAAGATCACAACGAATGTGTTTGCAACCCGAGAACGGCCGACGAAGAGCGTCGTTGGATTCTCATGAAATACTAATGAAAACAAGGAGACGCCGTTTACAAAAGACAAAATAAATATATGCATCATAATACGCAAATACAAATATCTATTTGGTGACTGCTCGTTACAGGACATCTCCATTATCATAGTGGGGGAGATTGTTATTCCGCGAGTGTATGCAACTCAGCTTAAGCCACACTACAAAGACCCACCGCTTTTGCCCAAGGCTAGCCCAGCCACATCTGCACCGCCATACTGTGGAATTTCTTGATCCAAAGCCATCGCATCTCGCAGCCAGCCTTTCAACATCACCTCACGCGACGGCAAATATGGCGTCCATGGCCGCATCGCTGCAAGCGTCGCTCCCCAAGCCGAGATACACTGGGGAAGATGAAGAGGCGCCATCCCGGACTCAGCAGCGTGGTCCCCGGATTGTCGGGCCTGGCCAGATTGACGAGACGCAAATCGTCCTGAAGCGAAGCGGCCCTCCAGCATACGGCCAGCGGGCGGGATGGCGACCGCGCTCGCAGGAAGATTTCGGCGATGGCGGTGCCTTTCCGGAAATCCCCATTGCCCAGTATCCTCTGGATATGGGCAAGAAGGGTGCGACAACGAGCAATGCCTTGGCGCTGCAGGTTGATGGTGAAGGCAAAGTCAAATACGACGCGATTGCGAGGCAGGGACATGGCGAGGGACGGATCATCCACACATCTTTCAAAGACCTCATCCCACTGAGGCAGCGAGCCGATGCTGGAGAAATTGATCTGTCGCGCCCAGACAAGGAATCCGTAGAGGCGACGACCGAGCGAACGAAGAACGCGTTGGCTGCCCTCGTCAGCGGAGCAGTGGCAGCGCAGAAGCCGAAGAATCTCAACATTGGGCAGCGGAAAGACCCAACCTTTGTGCGATACACCCCGGCGAATCAGATGGGAGACAACTCGAAGAAGCAGGATCGCATCATGAAGATTGTGGAGCGGCAGCGAGATCCCATGGAGCCTCCAAAATTCAAACACAAGAAAATTCCTCGCGGTCCTCCATCACCGCCTCCTCCAGTCATGCACTCTCCCCCACGAAAGCTTACAGCAGAAGATCAGGAGATGTGGAGAATCCCGCCTCCGGTATCAAATTGGAAGAATCCCAAGGGTTTTACTGTGCCCTTGGATAAACGTCTGGCTGCGGATGGACGAGGACTGCAGGATATCAGCATTAATGACAAGCACGCACAGTTTGCAGAGGCCATCAAGATGGCAGAACGCCATGCCCGAGATGAAGTCCAGCAACGAGCTCTGATGCAGCAGAGGCTGGCGGAAAAGGAGAAGGCTCAAAAGGAAGAAAACCTGCGATCCCTGGCGCAAAAGGCTCGAGAAGATCGAGCTACAGCTGGACGACGCGGAAGAAGAGATTCCAGAGACTCGCGGGATTCGCGAGACTCACGGGACTCAGTATCAAGGTCGCGGTCACGGTCACGGTCAAGCTACAGTGGGTCAGATTCAAGAGGCGGTTCTGATAGCGAAGATTCAGAGGTTCGGGCTCGAGAGAGGGCACGAAAAGAGAAGCGGAAAGAGGATGAGCGGAAGCTACGACAGACGCGGATGGGTGCCGAGCGACGTATCCAAGTCATGGCCCGCGAGCAGAATCGAGACATATCAGAAAAGATTGCTCTCGGCATAGCCAAGCCCTCACAGTCCAAGGAAACCATGTACGACTCGCGATTATTCAACCAGTCCAGTGGATTTGATAGCGGAATCAACGAGGATAACCCCTACGACAAGCCCCTTTTTGCTGCTCAGGACGCCATTAACAGCATCTACCGACCCCGAGCAAACTTGGACGATGAAGATGCGGAGGCCGGAGAGCGAGAAATGGCCAAGATTCAAAAATCAAGCCGTTTTGGTGAAGCTTTGGGCAAGGGTACTTTTAAGGGGGCCAGCGAGGCAGAGGTCAGTTTTCCCACCATTTACTTCTTTCTGCCGATATCCATAAATGTAACCGTTGCTAACTGACTTGGGGTACAATAGGCACGAGAAGGACCTGTGCAGTTCGAAAGGGATGCGGCAGATCCATTCAATGTGGACAAATTCTTGTCCGAGGTAGATCAGAACTCATCTTCAAAGAGAGGCTATGGTCTGCAGGATGAAGATAGGAAGGCAAAGAAGCCTCGCGTTGAGGACGATGATGATGACTAAAGCGTACATGTATTAATTTTTTCAAGAAATATCTTTAGAGATGCATGCGATGCATTAATATGTCCATTATTAATAAGAAGAGGGCGATACCGCGAATACTGCTTCACTATTCTGAGGGACATTCTTGATGGGTGCGGTTTCTGTGTGCCAGTAGCAGATGGAGAGTATTGGATACATGTACCTGCATATCAAATAAAATTAGAAGAAAGCAATCACTTGATCTATGGAGCGTTGATATCTTTTTACCCTACCGCCCGTTCAATCTATTTGGCCACGTCAATACCTGCATTGTTATCCTCATCATATCTAGAAAATAACCATCTTTAGCAACATTCACGCTTGCTAAACCTTTGCGAATATTTTCCTTCATAAAGCCACCACAGTCTCAATAGACGTTTTCAGAAGAGACATCTAGAACCAAGCGCAGTGAGCATAGCTGGATTTTTCCATTCTCTTTTCTTTTTTTCGCCTTTTAGTTACGAGGTATAGCAGGCGAGTAATTGTGCTACCTTATTATCGAGCGTTTTAGGGTAAGTCGTGTACTGAAATGGGACCATCGAGATGGTATTTCACTGAAAACAGGTAGGTAGGTAGTGCCTAAAGGGAAAGTCGTGTTGTAGCAGTAAAAGTGGCAGAGATTCTTTACGAAATCGTAAAATGCAGTATAATGCCTCTTGCTATGGCTAGTTCGCTAAATTGTAAGTAAACAAGAAAACGCCCAGCCAACTTCTTACATCTCCTCTTCTCTCTAATTACACGGGTACTCGTTGCTAATTTTTCATACAAAATTCCATCCTTCATCCTCTAAATTCGAAACATCCCTAAACGCCGTTTCATGAATGTGTAGCCCCTCTCTCCTCCCCCTTCCAGCAAAATAGAATGCCCCGACTTGTTGAATTTTAGCAACCGGGGCTCCTCAACCGTCCACTTGGGCCATGCCGCAAGTTCGAGATGTCTCTTATTCGGATCCAAGTCGTACAAGAAGTTGAGCAAATACCGTCGTGTAGTCCTAGTTGCGTACGAAGACATATAATCGTCTGTCTCGAAAACCATGGCTTCAAATGAGCCGTGGGCAGTGCCCCAAGCACTGGTGGCATTGTTCCCGTAATCGTATGCCGCTTGGTATCCCCATATAGGGAGCTCAGGCTGAGAAGAGGCAATCAATGACATTGCAATACGCCGAGGAATGGTGAAGAAGACATCGCCAAGGACAGATGATAGGCGCTTTCGGCCGGCCCAGTTCTCAAATTCGCTTCCGGTGCCGTACGGGCTACCGTGGAAAGCCTTCGTGTGGTAGTTTTTGAGAAAATCTTCCATACGGCCGTTGCTGATGTTGCGGAAGTAGTGCCCCCGAAGATACTTTATCATTCTCCTTGTGTTGTTGACTGATGTCTGCTTCTGGGCAAATATCGTGCCCTCGTCTTCCTGAGTGCCAAAGATCATGGGTACTGGGACAAACATATTATCCTTGAGAAGCACCTCGTGACTATGTCGGATCAAATCATTGTCAGGTCGAGGAACATATACCAACCTCATGGCCTCTGCACTGAGAGCGCCGCGGATGGAACTGGCTGCCCGTACAAAATCCGAATAGGGTGCCGCGCGCAAGGCTTCCATCGAGTCCTTGTAAAAAGGAAGATCGTGACGCATTGGATATTCCAGAGCCCCGGCGACCTTTGAATATATTTCATTGCACTTTTTCGAATTAATAGACTCTGCAGGCAGGAAACTCCCAGAACTCATGATGGCACCGCGGAAGAGTTTCTTGTCCTTGTATGTTGCGTTGCCTCCACTTATTACCAGATGGTCAAAGACCGAGACGCCACCGGACGCATGTCCCCAGAGTACAATCTTATCCGGATCGCCACCAAAAGCCGCAATATTATCCGATGCCCATTCCATACTCATTCTCTGGTCACGGAGGCCCAGATTAGAAGATCCGTTCTTCATCATCTTGTCACCGGGCAGAAAGCCCCAAGGGCCCGTCCGGTAGTTGGCAGTCACAAGCACGAATGGCTGCTCGATCTCAACGCCAAACTTGATGAAGCTGGTCACGTTGTACCTGTACGGCGTCCCCATGACAAAACTGTAACCAGCGAGCATGAATAGAACTGGCAAATTATCCCCGGCCTTGGTCCCTGCTGGGCGCTGGACTGTAATAGTCAAGCAGTCCTCTGCAGTTTGTACGGGATTGGCTGCATCCCATCTTGCTAGATTGGTATCGGCGTTATCGACGTTATCGACGTTGAGAGTCCTCTTGTGCCATGGTTCATCCAATTTGACTGCCCCGAAGTGGCCCTGAGGGCATGCTGGTGCGATTGTGGTGGCATCAAACTCTCCCAACGGCCTTGTTCTCTTCACGGGCCTTTTCAGGCGGTTACGGCCAGCTGGAGATTCCGCATAAGGCATACCGTAGAAAGAATCGACGCCATCAGTGAGTATGCCTAGTACTTGAGAGCCCGGGAGATTGACTGTCGGGCCTTCATCTTCCTGTGCAAGGCAGAAGCCGACCGGGCCCATGAAGACCAGAAGAAGAGTTACGAATGCCTTCATCATGTGAATCTTTTGCAGAATGAGGTGCCTTGTTCTCGAGTGTTGAACAGTTTACTGTTAGGAGCATTGATGCGGGGCGGTTATCTGCTTAAACACTGAACTCCGATAGAAAACTTTGAGGCCAGAGCAGTAGCTGGGGCAGGTCATGACGTCCCAAGAGATGTTTAAAAATGGAGTCTGCGATTGAAATGTATCCGAATTCGTCAAACAGACAAACGCCATGGTAGTGGGATATATGGGGGCTTATGAGCGAGGCTGCGATACGTTTAATTGAAAAGCCTTGTGGCAATCGTTTACAGATCTTGAATCGGCGTAATATGCTATGTGAAAGCAGCTAGGTGATTATAGAGTTTCTCGATTCAGAAAATGGAGATGATATGACATGATGGCGGCTGTGGCTCTATCTGAAGCAGCGATTAAACAGGTCCTTGAGCTTCTAGACCTTTGAAATAAATATCTCAAGATGGGACATTGTGAAAGCAGTTCTCCATGATAAGTGGCCATAGAGTTTCTCACTAAGAAAAATGGATCTTACACGATATGAAAACGGCGGTAGCTCTATCTGAAGCCACAACAAAACAGCTTTCTGGGCTTCTAGATCTCGGTGTAAATACCTCAGGATGGGTATGGTGTACTTGTCGTATTGTACTGGATCGTGATATTTCTATTGAGTCTTCCTTGTAGCTTCACAGCATTCTTTGGATATCAGTGGAGCGAGGATGGTTTAAGTCACAATACAGAGTACAGACATAATATACTAGAAATTTGACTTGATGGTACATAGATGGATGTTTTCCAAAGGGTATTCGAGCTGCTATCAGTACAGCCAGCTTGTACTTCGTTGACGTCGATATCTCCTAGCTGTGCTCTTGCAACAAAAGAGGCATCTGAAAATACACTTGTTCCTTATGTATATCTGCAATGCATGCGATCAACATGTTATTGATTTGATCCAAGGTATACAAGACTGAGAGCAATTTGTTAGGTACTATAGGCGTTGTCACTACCCACTCTATGGGGGCCACAGTGTAGAACGGAGCCCTGCAGCAGGTTTTGCCCTGGAAGGGAAAGCTGCATCCTTGGATTGGATGAATGAACTAAGCTTGCCGGGATCTCTATTCGGATTGCTGGTGAAAGCCACGCTCAAATAGGTAGGGCACTCGGTATTGGGAAAATAGCAGACTTATACTGTTCAAGCATCTAACAAGACGCGTGAAAGCTTGCATGTCATTCATACCTTGCTCGAGAACAAAATGCAGCTTAGAAACTGGCAAGTGCAGCCAAGCAGCCAAGAGGACCAGCGCTGTTTCGTCGACCGCTTTTGAAAGGAAGGTGCTAAACGGAAACATGGACTGCTTTGTATCTCCCACCTGACGAGAGCAACGTGCCATGATGATTATCTTGACCAGAATTTTTTATTCTTCATTTTCAAAATTTCAATCCGAAACGCACAGCCTCGTCGCGCCGCAGTCTGATGGTACGAGAAACCCACGAGGCCCTCGACTGAACACGAAGCAACCACAGCTACGCCAAAATGCCAAGACGCAGGCGGAAGCGAAGCGTCTTCGATTGCCACCGCAGCTCTCCTCTGTACGGCCAATATTAGGGGCGGCCAATAGCGCTGCTTCGTATTCCAGTATCGAGACCTCGCCCATTAGTGCTTCGCCGCCGCCGCAAATTTCCAGCACCATCTCCTTGGGCCATTGGGATTGGAGGCTCAGTTCAAGACTTCCCGAAACGGGTGCTAGGTGCTAGGCGCTGATGCACAGCCTCACCCCCGGCCGTATCCACCCTCATATACGTTCGTCCAGTCGTTTGAGAGAAGGGCAGACGCAAATCTGCTGCATAGGCCAGCGGGTCAGGGGCCGTCCGCTGGCTTGAAACCAGCCAAGTTAGGTTGGCACACACGGTGCTTGGACTATTTTCAGCACATCCAGGCTGGAGCCTTTTCAAGAGCAAGAGGACGTTTGTATACTCGCACGCGCACGAGCAAATGGCTGTGAAACAGAGCATGGCAGCAGAAATGGCGAACTCACGAGCGTTATTTCAAGCCTTGGAGCCACAACACTCGCGTCGTTCTGGAGCTGGCTCAGCGAGTGCTAGGCACAGTGCTTGATAGGACGGAGTTGTACCTGACTACGCATAGGAAGCCCCTTGAAAAATCATGTGCAATGCCGGCCTCATCCACTGCCGGAATCTCGGTTCCGTTGGTTTTGCGCAGCACCGTTGCCGTTGCGGCCGTTGGCTCGTGTACAGTTAGCATCATTTCCTCTTTGTACTACCTGTTTGTCAAGATGCTGCCGTGGCCCGTGCAACATGCTTGTTTACTTACAACGATCGTTTTTTCCCTTCCGTGTATGGCATTGCCTCCAAACATGTTTATGGGGCCTGGCAGAAGCTGCTAGTATGGAGTAGTGTTTTGTGCTAATGCTGGTAGTGAGTCGCAGAGATCATCCATCCTCCGCACCAATATGGAGACGCACGTCCTCCGTCAAGCGTTTCAGGCCGAGTGTCCCAAGTTCGCAGTTCATGGGTCGAAACCTGGAGGGCTGGGGGGCGCGGCATAATGGCTGGTTACGTGAAATTACACCCAGCTAGCCGTGCATCCCATGCGCGCGCCCATACTCCGTATTCTAATACACTTACACCCTTTTCATCGTCCGCCTAGCTAAAATGAAAATGACGCGCCTTCACCTTGTGCCCATCCCGTATTGCCATTTCTTCCCCTAACACTACTTTTCCGTGTGCCGATTTGCATCTTCTCTCGCCGCCACTCTCTCCTCTGCTCAATTTCAGTCTCCCACAGTCGAGCCTCAAGAGACCCGTGTGTAAGCAGTGGAGCGATCACTCTCGTTTGACGCGCGGCGAAGGTTCTCTTGGCAGCCATATTCTTTTCTTTCATTCCTTCTTTATCCGTCTTCACCATTGTCAAAGCCACTCATTTTCATTGTCGCTCTTATCTGATTTCTTTCGACTTCGATCTTTAGCGAATTTTGCGCTTGCGATACCCCGGTGGAAGTGAATCGCAGCTCAGGATCCCGATCTCTCTTCGTTGCGCCGCCTTGCATCCTTTTTGGACAGACTGGATCTGGACGACCATTCCCATTTTACTACAACAAAAAAGATCCGTATTCGACAGCCTTGGAATAATCCGAATTTGAGAGATTGCTATTAGCCATGAGGTCTCCATTGGTGGCTGCGACAGCAGCACTCGGTCTGCTGAGCCAAGGGGCCAACGCCATTTCCTTAACTGTGGGCGACGACAGTAAGATAGATTGCGGCTCCTTCAACTCAACAAGGCAGACGATGCTCACTGATTTTTCTATAGCTTCCACGAAGAATGCCGCTGGTACCGTCGCATTCGGTTTGATGAAGTTTTACACAGGCAATAACACTGGCGACAACCCTGGAAACCTGCCAAGCCCTTACTACTGTCAGGAAGCCCTCTTCTTTCAAAGTCACGGTGGCTCATGAATAGATGCTAACTTATAGAAATAGGGTGGGAGGCCGGTGCCATGTTCGGAACTATGATCGATTACTGGTTTTTAACAAAGGATTCGACGTACAACAATGTCACGATGCAAGCGATGCTCTGGCAGGCTGGCAAAGACGGCAGCTTCATGCCCACGAATCAGACGTTGACTGAAGGAAACGACGATCAAGGATTTTGGGCCATGTCTGCCATGTCCGCAGCTGAAAACGTCTTTCCCAACCCGCCGTCCGATCAGCCGGGCTGGCTGGCAATGGCTCAGGCCGTCTTCAACCAGTATGTCGGCCGATGGGACCCCCATTGCGGTGGAGGTCTCCGATGGCAGATTTTCCAATGGAACAAGGGTTACGACTACAAAAACTCCGTCGCCAATGGTTGTTTCTTCAATGTTGCTGCTCGATTGGCCCGCTACACTGGTAATCAAACGTATGCAGACTGGGCACAGAAAGTCTGGGACTGGGAGCAGAAAATCGGTCTCATCGGAAGCCAGTACCAGGTCTTTGACGGTTTGAGTATCGATTCAAACAACACGTGCGGAAGCATGGACCAGAATCAGTGGACTTATAACGCAGGTTTATACATGGGCGGCGCTGCAGCCATGTATAACTACACAAATAACGCGACCTGGAAAGCCAACTTGGATGGCATCGTCAAGCAGACGCAATCGAAATTTGTCAACAACAATATCGTTTACGAGCAGTTTTGCGAGCCCCGAGGCTTCTGCAGTGTTGATCAAAGCACGTTCAAGGGCTACCTGCTTCGCTACATGGCCTCCACCATCAAAATGGCCCCATATACCGCATCTACTCTCATGCCACTTCTCAAGGCTGCTGCTACTGCCGCTGCCTCCGTCTGCACCGGCCCAGCGTCCGGCACATTCTATGGAATTACAGGCACAGGATGTGGCTTCTCGTGGATGCAGCCCGGTAATTATGACGGTAAAAACGGCGTTGGCTCACAAATGAACGCTCTCGATGCCGTCATGTATACCATGATCCAAGAAGCCCCCGACTTGGCAACGGCGAAAAAGGGCGGTACATCCAAGGGCGACCCCGGCGCGGGAATGGGCAACATTGACCCTGCAGGCGAGATTGACAATGTTACGAAGCCCACGACTGGTGGAAAAGTTGGAGCAGCGATCCTCACTCTCCTATTGCTCATCAGTGTCCTAGCTGGCAGCGCGGTGCTACTGCTATGATCAAATTTCAGAGCATGCAACTTTGCTAAGAAAGCGGGGAAGGGTTTGGATATATTTCTCTATACATGTACGTGTGCACAACACATGCCTGCTTTTTTTCTTTCTCCGTTTATAAGCCCAAGAACTTGGAGCGTGGGATGCTCGTCGTGGCTGGCGTTTGGGAGTGGCCTTGTTTGTATTTTTCTTGATCCTTTGCCGGTCTCGTCTGTGGATATGTACATCTTACGACGGCATGGAGCGCGGGCATTACCGTTGTCGTCATCATCGTCATCATTACCTACTATTCACTTGTAGCAGTTTGAAAGTATTAGACAACAGGCAAAGCCTGATATCAGAATTGCACGACTTATGACCGATAACCTTGGCCGACCGACTTGCAGATCAGACAAGCCAGGGGTCTTGCTTGAAGCTGCGTCGCTCGATACTATCTGCTGCGGTGCCGCATGGCCTGGTCGATTAAGCTTGAATAGATGCTCAAATTATCAGGATGGAGATGTGCAATGGTTACTATTGTTGATACAAAGAAATTACGCTTTGTTGTTTTATTAGAAGGCATTCAAAAGATTAGACGCCATACAAGTAGACAAAGCGCAGGCCAACTGAGCCCCCACAATAGCCAATCAACTGGGACGGGCCGTAGATCAGAGCTTCGTTTTAGTCAGAGCGCTCAATCAACTGAAGCAAAACTGGGCTCTTGTCTTCTCAATCTGGGCACACTCGAGCCACGTCCCCCGCTTATTGGGTACGCGTTGCTAGGCAGGCAATGTACGTGCTTTGTGTCGACCGGTTGGGAACTCTGCACTTGTGGCTTCAACCCCGCCATGATGGCAATACTTGACTTCCCCGCTGCTAGCAGTCGCCAATAGCAGTGTCATCACAATACGTCACTGATATCAGGCCACCCGTACATAGCAACTCTGGGATTCTTTATTGAATACATAACTAGTGCATTTGATTTTCTTTCATCAGTTGGCGCTCGTTTGACCTCTGTTTGTTATACATCAATGGTTGTTGCTGAATTTTAGAGCTTAAAGACTTTGTCCTATCCAGAGCGACTCGCCCATCATGTCTACAAAGCACTTTGTCAATGATCCCACACACCTCGTCAACACCGCCCTACACAGCCTGACCCTCACAAATCCCAACGTCGCCCTCGACGCAGAGAACAAAATCATCTATCGCCGACCGTCCAATGCTCCCCAGCAGGTCTCTGTCATCTCGGGCGGAGGGTCTGGCCATGAGCCGTCCTTCGCCGCCATGGTAGGCCCAGGCATGCTTTCTGCCGCGGTGGCGGGAACCATCTTTGCCAGCCCTTCTGCCGAGCAGGTCAGAACCGGAATCCTGTCGAGGGTAGATACCGACAAGGGCGTGCTGGTCGTGGTGATGAACTACACGGGCGACATTCTCAACTTTGGCATGGCCGTGGAAAAGGCCATTGCGGCCGGCCAGGCCGTCGAGATGGTTGTCGTGGGCGACGATGTCGGCGTTGGGAGGAGGAAGACGGGCAAGGTTGGACGGCGAGGCATTGCCGGCACTGTGCTGGTGCTGAAGATTGCTGGCGCGCTCGCGGCTCAGGGACGGTCATTGGAAGAGGTGGCCAAAGTAGCCCGGCTGACTGCGGCCAACATCGTCAGCGTTGGTGCCAGCTTGGAGCATGTCCATGTTCCAGGACGGGTTGTTGATACCAGCGAAGGTCTCGGGCCCAAGGAAGTCGAGGTAGGCATGGGCATCCACAACGAGCCGGGCTCGAGCAGAGAAGAGATGGAACTGCCTCAGCTGGTGGAGAGGATGCTTGCTCAGCTGCTCGATCAGAGTGACAAAGACAGAGCTTTCCTCAATGTCAATTCGAACGAGGTTGTCCTGCTCATCAACAACCTTGGAGGCGTTAGCGTCCTGGAGCTGGGCGGCGTCACTACTGAAGTGGCAAAGCAGCTGAACGACAAGTACAACATTCGACCAGTCCGCATCATCAGCGGCACATTCATGACGAGCTTGAACGGCCAGGGCTTCAGCATCACCCTCCTCAACGTTGTCAACACTGACATTGGAGGGCCGAGCATGATTGAGCTACTGGATGCCCCGAGCGAGGTCACCGGCTGGTCTGCTCCGATACAAAAGACAACGTGGGAGGAGAAGAACACGGCCACAAGGACCGACACTGCTGGTGCAGATCGAAATGTTCAGCCTAGCGGGCTGCAGATGGATCCCAAGCACGCCACATCGGTCCTTACCAATGCATTGGAGCGCGTGGTAGCGGCCGAGCCCGAGGTCACCAAGTACGATACCATTGTTGGAGACGGAGACTGTGGCATTGGTCTCAAGAGAGGAGCCGAAGGTGAGCTCATCAACACCCAGCCGCACTGCTCGCAGATGCCTCGGGATGACGCTGACATTAAAACCCAGCCATTTTAAAGCACATACAGCAGAATCCCTTGACGGGCGATGTTGTCGTGGACGTATCTTCCATCGTGCAGGTGGTGGAAACGGCCATGGACGGAACCTCCGGCGCGCTCTATGCAATCTTCCTCAACGCGCTCGTTCACGCCCTCCGCACCTTGGGGTCTGGAGAGGCTGGTGCCTCGGTATGGTCTGCGGCTCTCAAACTAAGCTGCGAGGCGTTGTCCAAGTATACCCCTGCTCAACCTGGAGATCGCACAGTCGTGGATGCGCTCTACCCTTTTGTTGAAATCCTGGGGCAGACCGGCGATGTGAAGAAGGCTGCGGATGCAGCGAAGAAGGCGGCTGACGAGACCAAGGGCATGCAAGCCAGTCTTGGCCGGTCAGTATACGTGGGTGGCAGTGGATACGAAGAAGTGCCCGATCCTGGGGCTTGGGGACTGGCATGCTTCTTTTTGGGATTGGGCGGCATCAAGCCAACTGAGGAAGGCTGGGAATCTATTTGAGATGTGGTATATAGAGGAATAGTGGCCGTCGTGAGCATTTATGAGTTTCAATCGCCACGATATAGGAGGATTTCTGCAGATTGTACAAGTATACGTATTAAAGCATTCAATTAAATTGTTTTCAACGCCTAGATTCGCCTTTGAGCCTCTTGCGATGTAGCCGGTCATCCAACAGCCCAATGTGTCAATTAAACCCCAATATAACCCAAAGCAACCCCATGCACTCTAGCTGAGAAGAACGAGGATGACGCTATCACCTCTTAGAAACCTGTTATACATATGTTAGTCCCTGATCTTATATTGCGTCACAATGTCTCCATATTTGACGCGATCAATTCCCAGAACAACTCGCGAGCCACTTGTTCTGATCAGACGTCTTGTCGAGGATGGGGGATGGCGTACATCTTGCTGATAAATCTATCCTTGTTGACCGGTCGGCCCTTCTTTCCATCTGCTAATCTGGGCGTCTCGGTCCACATCTCTTTCACATTCTCGAGCACCATGTTGCAATGCCTGTCGAAAGCCTTGACACGTGCCAGCAGCTTGCGGTTCGAGCGAATAGAGATGAGCACCTGCGTGTGCGATCTCACGGCCGTCTGGAGGATGGAGAGGGGGCCGGAGGAGAACTCGTACTCTTCGAGCTGGGCAATCTCGTACTCGCTAAAGTCGGAACTGTTAGATGTGTATTCGGTATTTGATGATTCGAAGGCGGTGGGAGAGGGGCAGAGAGAAAGGATGGATTTCGCGACTGGAAAAAAAAAACATACGTGAGTTCGTTACGAGACTTGGTGAGGAGTTCCCTGAATAAGAAAGTTAGCACGAGCACAATTGAGCAGAGGTGAGGTATGGGAATGACATACTGAATCTTGGGGTCGGCCATTTTTGCGGTGGTTGATTGACTGTCGAGGGAACGAGGTTGCGTGCGCAAGGCTGGGAGCTTTAGAAGCTTCGAAAAGCAGAGTCGTAGAGGCGTATCGCAGGCGCTAATGGTTGATTGGGCACTGCTGCGGCCGTGCACTGTTGGTCTCCAGGTACCTGTACTTGATTCTGCCAGCTGTCTCCAGCTGGCGGCCAGCTGTGAAAATAGGCTGGTACGAACTCTGACAGGCTATCCTTATCGGCAATCGGCGGGTCAATTTTTAGAGAGTGGAGGAGCTTCTATTCTTGCGCCGTACCCGAGGTCAACTATAGTCTATGGTCTATCGGATCTCGCCTTGTTTCCTCTCTTTTCTTCTTGTCTAGATGTCTTAGATTTTTCTGTATGAGTGCATCTATATAGACGATATCTCATGTCCTTCCGAACATTCGCGGCACGGGCTGGCACGGCAGCAAACGCTGCAGGCTGGAGCAGCTATCGCAGCGCATTCACCATGGCACATCAGACCAGAGCATTGAGCTCGGCGGTTGATGCACGACCGGTTAGAAACAGGCAATTATTCTACCATGTGTAATGGAATGCTAATAGGGCGAAATAGCTGTCTGCCGAAGCGTATCACGTCAAGGAACTGCCTGGCGACGAGCCCAGCGATGTCGTCTTCGAGAGCAAGTACGGACTGCGAACCATTCTGCTAAACCGACCCAAGAAATTGAATTCCTTGAATGGATCAATGATTCGCAAGATTGTTCCCCGGTTAATCGAGTGGGAAAAGTCAGACATGGCAAACGTCATTGTCATGAAGGGCGCGGGAGAAAAGGCTCTTTGTGCCGGCGGCGATGTTGCTGAGCTCGCTCTCTACAACCAAGAGAGCGCCGACGGATGGAAGAAATCGGCCGAGTACTTTGCTCTTGAATACCAGTTAGATCACTACATTGCGACATACCAGAAGCCATACATTGCGTTCATGGACGGAATCACCATGGGGGGCGGTGTTGGACTGAGCATCCACGCACCATTCCGAATCGCAACGGAGAGGACCATGTTTGCTATGCCCGAGACAACGATTGGATTCTTCCCCGATGTCGGCGCATCTTTCTTCCTACCTCGGATGAACGGCTCTATCGGAACCTACCTTGCATTGACCAGCGATAGGCTCAAGGGTCCCAACGTCTTCTACAGCGGCATTGCGACTCACTATCTACACTCGTCAAGCCTGCCAGACCTCGAGGCCCGTCTTGCAGAACTGCGATTCCGAGACGAGGACCCCCTGCCCCGACGACTTGAACTCATCAACGATACCCTGGAAGAGTTCTGCACCGGCCTTCCCTACGACCAAAGCTTCGCGCTGAGCGGTGAGACCCGACGCGCCATCGACCGATGCTTCAGCAAGAACAACGTGAATGACATCATTGCTGCCTTGAAGGAAGAGCGGGGAGAGACTGAAGAGTGGGCGCAGAAGCAGCTGGCCACGCTCCATAAGCGATCACCCACTGCTGTGCATGTTGCTCTGAGGCAGATGCGAGTCGGTGGCAAATGGAGCATCTCGGAGACATTTGAAAAGGAACACCAGATTGCGTCCAAGTTCATGCAGCACCACGACTTCACGGAGGGTGTGACAGCGCTGCTGGTGCGCAAGGAGGCTGCCAAGTGGCAACCCGAGACTCTGGAGGCTATTCCCGCCAGCGAGAACGTCTCCAAGCCATTCTTTGACTTCAAGAAGGACGCCGGACTTAAGCTATTCACGGACCGGACATACTCTGAATACCCTTACGCCGCCCTCGGCGTGCCTACGGAGAAGGAAATCCAGGCTGTTGTGTCTGGCAACTCACTCACACCGGCCGAGCTTGCCAAGCAGGTCAAGGCATCAAGGAAGAACCGACAAGGTGTGGCCGAGGTTGTGGATGAGATTATCAGCAGAAAGACGACGGTAGATGAGCAGGGCAAGGCCAAGTGGGTGGCTGATGAGGCGGCGTCTTCAAGTCGACTGTAAAAAAAAAAGATGTGGAGGTAAAAGATTCGTGCGCGTGTACAATATTTAAAATAAAAGAAAGATAAATTCATGTATTCTGATGACTCAAGGATAAAAAGCACCAGGCGAACAATGATGATGATGAAATGTGTAGGCAGTTGTCATGCGATTTCAGTGCTAATGCGAAACGCGCCCATTTTTGGTAGTTGGTGCAGAGCGCAGTGGAGCTTCAAACCATCAAACGTCATCAAAATAAGGTGGGAGACGTGATATAAAACGGCTTCATTTATCGGGCTAAAAAAAAAAAAAGCGAATCAAGCTGTCAAAGGGAGGGGTGACATCTGCAGACTAAAGAAATGCAGGGAAAGCTCAAGTCACGAGACAGCGACTTGGAGGGGTGCCAGCAAACCGAGCTCTGGAGATGGCGTCAAGCAGGCCCTGGAAACTATAAAAGGGCCGCCAGCCCGCCGCTCGATGCACAAGTGCAGGCGGGCAAAGTCCTCCGATCTTCCCTCTCTTTGCCCGGTCGAATTGCCAGCTGAACCGAAGCCCTTTTGCCAGGCCGCCAGAGCTCCCTTGCGGCAGAGATAAGAGTGAGACCAGCTTGCTGGGCTTTTGCGAAAGACAAGCTGCCTGGAGAGGCTCCGGAGCCGCTCCGCATCCGGGGTTCTGCCGGCTCTCCAACCAGTGACAGGATCGACTTCTCTTTTGGGTAGGTGGGGTCCCCCGAAAACAGCGGGTCGCTCAGGAAAAGGGCCCTGCAGCCTATTAAGGCTCAGTGCCGAAGCCCGCTGCAGGCACTTTCTGCCCATCAGGGCCAGCGGGTGGCTCACCGAAGCTTCACCTGCGTAGCGGCCTTGGGCGCCAGCCACTGGCTCCCAGCTACAGTGCCTCGGGGGTGCTGTGGCGCGGGCTGGAGGTACGGCAGTACATGCACAGGCGCATTACACGCGCTGCTGGCGGCATCACAAAACAAAGGCTTGATTGCGCTGTTGTTTGCTTGCACGAGCTCAACCCAACCTTTCATCACCACATCCACTGTCCTCACGAACCGCCGTCTTCTCCCTCTTTTTCGAGTCACTTCTCTTTTGTCTCTGTAGCAACGTGGATCTGACTTTCATTTTAGCACATTTTTTCTTGAAATTTCCTTTGCTCGTGCCCCATCGCCCGCTTGTCTTAAAGTGCCCTGCGCGCCTCGATATCTCAGATCCACCTGCAGACGCGACCTGGAGCTTTTTGGCGCGTCACGAGCATGAAACCCGCCTCCCCAATTTGAGCTGGTACCCAGAACAAAGTACAGCCAAACCCAGGACTCTCCACTTCCCTCTTCCAATAACGATTTTCACATCTTGCATTCGTCAGCCCAGCAACAGGTCCCGGAAGGGGGTCGGTCAGCCCTGCACGACGACTACGGCAACAACTCCAGCGGTGGCCACGAGGGCGAGGCAATATTCGCCATGGCATCGCCAATGCCGGCGGCTCAGTCGAGCAATCCGCCTGCCGCGGGCGAGGTGGACGAGTATGGCCTGCAGACCAAGTTTATGAACTGTATGGAGTTCTCCCTCTCCCTCCTCTTTGCGCTGAAGTGCCGTGTCTTAGTTGGCTGCAGCGACTAATTCAAACCGACAGTGAAGGTGCACTACACGTTCGACAAAGAGGCCAAGGTCAATTGCCTGGCCAGAGGATCCCAGCCCCTGCAAGTGCAGACTATCCCGATTGACGAGACGAATACGATTGGCGTCGTCGACCTGAGGGCCTGCATCCACGTTATTGCCGAGTGCAGCCCGGAGCTGACGAGCCACGAGTGCGACTACACGATTTACGCTGTCGACTATTCCGAGCCCGATCTTCCCCAGGTCGGCCAGGGCCTGCTGTCATGGGTCTTCCAGTCGATGCGGCCTGATTTTGGGCATCATCAGCCCAAGATGGTCACGGGCAGGGTCACCAGAAATATACTGGGCGTTTTTGGCGGTGGAGGCAAAGAGACTCTGGAGATACGATTGAAGCTTTCTGAAACGGCCAGGATCCAGCGTTCCATCGCATATACCTCTCCTCCCGTGGAACTGAACCATATTGGGCCAATGGAACCGACTTTACCGCCCAATGCCGCATCAGAATGGAATTCTCTAGTTCAGTCCAATCCACAGACAGCTCCGCAGGCGACTCAGAACCAAGGCCCAGTACAGAGTCTAATGCAGAGCCATTCACCCAGCATGGCTCCCGCTTTACCTCAAGGACCGCCGCCGCCCTTGGTCAGGCAAGGTTCTTTCGGGCCAAGTTACAGCCAGATTCCACCTACACAAGAGCTTCCGAGGCTAGCTCCAACTCCAGTCGATCCTCAATCCATGCCCAGCATACCGGCGCCTTCTTCACGACCATCTAGTAGAGCGTCAAATAGACCCCCTCGAAGGAAGCCGCCGACTGGTAGGCCCCGGGGTAGGCCGCGGAAGAAACCTGCTGAGGGCAACACATCAGGCTACGAAGATGGGACCGAAGGAGAGGATGCCGCACCTCCCAAAGAAAATGAGCCTGTCAAGAAGAGAGCAAAGATAACCAAGGTGGATAGGTCAGACACGGTTGCCTTTGGTGCCGAACCTGAATCTCTCAGGGTTGCTGCGAGCAACTCCAGCTCCCTGCGAAATTTCCGGCCCATTGGAATCAACAACGACAGCGTGACAGGTAGTCATCATCTGCAGGAGATCCCTCGAGCTCCCACGCCTGTTCCTAACGGTCGTCTCAGGGTGGTACCACCAGGACGGGAGCCCAGCTCGCTCAAGCGACGTGAATCCGCATTGAGCCAGCCGCCCACATCAGGCTTTGCCACGAGCGATGTAGGCCGCTTCCAGTCCCCCGGCATCGACGACGACAGAACGCCAGAATCTCTCGCCCCGACGCCAAACTACCCCGACGACAGCCCTCCAGATATTGGCTCCTCGCCACCGGTTCAGCAGGCTACGCCTTACATGCGGTCTAGTCCACCTCCTTCGAGTCCGGTGCTGCCTCCGATGCCGCCTATGGCTGCTCATGAATCCGAAGTTCCGAACAATGACGCGGGCGACATTTTTGGAGAGGGAGAGCCGCCTATGGTGGATGAGCTGCCGCCTCCACCCCTCATAAACAAAATGCCGACCCAGAGCGTGCCTATCCAGGTCTTCCAGCTCCAGGACGGCCCCAGTGGCCAAGATCTAGTACACCTTCGCACCTATAACACCCCTTATCCCACGTCAAATGCGCCTGCCCCTTCTGAGAGCTCCCTTCTCCCTCCCCTAAGCCGGGAACCGAGCCGTCCACAATCCAGTGGCCAGCCTACTAAAAGGAAGAGACCGCAGTCATCATCACCACCAGACTTGGGGCCAACCCCGCCTCCAACGACCGACGCCGTTGAGCGGGCAATGAGCCCGACCCTAACCTCTACCCCTGTTCCAATTCAAGCTCCTACTCCCATCCCTCTTCCTGCCTCCAATTACGCCACGTCTACTTCTGCACCGATATATGCGCCAATTCCTACGACAGCTCCTTTTTTAGCCCCAGGTGTCGGGGCCCCAACTCCTCCGGCACCAGCTCCTGAATCAGTCCCAGCTACTGCGCCAACACCCGAACTCTCACAGGCCCCTCCTTTAACCGATGACAGTTTGTATGATCCTATAGTACAACTCGCCTCTACGTTTTCCTCGAGAGAAGAAGCTCCTCCTCCAATACAACAGCCATCACGATCCTCACAGCCGCCTCAGCCAAAACCACAAACTTCTTCGAAGCCTAAATATCCCCGTCAACTCAGTCGATCGCAGTCTGCAGGGCCACTTATACTACCCACCAGCGATCCTATTGGTCCATCGGCTTTATCTCAGCCTCCCACTGTCCCTTTAGAGCGTCCATCTACAATGGGGGGCGGAGGCGCTGATATCCGTCGACCAGCTTCTACCGGGCCTTTGGCTTTACCAATGCCTGAGCCTCTTGCCGAGCCCTCGAAAGAGTCTGCGCTTGAGGCGTCCTGCACTCCCAGCGATTTCCCTCCACCATCTTCGCCACAACGAGCAAATAATAAGAACAATGGTAAAAAGCATGCCATCAGACAGCGACTAGAGGCGGCCATTAACAACGGGGAAATGCCTCCCTACTGCAGCAACTGTGGTGCTATAGAAACCCCCACATGGAGAAAAATTTGGAATCAACATCGAGATGGTATTCCGGACCGATGCGAATTCTCGGAGAAGCCTGGTAAAGTAACGGCAGTGGAGATAACTCAGTGTGATGATGAGGGCAAGCCAACAGCTCATCGTGTTATCAAAAAGAGCTTGGCTATCACCGATGATAAAACCAAGTGGCAAGAGGCTTTGCTTTGCAATCCCTGCGGCATATGGCTTACCAAATGTAAAAGCCATCGGCCGGCGGATAGATGGGATAAGGATGCCTCTCGAATAGGCCAAGAACGGCGGAAGAGGGGTACTGGCCGAAGCACATCTCGCGCCAAGAAAAATCGCCGAAAGGATGATGCCCCTATCAACCTTACCTCGGACGCATATTTGCCTACAGACGCCTATCTACCTACAGATGCCTATCTACCTACAGACGCCGATATACCCACAGATGCCTATATACTCACAGATGCTTATACACCCACAGACGCGCTAGAGCCACCAGCACCCTCGTCACCAAAAATGAACGACGCTTTCTCTATAGATTCAGATTCATTGCCGAGGCCAGAGAACGCTGAAAGTCAGGAATATGAGAGGTCTTTCGCGACCGTTGGGTTGGGTGTATTATCCCGGCCAGGATCAACGCATTCCCGGGGCAATGGAACAGCTCAAAGCCCCATTGACATCGATACTGAATTTGACCAAGTCGCTGGAAGCACTAAGAGGCTTCTATTCCCGTCGCCTAGGAAAGACGGGGTGCCCAAGGTGCTTTGCGATGTTGACATTAATATCGTGCAGACAGCAGAGTGTCGCTCAGCAGACAACCTAAAAGGTGACCAAGAGAACGCCGTCGCGTCAGGATTGAATACGGGTGTCGGCAAGTTGGATGATTTAGAAGCTCTGTTCAACAGCCCGGCGGCCAAAGAACGACCATCCACCCCGCCACCCGAGCCCAAGTCCGCTCCTGCCGAGCCTTTCAAAACCCCTACTCGACCTACCCCAAGCCATAGGCCGATCACTAGAAGTGTCTCGCGGTCTATGAGATCTGCCAAGTCGATCTTGTCTCCAAGCCAGCTCGCAACCGACCGGACTCCTACCAAGACGCCAAAATCTATGTTGAAAATTCCCGGAAGCAGCGCGAGAAGACGCAGTCCGCGAGGCCACCAGAGCCATTTTGACAGCATGTTTACTTCACCAATTGCTCAAAATATTGTACAGTTCCTCTCACAGGGCAATACCTTCTCATTTGAGGATGGTGAGATTGATTTTGGCAACCTCGCTGGAGACAACGATGAACTGCTTGACCTTGGCCATCTTTTGAGTACAGATGATATAATGCCCAGCTCTCCACCCAAAGACGCCACCGTGGAGTTCGAATACGAAGGCGATATTGGTAATATTGCTGATTGGATGGACCATGTTACGAGAGAGCTTAAATGAAGTGTTTTCAATGAGGGATGGGATTAGGAAAAGGATGGGATTATATATTGATGATTGATGCCAATCTGGGGTTTTTATTTGCGTTTTCTTGCTTTGAACAGCGAGCGGAGTTTCGGAAAAGGGGGTCTTACAACTGGCTTTTCTTGACGACTCAAGAACACTCACGGATATAGGTGTCAAGAATTCGACACTGCTTTACAGCAATTATGAATTTTTTTTTTCCAAATCAACTTTTATTTTTTTCATTTACTAGATATCAGTTATGAACCTTAGATAGTATTAGTATAGTGGATACCAGAGCAAGGCTCAACGTAGTGAACTTTTGTTTTCTGTCTCTCAATGTGCTCTGTGAATAAGAAGAAGGTGGGATGCAGATGCTCCAATTGGGTGGATAAAGAGCTGTTACAATGCAGCGAATTAATAAAAAAGGGCGAAATTGTCTAAATATGCACTTCTAGATTTACAATGCGCTTGTCGGATTAAAAAAGAGAGCCGAGGAGAGTAAAAACTGAGGAGAGTATTTTCACTCATTGGTGCCTATAGTAAGTCAGTTTACCGCGTGGGGCTACCTCACATTAAGCTCTATGCCACTTAACGCGTCGCGTCTTTCGCATCTTTCCAACCCCACCACAGACAGCTCTTCTATACCCAGACAAGATTCAATTCCAAGTCGCAACTACTGTCACTGGCTAAACTTTGGTTTTATTTCCTTGCTGGCGAAAAACTGAACGACACATAGACTGTGCAATTAGCCAATTGTCAAAAACCAGTCGCCCATCATGGCTAACGAGGAAATCCAATCCCGATTCGCTCCCAATGGGAGCTTGGAGCCGGACGTTGTCAGCGAGCTCGAGTCCATGGCAAGGCTACACGATATTTCCACAGAAGACCTCTATTTCAAATGGGAATCTTACTGCATCAAGATGGATGTGGATACGCAGGCCGTAACCTTGTCGAATGTGCGTGGTCTGAAGCAGGGCATCCAGGACGAGCTGGAGAAGGCACAGCACCGGGTGCAGCTCAAGAGCGAGAGGAAGATGGCGCCAACTCCAAGGGCCAAGCCGGGGGCCAAAGGAGGCGATGTCTTTGGCATGCTGGATGGGCTGGTACCAAGTACGCCTTCGACAGGGAGGCTGAACAAGGCACCGGGCAGTGGTGGGAACAGCCTGAGAAGGCGGATGGAAACCCAGAGAGACATTCCGAGCTCGCCAGCGGCAGGACTCAATGAGCAGCTGAGGGCAATGAACCTACCGTAAGTATTTCCGGCTTTATAATGCAGATTGAATTACAGCTGTTGACCTGTGGTGCTTAGAGCTACGTCCTTTGCGGATCGACAGAACCCGGGCGACGTAATCGAAATCTTAAACGACGAGCTCCCACCCGCCGAAGCACCGATTGCGCCGTTCCCCGAACCGAGAATCAAGCTTACGGCTGCTTCTGACCAGAAGAAGACGGGATATAAACCACTTGCTATGAAGCTATCAGAGGCCAGCGAAATTTTGGACGACCGAATCGACGACTTTATTGATTTGGTTCGCGAGCATCACAATCTGGAAGATTCTGCGTTTGGCAACGCTGCCACTGCAAGCACAACTGAGGTCGTGGCTGTGGGCCGTATAGCGTCCGATGCTCTCGAGGGGAAGCTCAATGCTGCCTCGATCGTGTTGGAGACCTCCAGACGGATGGGGAGAGGTCTAAGAGTACCGCTGAAGTTGGATGGTATACGAGGTTGGAACTTCTTTCCGGGTCAGATTGTTGCACTGAGAGGCAGCAATATCACAGGCGACGAATTCATTGTCAAGGAAATTCTAGACATGCCCCTTCTACCGAGTGCTGCGTCCAGTCCTTCCGCTCTAGAAGCTCATCGAGAGAAGCTCAAAGGCGATCCCGATGCTATGGATTCAGACTCGGCCCCTACGCCGCTGAGTATCATTTACGCGGCGGGCCCATATACGGCTGATGACAACCTCGATTACGAGCCGCTGCAGGCGCTTTGCAATCAGGCAGCGGATACATATGCCGATGCCCTTATCCTCACAGGGCCGTTCCTCGATATCGATCATCCGCTCATAGCTACGGGTGACTTTGATCTGCCCGAAGAGGCTACATACGATTCTGACACCGCCAACATGAATACTGTTTTCAAACATCTCGTCGCCCCTGCGCTAAGCCGCCTCGCCTCTGCAAACCCTCATCTCACCGTCATCCTCGTTCCTTCTGTCCGCGACGTCCTCAACAAACACGTCTCCTGGCCTCAGGATACCATTCCCCGACGAGAACTCGGTTTGCCCAAGTCAGTGCGAATCGTCTCCAATCCCATGACCCTATCTATAAACGAAGTTGTCCTCGGCCTGTCTAGCCAGGACGTGCTGTATGAACTGCGTAACGAGGAGGTCACCAAGGGGGCTCCCGCCGGAGATTTGATGAGGCGGCTGTGTCGCTACCTCGTTGAGCAGCGGCACTTCTTCCCCGTGTTTCCGCCAACGGATCGGTCGAGGCTGCCCAAGACGGGGACGCAACACGGGCTTGCCACGGGCGCCATGTTGGATGTGAGCTATCTCAAGTTGGGCGAGATGGTCAATGTTCGGCCGGACGTGATGCTAATGCCCAGTTCACTACCCCCTTTCGCAAAGGTATGTCGTTCTTTTTTCTCAAACCCTTTGTCTTTTCGCCTTTTTTTTTTCTCCTTTGATCCTAGCTTACCATCTAAAACAGGTTGTCGAAAGTGTTTTGGCTATTAACCCTGGTTCATTATCAAAGAGGCGTGGTCCGGGGACGTACGCCCGCATGACGCTCTATCCTCTATCTCTAGACGGGGAAGTAATAAATGGCTTGATAACTCACAAAGTATTCGACAGGGCACGAGTAGAGATTGTGAAGATTTAGAGCAGGGAAGAAGAAGAAGAAAAGAATAGGAACAGTATCATGTTAGCTAAAGCAATTGATGATAGAATAATGGCACATTTTGATGTATTTTTGTCTTTGGATTTAACTGTTTGCTGTTTCTCAACAGTTGTAGAACTGTCCTAGTATGATGGTCGAGCTATCTTTTGTTATACAAAGAAACGGGGGTATACACGGAGTGGTGGATAGATTATTATCATGATCTTCTGTAGTTGAGATCAGGTTATTAAATGCATATTGCCCCCACAGAAATTTTGCCAAATGCAGCGTCTTCTGCTTCGGAAAAATCTCCCTACTCCCGGGTATCAACCTTGCGTCTCTTATCGCTGTCATAGCGATCTCTCTCACGAGACGTGCTCCTCTTCCGGCGGCTCCTATGGTCGTCTCTGTCGTCATCGCGATCGCGATCACGCTCTCTATCCCTCCTTGGCGACCGAGACCGTGAGTATTCTCGACGACGGTAGTTGTCTCCCCGGTCTCTTCTGTCGTCGAACCTATCCCTCCTATCCCGCCTATCGCGATCGTCGCTTCTCCTGTCCACGTCTTGTCGCCTGCTTTCCTTGCGATCACCCAGAGGAATTGCATTCGCTCCCTTGACTCCGTCTCCATCCGATCTGAAGCGGTCGTCATCCGGACGAAACCGATCATCCCCATCAAAATTGCGGTCATATCTCCTCCTATCCCCTCCTCCAAATGATCCCCAGGCACCAGTATCCTCGCTGCGCATGTCCTTGTACTTTGTAGCTCCCTTCCTGCCCAGCTTAGTCATGTCCCGCCTCTGCAGATACTCCGGCAGCGCCTCACGATTGCGCACATCGTCCTGAATACGACCTCCCATGATATCTCGCTGCAGCAGGCCCGCAGCGGCAGCTTCTTCCTGGAAAAAGGCTCCCTTGTGGTAGTACTTTTGCATATACGACATCTTGCCCTTGCCTTCCTTCTCCTCCTTCTGCTTCGCGAGAAAGGCTTCGTCCTCGGCGGCGCGTTCTTCCTCGGTGAGGTTGCGGCGCCGTTCAACTTCCGCGAGTTCCTTTTCTCGCTCCTCGATAGCCTGGCGCGTGCGCTTGAGGCGCTTCAGCTCGCGCACTCGCCAGGCTGCTTCTTCGGCTTCCGGTTCTAGTCCGTCGGTCGTGTCGACGTCTGATTCCTCGTTGTCCTCATCGTCCCAGTGCTTCTTCCCGGCGGCACGCGCGGCTAGATCCTTCTTGATTTGTTCTTCGACGAGCTCGTCGGCAGCCTTTTTCCGGGCTTCTTCTTCGGCCTGTAGTCTCGCGTCTTCGTTTTCCTTGTCGCCACTCTTTGTGGCGCCTCGTTGGCTTTTGGGTATAAACTTCGGCCTCATCATCAATCTCCTGGGTGCCTCCTCTTCGCTACTGCTCTCATCCTCCTCCTCCTCCTCTTCTGATCCGCTCTCATCCTCTTCATCTTCGCCCTCTTCTTCCCCTTCTTCTTCTTCTTCAGTAACGAACCCTTCCTCTGCCGCTAGCCTTTCTGCCCTTTCCGCGGCAATCCGACGCGCTTCCGCAGCCTCTGCATCTTTGCGCCGAGAAGCAAGATCGACTTGATTTAGGTTGCTGATAATTTTGCCGGCGCTGGTGGCTTTCGGGGGCGGAGGCACTGCGACGGGCTCGACGGGCTCCTCTGCGTCGCTGGCATCTGAGTCTGAGGAGGATTCTGCGCCGGTGACCTTGCCGGCTCGATGACGAGACGGCTTTATAGGGTTTGCTGTCATGCGCTTTGGAGGCATTGTGGCTATGCTATAAGGGGAGAGATGGTGGAATGTCCAAGTGGACGTGGTCGTTGCGTAGTGTAGCTATCAGGTCCAAGATATGTTAGAAAATCAAAAGCGATAGGCTAGCCCGGGCTGTAAGCTACCAAATTTAGGCCGACTCCCGCTAAAGTTTCAGGGCGATCTGGTGTAATGACATCGTAGAGTCCACCCAAGTTGTCTCCAATTCGACGCTACTTACTTTGAAAACATATTGGGAGACTTGATTTGAATAAATGCCGTTTATATAGAGGTAACAATAATGTGCAATCTTAGTGCATTCGTGCTCAATTGCGAAATATCGTATCATATGAAGTGCTCTGCTAGCAATCCGATATGCCTTTACCTGTACCACTTACGCTGTGGGATGAAAGTTCCAGATGTCACAATTGTAACAAAGCATGCCATTGATTGAAGCAACTTAGCGACCCCATCCTCTCCTACCATCTCTAATTGAAAAGTCTTCCTGTCATATTTCCAAACTACTGATCAGACATTCCAACGAGCTTTCCATCACATGTTGCAGGGTAAGTCTCTTGTAAACGCTGCGGAGTCGGCCCCTCGCTCACACGTCAGAGCTCCACCAGCCACGAATAGCTCAGGTACAGCACCTCTTTTAAGGTTCAGAATACGAAACGTGGTAGGGATTTCATCTCAACCTGAGCAACTTTCAGTCCGACTCTCACTCTCGCTCTCATTTTCACCCAAATCCTGCTCTCTTCTTCTCTATAGCAAGCGAGAAGAGTTCATCAATTCGTACAGCCTTGAAAGTCTCAACGGCTGCCACCGCCACTTTGGCAATTCGCAGCTGGTATCTATAAGCTAGAGCCTAAGCTGCTTATACTACACGCAATGGCGGAGCGAACAGTCCTCGTCACCGGTGCCACCGGATTGTTGGGAAGAGAAGTGGTCTCTGCCTTCAAACTCCTACATAGCGGATGGGCAGTCAAGGGAACGGGCCACTCACGAGCAGACGGCGTTGACATCCTCAAAGTCGACTTGGAGAGCGCAGAGGATGTCGCCAAAACGCTGGACGAGACACGGTACGTATTACTACAGCTTCATTTGGTGGCGTCGTATAACCGACCTGGCGATATCCATGCTAATAAATCTCCGAGCGAGGAACAGACCCCAAGTGGTGGTCCACTGTATGGGCTGAGACACCCCCCCCTCCACGCTGAGTAACGACTTTGCTGATGTCTTTATTCTCCTTAGGTGCGGCTCAGCGGTTCCCAGACAAGGTGGATAAAGATCCAGAGGGGGCCAGGGCTCTCAACATCGCGGCTAGCAAGCTCCTCGCTAGTGTCACTGCTGCTCGGGATATTTTGATGATTTACATCTCCACTGATTATGTCTTTCCTGGGCGGCCAGGTGATGCCCCTTATGAGGCTGATGCTACCCCAGGTCCTACCAATCTCTATGGCCAGACCAAACTCGATGGCGAGAATGCTGTGTTGGAAGAATACGCCAAGGCCGGAAAAGAGGGCCTTGGAATTGTGCTTCGAGTCCCAGTGCTCTACGGCCACGCGGAAACACCATCGGAAAGCGCCGTCAACGTGCTTATGGATAGCGTATGGAAGGCCCAGACAGAGGGGACAAAGATTAAGATGGACCACTGGGCCTTACGTTACCCGACTAACACAGAAGACATTGGAAGAATCTGTCATGGTAAGTTTCTGTCTCACTTTGTTTCTCTAAGGGTTGCGCAAGCTCCACAGCCTTGTCCTTTTCGCCGATTCCTCCATCTCCAATATTTAAGTGAATTTGATGCTAATTGGCTTGTGCAAATATATAGACGTGGCGGTCAAATATCTTGAGTCTGGAGATCGTAAAAACCTGCCCCGGATACTCCAGTTCTCGAGCGAAGACAAAATGACAAAGTATGAGATCTGTCAAACATTTGGTGACATCATGGGCTTGTCTATCGCCAATATCGAGCCCAACACAGAGGGAAACGATCCCAACGCCAGCGTGCAGCGACCATATGACTGCCACCTAAGCACCAGAGAATTGAAGAACCTCGGTATCGATGTTTCAACATGCGACTTCGTCAGCTGGTGGCGTCGCGAGGTTCGGGCGTTCCGCAAGTAGCTGTCTACCGAATGCCTTTTGCCATGTCGATTACTGGACGCTCGCTGCATTCTTCTATGCGATTTCACGCATGGACTTGGCATGTTGGTAACTGCATTGCAGGCAGCAATCTGCTCTGCTGATATTGCCATACAAGATATCTCGCACAATATAAAGGTGTTCCTCCCATGGGCGGAGGTTCGATGCATCAGATGCTGTGTACGACGCACGTGCTCCATGTTGCTGTTTGCTCGTATTTGTGAAAGCTGGTGCATACCATACACTGTCTATACATTTTGTGTCCACAATACCTGTCATATATGCGGAGTTGGAGGCAAGGAGGCGAGAGTTATATCTTACCCCGGCCTTCAAAAATGGCCTATGCTCACCGAACGGTGGTTCGCGGGGGATCCGCTTCAAAGGCGACATGAGAATATTTTCAACTTCTCGATGACCCGCAAAGGGAGATTCTTGGATCTAAAAAAAGCCATTGAGAGTAATTGTTGCTACAGAGGCATTGGGGCTGCGTACTGAAGCGATTTGGAAGGACCCAAATGCACTTCTGCCAGGTACGTGGGCGCAGATCCAAGGGCAGAAATTGGGAGGTGCTCGCTGTGGACAGGCTGTATGTACTGATATTTGTCACGGCATTTAGTGCACCCTCTTGTCCATCCAACAGTCTCCCTTACATGAGGCTCTTTGCTAGGCTGAAGCTACACGGCAGTAGTATTTCTCAAGAGTCAAGCCGTATGCTCAAGCACTGATACAACCCCGTATCCAACCAGTTGGTGGCCAAATTGGACCCGCATCAGGCGAACACCCCCTTTGCCGGCGCTCGGATACAGCAACGACGCGCATTAAACCGGCAATGCCTGTTGCAAGCGAGCACTTATTTTAAGACATGCAGCGACATGCAGCGGAACTCAATACGCGGCCGACGGTGGAGGGTTGGAGTCAAAGGCCGTCAAGCGTGGATGGCATTTTGGCGATATGACCTGCATCATGGGCATCGAGGCTTTGCCGGACGACTCTATCTCTCCTGAAAGGGTCGCTTGCCGCGAGAGATTGCGCCTGCGGTTTCGATTTCTAGAAGGACGTTCTCTCCTCGAATCGTTCTCTCCCTTTTTCAACATATTTCCTCTCGCCATCCCCTCCTGACTTGTTTCTTCTGGATAGCTATTGCTCCTGCAAGTGAATAGCTTTTTGAGAACTGCCCATTCCCTTGAGGCCAAGTAACTAACTCAAGTGGCGTGGCTGGAGAGACGACAACGCTGATCGCTCTTTCTTCGAGATTTATTTTTGACTCTGGTATGTCAGCTGCGAGGTTGGTTACCAAGAGAACTGCTTGAATTAATGTTTATTTGCCATTCTGCCCACAGCGATACGACCGTTTGCACGCCTTGTCTCTTACGCTGAGGCTGAAGAAGGAAAGAGACAGAGAGGGAAGAAAAGGCATTGAAGAAAAGAAAAAAAAAGCGAGAAGAGAAAAAAAGTCAGGGACTTTCTGTCTGCTTCCTTCTCTGCTTCATCATCCTCTTCTTCCTCGCTTACGATAGAGCCCCTGTCCAAGCGCCTTAATCTCTCTGCTGCGTGACAGCTTTATTACCGGCTTACACAATTCCAAGCAGCATCAGGCAATCTGCCGCTGTGGCTGTTGATCGCCTGACGGCCGGATCCGCTGTAAAGCCTATTCTGACAGCGGCCCCAGGCGCGGCTACAGCAACTATGGCTGCTGCGGAAGATGCAGCTGCAGGGCCCCTCCAGGCGCCGCCACAGGCGCCTCCCGAGCAGCCCCCACCAAAGACGCCTCGCAACCGCACCTTTCGAGGGAAGAGCGTTTCGTCTCGTTTCAACCTGTTCCGCGATCCAGATCCCCAGAGCTCGGACGGCTCCCAGAGCTTCGCAGGGGCCCGCAACCCTCCTGCGTCAATTTCACTCTCACAAGCCTCGGACGTGCCGCCCATCCCCAACTTCGTGCTCAGCGCAAACCCCAAAACCGACTCCAGCCCGTCGCTTCTGGAAAGGAGATTTTTTGGCGGCGAACTGAAGCCACCACCATCGCCCTCGGCCAGGTCTTTTTACTCAGAATCCGGATCGCCCTTTGGCTCGCCGTTGAGCAGGAGCATCAGCAGCATCAGCAGAACCGAGCGCGAGATTGACGAGCTCGCCACGCAATTGGAGGCCGAGATTGAGGAGGCGCATCGCAAAAAGGCAGAGGCCCTGCAAAACTGCACCGAAGACGAGGCCGCTCGCTGTGCAGACGACGTCGCGCGACTCGAGGCCGAGCGGGACCAGGTCATTGATGAGCAGAGAAAGTTTGACCTCGCACGCCTTCAAGCGCAACCAGCCACACCGTCCTCGGGGAAGCCCAAGCGAGTGTTGGAGAAGCTCAGCTTGTTCTCGAGAAGCAGGAAACCGAGCAGCTCTAATCTGATTCAGCCGCCGCTGACTCCCTTGCCTCCTGGAACGCCCAGCACTGTTGCGCCGACTGTCTTTACACCGGGCGTCTTTACGCCTACACCAAGCTGCAGCCGACGGAGCAGCCTCGACGACTCGCCTCTGCTGCATTCCTCACAAAGAATGAGCTTCATTAAACCACATCCCGAGGGCGACGCGCCCATCTCTGCCATCAATGGCGGTGAACGAGTGAGTGCTGCTGGATAGACATGTGTGACTGCGTCCGGCTAATATGTGCTGACCCCTCTTTCCCTCCCTTTGCAGCGTGTTACCGTTCGATGCCTTTCGTCCACCATTAGTCTGGATGTAACAGCCCAGACGTCGGCTGTTGATATTCTCATTGCAACCGCTGCGCAGACAAGGCACGATGTTGATGTTGAAACGAGCGTTGTCGTGGAATGCTACGACACCCTTGGATTAGAGCGGCGCATGCGACGATACGAGCATGTACGGGACACGCTGAATTCTTGGGACCGTGACCAAGATAATTCACTTCTTGTGATACCATCAGATGCGTCGGATGGCGATGAGAATCTTGAACTCGAATCTGTGCCGCTGACAGATGACCCTGCGCCAGGCTTTTCTATCCAGCTTTACCATTCCTCTCGCCCAGGCAAGTGGAATAAGCGCTTCGTCACTCTGCTCAGTACTGGCCAAATATATGCTTCTAAGCGCCCTGATACATCAATCTCGGATAAAGACAGCACATCTTTGTGCCATCTGTCAGACTTCGACATTTATAAGCCCAAGGCGAGTGAAGCGAAGCGGAACCTAAAGCCTCCCAAAAAGCTATGCTTCGCCATCAAGAGCCAGCAGAAGACTGTGGTGTTCCCCAATGGCGAGAACTTTGTTCATTTCTTCTGTACCGACGATGCTGCAGTAGCCCAGAGATTCTTTGACCAGGTACATGCTTGGCGGAGTTGGTACATTGTCAACAAGATCACGCATTCGCGCGAAGTTGAGAAGCCGGCGCCTCTTAATTTGGGCCTCAGCAGAGCCGACACAGTCAGGATGCCCCTTATCAGCGAAAAGTCCCCCCAAGTCTCTACAACCGGCTTAACCATTACAACTGGATCATTCATAGATGACAGCGACTTCACCAAGGCTATTGAAGAGTCTACCAGGAAGCTGGCTCTCGAGGCCCAGCTTAACAAAACCATGTCTAGAAGAGGCAGGAAAGCATCTGGAGCTTCTGTCACCCCTAGCGTCAAAACCACACAGGAATTCTCACCCACGGGCTTACTTGGAGAAGCGTATGAAAAACGCAAGGAAGAATCGGCGACGATTGAGGTCACGAGCCCCTTTACAGAAGGCCCGTCTTTGCTGAATAGTATTGGCCTGTCATCACCCAAATCGCCCGAGCAGCCCAAGGTATCTGCGTCCTGGTTCCCGTCCGCCGCCGAGCATACCGCGCGCAACCGGAGTACCTCGATATCTCTACGACGAACCGAGACGGTGGAGGCTCCAGCTCAGCCTGAGCACAGGAAGGGGCCGGCGCCACTGTTGAACTTTGGCGGTAATATACAAGAGCAGCCACGCACCCGAGATGGTCGTCGTGAAAGCCTCCGAGAGGGCTTCCGGCAAGGCCCCGGGCCTGGGCGGGGACATGGCCTGCGCCCTCCGCCAGGCTCGCCTCTCGTCAAGTTTGCAACATCCGGACAGTCGGGACCGCAGGGGCCTCCCGCATCACCAGGAGGAAGACACGGGCCACCTCTTTCTGGAGGTCCTCCACCGCCGCCGGGTGCGCGCAACCGTAGCCGTTCAATATCCAGTGCCAACGGTGGCCCTCCTAATGGCCCTCCTAATGGCCCCCCTCATAGCGGCCCTCATGGCGGTCTTCATGGCGGTCTTCATGGCGGCCCTCATGGCGGCCCTCATGGCGGCCCCCGGCGTTATCCTGGTCCTGAGGATCTCTCTTCTGCAGCTATGCAACACCGAGGACCCGGCCCACGACCTGGTCGAATGCCTCCTCCATCCCCTCGTGATGCCGCAGCTCACGGCCGTGATCACCGTCGACCTGGTCCTTTGCTTCAAGAACGTCAAGAACGTCAAGAGCGTCCTAGAGAGCGACCCCGGGAGAGGCCCCAAGAGCGCCGGCCAGGGCCGTTGGTGAACCACGCTCGATAATTTACATGCATTCCATACATATGGAAGCACATGATAGTGGATTCTTTCTTTATCATGATACCCCTGGCCCAGAAGTAAAAGTGTTTTTATTATTTGAGCTTTTTTTTTTTTTTTTTGTATTCCCTTTGTTCTTGTTTTGAATACCACATCTTGGTCATAAGGAAATGGCCTTTTCTTTTGTGTTATAATTTGATCAGGGCGAGTTGTAGCCGGGAGGGCTTGTAAGTCATACAGGGGCATTTATTATGGGAAACTTGGCGGTATTGGATTGAGCCTTTTTTTGTTTTAATAGTCGCATTCAGCATTTCGGGACTTTTGGCATTAAAATGTGCGTATGGGGAAAGAAACCGTGGAAGAAAAAAGTCATAGTTATACACAATACTAGATCATTGTATTCTGTCGTTCACATCCGTCGTGAATAGGTGTGTATTAGTCTGTTTATTTCGTCGGCTTTAACATGATGCCTTATGAATGCTATAAAATCGCCTTTTCTAACTGGCTTTGCCTCATTTCTAGATCCGATACATTAAAGAAAGAAAGAGGATAACAAAAAAATATCTATTTGCTTCGCTTGTAGATCTTGCTCAGGAACACTTCAAACACCTGCTTCTTGAGGCCCTGGCTCTCGTCAATCTTGTTGATCAGCTCCATGAGCTCGCCGGCACGCTTCTCCTCGAATGCCTGGTATCTCTCCTTCAGCTTCATGTCGTCGTAGAGCTTCTTGACGACCTGCTCCTTGGCGTCATCCTTTTGGCCGTAGTTCTCCTCAAGGATCTTGCGCTGCTCAGGGGTGGCAAGCTGCAGGGCCTGGTTGACCAGCCAGGAGCACTTGTTGTCCTTGATGTCGGTGCCGATCTTGCCAATGTGCTCGGGCAGACCAAAGTTGTCGAGGTAGTCGTCCTGAATCTGGAAGTACTCGCCGAGGGGGATGAGGATGTCCTTTGCGGTCTGCAGATTCTCGGGGGAGGCAATGTCCAGCATGTAGAGCGCCAGGGCGATGGGGAGGTAGAAGGAATAGTAGGCAGTCTTGTGGATGACGATGAAGCTGTACTTTTCCATGGAGAAGTTGTCGAGGTTGACGACGTCCTCGGGCGCGGTGAGCAGGTCGCAGAGCTGGCCGAGCTCGGTCTGGAAAGAGCTCTCGTGGAAGAGCTCGACGAGCTCGATGTAGCGGGGGTGGTCGCGGAAGTACTTCTTGAGGATGATGTAGATGCCGGCCTCGAGCAGGAAGGAGTCGTTAATGGCAATCATGCCGACGCCCTCCTGGCGGTACCAGCAGGGCTGGCCGCGGCGCGTGATGCTGCTGTCCATGATGTCGTCGGAGACGAGGAAGAAGGCCTGGAGGAGCTCCGTCATCCAGCCCAGCGTGGCGGCCTTGAAGTATTCCTCCTCAGTCAGAGGTCGGCCCAGGATGATTGAGACCGAGTCGGGGACAGACATGCCCCGGTTGCATTTTCCGCCGAGGGGGTTGACCTCGAGGTTCTAGAGAATGGAAGGAAAACAAGTCAGCCATCTACTGCGCCAATTGCATTGGGATGGATTGAAAGAGCAGCCATACCCTCTTGAGCCAGGCCAGCTCAGCGGCGGGCAGCTTGTAGGTCTTGGCATGGTCGAGGAGAGCTTCCTCCAGCTTGGGCCAGACGGATTCGAACTCCTTGAGGGTCGTCTTTTGAGCCATGGCGGGCGAAGTGGGGGATTAGAAGGAGGGGAGATGGTAAAGGTGTAATGGGTATCACGTATACTCGTATAAGAAAAGGAAGGAGAAGAAGCAGAAATTAAAAACACCTCGCTGCCACGGTGATTACAAGAATAAGAGTGGCGGGAAGAGGAGAGAAGAGGGCAAATATTATAGTACTGCCTGCACTGGGGGAAAAAAGTGTTGTTGGTTCGGTTATACGAATTTGGAGAAGGAGAGACGGCGCCCCTCCATTGGCTTCCACGAGCGCCAGCCCAGCTCCCAGATGAAAAAAATTGCCAAATGACGGAAACTGACGGGGGACCCCTCAGGGCCCTTAGCCTTTTGTGGGGGGCGGTGAGCGGCAGCAGCACAGAAAACAGAAGAGCGTGCATGTACGGGCATGCGGTGCTACTGTATCTGGGGCCGCAGTGGAAATTGGCGCCAGCTGCAGGGCATCGAATCGAGTCGCCCAGGCCAAGGCCCTTGCTGAGCACGCGCTGCGGTTAGCATGCCCAGCATGGTGGCATCTGCGGTGGTGCGCTGGGCGGTACCTGAAAATCAGCGCTTGGATCACGTCGCTAGGGGCCGCGAATCGGGGTGTGGAAGCCTGTGGCAGCGGCTGAGACAGCGACGGTACGCCGTGTGATGAGTCGCTAAATGAGCGATTATGCGCACTGTATATATGCATCGATCAGGCTTCGCCTTTCGCTATCTCAGGCACTGTGTACTTTATGCCTCTCCCTCGCGTCTAATACGAGTACGCGTTTGATGCAACGTACTCGGATCTGACCACCTCCGGCCTTTATCGCAGACGCCACAGCTCACAGACAAGCCCAGCCAATTTCATGCCCGCAGGCCTGATTCAGCGTGCAGAGTGCAGATGCCGTACATGGCTGCTATCTGATATATGACACCGACACACAGAGAGCAGGGATCGCGCATAGCTGCCTGAAGGCCGGGGCTGAGCCTTGCGTGCCTTGCGTTGCTCCCACGTTGAACGGGTATCGCGGCCCATTCCCTCGTGGCTTTTTTCTAATTTGTTTAATCTGGTTTGCTTTGTTTACTTTCGTACCCCAGCCATGCCGCTCAGCTCCCACGAGGTAGCCCAGCTCAGGATCGCGCTGCAAGATGCGGTGGTGAAATGCTCCGAGCGATGCCTGTATCAATCGGCAAAATGGTTAGCCTTTACTTTTGCGTATTCCTTGGCGTCTCGTTTGTAATTTTACCACGTGTGAAGCAGGCATAAAGCTGATAATCTTACTTTCAAGGGCAGCCGAGCTCCTCAATGCGGTTCCTGAGCCGGCGGATGGGGAAGAAGAGGCTGATGACCCCGAGCCCGGCAAACACACCTCACCCATCTTTGCGCCAAATCAAGATGCTGGCGAGGCTGCCCTGGAGGCCAAGGAGCTGAGCAGGTACCTCCTCGCCAAGTCGCTGTTTGACTGCAAGGAATATGACCGCTGTGCGGCCGTCTTCCTGCCGGACTCGTTGCTGTCCACCGTTCTCGACTCACGCCTCGAGAAGCCCCTGGCGACGCCCAAAGGCAAGGGCAAGTCGAGGGCGACGGATGAGCCCAGCCTGAGCGCGGTGCCTCTACCCAAGCTCAGTCAGAAGAGCCTCTTCTTGGCGCTGTATGCCAAATTCATTTCTGGCGAGAAGCGCAAGAATGAAGAGTCGGAGATGGTTATGGGCCCTCAGGACCTTGGCACCGTGGTCAACAAGCAGCTTCTAACAGTGGGGAGGTTTTTGGCTGCTTGGTTTGAGGAGAGGACGACGGATGATGATGAAGTTGTCGGAAGCCAGGGCTGGCTGGAATATTTGTACGTTGATACCTAGTTCATTGTATTGCGCCACCGTGAGAATAATGTTGCTTGTGCTAACCCTCATTGACTGAAGATACGGCATGGTGCTCGCTAAAGAAAAGAACGACGAGAAAGCCTTGGAGTTTCTTATACGCAGTGTTCACAAGTACCCCATGAACTGGGGCTGCTGGCTTGAGATGACATCTCTGATATCACGAGTCGAAGACGTAAGTTGATGAAAAGCAACGCAAGTATTTGACGGCAGTGACTGACAAGGAATCCTTTAGCTGAATCGAATAAGTCGACATTGCCCTCAAAATATCGTTTCTTACATGTTCCACCTCCACACATCGCTTGAGCTGTATCAGCAGTCCGCAGGCCTTGCGAATTCTCTCGATCAACTCCTCTCCATCTTCCCTACCTCCTCATTTCTCCTCACATGCAATGCACTGTTGGCCTACCACGCAAAGGATTTGATGACCGCCGAGCAGCATTTCAGCCGGCTGCTATCACTCCATCCCCACAGACTTGATTCCCTGGACCACTATTCTAATATTCTCTACGTGCTGAACCTGCGGCCAAAGCTTGCATTTCTGGCTCACCTGTGTTCGAGCGTGGATAAATTTCGGCCTGAATCTTGTGTCGTCATCGGAAATTACTATTCGCTCCTGTCCATGCACGAGAAGGCTGTGGGATACTTCCGACGAGCGCTGACGCTCGATAGGTCATGCCTCTCTGCATGGACTTTGATGGGCCACGAATACGTCGAGTTGAAGAACACACATGCTGCTATAGAATCATACCGACGAGCGGTGGATGTCAATCGGCGTGATTATCGAGCTTGGTACGGCCTCGGGCAAACGTACGAAATGCTGGAAATGCATACGTATTCGCTGTGGTACTACAAAAAGGCCGCAGGTCTCCGACCATGGGATGGCAAAATGTGGATGGCGGTTGGATCGTGCCTCCAGAAAATGGGCCGAGAGCGTGATGGCATCAAGGCCCTCAAACGTGCTCTGCTCGCCGATGCGTACTATGACGTGGGCAGCAGCTTTGGCAGCGGCGGGGATCTGCTCGGAGCTCGTGGCGCCACTGGTCAAATGGACCCGGAGATACTCTTGCAAATCGCTACCATGTACGACCAGCTTGGAGAAGAAGAGGAGGCGAAAGCTTATATGGAGCTCTGCGTGGCTCAAGAGGACGGAGGTCCGGCAGCCGCTGGGAACTTGAGCGAGTCTGTGCGCATCCATAACGACTCGCCAGGTGGCTCGGAAGGCTACCACGAGCGAGACGACAACCACGCAGAGGGGAATGCCGAGGGTACCGGCGTCACGGCCGCGACCAGCAAGGCACGCATGTGGCTGGCCAAGTTTGCCATGCGCACTGCGGACTATACCACGGCGAACCAGCTCGCCGCTGAGCTGTGCCAGGACGGAGTCGAGGTGGAAGAGGCCAAGGCGCTTGTCCGGGAGGTGAGGTCGAGGCTTGAGGCTTCTGGCATGTTGGCATCTGCAGGCTAGCAGCGGATGCCGGAAAAGTCTAGACAGCGTCGATTGTGATTTATGATGTCTCTCATGATCGACTATGTGGGTTTTTCTTCCTTTTTTCCCTTCCTCTCTTGTAATGACTTGGAGGTGTAAGCATGGCTGGCAGCCTTTTTCATGATTTTGATACATATTAGCATACAATGAAACCATCAGTAGCATAAAAATGGAACTATCACGGAATCTAGATGATCACGTTTAAAGGAGTGTGCAACTTTGTTTTTTATTAAACCAATACTTCTTGTCTAAACCAAGCAATTCCAATACTGCAACCGCGATTAACTCGCCTCCAGTTCTCTGTTATTAAATAGTCTCGGCCATGATATGAAGGAGTGTCAAGAATATTAGGTCTCCAAAATCAAATTAATTAAAAATTGAGAACTGTCCCATAGTGGGATATGACCAAGCCTCCCCTCTTCCCCTGACGGTAGCCAGTTTCTTTTTCCCCTGATGGCAAACTCTGCATTTAGAGAGCAAAAGCGGCAAGACCGGCGAGGACGAGAGCCCCAATGCCAGCGTTGGTCTTGTCGGCAGCAGCGGTGGGGATAAGCGGAGGAGTGGTGCCAGTGGCCGGAGGTGGCGGAGGAGCCTCAGTGCTCGCCGGGGGAGGGACCACGGTCTCCGGAGGTGGGACCACAGTTTCTGGGGGTGGGACGACGGTCTCCGGGGGAGGAGGAGGAGCCTCAGTAGTCTCAGGGGGAGGAACCACGGTCTCCGGAGGTGGGACAACGGTCTCCGGAGGTGGAACAACAGTCTCCGGAGGTGGAACAACAGTCTCCGGAGGTGGAACAACAGTCTCCGGAGGTGGAATAACAGTCTCCGGAGGTGGGACAACGGTATTCGGGGGAGGGACGACGGTCTCTGGAGGTGGGACCACAGTTTCTGGGGGTGGGACGACGGTTTCCGGAGGAGGAGGAGGAGCCTCAGTAGTCTCAGGGGGAGGAACCACAGTGGTGACAGGAGGAGGAGGCGGGGGAGGGGGAACCTCCGTGGTAACAGGAGGAGGAGGAGGAGGAGGAGGCAGCCGTGTGGTATTAACGTGTGGTGGAGGAGGGGGAGGTGGAGGAGGAGGAGGAGGAGGCGGCGGCGGAACCGGGTGAGTGAAAGTGCAAGGACAGTCTGTTGCAAGTCATTAGCCGTCGATGCTTATAAGCTAAAGAATAGCACAGAGAGAGCCTTACTGGTGATGGTCAAGGTGGTTGGCTCGGTGACCGTGTAAGTAATGCTGTTAATGGGGATAACAGTCGGGGTCTTTTGCAAAATTAGCTGCTGGACTTCCGGTGAGGGTAATTCTGGATTGACAACTTACAGGACAGAACGTCGTATAGTCAGTAGTAATGACAGTAGTGTACTTGGTAATGTTCTTGGGAGGCTCGTACACGGGAGGCTGGGGCTTGGGAGGCTCGTATTTGGGAGGCTCATACTTCGGAGGCTCATATTTCGGAGGCTCATACTTTGGAGGTTCGTACCCGTGCTCCTCGTGCTTGTTGTCGTATTCACCACCACCACCGGCAACAACTGTGGTGGCAAGCGCCGCAGCGGACGCCACGATTTGAATGAAACGCATGTTTGCGGTGTCAGCGAAGGACAAGAGGACCCAAAGTTAGAAAAGCTTTTGAGCTAGTGCTTGAAAGACTGTATCGAACGAGTGTGAGTGTGATGGAGAGAGGAGAAAAAAAAAGGCTGAGATCATGGGATCACGTCGCCTCTTTGTAGTCCAGACGGAGCGGGTCCATGGCAGGGGAATGGATGCATTCAGGCCATGCATCTAGATGCTGTGCCATGCTGCATCAGGAGAAGCTTCATGAAGCCATCCATTGGATTCGAAGTAGCCTCACCGGATATGGAGAGAAAAGCTTATGAGTTCGATCTATGGCCGGATGGCGCCACCGAAGACTACATGAGTGGGAGTTTGCAAGGATGAGGATGGTGATAGGATGGTTGGAATAACCAACAAGAGTTGTTACAGCAGATCGGCGTACACAGCCATTGAGACGAGAGTGGGTAAGGTACTGAAAGCAGCAGACAGGGATACATGTTCCTGGGGTATATCCTTTGATTCTCCATCTGTTAGTGTATCTTGGGATCTACGGTCCTTCCCTCGCCTGGTGGAGCACCAAACGGCGGCTCGGGGCTTGATTATAGACTTACAAAATAAACAAGACCGCTACCGGCCTGATGTCACGAAACCGTCAAGAAGCTTGTGAATACGGCAATCGATGGGATTAGTTCAAGCTTGCTTGGCAGGTGGCGGTCAATGCTGCTCTCTACTGGCTTGAATGGGAACGGAGACAAAGTTTGTGCTCCATCTAGCTAGGAACTAGCCCAGCAAGCCTGTGAAAGAAGAAATATCGTATTATCTTTCAGCTGGTATGGAGCCGGAAGGATGAACAAGTCCCTGGTTATTTCATTGGATGTGCTCCATTGGCAGAGTTTGTCCCTGCCTTTGCGATGCTTCGTTTGCCGTTTCACTAAAACAGCAGCCAGTGAATGCGGAATCACACCGAGCTCGCCAGCATGAGGCCTGCAGACGGGAATAGCAGTATGAGGGAGAAGGAGCAAAAGAGCCGATGGATTTGCCTAGAGCAAGCTAACACGAGAATATCCGGCGCTGAAGTGGTGATTTCGGCTGCAGTGCATGATGTAATTCTCCTTCTCCGGTGGCAGCAATGAGGGGAGAGTTTGAAAGTTTTGGGTGTCCGCCGCAACACAGCTGCATAGCGTCTGCCGTGTATCCGTCTCAAGTAAATTCCAAAAACAGGCTGCCCAAAAAAGGCCCAATCTGCGAAGTTCGGAATAGGGAAAACCGAATCTGGGTACGAGTGCGGCGCTGGGCTTTCGTATAGATGGATGCAAGTCGAGTCGACCAACTTCGGCAGCTACCAACGTACCGTATGGCCTCGCCTTTCTGCCGTCCACACGCATTATCGTAACTGCAGAATCAATTGAACGCGGTCGAAATACTGCAATTGATTTGCCCCTTTGCTATACTAATCCACCTGCACTGACAGCAGCTGCGGAGCTTCCTGTCAATCTGCCTAATCGTGATGATTTCGGCTTCCGCGTAAAAGGTCTGACTGGAATGTGGATGGCGCTCAATGCAACCAACCAGCTTCCGGCACGCCGAAAGCGACGCTGGAGCCATATCGATTGCAAGAAAACTCAATTTCTAATAATTTAGGTAATACGATAGGTGGAATTTCGTCTTTGGCCTGCTTCCATGTAAGTGATTGGCTTTGGCCGGAGGTGTGGTGCATGCATAGATACAACTCTAACCGTTGGTCGATGCTTGATATGGACTAGGTCTAGATCGAGTAGAGGTTCGTGGGAGATTTCACATCATTTCTGCACGTGAAAATCCACATGGAAAGCAGATACGAGGACGCATGCAAGAATGAAGCTTTGATGAATACAGGATGCTGAAAAGAGATAGAGAGAGAGAGAGAGAGAGAAGGAAAGAAGCAAAGCTCCTGACGGTGCCACGAGAGCTTAGCTGAGCGTGTGGAAATTTTGGCACTGTGTGTTACTGCTTCATGCAGCGGTGGTGTACAGTGCTATCTGCAGATAGGTGGCTAAGATAGATACGGACTTGTTTTGGAGCTACGTGCTTGAGCGACTTCACCTTTATTCCATCGGCAAATAAACCAGCCACTTCTCCACAAACTGCTGGAAAGCAGCTTCAGTGCTTCACGCCACCGCCGTAATGATGCTCACACTCAGCAGTCTCAGCAAACATCGATTGACCTGGCCCGGCCCGCATCTTCCGAATGAGAGAGCAACGGCGGCATCAAGTGAACGTGCTGAGTTCGCACAAAGAACAAGCCATGTGGGCTTCATCAGAAGATGGATAGATTTTGAGTAGCAGCAATTGACACAATTTTGCGAATTTTTATTGCTGATTTCCCTTCCGAAGAAGAAGTAGAGAGAGCAAAAAAACCCGAGTTTTTTTCTTTTTCTCAAAGACTGATCTCGATACCTACCCACCCACAGAGGAACAGACAAGGCGTTCCTCGTATAACATGCAACCTAACATCCCGTGCCACACACACCAGATTATAACATGTTTCTCCGATTGGTGCTCAAACATGCACGAACACGTGTGCAAGTGTGTCGGCTCACCGGTTTGGACGGGTGTGCTGCGCAACTCGCTACATTGCAGAGACATATCGCCATATCATAACTCTCATATGCAGCCTGGCCTTCGACTTTGTCCACCTGCTTTCAAGTCTTCGCGGCATTAATTCTGGTTCCTGGTCCATCGTTTCAGGCCTCAATTGCCACTAGTGTTCTTTCTATCCTTCTATTAAGCCTACATGCCTATGCAGCTTCACGTCTGCCTGGGCAAAACTTCGGCTTTTGCAAGACGGTCCATGAATGCCCAAACTTGCCACTGTGCGGATTTTCCGAATAGCCTAGAACAAAATTTTCTGTTCTACCTGACGATTTCTTCCAAACAGAGCAAGTTCTCCGTTTTGTCTAGCTATGATTAGTTCTTGGGGAAACGCAAGAATTGGCCAGAGCCGCCTAACAAGAGTCAAGCTCAGGAAACTAACAAAAGCCAGGCTCACGGTCTACTGTATCGGGCAATTGTCAACGCGCCTTTGGCCCTAGAACAGCTGTGTCAGTCTTTCTGCTCCAAGTGGAGGTTGAATGTTAGTCGTGATATCTAGAAGGAGAAACTCCAGAAATCGTCTAGAGAAAATCTGGGTTGTGCAAATGTCGTCGTCATCACTTCACGCATCGTCAGTTTCTGACATGCAATGGGGCACCCAAGCATTGTTCAAGAGCCATTAATCATCTGCCACGCTATTTCTTAGCCGGTCGAGGCCTTTTTATCGAACTGCCAAGTTTCATTGTTGCCGAGACTCTGCTCTAGACCAAGCCTCAGGCACGCAAAGCACGGCAATCGGGGTAGCGATCAGCCCCCAAGTCGTATGTTGGGCGCCCAAAATCCTACGACACGGTGCGCTTGATTCTCTTCCGAGTAGCCGGCCATCGAACTCTTGAAGTGGCTGCATAGGCCAAGCATACTATAAACCTGTCGAATCAGCTTTGCAGCTAAAGGACGCGTTACCCAACAGCATGTTCTTATTGATGGCGACTAAATTCGCTTTTGCGTGGCTTACATTGTTGCAAGAAGCACAATCTCCGTATTTGGCTATTGCTCGTTGTATCATGGCCAACAGGACGCAAAACCGTGCCAATTACACGGATTGTCAACAAGCCCTCTCTGTAAGGTCCTTTTGCAACGGATACCGGAGCCGACGATCGTGAAAATGGACCCGCGCGAGGAGAGCTAATAATGGAGATTTCACATGGAATTCCTCCACTGCAGTCACTAGGTCTACCTGCAGGTGATGGATCTCTCAAGAATTTTCAAGTCCCACCTCTTCTCGCCGCTCACGATTCAGGTTGCCAAGTGAGGGCCATATCCCGGCGCCCGAGGAAAAAAAAAAAAGAAAAAACAAGGATTGGGCTTGTTCCTGGAGCCTGACCATTGACCATCTAGACCCCCCAGCGCAGGATCCCCTGCACGGCACAAGGCAAATATTGGACACAGACAACAGGCTCAGATCTCTACCGCGGGGAGAAATCAATTTACACGATAGTGCCCGGTTCCGTGAGCTAGCCGCGGCCTATCTACGCAGGGGACAAGCATTGTTGAGATCAAGCTTACTCAATGGTGGACTGAACGCCGCGATGCATTCGCCTTTATTCTTTCAATTCCCTCGCATTCTCGCAAAAGGCCCGCTACCGAGGTAACTAACAATCAGCCAGTTTGTACACTGCGTCAAATCTCATGAAGCACAGCCAGCAACCTTCTGCGGGCTTTTTACACGGAGGCAACGGAGTGAGCGGCCACAACAGGCAAAATCCCACGATCCACTCGCCGGTCCGGCCTGTCAGGGCAAACCACATGGATCTTGCCAGGCACCGGCCAATTGGATTGCGGAGCCGGGTTCCGACCGTTATGCAGCTAAAAACGATGGTTTCCAGCCTATTGCAAGCTTTGAGACTTGAGGCTGTTGAGGGGTAAGCACGCGGCGAGCGAGGCAGTTTCTCTCGTTGCTGGAGGCCTGGGGCCGAGAAGGGCGCAAGGGCAATCCAACGAAGAATATCATTTGTGCGTGACTACGAATAGCGAACCCCGAAGCTTTAATACTGTGGTCGATTTCGTTGCGTGTCCGAATAGCCCTTCCGCTATATGGTGCTAGCAGCAGACACTACTCCATGCTTATACTAGTTTTTACTAGACCGGGCTGTGATTTTTTGTTCCTGGCCAGGAACGAGTGCACAGTGTGGCCGGATGTGCCTGGCTCTCCACCACCTTTTTTTCTGTGCCTTGCTTACAGGCCCTGAGACGCTGCACGTCGGCAGCGGGCTACGAATTTTGGCTTCCATTGGAGTGCCAGGACGGCTCACTCTGACGACGGATTGGCGCTGATTATACTTCCAGTGAGGGCGTTTGATGCAACCCTGCGCACATGGACCACAGGATGAGGGGAAGGGCACAGCGGCAGCTGTAACCCCCAACAACGCTGCCGTTTCCATACGACTCGTCCTGCGTCTCTTCAAAATGCTCTTCAACTAATCTGGCTTATGACCAAGGTGGCTGAAAATGGACGCTTGCTGTTTCAAACTGCGCCAGCTCCAGGCCAGCTTCGGCGACCTGTCCTGCTAGCACCGTTCATCAACTGTTCTATTTTTTTTCTTTCTAACCTTGACCTTTCTCTTCTTTTGAAAGGCCCACTCGCAGTCAAAGTGCGCCACGCAATGGGAGCCCGAAATCAGCTTCTACGAGTCCACCGTAATCCATTGTGGCGTTGAACAGGGGTCAACGGCTCGCGGGTGGCCCTCCGGATGCATACAACTTGTGTGGTTCAGCGCCCTATTAGCATTCTGCCGACCCATCCACACCAAGAGCAGTCAGGCACAGTTACTGGCTAAGAGATGGTGCCTGCATTAGACTCTAGATATCCCAGGCAACTTGGGGCGTCTTTGAGCAAAATAGCCCGCAGGTCTCGGTGTCGTCTGGATAGACCCAGTTAGCCGCCCACAAGAGGGGGCCAAGCTACGCCTTCCTCCCCCCCACCAGATGGGCCTTTGCCACGCAATATGTCGACCGACGAGGCTCTGCGGGTTGATCTCAAGTATAAAGAGGAGGGATCCCTTCCGTCTGTGCTCCTGGGAGGTCCGTTTCCAGCATCACACTCACTGTTCATTCTACTCGTCTTCGGACTATCATTCATTCTTCTGTCTTTGACGCTTTTTCACTCCTTCTGGAAAGCAGACTATCACGGCAAGGCCCGTCACACTTACATTCAAACCAACATTCATTCTTCAGCTTCATAAGCAAACAAACCATCAAAATGCGTTTCGCTACTTCCGTTGCTACCCTCATTGCCTCCGCGGCTCTCTCCACCGCTGCCAGCGTTTCCTTCGTGACCCTGGACAACACTCAGCGCACCATCTACTTCACCAGCAACCCTGGCAGCTCCAACATTGACTCCGTCACCACCGCCCCCGGCAAGAACACCACCGTCACCTTCCCTGACACTTGGCAGGGCAACTGGTACGCCGTCAAGGATGGCGCTTCCAACGTTCCTGGCATGCTCGGCGAGGTCAACTTCGGTAGCTGGAAGGGCCTGACTTACTTCGACGTGTCTGCCATTGTCGACCCCAACGACAAGGACAACGTCAAGCAGATCTTCCCTGCTGCCAGCCATGAGCCCATGTCCGGCTGCGAGACTTTCCCTTGCAACGACGCCTACTACCTGCCTGATGACATCCAGACCAAGGCTACTCTGGAGTCTGACCTCGTCTGCACCTTGGGCGCTGGCTCCACCGGCTACAGCTTCACTGAGGCTCAGTAAATGGCTTAGTTTAAAAAAAAAAAATCCCTTTTCTTTTTGTCTGACTTGGGAGTTGGTTGCTTCGTGTTGCATTCGCGGTGCCACCAGCTCCCCATGGTGCTGAGCGCCAAGTCACTCACGACGCTATGATTAAATGCAAAAATATCAACGGGATGATACCTCATCTGGTCAGAGACCAGAGGTTTTGTGGGTAAAAAGGGTTACGGGGCATCGGTTTATGCACGGGAAGAAAAAAAAGACAAAACTTGGTTGCAAGCACAACCATTCAATTCTTACAGATTTGGCCTATCTTGATAGAGGGAACCAGAGGCTGGCACTCATTCTCACAACTTTCACCGCCGATCAAAAGGCGCTTCATACATTCCTTCATGACTTATTTTACATTTTTCTTCTTCTTGAATACCCCCATTTTTTCGAATGTATATATTAGACTTTAGAAGTATTCTAGACGGATAGATTTAGAATTGACATTGTGGACCTTTTGATTCAAACATCTCGACCTGTCGCCTGTCTCCTCCCATTCTGCAAACTATGTATGTATGACATGACACTTAAAACACATTAAGCAGCCCATCAACGGTCTGACGCAGAATTGCGCAATTTTCATGCTGCATCTCTCAAGCTGCTTTTACCACATGGTGACCAATTCTCTGTCGGGTGAAGTGGAAGAAGACCGTTAGCACGAGCCACTTCTTACACTAGGAGATTTTTTTTTTCGTTCTTTACTAGATAGGCACCAACAACAAGAAATCTCCATAATACCTACTACTGCCTGTCAAGACTCAACTAGAGCTGTCCAACACCAACACCAACACCAACTGTGCACTAGCAAATATAGATCACGGAGAACGCTACCTAAAAGAGGTTACCGGTTGTCTATTCAGAAGCGAAAGAAGGAAAAATGGAAGAAGCTCTCTTGCAGAGTTATCACCGATGGTTCTCCGCAACTTGTAAGTGTGCAGTACTGTATATAAGCTGCTTCATCGCCACCTTTAAAAGATTTTTTTTTTCTTTTGCTTTTCTTTTTTTTGGAGCTTGCTGCCATTTAAGGAAAGACTGCCATTTAAGGAAAGACAGAAAAGAGGACTTCACACAGAAAAAAAAAACGTCATTCAGAACAAACCCTCGGTGTCTTGAAACGGCTAAAACGTGCTCCATTTCCTAAAAGAAGACACTTGAGCAAACAAACAATAAAAGAAGCTGGCGTGATGGCGTTAACCTTCCAGTTCACTGTTTTGACTTGACAAGCGCCACGTTTTGGTGGATGACCTTTAAAAAAAATAAGAAAGAGGACAAAAGTGCAAGATGTTATTGTTGCGCACGTGGAGATGATTCAAGAGGCGTAAAGGTTTCGCGCCGTTACTCGGCTACTCGCGCGGTCTCCAGCACACAAAGAAAAAACGAGAAAGAAATTCCGAAGGCTTCTTTTTTGTTATATACGAGTAATGTATCCTCTAGAAGCGCCGTAGAACTTCCGTTCTCTGGGTCATATGATGGAATATCTCAGATCGCCCACCACTCGGCGTCTATCGTCAGTGTAGTTGTATATAGGAGCATTATGATACAGGCCATTATCTTCACAACGGCGTATGTACACGATACAGGCGGCCTTGTATCTTCTTTTGCCCTTTTGCAAGCATAATGTACAATCCAGAAAGATGAATCCCCTCAAAAGCAGCCATTAACTCCCATCTAATGATCTTGCGTATGTCACGAACGAAGCTGCCCGATGAATGATATATATATACCTAGGTCCCCATAGTACTTTAGTCCTGTGCTGTTTCTTCAGAAGATGTCTTCTTCTCTGGTTCAGTCTTCTCCTCTGTATTGGAATCAGTAGTACCGTTGGCTGTGGTGGATGAATTTGTCGCAACTGCCTTTGATTTAACAATACTCATGAGGAAGTCACCGGTATCGCCAAATCCCTCGACTTTTTGCAGCTTGTTAATGAAGAAATCCACATCTTCGACCAGTCTGAGAAACATTAGAAAAAAAGAAAGAGTATTATCTGTTCAATATAATCACATACCGCGATTGACCAGCTTGCGATCCTACAGTTGCTTGTCGTAAGGCGTCTCCTAGTTGGGTCTTATAGCTTGCAAATACTGGCACCATGATGGCTTGGATAGATGTTTCGGGGAGATGTTTGGTCAAGACACGGTGTAGCGTTGTTGTCTCCTCAGCCAGCTTCTGTATGAACGAGTGCTTTCCCTCTGAAGTGTCAGAACCCCAGGTGATGCTTCGAATGCTCTTTGCATGATTCGTAGCTCGACCACGCATGATCTCGATGAGCTTTTGATGAATGCTATCTTGATGCTCTTGGAACAGTCGTCGAATCTTGTCAAACTCTCCCATGAGATTGGTGACGTTTCCACCAGAGCCGGCTTGACGACGAACGTACTCTCTTACGTGAGGCACCAAGGTCGCCATGAACGCTAGAGCTTGAGATGCAAGAGCCAAGTGTCTAGCCGTGATATTCTTCAGGCCAGCGGATCGAGTTGCGCCAGCCCCTAGAATGAGCTGCGTGCACCGCGAGTTGAAGAGTTGTAGATATGTCACCAGAGACGTCGCAATGTCTGTTGTCATGGAAGGTATTCCAGCAATCAACTGCAAGAAATCTCCCATGCCATCAAGACATAGAATTGCGGAATTGGGAAGCACGAACTTCTCAGACTCAATGATGGCATTGCGAACCTTTTCTTTGCCAGCACCATTTGCCCCCGCCGCGGCAGCATCCGAGCTTAGCTTCTTTGGAGTTTCGTATGGAATCCATATCTTGCTGCTCTCAGTCCAAGCCTCTATATCGTGGGTGCTGCATTCTAGAATCCGATTCAAGAGCTGTGTGTTCTCATCCGTAAAATCTTTAGCGCTCCACTGATCCGATTCCATTCCCTGCGCGAGCTTCTGCATTTGGGCATCGCGATACTTTTGCACAAAGTCTTTGATGTGGTTATTAACCACTGTCTTCAATGCAGTGCAGCTCCTCCCAGAAATGGCCTCGCATTCATACGTAAAGTACAGATTTAGGTTGAAGTACCGCAGGAATGAGTCAAGGGGTAGGTGGACAGCCTGCTCTGAGCGAACTTTGAGAATCTTAACAATCTTCTCGTTCGCCAGATCAACGGCTTGGGCCAACAGATTTCCCATGTCGATCGCTTTGTGAAGCTCTTCTTGAATTGCAAAAGCAGACGGCTGGATATAAGCCTGTCGATCATATCGAGGGCTGGGTAAGGGAGATCGTATTGGCGGTGATTTTAATCCATCGCTACCACTAGGCTGGTCTGAAAGCGAGCTGGCAATGTCTAGTAAAACTTTGATTTGTGTTGATGCTCGCCTCAGCGTCTCTGTAACACCAATGTATATCTTTGTGAGAAGTGCCTCGGCATCCTCCGGGTCTAACGCTCGCAAATTACGAGCTAGGTTAGCGGACTTCTCTTGGCTCGATAGATGTCTTCCTCCGCTTGCAGTGGATATGGACATCATAGACATACTATCATTGTCGTTGGAGCTTGGCAGGGGTCGACGAATCAAGTTTCGAATCTCGCGAAGAATGTCCTCTCGGTAAGCAGTCGCAGCAATCGCAATATGTTGTGCGCGATGTAAGCCAGTCATGACGGGTAGTATCTGGGCCTTCAATTCGTCTGTACCAGCCAGGTATGTGGGAAACACAGACGGTGACCTTGGATAGCTGCCTCCTCTTGCCTTTGGCGCTGCGTTGCTCCACCGAATCAGAACGTCGGCTGACGAGACCGATTCGACATGCTTACAAACATCGGAGGACAGCATGGAAGAGAACTGAGATTCATATGCTTTGCCGATACGAAACCGGAGCTGAGTGAGATCCGAATTAACTCCTTGTAGAGCTGATGCAGACCTGAGATCTCTCAACTGAGGCATCTCGCCCTGCTCAGACTCGTCGCGCTCACCAGCTATCAACAATTCCAACGAGTCGATACTGACTAGTGCCTTGTCCACTTCGCCAGCATCTACAAGAGACTCGCAACTCGCTACACCTTCGGTGATGAGCCTGAGCTGCCATACCGCATCGCTGAGCTGTCGGAGATTTTCCTGCCGCCGTTGCTTTTGAACCATCATCAGGCCATTTGCCGCCACTCTCTCATCTAGAGCTTCTAGCTCTTTCCTCAGAGCCTTGATCCGTACTACGGAGTCAGCTGCTTCGGAGTGGAGCTCCTTCAAGGATCCAAGTGCTGTGAAGAAAGTGCTGGATGCAGTAGAAATAGAATTGATAAGATGGATTTCAATAGTATCCATGTACCAAGACAGCTTCTCCTGCAGAATAGCGTTGGTCGCGAGCGTTTTTCTAGGAGTCACCGCATTCCCATTCCCCTCGTCCTTGTGTTTCTGTATTACTTCGGATCGCTCGCTGACAACGTCAAAGGTTCGAGGATTCTCAAGGTGAAAGTTGTCGTCGAAATACACGGTGGGAATTGTTGACAGTGGAGGAGGTCCTTGGGTAGCTTTGCGGTTAAGCATTGACGGCCTTCGCAGGGCGCTGACTGTGTCTACCGAATTCAGAGAGGACAAAGACGCCGTAGAGCCCTTTCGAGGGATGCGATTTCTGGCTCCAGGCCGCAAAAGACCGTCACCAGCGCTATCAGACTGTTCATCTTGTTTACTGCCTCGCCGATTGGCATTTTCTTCCTCCTCATTTTCCTTCACCCGACGAAGCTGTTCGTAAAGGGTACTAATCTGAGAGAGATATGGCACAAACTCCTCAGGGTCAATCTTCGGGATGTTGGTCAACGTGACAGGTGGGATATCCCTTGCGGTGGGTGGTTTGTGATTGCTCGATGCTGGCGCTGATGTATGAGGCTGGAGGCCTGTCCGTACAATAGGGGGTTGCAGCAGTGTCGAGATGGCTATAGCGCTTCATTAGCTAGCGTTGGGGTTTAGCTGGATGCAGCTCAACAGACCATTCTGCCCAGATTCGTATACAGCGCCATTGCCCCCGCTCAATGCCGTATCCAAAGCGCCTCCTATTGAGTGAATTGAGCTGGCTGTAGAGCTTCGTCTCGAGTGCGGCCGCGGGTGGCCCTGGGCTATCCGACTGCTACGTTGGCGTCAGCTACTAGGTTGGTAGATGGAGTTGTCCTCACAAGGCTCAGGAAACAATGCCCACCTGTGGAATGGATAGTCCGCTCGGCCTCCGGGAGACAATGGCGTAAGGTTGTCGACAGATCTCCCGGCAATCGGAGAAGAATACATGATTGGCGTGGTGGAAGGTGGAAGATGGCAAGACGAAGCTCGAGTCGATTGTGGCTGAGCGAAACGGCGAGAGCAACGCTACCGACTGAATCTCCAGGTTCTGGTTAAGAAAGGACTACCGGGGTATCATCGCTAGCAAATGAGCATTGAAAAGAATCAGACGCTGGATTAGAATTAAGATGGACGGAAAGGAAATGATGGTAGGAGATAAATTACTGAGCTCCGGTTTACGAGGCCCGTCTCTATTGACCAAGCTAACAATAAGCCGGAAGCCGCATGCGATCAGCCAGCTGTGTCAGCACTGGCCCCCGGCGTAGCTACATGTATCTGGCCCGAAGCTCTGCCGAAACGCACGTGATACGGTCCCTTGGGACTATTTGTGCTAAACCGCTCCTGGCTACTTACCCGCTTTGCTGCAACCACTTAAACGCGTGTTTCGCGTCGTCGCTGGAGCGCGTCTGCCAAGCACAAGGAGCCCTGTACTTTCATCTAGCCAGATTGCCCCGCTAAGACTTTGGTACCCAGCAGTTTGGGTGGTTACCGCCGCAACCTGCTTCAAGCTGCTCCTCGAAATTTGCCCTTGTTCTGCATTTTGGGTGAAATCCTGCGCAGAATAGCGAGACCCGACGCGCGCCATGGATCGCCAATCTGTATATTCGGCTCGAGTGTACGAGTCCAATTTTGGCGATGCCGACGACACCAGGCTGCAGCTCCAATCGCAGTTGGAAACGTTCATTCTGGACTTTCGTCTCGACAACAATTTCGTCTACCGGTATGGCAGAGGTTTCCCAGTCATGGACGCCAAAGCTTCCTTGCGCTGACGTTATATGCAGAGACCAGCTGAGGGAGAATGCGCTGCTGAAAAATTTCTATTGCGATGTCGATATCAAAGATCTTATCAACTTCAATGAAGAGCTTGCACACAGGCTCGTCTCGGAACCCGCTGAAATTATTCCCCTCGTAAGTGCCTCCTACGGCAGCATTGAAAGAGCATCTGAAGCTGATAAACGCCCAAATTCCAGTTTGAAGCAGCATTAAAGAAATGTACACACCGAATTGTATTCCCCCACGAAAAAACCGTCGACCTACCCGACCACCAGCTTCTCCTACACTCCGATGCGGATGATGTGTCGATCCGCAATCTCGACTCCATGACAATTGCTCGAATGGTTCGCGTTCCAGGTATAGTAATCGGAGCCTCGGTTATGTCCTCCAAGGCAACCGAGCTATGTATCCAGTGCAGAAACTGCAGCTACTCAACAGCGCTTCCTATTGTCGGAGGCTTCACAGGAGTCACGCTGCCCAGACAATGCGGACGAAAACGTGTGCCCAACGACCCTGTGGCCGCATGCCCGCTAGACCCATACTTTGTTCTGCACGAAAAATGCCGATTTGTTGATCAGCAAGTTATTAAGCTCCAAGAGGCACCGGACCAGGTGCCTGTGGGTGAACTGCCACGACATGTGCTCATCACGGCCGACAGATACCTTACAAATCGGGTAGTTCCCGGCTCTCGATGCACTGTCATGGGTATCTTTTCTATATACCAAAACAAGGCGTCCAAAAACTCATCGACAGGAGGCGCCGTTGCTATTAGAACGCCATATCTCAGAGCAGTGGGAATCCAGACCGACATTGACCAAGCCGCCAAAGGAAATGCCACTTTTTCTGAGGAGGAGGAACAGGAATTCCTAGAGCTTAGCAGACGACCAGACCTGTATAACATCATGGCCGATTGCATCGCGCCATCGATATATGGCAATCGCGATATCAAGAAGGCTATTCTGTGTCTTCTGATGGGCGGGTCAAAGAAGATTTTGCCCGATGGTATGAGATTAAGAGGTGACATCAACGTTCTGCTTCTTGGTGACCCTGGTACGGCAAAATCACAACTTTTGAAGTTTGTCGAGAAGGCAGCGCCAATCTCCATCTATACGTCCGGAAAAGGTTCATCAGCAGCTGGTTTGACAGCCTCTGTTCAACGAGACCAGTCGACACGAGAATTTTATCTGGAAGGTGGTGCCATGGTGCTCGCTGATGGCGGTGTTGTCTGTATCGACGAATTTGACAAGATGCGAGATGAGGATCGAGTCGCCATCCACGAAGCTATGGAACAACAAACAATCTCAATAGCCAAAGCTGGTATCACAACTATTCTCAACGCTAGGACGTCTGTTCTCGCCGCTGCCAACCCCATCTTTGGACGGTACGATGACATGAAGACTCCTGGAGAGAATATCGATTTCCAAACTACCATTCTGTCTCGTTTTGACATGATCTTTATCGTCAAGGATGAGCACAGCCGTGAAAAGGACGAAAGAATGGCGAAGCACGTCATGGGTATCCATATGGATGGCCGGGGTGCTGAGGATGTGGCCGAGTCTGAGATTCCCGTACAGAAAATGCGGCGATATATTACTTATTGCAAAACGTAAGTCTCCTTCTTTTCCCCCCTCTTTTCAAATGCCTGTGTGTATGCCACAATACTGACATATTTTATACAGCCGCTGCGCCCCTCGACTCAGTCCTGAAGCCGCCGAGAAACTCTCATCGCATTTCGTATCTATCCGACGCCAAGTGCACGCCGCAGAGATTGAAGCCAACACACGATCATCCATCCCCATCACAGTCCGTCAGCTCGAGGCCATTGTCCGAATCACAGAATCGCTCGCCAAGTTGACTCTCTCTCCAATTGCCGCCGAAGCACACGTCGACGAGGCCATCCGCCTCTTCTTATGCTCCACCATGGATGCCGTAAATCAGGGCAGCAACCAAGGTAGCCGAGAAATGAACGATGAGGTTAGCCGGCTTGAAGCTGAGCTGAAGCGACGACTGCCCATTGGATGGAGCACCAGCTTAGCTACACTGCGAAGAGAAATGGTGGAAGGAAAGGGATACAGCGAACAGGCTCTGAACCGAGCGCTAATGCTGCTACAACGGAGAGATACAATCATGTTTAGAAACCAGGGAGCGCAGGTTTATCGCAATGGAGCTTAATGTGGCGGATGGAGCTCTTTGTTAATCAATTGTTTTACGATTTATGCTTTACGCTCTATATAGGACCGTGTCACTTTAAAAGACGACCATATCCAGGTTAAGATACAGAAGGAAGTTTTGGTGTAGTACCAAGTCGTACAACTATGCAGATTCCCTTTTTGGCGTAAGCCTGCGGCTGTCGCCCGTCGTGTGAATCATCTCCGTCGCTGGCCGTGTCGATTAGCGCGCATCCTTCATTTGACTCATACCCACGATCCTAGTACATAAAACCATCCTCAACTCATCCCCCTCTTTCCTCAGCCACCAGAGAACTTCTTCACGGCCATGTAGCTTCAGCAAAAAATGTATATAAAGCCCAGTTCCTCTCTCCGCCTAGAGATTGGAAACTCAATCCTTTTCACATCAACGTAAAATTGTAGCAGCAAAGAAAAAAAACGAGACAGAAGTTTAAAGACTTTATCTCCTATAATGGCGCTGGATAAACTCCTCTCGTCTCCAGATCTCCCCAGCAACGAGCCCGGCACCGTCCTCGTCGAGACGCCCAACCTCATCATCCGCCGCTGGAGCACCTCAGATGCGCCGGCGCTTGCCAAGGCGGCCAACTATCCCTCCATCGTGGAGAATCTACGAGACCGGTTTCCCATGCCCTACAGCTACGCCGATGCCGAGGACTATCTCGCCAATTACACCGTCTCCCCAGAGGGATACCCCATGGCTATAGCGATACTCGTCAAGCCCAACGCCGGCCACAACACGTCTGATGAGCCGCTGCTCGTCGGCGGTTCGGGCTTGGAGTCCAAAGGCGACGTCTACTACCGCACCTGGGAGCTGGGCTACTGGTTCACGCCATCCGCCTGGGGCAACGGCTATGCAACCGAGTTTGTCAAGGCATTTGTGCCGTGGGCCTTTGCGACGTGGCCCCGGCTCAATAGAATCGAGGCGATGGCCTATGCGAGGAATGAGGCGAGCAAGAATGTTCTGCGGAAGTGCGGATTTACGCTGGAGGGCGTGAGGAGAGGGGTGTTGGAGAAGCACGGCGAGATTCTGGATGAGTCCATCTGGGGGATTCTGCGAAGCGACATTAAGCAATGAAGATGGATGCTTTCAGTATGGCGACTGTTTACATGTTCAACACAATCCTGTTTCCTTCATTAGCCTTTATTTAGTTCAAATACAAAGTTGACACTGTCCCTTCAGACAAGGTTCATGTCCACCCACTTGGCCATAAAAAGGACTCATTGCAATACACCTACCTATTCAAGCCATGATAATTCTCCGTGCGGCTGTTGGCTGAAGACCATCACACCATCGCGTCTAAGTCTCCCATTTCAGGTAGCTGTGCGCACACGCGCGCTTAGATGGCCCTGAAGCCCATCCTGGATCCAGAGCCTGATCTACGGCGTCTCCGGCAACCACTCCAGCATCCAGCCAGTCACAATGTGCCAGCAAGCGGCTGAGGATTTTCAGGTCTAGTGTCATTCGGATTCAGTCAGCTGAGAGCATGCATTTGTCTTGGGCCGCCCTGACTTTGGCGAGATCGGGGGTGGCGCAGGCCGCAGTGTCGCGCAGAAAGAGTCGACAAGGTTCCTAGCCGCCAGCCTCTCTATGGTAAGAAACAATGGAATGGAATGTCCGTCTTTCGTCATTGCGAGTGCCAGGAGCCAGCGATCGACGATGCAAATGCGCCGTCAGATGTGCCTGATCAGTACTTTTTTTTGACGCAGACGTCGGTGTTAAGCGGAGAGCAAAAGTATGACCAACAAGTGATACTGGCCTTGTGCTATTGGCCGCCGGTTCTATGAATGGGTGTAGCTGAACGGCTCTGGATAGGCGTTCCTCTCACCGCTTGAGCAGTCAATTAGACCATTCATGTGTCGAAACGTTGTTTGCCTGGGCTGAGCCTCATTTCGAGACTCTCGCTCACTGGCTCTCTGGCCAAGACTGTTCACGATGCCTCGAGAGCACAGGTCAGGCGGTCATGATGCCTTGAGACGTCAGACGAAGAGGCTGAGAGGGATCTTTACCTGCAAGAGACAAGACGAACAGCTCCAGCGGAGAGCAACAGCGGAGAACGATTGGCAGGTGTTGGAGAGATGCGTTTGCCAGACTCATGCAAGCTGTATGGCTTATGATGTTTTCCCGCTCTATTCGTTGCTGCTTAGGGCTTATGCCCACCCTCAGCATCCTGATCGGGCAAGTAGGGCTCTTTGTTGGCGAAAGGACCTGAGGCTAACTGTTCTCTTTTAGAGTCTTGACTTGAAGCCTCAGTATCTGCGTCACTGCCGCTTCATACATGCATCGGCCGATCTAAACTCCGCAGAGATTGGGCTTTACAGGCTTAGGGAGCCTTGCCATCCGATATTGGAACCCAAACCGCTGCCCTAGGACCAAGCATCCAGCCATCTGTCGCCGTCGATTCGTAACAGGAAGACCCGTCCAGAGTGATGGTTGTCTGTTGCGTCTCATAAAAAGGTTGTAATGTATGTCGACAGAACCAAGGTAGCTACATTCAAGTTGTTAGTGACATCTGCACTGATAACGCATACTCAGATTGATGAGACGAGGAGAAGGGCCATTCCTAGCTGCGTCAAACCATCATGCTAGGGCCATTCTTATTACAACAAACATACTACTAGCCACGTAGTGCTGGTTGCTTGTTCAGAAGCGGCTTACCTGCGTCAAGGACATGTAAGGCGTCTCCCATGTTGACCGACTCCTGGTGTCTAAGCCTCATCTTCTTGGCCGAGCCGCCATGAAGCTCATCAGAAGGCAACGCAATGTAGGCCATGTTCGATAGGTGATCAAAATATGGAGTAGCAAGTCTGAGAAGAACGTGCTACCAGAATGGAAGAAGTAGCTTACGCAGCGGGTGGTCTCTTCATCTCCAGCATGGCAAGTCATAATGCGGCTCTGCGTGCAGAACAGGTACCTACATATGCACCTTCGTACTCTATCCTCGTCCTTGTACGACACTAGGACGGTTGCCTTACAGGGGAATTGGCGGCTAATACATGCAGGATCGCCTCCTTGAACGCCACAACTGAAATGCCTATACTTCGAGTGACCGGTCAGCGAGGCAAGGATTCTATTCGTTGGCCCCAACAGAGACGGTACCTGGAAAACTACTGCATCATCCCTTGTCCTTGTCCGCGATCCTAGAAGCCGTGCCTATACGATCCCAGGAGAAACGGAGCAATACACACCTGTTCGCGCTCAAACCCGCGTTGACTTACGGTCTTGGTAGCCATTCTTGACGAAATCACGTATTGTGCCAAGTTATGTAAATATTCTCTCGTATTTTTGAAGCAATTCTAAAACAGTTTCGATAATCTAGGCCATCACGTTTGTATCCCGTTGTAGATTTTACCCATGCCCATTCTCCTCCTCCAGCCGACCCGACCCCCCTAACTCCGATGCCGCGTCCACGATAAGAGAAAAAATCCTGTCACTTTCCCAAAATTAAGCGGTCCCTTTTTGGAATAAGACGTTTCCTAGCAAGCCGGCATACGCCAAGTCAACTGCCAATGCCGTGTTGACATCCAGCGTCAATGTCGTGACGACGCAGCTCAGCGATATAGACACCGCGTAAAGGACAGCGACTCCGGCTGGCGAAGTCACCACTCCCAGTCCAGGAATGACTACGGGCACATATACAAAGAGGATAATGACCGACAGCATCAGCAGCATCTTGATGACAAGAATAACCTCGTCGGCAAAGTGAATATAGTCTGCATCTTGGCCGCTGGTGGTTTTTCTCTGGAACATTGCCTAAAAAATAAAAGAGTTAGCCCAGCGATTCAAAAAAAAGTGAAGTGAACAAAATGGACCTACCAATGATCGATACACCCACGAGAATTCTAGGAATCTTCGCGCCGCAGCATGAGGCACATCGTGCTGCCCGTAAAATATGTAGCACGATGGGTCCTCTTCAATGTACTCTGCATCCGCTCCAAGCTTGGTTTTCTGCTCGTATATAAACTTTTCGCATATCGCCTTGCTGCCCCTTGAAAGGTGGTTGACCCAACTCTGCTTCAGAATGGAATCGTCTATTTCCAGTCCAATGAGTCTTTGTTCTGTGCGAAGAATCTTTTCATTGTGTTTGCTTGGGACTTACAATAAGCCTGGCACTGTTGCTCTAGACGTATCGCTAGTTCTTCTTCCAAGCTGCTATTATCCGATTTGATAGCAAAGACAATGTCTTTCCAAGCACGCTTGATTCGTGAATGTTGTTTACGTGTGACGTAGCAGTAGATGTCGTCTATCTCTGGTGCAACTTGGTAGGCTGAATCTGATCCTTGGAGCTCAGCTATAGCAAGGCTGCCGCCAGGCTCTGTTGTATGTTGGTTAGACACAAGCATCTACTAGAGATGAACAATAAACGGATAGAGGTCTGGTCGTACCACGCGTCGGCTTGGATCTTGCGGCAGATGCAGATTCAATATCGCTGCCGCGACCTTTGTGATCGTTAGCATTAGGGGATATCGTTGGCATTCATTCTGATGTTGTTCGTACCTTCGTCGCCACGACACTGCTGTTGTTGGTGATGGCAACGACCGAGCTCCGGATGGCGGGCTTGCTCGATATCTGGGGCTTCATTCATTGTAGTAGAACGACTATCATCTGAAGAGCTTAACAGTGTCTTCAGCAAAGATTTGAAGTCTTTATAATGAACGGGCAAGGTAGACATGTTTGCGTCGTAAATGTAGTCTTGTTCTCTTGTTTCGTCTTTCCAGAGGGTTTCCAAGGTCAAGCGATGAACTTATACGTCAACAATTGAAATGAACTACATCTCACGTAGAAGCCTCATGCTATCAAGTCCTTTTTATATGATTTTATGCCTTACCGCTTCTCAGTCGCATGTGTTAGCTGTCGGCGCAAACAAGCGGATAACACACCTTCTCTCGTAACTCACCGAAAGTTCTCTTCCGATGCGAATGAAAAGGCATTACATTGACTTGCCCATCTCTATCTGCACACCCTCCATCAAAAAGCAGTACAGCCACGTCAATCGCAGGACTCTTCATTGCGGCCCGGCTAGTGCCAGCGTTACATGCACCCTCCAACGGCCTCATCGAGAGATCCAAGCCACCAGATTGCATCGAAAAAGGATCGGGCTGTGTCAATCACGGCATTGTGCGCAAATTGCCTTGCAGGTACGTACATACGTACACTCTGTGTCGCTCAGCCGCCTCTATAAGACGAACATACATGCGCGTCTACGGCAGCCAATGGCCTTGGTTGGCTACCCTACATCTTGGTGAGCGAATAGGCGTCGTGCTCATGGATTGTCAGTAGCCGCAGTCGACGACAATCAATCGTTGTATATAAACTTATTGCCAACACCGCATCTGCATTCACATTCCTAGCAGTTAATTCCTTTGACTTCCTATGCCACGCCGAGGTGGTAAGAACGGGGACCAGTGCAGTTTTCACAACCACTTTAGCGCAGCCATCGCAGCTTCGTATCGAGATAAAAAGATACGTTGCAACGGATCAATGAAAGAGATTTTTTTTTTTTTTTCAAGAAGACATAATGAATAGAAAAGGGTTTATATGATTGTAATGTATCAAGAGACAGTTACTAGGCAGATGATTCATGCCGGGCCAGCTTGAATGTGCATGCTACGTATTGAACTAGATAGAGGTGATGATGGCTTCACAGGACACTATGAAGAATACTCGCGCATGGATCAGTATTAATATCATGATGAGTAGATTCAATTGGTTTGTGTGAATAGGTGTTGTATTATCTACAAGAAAGGTAATTCACAAACTACCTATGGCTGGTCCGGTAGTAAGTCTCCCTAGGCGGAGATCATATGACGGTGATATGGCCCGCGTTTTCCGGCACCACGTCCATGGCCTCGTTTGCCGACGCTCTCTTTCGTTCCATCGACACGAATATGTTTGTTGGTGTTGATTGGGCGTTGACTGTTGTTCAGTTTGCTCGTGGAGCTCGGTATGTGTGTAAGCTCATGACCGAAAACAGCAACTCGAATTCAGAAGAGTGCTCAAATGTAGTAGCTCGATGATTAAGACTTTAGAAAACCACGTGAAAACTCAATTCCACATTTAGAAATCCATTGTCGCGTATATTATTTTGTTGTTTTCGGTACGATTACCACAGCGTCTTTGTCTTTCTTCTCATCAACGGGCTTCGCATCGGTAGGCTGCGGTGGATGGACGATTATGATAGCTACAAGGAAATTGTAAGAGCTGTAATATACACTATTATTGATGAAATCCAAACTTACAAGGCATTTTTGACGGTTTAGCGGTGACTTCGATATGGCCAAGGCGTTGTTGGAAGACAATGTTGCTGGATGTAAGACTGGCGACTCAAATCAAGTTGAGAATAAAGGTCAAAATCGGTTTCAAAGAGACGGCAAATGCTGCCGTTATATAATACCAAGTTCCGCAATCCCTGTCTGTATCTTTCTTCCCCCCTGTCACTGGGAGAGTTATCTCTAGATGGATCCCTCACCACAGCAAGGACAACTCCACTCAATGTGACATCGTCGGTGATACAAAAGACTCAACAAAAACGAGATAGTCGAAAAGGAAATTGCATATTCGCTACTTTAATGCAGGAACAGATATTCCGGGAAGCAAAACCCATCATGAGTCACCTACGATGGGTGGGCGATGGAGCTGCTGCCGCAAGATACGCCTTTGGGACGAAGTCTCCAGTCTGTGCTACAGTACTCTCCCCTTTTTTCTACCAGGTGACGCGTTATCCGAGCAAGGGCCCATGTCAACGTGTGGGTATAGCATCAACTCTTTTTACCCCAACGCTTATGTTAGTTTGTTGCCCATTCACGGCGCGCATCCGACAGGCCTTGTACTCATAGCGATCTACTACGCCTGCTGGCCCACCACAGTAAATATACCAATGCCGTTGAAAGAGCGTGTTTATCCAGCAGCCGGAACTGACTTGGGCTACTTCGGCACTAGACTGATGAAATGATACAACATGAAAGAACTTGATAAGATACGTTATCTAGTTACTTGTAAGATAACTATTATACCATGAGCAGAGGCGTGGCATGAAAAGGAAGACACGGTACCCCGAGCCAATGATTAATCCTTGAACTCCAAAGCTCCAGAAAAATGACAAAAAAGACTTATTGAACGCCACGTTTCATGTTCCGTCCATCCCATCCAATGATTCTTGCTTGGCACGTCAAAGTCCATGTATAGGATTCGGCAAAGTGCATTTAAGCAATTTGGCCCCGCTTTGCCACATGTCCTCCCTGCCACTTCCCCATGGCTGCCTGGATAAAGTGACCTTCGGATCACTGTTGCCGATATTTGTTCGTAATATGTGGTCTAGGATTCATTGGCCGCGGCATGGAACACGCGTGGAGAAACTGGGGTCTCGAATCTGATCTCACTTCGTCGGTCCGAATCTGCCTCTATCTCTGAGATTATCCAGCGATAGTCCAAGCGACATTTATGCCTGCAAGCTACACGACGTTGTAGATTGAAGCTGCAAGAGCACTGAGCTGCATGCTTCTATGTCTTAGATTCTTCAGCAGCCCACTCCTCCTCTGAAAAGTGGTACCATTGGGAAAAACCAGTGAAAACTGCCCAAATTTCTGTATTAAGAAGAAGGTGAATAAACTCGGTCCACAAATAGTTCATAGTCGATGTCCAAGAAAGGCCACTCAGTAGGTTCGTCTGGTATATGTCCTCGCATGGCAGCCCGTTTCGCAAACAGTACGCCCGCGCCACGAGGCGCAGGGCTGTTGCATCATACGGTGTCATGAGTAGCCGCGTTATCGAGTTAGAAAGCATGTGCGACGCCAGAAGTGCCGGGATCTGTGTGAGCAGCGTGTCCAGGTATACAGGTTGAGAACTAATAGAGCCTCTCGAGTCGGTATTAGCAACACTAGGCCGTAACTCAGCGCTCCATAAGCCCTGAGGTGCATCGGTGGATTCGGTTGCTTCCACGTCAAAGCTTATAAGAGTGGCCCTTATTCCATCATTGTCCTCCTCATCGCTCCCATAATCATCACCTCTGGCCGAGATTATGCTTGGCCTACGCACTGCATCCGCACCGCCCGTGTCGGCTGGCAATTGGCTTTCCACAGGCGCAACAGGCGTCCCCCCTTCATTAGAATGGATCTCGCTGGGAGCCTCGTTTACAAAAGACTGTGACATCGATGGCGGGGATTGAGGAATTGGTTTGCCATGAAAGACGGTGCTTGGTAGGCGCTTGAAAGTCTCAGCCCATATATGTGGCTTCCAGTCGCGAACCATTCTTTGAGTCATGATAAAGACGAGGAACGGGGTATTACATATAAGGAGGCCTCCCAGCCATTGCAAAATCGAAGAGACTCCAAAGCCTTCGAGAGGAGGTGGAGCAACAATTGGCGACGCTTCTGTAAAGGGGATGAAAAAGGACGGGCTGGGCAGCCATTGGTGGCTCGGTATAAGGCCAAGCCTCTGCAATGAAATATGTAGCTCTAGGTGAACGCGAATGTATGACCAGACCTCGTGAATACTAAGATGGTCGGTTAGCAACTTTGCGAGGCATTAGGTTGCAAAGAGAACAACGGGACTTACAAACGCCTAGCAGTGAGCTTTTCTTGTTCGCCAAGCCACAGCCGGGCGACCGAAAACTCAATGTAGTTTGACAGGAGGTTTGCAGGAGCGCCAGGGAAGATGTCTCTAGAAAATGAGAAATCACGCCGTGCCTGCTGATAGAGCTCCCAAAAGGGGATCTTGGAGTATCGTTTATAGATCTATAAATGTCAGATTAGCATGCTTAGACACAAGGGATAGCCTAGTCCATCCGTCGTTTAGAGGGGCTCCTCACCAGAATCCGGTCTCTAAGACCGTTGATGCCAAAAACTCCAACCGCTTCCACGCAGCGTTTGGCCGACGATGCCAATCTAAGGCCGATAGCTTCTTCATACGCACCGTGTCGTCTCTGCGAGTCTACTTCAGGGCCTGGGTTTTCAGGCTCTGCGATGCCGATGATGAACATCACCTGATTGTGCGATCTGATGATGTCTCTGTTGATTCTCATGGTATCAGGATTGATTGGACGCCCGCCATGGTCGTATTGCTGGTTTGGAGCCCGCGAGTCATCCTCACCCTCACCCGGAACCACATCATCATATGGCGAACGGCCCTAACAATGTCAGTAACGATACACTGAGATCAACATGCTCGTCTCATACCAAGGCCTGAGCCATAAGCGGGCCTTGCATCCCCATAGCGAATAGCTTCAGAAGCAAAGGAGCTTCTCAACATTGCAGTTCACGCAGGCATGCTCTGTAGATGTCAAGTTTAAGATGGATCGCAAGACTGAGCCGCGCTTAACCCTCCATCCGTCATCATCTCGCAGCGGCAGCGAGAGCTACCCATGTCCGGCAAGTGGAGTCGCTGGGTGTTGGCCGGGTAAACAGTGAGAGCCAATCATGGCTTAGCAGCTTCTGCTTGCACTAGCGGGACAAGCTGCACTTCTTATCGTCCTCCTTATCGGCATGCCGTCAAAAAATTTATGGACTGGCGCATGTCTTCTTCTAGATCTCTGAACACGACAAGCCAACGAAGCGACCATGGCAACAAAACAGCCATTGAAGACGACGTTCGACGTCGAGCGTGTCATCCGGCCAATTTATACCGGAGGCTCCGTTGCGGTTGACAACAAAGCGCAAATTCTAGCAACAACTTTGGGCGAAGATGCCATCCTGACGAATCCCTCCAATGGCAAGCACCTGGCTCAGATTGAGGGCGTGAGTGATGCCCCGCGAGTCTGCGAAATTGAATGAAAAAGCTAATTGGATCAAAGGATGGAGAAGCTATTTCGACGTTGACACGTTCGTACATTTTATACATCATTAGCGGAGAGCTACATTAACACTCGTCTAGTAACGCCGTCCGGTTCCCATCTCATCATTTGCTCGCGATCACTGTCTATGAGAATCTTCACGCTCAAATGGTCCTCGGAAGGCGATTCGATCGAAGCATCACTAGTGCGCACACTGAAACCTCACACAACTCCGGTCATCGTTATCGCGGTTGATCGCACCGGCACTCTCCTTGCGACGGGCGGAACCGATGGCGCAATAAAGGTTTGGGACATTAGCGGTGGCTATGTTACACATACTTTCCGTGGGCCATCGGTATTAGTCTCAGCGCTGCGCTTTTTTGAGGTTGCAGCACGATCCGCGTCGAGCCGCAATTCCAAAGGAGTCAAGAATCAGTCAAAGGCAGCAGATGAAGAGGACGAGGAAGAGACAGACAACGCCACAACTACAAACTTCCGACTGGCTTCGGGTAGCCAAGACGGAAAGGTGCGAATCTGGGATTTGAACAAGAGGAGCTGCATCGCAAACCTGGATTCTCATGTATCTGATGTACAAGCGATTGACTACTCGCCAACACAGCATGCCATTGTTACGGCTAGTAGAGACAAGACTCTTATTTGGTGGGATGCCAAGTCCTGGAAGATTCGAAAAGTCGTTCCCTGTCTCGAGCTTGTGGAAGCCGCAGGTTTCTTGGATGACGGAAACCTTACATACTCTGCTGGAGCAAATGGATGTCTCCGCATCTGGGATACCGACAAGGGAGCAGAGCTGACCCCGAAGCAATCTTCAAAGAGCGAAGAAGAAGGAATTTTCGCCGGAATTTATCGACCAGAGCTTCCATTTATTCTTCTCGTCCAAGTCGATCATACATTGGCTCTATATGAGTTGGCATCAAAAGCTTCAACAGCCACCTTTGCTACACCTGAGCCCTTTCGTCGGATATCCGGCACTCACGACGAAATCATCGACATGGCCTATCTCCTGCCTGATCACTCCATACTTGCTCTAGCAACAAACTCAGAAGATGTACGATTGGTATCTGTAGCCGACACCAAACAAGATGCGTCAGAGATGACATGGACCAAATCAGAGACCCCTTACTTTGGTCAAGATGTGGCCCTTCTACGAGGACACGATGATATTGTCATTGCTCTGGATGTCGACTGGTCCGGACACTGGGTTGCCACAGGAGCCAAAGACAACACCGCGAAGCTATGGAGAATCGACCCTGCCAATGGCTCTCATATCTGCTGGGCCACGTTTTCAGGCCATGCAGAGTCGCTTGGCGCTGTGGCTCTGCCGCGCACTCTTCCCGCTGAAGGCTCGGCGGCGCGAACTGACCCTCTCAACCACCCTCCGCCTTTCCTGATCACCGGATCACAAGACCAGACAATTAAGAAGTGGGAAATCCCCCGAACTCCCCAGCAACGGGATCAAAAAACGAATGCGAGATCTGCTTTCACAAGAAAAGCCCATGACAAGGACATCAATGCAATTACCGTGCATCATGCGGGTCAGCTCTTTGCATCTGCTTCACAAGACAAAACAGTCAAGGTGTGGTCAGTGGAAGAGGGAGAAGTCCAAGGTATTCTTCGCGGCCACAAGCGAGGAGTCTGGACTGTCCAATTCTCTCCAGCTCAGATGCCCGCTTTGCAAGGCGAGGATGGCCCAATCACAGGCAAGGGTGTCGTCTTGACTGGTAGCGGTGACAAGAGCATCAAGCTCTGGAATCTTGCAGATTATACTTGCATCCGTACCTTTGAGGGCCATTCTAACAGCGTTCTCAAAGTGGCTTGGCTCAACATGACATCGCGTCCAGAACAATCAAGAGGATTGGTTCAGTTCGCAAGTGCGGGTGGCGATGGGCTCGTTAAAATCTGGAATGCAAACTCTGGAGAAGCTGAGTGTACTTTGGATAACCACGAAGACCGAGTTTGGGCCTTGGCTGTACACCCAGACACCAATGCTGTAGTCTCTGGCAGTGGTGATTCTACTGTTACATTCTGGAAAGACACAACTTCCCAAACCCAAGCGGCAGCATCTCAAGCCGCGCTGAAGCTCATCGAGCAAGAACAAGAGCTCGAGAACCATATGCACGCTGGGTCGTACAGAGAAGCCATCACTCTGGCTCTGCAGCTGAATCATCCTGGTCGTTTACTCAGCCTTTTCACCTCTGTTGTAACAACCAGCAAGCCCGAGCAGGGCAGTCTGTGCGGCATCAAGGCCGTCGACCAAGTATTAGCAACTCTTTCCGATGATCAGATATACCTGCTGCTGTTGAGGTTGCGGGACTGGAACACGAACGCTCGGTCAGCCCCCGTAGCACAGCGTATACTAAGGACGCTGATCAAGAGCTACCCAGCTTCAAAGTTTTCAAACTTGCAAGTCAAGGGCTCAAGAGGGGAGAAGAGCTTGAAAGATGTCCTGCATGGTCTCCGGGTGTATACGGAAAGACACTATAAGCGCATGGAGGAGTTGGTGGATGAGAGCTATCTGGTAGAGTACACTCTGCAAGAAATGGACAGCCTCGCTCCCACGCTCCAGGGCGATGTATCCTTGAATGCGGACACCATCATGATTAGCTAAAGCTTTTACATGAACGAAACGTTATACCTTAGAAGGCCCTGCTACTAATACAGGGACTGTATAAATGGCTAGCTGAGGGGATGTGGAGAAATATTTGTGAAATCATTACATATAGCGCAAAGGTTAGATAAAAGGCGGTAATACACACAATGTATATACACTATGGTTGGATGTAATGATGGTTGAATCCATTCAGATACTGTCACGCGCGAAGCCCAGCAGAATAGAAACATCAATGGATAGTACGCATGGGTGTATAGTTTTAAAAATATTAATTTGTTTTTATTTTTACCTTTCTTATTTCATAAGAAATTCTTTGGGAAATTTTCGATTTATAAAACTTGTTTAGTTATTCGCAAGGAAAAGAAAGGCCTTCGGGACATCTCACATGCAAGACCATCCACAGGCTGCTACCAAGTCCTGCTGCTACCCCGGCGCTATAAGACCCACTACACTTTCCACTGCAGCCTTGTCAAGCACTTGCGCCAAACTCTACTCCATCTACCTACCCAACTTCAAGGCGCCATTGCTCTCCCCCCCGTCTCGCAGCCGCTCGCAATTCTCACTCGCTCGTGCGCCATGTCGAAACGACAAGCTTCAGAAGCTCTCGACGAGCTCCTGGACATCGCATCTCCCTCGTCCAAGCGCTCTCGAATGGGCGACTTCGACTCACCCCTCGCGAACAGCCACGACGAAGCGCAGAGCCTCGAGCAGGATGGAGAAGGAAGGAATGGAGACGCAGAGGACGCAAACAGCGACGAATTCGATGATGAAGAGGACGATGCGTCGCCCATGGTGGCTCCTCAGCGCCAAAAGGGACCGGCAGACGGCTACGACGACCTCTATCTCGACACCATCGACCGCAACGTGCTCGACTTTGACTTTGAGAAGCTGTGCTCCGTGTCCCTCTCCAACATCAACGTCTACGCATGTCTCGTGTGCGGCAAATACTTCCAGGGCCGCGGCGTAAAGTCACACGCCTACTTCCACTCCCTGGACGAGGACCACCACGTCTTCATCAACCTCGAGACGCAAAAGGTCTACGTCCTGCCCGACGGCTACGAGGTCAAGAGCAAGTCGCTCGACGACATCAAGTACGTCTCCGACCCGCGGTACACCAAGAACGAGGTCATCCAGCTGGACCGCCGCGCCAACCACGTCAGCTGGACACTCGACGGCAAGCAGTATACGCCGGGCTTTGTCGGCATCAACAACATCAAGGAGAACGACTACCTCAACGTGGTGGTGCAGGCGCTGTCACATGTCTCTCCCTTACGGAACTACCTGCTGCTGGAGGACTTTTCTAAGAAGTCAGAAATCGTAAAGAGGTGCAGCATTCTCTTCCGCAAGATCTGGAACCCGCGCGCCTTCAAATCACACGTCTCCCCCCACGAACTGCTTCAGGAGATCGCCCTCCTCTCCAACAAACGCTTCACGCTCACGAACCAGTCAGACCCCGTCGAGTTTCTCTCCTGGTTCCTCAACAACCTCCATCTCGGCCTCGGTGGCAGCAAGACAAAGCCTGGAAGCTCCATGATCCAGCGCACATTCCAGGGCAAGCTCAAGGTCGAATCGCAGGCCATTACCGCTCGAGCAGACGCAGGAGACCGTCTGCGCTTCGAGGAGGCTGGCGAAGTCAAAGTCGACATTGTGCGCTTCCTATTCCTAACGCTCGACTTGCCATCAGCACCGCTGTTCCAGGACGAGCTGGAGAAGAACATCATCCCACAGGTCCCTCTCAGCACCATCCTAAGCAAATACGACGGCAAGCGAGCGCAGGAGCATCACGCACAGCGAAAGCGCTACCGCCTACTGCATCCTCTCCCGCCGTATCTAATGTTCCACGTCAAGCGCTTCTCCCAGAACAAGTTCGTCGCAGAGCGCAACCCCACAATCGTCACCTTTGACGCGAGGAATCTCGACATTTCGCCGTATGTGGAGCCCAATCCCAATGAGTGGCCCGTGGGCGAGCCGATATGGTACGATCTCGTAGCCAACGTCGTCCACGAGTCAGTCCGCAAGAAGGAAGACGTCGCAGACAGCGGCGAGGAGAAAAAGACGTGGAAGGCCCAGATCAAGGACAAGGCCACCGGCGAGTGGGTCGTCTGCCAGGACTTGTTTGTTGACAAGGTACAGAGCGAGCTGCTATATCTCGGAGAGACATATCTACAGATCTGGGAGCGGAGAAAAGTGCCCGCCAAGGGGAAAGGAAAAGCGTAAAGGAGTTTGAAGCATTTAGTACAAAATTTAGATATACCACATAATACCGGCGTCATGTCATAAAATTGTTTCAAGGCAAAGAAAGGGGGCCCAGCAGAAAACGAATAGACTTGGATACTTGCAGAGAAAACGAGCCTGCACAAGAGCATCTTTATTTTCATCCTTTCTTGTCCTTTTTTATTTGTTGTTTCTTTCTCTTTGAGCACAGAGAGCGCCGTTTGAGAATCGTCGGCATGGCCAGTTTCCTTAATCAATCGAGGTCATTTAAACCATACTATAGTACATTATCCACATGCAAGAAGAAAAAAACAAAACCCAGCCCTTTCCGCCCACCATTTTCCAGGTAGAGCAAGAATTTCAGTTATTCTCCCAAGTGTACATCCCAGAATTTTCCATCCGCGAAATAATTCACACGAGAAAACTACCGCACTCCAAAAAACAAAAAGAGAAAGTGAATAAAAGTGAAGCCAGTAAGAAAACAGGACGTACGGGGAAAAACCAGGAAGTGATGATAAACACGTTACGGAATTGCAACATTACCCAAGCGCTCTGCCCGGTAGTGTACAAATAACAAGAGGAAACCTTTCATAGCCGATAAAAAAGGCGACGAAACAACCGGGCTTAATAAGACAAGGATGATAAGGGTGCGCGGGCCCTTGATGACGGATGGTGTTCTTCTTTATTCGAAGCTCTGCTTAGATGAATTATTTGTGTGCCGCTTGTCGCCCTGGTGTTGACTAGCCTTCTCACGGCGTTGCTCGTCGATGGCAGTTCGTTGCTGGATGCTAGAGTCGTGCGACTTGAATTCGAGACGCGTGTTCGCCGGGAAGTTGAGAACCTGCTTCATGGTTTCGCTACAGCGACAGTGACTCGTTAGTCTATCGATCCATGTATAACAAATGTGTATGACAAGGGCTTAGATATAGCCTCAAAACGTACCGAATCTTGAGCACGCGACCGCCGTCGGTTCTGGTCCAAATGCTCAAAATATCCTCACCATTACGCATACTCAGTACGGCACCACACACGTCCTCTCCAGCATCGCCGAACTGGTCGCCGACAAGAGAAAGCAACAGATCCTCCCAGTAGCGATCAGCCACACCCTTCTTCAAGCGAACAACCCACTTGCCTCCCTTCCGGTTCACCTCGTCCTCCCATATCGGCCTGATATCCTTTTTGAAAAGGTGGTAATCGGACACGACAGGCAGGTTTGATGGCCGCTTGAGGTGCGAGTAGATTTGCCAGAATTCCTCCGCCGACCGCACGGTGGCGATGCCGTGCAGTGTGTTCTCATATTCGATGAAACCGTGCGCCTTCGAGATCGGGGGTCTGTACCAGAAAGACCATGCATCTTTCAGCATGTGAATCTGTGTGGCCCCGGCCGGGGGTTCCGACGCCTTGGTCTCGGAGATGGGCGCCATGTTAGGCGGCCTAGCTACGGGCTTTGCGGCATCCTTGGAGGCGACTTGCTTCGCGACGGCTGAGCCCATGGCACTATCAAAAGGGTTCCCGCCGGACTTTGGTGTTTTGGCTGAGCCAAACGAGCCAAACGAAGCAAAAGCCCCTGAGCCCAGGCCAAAGGCGCTGGAAGCTCCCCCCGTTGGAGATACCAGCCCACTCCCCGGAGTAGTGTTGAAGGATTTGCCATGCGACGATTTCACCGTGGCGCTGCGGGAACCGGATTCACCTCCCCCCAAGCCATTGGCGCCATTGGACGACGTGGTCAAGGAGAGCTTTGACGAGCTGGACACGGGCATGTTAGTCAGAAACAGCTGCGCCGTGGAGGCGACGTATAGCAGGGTCATCGTACTTGGTTCGACGAGTCCATAGATTCTCCATTAAGCCTTGTTGGTGGTGTCGACTTTGATGTTGATGCTCGTGATGCGGGGAGGTGGGAGGGACGCCTCGCTCGGGGAAAGATTTTCGAGGGTCAGGCGGAAGTCGAGAAGCGGCGCTGGGTAGGGCGTGGCGAAGGGCGATGGTGCGTTTCTCGGTGCGCTCACGGGCGGTGCTCGGAAGTCTTTGTGAGGACGTGGAAAATCGTAGCTTTTTGCGATGCGAAAGGGAGCGAGAGAGGGAGGGGGCCTTGAAAAAGCTGGCGAGTGCAACGGCGACGGAGGGGTTTCGAAGAGACGGGCGCGAGAGGAGGATGGATGCTGGATGCTAGTAGAAGAGTTGTAAGAGGAGTGATGACGGATACTGCGCGATGTTTTGAAGAAAAAGCTGCTCGAGTTTGGGGAGAATTATGTAGTGATGTTGTGGATCTTTGGGGTTCTTGAGGTGGAAGAATTCTGCGTGACATCGACATTTGCTGAAATTTACGAGTGCTAGCAGGTACATTGCCGGCCGTACCCAGCCAGCAGTTACGGGTTGCGGTTAGCGGCTGGACAGAAGCCCTCCCTTTGCTTTTTTGGGGGGCTCCTATTGGGGGGAATCCAGCTTCAGGTCCTTGGAGCCGGAACCGACAGCGCCTGTAACGGTAGGAGCAGTTCAATGGATGCTCTTTGCAACGTTTGGCAGGATTGCTTTGGGCACTTGCAGATTGGATATCAACACAAAGGCCAGCATGCACTGCGGCTGCGAGTTGCAGTGGGCGGCATTAGTCTTGTTACGATGCATGAATGTCTTTTTTCTTTGATCCTTTCCAGCGCCTGATGCTGGGATGCAGGAGCAAGCCGAGGATAGTGCTACATGCTTGATGCACGCGGAGCACGCTAAGCTCGCTACAATGGAAAAAAGGAAATGTTCGATGGCGTTGTATGACAGAGCGCGTCATATGCTATCATCTGGTGCATACGGAGAACATGACTGCATATTGGCCCGATTTGGAGCTACATGTACCCATTGGGCAAAATACTACCCAAGGCAGGTCTCATCGAACCATTTAGATGCTTCTTACACTGAGTTATTATTCAAAATAGAGCACATTAGCAGGAGTAACGACGCTGCCGATCCTGCCAATTGCATTCAATGGCTTGGCCAATGTCTCATCCTCTCCATTCTTGCTGATGGATGCGACAGAATTGGCCGTTGGCAGATCACCAGCTTGCTGACTGCCGATTGGATCATCCTGCAGCCCGGCCTGGAAGCACCAAAGAGAAATATATGGAAATACTTGAAAGAACCTGCGAGTGCTATTGAGGGTATTGTTTATATACCCATTGAGAACACTCTGCAGGGCCGTAGCAAGGTAGAGATGAAAGAAGCATATCAAGTTTCTCGAGCATCGTTTGTCAGCACAGACTCTACAGCAACCGCTTTCAGTTCGTGGGGGATTGCCATGTACCTTAGTAGGCTAGGATCATACTACTAGTAGTACGTGTAGGAGAAGGGAATTTCAAAGCCATGCATTAGGTGAGTACCTGATCTTAAGTAACTATGACTCCTATATGTGCTGAGCTCGATAGGTGTGGGGGTTTCTGTTGGAAACCAAATGTTACACGAGACTTGGAGTGCCGCACCAATATCAGGCCGAACCTTTTCATCCAATGCAACAGTATGATTCTAGAAGGCGTAGAGAACTTTACTGATTTGCCCCCACCTCTCAAGGTACCGGGCTGTACCTTTCTTATCGCCCCTCTGAGAAACCGATAAGAACCGATAAGCCCAAAAATTTCTGCGGCGCAACCAAAGCTTCCTGCAGCGATCTTTGCGACATTGTCCATTGAGCAATAATTTTCATAATGGCTCCCTCCAAGACACGGACAATCAAGAACAAGCACGCCGGGCCAAAGAGCGGCTCTGGTGCAGCTGACAAGGGCGGCGCAAAGCGATCGGCCACCGATGGCGTCTCCAAGTCCAGATCCAAGAAGCCCAAGGGCCCCGTCGTGTCGCAGCAAGTGAAGGAGAAGAACCGCGCCTTGCTGATGAAGAGGCCGAAGAAGAAGACCTACACGGCCGAAGAGCTGGGGATTCCGACCCTGAATATGATTACGCCCATTGGCGTGGAAAAGCCCAAGGGCAAGAAGAAGGGCAAGGTGTTTGTGGACGACAAGGTGCGTTTTGCCACAGGATGCAAACTGTGTCTCCTACAACAATTCTCGAATGCTAACATGTATGGATGAACTAGGAGGGCATGACGACAATTCTGTCTCTCGTCCAAGCCGAGAAGGAAGGCCACATTGAATCGAAATTGATCAAGGCTCGACAGATGGAGGAGATCCGCGAGGCTAGGAAGGTAGAGGCCGACAAGAAGGCGGCAGAAAGGAAGGCCATGTTGGAGGATACCAAAGACTCCCTGAGGAAGAAGAGAAAGAGAAAGATGGACAGCAGAGAGGACAACAACACGAAGAGCATATCATTGACGGGCACAAAGGCGAACAAGGCGTCGAAGAAGAGGGTCGCGTTTGCCTAAGAGGGCGGGGATGAGGAGAGAGCTATTGACATGTACATTTGCATCGACTTGTATTTTCTTTCTTCTGGCGCATGGAGTTGGGGCATACCATAAAGAGCGATACTATGGGAGAACATTGCTTGATAAAAGCATATATAGTCTACCTAATCAACAATGCCATACAAACAAAACCACTATGATGAGAAGGCGGTTCATCGTGTCTGATAAAAAAAAGCTCAAGCATCACAATCGCTAAAGGTCTTGTATGAAGTAGTGCAATCATCATATTCTATCCCGGCTACTCTATATAATTAACGACCCATCTCATTTGAGAGTCGGGTCTCTATGCCTCGTTATAATGTCTATGAAAATAAAAATAAAAAGGAAATTGACCTAACTCCGCACGATATTCATTTTACGCCTCATTGGATTATAGTCGGAGCCCGCAAATGCTTTGTTTTTAGGGGGATACTCCATGGGCATTAAATCGTCAAGGTCAGCTTTGAACGCCAAATGGTTGAAGAAATTGCACACCTGCGCATTCATGTCAGCGGTTTTGAGCATCCTATTAATCCTGGAAAGTAAACAAAACATACCGGGCGAGTGAGCCAGCGAGTTCCACCTGTTTCGAACCAGCATAAGTGGCCACCGAGGGATGTTGTGGTTAGAATTGTGTTGGGGTTCTGGCGGAATTCTTCGAATGGGATTGCTTCTTTGACCGCAATCTAAAGACACCGATTTGTTAAACAAGCGCTGTATTTCACAAGAGAAATACGTACGGGATCATCAATGGCGGAAATGGCCAAGAAAGGTATCTTGATTGAGAGGATGGCATCAGACGATGAAGCATCTCGATAATAAGCAGATTCAGTCGGGTATCCCCACGTTGGGCATCTCAATAAATGTCAGCATACGTGGAACGACACAGATATACGTGTATAAAACTTACTGGATTTCCCGGTCAAACTCATTCAAGTAGGTTGTATTGGCAATGGCAGCCAGATCCAAGTTAGAATACTGCTTGAGTTCCTTTTTATGTCTCTCAATCAGAGCTTTCATCGTAGCTGTAATGATTTAGGATCCAGTATCATACATCACACACTAGGAACTGCAGTACTTACTTCCCATGACGCGGAGGTAAACTTCTTTGCCGATCAAAGTGCTTGCCATGGTCTTGCTGGCGACGTCCAGATTGAAGGGATTTGAGCAAGCAATGGCACCTTTAAGCACACAATCCGAGCCCTCCTCGCCACAGTACTGATCCAGAATCGTCAGCCGCAATGCTTCCCGCATCAAAAGAGCAATACGGCAATGCCGTATATAACGTGGCGAGAGATACGTACGTTGGTCAAAATATTGGCACCGAGTGAAAACCCAATGCCAAATAGCGGACGGTTTGGAAACGTCTTCCTAAGCCACCTGACTATCTATATGTTTCATTCAGACTCGTTAGGAATGGCTCAATTTTGGGCATTATGCGCGGAGCTGCTTACCTGGCGCATATCCCATGTTGCGCGTGCGTTGTATAAGATGCCACTGGTGATCTTGCTGCCTGCGCAACCTCGAGAGTTCACCACGCAAATCTCCCACCCCTGTTCGGGAAGAGGGGCAATTGTATGCCTCAAGTAAACTTCATGAGAACCGCCAGAAAGACCGTGCAGCGCTATCAGCATTGGCTTGCTATCATCAGAGCCTATACTCGCAAATTCTTCATCAGAGTAGTAAGCGGTACGGGGCGGCAAGTCTTCACTTCGACCATCATGACACTCAACGACGAAGTCAACGGCAAACGATCCGTGATAAGCGTCATGCTCGGCCTGGAAGATCTTGCGTTTATAGTAAACTGCCGGTCCATGTGGTTTTGTCGCCGTCCACATCGTCTGCACATGGCCATTGAACAACAGCGGGTTCATGTAGCAGGGCGGCGTGCTGGCCTCGCAAATCTTGAGGAGATCCGTCTCGCTGCCATCCCTTTGCTTGATTGTCCTCGGCGTGGGCGCATGAGTGAACTCGATCTTGGCTTTGCCAATCCACTCCATCACGGCGACGAATGCGGTTCGCTAGCGCCAGTTGATTATCACAAGCCAAAGCGAAACTCAGACAAAGCACGAGAACACGATAAATGAGCGACGATGGCGATGGCGATTCAGCACGACTTCAAGGGGCAGCCAACAAAGCCAGCCAAACGCCAAAAAAAGAAACTCTTGATTTACTTGTACTGTCTAAGTTGGAACGCGCACAGGCGAAGGGGGAAAAAAACTGGTCCTCAATTGATAATAGGTAGGTTGCACAGGGAACTGGAAATGTCCGCGACTCCGAACCCCGTAGCAGGTACTTTGTAATGTGGGAAACAAAAGCTGTGGTGGCAAGAATTTGGTGGGCTTGAGAGCACAAGCACGCTGTACAGGATGTACAGGATACTAGGCGTTACTTTCAGATGTCTCTTCCTTCACGGAGCATCGTCTCAAAAGCAGCAGAGCCGCGGCTCGCCAAAAACGATGCCTCGGAAGGTGGTGGGCCTATTTCTGATAAGAAGAGAACTGCCGTGTGCTAGAATAATACGATATGCCCAGCAAGGACTAAACTCTGCATAATCAATAAAAGAGCTGTGATTTGGAGTGTAAGATATTACAAGATAGATGCGCTGTATTGCACCTCACATGACTTAGTCCGGCCTTTGCTTCTTCTTTCGGTCCTTACTGGTTGCGTATCACTTCTGAAGGTTGCTTGTTCCAAGCAGGACATGTTAGTCAGATTGTCTTTAGAGGGTCTAGACTTGAACCAAGCGGCGGCATTCGTTGGAAAACTTCAAGGTTCTTTATTAGCGGCCTCTAGCAAAGGCCGGGATGCATCTGCCAATCTGCTCAAGGCAGACGCTCCACTAGCGCGAAACAGGTCACGTGAGCGAGCCGCCTTTTTGCGATGGGCTCGCACGGAAGTAGTCTACAGAACAACATGCAAAGCAGCACCACAACACCACGAGTCCACATCGACGCCCAACGAGATGCGACGCCTGTGGCCGTCGGAACCTCCTGGAGAATGAGAGCCAAGATGCTTCTCTGGGACTCTACGCTGTTTCCTGGCAGAGGCGGAGGAAGTGAGATCCGGAGCCTGTGGACACCCTGACGAGCGATTTGGAGCCTTGTTCCCCGGAATACCCTTTTTGCTGCACGAGCCGACACGCTGGATACGGCCCACCGATCGAGTATGGGCTTGTTGAGTTTCTGGACGGAGACATGACACGATGGCATCGCCCAGTGAGCGCTCTTGTCGCCAATACCCCGCTACAGCCTCCATCAGCGCCGGAACCAGGCACCTGTAAACCGCATCACTGTGCCCCGTATTGCAGCTCTTCTGCAAACTTACAGCCTCTCTCAGTGACGGCTAGTTTTATTTGGGATGATGCCAATTCTTGGCTGTGACGGATGGATTGCTATAAGCGGCGCGAGTTATATTGTGCTCTCGACACCAGAGCACCTCGTTTGGTCTGACGTTGTGTCCTCCATTACTCTGCCAATCTCGTCACCAGTCCGAGGATTGGACTTTTAGCGGAATAGGTCTGCCTTTGAACCAAGCCGAAGCTTGAGTTTCAGTCACCTACGCCGCTGGCAACATTTTTGCTGTAACACCCCAGCATGATTCTATAATTTGGACGACGTTGAGTCGCTGCAGCCTCGTTGATGATGCTGATCAGCCCTGAAGATCAGCCCTGCACGCTGATTGGCTCGCTTTACTCATGAGCGAGATGAGAGAGGAGAGGCAAATGGAAATGAGAATGAAATGGGACGCAAATGACGCTGCACCATGGCAAACGGCCTTTTCGCGCGAAAATCGCGCGTTCACATCTACATATGTTTGATGAATCGGTTTCATCATTTGAAATCTGCGCAACAAATCGGTGGACAAGGGTATGGCAAAGTTGCATGGCGGACAAGGATTATAACGTCAGTTGATGCCAACGGTAAGTCTCGTAAATGATCCGCGAGGATACGTATATAGCGCTCTGTTGCCGCCATGACGGCTCGAGCATGCGCTGGCTGTTTTTGAGGCGATTGGCAATAGCGGGCTGTCGTCTGCATGTCGCGGAGGTATCAAGTGAAGGGAAGGCGTATGAGAAAAACTGCCATTCTGTTGACAGCTTGCAAGTGCATGTCCGGGAGACTGATGGCGTTGGCCTCACACTTGGGTGGCGGATAGGCGGATATGCGGGACTGCGTCGGGGAAGGACACACTCAGCCTGTGCGGGTGAGGCTGAGGCTCAGGGCATCCAACGTCTGCCCAAAAAATCATCACGGCGGTCAGCTCTAGGGGCTGCCTCTGCCTGTGGCACCAGGCCCCTATCGCCCTTTTGTTTTCCTTTCCTTTCCTTACCCCCTTCCCTCTGTTCTGCATCTTCAGGGCCCTCATCTTATCGCAGCGCCATTTCCGTCGCTGGCTGTGGGACGGCACAAGCCTCGGACCCTTGCTACTCCGGCTAAGGTGCGGCGATTTACCAGCGCTGCGACGCTAAAAACTCAAACCAGGTGTAGGTCCCGATGGGGCAGACTACATTGCCTCCGCGTCGCCCTCTACATGCTGCCATGAGAGACGACGGAGGAAGTTATGATTACAGAGAACGGCCTCGATCTGGCAGAGGAGTGACGTCCTCGGATCGACCAGGATCTCCTCCCCACGGGGCCCGTCTCGACTCAGACTACGCCTCTCGGCACCACCACCGTCCCAGAGACTCAGCTCCAGCACAGCGGCACCGCTCACGAGACCGTAGCCGAGACTACAATCGACGAGACAGACCTTCATCTTCGCGCCCACCCGCCGAGTCGGAAGACTTGATTCCTCGCTATCGTGAGATCAAGGCGCGCTCCTCCGAGGCCAAGACCAGGACGGCTCGGGGCAGTCGTAGCCGCAGTCGTGATCGTGATCGTGGTCGTGGTCGTGACCGTGACCGTGGGGGGTTCGGCTCTCCGTCGTCGTCGAAGCGACACAGGAGTCGAAGCCGTAGCCACAGCCGATCCTTGAGTCCGTCTCGAAGGAAACGCTACAAGAAGACTCACAGCCCGCCCCCGCGCAGCCCAGCTCGAAGCTCCAAGGCCACTGAATCGAGGAGACGAAGACACCATTCCACCGACCGTCGAGATTCTTCACCGCGTCGCCACCGTTCTTCCCACAAATCCCCCTCGCGGACCGACGACCGACATTCGAGGCGAAGATCTCCACCCCGTTCCCCGACGAGATCTGAGGCTGAGAGGAGACACTCCCGACGCGACTCCTCACGCCACCGTCACAAGTCATTTCGAAGCGTATCACGAAATCGTTCTCCATTCCCTTCTGACAAACGACGTCGCTCGCCTTCGAAGAATCGTAAAGATTCGCCGTCACGAGTGGGCGGTCCTGCTCTGACAGTCCGCACTGCCACTGACGACCAATCGAGAGGTGACGCCAATTACCGATCGGCCAATCGAGACCCAAGGCCTCGGTCTCCCCACTTTCGAGAGGGAAAACGAGAAAAAAATATAACTGAGCCGCATCATACTTCGCGGTCAGACATCGACGACGATATGACGTCTCGGAGTAGTTACCGCGGAGGATATAATGCCGCCTATTCGCATCAGTCTCATCATAGCAATGATCCTCGAGGATATTCTCAGTCGCCCCAGAATCCTGGTTCCTTTCACAACTCTCCATCTTCCTCGTCATATGGCGCGAATCGTTCTGGATGGAACGGTCACCAATATTCACCACAACAGTATGTTTTCTTTTCATTCCTTTCATAATAAGTTGCTAACAGAGCAAGTAGGCAATACCCCCCACAGTATACCCATGGCAGTAACAACTATGCTTCCAGTGGCCCCCCTCAGAACGGATCGCAAAACCATTACCACGGGAATTCATCGCATTCTCCGCCTTATGCTGCTCCTACTGGTCCCCAGGGTAACTATCGAGGAAGTCATCGGGGTGGCGGTTTTCGTGGCGGATCTTTTGCAAGTCGAGGCAGCTATCGCGGCTCCAGCTTTAAAAGCGCTCCCAGGAACCCTTCGTCCCAGGCACCACCACCCCCTCCTCCTCCTCCTCCTCCCCCTCGAAGCAATGGGTTTCCTTTAGATGAAGATGAAGAGGCGAGACCAACCGTCGCGGATGTAGATGCGAGTCCCAGGAAGGGCTTGGAACCCACTGATACTCATGAGCATACCGCGGTGGATCGCTCAGATGATATACCATCAGCCCCTTCGAATCATACAAATAAAGACAACCATGCCGAAGCCTCATCGCAAACCCCAACTAAGCCGAGCAACGGTGCTGGAAAATTCAGCTTTGCCTTTAAACCATCATCAAAGCCGACGCCTGCGGCTCCGAAGCCTGAGATATCTCAAAAGTTCAACGCTGCTCCTCAAAGACGAGAGTCTGTGCCAGCTCAAGCCCCTAATCGAGACCGAGAGCCTCCCCCCAGCGCCCCTACGGAACCGTCCTCAGTGCGCTCCCGGCGAGAGCGGGAACGCGAACGGGAGCGTGAACGAGAAAGAGAGCGAGAGCGAGAGCGAGAGTTCAGGCACCCCCCTGAGGGACCGAAATCGGCGCCTCGAACACGGAAAGTCATAAAGGTCATGAAACGGCTGAAACCTCGACCTGCTCTCCCTGACGACTTGATCGCTTCTGAGTCGGTATTTTTCAGGAAACCAGGAAATGAATCTGTCGTCGGCTCGGGAACATACGGTAAAGTCTTCAAAGGACTAAATGTCTACACCAAGGGGCTCGTTGCTCTAAAACGAATTCGTATGGAGGGCGAAAGGGATGGCTTCCCAGTAACTGCCGTGCGGGAGATCAAGTTGCTGCAGTCACTGAGGCACACAAACATTGTCAATCTTCAGGAGGTCATGGTAGAGAAAAACGACTGTTTCATGGTTTTCGAGTACCTCTCTCATGACTTGACTGGCTTACTCAACCACCCTTCCTTTACTTTGGATCCAGCCCAGAAGAAGCACTTGGCCAAGCAGCTTTTCGAAGGTTTAGACTACCTTCATGAGAGAGGCGTGCTTCATCGCGACATTAAAGCCGCAAACATTCTTGTCAGTAGCGAGGGCATATTGAAGCTGGCGGACTTTGGTCTTGCTCGGTTTTATGCGAAACGGCACCAGCTAGACTACACAAACCGTGTCATTACAATCTGGTATCGATCCCCTGAACTCTTGTTGGGAGAGACCAAGTACACTGCCGCCGTCGATGTATGGAGTGCGGCGTGCGTCATGGTAGAGATTTTTACACGGGTTGCCATCTTCGCCGGAGACGGGACGGAGCTCAGCCAGCTCGATAAGATCTACAATATCCTAGGGACGCCAACCCGCCAAGAGTGGCCTGGGATCACTGACATGGCATGGTTCGAGCTGCTCCGGCCAACTGCAAAGCGAAAGAACGTCTTTGCAGAAAAGTACAAAGACAAGGTCTCCCCTGCTGCGTTCGACTTATTGGAATCCATGTTCTGCTATGATCCGGCCAATAGACCCACGGCAGCTATGGTCTTACAGCACCCATACTTCACTACCGAAGAGCCACTGGCTACACAGGCAGTAGAGTGAGTATACCGAACCTCCAGGCCTCTCATCTTTACACTTAATTTACTAACTTTCTAATAGGCTAGCGAATATTGGTGGTGACTGGCATGAATTTGAATCCAAAGCCCTGCGTAAAGAAAACGAGCGGCGAAATCGGGAGGCTCGAAAAGCTGCCAAAGACAGTACCCGAGACAATGATAGGAAACGTGTCACAGAATCTCATGACCGTGAGAGGAGCGTGAAGAGAGTACACGTCGATCAGAAGCCACTAGAAAGTCGGAGCAGCAGCACGATAACGATAGCGACAACGAAGAAATGAATATTCATTTTCTTTTCCAACTGCCCATCTGATTATGTGGATTTACCCTTTTATTTCTCTTCCTTGTCTAATATATACCGTCTTTTTCCATTCCTCTTTTCTTTCACACTACCTCGCAGACTGGGGATCGGACAGCGGCTGTTCAGTGGATGTAATTTGCCGTGCATTTGGGATGGGGCTCTTTTTTCTTTTCGTTCTTTTTCTTTCTCCCAAGGTGTTACAAAAAGGTTATAATTGGCGTTTCATGGATGTGGGAGGGTTGCATTTTCTCTTTTTCCTTGCAAAGGGAAAGGATGACGTTTACATGGTAGGGATGACTTTGTGTCGTTTGTTACGATTTAGGAACGTGTAGAAGTGGAAGCCCCGTCAGAAGAATATAAAAAAAAAAAAGAGAACTATTTCCATGAGAAGATGATATGAGAGACCTGTTTGCGAATGAAATAGTAGTTACTGTGATTTTTTTAACGAATGAAATAGTAGTTACTGTGATTTTTTTAACAATGATATCTAGTTGCTCTGCTAATAACGAGCATATTTGCTACCAAGTTTCAGTTACCTAGGCATGCATCGAGGCTCAACATTGAAGAAAGAAACTCGTAAAAATTCAGTTTACCAAACTCCTGTATGATTGCATAGCTATATATACATACAAATCGAATAAATCAAAATGCCGTCCCTCCAGTATCATGGTATCGTCATGTAGGTAAATGATTGCATCTCATCATAACATGGTATCATCAATTTTCCATTCTCCCTTGTAAATGTCATCAGATCATAAAGCCTTCACAGCCCAATCCCAGTCCCAAATCTCTTGAGCAGAAAAAAAGAAGAGTGTCCGGTCTGTTTCCATTCCCTCTTCTTGTGCTCTAAACAATATATCATGTCTCGTTAACATTTCATATACTTGGATATATGAAGCTCTTTTAACTGCCTGGTGGGCCTATTGCAGTATCTCTGGGCCTTTTCCTTTCGGCTCCGTGCTCCTCAATAGCTCACGAAGACTGCCCTCAGCAAGGCCCTTGTGGTGAATAAACGGAGACGTTGGCCTCCAGGGCATCCAACCGTTGATGATGGAGAGGATGCCACCGCTAGCAGTGTCCGTTCCAATGGGTGTAATAGCTCCCTTTGCAACAGAGTGGCCCAATCGCTTTGGATGGTGTGGCGTGTCTTTGACGACAACAGGCGGACCCTCGGCAATTTCACTTGCAGCTGTACGGATCTCAAGCTGGCTAGTGGATTCTTGAGGCTGCGCTGGTTCGCTGACCAGACCGGTGGCAGACGTTCGCGGAGAGTCTACAGCCACGCCATTGTGTCGGGTAGAAGCATCAATAAGAGCTAGTGAAGACGATGACTTCTTGGGCGCAGCCTGATCTTCCAAATGAGAGTCTCGGCGCTCGTCATCGAGAGTCCCGCTCGAAGAGCTGCTCGCAGAGGAATGCGCCGAGCTCTTTTGTGCTGATCGGCCGCGAACTTGCTCGGCAATCTCGGCAGCAGACTTTTTTCTGCTGGCCTGCTCTTCGTCCGAAGACCGGCTGGATGAGATGATGGTTTCTAGAGTTCCTACGGCTCGGCTAGTTCTTCGGGCCATGCGCCTCTTCCTACGGGTTGATGATGCTCCTACGCTGTGCTCGTCCTCTGCGGAGACGGCCTGTAAAGTTGGGCCTTGAGAGTCGTTTGACTGGGCTGAAGGGTTCAAGAAGGAGGCTCCAGAACCATGGGGAGTGTAATGGACCTCGTACTGGTTGCTCAGCGAGTATCTGGACCTCGCACAGATCTCGGCAATGCGGTCCAGGTCAGCATTGATATCGCCGGCGAGACCGCCGCCCTGGGCTTCTATATTGTCCATGAAGCTCTTGAAGCTAAAGGCATCCATCGGCGGCAGCCGGGTCTCATCCTCGACCCGGCCATTGACCGGCTTCTTTCCAAAGGACAGGACCATGGTGCTTAGCATGCCGTGCTCGCCCGACACGAGCCGCGACGGGAGGGGAAGACCGCCCGCGACAGCCTCAGCAAATCGCCCGACCTGGGATCCGGCGCCGATGCCCGAGCCGGAGATGGGACCGCCGTGGATGGCGGGGCCGCGAGACGAGCTGGACGGCCTGCTGGACGGCAATGGGGGGTAGTAGCTGCGGACGATGACGGGCTCCGAGTAGGTGCTGCTCTGGGCGCCGGTGGACTTTGCGTAGCGGTGGCTCGGGAAGTTGTGGTTGAGCTCGCGCAAGGCCGAGGTGCGGTATTCTACGGTCGAGTCGTCGACGGGGATCGGCTTGCCCTCGGCGGTGGACGGCACGAGGCTGGTCGGCGACGGGTTGGGCTGCTGGAAGGAGAAGAGAGGGAGGGGATTGCCGCGGTCACGATGCTCTGAGGGGCGGAGGAGAGCAGACGGGGCGGGCTGCTGAGCTTGAGGCTGAGGCTGAGCGTGAGGCTGAGGCTGCGATTGACGTTGAGATTGAGGATGGGCGCCAGGTTGGGAGCCAGGTTGGGAGCCAGGCTGGGAGTCAGGCTGAGGTTGAGAGTGAGAGTGAGAGTGGAATTCAGATTGAGCGCCAGGGCCAGAGGTGGGTAAAGACATGGTGGATTGAGAGACGGCGCAAAGGTGGTTAAATACGGTGGTTATATGTCAGGTAGGCAGGTAGGCAGGTTGGGAGAGGGTTTGGGTATCGGCGACGATCGGTCCAGGGTCTCAGCAAGACACCGGGCGCGGCAACATGCAAGTTGTGCAGAAACTCAAGGCATTCGCGTCGTCTGGACAAGGGGTCTGATCGGGTCTGGCCTGGCCTGGGCTCGTCTCAGGATGGGGGAGAGAGAGGAGGGAAGGATACGTGGTAGGGCCGTATTAGCTAGTGTGCTGCTCGCTAGCGACAGAGTGGCACGACAGCTGGGGACTATGCTTGGTGATGCGTCTTGGGCGACGGTTAGCCTTGGTGATGGCGGAGCAACAAGTCTCACACAGGCTGGACGCAGACAGACGGCTGCAGATGGGACTTGTGAGTATGCAGTATAGTAGCAGCAGGCAGCTGTTGGTGGTGGTGGTGTGGCGTTGGCGTTGGCGGCGGCAGAGGCAGAGGCAGAAGCAGAAGCAGCTGGACGAGAGACGGCCAGACACAGAGACAAAACACTCTCGGCTGCTGGCGATGCAGCAAATCCTGCGCAGGGTCCAGATCGCGACTCGCAACTGACGAGACACCAGCAGTCGGTCCCAAGCCGACGGGTGTAGTCGTAGTAGAAGAAGCAAGTATCGCAGCAGAGCCTACAGCAGCAGAGCTACTAGTAGGCAGGGGCCAGCAGAGTGAGGGGCAGGCAAAGCAAGAGGCGTTTGATAGACAGACTGGCAGTGACAGACAACGGCGAGGCTCGCTGTGAGTGGCCAAAGAGCAAAAAGCACGCAGGATGCGAGTCAAGACTCATATCGCAGACACGAACGCCGGACCAAGGCGCCAGACGCTCCCTCCATGCATGCAATGCACAAGCACAAGCACAAGCGACATGCGCAGCTGCACGACTGTCGTGGCGGCCGCTCAAAGGGCGTCTGCGTCGTGCCGGAGTCGTGCGGGCGCCGTCCGTGGCAGCCGAGGGAGAAAAGAGCGCTGGAGGTGATTGGCAGCAGCAGCAGCTTCATCCTCTGCAGCAGTCCTGATGCTCATCCCATCCCATCCCATTCCATCCCTGCCTGCAGCGCCTGTAGCCCTTTTGCTGCCGTGGGCGCCGGCGATTGGCTGCGTGCGCTCTTTGCGGGGACGGCCTCGTCTCGACGTGCTGCGTTGCGGACCGATGCGGGTTAGCAAGAGGCAAGGAAGCGAAGGTGTGGGCAGCAGAAAGGATCAATCATATCAATGTACGTACAAGTACTAGTATATCGGCGAAAAGGCCAGACATGGGCAGTTCAGCGTTGTTTTCGATTTCGCAATTATAGGCCAATCACGGCGTCGGCAAGTGGTGGTTTTCGTTGCAAAGGTGAGTGCCTCGCCCGTTGATCAAATCATGTCAAAGCTCTGTCTGCATCGTACCGTTGAATGGCCAACAATCACATCACACAGCATACTTGTACATTAGTACTAGATATCACCGTGCAGTCTGGGGCCTACAGTACGTAGTACTTGATATGCACGTACTAAAACTATTCGCCTATTCCCCCACACAGTCCTTATCAACACGAGCATCTGTGCTTCCTACACAGACCCCCTTGCCTGATCTTTTTTCTCCGTATGCGAAATTTGTTCAATCAGGCATTGGGGAGAAACATCCGGAGCCGGAGCGGGGCACACACGGGTAGAGCAAAGCAGAATATGAGCTTTAACGCTCCAATTAGTGGATATAAATCATTGATCCTTCTCGACGGCTTGATTCGACATCAAAAGCTGGGTAATAGACGCATGCCTCGCAAGGTGTTTCAGGCGAGGACGTGTTGTAATTCATTGCGGGCATCCAATTGGCCATCAATCAATTAATCCATCCATCCATGTCTATATATTGCTAATAATAAGTAAGTATTCTATGCATGTAGCACATACCTACTAGTACTTGTAGGAGAGCCGTAAGCGGAGATGCCTGCAAGTGGTGATGTCATCCACAAGTTCTCTCTCCCATTTCATGTACAGCAAAGCTCAAGAGAAGCAATCCAACCACGATTACTCTTTGGTACATACTACTATTGCCATTAATACTTCTACTAATTATCAGTACTTGGTATCTTACTTCTTCACTGATCGCCGCAACCAGCTCCTGAAATTCTGCTCCAGTTCGGCTAGAGTATGGCCAGTTGTAGCCTCGAGTGTTCATGCCGAACTGGCCCAGTCAGACTTTCTCGCTGACTTGTCTCAACTCAATCCATTTGAAAAGCACTCTCAAACAATCCAGATTCAATCGACACCTTGCATCAAACCCTCTCGCCGACCAAAACAGCCTTCCCTGCCCCGTATCGCAATCGAGGCTTTAGATATATCCTGAATGTTGGTTGTTGTGCCCTTGGTTGCTATACCCTTGATTGCCATATCCCTGGTTGCCATATCCCTGGTTGCCATATCCCGGGTTACCATAACCCTGATTGTATGGCTGATTCCCATATGCCTGGCTTTCGTACGGCTGACCACCAATGGGCGCTGGTTCGGTTTGCGCAGCTGGTGGTGGTGGCGGTGGTGGTGCCGCTGCCATTGTTCCGTAATTTTGTCGAAAGGCTTGCCCACCCGTTTGCACCTTTTCGGAGTAAATGCCGGGAGCACGACGTGGTGGAGCATAACCCTCGCGGGCTTGTTGCCGCCTATCGTAGTAGACATATTCAAGATAAAACGCGTGTATGTGGCCCGGCAAGTATCCGAGAATCGTCAGGAATATGTTGATGACCAAATCTATAGCACCTTAGCATATTTTCCAAATCCCTTCGTGTATCCAACATCGTGAATCAACTTACCCATTCCACATCCTGCTACAGCCCAGACGCCGAGCGGAGGGACTAAAGCAACGTAGTTAGCACAACGCGAGTCTGGAAGTTGACATCTCAGCGTACAGATAATGGTGATGAATATCACGCATATGACCGAACAAACACCCATGATGGAGGCTGCGATGAGGTAAAAGTCCTTTCAAGATTCTCTGTAATAGGCCTGATGTTAAAGACTCGGAGAGCTAGACTCTAGGATTAAGCAAAATATAGAGTTTTCTTTCTCAAGTCACGAAAAAGAAGGGACAAAACATCACCCGTCGAACGGCGGCCGCGGGAGGAGACAAGCTTCATTTATTGCATGCCATCAGCCCACAACATGAGCCGGTTTGGCATGCAACGGCTGGTTAGACTTTTTAGCTTCCATCTTATTGCGTAACCAGATTGTGCGCGCAAGTCAGGCTGACATTGAGTTCACGCAATCAACAACCACCAGGCTGTCTTTTGGGATTGGCCACCAGCTGTAGCCGGCAATCGAAAGCCGCGATGCGCCACGAATGACGCAGACACGACAAGAGCTGGGTGCATGACGTAGTCGCACGTGGATGGCGGTGCTGCTCTCATTAAGGAGCAGCCACTTGGTAGCCTCAAAACTCAATTGAACTACTCAAGCCACTTCTATTGTAAACATTTAGGAAAAACAATATTCTCGCTTTCATATAAATATCAACTCTCTCACCTGGTTCTCCCAACGCTGAGGCTCGCAAAAGCCATTCAAAAAAGGCGAGCAATGTCGACGATTCACAATCAGCGGGATTGTTCCGAATTACTAAATAACGCCGCCTGTCTTCGCTACCACGAAACTATGACGGCGAGCCGACACTTTCTCCCTCAACAAATCTCAGCTTAACACCTTCAAAGAGCTACCTGCTTCCCATTGTGTCCGATGACTCTGATAGTCTATGCGGTGCCGTGACTCGGCAGTATCGTCAATGCAACGACCCGGGCATATCTAGCCCAAGGCAGGACTCGTTACGCCCGGCTCATTCGATCATCGCTTAAATTTTTGATAGCGTCCCATGCTGAGCGATGGCATACATATTTACCTTTTGAGCAATATATGGTCAGATAATTAATGCTCAATGCCCGCAGATCCGCGAGAACCGGCGGGTTGGGTATTATTCACGGCCTTTCAACACATCCTAGCAAATTATACTGCGCCGGCCCTCGCGCCCTCGGCTATCCGGCGACTTAAAGTACCCGATGTATCAAACGCTGCGACTACCTACAAGTACCTAGGTAATATCGACCACAGTGATAATTGACGGTCTTTATGATGGACGCCAAAACAATCTCATGAGATGAAAGTGAACCATAGCCAAGCAAGTCTCAGCCAAAGATCGGAACAAAGGTAGGTTGAATTCGTAAACTCCTGCGGCATGCGTCAACGCTAAGAGCATAGTAGCCAGACAGAGATGATGCTTCACAAGCTTACAAATTTACTTGCGTAAAAGAATGCAAAATCCCATTGGGTCGTCCAATCTATCTTCTGTAGATATCAACTACGATACTGGACTCTGGGGCGCATGACAGCTGGTGATGCGCGAATGGGTACATGTAAGCGACGGTGGCCAGGGTAGCAGGTATCCAAGACAGTGTCTCTATCCCCGGCGCTTCTGACATCGTTCTAGAAACTGGTCTCTGGGTCAATGGAGGTGGCACCAATGAGATGGCTGAGCCGGCAACCCGTTACCCGTAATGGCCTCGTGCTTGACCCGAAACTTGACATTGTCAAGGGGGCCCCCAGTCGCCCAAGACATACAGACAACTCTAGACGCGTCTGAAGGCCTGCCTTCTAAAGTACGCTAAAAAAAAAATAGAGAGGGAAGCGTATTTCTCTCGGCCGCGACTGGTTTGCCGACTCTGGGCGTCGTCCAATACACCGGAGCCGTGCCCTTCTTCTATCCGCGGGCTCAAATCGGACCACTTTCCACTCTTCAGGCCTGCTAGATGGCTCCTCTGTGAAGTCGGTAAAGCGACTCTCCTTTTTTTTTTTTTTTGGTAATTGTGGAAACAATAACAAAAAAGAGGCCGCTTGCCCTCGACCCGGCCGTGGACGACTCGCAGAGCGGGTAATCCCGACTACCGATGGCCATACGGAGCAGATACCTGCTCTTAGTGCTCTGACTAAAACAGCCCAAATCTTTATGGGATTAATTCTGGAGTTGGCATTTCGTAAGATACTTTACGGCCCCTAGTAGAAAGAGAAGCGAAACGAAATCGGTGTACTCTGGTGAAGTGCCTGTATGTGAGTTAAACTGGATGAGCGACTGGTATTTTGCTTAACAATAACAGCAAAAAGTAACAATGTCGGGAATTCAATACCGAACACGGAGGAGAAAGCGGCCCCTCCAAAGAGACCATGATGACAGGAGACTCGTCATTTTGCACCCAACACAAGCTCCTGTCAAAACCTGATTCAGCTTGAGGCCGCCGCAGGGCATCTGCACACTGTGTCAAGCTCTACGCGCCTATGGCCAGGCGCAGCCCAGACTAGCTGCTGCAGCGTTTCCCAATACGATGAATAATACTCATGCCAGGCGCCGCTTTATGCTCCGTAGAATAGAGGTCAGTTTTGGTAACAAAGACAGGGGAGCCGCCAGAGATCCGCGCCGCAGACGCCAACTCTATCTCGCCACTCAGTTCTGGCGCCTCGGGTATATGACTTCAATGGCATGCAGCTGAACATGAGACAGTCTTGTCTTCCAACGTGCCAGCCAACCCTCTACAGACAACAGAGGCCAACTGCTGCCGATTAAGCACCTCAGAACTTGGGCAAGCTTGCAGCGTGTTGTTTCGAGCCTAGGCGGTAGTACAGTATGTTGAGTAAGAAGTTTGCCAACTGCGCATAGCGTTGCTCCAGGATGCCAGCCTCTGGCAGCGGTGAGTGTTCTCCTTTTCTCAGACTGAGGGTCAATCAAAATGCTACTGTAGGCTCTTGCGGAGACAGCGAACTGTCACCTGCTCACGCTGATCATTGATGAGACGATAAGAGCCAATATATCTGTATTATACAGAGCGCATGTAGAAGAGCCCAACTGCCTGGGCAATCATGAGAGAGGCCGGTGACGTATACGCGCTCTCACCCTCGCCATCCATTGATCGAATAGACGTAGACGCCACGGTCCATGATATTGGCATCAAATCACTGGTTGTTTGTTTCGCGGAGACAACTGCTTGCCTCTCCCCGAGGTTCGCCTATCGAGCCAATTCGTCTTCCGATCATATACGGCTCCGTACTCTGTACTCCGTATAACCTAATATAGATCTGGGGAACTTGACGCAAGGCTACCTTGACAGCCGAAGCAAGTTACGGTGTACAAGCAACAGCAGAGTACCGAGACTGGTGCGCTGCAGACAGGCAGTGGAATGATAATCTGGGACAGCCAGGGATCTACCTGGTATTACCAACGCCTGAGCTTGCACGGCCAGGCAGCACAGACAGGGTTGGCCGTTGTAGTGTAAGCAAAGAATGCGTCTCTGGTTACAGCTCTGCAGTCACTGCAGTGGCAGCAGCTCGAGAGGCTCAAAACAAGCTCTCGCCGATGAAATCATACCGTCTCCGACATACCGGATACTGGCCCCCTTGCGTCGTGAAGAAAAAAAAGACCCCGTTTGGTGGGACACAGCAGCCAGCCCCGATAAGCGGTCCGTAGGGACTCCGCCAGGTACTGCTGGTACTGCTGGTACCGCTGGTACCGATACCTCCTGGCGGTAGCGGTGCCGCGACCCCAGGGCCGGCCAAGCAGGGCTAGCAGGGTTCCAGCACAGCGAGCGCCCTGCGCTGGCCACCCGCTGCGCGTCCACTAGCGCCTGCAGCTTGGCCACTGAGCGCCGCTGAGCCCGCCCATGCACCCGCCGGCCGCCGCTACAGAGCCCTGAAAAGCCCCGTGCCTGTGCAAGCCAGCCAAGTACCGCTACAAGCTGCTCGTACTCCGCGCTGGGCTCATTGAAGGGCCAGCAGGCAGGGCAGGTACCTGGAGCTAACTACAGCGCTGGCTGCATCTGCAAAGAAAGAAAAGTGTTGGACCACCAATTTCCCGCTCGGCCAGCGGTCTCTTCTAAACCTCCCATTCTCTCTTTTTGCAGTCCTTCTTCATCCACCTCAGAGCTCGACTGTTGCGAGGGCGTGTTGCGCATTTCTGGCAGGGCGCGGCCAATCTTTTCTCACTCGTCTGACCCTTCATTGTGTGCTCACTTTTTCTTCTCTCCTCTGGCTGCCGACCCGGAACTGCAAGCCATTTTCTCGGCTGTTCTTTTTGACTTCACGCCTCCTGAAGCCTCATTTTGGCTACCCACCTCCGCCGTCCTTTGTTCTGCCCGTCAAAGTCTTCGGGCCGGCTAGGGTTTGAGGCTCTCGCTCCTCGTTTCCATACTCTTATCCCTCACGACAAGCCATTGCGAGCGGCCTGGCGATCGCTTCAGCGTCGACAGTCGTTGCCTGCACCTTGCACACGCCAGTTGCCTTGAGCCGGCAGACCCGTTGCTATCATGACTTCGCAGCAGGTGCCTCAGCTCAACATCGACCGCTACGTTGTGATCCACGTTGCGACCACCTGCGATGAACACGGTGTATATGTGACCAAGGATTCCGCCGAGGTCATTGAGCTTGGCTGGATCCTCATTGATGCCAACTCTCTTGAGGAGGTTAGAAATCCGCTGTCCCCCCCTGCGCCACTACCGGGCCACAGCACCCACACGCAGCTGAAGGAAGCATCGCTAACCCGGCGGCCATCGCAATAGATCACCCACGAGAGCGTTCTTGTCAAGCCCGTCAACACTCCCATCACCCCACTATGCAGTAAGTTTTTTCAGTCCTGCGAATCGTCTTTTCTAGCATGTTTTGTCGCGCCTGCTTTCTCCCCCGCCATGTTGCGCGGCTGCAGAGAAGTTGGAGGGGGGCTAAAATTTCCTGAAAACTTCTCATGGTGAAAATCATTGAACACTGAGGCTGACCGAATGTTTTTTTTTTCTCTCACCTTGTTGCAGCGAGCCTAACGACTCTGACATGGGAACATGTTCGAAATGCCGGTACTTTTAGGGATGCCATTACCCGATTCGACACGTTTGCTACCGAGTACCTGACGTCCAAGAATCTCGACTTCGTCTTCGTTACTTTGGATGCTTGGGACCTCCGAGTTCAGCTCCCTCGAGAAGCTCGCGACAAGGCAGTCGTGCTGCCTCCTTACCTGCAGCACTCTCGCACCTTCGATTTGCGAACTGAATACCAACGCTGGCAACAGCACCACCCAGAGTCTCTGCCCTTTGGACCTTCCATGCTGTCAAACATCTGCGCCGCTCTTGAGGTCGAGCCAGTGCAGTCCAGCGCTCCTATTAAACACAATCTGCCTTTCCATCTCCAGGCTTTGGCTCCCGCCTCCCCCCGCCGTGCCATGGAAGAGGCCGTTACCCTGGCTCGAGTTCTCCGTGGTCTGATCCGCAAGTCTCAGCCGCCGCACGATCACCCCGACGTTCTGACCAGACCTATGGACGCCAGGGCGGATGTCCGGGCCTTCCTCTCTGAGAGAAGCAAGGTCCTGCACATGTCTGGTCTGCCACATGATACTACTCAGTCTGAGCTGGAGAGCTGGTTCACCCAGTTTGGTGGTCGCCCTATTGCGTTCTGGACACTTCGAACCCCTGAGCAGCACAAGCCCACCGGCACAGGTTTCGCCGTCTTCTCTTCCCATGAAGAAGTGAGTTTACTGCATGCATTCCCAGATACTGCCTCTAGCCATTTCTCCCTAATACATGACCTTCCTCCCCCTTTGAAGCTGATGGATGCTTCGTGTACTGACTTCAACTAGGCTGCCGAGAGCTTGTGCATGAATGGACGTGCACTGAACGAGAAGGCTATTGAAGTTTCCCCCTCTTCCAGCCGTGTGCTGGATCGCGCTCAAGACATTTTGACTCCTTTCCCTCCCAGTAAGAACCGCCCTAGGCCTGGTGACTGGACCTGCCCCTCTTGCGGCTTCTCCAATTTCCAGCGCCGCACAGCTTGCTTCCGTTGCTCTTTCCCTGCCGTTGGAAGTGGTGGACCTGGTGAAATGGGAGGACCTGGTGGCTATGGATATCAATACGGACCTCCAGCCATGATGCCCCCTCCGCACCACGGTGGTCACCACGGCCCTATGGGACACGGTGGACGTATGGGAGGTGGCGGTGTTGTGCCTTTCCGCGCCGGTGACTGGAAGTGCGGGAATGAAGTTTGTGGATACCACAACTTTGCCAAGAATGTATGCTGTCTTCGCTGCGGTGCCAGTCGCGCTGGTGCTGCCGTTGTTGCGGACTCTGGCTATCCTTCTCCCATGGACAATGGCTCACAGTATGGCATGAGCCAAGGATCAATGGGAGGTACGCCAGGTCCTGGCCCCTTTGGTTCCGGAGCATCTTTCGGATCCGGAGGCGGCTACGGCCAGCACTTTGGTGGCCCCCCTAGCCACTTTTTGCCCTCGGGTTTGGGTGGCGGCGCTGGCGGCTACCCGGGTTCTTTGAACTCTCAGGGCTTCCCTTCTGCTCCAGGCTCTCATTCTGCCGGCCCCTTTGATAGTAGGGCTGCAGAGGCGGCTTTTCAGTCAGCGACTAACGGTCCCGTCTCTGGTGGGCCCGGCAACAACTTTTACAACAACAGCGGCAACCCTGGCAACAATGAAAGCGACCCCTTTGCTTTCCTGAGCAGTGGTATCGGTGGCCTCACTGTCAGTGGCGACGCTCGCCAAAACGGTGCCGGCGCTACCCCAAGCAAGTCGCCCGTCTAATCGAGATGGGCAGACGCTTGTCTTTTAGATCATGATCTTTATCTCAACTAGTTATGTACCTTTCGGTATATCTTTTTTCGTTCCTATGTAACGACTTTGGAATGATGAACATAGAGCATTTGACCTTGGCAAATATCTTCTGGACCTGGCTTACATGCTGTTTCAAGGGAAAGGGGCTGGTGTGAATTCGGTTTGTTTTTTTGGAGGACTAGGACGGAGTGTCGGATATGTTTTAGGCGGGGCTGTGGTATTGTTTCGAGGGCTGGAAGACAAAAGTGAAATACACCACGGCTGTTTCTGGGTCAAGACGAGTCTTGTGGTACAAGCATTGCTGAGGAAAGTAAAATTTTGTTGGTTCTCTTTCGCGCTTTAAAGGGGGGCAAAACATGGTTCTTGGCAAGGGAAATACGGTTGTGTGGACTCGATTATCGGTCGGACGTGGCATTTTTTGCTGGAATCCTTTTGTCCCGGTGCTGGTGCATAGCGAAAGGGGGTGTAAGGGTATATCTTGGCCTTGATTTTGACTCAATTATCCAGTTCACAGGTGTCGGTTTTATCGCTCAGATTAGCCCAGGGGTCTTTTGATTCTTGCTTCAACTCTTTCTCCTTGGTACTTGCTTTTCTCTGGTCTGATTCTCTTAGTCTTTTTCCTTGTTATCTCCTTCTGTTTTGTCCATTTTGCAGTTGTGTCTCGTACCTTGTCAATCCTTTTCTTTTTCTTTTATATAGGACATTCTCTCTTCTCATATTGTACTTTTCGTACGCTCGTTTTCTTCTTTTCTTTCGTTCTTTCTTCTTCATCATTTCGGCGATCCGGAAATTTGGAAGAGCAAGGGTGTTCAAAGGTAGCAGCATTTTTGGGAGCGGGGGACTGGCGGGAGTTGGGACTGAATCGAGTTTTGTAAGGGAAACTTTTTTTGGGCAAATGAAATTTGGACGATGGGAAGGGAAATGGAAAGGGAAAGGGGGGGTTTGTGGATGGGGTGGTTGGCTACAAGGTTGATTTTGCTGAGTATGGGAATGCTCTGATGTTTGTTGTCCAAAGGGGGATGAATATTGGGCATGAAATTTTTTTTTATAAAAAAAAAGTAGAGTGATTTTTGAGGGATGGGGGGGATGTCCTAATATACTGTGTTATTGGCTTTTTACTTGTTTTTAAGTTTAATTATTATATGAGATGAGAAAAGTTTCGTGATTACTTTTGCATTTAGTGATGTTGAAGTGTGAAATCCAATTTGATATGGAGGTAAGTGTATAAGCTGTTTGAAGTGGAGTGTTACATTAAGGGAGATGACCGTCTATCACAGTCTGTCAGGATATGACCATGTTTTGTTGAATGCCGTCTTAGGTCTCGGGAATTTGTTGATGCTGTGGTGCTCGCTGATCCCTTGGCTAGGTACTATAGGATCATTATCAATCACATATGTCGAAAGGTGGTTGTTCGAGCCATGAGGTAACAGCAAGGATCGCAGAGCAGGTACACTTGTCTTTGTCTCTCTTGCTACTGTATTTTGAGTTATGCTTCTTCTTTATGGTGTCTTCATATGTCTCTCGCTACTGTTCCTCGTCTTTTGCTGGTATTATAACATTCTGGTTACAAACTAGGCTTTCAAGTATTCGAATGATGCAAAAATTTCATAGAACCTTTCCAAAGTGGCTGTTGTCGGGCAAGTGGCCTTTGCCTTTGTGTGTGCGTGCTTACCACGTTGTGTGTGTTTAAAATTTGCCCAATCTGGCATTATTTGCAAACTTACTTTGTAGTATTTTTAGATTTTGAGTCTAGCTTGTGCGCTAAGTGAAACTGGAGAGGGGAAAGAAACGATGGAGAGGGATTAAAGTACATGTACCCTAAAACAAATTTTCGCAAGCAGGCGAGAATTCTAAGCACTTTATCCCATCATGTTGCTGGAAGATTATATACGGCAGCAATTTCAGAAAGCCATATGAAAAACAGAAACTCACCATGGATATATTCATTTCTCTTAAGAGTCATGTTCAGACCTTAGGGAAGCGTTTCCCATAGATTTTGGGACGATGTCTTTGCAGGTATAGTAGCGCACAAAATCTTCAAACTTTTGTCATTCGTGGTCGCAGCACCACTTGCAAAATACTCTAGATGCATCTAGACACACCTATGCGATAACGGCAGGCAAAAGGATGGTCAAATCAACTCGGAAAAAAAAAATCGCATCACTTGCTCTTTTCTTATTCTCATCAAACGCAGCCGCCAAACACAGCTGCCCGGCGCATTTTGGTGATTACAAAGAAAAGCAAGCGATACGCATGCTTAGTCAGAAATGCACCGAAAATGGCCCCTTATAAGCGAATTAAAAAGGTAAGCTTTCGCCTTCGGGCATTTGGTCAATTTATAACGATACAGGTAAGGCTTAACTCTGCACTCCACAAGGTCGCAAGTTCGAATCGCTAATGGTTTAACAACAGAGAAGATTAGCATGGCCCCTGCACTAAGGATGACACGCTCAATCAAAGAGAAGCTAAACATTTTTTTTTATAAATTGTTTTTTGTATTTTTTTATGAAGTTTTTGTAGATTTTTTTTTTCTATCTGTAGTATCCTGTCTGTGGTGTTCGTGATGCCCTCCTCTACTGCGTCTCGATTGTCAGACTGGGCGGGCAGCTCTGGAGAATCTGTATACTCATATGGCCCTCAGAATTAAAACCAACTACTCTAAGCTACCACCATGTTATTATCGCCCTCGTCTTCTTCGTCATAAGCAACCTCCATATCATCTTCATCGCCATCACCATCGCCATCACTGTCTCCTTCATATCCATCTTCAGTATCATCTTCCTCCATTTCGTCATCCATCTCATCGTCCAAATCTTCTTCATCCTGTGATTCGGATGGCACACCAGGCTGCTGCTGCTGCTGCGAGGGTCGATTTCGCCTCTCTCTGATCAAATCATCCCAATCCCAATCATCTCCCGGATCGTGGTCCGGATACGAGCTCCAAGCCTGAGCCCTGACTTTCTCGTCTTCTCCAAGGTCTACGGGGATGCCACCCAGTATGGACTCGTTGACAAAATCTATCCAGCCCTGCATGTTGTCGACTTCGGGCACTGTAGATTCGTGATCTCTGGGCTGAGGAGGTACGATGAAACCGCGGTTGATTTCTTCGTCGAGGTCGAAGGATTTATCAGAACCAGAATCGGAGGCGCCATCCAAACTGCCGGCATCGTCGTCCGAGTTACCGCACCAGGCTTGGGCCCGCAGCCGCTCGTCTTCTTCATCAGAGAGGATCTCATCCTGCTGCTCGGGGGTGAGGTCGTCCCAGCGCTTCTTCAAAACATGCCTTGGCTTCCAGTGCTCCAGCGTATCAACGTTTGCAAGAGCATCGTCTTCATCCTCGATATACATCTCTTCCATGGAGGGCACAATGTTCTCTCCCGTCCTCCAATCAAAGTATCCCCAAACCATCATTTGGCTCAGGTGTTCGTCGAGGTGAAGCCCCCTGCGAACTGCTTCGATGGGAATAACTTCGTCTGGTCGAAGAAGATGTGCTCGGCCTGCTCCCCAGCCCTCCTTGTGCTGCTGGCCAATTTCCTGAAATGGGATGCCCTGGATATGGCTCAGCAAGTTTTCCAACCAGTAGCCGCCTTCGCTGAAAAAATCGAAGTCGTAACGCAGCTTGAGCTCCAGAATGTCGGAAAGCTTATTGAATTTCTTGCGGGTAAGAAGCTGCCATAATTTGTAAAGACCTTTCTGGCCCAGCATAAGCTGCACCAAGTCATATTTGCAAGGGCCATAGACGGGGTCATTAAAGAGCATGCCCAGCTTGATGATGAACATTTGCATGTTATAGAGGTCGACATCTTTGAATAGGTGCGTCATTCGTAGCATCGCCTGCCTCTGGTGAGATGTAGAAATGTCCATGAGAAGCCAGAGCCGCAGCAGCGAGTGATGCATCGTCGTCGGCATGCGATGACCGCATCGAGCCATGATGGCGAGAATCTCCTTGCAGTACTTGTCCCGACCCAGGACCAGCTGCAGATACTTGAGTCCAGGCACTTTGCGAATCTTGCTGTCCTTGGTCGGCGACGTGGTCATGCCCTGCTTCAAAGCCATCCAAGTTCTTCTCTGCGGATCGTCAACAAGATGCCTGGCGTAAAGCTGGTAGTGGAAAATGCGTCCCGCTTCTGGCGCCCTGTGTTCGATCCACGTGCGGATGCTAGAAAGAAGATAGACGTTGACGACGGAGTAAAAGGGACGATTTGCGAGACAGAGGTTCAGCACGTCCCTGCCGTTGAGATGTTTGCCCAGCTCAACAGCAAGCTCAACGTGCTGGCATAACACTGAGATGAGGTCTCTTCCAGTATAATCAAGGCGCGATTTCATTGCTTTCGGCGCCTCGTATGGATCAGTATTGTCAAAATGGTCTTCGATATCGAGGTCGTCAAACTTGAACCTCTTCTTCTTCATGCCATTCACTTCCACTTCTTCAATAGTAATTCGGTTGATGCCCCTAAGAAGTCCAACATGGTCGGCATCCATCTCTGCGCCCGCGTCGCCCTCCATCCCAGCATCGTACTCGTCGAGATATTCATCTATTCCCGTCAAATCGATCCCCATATCCTCTAGCATGACGGCACGCTCGCTCTCTGCCCATGCATCGCCTTTAGAGTCCTCGGCCTCTTCCAGGGCTCGCTGCCGAATATCCTCGGCAAGCTGATGAAAATCATCATTATTTGTTTGCTGGCCTTTGCTCGATCCAGCCTGCCCGTTTGCGGCATCCATTTTCTTTCTTGTTGGCAATATGCGACGAGGTGATGTTTTACTTCTTGAGTTCTTGGTTAAGCTCATCCAAAGCTAAAGGTGCATAGAGAGACTCACATATAATGAACTTGCTTTCGTTTTCTTGTTACGTACCAAAAAGATTGTGAGAACCATGCGGTTGAAGATATGTGATGCAGATGTGAAACGGCCAAGAGATAGGTATCGACCCAGCAACAATTAGTAAATGAATAATGCAGCTCCGGGCGCCTGTCCATCGACTCTGCCAGCTGCCTCACAGTTGTTACAGAAGCGCACCAATTCTTTTCAAGAATTTCGACAAACTATATTAACTAGTACGGTTGGATAGCTTTTGCTCTTGATAAGTATTTGTAATTCTTAATCGTCCTTTATGGGCAATTTGCTTTCCATTTCTTCGCCAGACTCTGCCTTGATACTTGCAGATTTCGACCTGACACCCGCGTTTTCGCCTTCGCTGACCTTTGAGGAGGCGTTACCATTTGATCTAGTTGTCCAATGCGAGTCTTTGCCCTCGGCGTCATCAGACTCGTAATCGATTCTATTAGATTGGACCGTCTTAGACCTAGCCCTCCAATCGAGAAGTTGCATGAACTCCCGCATCCCCCCTTCTTCGCCTTCATCCTATGAAGACCGACTCTTCTCCCAGAACTTCCACCTCATCTATCGGTCAAGCTCATCAACTGGCAAGTCGCCATCATCTTTTCCAACAATAGATTCCGCAACTTTCCAAATTTGTAGCAGGTTGTCCTCGGCGGCACTGGCAACCAACCAAGGCTCATTGGGGTTCCAGCTGAAGTCGGCCAAGTGGTTTGTATGGCCGCCATGCATGAATAGCCTAGAATAGAATGAGTGGTTAGCATGCCGAAAATAACAAAGAACTTGAATAGGCATGATTGCAACTTACAGCTCAGGAGGGCCGTCGTCCTGGTCATCGGGAAGTTGTTCCTCACCGACGCGAGACAAGTCCCAGAAGATAATTCTCCGGTCATAACTGCCACTTCCCAAGATGCCGGCTTCGGTGGGATGCCAGGCGAGGGATGTTACCGCGTCATTATGGCCCTCGAGGGTGTGCACCTTCTCCTTCACATTTCGTAGATCCCAGATTCCGATCGTCTTATCGGCGGAAGCTGTGGCCACAAGGACTTCAGACTTTGGATTAAATGCTAGCGCATTGATGGCATCCAAATGGCCTTGCTTTGCGACAACAGCAGCCTTATGCATCTCGCTCTGTCGCACATCCACGATTTGCAGGGTCTGGTCGTCCGATACGGAGCCGATGAAGTTCTTAGAAATAGGGTGGTATTGAACGTCGTTGACAATTCGGGCGTGATGAGTATATCTGCGAGTAGGTTGCAATATCCTTGAGTCGGCTTCAAGAAGCTTCAAATCCCTATGTTTAAAGGCAAATTAGCCACGAGGTCCTAAGATTCCATCAAAGGCTTTACTCACCACAAACACATGGTCGTATCCTCACTGCCTGAAGCGAGGCATCCTTCCTCATGGGGATTCCAATTGAGGCCAAAACCTTCCTCCTTATGGCCGATTAATTCAATCTGTGCGTTCACTTTGCCTAGCGATGCGGGTTGTAAGGGGTGCTTTGTCCGATCAAAGATGAGAATTCTGCCATCAACACCAAGAGTGGCGATGATGTCTGGGTTTTGAGGCTGATAGCGAGCCTTGTTGACCTCTCCCGGATGCTCAATTCTTTGTACAATATCGCACTTGAGGGCAGCAACATCGCCTGCCTTTCCGTAGCCTCCAATCTCGCCTCGTTCCTCGTCATAGTCGTCAGGGTTCGGTACTACAGCTTTGGGTATCTGGACATCGGCGATTTGGAGCAAGTTGGCGCTGCCGTCAGAGGTGTGGGTTCCGAGCAAGAGACGGTGCATGCGATAGTTTTTGCCCTCTGGCTCTTTGACGTCAGGAAACCATTGGACTGTTAGAGTTGGCCAAGTCAGGGCCGTTCTGAAACCCAGGCGTTAGAGCGCAGATCCAATCATATGACCGCCAGAGAAGAAACTCACCCAAGAATCATGTCGTATAAGAATGGACTGTTTTTCTTCCATGTTTTGTACTCTAGGATGAGATCGAAATCAGATCAGATGCCCCGCATATCGAGAGCCAGTATCAGCATAATGGAAGCTTACCCTCATTGATGAGACGTTCCTCTTGGTCGTCTTCCTCGTCATGAACCATATCGACTGCAGGCGCATATCAAAATTAGCTTGGGATTGCTGGAGCCGGCATGGCATTGAGCCAGATTCAGTCTTGACAAACCATCGGGAGGGTCGAGCTCAGAGCCTTGAGGCGCCATGGTTAGATATCAAAGATCCTTTGGCGAAGAAGCCCGATGAATGCCTGTTGAAAAATATCCGTTTGGAGAACAAAAAGAAGATGTGGTAATTCGCTAAGAAGGAGCTCCAAAAGCAGATTCAAGAGGTCGAGAGAGCGGAAAAGGCTGGCCCCGGCGGAAGCTTGAAAAGAATAGCCGGGTCGCGTCGCGCGTTAAGTGACGAGAGGCTGGCAGGGCGTGTCGTTAGCGAGCAGCAGCTGAGCCTTGCCCGCCACCCCCTCCCCTCAATCCCTCACAGCATGGCCTAGTCGCTAGAGTCATTCGCCGCAGCGCAATTGTCATAGAAGCTGCCTCCAGCATCAACTCGCTCCTTTCCACGCCGCTCATCGCTTTCAGCAATCTCTCCGTCCGCCCAGCTCCAGCTGCCTGGTAGCGCTTTTGTTGTATCAGCTACAGGATCATTAGCTGCAGCAGCTCCGCGGCTCTCTTTTCCGTCGTGTTCGTTAGGGTTGCTTTCTTCTGTCCTGTTACGACCTTGGCGCGAATTGGCTGAATCTGCCAGCTTTGTGACTTTCGGTTGGCATTCCAGCGCTGCTCAGTATACGAGCCATCTTTCCCCTTTCTATTCGACATATAATTGTTATATATATCTGCGGTGCATAGCTGCCCGACTGCCGGCATCATGGGGTTTGTTTCATGACTGCGAAAATCTGCGTGCTAACAATGCTGACGTATTTGACCTACAGTGTTCCCAAGTTCTTCAGATGGCTCTCGGAGCGTTATCCGGCCATCTCGCAAGTAATTGCGGAAAATCGGATTCCAGAATTCGACTGCCTCTATGTAGGAGAGAGCCTAGAATGCCCCTTGTTGCGACAGCGTGCTAATGCCTGTATTCTCCTTTTAGCTTGACATGAATGGTATCATCCATAACTGTACACACAAAGATGCTGGCGAGGATACCACCTTCCGACTCAGCGAAGAAGAAATGTTTATTCGCATATTCAACTACATCGAACATCTGTTTGGAAAAATAAAGCCTAAGAAGCTTTTCTTCATGGCAATTGATGGAGTTGCTCCTCGTGCCAAGATGAATCAGCAGCGTGCTAGACGTTTCCGAACGGCTTTGGATGTCGAGAAAGCTCGCGACAAGGCGATCCGTGAGGGAGTAGAGCTCCCAAAAGAAGAGCCTTTTGACAGCAATTGCATCACACCAGGTTCGCCGTGTCCCTGCACAATCTCCTCATTTCATGTTCTGACCCTCCAATCTTCTTTCTAGGCACCGAATTCATGGCGAAGCTGTCACAACAACTCCGATACTTTGTAAACAAAAAGATTTCGGAAGATACCGATTGGCAGGGATGTGACGTTGTTCTATCTGGGCATGAAGTTCCAGGTGAAGGAGAGCATAAGATTATGGAGTACATCCGAAACGCAAAGGCACAGCCAAACTACGACCCAAATGTCCGACACTGCCTTTACGGTCTTGATGCCGACTTGATTATGCTTGGACTGCTAAGCCACGATCCTCATTTCTGCCTACTGCGTGAAGAAGTTACGTTTGGACGAGCCTCCAAGACCAAGTCAAAGGAACTTGAACATCAAAACTTCTATCTGCTCCATCTCTGTATTGTGAGGGAATACCTGGAAATGGAATTTCAGGAGCTTCAGAATAAAGGTGCTTTAAAGTTCCAATTCGATCTCGAAAGAGTCATTGACGACTTCATCTTGATGGCATTTTTCGTTGGAAACGACTTTTTACCAAACCTTCCTGGATTGCATATTAACGAAGGCGCTCTGGCGAACATGTTCAGAATCTACAAGTCTGTCCTTCCACAGTGTGAAGGCTACATCAACGAGAACGGTGTTATTCACCTAGACCGTTTGCAACGTCTGCTCGACGAGCTCAGCAAGACAGAGCTGGATAACTTCGAATATGAAGTATCTGATCAACAGTGGTTTGCATCCAAACAAATGGAGAATAAACTTGAACAGAAAAATGGAGCCAAGCCGAGATCGAAAAAGAATAATCAACTAATCATGACTTCGTTTCAGAGAGATTTATGGAAACAAAAGATTCGTCCTTTCATCTCAAACAGATCCCAGCAGCCACTGGACTTGGGATCAGATCTCAAGGCTGCGGATCGAAAGTTTGCTCAAGATCTTGCAGAGTCCATGCACTTGCAGTGGTCTACCAAGGAAGACGAAGAGGGCAATCGTCGCCTTGTAATCGCATTTCCCCCTAAGAAGGAAACCAGCGACGGCGAGGACGATGACGAAGAGGAAGGAAACCTCGCAGCTTATCGTGTCATGAAGTCCTATGACAAGGCGACCATTGCTGATGTTTCCCCCGAGGATGCTCAGAAGCAATATGAAGAGCTATACCAGCAAAAATATCAAGGCTGGAAGACCAAATACTATCTGCAAAAGTTTGAAGAATGGCCTCAGGACAAGTATGAGGAAGAACAAAAGAGGCTCTGCGAAAATTATGTACAAGGCCTACAATGGGTGCTTTATTACTACTACAAAGGCATTGCCTCGTGGCCATGGTTTTATGCCTATCACTATGCACCACTCACGTCGGGTAAATATTGCTGCATCATGCTTACCATACTATGGGGCGTGTTTACTAACGAATACTGTATCTAGATGTTACCAAGGGCCTCGGTGCCGACCTGAACTTCAAGCTAGGTCAGCCCTTTAAGCCCAACGAACAACTCATGGGCGTGTTACCAGACCGAAGCAAGAAAATTGTGCCAGCAGTTTACCACGACCTGATGACCAATGCAAACTCTCCCATCATTGACTTCTATCCGCGAGATTTCGAATTGGATATGAACGGCAAGAAGATGGAGTGGGAAGCAGTGGTCAAGATCCCATTCATTGACGAGGCGCGACTTCTCGCTGCCATGGCGCCCCAAAATGAGCTTCTTAGTGACGATCAAAAAGCACGAAACGGCTTTGGGGTTCCCCTCAAATTCACATACTCTCCCGAAGTCAACTTTACTTATCCTTCTCCACTTCCTGGAGTTTTCCCAGAGATACAGTATTGTCATTGCATTGAGAATATCTTTGATTTGCCAAATATTGAGGGACTCGAATATGTCTCTGGGTTGACGAATGGAGCTCTGGTGAATATAAAGGCTCTTGCTGGATTCCCGACGCTACACACATTGCCACATACGGCACAGCTAGTTGAAGGATATGGAGTCAATGTTTTCCAGCAAGACAGCAGAAATCCAAGTGTCATCGTGACTCTTACCGATACGGAGATGCGGACAAAGGTTGAAACATGGAAAAAGAAGCTGGGGCAGCGCTGCTTCGTTGGCTATCCATTCATTCAAGAAGCCAGAGTTATCAAGGTACAGGATGAGCTGTTTACCTACGAGCTGGCTGAAGATGAAGAAACTGTTGTTACCAAAGATCATGACAACAGAGCAGCTTCCGATTATGCAAAGGAGGCCGAATTTTTAGAGAACTGGCATGCCAAACGCCTGGGAATCACGGTTGGCCAGGTTGAATGCCTTGTTCATGTTCATATGCTCAAGGGTCTCATCAAAACGGAAGACGGTGCTTTAATCAAGGAGTACGCTGAAAACCCCAGCTTGCGCAAGGTCTACGCGTCCCAAACTATTGTGGAAGAAGTAGTCAACGAAGACGAACGTTTCATCGAGAGACCAGCGCTACCGATTGAAGAAGAGTTCCCTCAGGGCACACGAGCCTTCTTTTTGGGAGAATTCGCATACGGTCGCCCCCTAGAGGTGACTGGGCATGTTAACGGCAAGGCGAATATTATGGTCTTGGTTCCCAAGAATAAGGAGCCAGAAATTACCAAGAAGATCATTTTCCAAGCGGAACGCTCCAACCCGTATACACCATCCTTCGCAATCGCCAAACAGCTAGGCGTCCACCCTCTCATCCTGAGCAAAATAACGTCATCTTACCAAGTTATTAGTGCTGCCGGTCTGAAGCTAAACTTGGGCCTCAATTTGAAATTCGAGGGCCGAAAGCTCAAGGTCCTAGGATACTCACGCAAATCGGAGACGGGATGGGAGTTCTCTGGTCTGGCTGTGAAGCTTATTGCTGATTACATGGTTGCATTCCCCGACTTCTTTGCGGCGATTCAGAGAGAGCCGCAAAGAAGCGAGATTTCTGAGAGTGACCTGTGGAGCGACCTAAGCGTTGCTTCGCAGCGGATCAAAGACATAGTAGCGTGGCTAAAGAAACAAGAGACGAGCAAATTTGAGCGAGTCCCCCTTGACGCTGAGCAGCTCGATTCGGGAATTGTCATGGCTCTTGCTACGGCTGGAGAACAGCTGCATCAAGCGAGCATGGAGGCGACTGCCAAGACGCTCAACTCTGTGCCTCGTACAGCTTTGTTGAAACCGGCAGATGCGGAGATGGTGCTAGGCAACCAAACGTTCAAGTTAGGAGATCGGGTTACTTTCATTGCCGCTGCCGGCAAGGTCCCACTTGGAACTCGGGGAACTGTTGCCGGTATCTCTCGCACGGCAACTGCTATTCTCTTGGACGTCGTGTGGGACACCTCCTTCATGAGTGGCACGACTCTCGGCGAGAGAGCCCCAATGTTCCGTGGGCAGACTGTTTCATCATCGACGGTGCTGAATATTACAAATTGGCAAGTCGTCTCTGCATCATCAAAATCGCGACAGAGGAAATCTGTTCCAGCCACGGGATCGGTCGGATCATACGGCTCAGTCGGTGTTACACAGTACAAGGACGCCCCAGCTCCTCCTGCCCTCCGAGGCGGATGGCGTGGAGCTGCTACGGGCGATTCAGCTTCATCAGGCCGTGGGCGGAACAGCCCTGGTCGCGGCGCTCGAGGAGGCAAGCCAAATCTATTGCACAGCGGACTTGTTTATCGGCCGGGCCAACAAGGGGGTAACCCAAGCGGCGACAATGCGAACAATGGAAATCACGCTCCCAATGGAAACGTCAATGGAAGAGGAGGAAGTGGCAGAGGCCAAGGGCGTGGTCGAGGCAATGGCGGCAACAGAGGCTCGCTTGCTCCTCAGACTGGACCTGGACGAGATCAACCAGCCCTCTATGGCAACGTGCCGCCTCCCGCAAACCTTGAGACATCGCGAGGCGGCCGTGGTCGTGGTCGAGGAGGAAGGGGACGTGGTGGACCCACTCCCAATCGTGGCCGTAGCGGTGCTGCCGCTCAGCAAGCATAGGAGCTTGCGTCTATTGATATTCCAGTGGGTGCAGAGCCGGTGGAGGTTGCGGAGCGTTGGAATACCCTGTGATTGGCTTATGTACCTAGCTACGACGGCAAATGTTCATATTGCGGCCACATGCGGCGTGCCATTACGGGGGTAGCTGTTTATCTAGCTGTAGTAGAGTCTTGTGCCATTGTAGTATGCCAACGAATAAAAGAAAAGGAGTAAACCTCGAAGGTCCTCACCCAGCGTGACTCATTATTGCTTTTTATTTTCGGTTCAGGATTTAATCTCATTTCATCTTATTTGATACTATTGGAAAAACAGGCTGGCATCTCAAGGCTTCTTGCTCTTCTTGCTCTTTGTGCTGCTCTTATCCTTCGTGTCTTTGCCCTTGGTATCCTTGGACTTGAGGGCAGGGAGCGTAAAGAGGTCACTGACGCCACCGCTCATGGCATTCCACATGGCAAGCGGCTTATCCATATCCCATGTCAAAATACCGACCCAAGGCTGTACGTTGTAATGCAACTTTAGAGTTACGTCGGCAGTCTCGGCGATCTTGCCGCTAGGGTGGGTGATTTGATACTTGGGCTTCTGATTCTTGAGCTTGAGCAGTCCTCTAATATCATATATCGATTAGCCTTTGGAGTCAATTGCATCTGAATAGGAGTTTTTCTTCTGACGATTACCTTTCAGGCGCAATGCTCTTGCCCTCAGCGCTCCTCTTGAGCTTCTTCATAGCCACGGGACCGATGTTCTGTAAGTGGTCGGCACTGGGGTTGGTGATGATGCTATCCCAGATAACGGCAGTGTTGTTGATGCCGCCAGGGCTCGTCCAGTCTGCCGTTACATAGACGAAGAGTTGCTTTGTATTCCATGTGAAGAGTGAGGAGAGGTCGGCTTCCAGGGAGAAGCGAATGATGGCATACTCTTCCTTCTTCGAAGAGTAGTAGTGGGGTCGACCCTTGACACTATATTTTGCATTGCACAATAGCAAATTGGTTAGATGAAAAGAAAAAATCAGAGTAAATTATTTCGGGTTTGCTTTGCATACACTTGGATGTTGTCGGTTTTTATGACGCCGCTGGGCGTGCGAGCGGAGCCGAGATCTGTGGCCGCGATGAATGCGCCCAGGACGAAGGCGACGGTGGTGAAGAAGCCAAAGACATTCTGGAGTCGGGTGAAGGAGCTGTGCATGCTGGGCGATTTGCTGCTGGCGCCAGCTGAAATAATGGATTCGGTTTATTATCGTCAATCAATGCGGATCCAACGCTGTAGAGAGAAGTGAGGCTGCCGCATGGATGGGCATGCGCTGGTGTTGGTATCACCGAGCTTGCAGTAGGTTTATAGCAGCTGGCCTTGGCTTAACAGGACACGTCGCTGAGGGACCGCCAATTGTCAGCCTTGCAGACGGGGTCTTGCTGTTCTATTGGGCAATCGGAAGAAGGCTGTAGGTAGGGCTAGGCCCAATTGAGCGCTAGTAGCGGGACCCCTACAGGGTACTTGGCAGATCCAATTCAACTGCGAGAGGCGAGAGACGACTTACATGGGAGGGCACAACAAACAGTAGATGTAAAACGGAGCTTTAAGGCATAAGAGTAGTATGATGGTCAAGAATTGTACAGGCCTTGAACCTGCCTCTTGACCAATATAGCTCTCGCGTTTGTATCTCTCTGCATTACCGAGCATAAGTAGTGCCTAATAGATCGTCCACCTACTCTCGCTTACACGTATTGACGTACAAGTACTGTCTGTACCTTTGGTCTAGCAGTAAAAGGGCAATTATCGACCCTGCTTAGCCCACCCTCTTTTTTTCCTGCTTCCCACCGAGATACTTTGGTCCAGGCGGAGGGTTGCCCTGCATGGCATGTAACCCGATCGCACCTGTTCCTGTTCTGTATTAGCAAGCAGAGCTGTATGTCCCGTCCGTCGCCGTCTGAAGCAGCCCTTGTCGCCTCTCTCTCCGGCGGTGATCGGTGCAATTGCTTCTTACATACCGCCCTCGCCTCCCCGCTCCCCTCGTCTCCCTTCCACCGAGTCAGGATTCCGAGAGCCCTCTCTGCGGGCTGGTAGGCATCAAACGCATCCGGCTCGGGTCGCTCCAATGCGATAGACGCCCAGCGCCCTGTTGCTTAGATCAATAGCATCCCTAGAGCGCTGCGTGAACAATGCGACGACCACAACAGTCGACGACGCCATGTCCCGCCGCGACGACGACATATCGCCCAGCGTGACCCCAGGCGTCCCAGGCGGTGCTGCAGATCCAGAGGCAAGTTAAAGAGAGAGCGCGCGCAAGAATACTGTTTCCCAGCAGCAGCTCCTCATAATGTGCGCGACCGCTTCATCCATCCCAATGGCTGCCTTGACGCCATCGCCTCGGTTGCTTGTCGCCTGAAGACTACCTGCCTCTAGGTAGTCTGCATGCCCTGTGGAGGCCCGAACGAGGCGCGCGTAGGCCCGAACGCGCTGTGACGCAGCGGGCTTTTGGCCACTAAACTGCGCCAGCTCACCACGCCTCGTTGGCGCCATGGACCGCTGTGCCCGCTATGAATTTTTGCTTTGCGTTGGCCGCGGGCCAAGTTTCCCTTATCGAGCGCCTCCACTAATGATGCCTGGAATATACCCAGATCCGACCTCCAACATCATCGTCGCCAACCGTCCGTGAACATGTGCAACAAGAGCCTGTAGCTCTCGGGGCCTCAAAGTAAGCCCGTCGCCTCTCCCTCTTGCGCTTCTGCACGATACGATCCCCCAGGCATTTGCTGAGCCGGACTAGGCTACCCAAATCGGCGCCGCGCATCGCTAGCCGAAGCCCTATCGAGGCTGCTGAAGAAAAATTCCCTGTCGGTCACGCGGAAACGGGCAGCGATCCGAAGCCATCTCGAGAAAGCAGCAAGGCGACGAAAACCCGATGGGAGTATGTCGTCACTCTTATAATTCTATGCTGCCACATCCCGTTCATGCTGGGCCCCAGCGCTGACTTGCAAAAGCCCGTTTGCTCGCTATCACTCCAATGCACACTCGTTCCCGGATTATGTGTAAGATTCAATGCCCATCCGGCAATCTCTTTTTTGGAACCCTCGCCCGGTTACTAACTTACTCTAGGGAACCAAAACGCAGCATTACCATGGGTCCGGAACGGCTGGTGAGTGATGATGCTATGAGTTGATCACGCTGGTCGGACTACTGACAAACGTCCGAGCAGAAACAAATTAATGGAGCGACCAGGCCAGTCAATACGCTCAGCGTGAGGCGACACGAGTCCCTCAACGATGCAGATGCCCCAGCAAGCAAACGCCAGAAGAAGGATATCGTTCGAACGCACGACACGACAGCGAGCCCGTATTTCCACAGACCTAAGCCATCGAAGAGTAGCGATATCCGAGAAACGCACGTGGAGGGCTCGCATGACGATATATATGACATTAGAAGTATTTCAAGCGCAGGAAACACAAGCCTGGGCGCATTAGGCTTGGACGAATATCGCCACACCCAACCGCCTATCAGAGGAAAGAATAAAGGGAGGCGAAGGCGAAGCCAGACTTCATCGAACTCTGTTCACCAAACGCAGAGCGATGCTGTTGGCACCAAACTCGACGGGTACCAAGCTCCCGGTCCTCAATCTCCGAATCGAAATCGATTACCCAAGGATATAGACAGCCCGGATGTCCTCGCGTCCGAACAACGGCCATCGACGGTAACAAATGCAGGCTTTGGCGCCTCTCGATTTTTCAAAAGAGATCGGCCGCATCGCCTCGCAGAAAACAGTCGCCCCCAGATTAAGCGTCAAAAGCCTTCGACGGTCAAAGAGCCTATCGACGTCTCAGAAGACGAACTCCAGGCCGATTTTGCAAAATACACCACATCGAACGACAGCAAAAATACGGCATCAAGAACTCCCGCTCATTTGAACCACCAGAAAAAAGCTACCATGCGAGGAGATATCCACCCTACGGTTTTCAAGACTTCATCGCAACGACAGGCGCGATCTGACGACATGGCCATAGTCCGAGCGGTTTGTGGGAAATATATCTACGAGCGCGGCGACAATCCCGAAAAGGTGTTTTTGCGCCGAGAAGACAAGGATGGCAGAAGGCTTGAAGCCATACTTGCGAATGGCAGCGTCGCAAAGGAGCATTCTTGGCTAGGCATTGATCTGGATCAAGTTTCTTTTTATGGATATTCTGAACCGTCAAGTCGCTATGGCTACATAATGCGTTCGAACAAAGGGGATGCAGGTCCGAAGCTTTATCTGGAATTCGAAAGTATCAACAAGACCAAGGATTTCTGCGACCTTTTAAGATCTGCGAACGTTCTTCGGAGATACATGTATGTATCAGATGCTTTAATAAGGCGATCAAGAGGCTAACATAATCTCTGCAGCGAGGACCTAGGAAAGAAGGCTGAAAAGGCATTTGATGACGCGAAGAATTGGATGGCTTCCAATATAGCCTCTTCTAACATAGCCTCTAACGAGGATTATAAAAAATTGAGCCAGCTTTTTTCCACAGACGAGAAAGAAAAGGTTATCATACCAAGATCTTCCAGTCCGGATCGACACCCAGGGTCATCACGTGGAAAACTGAAAGACGTCCTAATACAGTCAGCTCAAGATGCAGAGTTTTCTAAACCTGCCCCTCGACTAGAAGAACATCTCGATCTCGACCTACGACGATCTACGAGATCATCTGCTCCGGCTACGCGTCCCCGTCTGCCATCTCCTGACGCTTGGTCAAAATCACATCCAGACTGGGAAAAATCATGGCCAGCACCGCTAATATTCCCCGAAACCGGCAAAAATAGAGCGACGGTGGACAAAATTGACATCCCGAGGTTGAACGAGAGCGAGTTCCTAAACGACAACCTCATCAACTTTTATATTCGCCATCTTCAATTCAGGCTGGAAAAGGAAAGGCCCGAACTACTGCGCAAAGTCTACTTCTTTAGTACTTTCTTCTTCGAGAAACTCAAGTCTACAAAAGGCAAGATAAACTACGACGGTGTCAAAGCTTGGACAGCCAGAGTAGATTTGCTCTCTTATGATTACATCTTTGTGCCTGTCAATGAGCATACTCACTGGTATCTGGCTATCATTTGCAATCTTCCTAACGCAGCTCAGGCCTCTTTTCCCGAAAGCAAAGATCCAAAATCTTCGGATGGCTCAGTTGATAATGCGATGGAAATGATAGATGCGCCCGAGTCTCCAAGATTGGCAACAGTCGAAAGAGATTTGACTGATATTTCATTAGAAGACGTGGAAGCAGCGGTAAAAAAAGACGCGGATGGCTTCGTTCCATCCCACCGCACAGCCACACCGTCTACGCCGTCCTCACCCCCTAGAAAGCGGAAATTTGCAGGGTCTACCCCATCAAAATTCGACCCTACGCAACCCAGAATCATCACTCTTGATTCTCTTGGAAGTCCGCACGCTCCAACAATCAAAGCTTTGAAAGAATATCTCGTTGAGGAGGCGAAGGCGAAGAAGGGCATTACCTTGGAGACTATTCCTACCGGCATGACAGCTAGGGGTATCCCAGAACAGAACAACTTTTGCGATTGCGGAGTTTTTGTTCTAGGATATATGGAAGAATTCTTGATAAACCCAGACGAGGCAGCTCGCAAGCTCTTCTTGAAAGAAGAACTTGGCTGGAACATTCGTCCATCTGACCTGCGGAATCACATGAGAGAGCTGCTATTTAAACTTCAAAATGAGCAGCAAAAACGACACCTACAACAGCGAGAGGAGAAGAGGCTCCTTAAAGCGAAGAGAAAGGCAATGACCGAATCCAGCTCACAAGTATCTTCGCCGCCTAAGCCGGCAGCATCTCCACCTCCAGCACCGAAATTGCCCGGTTCTTTCCCCAGCGAGTCGCCGGAAAGGAAACCAATGTCAGGGACTGAGCCATCTTCATCAGAACCTATACAAGAGGCTGATAACTTGAAAGACAGTAAATTGAATGGCGAGATATTGCCTGAAGATGAGCAGAGATTCAAAGCGCTCTCAGAGCCCCAATTTATCAGCTGCTTATCAGATGCGTCAGGCGCCAGCCCTACCATCACCAAGGGTAAAATCCCCCCTATCGCTTCCACAAAAGCGCCCGAAGAGCCACAGTTCATTGGCTGCTTATCAGATGGAGAAAGTGCTAGCTCCAATCTTCCAAAGAGCAAAATCCCCCCCAGCGATTCTTCTTTAGCCTCCAAACGCAATGGCTACCACGGTAAACTGGTCGTGGAGTTGAAAGCCGTCAATGGACGCGATAGAAGCCAATTTGAAGAATCTATTTTGGACGATGACGACGACGACTCAGTCCAGTTTATAAAGCAGCAATCAAGCGCTTCATCTGAGAATAACGAGACCACGCCAAAACCAACAGAGACAAGTCGGAATCGACATCCATCTGTGGAGCTTATTGGAGAGACAAGGAGTCGACCAACGTCGTCCCATATGCATGACCGACAGACTAAATCCTTCACCAGCGCTATACCACGAATGAAAGCGCGAAAAGACATTAAATCTGATGATACCCGAAGAGGGCCAAGATACGAGGGCATTGACAGGTCGACGACAATATCCTAATACATACGTACAAATTGTCTTTTTTTTCTTTTTCCCTTTTGAGTTTTTCTCAGTCCTCTAGTATTTCATTGCGAGAAGTACATATACCGCGAACGAAGCGCAGTTGTGGGCAAGCTTTTGCTTGCTTCGTTTGTTGATTTTTTGGTCCATACCAAATGCACGTTGTGGTTTTAGGGAGAAATACAGTCGGGCATAGCAAATGGCGTCTAATTCTTGTTTTTTTTTTTTCTTACGGTTTTGTAGGGATTCAACTTTTCCCGAATTTCGAGGGGCATTTCGGTTCGTTGATTTATTCAACATCTCTCGCGTGGCTTGATAGATGATGGATCTAGTAAATACTATACGTGGCTGGTAATATTGTTATGCTAGTGAAATACATATAAACGGAATAAAGACAATTGATTTTATAAATATGACCCACGGTGTTTCACCACAATGTGTATGCATACATTTTATGTGGTCTTCAAGATGTGTATTATATACAAGAACCAATGCTGTGTACAAACGATCAGACTTTGCTATTATATGTAAACCTCTAGACTGCTGCCCATGCTTTCTTTTCACTGTTTTTTATCATCGCCCTCTTCGTTTTCTTCTTCTTCTTCTCCTTCCGATGAATCATGTACGCCATTGGTTGATGCTCTTGGAATCTTGGGAATTTCAAATATCACGCCACCGTTTCTTACTCCTTTTCCTTTGCTCACGCTCCATCTTGCCAGGCGGTGGTCTTTGGCCACGGCGGCGACAATGCAGACGCCTTCTTCGCCGCGGTCGCCACGCTCGAAGATGGCGATGTCGTTGATGATTCCGTCGACGGATCGGTAGTGAGGCTTGTTTTCGCCGTCGTTGGATGCGCCGTTGGTCTGGTGGTCCTCTGAAGAGCCGCCGAGGGTGGCGACGAGATCAATCTTCTTCTTATCCTCGGACAGCTGCCATATCCGCACGTGGCCATCCCAGCTGCCGCTGATGATAACGTCGGAATAGGGGATGGTTTTGAGGGCTGTGATCCAGCGAGGGGTAGGCGCGGGAACGACCTTGTGATCCGGGCTCACCTCAGCCGAGGCGGCTTCTGGCTCCAGCGGCGGGTCGAGGCCGTGGGCGAGGGGCTGGATGTAGACGGGCTTCTTCTTCGTCACGTTCCAGAGGGCAAGGCTGCCGTTGTCGCTGCCGGTGACGAAGAGCTCGTCGTCGATCATGGCGATGCGGTCCATGCTGCCCTCGTGGAGGAGCGATCGCGGATTGACACCGGGCTGTGGCTTTTTGTCTACCGCGCCGCCGCGGAAGACGAGCTGCGTTTCTTCTGCCACCTTCCATAGGCGGGCGGTTCTGTCGCGGGCACCGACACTGACGCATCGCTCCTGGGCGAGAGCATCGATGTCGATCACCTCGTCTTGGTGGCCGAACAAGGTCTCGATGTAGGCCAGCTCGTCCAAGCTCCAGACCTTGACTGTTCGGTCCTTGGAGGAGGAGTAGAGCTGGTTCGTGCCTCTTCGGAAGGCAAGCCCCGTTACGGCGTCACGGTGGTGAGTAAAGACCTTGATCGGTTTCAGGGTCTCCGCATCATGGACGATAATCTTCTTATCCTGGCCTCCAGTGACGACGAATTTGCCGTCAGAAGAAGCAGCAACTGCCAAGATATTCTTCGTGTGCCTCTTGTAATCCTTGTCTTCTTTCTTGTTCGCATTTCCCTTGATCCACAGCTCCAGCTCCGGCCGCTTTTTAGGTGGCGCCGGTGGCTTCTTCGGTTTCCGTTTTGTCGTCTGCGGGTACTGGTGCTGAGGGAGGTCTTGTATCCTCCACTTGTGTAGGTAGAGGTCTTTGGTGGTGGTGTAGACGTATGGTGCGCAGGCGGCAATGGATGTGACAGAGTTTGTGTTTGATCTGAAAAACGTCTGGCTGGCCTTGTCAAAGGCCAATTCGGCAGCCAGTTGGCGGTAGACTTTTCCTTTTGTTTCGGCCACATCTTCCTGCAGCCTCTCGGCAATCAGATCCCGGTCAATCTCTGCGGCGTCGAATCCAATCTCGTCCACGTGCACTTTGACATTGTCGAGATAGCGCTCGGCCAGTCGCAGTCGCTGCTCGGCGGCAGTCTCGCCTCCAGTGTCAGAGTCGCTGTCGCCTTCGTCGTTGCTCGCGTCAGAGGCGCCATTGTAGCTTTCTTCATCTTCAGAGTCGCTGCCGGAAATGGACTCGTCGTCACGCTCGACTCGCTTCTTGCTCGGGGCGGCCTGCTGCTGCTTCGCAGACGGCTTCGCAGATTTCGCAGAGGTTTTGGCAGAGGGTTTTGAGGCGGCAATTCTCTTTTTTGGCGCTTCTGGGGCCGAAGGCCGCTTCCTCTTGCCAGGAACTGTGAAAAACGACGACATTGTGGCTTCAGTCCTCCTCGCCAATTGCCATGTACTATCCCACTATGTGCAGCCGACTTTCTCGCATTTACATCCGTACTAAAGAAAAAAAAAAAGTTCGAGATAGGCGACCCACCGAACTTTTTCGACCCCACTATGCGGCGCTGCAGCGAATCGCAGTGTAGATCCGGGTTATAGTGCTTCCGGCCCAGGGCGGTCAGGCCTGGCGTGGGCAAAACGGCAGGTGGGCGGTTCGTTGACGCGCAGCGCTACAGCCTAGCGGGACGAGGTAGCTGTGGTGGGTTGAGAGGACGTCTCTACAGCTCTCGAGCAGCAACATACCAATCATACCCGCAACACACAATCACCATGTGAGTGCATGCGGATGCGCCTCTTCTGCTCCTTGTACCGTTGCTGTGTATAGCTAATGACGCTGGCTCCAGGGAGGTTCTTCTGGGAATTACAGGAAAGGACTTTACCCTCATCGGCGCTTCTAAAGCTGCCATGAGAGGAGCCACGATCCTCAAGGCATCTGACGACAAGACAAGAGTGCTGAACCAGCACACTTTACTGGCATTCTCCGGAGAAGCTGGCGATACAGGTTAGGCTCTTGGCGTTTGAGACACTGCTCAGGGCTCGGGATTTTGACAATGGTGCAGTACAATTTGCCGAATACATCCAACGAAATGCCCAACTCTACTCGATGCGCAACGAGACCGAGCTGTCACCCTCTGCTCTAGCACACTTCGTCCGAGGCGAACTCGCCACCAGTCTCCGATCCCGAAACCCATACAACGTAAACCTATTGATGGGAGGCGTTGATCCCATCACCGGAAAGCCCTCCCTGTACTGGCTAGACTACCTAGCGGCGCTGGCGGAGGTACCTTATGCAGCACACGGCTATGCCCAGTACGTGAACCTTGGAACTCCGAACTTCTCTCAATACATGTTACTATGATGGGAACTCTCTCCCTTTCTTACATGCTTGCTAACAAAGTGGCTGCTGCTCTGCATAGATACTACTGCTTGTCTCTCTTAGATAAGCATCACCACCCAGATATCACACTCGGACAGGGAATCAAGCTCATGACGATGTGCATAGACGAGCTGAAGCGCCGATTACCGATTGACTTCAAGGGAATGGTCGTCAAGGCCATCAAGGCGGACGGAATTGTTGATATAGAGTTTGATGATGACCGCATTGTGAAAAGCGCATGAGTCAAGAGTGGGTTGCTAGAGAAAGGACCGGTGTGTATGGCTAGGTAGACTGGCTTCAGCTTGGTAATTAATATACAGCCGCCGCTTCTTTCCGGTGCAGTGTTGAGCAATTTCCGATGAGCGACCAGTCAGTGCTTTGAGAGTATCAGGCGATGGGGGGGCTACGAGAGGGAGATGAATATCTAATGGAGGGCCTCTCGGTCTACGAGTATGCCTCATTGATGTTGCTGTTCAACCGACTTAAAGTATGCCCATCGTTTATGGCAATTTGGCGTTCTCAATCTCCGGTAATAAAGTTTCTACCTGCGCCCGATCACTTGCATGGTTGCATGGATTACACTGCCCTGCGGCAAGTAGCAGCGTGTCAACGTAAATGGCTAGATACCTACCCATGTCTCTACGGCATATGCTTATGGCTTCCGTATGATGAAATCATTGGCCTAGGATCTGCCTTGCTGTAGTGAACTAGAGGATCTGACAGGCCAGCTTGGAAAAGGCAAATGTCCCTTTGCGGATTTTCCATATCCGACTCTGCCTGGAGTGCTTTACACCAACAAGCTGCCATAGCAGCAATACCTAATACTCTATAGATACCTCAATGTTACATACTTATCTAGCAAGCACATAATAACATAATAGTAACATGGATTTTCAAATACAGGCAGGTGGCAGCAAAGCAGTAGATCGTATCTCACGGTGTTGAATTGCAGATACTACCTGGCTAGGACCCTGGTCAAACTTTGAATCCTCCGTCGTTGAGAGTAGAGGGCACATGTGAATGTCAGGAGTACGTCAGGCATCTCCCAAAGCGCGCAGCAAATTTCCAAATCTAGGTACACAAGGTAGCTGCCGAGCAAAATCCACGTAGTGCCCGATAGTAGTTGCAATTAAGATTCCATCAAAAACTTTACGGAGCCAAACTGCCATGAATTACATCACAGGAGCCGGCCGAGATCTGGGTTATCGGGGACAAGACGGGGTGGTTAGGCTTAAGGTAATACTCCGGACGGAGTAGGCGAGGAGAAGAAAAAAATTCCCCACTTTGAGCAGAGCCCAGGCCATGGTATCGGCGGGGGAGTCAGATATTGCAGGCACAGTGGCGCCTTGCTGCAATGCCACTTGTTTGTACCCCGCCAAGGCAACGTGTTGGAGAAGGCAGAAGCCATCCAAGGTATCCCCATGTACCTTTACTCTGTGTAATACTACTAGCAGTAACGCTGCTTCATTTTATAGTAGAATCAGTCCAGAAAGTCTGAATGGCTAAACGGACAGGCAAACTCCTTTTTGCGGCTGGGCGCCTCTCTCTCTGCACTCATCCACGGGTGCGTCATGTCCCACTCCTGCAGGAGGGCGAGGCGGTATTCGCATCAGCTGTGCAGCAGCATCTATCGGTGTAGGCCCCGACAAGGTAGCATCCCAGGCAGTCCTAGGCAAGAGTTGATTGCTGGGGCTTGGTGCTGGCACTTGACGTGTTTCGCCAGTAGTGCCTGGACAGCACATGTCAGGCATCATGATAAGGGTTGTAACGCCACAGGGTCCCAACACCATTAACCAACTCTGCGTACAGTAGAACGACCTAGCAGTGGCAGTAGAGTGTACAGGTGTTCTGGGACATCGCAAAGAGCACTGTATGTTCGAATTTTCGCAGTCTCGGCGAGAAACCCCCGCGGGCCGCTCGCCGAATGGGCTGCCAGCCTCGCTGACTCCGAAACGCCATTCACCCCGTTGTGGCGATTCGGATAGAAGCGCTGAGAATCGCCCAGCTGTCAGTCAGTAGGGGGAAGGAAAGAATCGGTCTGCCCAGCAAACGTCACAAGCCACAACGCCACGGACTACCAGCAAGGGATGGCCAAGGTCTCCCTCTGGTACCCTCTCGGTGCCCAAGTGCGCGACAAACGGCCCAGCTGTGCGCATCCACGTGAGGCGTCTACTTGGAGGGTACACGCTTTGTGGCTTCCATCCTAAGAAATCTCTGACCCCCTCGGGCACTAGCCTCTTTTTGTCCGGCTTGGGACCAATTTTTTTTCTCGCCTTCGCCTCGAGGCTCGTCCCTTTTTCTTCTCTTCTTTCCCACAAACTCAACCCTCTTGACACACAACCTCTCTCATCTCCATCCCCCTCTCTTTTTTTTCCTCATCCTTGCATCTCATCACGGCATTTTCGTCTTTCCTTGGTCTTTCCTTTGAAGATTCTGCGTGTTCTTCGACGGAAAGTGCAAGCACAAGTTGTTTAACGCGTGCCCAATTTTAATACGAGTCGGAGAAAAGAAAAAAAATCGCTTGGGAACTCAAGTTCTTCCCGTTTCTTTCTCTTCGTGTTTGCTGTCTATTTTTTGCGGACAGGCTTCGCTACTTTCACTCTCATTTATTCCAGAGGGTGATTTATTTTTGATCGACTGAGTTCGATACTTTCTCTCGCGCCTCAAAAGCCCATCTTTTTTCCTACGATTCAAGTCGCCCTTCATCGGAAACTGAACGACTTTCCATCATGGCGGACCAACTTGACATGAACGGCCTCAACCTCGGTGCTGATGGCCCTCAGTCTGCTCCCGGGGCTCGATCCTACATCCCGCCTCACATGCGAAGCCGCGGTGGCGGCGGCGGTGGTGGCGGCGGTGGCGGCGCTGCTGGCCTGAACAACAGCGCCTGGGCTGGGTAAGTACACGACACATCAACATTACCACTATCGCAATATCATGGCTAACATTTTCTAAACAGTAACGGTGGCCAACAAGGTGGCCAGCAAGCCGGCCAGCAAGCCGGCTATAGTGGTGGCCGTCAGGGCGGCAACTGGAACGGTGATGCTGCAGCACCTAACTTTCAGAACAGTCGTCGTGGTGGTGGCAGCTGGGGCGGTCGCGGAGGCTACTCTGGCGGTGGCGGCGGAGGTGGTTATGAAGGCGGCCACGGCGGTGGTGGCCACGCTGCTCGCGGCTCTGGAGATGGACAATGGCGGGACGGAAAGCATGTTCCCGGCCCCCAAAACGCCCGTGTCGAGCGTGAGCTTTTTGGTACAGCCGACGATCCTTCCAAGCAGCACACTGGTATCAACTTTGAGAAGTACGACGACATTCCTGTCGAAGCTTCTGGTCGTGACGTTCCCGAGCCCGTTCACCAGTTCACCACTCCTCCTCTGGATGAGCACCTCTGCACCAACATCGAGATGGCCCGCTACAAGGTCCCCACTCCTGTTCAGAAATACTCCATCCCCATCGTCATGGGTGGCCGTGATCTCATGGCTTGTGCCCAGACTGGTTCCGGCAAGACTGGTGGTTTCCTCTTCCCCATCCTGTCTCAGGCTTTCATCCACGGCCCCTCCGCTGTCCCTGCCAACGCTGCTGGACAGTTTGGCCGTCAGCGCAAGGCCTACCCCACCTCCCTTATTCTCGCCCCCACTCGAGAACTGGTTTCTCAGATTTACGAAGAGTCTCGCAAGTTCGCCTACCGATCTTGGGTCCGCCCTTGCGTGGTCTACGGTGGTGCCGATATTGGCTCTCAGCTTCGCCAGATTGAGCGCGGATGCGATCTTCTTGTCGCCACCCCCGGTCGTTTGGTAGATCTCATTGAGCGAGGCCGCATCTCCCTGTGCAACATTAAGTATCTTGTGCTCGATGAGGCCGATCGTATGCTGGACATGGGTTTCGAGCCCCAGATTCGCCGTATTGTCGAGGGCGAGGACATGCCCAATGTCAACGACCGCCAGACCCTCATGTTCTCAGCCACCTTCCCCCGCGACATTCAGATGCTTGCCAGAGATTTCCTCAAGGACTACGTCTTCTTGTCCGTCGGCCGTGTTGGTTCCACCTCTGAGAACATTACCCAAAAGGTCGAATTTGTCGAGGACATTGACAAGCGCTCTGTTCTGCTCGATATCCTCCACACCCACGCTGGCGGCTTGACCCTCATCTTCGTCGAGACCAAGCGTATGGCCGACTCCCTTTCCGATTTTCTCATCAACCAGAGCTTCCCCGCTACTTCCATCCACGGAGACCGAACCCAGCGTGAGCGTGAACGCGCTCTTGAGTACTTCCGCAACGGACGATGCCCCATCCTGGTTGCTACTGCTGTCGCGGCCCGTGGTCTCGATATCCCCAACGTCACTCACGTTGTCAACTACGATCTTCCCACTGATGTGGACGACTACGTTCACCGAATTGGTCGTACCGGTCGTGCCGGAAACACTGGTATCGCGACTGCCTTTTTCAACCGTGGCAACCGTGGTATTGTCCGCGAGCTCCTCGACCTTCTCAAGGAGGCCAACCAGGAGGTTCCCCCCTTCCTTGAGGCTATTGCCCGTGAGTCTTCCTTCGGCGGTGGTGGCCGCGGCGGTGGTCGCTCTCGCCCTGGCGGTGCTGGTCGTGGTAACGCCAACCGTGACTTCCGTAAATTTGGCGGCGGTGGCTTTGGCGGCTCCGGCGGTGGTTTCAGCAACAGCCCTCAGGGAGGCTTCAGCAACTATGGCGGTGCTCAGGGAGGCTCCAACTATAGTGGCGGCGGCGGCGGTGGTGGTGGTGGTGGCTTCAGCGGCGGCTACGGTGGTGGTGGCGGCAGCTACGGCAACCCTGGCGGTGCTGGAGCTCAGTCTTCCTGGTGGTAAACGTTATCACTGGCATCTGGCTAGGATGGACACATCATTGTGCCCACCATCGTGGCTTCTACTCTTGCGCCACTTGATGTTTGCGACTTTTCACTTTTTCTTTGCCGTTATCTCATTACTATTTTCCTTTTCACTTCTTCTGCTTTTATTGAATCGGTTATTTTCATATTTTACGCATTTACGTCATTTGTTTTCAACGACACGGCGGCATCATGACCTGCGAAGACGGAAGAGTGCCTTTTTTCTGTTTTTTTATTTACTGGAAAAAAAAGGCAGCATCGGTCAGGGGCATTTCACGACGCATGTGATAGATTGCATTTCTTTTTGATTTCAGCATCCTCCCTCACTTGATACCCTTAGACCGAGAATAGAGGAACTTTAACGACATTGGCAGAACGTGGTGTTGAGGGATCTACAATTTGCTAGATCTAGAAGGACATCACAATTTTTTATGTTTCTGCCGTCTACGAGGGTTTCCTCCCCCCGCAGGGCATTTTCTCGCTTTTCATGATAGAGGGTCATGCTATCGCCGTGGCATACATAGACAAAAGTGGATTTACTCGGTTCTCTGGTCGGATTTTACGCTCGACAGTCTCCACGGATTTGGGACGGATGAGAGAGCTATGAGCATAGACTGGGAGTACAGAAGGCCTATAGGTTGGTTTCTCTATTTCATTCGAGAGCAAAAGAACTGGGCCTCTCGACGCTAGTTATGGATTTTGGTTGGGAGGGCATGGATCAAAGGCTCTCGGCTCTTTGACCGTCATAAGCACATGGAACGCTTCGACTCGGCCGGAAGGGTGTCGAGTACGCAGCCTTGAGAAGGACAGGGTCTCGGGGTTTTTTAATTGTTCCCGTGATAGACAGACTACCAGAGCGGACTGAGGAGTCCCAAGTAAAAAAAAAAAGTTTTTGCGACATTCAATGTGCCATTAAATGCAATGTTACTTTCCTTGTGTGCATATACGTGATTGTGGTGTCTAAATGTGTTCCTGTGAGGTATACTACTCGGGAGAACTGTGTTTAGATGCAGCCTGCATGATGTATAATATAATCCAACTGCATTACCCTAGAAGACGTCATCTTCATGTATTCTCTTGTCCCAAGGGACAGATACATACGTTGGTTGCCAGGAAAAGAAACAGCCGTTGCAGCCTGTCAGCGTTATTCATCAATACTACCCTACCAATGCTCGGCCTACACTGCGGCGCAGAGACATTCTGCCGCGTGGAAGATTCTGGATGGCTGGAGGATTTAGAGCTGCCATTTGTGTTGAAACTAAGCCGCGGTAAGACGCAAAGCCTGGGTACATGTAGAGGTACGAGCAACACACTGCTGAGAGTTACCTAAAGGAGGCTGATAATGCGCTACAAATTTGATGGCAGGATTAACGGCATTGAGTTTTTTAGTCTATTGTTAGACAAGCAGATCCGCAGAAGCTTTGTCTGTTGAAAGACAGTATTTCTCTGCACCGAAGTAGCCGGAGAGCCTCAGGTAGGATAAGGCTTACAAGGGGCTGAGGAATTGGGCACAAATCAGTGGTTAAGCCGTATTCCGTACATGTACATTGCAGCACGGGCATCATCTGCTTATTTTGGGTATTAGTGGCCGGCCATCTCGCATTGTCATTCTGCCACCCCACCATTGTGCGCAGCTGCTCGCCTTCCTCCGCTGCTTCTCCCTCCTCTCCCCATCACATGCCTCGACTCTTGCGAGGGGAGTGCAAAGAATCGCCACCCAAAGCTCTGGTTTGAAGCTTCCCTGCTTTTGCTCTCGAAACGACACAGCATCGGCGCCGAGATGGGTCTTCTCGAGAGCATCGACGCCGGCCTCACTGGCTTTGTGGGCCAGTGGAATGGCTACTCGACGGCGCTGGTGACGCTGCTCATTGCCCTCGTCACTTACCGCATCACGTCGTCGCGCGAGCCCGATGTGCACCCGCTGCTGCTTGCCAGACAGGCGGGAGCCTCTTCGGTGCGCAATGAAGGCGAGAGCGCCGTCTACCGCAACCAGGCTGCTCCGCACAGCATGCCGCTGAACAGTGGGCTGGATGTCAAGGATCCTGGTGCTTCCCGATGGGCGAGGGGTCGAAACGGCGACCTTCGAGACGTTTGGCGCAAAGCGACGACTGGAAACGACCAGGGGAAGAAGGGAAAGCTGTTTACTGTGCTCGGATCGGAGAATGTCATTGAGCATCGCCTAGGTATGAATCTCTGCCCAAAGCGATCAAGGTAACGATGCTGGATGGCTGACTGTTTCTTTTCTGCAGAGGATATCAACCGACAGATCAACCTCATTGGACATCACATTGCAGAGCAAGGCGGCATCAGAGTTGCCATCTATCTGCCCAACTCGATCGAATTTCTCGTGACTCTGCTGGCCTGCAGCTTCTACCCGAACCTGACTACCGTTCTGATTCCCTTCGACATCTCCAATGAAGAGCTCGTTTCCATGATGAGACGATCTGCCGTTGATACGGTTGTGACTACACCCGGATCTTTCCCTCTTGATGATATCACCAAGGCCTACCCATCGCTGAGACAGCTCATCTGGGTTGTGGATGAGGGAAGCGCACATCTCGACTGGAACGAGGTCCCCGAGGGCACGGGAGGCAGCGTCAACGTCGCTACGTGGCAAGAAATCATCCGGGATGCCCCTGCTGACTCTAGCACTGAACTGCCTCCTCTGGATCTGGAAAAGGTTCCCATGGATGTTGTGACTTTCTGGCAGACAAAGGCCGGAACGCTGGAGGAAATGGTGCGCTTTACGCAGGCCAACCTGGTCGCTGGTATCTCTTCTCAGATTCACGGTATCCCTGTAAAGGAGAGACTGACTCCATCTGACTTGTTTCTTCCCGCTGAGTCTTTGGCCGGTATTCATACCCTTGTCCTTACCTTGGCTGCGCTTTACCAGAATTCTTCTGTTGCTTTCAATTCGGTTGCTGGACGGTCGCCAGATTTGGTTCTGGCTACTCAGGGTATCGCTCCGACGGTAATTGTTGCCAGCCCCGACAGCTTGCTCAGAATTCACCGAGAATCCTCTGCCAAGCTCAACACTCCTCTCGCTAAAGCCTCTCATGCTCTTTCCACTCGTGCCCTTACGCAAGAGGGCGTGCTTCCCGGCTCCAACCTGCTGTCTGCATTCGCTGCTGGAGCGAAACCGGCCCTCGGCACCGACCCAAGCAAGCTGCGTGTTGTATACGCCGCAGAGCGCGTTGGGGGATTTACCCCGTATCTTTCCTCTCAGGTTCTGTCTGATCTGCGTGTCTTCACCGGCGCTCGAGTTGTCTACGCATTGACAAGCGCTCGGGTGGCAGGCGCTGTTGCGCAGACGGCCTATTTCGACTATAGAGTTGAGGAGGGCGACAACGGCCACTTTGGTGCGCCGACGACGAGCATTGAGATCCGTTTGAAGGACAAGGGAGCATTCAAAACGACGGATGACAAGATTGAGGGAGAGGTACGTTTTGACTTGATGATTCAAGTCTGATTTGCGCTGACACAAACATTGTATAGATTTATGCGACGGGACCCAGCGTTGCTGGCGGCGAGACTGGCCTCGGCGTTGTTGGAAGGCTTAGACATGACAACACCCTTGCCTATGCGTCTTAGATGACGGTGTTTGTACACCAGTCAATGGAGGAAAACAAATGAATGAACGAAAAAGAAACAGAAATGAAGAAGATTTGGCGAAGGAAGGTAGGCAGCCTTCGTGATAGGATAGGCGCGCAAAGACACGAGCATGAAAGGAAGCGCTTTGGAAAGTATCGCCAGGGGGTTAGATAAGGAGAGCATTTTCGAGGACTTTTTCTTGACTTTGGTTTTTTATTTACGCATTACAAAGCGCTAGCGAAAGAGCGACAGCCATACGAGGTAGATTGACGATGATTCTTGCGCCGATAAATGACGATAGGCTTAGGATAAATGGGAGCTGTCTCAGCAGCATTTTGCCACTCTTACCTAGAAATACCCATTCAGATGTGATAGTTCGCAAGTCAAGAGAGGTATCTGTTGGTCGCGTGCTCATGGAGCACTACTCCGTACTGCCCATCAGTAGTATCCCCAAGTTGTAATCTATTTATAACCGACGCGCGTGGACTCAGCAGGAGGCTCAGGTTTCAAGACTCCAGACTCCAAGCTAATGCCACCACTCCGCGTGCGCCAATGCCGGGACAACCTTGCCCGGCGCTGTAGAGCCAGGACTCTTTCCCGTCTGTGGCACGGGCACTCCTGCATTGTATGCAAGATGACGCTGTAGTTGGAGGGGAAATTCCCTACCAGGTATGTGATACAGCACGCAACCCCAAGGCTAAAGCGTTGCGAGGCCGTTATGCAAAGAGAACTGAACGTGGGTGGCCGTCCAGATGCGGCAGGGCCCCAGCAACTTGTCTGCGGCACCTTGGCCTGATAGAGGCAGGTGGTACGATCCGCTCAGCTGTAAGGGGGACGCCATGAACCGCCGTGGCGGCGCGGGCATGCAAGGAGCGCACCTGGCATTTGAGCGCTAATGACAGCTCGGACGCCTGGCAGGCCCTGTCGCTCAGGGCCCTGACTTGGCTTTGAGTGCTGGCAGCGGCACTAGCCAGTTGAGTTCAGTTGCGTTGCAGTCACTGGACGTTGCTTTGTGTCTGTGCTCTTGTGCCCTCCCGTACGGGAACCATGGGCAGCGAGGATGGAGCAAATGGACAGCAGTCGACGGTAGATCCTTTGCTTAGCATAGGCTTAGCGCCATGTGAAGCAAGGTTTTGCACTGTGCTAATTCCAATTGCTCCGTACCTGCACAGTAGTAGCCTGTATCTAGTGCTCGGTATTTGCATGTAATTTCCAGCGTCCGTGCCCGTGACATAATGAGATGGTAGGTGGCAGCAATGGCTTTTGACGTCTGCTAGCAACAGGATGGAAGCTTATGCACTGTAGTACACACCAAGAACCACTGTAATTGGAAACTTTAAAATCGAACGAAAGGAGAAAAGACGTCAGATGCTAAACGCAAGGCTCTGTCCAATTGAAACTGAAATTTCTTCTCTCTCTTTCCAGCCTATAAACACGGTGGGCTAGCGAGGGCATACCTGTACTTGTTAGTTTAGCGCCACAAAAATGGGGGGGAGTCCATCTTGAGTGGGAGCGGCGGCGCGCGTCGAGTGGTTTGATTTAAAATGATGAGCTTTTAGCAGGGTTTGGGAGAAAGAGAGAGAAGCCCCCCCCAAAGTTCCCGGGAAAGGATAGAAGAGAGCAACGTAGAAGAAGATCAGGGAGAGAAGTAGAAAGAAGAGAAGAGAAGCAAAGAGAGAGAATTCCTTCTAGGAAGAAAGCAAGAAGAATCTCGACTTCCGTCGAACCGAGCGCCAACAGCGGAAGGAAGCCCTGGTCTCCGGCGTTACTGCCTTTTGCGAGCCCGTCGAGGCTGCTTTCCGGGATCAGCTGGAATGAGGTTAGGCCTTGGAAATACTGCCATCCATCCTATCCTGTCCCATAGCAACTGCACTGAGCCTGGTGGGACCCCTTGAACCTCCTGTTTCCCCGATCCGCGGGTCTGGTTGCTCATTTTTACCACCTTTTCATTTTTGGGGGGTTTAGTCCATTAGTCTCTCATCGAGTGAGTGAGTGAGTCTTTGTCTCATCTACTTGATTCTTGGTCAATCCCTTGGTTTTTTCCTCCTTCTCCCCTCGCTTCTCTCTGCGCTTAATATATCTGAGGCAGCACCTTGTTTGGGATCTCTGACGTCGTTACTCGCCCTGTTACCACGGCCACCTGAGTCTCTCTTTTCGTTAATCTGGGTTGTCTTTTTTACTTATTTTTGGAATCGGGCTTGGCATTTTCTTTGTGCGGATACTTCCGATCTCACTCAAAAGGTTCAAGGCTGAGGTGTCTCACTACCAACTTTCCTTTGACAAGACGTTGTTGTTCGGGCCTTGTCTCTTTCCGAGTCTCAAAGAAAGCCTGCCTGAAAAGGGGACGACTCGACGTTTTATTGAAAGACACCTTACAACAACACGCGCAACTGGCAGTACGGGAAAATGCGCGCAGCGTCGCGAGGCGAGTGAAAGTGAGAAGTGAGCGCGAAGAGAGAGCGTGAGAGAGCTGCGTTGGTATTTTTGAACCTCTCTGCTTGACCTCAATATCTCTTTTCTCTCTCTCTTTCTTTTCTATCTGGGCCTGGACTCACCCTGCTCGAGAGGTGGAAGAGACAACCCGAAAGAAAGAAAATCCAATGGCAATGAAGAAATTTTCCAAGATCTTGTCGCGGCGGCTAGGGCGATCTGGTGGAGATGATCATCACCGCTGGGACGCGGGACTGCAGTCAGGGCTAGATTTCCACCAGCTTACATCGAGGCGGTGGCGGAGCGGCGATGATGGCTTGGCACTGAATGGCGAGAACCACAGCCGGATATTCACAAAAGAGGTTCCCACGTACGGCGCCGGCAGGATTTTGGCCGATGGGAGTGAGGATGCCGGACAGCTATGTGATGTTTGCGCGGCAATCGACTTTCCGAGGCTGCTGGATTGGAAGCCTGGGGATGCAAGACCATGGGTTTCTTTGGCACACTGCTTGAGGCTAAAACTACCGGACGAAGAGGAACTCAGCAGACATCGCAACGGATCGACATCGGAGGAAGAGGACCTCAGCGAGGACGAGAGGCGGAGGAGAAGGAGGCGGGAAGGGAACTTATGCCCCTGGTGTGTCTTCTTTCACTCCATGATCACCACTGTACCGGAAGGAGATGAAACCGGCGGCGCAGATGGAAGGGATGACAGAGCTTTGAAAACCAAATACACCCCGTATCTGCGCATTCGCCTGGCATTCGAGCGGCTGGGCGGTGGAGAGAAGCATCCGCTGGCAAAATCGGTGCTCTTCGAAGTGACGACTAGGAATCGGTCTCTTCCGTGGGGCTACATTGTCAGGGCTGCACCTGCCAAGGAGGTCGATGTTCACACAGACCATTCGGAATCACAGGCCGGGACTGAGACTGAGACGAGAGCAAGCAGAGAGACAGCATCGGAAAGGGGAGCAGAACCGGGCATGGAGTCAGTAACTGAAGTTGAAGTAAAAGAAGAGTTGAAAGAAGAGGTGGAGTCCAAGGTGAAGCCAAGGGCAATAGCTGCAGAAGCAAAAGTGGAGGAGCCGATCGAAGAGAAGCAGAATGGTCTGGCCACAGCAAATGGAAAAGCCAAACGGGGAGAGGAGGCCAAGGTCATCTGGGGAAGAGAGATAACCCCGCTGCTCCATCCCGACCTCGCAAAGGACTGGATCGACTTCTGCAACGACAATCATACTACAGGGCCCTGTGCCGTCAAGGATCGGACCTTGGTAAAGGGATTGAGGCTGATTGACTGCGAAGAGAATAAAGTCGTTCTTGCGGAGAATGTATCCACACCGACTCCCAACGACAAACCCCAGGACGCCGAATGTCAGAGCATCACTCCCAGCCACAACACCAGCATCATGCATCAGAATGTGGATTATGTTACGCTCAGCTATGTAATGGGGACCTATCGCGAGGATGACGATGATAACGGCAATGATGACCACCTGCCACGCAGACTTCCAAAGGTCGTTGCCGATGCCATTTCCACCACCAAGGCCCTCGGGTACCGCTATCTATGGGTGGATCGATACTGTATCCCAAGAAGGGGAGACGCACAGGGGGCGCCCGAACGCCAGCGACAGCTCGATCTCATGGGCCAGATATACGGCCATTCGGCACTAACTCTCGTTGTTGCCGCGGGAGAAGGGGTTCGCGATGGCATTGCCGGAATCAGCGCGCCACGCGAAGAGCAGCTTTCGATCCAGACCGAGACCGACCTTTTTACTACTTCTCTTCTTCGCCCGGACCTCGAGGTGGCTTCATCGAAATGGGCGTCTCGCGCATGGACTTACCAGGAGGGTCTTTTGTCGCGACGACGGCTCATCTTTACGCCCTCACAGGTCTATTTCCAATGTCAGGCATTACACTGTCACGAAAGCCTCTCTCTTCCACTAAAATATGCACCGGGCCTGAACTTTGGTCGCGTCTTTCCCTCTTCTATCGACGACGTTCTTCAGCCTAACAAGATCAAAAATCATATCAAGGCCTACCTCGCCAAGAGCATCAGCAACACCGACGACCGCCTGGACGCCTTCAGGGGCCTGCTCCACGAATATTCTGCGAGAGACAAGCTGCCAGTAGAGAACTTCCTCGGCCTACCGCTATTTCACCCGGACGACTTCACCAAACACAAGGTCGTCAGCCAAACGGACCGCCTCGCCATCGCCCTTGGCTGGATGCCCAGCCGCCCGCTCCCTTCCTCCTCCATATCTTCCTCCTCCGCCACCTCATCCCATGACGACCTCATCTATAGCCCCGCCATCGACCCTTACTCCCTCATCGATACCCCCAACCCGTTCCCCTCATGGTCTTGGCTCGCATGGCGCCTCAACCAGACGACAAAAAGCTACAACGCCCCCGGCCACTCATTCAATTTCAACCTTGTGGACGACGCTTCCCCGCTGCTTGACCGTGTATCTGCGCCGCCGGGTATGGAAATCTCCATCGGCTTCAGCGACGGCATGGTCCTCTCATGGGAGATTGACGGCGACGCCATCGCCCGTAAGGCCGACAAGATCGAGATGCTCCGCCTCAAGACCTTCTGCTTCGACCTCACCGTCAAGAAAGCCGCCGCCGGCCTGGGTGCGAAATACGGCTTCTCTCTTGCCGAGCCCGTGGCCTCCACGTTGGGCAAATCTGCCACCGACTCCATTGAGGCCTGGATCCGGCGTTCGTCCGTCACTGTCTTGTCTGCCTCTGCGGACGACGTGCCGGCTGGCCAGGAGTACTCGCTCATCGGGGTGCTCGTGTCCGGGCGGCATTGGAAGCCTGAGAGCGCAGCGCAGCAGCCCCATGGCCATCATCATCGCTCGGGGGCTCCGAAGGCGGCGGGTCCCGCCTCTACAGCGATGGCTACGGTTTTAATATGCAGGCGCGCAAACTGGGATCCTGAAAGCCGCTTGGTTCGTCTTGGAGTGCTGAACGTAGCGTATGACGGCCTGGTGCCTGCAGCAGACGAGGCTGATGCGTCGATTATGAAGGGGATTGACGCGAGGATCAGTGAGGAAAAGAAGGATTTAAAGGTGAAGCTGCGAGAGTTGGACATCTACTGAAACTTGCAAGCGTTTTCTTTATTTTCATCTATGGAGTAATCTTGATAAACTTGGGTGTCTGTATTTACGGAAGAACGGCGCGGTTGTATGGAGGACTTGGGGAAGGCTAATAGCGTGTTCGGCTGGACTGGTCAATTGATTTTTTTCTTGATATGCATGTATTTGTATATATGAAAGTTTATGTATATGGATTGGAATGTTGATATTTTCTATATGAGAGAAAAGGAAAAAAAATTAATGACTTGCACTGCAATGAATACCAACAAACTAGTTAATACAACGTTATCAAACCATTTCTAACTAATGTTTATCCAACATTTGTTATCACATCTTCACTGTGCTCTCGTAGCCGACTTCATGGCGAATCATACTCCTATCTATCCCTCTATTGACAGCGGCCACCCACCTTAATCAGGCCCCATTTCAAGTACAGCCCTCACAGACAGATCATCCTGCACCCAGCTCACAATCCGACCGCTCACATCGCCCACCAGCCTGTCATAATGCGGCCCCGGGAAGAATAGCCCGCAATGGGCAGTCACCTCGTCCATGCCATCCATGAAGACGCTCACCCACATAGGGTCCATGGCGCCGTTCGTCTTGCTCGGAGTGGTGCAAAACTTGCCGAGCTTCTTGGGCTTGCCGCCCGGCGTTTCAGCTTGCGTCTCAGCACAAGGAGAGGCGACGACGGACGCGGTTAGGGAGGATGTCGACGATGCTGCCGCGGCGCTACTAGTTTTGGTTTCGTCTGCGAGCTGCTGTTTCGTTGCCTCCTTTTCGAGTCGCTTCTTCTCTGCCTTTGAGGCTTTTTCTTCTTCCTTTTCGAGGCGTCTCTTGTCTTGTTCGGATTTCTGCTGCTGCTTCTTGGTGTCCTTTTCTAGCCTATCTGCATCCCTTTGGGCTTCTTTCTGGGCCTTCTTGTGGAGCTTTTCTAGAAGCTTTTCGCGCTCGCGAAGGGCCTTGTTGCGGTCTTTGGCGGCTTGCTCGTAGGCTTTCTGGCGGCGGCTGAATTCCTTTTCTGCTTGTTTGCGGGAGTCTTTGTCTGTGTATTGGGAGAGGTCGGGCTGGTCTGGGGGGTTGGGGAGGTCGGGGATCGGGGGGAGATCCATGTTTGGTAGAGGGAGATTGTTTTCTGATGGATTGATCTCGCTCTCATTCTTTTCATTGGCTTTGTCTTCGGCGGAAGGGCATGATGGCGGGATATCTGAGATAATGGGTGCAGGTTTTTCTGATTCTTGCTGGGTAGGGTTGTGTTCGGCTTCATCGATGGGAATGGGATCAATATTCTGCATGGATTGCATGGATTGCATAGATAGCCGGTTCATATCGATAGACTGCTCTTTTAACTCTTCTTGTTTAGCAATTGAATCGTCATTGCTGAGACTTCCATCCTCTTTTGCCCCCAAAGGAGTCGTTGCTGTTTCATTCAAGTCATCATCATTGTTTTGAACAGGAGTTTCGACTTTAGAAAGACTGGCATCAACCTGGTTTTTTTCTTCGTCTTCCAACTTTGCCGAAATGATTGCGTTAACCAGCTTATCGTTTATCTCGTCCTCAATCTTGATCTCAGGTGCAGGTTCTGCCGAGAGATCGACCTGACTCGTATCTCGACTGCCCTTTGCTGTCGCTGGCCGTTTAGGGCGGCCAGGAGACAGCGTGTAGTAGTTGAGAAAGCGAACGCGATTGCGCGAGCTGTTGGACGAGGTACTATTCAAGGCTTGGAAATCATCAACATCTTCGAGAGCACGGAGCTGGCTGTATCGGGATTTGAGCCCAGGATAGTCTGCCAGGCATCCGCCGAATTCCAGGTGGGCAGCGACGTGATTACCTAGAGCACTGAAGATGCCTTCGGACCAATGTTTGGAGCCGAAATTGAGCATACGGGCGAGGAAAGGCTGCTCTCGAAATGGGCTGTCATTGAAGTATGGGGGGTCGAAGTTGGGATCTCTCGGTCCATTTTGTATATCACTGATTGACGCGGGAGATGAGGGCCCCAGGTCAGCTGGAGGAGATGAGGCGGCGTCCTGGCTTGAGGGAGTTGGGGACGGATGGAAGAGGCTTGATATTCCTGAGGCTACAATTCCTGGATGAAGTCCCAGAAATGGCGAATCCAAGGACAGAGATCCTAGAATGCGATGCCTCAAGGGCTGTCGGCTGGAAGAGATCCGATTGGGCTGAGGTAGTTGCAGTATTAGAACATGAAGGATTATATCGGTCAGATGGGAGATGGCTCACCGTGAGAATAACCTCAGCAGCCAATAGGCCTCCCATGGAGTGGCCAATGAGGATGACATCGGTTGTGGGCGACTCGTGAGGCTCTAGCCAAGCACTGAAATTCTCGCTGGCGACCTCGATTGATTTATACGTTTTGTATCTAGGGTAGACTTTGGAGTACACGGCGTGGGTTTCCGACAAGGCCTCACGTAGCACGTTGTGGACATGCGCGGGGAACGACTGGAACGACTGGTCATTGCCGTAGAATCCGTGGATGTAGACCAAGAGAAGAGTCCGTCTGCCGTCTGAGTCGGACCTTGATGGTGCCAGAGACTGCGATGATGAGGGACGAGGGACTTTTGAGTCTAGAATCGACGGGCGTGAGCGCTTCTCCCGATCCGAGTTCAGCGAGCCTTGGGACTCTACCACTTCGGAGTAAGGAGGCGGCGGGGGCAGCTGGGAAGAATCCCTTGGAGGCAAAGGAGGCGGCGATGCCATGGTGTTGGATATAGAAGCCAAAGATGGAACGAACAGTGGATTGCTGGAGGGAGCCTTTATGTCTGGGGTAATTCAAAGAAGGAAAGGGTGCCGGCGATTCCAGGCCAAACGAAGAGCTGCAGTGAGATATGGCAAAAATGGGTTAACCGTATCTATTAAATCACGATTGTGAACAAGATATTCAATAGATGATTGCGAGCAGATGGAGAGAGCACTGCATCACCACTGCCATCATTGAGTCCAGAGGGCCGCAGTGAGGCAAACTCATGAATTAGTGGATTGGCCATGCTTCAGTAATACGGGCGGGGGATCAACGAGGCTGAAGGAGGCTAGTAGTTCTTGTTAGAGCCCGGAAGCCTCCCGCGTTGCTTAATCGATAAGATTGAATGAGCGATCCATACACAGTTACGAATAGGTGTCTGTAGGTGTCTGCGGAGGAACTGTTATCGAGATCGATACGATAGGCGGCCTCTTGCAGCACAAGCATTATCGAGTCTGGTGTTTGTTCTCCAGCTGCCACGCATCATACGGAGGATCGCCGGGCAGGCTTTCAGGGCACCCTTTTTAGCGCATTGCGGAACGTATCAGCATTACGTACCAGCAGCCGCGTGCTGACCGGGGCCTGGTGCCTGAGTGCCTGAGTGCGCGGCGTACCGGTACCTGAGCCGTTGCGAGTTCATGCGCTACGTGACCGTTCTGGCGCCATTGACGGCGGGGACAGCTGTCGCAGCAAGCCTCGGCCACGACCAATGGCAGCGATATTACAGCCGGTGCATGAAGAACAAAGAATTGCGCAGGCTAGGACGGGTCGCCATTCCGGCCCAGGCCTTGAAATAGCATCACGAATCGGATATTCATTGTTTGGAGCTGAGAATTTTTTTCCCCAACGCTGTTTTCGCCTTTGCGTTTCTCGCTGAGCGCCGAAGCCTTAGTATGGCCCCAGCGTATTGATCCGTATGACTCTGGACTCGAGCCCGTGCATCCAAAGCTTCCATAGATGAAAGAACGTTGAAAATTAGCAGCAATCGTAGTCGTCGTGCTAACACTTATCCAGCGACCTGTAGATTAGCAAGGAGCTCTCGCCTTGCTCCTAGTCTCCGCCGTCTTTCGTCGTGCAGTCTAATCTGCAAGCTGCATGCCACACTTGGTAGGCACTAGCAGGGTTTGCCTGGGTTTGCCTGGGACTTGTTTTTGCTCCGTGCCTCGAGCAAACACCGAAAATTGTGTATAAACAGCTCCGTAGAAATAATCAAGTAGAAAGAAATTCTCAAGCTACTGCTACGAGTCAGTATAAGTGACAATAGATAGTCTATTCTTATTAATTTGACCCGCGAATTGTTTGCCAAAAGCCATAATGGAAAACATAGGTGTACTCAAGTATACTCGTGGACGCGAATATGTGCTTGATATGATCATTGCAGTTTATATGCAAAACAGCCAGTGAATAGTATAAGGGCACTGTTGCTACAGTATATGATATAACGCAGCTGCATCCTCTCCATTCAGGCTCCGTGTTCAATCGTATCATTTCATTCGCTTTCTTGTCCCGAGATGGATGGATCCCTTGGGCGATTCACCGAAGAGGCCTATTACAGATCAATGCTACGATACCTAGCCTGAAGCATCTTAGCACCGCCCAGCTCCTTAGTATGCCGCTATCAAGTGCTTCGACAAACTTCAGGAGGATACGAAGTGCATTAGTGGCCCGTTTGTTAGTCCTTTAATAGCAACACAATCCGCTGGTCAGCCGTTATCGTGGTTTGACTTTCTATCCCAGCCCTGATTTGGTATACATCCGTCTCAACAGCCAGCCAGCCCCGAGATGGACATACCCAACCAGTGCTTCATTGGCATATTGTCGTCATCGAGTAGAGCGTGGTTAATTGGTAGATTTGATGTACAAGTATAAGAGGGATGTGCAAGCTCAGGCACCATAGCAAACGCTACCGCTAGTACAGGTACAACTGCAGGGACACGAGGACCTGCATTGTTGTTTTGGTGCATCTTGGCACTCGACATTCTGCCGCTTGGACCCGCGAATCGTACGGTTACCCTTCTGTGATTGGCCGCCCGCGCCGTGACCCGCACCAAGCGAAATTACCTGCAAGTCCAGGTACCTGCTTGGTGGCAGGACTGGCGTCAGGTGCGCTAGGATCAGGCTACTCTCAGGCACAGAGGACGCCAAAGCAGGAATTGGGGCACCATAATTAACCACATCCCAGCTGGCAAAAGCCCCGGCATCCTCGTCAGCGTCGTGCAGCCCGGCTTGGGACCCAGGCGCGATCCCCAAAGGGCGTGCTCTGGCAGGGCTGTGTTCCTGTTGCCGTGCCTGTTGCTGTGCCTGTTCCTGCGCCTGTGCCGGCATCTGTACCTGTACTTGTGCCTTACCTCGATGCTAGTGCGCCTGTGCCTGGCAGTAGCAAATCTCAGTGGCCCGGTTCGTCTATGCCTGGTTCGGAGAGATTGCATCTGTTGCCCCTTCCTTCGCTTCGCTGTCTGCCGGCCGTTTGCTTTCTTTCTCTTTCGTCTTTTCTCCATCGTGGCCAGCGGATGAGCGCGCATCGTTATTTGTTTCTTCTTCGTCGACATGACCTTTGCCTTGTTTTCTGTTGACCGTTGTTGAGCCGTTCCTTAGAAAGGGGGAGTTTTACAAGCGATTTGAGCAGTAGAGAAGTGGATACGAGAAGCCCAGCGCACCACGAGCAAACGAAACGAAACGAATTGCCGCTGCGGCACACCGTCTTACAGTTGATTTTCTTCCCCTTCGGCCTTGCGATCTTGGCCTCCATTGAGTTTATCCTCCAGCAGCACGGACGGATGGTAAAGGGACACTGGTTGCCACAGGACATTTCAAAAAAAACGGCGGCGACGACGGGCACCGGCATATATCCAGGACCCTCAAGATGCCGTCAGCAGGACGAATTGCGAATTAGATTTTCACTCTCTTCTTCCCCCGCGATACCTGGGAATACAATGCAATCGTCATTGCCGGGCACATCATCAGCATTGCTCACCGACATCGTCATAATGACTAGCCACGAGTCTTCACTCCTTCAGGCCCGTGGTGGCGCTCATGCCCACGCTCATTCTGCATACAAACATCGACACACACACGGTCATGGCCATGACCATCTGCACCATCAATATCCCCATGACGCCGTCTCTGGCCCCCGGCCCGGCGACGACAAGCTCGACACCGACCAAAACCTGGATCTCAAGAAACGGGCCAATGTGCCCGCCGCAGACGAAAAGTCAACCGATGGGACAACTCCCACCGCAACGTCCCTCGTTACCGAGGTCATCCAGACCGTTTCGCTCGTTCAGATCGTGGACACCCAAGGATCGCCGCTCTCCACGTTGACTCAGTTCGCTGTACCCAATACCGTTGTTATCAACAAGGACACGGGCAAGACCATATCTGCTTCGAATCCGGATCCTACTCCAGCTCCGGCTGCGCCAGGTTCCGGCCCAGATCTCAGCAAAGGAGTCTCATCATCGCCTGCCACTAGCTCGCAATCAACGGCTTCTCATATCCCGTCAATATCTGCTTCCTCTCCGGCGTCCCTCTCGTCACCCGCTCTTTCTTCATCATCACCTGCGGCCCCTCCACCGGCATCTTCGCCAGCGCCTTCACCAGCACCTTCACCAGCGCCTTCGCCGGCCCCTTCAATGGGAATAGGTCACCATAATGGAACAATCAGTATGTCACCTTTTTATCAAGACTAGGAGATTAAGCCCCTACTTGCTTCCATCCTCTTGCACTCGTTACCTCCCTGTATGCTAACTTTAGCGTGATAGTCCATCATTCTAGTAGTCATTCCAGTGCAGCCAATTCTGGGTTTTATGCAGAATCTGTAAATGCCACCACCACATCAGCAACGCACTCTTCGGCAACATCTTTAAAACACTCTTCCACTTCGCTTACAAGAACAACCTCGGGGTCTTTTTCTTTTGAGCCTACGTCCTTTACAGAAGCAGTAGCCTCAACCGTGTCGTCTTTTGAGCCACAAGCCACTGCTGGCGGATTCGGCGGATTCGGCGGAGGTGCTACTCCGTCTATAGTAGATAGTACGCAACCTTCCTCCTCGGCGTCTTCAAACTCAACTGCGAGCGCACTCTCCCCTCAACAAAAGCAAGTCATTGGAGGAGTACTTGGAGGCGTTGCCGGCGCCGCTTTCTTCCTTGTTTTGGTCCTGGTAGCTCTGAGGTGGAAGAGGCGTCAAAATAACGCGGCTCAGGCTGCCAGTCAAGCTGCCTCGGAGTCTCGTGAATTGCCTCCAACCTCCGGCGCTCCCAGTGGAGCTCCCAATGGCGGAGGCGGAAGCGACGGCGGAAGCGCCATGGCAGAAAGATACGGCGCTGCCGCCCTGACTGCGGCCTTCACTGGCTTGGCACCTAAGAGGAGTTCTGCTTCTGTGAATTCTTCGGAGACGGGAGAAAGAGGTTTCTACCGCGTGTCTGGCAGAAAGCTGCCTTCAGTATTGCAGGTAGGGGGTGATGGGTACTCGGATCCTCGCTCGAGTTTCATGAGTGGCACCTCCGACTACTATCGAGGTTCGCAAGCTTTTGACCCCTTCGGAGGACCAGGAACCCGGTTACAGCTAGGAGCTCCCATGCGTCCCGATAGCGGCGTGCCGATTGTACGATCCAGCCCGGCTCGCCCTGTGGTTGCAGAAGAGAATCCTTTCGCGGACCCTCCGACGTCTCCCCCTGGTGATACTTTGGCACCTCCATTGACGCGGCCACGCGCCGGCCCACGGAGGGGTTCTAAATTCCAAGAGGGCATTTGATTTATACCAAGCTGTTATACATATACATACTTGTACAGGTTCATACCCCATACCTATTCCGTTCTTGTACAGTTTTTTTTCTCTCTCGTTTCACCTTTTCTCTCTATCTTGATGTTACTCTGAACATACTAAGAAGAACATTTTCTTTTTGTTGCTACTGCGCTTACCGGGCTGCTCTCCCTCTAAAGGAGTGTCGAGTTTGGGTGTTTACTCAATCGACCCTATTTCTTTTTCTATACTGTACATCTCTTTTCAGATGGCGTTGATGTGGGATATGTCGGATTTTTTGGGGCTGTTGATTTTGAGGAAAAGGAAGGCAAGGATATAGAGGAAAAGTAAGGACGAGATTTTTCTTAAATTTGGGAGGACAATTTTCTTTTGTACTTGTCTGCCCCTTATCTTTCTTTTGCTTTCTTGTCCGTCTCTAATGATTGTCCAATTGCATCGGGAGAGATTTGGTGGGGAGCGACTCTTACATGTTTATACACTTTGCAATCCTTGTTATGTGTAGCAAGTAGGATAATGCACATTACCAGAAAATACTATAAATATTGCATGTCTGTTGCTTTCTTTTCTGCGAACGAATACTGAGGACTTGAGCTGTGCTGGACTGCGTCTATGTCGTCCGCCTTACCCTGCACGCCGAGGATTGGTCTTGCTAGCGTGGGTGGAGAATGGTAGTTGAGAAGATAATGGTCATAGATATCAGATGTCGCAATGTACGCTCCATGTGGAAAATCAAGATAGCACCGTATAGCTGGGTTGCATCTACATGTCCAGTGTTTGTTCTGAATGAGACAAACGTGGGTGGAAATGCGCTGATAAGCGGGCGAGACATTGATGAAACGACAAAAGATGCGTGTGAGCGGGCCGGTGTCGAGATGACTCTGCGAGATAACTGCGTTTGAGCTGCCGCCTGCCATATTTCAACTGTTCCTTTCTTTCCCCGGCAATGGGCAGCAGCTCGAGTCATGAGTGTTTGCTATATGACCTTGTGTTCGATTAATTCCCATGTGGGCTGTATGTATATCGCCTGACAGATTTCGCTGCTGCGAAAGCCAAGACGAACTGGAGCTTAGAGAGTACTATGTATAGCATAACTGTAGCCCAAATTTAGATACAGTATTATAAAGCCACAGATATAATAAGACTACCTAGGTAAAGAGGGGGAGGGGAGCAAAGCTTGGACGTTGATAGGGCTGATGACCTTGCCCGTGCTCTCTTTACTCAATATTGATGTGCTTACTCTGTCCTACAGTATTTGGGAGCTATTTTGGGAGGGAGGTACCAGACCTTTTGCGAACCTCGGGCTGGAGCCGCTTTTTTAGAAGCTGACGGGGAACGTTTATTGCTAGGACTAGTATTTTGGCACTAATGTAAGTAGTACCTTGGAGTAGTTCTAAAGTTTGGGCTGATTTGTCGAAGAGATTGTTGGCTGGTTTGAAGTTTTGGCTTTGAAAGGGCATATGATGTTGCCGCCGTGTGCCCGTTGTGTGTTTCTAGTAAGCCGGGGTAGAAAAGAAGATTGGGATTTCAAATTAATTTCAGGACAATTGACTTTGGGCCTGAAGTCTCGCGCGTGAGCTTGTGTGTACGTATGTGTGTTTCACATCTGATTTAATTTTGTCGCAAATAGATGGAACTTTTTTGGCTTTTGGTTCCTAGAGGTGGCGGGTGGGGCAATGAAACAAAAAAAAAAAAAGATGAAGAGAGTGAATGCGAATAAGAAGGAGCCCGTGTGGCTGGATATTTTTGCACGGGCTATTGTCTTTATTTTTGTCTAATGTGAGCCTATTATAGGTACATGCACATTAGTACTGCCTGTTGATAGAACGTTCAAGTACATGTAGGTATTTTATTGCGTGTAGCGAGCAAGTCCGCCAGCCCACTGTAGATTCGGTGACCAGGTCCGCTCGTGTAAGATTGCTTGGAAGGGTATCGTCTGCTATCTCCGCAGTTGCCGGGCTTGTACGGATTGAGTTTATCTTCTTTCTCCTTTTTGAATTGAGATGTTGTTGAAAGCAAAGGGGTTTAAAGGCCTAGGAGAAGATGTTTATCACTGCTGGATACATGTAGGTAGGTAGGTATGTAAAATCATGTATGTATGTATATAGACGCCTACGCAAAGTTGAATGCTCTGGTAAATGCCTGGATGGCAGCTTTACACTACCGGTCTTCTCCGCAAAAAAAAAAAGCATGTTACAGTATACCGGTAGATACGGGAAAAGCAGGCATTTCGGGGTAACCTGGAGTCTATCAGCACCTGTATGAGTAGCCTGCTGGGCTGACCAAGGACCCCCGGAATGAAGACAAAGCCCGCGCGTTTAGAGGCAGAGTGCGGACTCCGAACATGTCCGGCATGAGCATACTAGTAGAAGGCAGGGGAGAAGGACAGACTGGGAGGCTCTGATACGGCCCTGTGTTTTGTTTCTGCTGTCACAGGACGCTGCGTCGTAGATGGTATCTGACGGCGTCTCCTGGCATGGGAGGCGATAACCCGTGGGAAGAGGGGAGGAAGGGGCCCGTGGACGGAGAAGACGCAAGGACTGGACGTCAACAATATCAGCCCGCCGAATTGCCACGACGCGGGAGCTGTCTTTGTTTTTACCTTTTTGCTTATACTATTTATACTACTAGTAGTACATATCATGCCCTTGTTTAGATGAACATGTATCACCGCAGTCAGTATTATTGATACAATCGCATACACACCGAGCCCATTGATTGTCAGGTCCGCAGCGCATTGACAGCGTCAGGCGCACTGTTACACGGCATGACGCCAGCGGTATCACCTTGGCTAAGGCCTGTAGCCGTTAGTGGCGCTACAGCACTGGCCTGGCACGCAAGTACTGCCAAGTACACCTCAGTATTCACGCTGTCTTGGTGCTTTGTGCGTCCGGCCAGCAAGCAGCACACGCGCTGTTTCGGGTATTAGTGGGCTGATCCGGGCCAAGGCGAGAAACAGTGCGTGTGCGTGCGTGATGAGAGGCGTGCGTTTCGTCCGCCCATGGCACTGCGGCTCATCTGATTGCTATTCATAATTTGCATGTTTCCCGAATCTGGACCGCTGCGGGACGACATTGGCTGTAGGGCAGAGGTGAGGCCTGCAAAGGGGACCAGAAGCCGCGGAGAATACCGTGCAGACATCAATGACAGCATTCAACGGACTACAGCAGCACAGCCCTTCAATCCCATCCGCAGTGGGTTTCGGGGCTCAGCCGCTAAGAAAATAGCCAGCCATGTCAGAACTCCAGCGCGCCCCCGCTTGCTCTTACCCAGTCCAGCAGCGCCTGCAGTGGTAATGCCTCTCTGCCAGGCGCCTGTAATTAATGCTGTACCTGCGAGTACCTGCAGCCCTGAGCGTGCGTGCGGTGCTCAGTAATCCATCCATCCGAATCAGACCTCCCTCTCACTCACTTGAATCCTTATCCTGAATCCTCATCCCCGTCTCCCAGCTTTGACCTGCTTTCTCCCAAATGCGCTACCCAACACCGCCTCGCCGAATCTTCTTTTGATGCCAAAGCGAGTCGTCGCGTCACACCCTCGATCCGAGCGCAAGTCTTATTTATTTCCCGCTTACGGCCCTCGGCAGCGGTCCTGAGTAACGGTCACAGGCGGGCAGGCAGACACAATCGGCCACGGGCAGCCAGTCAACCTCTCCCCAAGATATCCTGTCAATCTATTGCCTTGCTCCGAGTAGCACAGGATTCTCATTCGGCGCAGTCTTCTCAGTGCAGTACGGCACTCCGGTATTACTACCAGCTCTCCGATGTTATAGCTACGCCTGCGATTGCATATGCTTGTACTCGCTGATATTTCGGCAACGACGGCCTTCTGTTGACATCCCCTGCGCGAATCGACAACACTTGGAGGTGGGACTTTTTGTGGCTCAATTTTATAAGCATAAAAGGATACAGAGGAGAGACATCTTGTTCCATTATTGCAATATAAACTCCAGTACTCCCGTTTTCGATACGTAACATCCCTCGCCACTCACCAAACTCTACTCCCGTCTGTCATATCGCCTTCCGCACCACCGCAGGACGGCAATATACACCTATTAGGACTTTTGACGAACCAAACACGCTCTTACCACGAACACGAGAGCCATCGCTTCTCATCCCTCACCACTATGGATCGCATGGGAATGTTCCAGATGCCGCCGCTGGTGGCGCCGCAGCTTACAAACCAGCCGCCCCAGATCTTTGGCTCGTATCTGGCCGAGGGCCTGCCGCAGCTGACACCGGACATGGCGGCCCAGTTGTTCCCGGATTCTAGCATGTTGCTGGACGACAGTCTTGATGCCAAGAGGAGGAGAATTGCTAGGGTAAGTCTAGTCTTCTATATGCCTGCCGGAGCGATGTTTGACATCTGTGTTACGCTGGCTTCCACCCTTCCCCCGATCTAGCTTGAGATGTTGATCTAATGTCTTTGTGACTCTTTACTAGGCATGTGACCAGTGTAGAAGGAAGAAGATCAAGTGTGACGGCAAGCTTCCGTCATGCACACACTGCACCAACTACAAGACTGAATGCGTCTTTACCCAGATTGAAAAGAAGAGGACGCCGCCAAAAGGGTACGACTGATCTAATACTTCCAGTATTGTGTGTGATGCTCACATATACCATAGTGCCAAATACATTGAGGCGTTGGAGAACCGCTTAGGTCGTATGGAAAAGCTTCTTCGATTGGCCGGTACGCTTTTTGTCGCTTCTATTCAATGAACATGGATGTTAACATATATACCCTCCCTAGGTATTCTCGAGAATGAAGATGATGATCTTGCCGAACTCGAAAAGAGACTTACCGAGAAGGCACAGCAGGGAGGTGCTGCTCACAGCTCAGGGCCTTCCTCACCTTTGCATCTTGCGTCAGAAAGTGAGGCCACAGCATCTCCCAGAAGCTCCGTGACATCGCCAGGTCTACAGAAAGACAAAGACAAGAGACAGGAGGATAAAAGCAAATTAGGCGCCACGCCAGCAAGCACTCAAGGAGAGGAAGAAGTCGAGGCTTTATCTGAGATGATGTGCTCTTTGGTGACTAATCAATCTGGCGAGACGAGATATATCGGTAAGACTATATATATAGACGTAACATAACGTTGATGTCGTCCATGTTGACTAACTTGGCGCAGGCTCTTCATCCGGATTCTCCATCTTCTCGCCAAAGGGCGTCCAGTGGATCAATCATAAGACCGGCGACAACTCATTCCAGAATATGATTTCTGAAGTCTCGGAAGATGACCACAAATGGACTAATTGGAAGCCTGAGATATTCGGGGATCTTTTCAAGCGACCCGTCTTCCGACCTCTACCATCCAAGCCCGAAGCAATGTCTCTGCTCAAAGATTTCTTCGAAAATTTCAACTGCATGTTCCCACTCTTCCATCAGCCAACTTTCATGCACTTAGTCGAGCGTCAATATTCTGATGACCCCTACCAGGGGTCCGGCTGGTGGGCAAGTCTCAACTGTGCTTTGGCCATCGCTCATCGCCTGCGTGTCATGAGTAACCTAGTTCCACAAGAGGAGGATGAAAAGGCATGGGGTTATTTGAAAAACGCCATGGGCGTCTTTTCCGAGCTTGCCATGCGCAACACAGACTTGCTGAGTGTCCAGGCTCTACTGGGGATGGCGCTCTTCATGCAGGGAACTCCCAACCCTCAGCCAGCCTTCCTCTTGATTTCCGTCTCCATTCGACTTGCGCATAGCATTGGCCTCCACAAGAAAGGAACGGGATTCAACCTCAATCCGATTGAAATTGAGCAGCGCAAGAGAGTCTTCTGGATTGCCTATATGCTAGATAAAGACCTCTGTCTTAGAGCAGGTCGCCCTCCTGCCCAGGATGACGATGATATGAACGTTGAGCTCCCCGACGCCGATCCGGAAGATAACATTGGCAATATCCCTTTGGCTGATGGAAAGGGCAAAATGAACTTGTTTCGAGTCATGTGCGAGTTTGCCGTCATTGAAAGCAATGTGTACAGGAGACTGTATTCAGCCAAGGCAGCAAAGCAGTCCGACGGCGAGCTTCTCGCTACGATTGGAGAACTGGACCAGCAACTGGAGGAGTGGAAGGACAGGATTCCCATTGACTTTCGCCCTGAGCATGAAATCAGGGCCTCACACACACCGCTCATTCTCCATATCGTCATGGTGCATTTTACCTACTATAATTGTCTGACCACGATCCATCGTATGTCAGTACACCATGGCTTTTGGACCAGCCGGCTGGCCAACTATGCCATCTCAGGCCAGAATGTGCGACCGTTGAACCCGAGAATATTCTCGTCTGCTATGCTTACGACAGCAGCAGCGCGAGCATCCATCTCTTTGCTCAAATATGTCCCTCAAGGCGATTTCTCATGTGTCTGGTAAGTTTGAGAGATGTTGGAAAAAATCCTAAGCAAAGAGAAGCTAACTATTTTATACAGGCTGGTTCTTTACTTTCCAGTTTCAGCACTGGTTACCCTTTTTGGAAATATCCTGCAGAATCCTCTCGATGCGCGCGCGAAATCAGATGTTAAACTAATGAATCTGGTCGTCACGTTCCTCTCCATGCTTGGCCAAGAGGCGGAGCAGGGAGGAGTGCACAGAATGTTGGGCGTGTGCTCTGAATTCTGCCGTATCGCACAAAGTGTCATTGAAAAGGCCGACAGGGAGCAATCTGCGCGCCGAAAACGAAAGGCAGCAGATACTCCAGGAAGCACTGAAGGTCGCAATCAATCTTTGCCGCCTGGTGCCACGGCAGCTGCATCCGCGGCCAAAACTTCGACACCAGCATCTTCCGCACAGGATACGCCAAAATCAAGCTCCACGACGGCAGCAACAACGCCCCAGGCGGCTGTCCATGACACCCTGTCGCCTGAATTCGTCGCGGCGCGCGCATCGTTCCAGAATGCAGTGAATAAGACGCCGTCAGGGCTATCACCATTGGCTGACTCGATGCAATGGGGCCCAGATGTCCAGATGGGCCAGGATATGGACTTTGACACGTTTGGTGACTTGGCCGGATTGAATAGTGACATTCAATCGCCGCCACTGCCTGGTGGTGGTACGTTCCAGCAGCCTCTGCTCCCGCAGGATCTCTACTCCATGACCATGGGCCTGGACTGGAACTGGGTTGAAATGAGTGGAGGGGCGTATCCCACGGTAGAGAATGGCAACTTTGGCAACCTCGAGAATACTGGGGTAATTGATCCAAGACGGCAGATGTAATACGCTTGGAATCGATCAAGACTGGAAGGATACATCTATGCTCGCAAGACTGGTATATACCTGTACTTCAAGCTAACGTACATTTCGAGATGTGTTTCGGCTCGTTTTTTTTTTTTCAACCTCCCATTCTATTCTTTGTTTGGAGAGTTGATCATTTTGCAAAGTTGTTCTTGCAGATGGAATGGTGTTTCATTTAGCGGTTCTCATGTACAATAGCACGACTGATGACCGTATCGACTTCTCTTCTCTATCATTTACTTGTTCACCGTTTTTTTTCTTTTCTTTTTCCTTTTCTGTTTGGTCTGGGACTCTTTTTGGAGATGTTATCAGAAGAAAATGTACGATATTCAACAGCGATCTACTGCGATCTACAGCGAGGGACAATAGTACGTGCACTTTTGTAAACTGCGATTTGGATATGAATGATGTCATTTTTAATTCTTATGCCGATCAACGCTCGAAATCGTATCGCGTTAAAAGCCCCCAGCCCTCTCAATGATTAATTATAGTGTTTTTTTATACCCAGTTCGATACTTGATAACCCAAAGGTGCAGCTCAAGTATTGCCAATAATATGCTGGGTACCCCAGCTTTCTTATTGTTTCATCTACTGGTATCTGTGTGAAAAAAGCACAAAAAAACACAAATGAGCCTTAAGCTCCCTTCCTTTTCAAAGGGGCCATATTAAGACCAGAAAACCCCCATGTCACCCGCCTTTCCCCTGTGTGCCTTTCCCTCTGCCAAGGCAAGGGCTGCACTTTGTAAAACAAGAACAACGACAAAAAACAACAACATGGGAACTCCTCATGAATGCCCAAGAATACTTTGCCCTCGTTTCGTGTAGCCGTCCAAATCGTATCTTTTCGCTCGATTTCCCATTTCGTTAAGTTGTGGCTTGTTCTTGTCGGCATTCAAGTTCCACTACTCTCTCTCTCCTCAATGACTTCCCTCCCTCCCTTCTTCGTTTATTCCCCCTGATCCTGAACCTTTTTTTGTTTTTTTTGTTTCTGAATTTCAAGCTTTCCAATCGCCCCTTTTTTGATGGTCTGCTGAAAGGGAATATATGAGTGAGTTAAAAAAAAAAACAACAACAACGAATAAACAAAGAGCCAGAGAAAAAAAAAAACTGAAAACAAAAAAACATCGACAAGGAAGAATGTTTGCCCTAAAGTCGAATAAAGGGCAACTTTTCTGCTCGTCGGGGGAAAAAAAAACTATATATATCCCTTTGCCTCTGCCAAACGCCATGCTAAACAAAAATCGCAAAATGGAGGATCAAGGATTCCTCTTTGTCCCAAGGATGCAAAATGAAATTGTAGGTATGAATGAAGAAGAACAAGAGGGCAAATCGGCCCGTCTCTGATCTTCCGTGAGTGCCGAGCCTTCATGTATCGTGGTATAGAGCTTGAAAAAGTTATCAAATCGTTGTTTCCCGTAACTTTCTTTTTTTTTTGTCCTGCCCAAATCATGTAGAGAATTATCATGGACCGTAAATCAATGACAAAAACAAAAGCTGCCGAGGTTCTCTGAGAGCATTGATTCCAGCTCTCTGCAGTTCTCCATCGGTGAACGCTGTTGAAAGGCAAACCGGATCAAAATGGTTACAGTTGTCATACTCCAACCATTCCAGGGCCATAGCTTGATTGGCGCATAGCGCTCGGGTAGGGTGGCGTATTGCCTGAGCTCTGCACAGTTGTTAGAATTTACTTGGCAGCATCATAATCCAAGATTTGGCTTGCCTTCTTGCGGCGCTTCTGGCCTCCTTCACCTTCCCCCGTAGAGTAGCCTGTTTCTAGGCCAGTGTCGTCGTCGGGGAAGCCTTCGCCATATCCTTCATAGCTGCTATCGCCGTATGACCGCTTCTTGATGCTCCGCTGAGGTCGTGCGGGATTTTGGCCGGGTAACAATTGAGACTTGGGCCTGCTCATGGCGGCCGCCCCAGACATGGATATCAGGGGCGTGTTTGGCGCCGTAGGTTTCGCGGACGGTGCCTTGGAACTATCACCATTAGATGGGCCAATATCCCCCAACACTGAGGAGTCCCAAAGAGACTTCGGCACCTGGCCCTTAGCCAAAGTCAGCGCGCGACCCAAGGTTGATTTGGTTACATCTGATAAGCCATCCATGAGAGATCGACCCTTGACTTGATGGACGTTCCATTCATGGTCGGGAACCTGCAGCATGGATAAAAAGTCTGAGGGTGCGTCGTCGTTCTTCTTTGCAACATCAAAGTGTCCAGTGACGCCCAGTCGCTTGATGTGCCCCTTATACGTCTTGCGAAGCGCGTTCTTCTCGCCGTTTGGCTTTTCTCTGGCGACTTCGGTGGCCAGATCGACCAAGTCGTACATCTCATAAAGATCTTCCGATGTCCTAGGAAAAGACTCGGGATGCGCTAAAATGATAGCAGTGTCAACAAAGCAAAGATCTCAGAACAACAAAAACGTCCCAACGACTGTCGAGATCCCGTCTTCCAGGGGCGGAGGAGCGAGACGAGGGCAGCGGAGGGAGTCTTACGAGATTGAAGAAGGAGATATTTATGGCCGACATCTCGGTGCAGGTCTTCAATGGCGAGCTTGTAGTCGTCCACGTGAGCCTTTTTCAGCTCGCGGTCGTCGCCTACATCTTCGAGAGGCCGCTTTCGCTTGTGCGGCGAATCGTCGAGCATCATGGAGTCCAGCTGGGAGGAGCCGTTGACGCTGTGTGCGGGAGTCGGCAAAGTCGTCGTTCCTGTTCCTGCAGCGGCCACAGAGCCGGATGAGCCGAGAGAGGGATCCGAGGAGGTGGCGGGCGAGAATTGCGAGGGGCTTTGGGGAGTCTGGGGATGGAACGACATCATGAACAAAGTCTCCTCGCGAGAAAACCGAAGTGGCGTGTCGCGCCAGGCCAGCGGCCGAGATGTCGCTGCGCTACGGGGAAAGGGCCTTGGTTCAGGCGGGCGGCGTCATACACTCGTATACTCGTGACAGAATGCCTAGGCTCAGATCCCTCGCGCTCTGGCGATGGTTGACGGCGATGCCTGCGCACAGAAACAGGTCCCGTGTTGGCGAAAGAAGAGGAGCAGCCGGCGCCTTCAGGGTTTTTCGCTGCCGTAATCGGTAGGGGGCGAGAGACGGTGGATCGCTCGAGGAAATTCGCCGCGGCGCGAGGCGGATGCGAGAGAGCGGATGGCACGCACAAAATCGAGTCGCGGCGGTCGTCAATCGTCGATTCGGCGGGCTGGCAGGGAGGGCGATTGCAGGGCGACGCTGGCGATGGTTGAAGCGGTTGAGGGCTGGGAGATGATGAAGCAAAAGGTGGAGTTGGATGGAGAAGGCAAAAGGGAATTTCCGAGCCTGAAAGACGAGGCAGTAGCAGCGAGAGCGCAGGGCGGGCGGCACCGCACAGCGCAGCACAGGCCAAACAGGCGCTGGCTTGCAAGGGCTGCCTTTCTTGGCTAAAAGGCTCACTAGCGGCTGTCAGCACTGAAGCCGTCGGCGAGCACAGAAGGGCTGGCGCTAAGCTCCAGCGGGTTGGTTCCCTTGAAGCGGAGGGTCCGTTTGGGGGAGCGCGTGTTGCCGAGGGCCTGGCCTGGTGCCGTTGTAAGGAACGGAAACGCTGGGGGCGTGACAAGCAGACCGGGCTGGCGCTTAAATGCCCTGACGCTCTGTCAAATCAGTGACCACGGCCGGTGTATCCTTTGATGAATCAAAGAAACGCGCTCTGTGTTGCTGGTGTACATTCCTGCTTGTTTTCCTCTTTGGGCTGCAGTATTACTACAATTGCTACTATTGATCTTAGTACTTCGCAGTCCATCATCTCTGGGCAAAAGGCCTGCGACGGCATGTGCCTGTATGCATGTCTTAGTTCTCTTCCAGCGAGTGAAAACTCACCGTTGCCACCGCAAGTCCCGCTCTTCTCCGCCCTTTTCTTCGCCAAAACAGTCAATCACCAGCCCTCAGCTTCGCAAACGGTGTCTTGATTCTCGACGATTAAACGCTTATGTAGCCGAGCGAGTCAGTTGGCTCGTGGCGAGGTAGCAACCGGAATTACCTGCTAAATCCTGGAGAAAGGACGTGCTTCTACTGTATAGCTGATGCATAGGTGCCTTTCTCACTCACAGGCTTTACGGATCTCTTCGTGTGTGTTCATATCTAGCCAGCCTCTGTCTACACAAAGTATTTCCATTGTCTTCCCCCTCATCTTTAGGCACTGCGAAACATACACCCACTCGTATTGAGTCTTATCGCGTACCGATGTACAACTTCTTACCACCACCGTATCACACACCGCAACCGCTGTATGCCCGCTAAAAATCAATTCCTGCCGTATCCGTAAAAGTTCCATTTGCATCACAGGATAAGTCACATGATATGCGGGGCCAACGAGATTCTCGGCAAGGCTGCAAAACCGAAACTCCACGTCCCCCTCTTAATCTTTTTCTCTTTCTTTTTCTTCTTTTTCTTCAAACAAACGACCAGCAATCGATGAAAAAAACACGCCGCCGGCCCTGTTCTGATCACTCAGCGACAAGCACGATGCTGCCCGACGATACCTCGATGCCTGGTCCAGAATGCACTTTTCAGCAACCTTGCCTAAAACCATCATCACGAGGGCCCCGTCTGTGTGGCTACCATGATGCGATGATGACCTGATGCAAGTGACATATTACTCTCAGAACAACTGTATAGTTGAAGAAGGATCTGTTGGGTACAGTGGTAGATGAAGACGGGAGGATAGAGAATGGCCACAACGCGGCTCTCGGTTGCGTTTTGTGCATTTGTGCGTGTGTGTGATTGTATTGCCATCTTTGATCGATTTTTTTTCACCTTTCCGTGACTCACCAAATGGATGCGATGCTCTCCTTTCATACACGCGCACATAACCATGAATTGAGGCGCTGCGCCCTTTTGTATTGCCGTCTCTTTGATTTCCATACTTAAATAATCAAGGTAAGCTTTTTCCTGGCATGGATAGACTTGATTTTACCTACACCCTTTATTCAATTCGATACACCACTCCTCCATCATGATGACACCTTTACATCTGGTAAACCTATCTACCTTGATGCTGTTTTCTGGGAGTTTTGAATAGTTTCTTTTTTTACGATTCTTTTCAAAACATCCGTCAACCACTTGGCTGCAGGCGGAAAATCTAGGCTTGACTGATTTTGCAATGGTTTTATATAGAACAAGGAAATTGGCTAGTCTTCGTAAATTGCATACTAACTCAAGTCATTCATTCAGGTGAGCCTATTATACCGAGCAATATTGATCAACCTTTGTGAGACGTGTATCCCAGACATCGAAAGTTTAATTTTACTCTGGTCGTTATCCAAGGCACAGGATATCCAAAGCATATATGATGACTCGCCATTTCAACGATTACTGAAAAGGGAATCTCATCGTTGACGCGGAGATGAAAACGGAATAACGTTGGATGGCGTATTCTTCAACCACTTCACAGTCAGACGTCAAAATCTACGACAGCGGTAAAACATTGTTTTATGCAATGGCTTATGTATATTGTCTCATTGCCATATCTTCGCCCAGCGACGGGTAGCATCCGGCTCCCAAGAAAGTAAATATATATATATACATATACACAGATGAATGAAGAAGAAGAAGGTGAAGAAGAGAAGAAGAAGAGAAGAAGGAAAGAGGAAGTTGAGAGAGGAAGAAGTAGAAAGAGAGAAGAAGAAAAATTGCCTGCCACACTTCAACGTGTCCAAAAATGTCCCAAAGCATAACCCTCAAGGCAAGGGGGAGAAAAGGGTATGTCCTTGTAATCTATACAAATGAACAGAAAGAATGAAAACAACAGGAAAGAAAACAAAAGAGGAATAAGGGAGAGAGAAAAGAAAGGAAAGGAAAAGAAAGAAAGGAGGAATAAAGAGCAGTCGAAGAAAATAAGGCCGGATGTTAAAGAATAGAAATTGCGTTGTTCTGCTCCCGCCAACTCTAAGAGGGTATTTGGTGTCTCAAATTCTCTCAATTTCCGTATATGATCCCGTCGTCGTCGCTCCAGGTCAATTGTTTTCCCTTTTATATGTGTATGGTTTTTTTCCCCATATATAAACGTCAGCCTCGTTGTTGCAAAAAAAAGGTATAGCTTTGGTCTTTGCAATAATCCAAGCTCTAATATGGTAGTGCCTGGTGTAAATCGACTTCGCTTTGGCGGTGCGTAGACACTGGCTTTCTCAAAAGCCGATAAATAGCTTCTTCGCCGTTTTTCCGGCACCTGCCGAGCCTACCTGGCTCGTCCGTAATACATTCCCATAGCATCAATCATTTGCTGTCCGACTCCAAAAGGGACAAAAGAGGTAGAAAAACAGGGAGAAAGTGAATCAAGTTAAATGGGGATGGGCAACGTTGACCTCATCCATGCTACCGCTAGCCAAATCAAATGCAAATGCATCATAATCGCTCCCCTTTCGCAAAACCGATCTGTCCTTCTTATTGCTTCTGGTTGTAGACATCCACGTAACTTCACAATTGTGATCTTTGAAATTGGTGTTGTGGTATAGACTTGGCTTCGTTTCCTTGGCCATTCTATAATCCACAGAGAAAACGTAGACTTGACTTCATCTTGTGTTATGATGTGAAGGAGGTCTCGGCCTATCCAAGGGTGAGGCTTCCCCTCTGTGGGCTGCATACCCTCGATGCTGGTGATCTGCATAATCAGCTGCTCCACTGGTATACATGCTTCTTGCTTCAGTTCGAGTATCTTGGCCATTCACGCCGCTCGGCACAGTTTGAGAGAATTCAGTTGTTCCTGTATGATCTTGATAGCTTCTTGCGTTTGGTTGGCCACCCGACGCTCGTGACAGTGGACCTGCCAGAGAAGGCGTCAGTGGAGCTGTTAAAGGCGCAGCTCCGTAGCTGGCCTGATATGTTGCAGAGGCTCCATATTGCGATGAAGGTCCGGTTAATCGATGGCCATTTGGCTGAGGAGAGTGAATCGGTCGATATTGGTCTGTCGTGTTTAGTGGCAAAGAAGCTGAGGCGGCTCGAAGTCGAGACCCATTCTCTGGAGTCTGTTGATAGTTCGGATAGCTTAATGCCGTCGGCGATGGTTGTGCGTTGTTATTGCCTTGAGCTTGATAAGTAAGTATTAGTCTGAGGGCTTAAGCAATTTCACGTTTTTGAACTCGACTCACTCGTGTAAGGACTCCGATCAACACTCCCCGCGTTGCTAGATGTATGGTTTACTTGATTTGACTGATAGACCAAGTGAGGTCTATCAGCTGCACTGGAGTGTGCATTCGGACCTGAATACATATAATACGATTGTAACGATTCAGACCTTGGTCTCGTTGACTCTCGACCGTGAAAGCCTTGAAGTGGCCTAATTGCATGACGATGCGCTTCCAGAGATCCGTGAGGCCCGGCACTTCCGTGTGGAGGGTAGCGGTCAGTCGTGTGTGGTGATATTGGTGACATTACTCCAGACGAATTCACTGCATTCGGAGCATGAAATCCGATACTGCCAAACGATGGGGTTAGTCCGGTTGGTGACATATGCTCTGGTGCATCTTGACCACGCCGAACATCCACCATTAGAGGCCTCATTATCGATCCATTCGAATACTGAGCGTGCGAAAAATCAACTGGTTGCGCTAATGGCAGAGGCATTCCATGAACCGCGCCGTATGGTGAGTGCAAAGCCTGCACGTTATCAAAATCATCCGGAACAGCCCTCATTTTAATCATTCGGTCACGATCATCGGCATTGAGCCTTTTAATCTTCGCACGTCTGACACAATTGTTAGATCTCCATACAAGCTTCAATCCTCTCTTCCAAGCTCTTGAGAAATTCCTTTTTTTGGGCATATCTTACCTGTTTTGAAACCACACTTGCACCTGTCTAGGGCTCAATCCGGGTATTTCTCTAGACAGTCGCTCCCGATGCGCAGCATCAGGATGAGGCTGCTTTGCGAACTCGCTCGTTAGGAATCTCGTTTGTTGATGGGTAAGTCTTTGCCGGTATGTTAGTGCTTTATTCGTCACCAACAATATCCAGAATCCTACCTAAAGCGCTTCATCTTCCGGCGGGCCGCCACTCGTTCTGCTGTAGTTTGCAGTAGCGAATCTGTTTCTTCCTCCGCCATGTCCTCATCAAGCAAAGCATCCTCCGCATCGTCACTCGGCACTGCCATGGATTGATCATCTGGTCTAAACGTATTTGAAGGGTTGCCTAAATTTTTGGACATGGCCGTTGCTGCATTGATATGGTTCGAAGGCGCGGGGAGTCTAGTAGCATCTCTACCAGGCGTGAGCGATTCGTCTAGCAGAAGCGAAGCCGTCTTCATGCCTCTCGCTTCATCCTTTCTCTCTGATGGTTCTGCCGCTCGGGAAGGATAAGTGGTGTCCTCTGCTCCTACACGATAAATGTTATGGCGTGAATCAGATGGCAGCGCCGGTTGTCTATCAGTCTGGGCTTCCAGCCGAAGAGTCCCGTTCCCTACCACGGGCTGTGGCTGGAATACTCCCGAGCTGGCATGGTTCGATTCTGAAGATTGAGTATAGACCGACCCGGTGGGTTGCGGCAGATAGGGATACTGCCCTTGCCAGTCTGGCTGAGCTGAAGTCGAGGCGTCGTACGGGTCTGACATGCGTGAACTGGTTGGTACTTTGCCAGAGGGAGGGAAGTATTTGCCAAAGGACCAGTGGCTATGTTCAGAGTCTGAAGGTCTAGTGACGAGCATTGGAATATGTTTTTGGGTCTTCGGATGAACAGGCACCAGTAGAGCCACCCAGGCGTCTTCTTCGACAAATACTTGAAAACTCTGCCAACATCAACTCGATACGAGGTCGATAAAGCCGCCGGCAGGCTGTTGATAGATCCAAGCTCCGAAATAGGTAAACAGCTTACGAGTTGTTGATAGATACTCCGTGGTAACCGACAATAGTAGCAGGTGTTACTGTTTGACTTGTTCCTTCTGTTCGAAAATATTGTAGACCGGAAACTAGGAAGGAATCAACCTCATCAAGTGACTTATCACAAAGAACAAGCTTAGTTATGCTGAAGAGCAGCTGCACGAAATAAAGGTCGTGCGGATTTGATCTGATCAGGATTGAGGGGGCGGGAACTCTTCGAAAAGAGGCTGCCTTTGATGTCGCCCAGCGGGAGTGCTGCAATACAGTGGACGTATCCCTTTGGCCGAGTTAGTCAGGACAGAAGTAGGTAGTTAGCCGCCTGCAAGAGCGAGAGAGCCAGTGATCAAGCCCCCCCTTGTCAAAGCAAAGTTAGAACGTGAGTGGCTATCCAAGCCCAGGTCGCAAGACTGATTTGAAGGGGTAGCATCTGGCTTAGTTCCAGGTTCCACGAGGTAGGATTGGGGATATACTACTTGTATGGTGACATGAGAGCTCGAGGACCAGATACTACCAGGCGCTTTGAGTGGGGTCAAACATCGATATGGGTGTAATCGATGGTCCTGGAATCATCAGCTCGCATATATGCCTCGTACAGGTATGAGGTGCTGGGTCCTCTCCAGATGCTGGTAGGGTGGCCGACTTTTCCCAAAGCCTGTAAGCTCCAGATCTTGTCAGAGGCCAGAGGAGGTACTCGTAATATCTGTAGGGAGGGGTGTCAGAGAATTGTCCGGACAGAATACGGCAAAAATGGAGGCTGCCGCTAGGTACAAGTGTTGATGGAGAAGAAGCTGTGGGGGGGTGTCTCCGTACCTGGTACCTGATGAAGGAGGATGGGGTGGGCAAGCAGATATGCAGCTTGGAAGCTTCTTGATTCGAAAAGCCGCACTGTAATAATGGGCCAGCTACAGAGCATGCACTATAACCCTTGCGGTTGTCGGTTGAGCTACCAGGAGTCTTCCGTGTTCCAAGATCGGGAAAGAGGGCCCGCTACCAGGAAGGGTATAATTGAGAACGGCCCCTTGTCTGCTTCTTGGTCGAATTGCTACAGTACCTACTACGACTACTTCGTGGTCTTAGTATCAGTACATGTAGCCAACTACAAAGTATAATGTCATGACTTTAGTGAAAAGCGAGTGGCAACAACTTACTGTCTATGGCATTCTTTCCATCTATCCAGCTGAGAAGGGTGATGGACGATGAGAACGAGAAAGCTCTGCTGCGGGTAGCAGTAGAGCAAGCCAAGTAGGTACGAGCATCCTAAGATTTTGCGCGTCCGCGTAGGAGGGGGAGTGTTCAGAGGCGCCGATGCAGTGATCCGATGCATATTCTTGCTTCGGGTATGCAAAATCAGACCCATCAGGATACGACGGTCGGTCCTTTGCCTGCACGAATCTGAACACCTCGACTACTGCAGTATGCCATCGAGACCGCCGACGCCAACAGCGAGATACGTCCGCGCGCAAGCACAAGCTGAAATGGCCTTTTCATTAGCCAGCATTTTTGCATGTTTGACAAGGTTCATAACAAAGGTGAAAGTCAAACAGCAGCAGAGGACGAAATGGAATGGACTACCAGACGGCACCTCGGCTGGGCTATTCCATGCTCCTGGGAAGCAGCAGCACGTTGTTCTAAGTCAACTCCACAGACGAACGCATGACCGTCGCTCAAGGCGTGTTTTGGTACTGACGAGCTCTTCGACGGACCACAGAGTCCATTGTAGTCGAGAGCATGTACAACGGGCAAGGGGCTAAAGAAACGCAAAGGGTTGACGCCCGGGGGCGCGCATATCGGTGAGCATGGGACCGCCATCGAGGACAGGGGGTCGCCAGCGGCAAGCAAGCAACAAGAATCCGCAAGGGCCTTGTAAGTGGGGGACCGCCACAATTTCGAATGCAGGTAATAGTTACAGAGGATCAGGTAGCAGTGGAGCTGTGGTCTTCTGGCGTTCAATCAGAAAGAACAGCTATAAAGGATGTAAAGGCGGATGTCCTTGGCCATTGTCCTTCTGCCGCAACTGGAAGATGGTGGCAGCAGCACTAATATGCCCAGCCTCGTTTCGCCTGCTCATGCAGACAATCAATTGGGCTAGGAGAACATGTGAAGCGGATGACGCTTGGAAAACTGCAGCACCGATGCAGCTCAGGTATCCACACCTCCTCCCGAGCGTGGCGTAATGGCGCTAGAAGTCGTCTCGCAGCAGTTGTGCCTAGCACATGCGTCGTTGGCTCTCATACGATGGAGGCAAGGCAGACGGCATTTGCGGCCAGGGCTCTCGTTGGATTCTCATCTTGGCTTGGATCAGGCTGAAGCGGGAAAGCTGCATCCCTCGGTCTGACCACAATGGTCAATGGCGAGGGGGAGGGGGAGGGGCATCGGCACCGACATTGGAGGAACACAGTTGGTTTGCCGTTTTATAAGAGCATCGCCAGGATATCAATCTAGACATGGATTCATTAGTGAGCGGAAGAATTACAGGGCAACGCTAGTACTGCCCGGACATCAATCTAAGAGTCACAAGCCTTGCTCATGGAGGCATGTACAGTATGTGCAAGTACGAAGTATTCAGGCCATGCTTTGTAGGAAGTGCTAATACATAGGCTGAGAATGGCTATGCGCCGGTGCAACTGGGCCAGACTTGGTGGGGCCAGCTCAAGCCGCAAGATGTGGCTCGTTGAAAGTGCTCATTCCGCGTAGCATTGCCGTCGTGTGGGTATTTGATGTACATGCGTTACCTGCCTGCATTTAGTCAACCGTGTAGACACCAGCGCGATAATGCACGGAGCTTAGTCGCCTCAACTAGGAGGTCTGTCTAGTCGCAGCAGCACGTCTATGCCAGCAGCAGCCGTACTATTTTGATGAGTATACTCGTACTGTAGCAGCAGTGCTCGTAATACAAGTACTCTTGCTGCCGTATCCTGCTGTTTCATCCCAAACCGGGGTGGCTTGACAAACTCACGTTTCTAGCTTCCTCAGGGGTAGTTGCAAACAGAAGACTCAAAAATGTCGTTGGCCTCGGTAATTGGCAGGCCCACGGCTTGTTGAATCGTTGTTTTACTTTGTATATCCCGTTTTGGCAGACATGTAACAGCCAATCGTAAAGTACTAACGGTCTTCAGCCAACCACTGCCTATTCCTAGTAAAATCACATCAGCGTCAGCAAACGCCCATGAGCGGAACAAGCATGTTCCCGTAAACCCAAGGCTTACAAGCACTATATACGCGCATGCGTATGTGGAATTTGTTCGTACAATTTAAGGCTGTAGGAACTTCAATGTCGCGCAGATATTTTGTAATGAAAGGAGGAGACGCCATGTCGTTTCAAGAATGCCTTAGCAGCAGTGGATCTCTGGGTCCGGGCGGCTTATGCTGTCAACGGAAACAGGAGTGAGATTCTAGAAGGAAGAGACGCTCCACCATACAAAGAGCATAATAAGACACCATGAAAGTGAGAAACAAACTCTACTTACTCAAACATCGAGCCGTTTGAATAAGCATGAATTCCAGAAGCACGGCGGCGTGGGGCAATGATTCGGAGGAATGCGGTGATCGATGGTGCTAGTAAGCTGAGTTGCCAGCTATCAAGCAGTGGCAAGCATATCGTACTGAGTATATGAGTAGAGACCTGCAGGTCAGACCATAGGCCCTCGCGAATCTGTCAGGCCGCCGCCGCCGCCCCTGTTGAAACAGCTGCGCATGATTGGGAGTAGCTCTTCTTGTCTTCGTGCTTCGCGCTTCGTGCCTTTGTCTACTGCTGATTGTGTGTGCCAGCAGCAGCAGCAGCAGAGACGTCGCACACGGCACGGCACAGCCAAGACGAGATATCGCATAGTCCCTGGTGAGGATCACTCGAAGCTTGCAGGCCTCTCCTGCTCAATCGTTGACGCATCTATAAAGTCATCATATATTACAGAGCAGCATCTGCTCGGCGGAACAAAGACGCACGTTGTATCTATTAGGCAAGATCCGACCACATGGCATTTCGTGCCAGGTCTCGGATGGCCGCCGGCCACGCGGACGCAAGCTGCCACCATGTCGGAAGTGGGAAAGCCTCAGGGCCACTTGGCTCGCTGGGCATGGGTCGTCGTGTTTGACGCGGCGGGTCTGGCGGTTTAGAACTGGAGCTCTGGTGGTTCTGCTCCCTGTCTGGAAGATGGGAAAAAGCACCCCGGCCAGCTGTGGCACGACTGTGCGGAGAGTTCCTGGATGCCACTGTTGTGAAGCAGCTAGAGAGTGAATGGATCGCCCGATGGCCCATGGCAGGACGCGACGATTGAGAGCGGCCGAGCTGGCATTGTCGCCCTCGTCGTCCTCGTCGTCGTCGTCTTTCTTCTTTCTTCTCTCCTTTCGTTTCTCCCAATGCTCCCAGCGCTCGCAGAGTGTGTAGAGGCTGGCAGTCGGCACTGTCCTTGTAGATCGCAAGTCGACAGGAGGAACAGATAAGAGTGGAGTGGATGCAGTAAAGAACCGGCTTTGGTCGTGGTTTTCCGTCAGGTGCATACGGCTGTGTGCATATATGGAGCAAGCTGCCTTGACTGTCGCGTCCTAACAAGGTATGATAAAGTATTATCTCGATTCTCCGAAGGTTCATGGTGGAAGAATACAACCTAGCAGGGCCTGGGGTGGTAGCTTAGCAGGAGCGGCACGAGGGCGGTGCCGTCTGGTACCTGTACCAGGACAGAAATAGCCTATTAATATCAGCAGGCACTCTGTACCAGCACTAGAGCCTTTTCCACCACTTAAATCACGACAGCCACTGTACTTTGGAAGCAGCTCCAACCACAGCAATGCAACACGCCGTCTGCATGATACTTGAAGCTGGCACACCATTCGTCAATCACTTTCCAACTGCTATTACCACCCATCAGGACGGCCAAGGGATCCGGAGCAAGGCCAGACCAGGCAAGAAAGAAGAAGACCAGAAAACACGACGAAAGCGAGCAAGGCTGCGCCGGGGGAGGGTGCACGATGCAGATGCAGCAGACGAGATATCGACACTCCCCCGAGACCCAGAGGACAAAGGACCGTTGAGCCAGGCACCCGGCTTGCTTTGTACCTCTACCTTGCGCCCCTTGGCATGCATGGCTGGCCGCGTGAAATTTTCAGGACCTCTCGCGTAGCCTCGCGTTGCTGTCTTTTCCCCCGCGCCAGACACCTTGCCAGCCCCGGCCGCTGTCCAGCCGCCCATGCGACGCTCTTTTTCTGCCAGAGCCCAGCTTCTTGCGCGACAAAGCGGGGACCTCTGTTCCAATCGAGGCCCGGACCTTTGCCTCAGTCAGTGCTAGTTCCCGCCCGAAGAGGCTACGGAAGAGAGGCGGATGGAGCAGCCGGGCCTTTCATTTCGAGATGCTACCGCGTGCGGAACGCTGCAGCCACTGCAACTGGTTGAGCTGCATGAGCTGCCGCTGCTGGGACGTTGGAGAGATGAGCAAGCAAGGTACCCGGGCTTTATTAGGGAGAGGAAAAGCAAAGCCTGATGGAGTCTTTGGGAATTCTGTCCCTCTCCTGCACTGTGGGCGGCCTGTCGGACAGCGGCCCTGAAGCGTTCTCGGTTTTACTCCAAGATTGCCCGAGCAGCCAATGGCCGCGGCCTCTCGCGCCTGTTGCTGCTGGTTCTGGACCTGCTGAAACAAGCAGGTGGGTGGTGTGGCGAGGAAGACTGTGGATGGACAGCTGATGTGATGCCTCCAAGTCTAGATATGGGACGGCATGCGGGCGCAGAGTAGCTTGTACTTGGATTCACGCAAGCTTGCTGTTGACAGTAGTGTTATGGCAGCCGGCTTGGAGCTACTTGGGAACAAGCTTCAGCCAGGCACACAAGGTAAGTAAGGTGTGAGAGAACGTGTGCCTCGTCCCCTGTACAAAGTGGTAGTATTGCTACTCTGTGTTCATTCTGCTTTGGTACTAGGTATGTGTACGACAGTACCTATCAGCAGATCCTTCCATGGAGATTCTAGGTATAACCCGCGCGTACTCCAGTAGGAAGAGGGCGCTCCTACCAGGCAGGCAGAGCCTTGCTCAAACATGCTGCAAGCAATCGTGAGCACATGGGCTGGCCACATGCTCCCCTTGGACTAGGCCAGGTCTTTAATCATGGCCTCAGCAGGCGGGAGATCTGCCCCCCGAGTGGCATAAGGATGCGTAAAAATTTGCAGATTCATCGCTGCAACTTGGCTGCCGTACAGCAAGTGCGGAGCCCACGCCGGTTTATATTAGCCGGAAATCGACATGGCCGCTCAGGAAAGGCTCGGTCCTAGGCTGCAGAAGCTGAATGTTGGGGTAAATGTACGTCGCCCCTTCGGACACCCAACTCTTGGATGTGGCAAACAACGGACGAGCGCCGCTGTCTGTCTGCTCATTTCGGATGGGTCCAGCCAATGTTCAACAATGTGTGAGCCCGCGCATCTAATTTCCGTCCAGCTCCTGCCGAGAGTCGTGATCAAGCCATCCGCGTCACGGTGGAGGAAGGACAATCCTCCAATTCAGCCTCAATTTCTAGAGCAGAACTCGGACGGTTTTGATCCTGGGCGGCGTAGCACCGACCACGGAGTGACATGCCGCCGGTATGACGCGGGCCGTTGCTTGATTGCTCCCCCCTTTCTCTTTCTTGTTCTCTGCCCGAGTTGGAAATTTGCGATGGTGGCTTCGAGCACGGCTAAAATTCCAATCATGTCGAAGGCTGAAGCGAGAATCACAGCCGCTGTGAGTGCTGCATCGTGCATTAAAGCGGCGGCCTATCTTGCCCACCTAATGCTACCGCTCTAGTCTTGCTGCATCTTTGAGAAATTCCCGCGTCTCTGGCCGGATATGGTGTCTACGCGCTGAGATTGCTGCCATCTCGCACCATGAGTGAGACGTTTGCCGTCTGATCGGTAAAACTACTCAGCCTACCTACCTAAAGAACGAGGTAATTGCCGCTTTGTCTCTAAGCGGTCTATCCCCTAATGACTGCGGCATTACGCTACACGCACTACGGTGATCAACAGCAAATACTTCGTATTTCGCAGTGTTGCCGATAGCAGGCACTCGTATCAAAGCTGTAAATTGTCTACACGCCATCGACCGTTATTGTTAGCATAAGGCTTGGTGAGACATGTCGCCAGCCCGATCTTAATCTATTATTAGCCCGCGGATGGCTTCCAAGGTTGCCTAGCGCTGAAACGCTGGGAGCACAGACGCTACCTACAGTGCCTAGGCGCCAGAGTCGTGCCTGTAATGAGCTGGGACAGAAAAAGTACCTGCTATAATAGAGTGGCTGCAACCCATCTATGACACAAATAGCAACTCGTGGTAAAATAAGCAATATATCACGGCAAATCAGCAATATAAAGAAGCCAGTTCGTTCTCCACAGAAGGGCGGTTGAAGATACGCGCCCTGCTTGAGATTATCAGATTTTCGTATGCATGGTTGTCACAGTCACTAGACTTCTGCCGGCATATGCAAGTCAACACACCTCGTAGTCCACCTACATACTGCTGACCGGTACGGCTGCTCAACCTTGCTTTTCATACAGGGTGGTAATATATTACATACTTTGTGGTCACTTGAATAGTCTCGTGACTACGCACGTCAAGTAAGAGATATTGGGGTCTACGACTAAGTTTGCATGAAGCCCTTTCACACTGGTGCTCAAGCATGAGCTTTAGATAAATTATAACAAGTACAACTTGAAAGTTGGATGCCGCGGTTAGATAGATAGATACAGAGTTATTGGGCTTGAGTCAGTCAAGTTGACAAGATATAGTTTTAGCACGACGAATGACTGAATTTGATGCATACTTGATAAGATATGCTTACTACGATGCTCCAAATCAAATGCCCAGATGTATCTGATACAAGGTGTTCAAAAGTACTAGTAGTGAGAATCAATGCATGAGGAATCACCACAGAGTACCTATTCAACACATGTCAAATTGAGGCCTTGAAAAGATTTTCAAGCTTGTTCAAACTTGGAATTTGTACAATTTCCAATTTCCAAATTAAAAAACTATACACTGTAGTCAGTTTTTTTTATTCTAGTTATTGATGCCCTCACATCTTCAAATACAAGGCTTTAGAGCTTTCAGTAGTCGTAGAATCCCTTTCCACTCTTCTTTCCCATCCAGCCGGCATCTACCATCTTTCCAAGCAACACGCTGGGTCGGTACTTGGAGTCCCCAGTTTCTGTGTGGAGGACCTTCATGATCGACAGGCACGTATCGAGACCGATGAAGTCAGCAAGCTGCAGAGGTCCCATGGGGACATTTGTTCCGTTCTTCATGATGGCATCGATTGAGTCTCTGTCACCAACGCCCGTCTCAAGACAGATGATGGCCTCGTTGATATAGGGCATGAGGATTCTGTTTGCGAGGAAGCCGGGAGAATCAGCTGAGACAGAGGTGATTTTGCCCATCTTCTTACAGAATTCAACAGCTGTATCGAGCGTCTCCTTGCTGGTTTGCAGGCCGCTGATGATCTCAACGCCCTTCTGCACCGGGACAGGGTTCATAAAGTGGGTAGAAACGACTCTGGATGAAGCCGAGGTGTCATTAGGATCAGTGGTAGTGGCCGCAGCAATGCTTGTAATCGAGATTGAAGAGGTGTTTGTGGCCAAGATGGCGTGGGGAGGCGCAATCTTTGCCAACTTGCTGAAGATCTCAAACTTGAGCTTGGGGATCTCGGGCACAGCCTCGATGATGAAGTCGACAGATGAGAAGTCCTCAATGTTGGTGCTGGGTTTGAGCAGCGCGCGGGCCTGATCGGCCTGCTCTTGAGTGATTCTTGACTTGGATACATCCTTTGCCAGCAGCTTCTCTGTTATCACATCTGTCAGTATAATGACATCACTCGGCTTACAGCTCGAAAGGAGCTCCAACGCACCAGCAAAAGCAATTCCTTTGTTCAATGCTTGCTCAGAAGCATCAACAACGGTAACGGGAACTTGTGCTCTTTGCGCGGCAACAAGAGCAATTCCCAGACCCTGCCTGCAATGTTAGAGCTTCTTTTCTTTCACATGTAAGAGAGCAACTGCTTACCATCTGGCCGGCGCCGAGGACACCGAGACTCTTGACATCGGCGGCAAGTTGCCTTGGGGTAGAGCTGAAGCAGCGCACCTGGCGCAAAGCTCCCAGCGCCCTCCGTCGAACAATTGAGCTGGCCATGTTGGATTGTGAAGAATAGATGAGAACGGTGAGCTCGTGGGCGGCTAGAGGAGGTATATAGGTAGACGCTTAATATTAACAGCCGCAGCCCGGGTAACCTCGGCCTCGGTCCTTGGTCCACGGCTGCGGTTAGAGCTAAGAGGCAGCTAGAGCTAGAGCGAGAGGTAGAACAGCTTATCGGCTGCCGATGATGATCCGCTTATCAGACCGCGTAAATTGGTTTACTTTTGCGCTGGAGCGCGTCAAGCTAGACGCGTGCTGGAGGGGCTCTGTAAGCTCTGAGGGCCTGTATAATTGATCCGCTTGAGGCACTGCGTAAAGCGCATTGAATTGCTTTCGATGTTGCTGCTGTCGCTGATTCATGCATCTTCAAATTCATAGCAGCTTCTCGCAAGACTGCTGATATGGAGCTGGCCGACGGCACAACGGACATTGTCCACCCAGAAGTTCGGGCACACATCAGCAGCCTCATCGCGGCGGTAGGTTGAAGAGCAGCTGCGCTTGTGCCATATGCAGATGTTCAGTTGATTTTATGCTGACGAATGATGATAGCTTGGAGGCGCCGGTTCGGAAGATGATGGCCGATATCACCTGGGAGACGACGCATTGGAGGTTCTCCGCGATATCAAACGATGGATTCGCTTCTACGATGAAAAGACGAACCGCATGGATGTTGCCCGCTGCATCCACGAAGCGAACCTGATCGAGGGAGACTTGCTTCCGATCCTGGCAACATGGCCAGAAAATGCCACCGACAGCAAGTACAAGTCTCGAATCGCGCTGGCGTGCTTTGAGGTCATGGTCCCATTGACGTGGCCGATGGAGAGGGACAAGGAGCGGATGACAATCAACCACCATCGGCATATGCCTGTGCTGGAGCTTGCACAAGTTCAATACAAGATGGCCATTATCAATTTTGATGAAGCCCGGATCTTGCATGCTGCTGTCAGGACTGCTCTGCCGTCGCTGGCGCTCCCTGCGGGCGATAGAACAGCACGAGATCAAGGCATCATCAAATTGGTGCTCTTCTTCCTTCGCAACATGGCCATGATTGCGCCTCCTCCCAATGTTCAATACGAGGGCGATGAGACGCAAATTTCTCGGTCGGCCACCATCGACGCCTTTTCATACCAAGACATATTCTTATTCCTACTCACCTTGGCTTCAAACATGGGCGATGATTTCAGGACGGAGGACACGGCTGTCATGGAGATTATCTACCACCTCATCAAAAGAGTTGATATAGAGAAGCTCTACATGACAGATCAGCAAGTACACAAGGCCAAGGCGCATGAGCTTACGTCCCTAATGAATAAGGAGTCGGCGATGCTCAAAGCTTACACCCGCAATGGCCCGACCCGACACAACCGCTTCGGTACGATGATCTGGGTCAAGCGTGAAGATGGCAAGATGTCGTCGCTTTCTGGGCAAGATGCTCTCGCCGATACCACAGCGCGCAACTTGAAGATGGACAAGAACAAAGTATTCAAGCCTCCTCGCAGGACAAGGAAAGAGAATAAGGATGAGAGGGACCTAGGACCGCCGGCGAAGCTTAACGCGCGAGCAACCGGACAGCTCCGCTCATTTGTCGAAGAATTTCTCGATTCGGGCTTCAATCCCCTATTCTTACATGTTCGCAAAACGATCGACCGAGAGGCTTCGCATGTCATGCAATACCACAGGAGGCAGTTTTTTTACCTCGTGGCATGGTTTCTAGAGGCTGAACGGACACGGCAGAAAATGAAAAGGGACTCTCGAAGGAGTAATGACGATGTATCCAGCTTCAGCCTCGTTGCCGGAGTTTTAAACCAGGAAATGTTTATCACTCTCAATAAGGCAATGAACGAGGCATACGAGTACAAGGACTGGCATGAATTGGCAGCTGTAATGAGGTGCTTTACGCAGATTCTGCTCACTGTGCAAGAAATGATTGAGAGCGGCAGAGAAGACGATGAGGAAATTGCAGAGAATGTTCTGAGCCGCTTGTTTTATGAAGAGTCGACGCATGATATCATCGCCAACATAGTCAGGACGTATAAGGATCAAGGATTTTACTACTTGGATGCTGCTACGGAGCTGGTCCATCATTTTCTGCGTATTTTAGAAGCATACTCCAAGCAGAATGCGGACATGCAGGTTCGCTCCCGCAAACGAACACGGCAAAAGAAGAACAAAGATCAGCAGCAGCAGGGTACAGAAGACGGTGTCTTAGCCGAAGAGAATGATGACTCGGCTAATGACGACGAAACTGCGGAGCGCACCTCCAAGGAGCGCAAGTTTGACTTTCAACGCTTCGCGGCTCGCTTCACACCGCAGGGTGTTGTGGATACGTTTGTCAAGTTTACGCGATTCTACCAGGATATGGACGATTCACAGCTGAAACGCGTTCATCGATTCTTCTACCGGCTTGCTTTCAAACAGGAGATGAGTGTGATGCTTTTCCGCGTGGACATAATACACCTATTATACAACATGATCAAAGGTCCCGAGCCTTTGGATAAGGGTTCAGGCATGTTTAAGGACTGGGAGGAGCTCGTGAAGCAGATCCTTCGTAAATGCTTTAAAAAACTCGAACAGAGACCAGAACTCCTAATCGAGATGCTCTTTAGCAAGCTGCAGAGCACTGCTTTCTTCTTAGAATACGGATATGAGAAGCAGACTGCCTCTAAGAAACAGGCGAAGCCGGGAGGCGAACTCATCTTCAAATATACAGAAGAGCGAGATCGTCAGATTGCCATTGTAGTCGGCGCACTGCTCGACAAGAACGAGGGGGATCATATCAACTGGGTGAAGAGTATTCTCACTGCGGCAGAGAGTGAACGTCGGTCGTGGGCTGCGGCAGAAGAAGTTTTGGCGTCAACTGAAACTCCGTTGGAAGAGCCAACAGATGCTAATGCTCCAAAGGAGCCAAGCAAGCCTCCTCCATTCAGTAAGTCGCCCAATTTATCGTATGCAGATACCTCTAGAACTAATCAATGTCTAGATGTACGTGTTGATAACGACGCGAGACGCGCCGCGAGATTCAAGAACTCGTACTTACGACTTCTGTTGAGTCTTTGCGGAATTCAGTTGCTTGGCCCCGCAAATGAAGAAACGCCAGAGTCTCTCTGGATAGTCCCAGGAGATGTCACTTCCGACGAGCTCAAAGACACATTACATTATATCAACCAGGCAGAATTCAGCCCTCCAACATTCGACGACGGACAGCTGGCAGAGAATCAGCTAAAGAGAAAACTACCACCCCGCAAGAAGGCTGATTTTGACGACGACGAAGACGAAGACGTGGATGGTGAATTTCTGTTCGAGCCTGGCGGTCCAACAGCGAGAAAAGCTGTTGACGAATCAGAAAGACCTAAAAAGACGAAGAAGAGGAGACGGAGGAATAGCCAGGTCCTGGAGCTGGACGATGAGGAGCTTGAAGAAAAGGCCCGTAAGCGACGCGAGCGAGAGCGCGAAAAGGCACGCAAAATCAAATCCGCCGTGTACGTCAGGGAGGGAGATGACGACTTCGACGAAGAGGAAGACGAAGCGTTCTTTGCTCGCGAACGGGAGATTGCTGCTCGCGCCGCCAAAGCTGCGCAGTCAGCCGTGGAACCTGCCGTTGCGAAGAAGCCTATCAAGCGCAAATCCGCAGTACAGGTTGACAGCGATGATGAAGGTGAAGGTGAAGATGATGATGACTTACTGCTAGGAGGCCTGATTGACGACGATGAAGAGGCGGAGGGCAATACCAGTGGGGATAATACCCCCGCTGAGGAGAGCGATGGCAGTGGCAGTGGCAGTGGCAGAAAGAGGAGAAAAGTTAGCGTGGAAGAGGATGATGTTGACGCAGAGGGCGACGATGATGTTGACATGGAAGATGCTTCACAAGCGCAGCAGTCGGGAGCGAAGGTTGCGGAAGAGGGCGACGATGCTCCCGTTGTGGTGACCCGGAGGCCGAGGGTACGGGGTGGTTTTGTCATAGACAGCGATGATGACGAATAAAAGGGGGGAGGGGGGGTTGGTTTCTTTTCCTTTCCTTTTTTTTTTATTTTTTATTTTTTATTTTTTTTATACTTTATATGTAAAAGAAGCATTGCGAGGGATTTACTTGGGAGGAATTGGATGACGGTTACGTATTTATAAGAAAATTGCATATATATTGATGGGTATTATAACCCGCAGAGATGTCGTACCAAGTACTCTGTTATGTAAGTCTCTACTTCACCATGCTCTCCAAATTCATGTAATAAATCCACGCGATAGATGGACGTCACCTAGGGTATCATGTGCTTTTTTTCTTCTTTCCCCTCTTCCTCTTTTGACAATGAGCTAACCAATCATGTAATGGTTACGCCGTGTCTGACACTATGCTCCCTCTACGTAATCGGCCCGCCCTCTTATCAATGCTTCTCCTCCTAGTCATGGTATTCTGCGTGTTCTGGACTTGGCCGAGCTCCGCCAGGTCCTCTTGGCTTTTATAGCAAGCGGCTGCATCATCGTCGCTGGCATCGTTGGTTCGGCGCGAAGAGGACGATGACCTGCTCTGTATGGGGGTGTCTTCATCGCTGCTCTGGATTTCATTTCGGCCACCGCCCCAAGATCCGCCGATGCCTTCCATCGTAAAGTCTGAAGCGGTCGGCTCGTCGAGGGCCATCAGCTCGTCTGGGTGGAAGATGCTGGGCAAGAGGAGAGCGCGCAGGGGAATGAGGAGTAGGATTATGATGGGGAAGCCCACGGCGGCGATGGTTTGTGTGATGGCGAAAGTGGCGCCGAAGCCAACCAGCTCGATGATTACGAAAATCCATATGGCGATGCGGCGTTTGATGAGCTTGAGAGGGGAATTTGCCGGCGTCAGGTTCTTGTCACGGGCCAGGAAGAGTAATTTGACTGTGATGCCGTTTGCCTGAAGGGCTTGGACGCCCATGATGAAGAAGAGTCCCGCCAAGACTCCGTGAGGGACAAGATGAAGGACCACGAGAAGAGGACCGGTCATGGTGCCAAGGGTAAGAAGCCCCTGAGCCAGGTTTGATACCCGCTGCTCGACAACGTGAGTCGTCTCAAAGGTATATGCACCTTTATCTTCGCCCTTCTCATCGAGCTGCTTGACAGCTTTGGTGACGCAAAGGGATTCTGTGTGAAAAGGGGCTTGGGGGATCAGCCCGTTGGGGAAGGGTAATCCGAGAATGCCTGCCACTCCAGTGGTGATGCCGAGAAGGAAGAAGTCCCAATGGAACCCAGCCGGCTTTCTCAGGGGGAACTCGCTTCCCTGTGCGATGAGGGACGACACTATAGCAGCGTTAATAAACACGTCTCATGAAATTGAGTTGGGAGAAATGTATAGGAGCAATCATACCATTATGGTCAAACCAGAATAGGATAGTTAGGAGTATGGCAAATGGCAGCGCAGTGAATATTTGTCCAACGCTCAAGTCCCAGAAATTAACAGCCCAGCCTCGATCCGCTGTAGGCTCAAACGCCTTGCTGGTTGGGAGCACCGCCAAGTGCACCTCAGACATACGGCCAATATGCACAAAGCCGGTAAAGAAGACGAGAGTCAGTGGTGTCCCATAATCTTTCAAAAAGACACGAATTGGGTGTCTGAAGAGACTGCTGGATCCAAATTCACTGCAGATATAAGCCACCATAAATAGCAGCAACGCTGCGACAATGGAGAGGTAGAAGGCGCTGTCGCTGCCAAGACGCTCCAGAACTTGAATGCCCTTTTGGAGATAGATGAAGGCTACGTAGAAGCCAAAGATGTCGCAGGGGAATCGTGTGACCCAGCGAAGCCAGTTGCAAGAGTTGGTAATAGCGAGGATCCAGTGTAAAATTAGAGACCATCTGGATACGAAGGCTGTTAGTGAGTAGCCTGCTAACAGTGTGTCAAGTCTGAGCGCGGTGTTGAAGCTTACATTCCTATCCAAGCCATGAATCCCAGATAGTTGACGCCAGTTGGTTTCATAATATTGTATACCGTACTGTAAACGGTCAGTTAGTGGGCGAATGTCGCCAGATGGCTTGTATCTTGGTGCCTCTCGTACCTATTAAACACCGTAATGGGACCTATGGAACGCTAGAATTAATATCAAGGTGTATATGATTAAACACAGAGAGCAACGTACCAGTTACTCCAACGATAACAAGTGGCTGAGCAGAAAAGATGGAGAAGACAACAGAGCCCAGGACAGAAGCCAGCAGAACTTCGTTGACACCGTAGTTGGATCCCGTATTCTGGAACATGTCTAGCGAGAAAGCAAGAGCGGGTAGAATGCTGTCAATGGCACAGACGGGTCAGTAAAAGTCCATGAATGATTTGCAAACGGTTGCCTGTTTGCGCATACAAGGAGAGGAGGGTTGGTGGCGTACTTTGCAAAATACATAAAGACTGTGGCGGGCACCACTCGATAATCCCACGCGTCGAGCCAGTCGCTCACGTAGTAAGGCGCTCTCCGACGGATATCATTGACCATGCCACGGAAAGGATGGATGCGCCACCAGGCCTCGTGCCGCCGTGTCGTCGATTTCGACGCATCGCCGCCTCTTGGTGTTGATGTTGATGTTGATGTTGCCGCTGCCGCTGTGGCCATGGCTGGCGGCTGGTCGTGGTGCTTCGCTCCTCCTCCATCTCTGTCCGGCAAGCCGTCGGTCACGAGATCTAGCATCGTGAACAGTTTCTCGGTATTCGCGACCACTTCGTGCCGTCGATGCCGCCTCTCGAGTGCAGAATATGCCGAGACCAAGATGCCAGGCTTTCTGGGAGTCGCAAAGTCAAAAGGCGAAACTGACTGGTCGGTGTCAGCTATTCGTATCTCTTCATAACAGAGACATTGAGGCAGCAAAGGAGGTCTGCACGCAGAAGAGCGTGACAATACAAGGCAGGAAAAGCAGAGGCCGAGAGTTTGGTCAACGCCTTTATGGAGTTCCAACAAGGGAGTCTTGTCAACACCCCCTGCTCAGGCAGTATTAGCTGGCACCAGAAATTGACTGCATGCAGCAGAGGCAAAAGAGCCAATGATTGATTCCTTAATTTTTCTCGGTTCTCCTCTTTTCCCACCTCTTGGATATACACAATTGGAGCTGGAGAAGAAGCCCATGTCATTCTTTTTTTTTTTTCTTACCTCTCACCTCTTTTTTCTCTTCCGGATTTAGATTTGAGATCGGAAGACGGCGCCAACACTAGGATTAGCATTACGCACTGGAGGGTGAAACATTTCCCAAGATGGCTTAGGCCTCGTTGCCGTTTACCGCGTTTTTGCCCCTCCACATGGCATGGGAGTGTTTTGTCGACTTCATTCGTGCTGTCAAGTCGGTGGCCTTTATTCTTCTTCTTTACATGTGTTACATATTGCACAGCGTACAAGTATGTGGCAGGCAATTTCAGGATTCGACGATACAATCCACAACCATTAGATTAAATCCCTCTACACCTCTCCGAAATTACGCCCTTGTCTTTCCTTTGGACATTCAGGTACGAGCTCATGCCCGGAGCCTCAGTCGATCCAAGATATCTACAAGTCTATCTCAAGCGGGCGACAAACTGCACGAGACGGAGCACTACACTACTAAGAGAAAGGCATAAAGGCCACCCAGTAGCCTCATTCAGCAGGGAACCTAAAAGTCACCGCAGACTTTCTCACTCGTCACCGGCTGTGGAACTGTCCTCGCTGCTTAGCGGCCGTCAACGCCAGTACTGCTAAATCGTCATGCCCAAACACCGAATAATTACTAGGAACAATTACGCACTGTACGAATAAGAGAGAGAACTTTTACCACCAACCAGCAAACGATGGCTCTCAGTTAATTTTGGCAATTGTGAATTGATGCGGGGAACTTGATATAGCATCTGTTGTGTAACTGCAGCTATCTCAAGCCCCAGTCTTTTTTTCCCCTCCAGCCTGATAGTCCAGGTAGGTATTCTGGATGTATAAAATAGTCGACATTCACGCCAGACTTTTTTTCCTCGCAAAAGGCAATAATACCCTCAATTCACTGATACTTAACGGATTCGCCTACTGCAGTTAGCAAGTTCTGCGATCCTACTTCTAGTTGTATTTTTCTTTTTCTTTTTCTTTTTTTCTTTCTCCACGATACGGTCCTTCTTCGTATCTCAGCATCCCGGAACATCGCCACTTTATGAGCCCCTTGAGTAAAAAAAAAAAAAAAAGCCATCGCTTTTTCTCAATTAGCGCCGCTCCGGGGGGGGAGGAACTTTGCCGCCCAATCATCTTCGACCCGGTGCCGTAGCCCAAGATTTTTACCTAGTCCTATACCCGGATCGCCAATTAGGCCTACAATACGGCAAACATGCATGTACATAGCTGATATTCGCCCTTATCTCATAGATTATAAATGATGCATCTTCGCTTGCGGAGGGTTATGGCGATACAACTCTGCCGAAGCCCGTGCAGTATATTCGTGCTAGGTACAGGTACCAGTATGTAGGTAAATTGAGCCTAAATCATAGACGTCACTACGTTGTACAACGTACGCCTTGAAGCTACCTCTCATTCGATACATGGGCATTTCTTCACAAAAGCTTCTCCAAAGCTCTTCTACATGATTTCTTCATCCTTTAGATTCATCTACGGTTCTAAATCCAGGTACAAGTACACAGTAAAGTTCAAAAAAAGCCCCCCCTTTTTCCTTTTTCCCGCTAGACCCCTAATATGATGATGGTAAAAATACATACAGTGGAAATTTTTAAACATCTCCAGTGCCCACGGTAGAGTTGAGACTCGTAGAAAAAAATAACACAGTCCGCCGTCTTTAGCCATGAAAGTAGCGGGGATTGTTTCCCGCTGCGCTGGCGGGAAAAAAAGGCGGCAGTAGCCAATCCGGACATGTCGTCAAGTTCTCGGCAGCGTCCCTTATCCCCCCCTCTTCCCACTGACACCCATGCCTCCTCAATCTTTATGCTCGTTTCTTACGTCAAAAGGCTTCCAATCTTGGTTGAAATCACCTCTTGACGCCCGATCCGTCATCTGAAATATCGCGAAACGCAGGAGCAGGCGTGCCCACGGGCGGGTCCTCCTTGGGCGTGTCTGTCTCAGTAGGGAAAGGCGGCGGAGCGCTCGCCTCCTTGCCTCCTCCAAAGAACTTCTCAAAGTCTTCATTGTCGTCGAATGGTCGCTTGCCCAGAATTCGTACCATGTCATCGCGAGAGAGAACCTCCTTTTTCAGCAGCTCCTCAGCAATTAGCCCGACTTGCTCCTTCTTCTCCACCAGCAAAGTTCGGCATCGAGCGTAAGCTTCTTCTACTATCCGGTGCACCTCTTGGTCAATTTGCTGAGCCGTAGCCTCGGCAAACGGCTTGACCATGCGGTTCGGGTCGTTCTCAAAGTGCACTGGTCCCACCTTGTCCGACATACCCCATTGAGTGACCATGCTGCGTGCCATTTGGGAAACCTTCTTGAAGTCATCACTAGCACCGGTCGTTACCGTGGAGAAATGCAGCTCTTCAGACACACGCCCTCCCATGGTCATGGCCATTCGGTCCATGAGCTGGTTGGTGTTCATCAGGTAAGCATCCTGAGGTAGGTATTGCGCATAGCCTAGAGCGCCCTGGCCGCGGGGAATGATTGAGACCTTGAGGAGGGGGTCGGCGTGCCTTAGGAACCAGCCACAGATGGCGTGTCCAGCTTCGTGATAGGCCACGGTCTTCTTCTCTTCCGGCCTGAGTACGAGTGACTTGCGTTCCAAGCCTCCGATGACTCGCTCAATTGCACGTTCGAAATGTATCATCTTGACGTCGTCTGCGTTCTCTCGCGCGGCTATTTGAACTGTTAGCATTGAAGATCCCATCAATATTCCACTTGTCGTTATTACTTACCAATTAGAGCTGCTTCGTTCACAACGTTGGAGATATCCGCACCAGAGAAGCCAGGGGTCAAGGTAGCAAGTCGGCCAATGAGATGTTCATGATCTTCCTTGGTGACAATCTTCTTGAGATATACTTGGAAGATTTCTTGTCGTCCTTTCATGGTAGGTCGGTCAATGTAGATGTGCCTGTCAAAGCGGCCGGGACGCATCAGCGCCTTATCCAAGACATCAGCACGATTGGTACCGGCCAAGACAACGACCTGTTCTCGAGTGTTGAATCCGTCCATTTCTGTAAGAATCTGGTTAAGGGTAGCCTCGCGTTCATCATTTCCGCCGAATCCACGACCGCTTTCCTGTCGAGCACGGCCGATGGCATCGATTTCGTCAATGAAGATGATGCAAGGCGCGTTCTTTCGGCCTTCGGCAAACAGGTCTCGTACTCGAGAAGGACCCACGCCAACAAACATCTCCACAAACTCAGAACCGCTTACGCTAAAGAAAGGGACGCCAGACTCTCCAGCAGTAGCCTTGGCGAGAAGAGTCTTTCCTGTTCCCGGGGGACCAGAGAGAATGGCGCCTCGAGGAATCTTGGCACCCAGCTTCTCAAACTTTTCGGGCTGCTTCAAGAAGCTAACGAATTCCATAATCTCCACCTTGGCTTCCTCTAGACCAGCAACATCACTGAACTTGACCTTGACTGCGCTCTCGGCGTTGAACTTTTTGGCCTTGCTTTTTCCAAAGTTGAACATGCCTCCAGCGCCGCCTGCCCGTCCGCTCATGGACCGCTGTGTCCACAAAATCAAACCGATGAATAGGAGCGTTGGTCCGAATGCCAGAACTAGGTTGCCAACAGTGCTGCCACCCGCTTCGTAGCTGACAGGTATTCTCTCGGACGGAGGAATGCCCAGTTGATCCTGTGCTTCTTCAAGCTTCTTCTCAAAAGACTCAACGGATCCAATCGAGAAGATGTACGTTCTCCTGGCGCCAGAACCATCGGATGTTGACTGAACAGCATCAGGGTGCAGTTCCACGCGCACTTGTGATCCATTGACGACCACAAGTTTCTGTACAAGACCCTTGTCCAAGAAGGCCTTTCGTAGCTCCTGCCAGGTGATTTCTTTCTCAGAGAAGGGCCTGCTGAATGACTCAATTGCCCAAAGCGTGATACCCAGGACGAGACCAGTCTGGAGAGCATCCATCCACGAGTTCCTTTCGGGCTTCTTAGGGTCTGATCCTTGCTCGTTGGAATGTGAATCGCTGGAAGCCTTGTGTGATTGGGCTGCACCTTCTTTCTTCTCTCCGTAGTTGTGCTCGTTCATTTCATTGGTGTTCTGGTCAAACATGCCCCTCTTTCCTTGTTGCTGCTGTTCGATTTCCCATTCCGCTACTCGTTCAGCCATGACGAAGACGCATCGCATCAGCCGGCCCTTGTCAATTATTGACAAGTTGCCAGGTCCTTGGCGCATCTTCTGCAGCAGATCTCGTATCTCGGCCGGTGCACCGGTGTGCTGAAGCCCCACCAAAATGTCCTTCAATGTCTGCCTCTGGCCTTCGGGGAGCATTTCTTGAAACGCCTGCAGCTGCGATATCTCTTCCTTGGTCAGGCGAATCCAGCCCTCCGGCAGAGGTGGCAGGGGCACCTTTTGCGATCCCGGTCCGCCCTCCGTCTCTGGCTTTGCTTCATTGTGGTTGATTGGCTTTCCAGAGTCGGAGCTTTTATTCTCATCGGGATGCGGGGTTTTGGAGGAGTAGTATCGCGGGAGGATGCCGTTGTGCGCAGACAATGCTTTCAGAGGAGCTGTCCTGGAGCTGGCGACAAGTCTTTGTGTCCTCTGTAAGCTAACGCTGGTCGAGAATCTCGCCAGCTTGGCGAGCTGGCTCGACTGGCGAAGATATCGTGACATGGTGGATGGCGGCGGTTGGTGAGCTTGACGGCGGATCCGCCGGTCCTGGTTTTATGGTAAATGCGCAGTGCAGCGCAATCTCACTCGCTGCGCAGAATTGCGCTTGATAGCTCGGATATGACGATGCCAGGAAACCGATAGATGCTAGGAGAAAACTGAGATATTCCAACGCCACTGCGGACTTGTATGACACTACGAGACTGAAGCCTGCCGGCCGAGGATCCACGTCTAATCCCGAAAATTGAACGGCATCACGTGATATTCTCCGACGCAGCGCAGGCCCTCGGTGGATCGGGATTCCGCCGCCCAAACTCCGTGCTCTAATTCTAGGTGTGCTTCCCATACCTTTCCAAGGCAGTAGATTACTATTATGCCAGTAATTTCATGTACATCTATCTCTCCACTAGAAGAAAACGTCTGATATCTATGCATCTAGCCTGATGAAAATGGATCGTATGTTACCATCGCCTTGTATCGGGATTGCTCGGCTGGATCCATCTTGCACTGGGACTTCCAGTAAACAGTCCTTGTCCCCCGCTGGAGCTAAATCGGGCCAGTCTCTCCAGACTTGTACCTCAGAGTTGATTGACAGATTGTGTTGAAGAAATCGGGATATGACGCGACGAGCCTGCTCTTTGTCACCAATCTCTAACAGTATGGCTCTCGGCCTGAGGTGGCATGCAATCTCCAAAAGCCTCGCGTAAAAGACGTCCTCGTGGTTCCAATCTACAGGAACCGGAACATCGTCGCCTGGAACCAGAGCTAGAGACGGTTCGTATTTGCGAACAGAGTATCCAACCTGGCCACCGCCATAATTCCACGCTCGCCGGGAGATATAGGGAGGGTTAGACACCATCACATCCCACCTACGTCCCTCTAGCTTCTCTATGATTTCATTCTGGAAGATATCCTCCTGCATGATGCCAAGGTCGTGATTCAGCTGACGGTCTGGGAGATGGCCAAGCATGATATTGTGGTCGATATTGCTCCTAGCTAGCTTTGTGGCTTGAGTAGATATATCCACTCCAAGGACCTCTAAGTGATCAAACTTCCGATAAAGTAACGCATACAGAAGCAGCGGTATACATCCTGTCCCCGTGCAGAAGTCGACAATTCCCAAGTCGCGTTTCGGGCCATCAATCTTCAAGCTCTCAGACTTGATTAAGTCGGCAAGGTGATAGGTGTATGCTTCAGTCTCCGGTCTTGGTATTAGAACACCAGAGCGACATTTGATATCGAGAGTTCCAAATGGCTGAGATCCCAAGATGTACTGCAAAGGGTAGCCTTGCCCCCTCTTCGTGCACAGCCGTGCGAGCAAGCTTTCTTTGGCAATATGTGTAGTGCCGCTGACGTGCTCTTTTAGCCATCGCAGTTCGTTGATGGCAGAAGGAATGTCTCTACATGCTGGAAGCAATGCAGCGACATTGGGAGATTGGCGATTGGCCTTGCAGAAGAGCCATGGCGAGATTCGCGGCATTGGCCCTACCTGATTTAAAAGACGGGCATATCTACTGGTTGAAAGCCAGGATTGCAGACGGCGAAATGGTACAAAGTGCTAGGCTAGAGGCGCAACCAGTGGGTTGAAAAATAAATAGCCGGTTATTAGCCGATCCGCTCTATCAAATTCGCCGCCAATGTCATCCTCCTCCAAGGGTATTTTCGAACTGCGACATTCATAAGCACTTTCGAACGATAATGGCAAGAGAACCCTTCTAAGCCAGATTTTGCCAAAAGTACTACTTTTTTTGGATTATCAGAGAGAATTTGCCATAAACGTTACGATAAAACTACGACAACCCTATATCTCCAGCTTTTTCCGACGGTGCTCTTGGCGGTATCCCCTACCACTGTGGCCTTGTCACGAGATTTCCCTCTACGCGTTCCTGAGTGAGCCATCGGGCGTTCCCCGCTGAAAGCTTTCATCTCATCAAAATGAACGCACCTGATCGGTACGTTGCAGATTCCATCAAAAGATTTGGCGCTTGTTCCTGTTGAATTTCTTTCCATGACTTGGTGATGGACTCCTGGAACTGGACGTCTTCGTACTCGAAAGCCGCACAGGCTATGGCTACGTCTTCTCACTTTTCGGGCTATTATTTTTACAGGCGGATGTTACTACTCTACTTTATGCCTCTTAGCCCTCTATATAACTGCTGTATGCAAGTGCGTGCCCTGCAGCTATAGCTGCCAGCTGCAAGTGATTCCTGCCCTCACTTTGAGCTGGCTTTCTTCCTAAAGCTATGGGAAGTCTCCGCAGCTGGAAAGCCTATTATCGACATGTCCCCTAACTGTTTCGTTTTCCCACTTCCTTCCCACTCCAAGGTTTTTAGCACTACTTCATCGATGCTATCCTGCTTCCATCATCATCCCCGTTCCTATTTTCATTGATCCGTCTCCAACTGTTAGTGGCCATGGCGGGATGCAATGCCAAACATGACAATCTTCAAGACAATCCGTTGCGTCTTTCCTTAGTCTTCATTTTCCTTTTGTTGTTTTACTTGATGATTTGCTGACATTGGCCAAGTTTCGAGCTCTTCTTACTCGCCGATGGCGAGAAGAAGATTGAGGAGAAGGTTTATTCTGGTGAGTAGACAAGCGTCACTCTGACGGCGTGAACGAAAAGTCTAATGTTTCTCCATAGGCATGTCCAACACCTCTGACTTTGTTCTAAAGAAAGAGGATCACACGCTGGGCAACCTGCTCGCTGAGCACCTCAAAGCCCACCCCAACGTCTATATGGCGGGATATAAGAGTGAGAATTGATTTCAATGGCAAGTGGGTTAACCATATTAACCATGATGGGTAGTTGCTCATCCTAATGTCCCTGAGCTCTATATCCGCGTTCAAACAGACGGAACCATTTCACCCCGCGACGTTTTCACGTCAGTCTGTGAAAAGCTCATCAACCAGCTCGAGATGTTGTATCAAGAGTTCACTCGCGAGTGGGAGCTGAGACGAATCACAAACACTGGAGACCAGGGTAATATGCCATCGAATGGCCATTAAAAAGATTTTCATCGAATCGTCTCATAGACAGGCGTTAGGGGGGGGCAGAAAGATTTGGGCTTTGCATTTCGGTTTTGTTTGGACCAGGGGAAAATGAGCTTTATATTATTCAACCAAGAATCTGTTTACAAGGATATTCAGGGCCAGCTTAAAAGTGGCAATCCTTTCCGACAATCGGAAACTAATATTCTGAGATAAGACTGTAGTGTTTTTTTTTCCCTTGTCGTAAGGCGCGTAACAATGAATACATATGACTGCACACAGAGGCAAGATTGGTAACCACGTGCTGATTTGGAGATAAATACGCCTTATGCTCTAATTCCTCAAGCTGCGGCACCAACTGGTCCTTCTCCGCCAGGGATCAACTATGAAACTGCGTTAGCATATGTGATATCACGTCAAGCAACGAGGAGTTGTCGGCCATACCATGCAGATGTTGTTACCGTTCAACAGAATTTTAGGAAGTTTTGTGTGGTTTCCAGAGTAGTCGCTGATTGGGAAAAAGAAGATGAAGAGTCAGCACAACAATCTGTGGTAGGATCACACTCAAAACTCACAATTCTGTCACATCTTCCAGCACCATGTCTAAATTCTTGTTAGATAAAAGTCTTCAAGTGGCGGATGGATGAATGATGAAGGCGTCCACTTACTGACGTAGTCGTCAAAACCCATGAGCGTGCCACTAAATTCTGCCCAAGGTGTTAATGCCACAGCAAGCGCAAGAGACGGGGGTGGATGCTGTAACCTTTGTCTCCCTTCATGACAACCCATATTCTTGATCCGACACACTTGTCGATAAGTTCTAAAGCGAGGTGTCAGTGGCATAAGGTACGGCCCAGCATGAGGCTCAGCAGAGGGACTCACCGAGGGGTAGCAGCTGTGACGCCATCTTGAAAAGCTCTTCGCGCACTGCCTTTCGGACCGCGTAAACGCTTTTGTGGAATATGGTCTGATGGAAATAGTAAAATTCTCACAAGCTCAAATCCCGGCCTCTCTTTGCAAAAGATGAATCTCTTATTCCTCAGTAGTTTCTATGCATCAGGGCGAGCTGGCCCAGCGCTAGGCAGATTGCAACAAGGCACAAAAAAGCCGTGCCCCACGACGGGTGACTAAGCACGCATACAGCGTGCATTTTCGTGCTCCTCCTCGTGCACCCGCCTGATACAAGTAAGCGCGCTGAGACGTGATGGTTGCCTCGGCGGCCAATCATCATTTATTCACGGATTCAGCTCTTGCACCCCCCGCCGGCTCGCTGCGAGGGCCCTGTAACAGAAGCTGAAGGGCTCGCTCGCAACGGGGGCGGGTTGATGTCGAGGTGCATGTTCAATAGCGGGCTTGGGCCCGTTTCCTATTTAACCCGTCGTCGTCCGGCTGCGAGGCATGCCTCCATGCCCGTTTCCATGTATACACCTGCGTATAGAGTCATGAGCTTCAACCCTCCCAACCAGCTATGGAGTTCCCAGTTTGGCGTTCGCTTTGGGGCGCTGGCATCGCCGCAAGACGCGAGTAATACTACTGCTACTGCAACTACTGCTGCAACTACTGCTACAACTATATCCCCTCATTCTTCCTTTTCTGTCCAAAGCGACGAGAGCTGGTCCCAGACCTCTGTAAGCTCGACGCAAACAGGCGTATTCTCGGCCGGGGCTGTTGAAGACCCACTGCCGCCAGCGTCATATTCAAACGATGTCGCTGCCTTTGATGCTGCTCGACGGCCGATTTCTCTGCCGGGTTTAAACGTCGCGGCCGATACAGTCAACAGCGTCGCCACCACATCCAGCAGTAGCACCGACACAAACAAGGCCGTCGAGCCGCCATTTACACCACTAGAGTTCAACATCTCCAGAGAGCAGTTTCTCGCCGCTCGTGCTGCCGCCCCTGGCACTCCAGAGTCCCACTGGTCATATGCCATGTACCATCGAAATGGTGAAAACGGGGCCGTTGACAATGTCAAGGTCCATTATTGTGAAAGTAAAGCCACCATGGAGCGCGTGTGCACAGAGTATTTCCTAGACCAAGATGTCATTGGCCTGGATCTAGAGTGGATGGCATACGCCAGGACGGCGGATGGGCCGCGGCGCAACGTCTCTCTCATCCAGATCGCGAGCCCGAGTCGCATTGCCCTGTTTCACATAGCAGTGTTCAAGTACGGCGCAGACCTTGTACCGCCGTCATTTCGCAAAATCATGGAGAATCCCAAAGTGAGCAAAGTCGGCGTCAACATCGGGCCAGACTGCACGCGTCTCAGGAACCACCTCGGCGTCAATGTCCAAGGCATCTTTGAATTGAGCCATCTCTACAGGATCGTCAAGCATTTCCCGCACGAGCGCCGCTTGATCCACAAGACCCTGGTGTCGTTGGCTACTCAGGTCCAAGACCAATTACTACTTCCTTTATACAAGGGAGAGGTACGGACTGGCAATTGGATGAGGCGGCTTAATCCACAGCAGATTGACTGTATGAGAAAACTCGCCCTACAATACCGCTGGACCAACAAAATGCTGACTGATTACAGATGCCGCATCCGACGCCTATGCCGGTCTCCAGCTTTACTATGTACTTGAAGAGAAGCGAAAGATGCTCGTTCCTTGTCCTCCGAGACCACATCATGCAGAGCTACGGCTGCCTATTTCTCTTCCTGATACCCCAGAAGAAGCCAAGAAGAAAGACGATGAAGATGCTGCTCTAATAGCAGACCCTTGTAAAACGAATGTCATCTCTAAACCGAAGTATCCCAAACCTAGAGTTCGCAAACCTAAAGTCTCATCAACAGAGGTTACAACAACAGAAATTGCAACAACAGAAGTTACATCAACAGAAGTTACATCAACAGGAGCTCCCGCAACAAAAGCCCCTACACCATCCAGAGCAAGATCAAGACGCTCATTGCCCAAACCCATCCCCGTCGACACTAGAGATGCGCGGGTCATTGCGGCCGAGGCGCAAATGAAGGAATATCGCGCGGCGAAAACGACCGAGCTCAAAACGGCCGTGCCGTGCCTCCGGGCGTACTACATGTGGCATCGAAACGAGGACCTCTGTCCTGGCGATATCGCAGCGCTCCTGCGCGATCCGCCGCTTCTGACCAGCACTGTTGCGCATTATGTTCTTGACGCTATAAAGGCCGAGAATCTGCCTTATCCCGTACTTAGATTACACAAAGAGGTGATTCCTCATGTTGACTTGAGCAGGTCATATTGGTCCAAGCATACTTCATTGGTCCAAGAATGTACAAAACTAGCAGACCAGATGAAGGCGGATATGGAGAAAGCAAATGAGACACACGAATGAAGAACACTTGACAAACAACTGTTACTTTTAGAATAATTATGATAGTCCTGGTATATTCAAGCCTGAAATGAAATTAAACAAACAAAGTCTATAACGCCAGCAATCCTGTACCCCTGTTGATCTGCACCTTTTTGTCTTCTCCTCCGCTCACGATTCCCCATGTCTTGTCCCACACCACGCTCAACACCTTGGCGCCATCGCCAGCAGGAGGTAGCTTCTTGCCCTTCAGCCACTCTCGGCCGATAGTATAGACGGGCTCGCTGACGTTGCCGTTGCCCTCGTCAGACGATGCGGTCCGAGTACTGCGCAGATCCCAAACGCGACACGTGCTGTCGTGCGAGCCAGAGACCAGCGAGTAGTCATTCTCCGGGCAGGGCGCCACGGAGACAACCATGTTGACGTGGCCTCGGAGAGTCATGGCGGCGGTTGCGGCAGCCGACTCTCTGGGGTCGAGCAGGGTGATGTGTCGCGCCGAGGAACCAGCCGCTACCAGGTTTGCGCCAGGGAGTGCTGCTGCGCAGAGGATAGGGTGCATGGTAGTGAGGCGGGACACCTCTTGTTGTGTTGTGAGATCGATCGTCTTGACTGTGTGGTCCAAAGAAGCCGAATAAGCGACGGTCGAATCCTTGGGATGGAAAATAGCAGCAGTAACCGATTCGTCGTGCAGAGGAATCATTGCCAAAGGTCCACGCTGAGCAGTAGAACCAGCGTTGGACAGCTTAGCTCGCTTGGTGCTGTGAGCGGAGGGAAGAGTCTCGGGATCAGCCTGAGGAGCTGTCCTCTTGGAAGCGGACCACAAGCCAACACGACCGTCTGAAGACGCTGTGAGAATACGTCGGGTGGAACCGTTGACATCGATGCTGTTGATGTTCTTCTCATGCCCCCAAAGTTCCATGTTGGGCTTGAGAGAGCCAGAGAAACCATCGGTTGCCTCTTTGTAGTCCCAGACCATGACCTTTCTATCCAGGCCAGCCGACGCCAGCTGAGTCGACGACAGCCATCGCACAGCGTTGATGCGTTGAGTGTGTCCTTCGCCTTTGCCACCAGCAGAGACGGCAATCGCGTCTCCAGAGGGGTTCCAGATTCTCACTAGGCCATCATAAGAAGCGCTAGCAACTCGCTCGTTCACGGCGGCATCTCCAGCAAGCAGTCCAGCAGCAGAAGTCGATGACAGGACATCAACTCCGCTGACCCAGTCGTCGTGCTCGAAGCTAGCCTCGTAAACGGGTGGGAGGAGACTGCGAACATATTGGAGGGTCAATGTTGTCTCTTGAGAAAGGCCATTTGATTTGAGGTATTCTTCGATGCTCGTCTTGAGGAATGTGCCGTTTGCGAGGAAATCGAGAGGGACTGCGGATGAAGTATCCAGCATCGACTCGGAATTCAGAATGCGGGAGAGGCCATAGCGCTTGATGTCTGTGATGTGTTAAGAGTTGGTAATTAGCCTTGTTTTCCCCTCTCTAGCCTCTGTAAGATTTTGGGGTAAATTCCCACCTGCTGGCACGAGCAATTGTCTCCTGGACTCTGGGAGGGCGAGATCTTCCTCGTTGGTGGTGAAGACGACCTTCACCTGAGCAGATGAGGCATCCATTGTGGCAGGAAAAATTTAAAAGAAAATTTCAGAGCGTTTAGATGAGTATTTTGATATATTAAAGTGTCCAAAGGATTTCAGATTCGGGAAATTTGAGATTGTGCCAAACAAATTATCGTCCTGGCGCAAATCGATGGCAGTGGTGTGCATGGGTGGACTAGAGAATCTCAAAAATTTTTGGAATGGGCAGCGTAGCCTTGTGGATGAATGATCCACTGCGGGGCTCTTGGCTGAAACATCAGACCAATTAAAATGGAATAAACACAAGGCTGAAGGCGCAGTTTAATGCACGCTAAGCTGCATCTAGACCGCCTAATGATGCTCTAAGACGCCAAAAAAGCAGAACAGAGTGAGACAGGTGGTTAAAAGAAGTGGGAAACAATGTGTGGACCGATATCCTGTTGCCTGCTTGGCCGCTCCAAGATGGACTATCCTTGTCCTCCGGGGAATTGACCAGAGAGATCTATACTGGAGACGGAATAGTCAGCTTATACCCAACTACCAACACGCCTGAGAGCATCACAGACAAACTTGAAGCTCCTACGTCATGTTTGAGTGTTGGACAGGTCCATCAGGCAGATCATGCTCGGAATATATCAGATCACTCGTAGTGCACAATAGCCTTGGCATTGCAATGCAAGTTTGGCGTCACCAGCTTGCAGGTTGAGTCCCGAATACAACCCAAACCGCCAAGATGGCCACAATGGCGACGGGCCGCGGCACTGCAGTGCAGCAAGAGAACCAATGCCGTGACGACAAATGCAACTCTCGCGTCGGGTCGTCTCCCATTAGGGGCAATGGATAAAGTCGTGGGAACCGTCCAAGATATCGCATCGCCAATGCGTCTCCATCAGCCAATCCGAGCCTCTGGTCACTCGACTTCGATCTGTTCCCCCGCAATCCATGGCGTCATCCCCACACTGCTAAGGATAGTGCACGAGATCAACTTGACACCTCACCTCTCCGCGATTGACCCGATGCAGGGACATGAACCTAGAATTTGCGGTTGCTGCTGCCCGTAGACGAGGCGTCAGTGGCTTTGATGGTGAACGGCGTTGCGTGGCGGCCACGCTAGGTGAGGAACCATGCAAGCCCATTGGTGGAAGGAGCAGAACGGACCATTGTTGTACGGACATGTACAGTAGGTAGGCATGGAGAGAAGAAGTGCCTACTAATTGTAGGGGTGAACAAAAAGCAGTAAGCAAGTATTCATAATGGCATAACAGTATAGGTGCCATATATGTAGGGCATAAAAAGAAACCCTCCCCCTTGGATAAGCGGATGATGCCACTGACGGCACCATTCCAGATTCCTTCTCCCGTGATCCGCATGCATCAACTGCACATATAAAACGCATACATGAACTCAGCGCAGCAACAGCGCTCGGGCTGCGCTGTTAGTGGTAGCCCAACCGCGCGCGCTCCACTTTACGGCCTTGTTGCATAACCCCAGACCCGCCACCTTTAGCACCTTTAGAGAGTAGAGGTCCCCACTTTCTTTTTGTTGCACCCCTCCAAAGCTTCAGTCCAAGTCCCTCATCAAGTTCTTCTCCCCCTCCCGGCCTGATCTTGTTTTCTATCGCTACTGCTCATACTAAAGCCTCAGGTTCTGCCTCAACTGTGCTTTGCCTGTCTGGAGCCAGCTTCGGTGGTTCACGGCCTCAGCCATTGTCTTGCCTCGCTGCCAGCCTCCTCTGCCACACGCAGAACCATCCTGCCGCTTTCTTAAGCTCTGACGCCACCAGAACCAAGAAGCTACCAGCTAAACCCAATCACACCAGACCATATATCTCGCACCGAAATTCGGCCGTGCCAAACACAAGTTTTTCTTCTCTTCCCGTGGTAGCTACAGTCCCGGTGAGTTGCCATCTTGCCTCCTGCTGGCTTTTACGCGCGCAAAGGCTTACAATTACAATGTCCAGCTTGTGCGAACTCGCGCAACCCTAACACCTACGTCATCTGAATTGCCGGCTCGTGGCATAGGCCTCTCGCCGGAGCTATCACCGCTCTCAGAACACCTCTGCGATAGTTTACAGTTCAGAACGACGCAATGGCCGACGGACACCCGCAACGCGACATCAAGAACCACCTTCTCTTTGAGATTGCTACGGAAGTAGCTCATCGAGGTGAGTCGCATTCTGCCCCTCGCCGGGCCATGGGTCGCTTCTGCCCTCTGCGCCCATTTCTACCCAATGTTGGGCAAAACATCGAGAGCTCGCCACGCTAACATGTGATTTGCTTGACAGTCGGTGGTATCTACTCTGTGCTCAAATCCAAGGCTCCGGTTACCACGGCTGAATATGGCGATCGATACACGCTTATCGGTCCACTCAACCACCAATCGGTGCGCCCTCTTCCTTGCAAAAAAAAATTAAATTAATAACTCAAAGTTGGGCATCAACTGATGACAAACAGGCCGCAGTCGAGGTCGAAGAGATGGAGCCCACCAATAAGGAGCTGGCCGCCACCATGCAGACCATGAAGGATCGGGGAATTGGCATGTTGTACGGCCGCTGGCTGATTGAGGGCGCCCCCAGGGTTCTCTTGATTGATACCAAGACAGCCTACAACTTTGTCAACGAGTGGAAGTCCGACCTCTGGTCTGTGGCCAGCATCCCGTCCCCACCTGACGACGATGAAACCAATGAGGCTGTGGTGTTTGGATACTTGGTGGCGTGGTTTCTTGGAGAGGTAAGAAATTTTTTTTTTCTCTCATCCCCATAACTCCAGAGTTACATTCTTCCCGTCTCTTAGTATTTCTCGACATTTGATTGGCTCTCACTAACATGCAAGTAGTTTGTATGCCACGAAAAGGAAAAGGCTGTCATTGCCCATTTCCACGAGTGGCTGGCTGGCGTTGCTCTACCCCTTACCAAGAAGAGACGGATTGATGTTACGACCATCTTCACGACCCATGCCACTCTCCTAGGACGGTATCTCTGTGCCGGCTCTGTTGATTTCTACAACAACCTGCAGTTCTTTGATGTCGATGCCGAGGCTGGAAAGCGTGGTATCTACCACCGGTATTGCATTGAACGTGCTGCTGCTCATTCTTGCGACGTCTTCACAACTGTCTCCCACATCACTGCTTTTGAGTCAGAGCATCTCTTGAAGAGAAAGCCTGATGGTGTGCTGCCCAACGGCCTCAACGTTACCAAGTTCTCGGCAGTTCATGAGTTCCAAAATTTGCACCAGCAGGCCAAGGAGAAGATCCACGACTTTGTCAGAGGTCACTTCTACGGCCACTATGACTTTGAACCAGAGAACACGTTGTATTTCTTCACTGCTGGGCGCTACGAATTCCGGAATAAGGGTGTCGACATGTTCATCGAGTCTCTTGCGCGACTTAACCACCGGCTCAAGGATGCGGGCAGCAAGATGACTGTCGTGGCCTTCATCATCATGCCCGCTCAGACTACATCACTGACTGTGGAGGCTCTCAAGGGCCAGGCCGTTATCAAATCCCTAAAGGACACTACCAACATCATTGAGCAAGCCATCGGTCGCCGCATCTTTGAGCGGTCTCTCAAGTGGCACGAGGGCGACCCAATGCCAGATGAGAAGGAGCTCATTTCCGGCCAGGATCGCGTTCTCTTGCGTCGACGTCTGTTTGCCATGAAGCGTCATGGGCTTCCCCCTATTGTTACCCACAACATGCTCAACGACAGCGAAGACCCCGTCTTGAACCAAATTCGCCGGGTGCATCTATTCAACCACCCATCAGACCGTGTCAAGGTTGTGTTCCACCCAGAGTTCCTCAACTCGGCCAACCCCGTGCTGCCATTGGATTACGATGACTTTGTGCGCGGATGCCACATGGGCGTCTTCCCTTCATACTATGAGCCATGGGGCTACACTCCTGCCGAGTGTACGGTCATGGGCGTTCCGAGCATCACCACCAACCTTTCTGGCTTTGGATGTTACATGGAGGAGCTCATCGAAAACTCCAGCGACTACGGTATCTACATTGTAGACCGAAGAATGAAGGGGGTTGAAGATTCCGTCAACCAGCTGAGTCAATTCATGTTTGAATACTGCAACAAGAGCCGACGTCAGCGCATCAACCAGAGAAACCGTACTGAGCGACTCAGCGACTTGCTTGACTGGAAGCGCATGGGCATGGAGTATATCAAGGCCCGACAGCTTGCTCTTCGACGGGCATACCCCAACTCGTTTGACGGAGACGAGGAGGAAGAGGAGGTTGAGGATTTCATCCGTGGACCGGACCAGAAGATCTCGAGGCCGTTCTCTGTCCCTGGCTCGCCTCGCGATCGCACTGGCATGATGACTCCTGGAGACTTTGCCAGTCTGCAAGAGGGCCGAGAGGGCTTGAGCACGGAGGACTATGTCGCCTGGAAATTGCCGTAAGTATCCCCCTACCGTTTGGTATGCTTCATGATACTGTTGACATTATGCTAACATGTTTGGACTCTTTAGTGAGGAGGAGGACCCCGAAGAGTATCCCTTCTCTTTGACTCTCCGAGCAAAGCAACCCAGTGGCGTGGACCCTGAAACCCAAGCCACCCTGAACGGTGAAAGCTGAAAGCAAAAGGCGTCTTCATAAGTAGCGTACGGCCTGAATCGGCATTATATGGGGCCAAGCATGTTCTTTTTGACTGTGACTTTTGAGTGCATCAAATCTTTTGATATGTGTTTTTGTCTCTCCCATGGCTACGACTAGCATAATGTGGAAGCAAAAGCAGATTGGGTAAAATGAAGGGAGAGAAAGCGAAAGGGCCTTGGAGCAGGGGGTGCTCAGGCGGAAGAGAGTGGGTGTATGTGGCGGATCAATTACTTGTATGGGGTTTAAACAAGGCGGGAGAAAAATATACAATACTACAATGTTGGAAGTTGAATGTTGAATGATGGACGGCGTCCTTGTTCACCACGTGCTACAGTATAAGAGGTAGTGAAACACGTTTGCTCCACGATGTACATGACTAGGTTGTATGAGAATGATATCACAGACACGTGCTCCGTTAGCACGAGGCGGGATGGGGATGCGATGCTGCTAGATAAGATGGCGATCCATCTAGCGTCGCAAGCTGGGTCGAGGGCCGAGGCGGCTGAGGTCTAGCGGTGGATCTCTAATTAGAGATGCTCCGTAGTATCCCGCAGGTGAGGCTTGTATTGTGTGAGAGTATCTACAGTATGCAGAGTGTCCTCTGGAGCTCCAAAGTGCGCACATACTTGTACGCTGATGACGCTGCTCGTACGACTCTTGCTGCTATATTACAACGGGTACGACATCATCTCCGAGTATCTGCAGACACGATCGATTGACAAGAGATGAGATGGGTCGTCATTATGCTATTAATATTGACAAGTACAATTTACAAGTATATAAAGTGGTGGCCGTCGTACGAGGGAAAAGACCATTCATGGAACGGTAATTGGTCGAATGAGCATCATGCGTTTTTTCTTCTCTGCCCTTTGATACGTACTTGTACAGTATGGTGGCCGAAGCGAGACCAGGGGATGAAATGCTAGCACCAACAAGCGAGAGCAAATGGAGCCCGCGAACCCCCTGGGGAGATGCCGCCATCGCCAAAAAGGCGGTGATGTATAAAAAAAACTAGAACCGCGATTGGGGAGAAGTGACTTTTTCTCTTGTCCTTTCCCTTTGCTGCTAGGGTTCAACAGCGGCTGCTACTGTAAGGCGAGATGGCGTCAGGGACTGGCCAAGAGGTGGGACGAACGGTGGGATGAAGCAGATTGATGAAGAACGGAGAGGGCTAGCCAGGAAAAAGAGACAAGCAGTGCTGCTGCTGTAGCGGAACAGCTCGGAGCGGATTAGCAGCAGCGGTGAACTGACTGGGGACAGGGGGATGGACATGGACATGGGGAGAGGCTTTAGTGCTGCTGCTTTTTTTTTTTTCGCTGGCACGGGAGGAGACGAAGATACGAGAGGCTGAGCGAGCGAGGGATTGGTCGGCGCCAAGGACGGCGGCCGATGCGGTGAGGCTTCTGTAAGGCTTCCGTGCATATGCTAAGGCAAGTACACCGTATGTTTCGACACGTGAAGCTGCACCTACACAAGGCACAGTACATACGCGATTGATGTTTCTTGGACGAACTGAAGAGGCCAAATTGCGGGAGCATTGAGAAACGGCCAATCACGCATGAATCACGGGCCATGCTCGAGGTCCTCCGCATAGAGCACATCATATTGCGGAGGAAATTACATTGTAGACGATCTCATCCGCACTTTTCTAATTATTACTAGTAGTCCATAGGCCTAGCAGGTACCTAGTTGTTTTGCATCACACAGAAAAAGAAGAATATTTTCCATCTTTAAAAACTCCCCCCCTGACAGCTTTGGATCCCCTCCAAAGATTGTTGCCTCATTCGGATAGCTTTGCTGGAGCCAGACCCTAGTACCGAAATTAGCCTCTCTTTTCTCTTCGCGGCTGGGAGATGGGGCACTTCTAGCGTCTCTTTTTTTGTTTATTTTGTGCTTGGGAGACGATCCGTGGGCGCTGTTCTCAGGGGGGGATGTATCTCACAGTGCATCTGTTTTTTTCTCTTATTTTTCCATCTTTTTTTTTTCTTCTTCTCTTATGATTGAATGGGGGGGCCTTGGGATGCAGTTGATGCGCTGTCAAGTCTGTACTGCATGCTTTTGACGGTGGAGACTTGTGTGTGTGTGTCTCACAGCAAGATGGCTGTATTCACTTGCTTTGCTTCGAGTCCAGTAAGGCTGTTGAGAGAGAGGCAACACAATAGATAGCAGCTGCTTTTGTGTTACAGATGGTCACAAGCAGTAAAACAGCGAATCCAGATGTTACCTCGTCTCTACAAGGTAGGCTATAATTTGATATGTTAATCTTTATCTAAGATGTAGGTCCTCAGTGGGCTAAAGAGATTTGCAAACTAGCGCCCATCTTCTACTTTTGGCGTCATCCCCATCTCGCTTCACCCGCAGCGGCATCTCCATCCAAAAGAAGAAGAAAACGACACACCTGTTCGCATTGGCCAAAAAAAAAAAATGCAAGACACAAGAATGAAACTTTTTTTTTTTTGTCTCAGAGATGCGTTTTCACCCTGTGAAAGCGAGGAGTGATGTGCAGTATGCAGTATGTATGCAAGCGACATGGTTTATCCAAGACAATGTCGCAGTTGCAAGCAGTGCGAGAATGTATTGGAGTACTTGTACATACAGGCATTTTCGAATCTCTTCGTTTTAGAAGATTTTTATTTCGGCCGAGTTGGCGATTTTGAACCATCTGGACACGGATTACTCCGGAATGCCATTGGAAGCGTATCTTGGTTTCACATGACCAGGAAAACACACTCCCGCATCAAGCTGAATGGAATCATGACGTCTTTTCCATTTTCAACGTTTGCTCTTTGGTTTGGTTGTTCGCTGCCTAGCATGGACGCGTTTACACCTATACGCAACACTCGAGCCTACGCCACCACCGACACATCACCATTTCCCGATGTAGAGCAGTTACGCGTAAAAAAAACAAGTAAGGTAGTAAGTACTATTGCTACCACCAAAAATCTCCACCTACGTTTTATCTTTGTACCTATATCTTACAAGCACGGATATGCACTGTAAGCCTCTTGCGTAAATCGACAAGTAAAAGACAGACCAAGAAAAAACAAGGAACAAAGAGTCAAGGTTGCCTGCTAGGCAGGACAAAGAGACAAACCCGGAAGGCATCTGCATCGCCTTCTCCGGGCAGCGACAAGGGGCCTGTAATACGGAATAATATGCCTATTTCGCTTGCATAAAAACAAAGAAACAGGACCCTTGTCGCTTTTTATTCTTTTCCATCTAGTGCTAGTATTTCATCTTCAGGTCGTTTTATCAGACAGAGCTCGTATATGTGACAGTACGAGTCTTTACCATTTATGATAACTAAACCCTGCCTCTCAACTTCTCCTGAACAGCGATTTATATACCATGTAGCAATATCGTGTACCTGTACAGTGTACCGCATGTAAGTAGCTCGTACAGGATCTCTTCAACAGCCGTCTTTTTCTTTTCCCACGTGCGAGAATTGGAGCATCGATGACACACATGCCCCTTGCCTACGTACATGCTGTACACGTACTGCTATCGAGAGATGACAAGATGGAAGATAAATTGGCGCAGGAGCGGAGTATGCGCAGCGAGACCCTGAATTGAAAAAATCTGCTGTAAAATTACAGCGTTTACTCGCCTATTAACTGACACCACCACACTCACTTCATCTCAATCACCGTCACTCAACAAAAAAAGGCAGCTCAAGTCACAACCATCCAAAATCCATCACGCATACAGTCCAGTAGACACATGTATACACACCGCCTCCAAAGCATCGAATAAAGCCAGCATTAGAGTGTTGCAACAAGCTTAGTGGCCCTATTCCCCATACATGTACATGCCATCTGCCTGCCTAGGCCACATGTCGGCAACTAGACAGCTCCATACGTGCATGTACAACACATCGTCAACTCCATTCGTCAACTCCACCATATCGGAGGGTAGATGCAGAAAGAAGGGAAAAAATCTCACCATCTCCATATGACTTTTTTTTTTTTTCTCTTAAGCTTTTACCCATTCTTCAACAAAACAATGGGTTATCAACAACGTCGTTCACATGTCATTCCTTTCAAGCACATTTTATCGCCAACAATCAACCTCTTTACAGGCCAGCATCTCTCCTACAAGTCCAAGAACCTCACAGCCATACCAAACCCCCACAATCCGCCACCCTTCAAGCCAAACCCCCATCAGCCGGTCCAACATCTCCATCTTCAATAGCCGCAAAACCACTAGCAGAACCTCTTACGCCGCCACGCCTAAAGATATCCACTCTGGGCATCGACGTGTACATGTCAAGCCCATCAACTTACAAGCATTGATGCTAACCCGCATGCATGCATCCTGCAATTGACGCCATTCTTCTTCATCAGTCGGCAACAAGCAAAAAATCTTCTCCTCGCAGGCCCCAGAAAAGCCCGACACTTGTACACCGTGTTCCTGGCCGACCGCCTTCCGTGAGCCAGGGGGAACTGCCATCAGTCTTTTTTTTCTGTCTAGTACCGTAGGTATGCAGGAGGAGGAATTTCTTGCCCACCCGGGTCCACGGAAAACCCTTGCAACGGCATGGCAAGCTTACAAAGTGCGTAACATCGTAACGTCGGTGTAGAAACGTCTAAATTCGCCTCAGTAAGGCATGGCTAGAGGGAGCTTCATTCAGTTCACACACACAACAGACTTCACGTGGCAAATTACACGATAATTCAAGAGGGGAAAAAAATATGTGCGCGGCCCAAGAAATTTTCTTCATTGGTAAAAGCATCATGAACTACTTGGCGTAGATGGAACGAAAAAACAAAACAAAATGCACGTTTGCCAGCTGCTGCGCCGATCGCATCGCGGCTTTCCTTCCCGCCTCCCGAAGAATAAGAAAAACGCCAAGAGTGTCATGTTCGCATGACAACTCTTCTCATATAGTCCCCACGTAAGAAATGAAAAAAAAAAAAAAAAAAACGCCATCTGTGCAATATGCCCCCATTTTTTTGTTATGCCATGTGAAATACGCCGCCTATAAAAAAAAAAAAAAGAATGGTGTTGATAAAGGACAGGAGAGAATGATAAAAAGGAGTAGATTGCAGTGCAGCGCCATCCGTCATGATCCGCAAAAAAGCGAAGAAAATAGAGGCCAGCCGCTGGTCGGAAAAATTCGTGAAAATCGAAAGGAATGTGGACCCGGTTATTGGGGTTGAAGGGCAGAGAGAAAATCAAGGAGAGAGAGAGAACGGGAGCGGTGTATGGGCCTGCTCATACTCTGATGCTTCGTCGCCGAGTCAAGAAGCCCTGGCGAATCCGTTTTGTCGGTGACAGGGGTGACGATGCGTCGCTAACCGGCGACAGCGTGGCGGCTGAGTAGCTGCTGGCTCTCCTGGGGGCCATGGCTCCTGAGTAGGAGGACAGAGCTGGTTGTGGTGTCGAGATGCGCGGGTTGCTGGTGTGGTTCTCCTCCTTTTCCTCGCTAAGCTGCTCCATGGTGCTTGTCTGGATTGACAGTCCTTCTCGAGAACGCGAGGCCGCAGGGTTCAGATTAGGCCTGCTACGCTTCCTGACCAGGCTCAGCGTCCTCTTGAACATGGCCGCCGTCTTTCGGAGCTGCGGCTCGGGCTGCTCGGGCTCTTCCGGCCCTGATTTTGACGCAAAGGGGTCCACATTGAGGAACGAATTTGAGTCTCTGTCAAAGGTAACCGGGGACATGATGCTGCTTGAGCGGGGAGGATGAGGGAATGCTGCTTTGGATGATGATGTAGAGGAGACAGACTCCTTTCTCCTGCTATACGCAGGCTCGGTTGATATCCTTGTAAGCTCTGTAGCAGAGCGTTCTGAACATGAGGTCTGCGATCTTGACCTTTTAGAAAGCTGGACAATGCAGGGCTTTCCCGAAAAGACAACGGAGACTATCCGGGCAATGTCCTGGCAGGTTGATGGCTGTTCCTGCACCTCTTGTGTGTGCTCGCTATCGGAGCTGTAGTCGCAATCGGAGAAGTCGTCGGCGGAGGAAGAAACATCCTCTTCGGAGGAGAGGTAGAGAAGATGTGGAGCGGCGTGAGTGAGGACGGGTCGGTGCTGTGAAAGCTTCTGAGGCATGGTGGCCAGCAGGCGTGAGGCTCTCAGAGCACTCCTGGGAGGCAGGGCCGGTGCCTTGGATAGCATAGTTTCAGACTTTGTGGTGGTGGTTGGCGACATGGCGTCGTCGAATTGGGCCATGTCAGTGGTTGTGGTTGCGGTAGTGCAAGTCTCCGAGCTTGGTGGAAAGCTCCGTCTTGTATACAATCTTCTCGCGGTAGTATGGCTGTGTGGAATGAGATGGGCCTGGGTGTCTATGTTCGAGCGGTACACCAATGACATGCTCTGGTGGGTAGGCGAGCCGTAACGACAATATTGAATATTCCCGTGCCCGTCTTACTCTGTTGGGAGCTTCGCAGGGACGATCCAAGACCAATATAAGAAGAAGAAAAGTCCAAGAGAGAAGAAAGATGGAAGGGAGAGACTCTGGTGAGGTGGATGGGAGAATAAGGCGTCAAGAAGGGAAAGGGCGCTGGAGGGAGGCTGCAGAGAGGAATGCAATGCTTCTGTTCTCGTCGTGCGCAAAAGAAGCGAAAAGGGAAAAAGAAAAATGACGACAAGGAGAAGAGAAGAGAAGATTTCCTGATCGAGAAGGGAACAAGAGAGAGATGTCTCTCCGCCGGAAGGGGGGAGCGCAGAGATAAGTAGCCTGCTTGTGTTGTGTGCATCGCAGGCATGGCATGTTCCACCGGCTGGCACGAGGGCGGCCGTGCAAGCTGCGCATCCCGCACTGGGTACTTGCAGCCAGCGGCGCCCGGGCCACGGCGAGCAGCCCCACTTCCCTTGGCGTCTCCTTTTAGTCGAGTGGCAGGGGTTCACAAAAGTGGGTGCGAGGGGGTCCACTGCGAAGAGAATGAACTGGAGCCCATCAATGTGCTGCTTGTACTGCTTGTATACCGCTGTGGAATGGCTTGTACCGCATTACCTAACATTGCGCAAATGTCACTGACTGGCTCCCCTGCCACCGAGTCGTTTCACACGCCTGCCGCAGCCAACTAACACTGCGGTTTTTCCCTGGGGCGAGGTAGCTGATGAGGGCAGCCAACGGAGCGAGCAGCTGTTTCTGTCCACGCGCGCTCCTCTCCATTTCGCTTTCGTCCAAGCTGTCATATTTGTCTTGAGAAATGTGACTGCTGCAGATATAGTGAACCGAGTTGAGTTCAGTCGTGCATCGCATCGCATCGCCTGCAGCGCCACCTCCAAGTTCCGGCCTGTGGCTAGAGACTCTCAGCGACAGCGCTCAATGCCATCGCTCAAAGCCCCCGAAGCTTCCAGTCTTCCAATTCTCTTCCCCAGCCACCACCTACACTATGCCATCATTCCAACAAAATGATGGCTAGCGTCCCGTCTGCTGCATCCAGCGGGCACCTGTAATCGGCGAGCCTTTCTCCAACCTTGCGAGTAGCTCAGGCGAGAAGAGTCACGACACCAGCACATTGCTGCCCTAGGTTCTGGCTAGTGCTGCGCATCAAATGCTGTAAATACATAGCAGTGCGAGTCTCATAGACTCCTCGCAGATCTCAGCCCGTAGTTTGTGCTGATCCTTCTCTCCTGGCACCTGAATTACACACAAAACTGTACCAGGTGGGCAAGGATGATGAGCGGATTAGAAGAGCCCTGGATTATCACAGCACATTCTCCAGAAATTGTCATGGAACCCCAAAATCCAGCCAGAAGGCAGACACGGCCACCACAAGACAATAAACTCTTTTCTCCACAAGGCGTCGCCAATGCACCGCCTGCTCTTCCTCTTCTCCTCGGACCAGCCACCGAAAGGCCATGGCATGGCTAGAAGCCTAGCTACTACAGTAGTAAACAAGCCACAGCGGAAGCAACAATAGACTGAAAGCGTACAGATTCCAAGGGACCCAAGGGGACCTCCACACCGTTCTAAGCAAATCGCCAATCTTGTCACGCGGCAATTCTCTTCTAGCCTACCTGTATCCATCCAGTGACATTGAATGGACAGGACTGGCTGGGAATGTACAAAAATGCGTAGCTCGTCATTAAACCGCTTCCCACCTACTGCCTGTAGTAGGTAGCACCACTGGCGTTGCTCGGCAATCCACGCCTCCGCCGAAGCACGGGGTAGCATCCAGCCGCAGATCGTCTTGGAACAGATGCGAGCATCCGAGACGGTTCATGGGAAGACGCTGATGGGCCGTGCTGGGGGCGTAAGAAGATGACGCGAGTTGCAAGCACGACATGTCCTGTATGCTGGGTATGCTGGTATATAGAATAGCAGTGGGCTTGCTAAAAAAGAGCTAAGATGGCTCATGGGCGGTTTACAGCCCGTCTTTGACGATGAATTGCCGTGGTGGGCGGTAGTTTGCTGCGATGATCCATGGCTCGGCACTTATCGAGCAGGCAAGGGACAGCGTATACATGAAATTGCCCGCAGCAGCAGGTCGAGCAAAGCAACCACCACGCGACATCGGCCACAGCTGTGGACTAATCAATCAGATGTGCCACCTACAATAAACGGATTGCTATTTTTTGACAATTCGGGACATTTACTAAAGGGCCCTTCCGTTATTAGAAGAAACAATACGGATATTAAACTGGGTAAAATTTAGAAGCACCAGCCAACACGCGCTCCCCAGAGCATTGGCCAGCCATCGTCACCAACACATGGCCTGTTCAGCAGTAGGTATATCCCTCCTCTTTCTTGACTTTTTATTCGAGCACAACGTCCAAGCGCTTCCCCTTCTCCCCTTCATTGCCATTTAATTACCTAGTACGAGTATGTACGCTGTAATGAGTCTCCACGGCTGCAGTGCACGACAACAGCTGCATCCCGCAAGATTGCACGCCTGCCGCACAGACTGCGCCCTCGACGCAGGGCGAAAAAGGATGTTGTACATGGTGATCAGGGCTCCTCGGTGTGGGTAGCCTAATCTTGCCGTAGCCTTGGACGAGCCCACGTGCGTGTGTGTGTTCGTATACAAGTATACAGCACAGTCAGTAGGTACTTATGCATGAGATGGAGGCGTCGCGGACTTCTCCGTACGAGATACGGCTACCCTATCATCAGGGCTGATCAGAGACATTCCAACACGTCCGCCTTCCTTTGCCCTGAAAATCTCCTTTCTGGCACGAGGCCATCATACCATTAGATCGATGCGTACAGAATGCATCTTGTTGCTAGATGAATTCTCCAGACCAATCCCCTTCATCCACCTCACGCCTGCAGCGCACCACCAGTATGTACATGACGCCGTCGACTTGAAGCCAAGAGCTAGCATCTCCCTCTCCCGCGGACCCAATCACACAGCGCCATTCAACCAGACTCCAGATTCTAGACTCGCGATTGCAGCTTCGTTAGCCATTTCGATTACATCAGAGCATGTGCGTGTCTGCTCTCTCACTGGCCCTACTTTGTTCTTTTGGCGCCGACCTGCACACCCACTTTGGCTCTGCTGGCGCTTCTCAGTTTAGCATCGCGCCGTCCAACCATTTGCGAATCACGGCACTGCAATGCTGTAGGAGATGCACATGCAAGAATCTGCTCGTCCCATTTTCCCTGCTTTCTTTTGTGTTGCCTGAAAGCTATGTACTGACTGTTTACTTGTATCTGCATACATACATGTATACGGAGTACATTCATGGCGTTGCAAGTGTAAGCCAAAGGTATGCTGGCAGCTCTTCTACGGCTCATCCTAGGAGCCCTTGTGACTGTATGACAAAAGATGACTCCATCGCTTGCACAAACCGAGATGGCCTCTACCGAGCCCCTGATTTACAGCATCCGAGTCGCACCAGATTCCACGGCTCTAGATGCCTCCGCGCCCAAGGTTTTGTACGTGTTCGCGGAATGGATTCGAAACCTGAACCCATCTGCCAGATAGTGGCATGCAAGCAAAGGCAAGTGAGGGAGCCAAGCCAAGGAGGTAAAGACAAATACCAGAACGATGTGTCAATGTGTCTTTGACCTATTCTTCAAAAACTACTAGTGCCGCCTATTTACTTGATACCCCCTCTTTAAAGGATTGCAGCCTTGGAGCTCGGGCTCGACAAAAACCTCGTATCTGCCACAATACATGTCTCAAAAAAAAGAACGCCACCACAAGACATTTGAAAACAACTTGGCGATGAGCTCCAAAGCCCTAGCAGCCTGATCAGTTGGCACACATACCTACGTATCTCAGCAAGGCTGGAACCTACTAGTGCCGCAGAAAACGGCCATCTGACAGCTTCCGTTCGCGACGCGCAGCGCTTCAGATCTGGACGTCACTCTGCTGCATCTCGATTATGCCCTTGTTGTTAGCCCCGGAGGCCTGCGATCCCGAGCTTTGACGGGTAGGTATCGCAGGTATATGGACAGTGAAGCTGTACTGTATGCAGGCAGCGCTTTTCATCAGAGTGCCTGAATCCCACCTAGTTTTTTGACTGCGAATCACCCAGTGGCCGTGCTCTGGTCCCTGGAACAAGGCACGGCTCCGTAGCGATCCTGTCGACAATCGCAGCATCAGATCCCATATTACGTATATCGCCACCCTTGAGGCCCATCACGACACTGAAATAGCAACACCATCAGGCATGACAGATCTCATCACCACTTTTAGATACGATGGTGCCTACAGGCACCATCTTGGCTCTGCTGCCAAAAGAGGTACAAACGCTACCTGAGGGTACCTAACGCACGAGCTGGAAAAACGGCTCCATAGATGGCGTCATGATGGGGCTGACACCCTTCTGTTGACGCCAACTTGGATGCATGCGCCACACCTTCTTACCATCAAAACCTTCTTTTGACGGGGGCCCGTGCCACGGGTGACAGCCATAGCTTACCAGCCACAGCTCCTATACGGGCCCCCCCCCATGCCTTAACCAGTTTAGTCGCATCTTCATCAACGAGAACACTGAAATAGAAACGACGCGGCGTCGAGCCACAGCGGCTGTGCAGCTCCAGCTTAAGATTCCGCAACTAAGAATACTCCGACCAAAACGGAGAATTAGGGAATATGAAGACAAAAATGGTCTTTCTCGTTTAGGCACCATGCTGAGATTCATCCCAAGCCCAAGGTACCCAAGTAGTGCAAAGAAAATGAAAAACAAAAAAAGTGAAAAAATTTACTCGTCATTTTCTTGCCCATGTGTTATAGCCTTGGAGCCCCCCCTTTCTTCGTTTCAACATTAGCCGCGAGCGTTTCAATCAAACGGACGGCTCGCTGGGACCCCAACCGTGCCCCCCCTGGCCGACAAAAAACGTTTGTTTGACGATTGTTTCTTAAATGATGAATTTTTCTTCTCGTCACCCAGTTAAACGCCAAGGCGAAACAAAACCTGATACACGGCGCGGTGGGCTATCCCACGTGGGCGCAATGATATTTCTTCTTCTTCTTATCTTTTGCGCAATGATACAGTGGAAGGCGAAATGGGTGTCGCGAAATTATACTTAACTATAATAAGCAACCCATATAAAACAATTGCGGCCAGTGTAGCATGTCGCTATGAGCTTTGTATCAAGCAAGTACCACAAGTACCTATAACATCAACCAACCAAGCTAACACTGGATATTTCGCCCCGCTGGTCTTATCATTACATACAGCTTGCCCCCCTGCCGCTATGTCACTTTCGACTCTTTCTTGTACTGAGAGCTCATCGAATCTATGTAAGAGCTACTACTATTGTACACCAGCTCTTTTTCTCCACCCACCACGTGACCGTCTACCTGGCCACGAAATCAATAATTAGCTGCCTGTTCTGAGTAAGTTATTCCCCCATCCAGCCCCGCATACTAAATCGCGCACGCGAGAAACACAAGATTCTTTGAACACGACGCTAAGCTTGGCAAAATACGCCAGAATAAAGTCAACGATCAGCTCAAAATCATTTAACCTTCTTTTATGGTAAAGAACGCAGCCAGCTGTAGCTATAGATTGGTTTATTGCTGTGTCTTGGAACCAACTGCATGACTGACGACGATATCTGAAGACATGAACAGGGCATCACCGAGGAACATGAATACGTACAGGATTAGCGGTGTGCCGGCCGACTGGGGCTGTGAACAATTGCAATCTTTCCTAAATGACCAAGAGACTGTTACAGATGCAGAGATTGAGTCTCTAGCTTATGAGAATAACAGTAAATCACAGGTAGCCACAGCTACTTTTAGCAATTCACCCTCTCAGCTTCAGTATAGCTGCAGTTGGTCTATTCCAATACCGAGGGCGTCTAATATCAAGCCAAACCGCAAACAATACTTAACAGTCGGCAGTGATTTCCATGGTTTTACTACGCTTTACACACCATCTTCAAAAGATCATAAAATAGAGTAAGTATATTGCTAATCTAACGAAGCGAGCTCTAGCTAACTCTCAGAGTGTGATTGCGTTATCAGGCCTTGGAGGACATGCTTTTGGATCATTTAAAGAGAAAGACGGAAGCTATATGTGGTTGCGTGACTCTCTCCCTTACGATCTCTCCTCGGGGACCGATAATCGGCCAATAGCTCGGGTTATGATCTATGGCTATGAATCGACTGTTGCCGGGAGCAAGAGCATGCAAAACCTAGAGGACTTCGCTACTAAGTTTAATGCTAGCCTGCAAACAATAGTGAACGCTATAAAAATCCGGCCCATTATTCTTATCGGTCATAGTCTTGGAGGGCTAATTATTAAGCAGGTGAGCCAATCTTTGATGCATATACTCTCATTCCTAATGTTCATCTATTGGATAGGCCCTGATATCATTGTCCGGATCAGAAAATAAAGATGATCAAAAACTCATCCAAGCTGTATATGGGGTCGTCTTCTTCGGAACCCCACACCATGGCATGGAGATTGGGTCACTTATTCCCATGGTGGGAGACGGGCCAAACCGTTTCTTAATAGAGTCTCTCAACTACAGTAATTCACAAATACTTACCATCCAACATCGAGATTTCCATAAGGCCTTAGGCGGTAAGGGTGATTCAGAAGTCTTCTGCTTTTATGAAACCCTTCAGTCACCAACAGCGCAGCAAGTGAGTTTTAAAATAGCAATATTATGTCCAATAACATCACTAATTGTAACTAGGATAAATTTGGCGCCTGGAAAATGACTGGGCCTGATGCGATCCTTGTCACTAAGTCTTCAGCTATACATTGTCGTCCTTGGGAAGATGGTGCTGAGAATATCTGTGCCCTTAATCGTACGCACTCTGAAATGGTTAAATTTAAACCTAACGACTCTGATTACAACATTGTAAAAGAAAAAATCAAGGGTCTTTCCAGACGGGCCCTCATAGCGCGGGGTCTCGCTAACGATATTAACAACGATAAATGTCAGTGCCAGTACCTCCCTGCGTCTCGCGAGTACTGCTGCTGAATACTATACCTAGGCAATAAATTTGGTCATTCCGCTAACGGCCCTCGCTGTTACAAATGTCAGTGCCAATACCTCTATTAGTCACGCGAGTATTAACATTATATAGGCGGTGAATTTGGACATTTCGCCAACGACCTTCACTGTTACAAATGTTAGTGCCACCGCCTCCCATCATCTTGCGAGTACTAATATAAACTGGTATAGGCGGTGGGTATGGACATTATGCTAACGATGTTCATTGCGATAAATGTCAGTGCTAGTGCCTCCCTTCACTCTATGAATCTTAATATTGAATAATATAGGCGGTGGGATTGGACATTACGCCAACGACCCTCACTGCTATAAATGTCAGTGCTAGTACATCTCTTCACTTTCATGAGTATTAACATAAATGATATAGGCCACGCATATGGACATTTTGCGAAAGAGTGCTCAATGCGGTAACTAGTAACTATAATTTCATCCAAAATGGTAGTTGCCGCTTGACACTGCTGCTAGACCTAGCGATAAAGTATTTAACAAGTTTATTTTATACTATGCACAGAGGTACACTCGCTTAGCACTACATAGGTCTTATTTAATATACACTTCCAAAAGCTTAATATCTAAACAAAGCCGTTTACAATTTTAAGATGGTGGATTATAAAAGTGACACCATTCACAATATTTTAGATCCAAGACTTAGCATTAATAAGACTTAAGCTATTAGTGGTGAATCGTTAGCTGGCACTAAGAAGCTCTTAGTCCGCCCTAATAGAGAGTGAAGGCATCCCGACGATGATTAATATAGACAGCTAAAAAGCTCACACTGTATACCGGCGCGTCATACCTTTGCGCCAAACCCGGCAAAAGATCGCTAATTGTAGCAAATATTCCCATGGAATCAGCTACTTATAAGGGATATTCAGTTATTATGAAATAGGTTGCAACATACTGTTATCAATGCTTCTCATATACTTTTAGGGACTAAAAGCTCTTGTACTGTGCTTGCGAGCTATATTTTGCTTTTGCATATAGCAATAATCCACCTTCGGCTTACTTAAGTATAACTATATATGTAATGTTTAATAAACGTGCCTGGGAAGCTATTCATGCTCAAGATATTACATATTATGGGTTTGCGCCTTTTTTCCCCACTTTGGACGAGTAGAAAATAACCAACACAAGCCAAAATTGATATATACACGGAGTAACTTGTATGGAGTAATAGTACCTCCGTAGTACATGCCGACAAGGGTATCAAGCCACAATTTGACTTAAAATGGGTCTTTATTATAATCGTTATCTAATTATTTTAGCGACACCCATTTCGCCTCCTACTGTATATGTTTTAGATATATAGAGATTTATGAGCACTTTGAAGATGTATGTTTCGTCTGTTTGTAAGACGTGTAAAAGACTTGAGGCATACAACAGTCAACACGTGCCATTACCCAGGTAGGTATTGATTCCTGGCAGGTATGACTACCATTACCTTTCCTTTTCCCATGTTGAGAACAGCAAATCTTTTTGGGACATACATGTGATATTCCTTAATATACCTAGATGAATCAGGTAGGATATAGATAGATGGAATAGATAAGCAGGCAGGCAAGCAAACCATCGTACGGAAGCTTCCTCAGACACTGATTAACCGCCAAGGATACCCACCATCTCCCCATTTCAAACGCCCACCTGAGCTGGTTTCATCCCCCGTCGAATAGAACTAAACAGGATCAAAAGCAGACTAATCGATCCAAGAAAGAAATGTCGTGCCTGATGCCCATACAGTATTCACAGTATCGCAGCCCTGAAAAGTGACTTCCACATGGCGTAAGGCTGTGGGAAGCTACCTAAAAATTAAAAAGCCATCTTTGCAGAACTCAAAAAGAGAAAGCCCAGCTAAGCCTCTTTCTTTATCATCAGCTCTAAATCCGGGAAAATACCTTATTCTTCGTACTCCACTTGGCTCAAGAGAGTAAAAAGCCACCAAAAAGCGTCATCTTGGTACCGTCTAGTTGGTTCGGCCGGAGAATGACTAACACCACATGGCGCTGCCATAAGCTTATCGTCACGCCTCACACGCCGGCTACAAATAGAACACATCATGTGATAAGGTTAAATCGATCGCCTTAATGCAGGTCAACTTTTGGCTGCTATAATAAGCCGCGGATGACGGATCTTCCGTAACGCCATAAAAAAGCTGACAGTATACCGCACAACAAAATGAAGCAAATCCAGCTAAGCCAAAGAACTTGAATAGAAACTTTATCGACGCCAACAAAGATTATGAACCGACTGCTAATGTACCCCTAGTATAGTCCCAGATCCTTCGCTCTTGTGTGTTTTCTATATTACAGTGAATACTAAAGATTAGAAGTTGATGATGACAAGAACAAGGAAATAGAGAAATCAAGGCATAAACCACAATTTGCTACCATCAATCATCATGCCTAGTATGTGCCTCATGATCAAAAGCCCCATGACACCGAAGCGTACAAATTGCCTCAAGAAAGAGAAATAAATGAGAGAAGAAAAAAATGGATGGAGAGAAGGAAAATCACGGCCAAAGTGATGGCGGCGGCCGCAGAGAATCTCCACCGCTGCTTGAAGGCCGCCAAGAGTCCGATGCAGCAGATCCCCTGCGCCCAAACTCGTCAGTCATGCCAGGCGGTGGAGGCAGAGGCAAGAATAGACCGCTGCCATCTCCGACCATGATACTGCGTCGAACCTCGCCTCGGTTCCATCCCTCTCCGGTGACATCTGCCGCCAGGCCGTAGCTGCTGACGGGGCGTCGCAGCGCAGGGCCAACCGCGGTTAATGCGTCAACTTTGCTAAAGTTCCATTTACCAAACTCGTCGGTCTTGGTGTACACTTCGAGCGTGGTGACTGGCGGCGGAGCAGCAGGCCGCAGGTGCGCCGCAAAAGGATTGTTGGAGCTGAATCGATGTGCTGCCGGAGCACGAGGCATGAGCTGCCGGGGTGACGGGGATTTGGGAGAAGTAGGAGAGGCAGGCGTGTTAGCGTATGGGTTGTAGGTAGGAGAGGCTGGCATCCCTGCATACGCCATGCGAGTGCTGTGAGTCGAGTTGTGAGACGGGGTTCGCATATGTGCTCCCGCGAGGCCCGCGTTGGGAGGAGGCAGCCCCTGAAGCTGCTCGGGGAACGACTCATCGTGAACATAGAGCCTGCGCAGCTTAGGCATAGACCCCGAAAGGACAGATGAGGCAAGGTAAGTGTACCAGCTAGCCTTCATGGTGGCATACACCTCCTTATCCGACTCAGTAGAAATCTCGTAGCGTAGAATCTCGAGGCTCTGAGATGCGAGCAACTCGATGCCTGCGTTCTGCGGAAATGCTTCAATCACCTTGGCCTGCATTGCCAGAGTCTTTAGGTACGGCGCCATCGTCAAGATCTCTTGAAGTCTCTGCGGGTGGACGCCAGTATCGATCAGCGTCAGGACGCGGAGTCCGCGCTGCGTCTCTGGCCAAGCAAGATACTCGATAAGGCCGGCAGCTGTCACTCGAGGGGTTGCTTCCATCACAAACTCCTCCAACGAGGGCATGATAGGCCCCGTTCCAGCCGTCAGCACTTCATCAGATATGCTCTCCGTGTCGGTCATTTTCAGAGCCCGAAGGTTTTGCAATGAGCCCAACACCGCTCTCATAGTCAAGGTGTCGACGCTGATGCCGTTTAGCTCTAGAACCTCAAGCCGAGGCCATACCTGACCCGTAGCCAGCGCTGCCAAGCTCCGCTCCGAGCCCGCGTTGTACGTCATCTTTCGGATGTTGGGACATCTGGCTTGGACTTCAAATCGTAGCGTCGAGCTGCTCGACTCATCCGAGAACATGCCCTCTGGCAGATCGACATACTTGAGGCTGGGGAGAACGGCAATGGTCTGAGCCAACTCGACCTGGCAGTACTCGCGTACCTGGTAGGGCGTCTTCAAAAACTCAACCTTTTTGCCAAGACGGGTCGGATCTTCGCGAACAGTGCGTCGGAACAGTCTCAGTCTCGCTTGAGCTGGATCCTCGGGAATGGCGTTTCGGTCAAATCTGGTCTGCTTGCGTCTCTCGGCCAGCCAGGCCTCGAGCTTGCAGTAGTGGACCTGGTCAATCCGAACGCTGTGATACCTGAAGAGAGAGTCAGCCAGGAAACACGCATGAACAGCCTCGGCACGGGGGCAAAAGTCTCAAACAGCAACTCACAATGACTTGACGGCCGCTTCACGCCAGGCTCGATTCACCTGCGAACAGTGGGCCAGATCGCGCAGGTCACACAGCATGCACCCGTCGTCGTTTCCGCTCTCCTCACACGCATCATAGGTCTCATCGCGAGAATGGGGGCAGACGAAGCCAAATATCCGCCCCAGAACCGTGGCTGGGAGAACGGCGACGAGCTGACTCGACCTCACACTTGGAGGGAAGAATGGCTCCCGGCTGGTACTGATAGGGCGGCGCAGTTCAGGAGGGCTCGCGAGCTCCAGCTTCTTCTTGTCCTTCCGCCGAAAGAGGAACCTCATGGCGATGATGAGCTGATTGTTCCAAAAACCAAGCGCAGCTCGAGCCAAAACGAAGCCAAACTGGAAGGTATTACGTGCAGAAATACAGATGCAAGAAAAGGACGAAGCTGGCCAAGGCGATGGACGCGTAGCGAGGGACTGGCGAAGGGACGAGAAACAAAGAAATAAGAGACTGAAAGAAAAAGAGAAAGAGGTCAAAAAAACAAGCAAAAGAGCTGACAACGAAACGTCTAAGAAAGCGTGACAAGAAGCGATGCTCTGGACCAGTGTTGATGATTGAAACTTGTTTTGCGCATCCCTTGCAGCGTTGTGCCCCACGAACAATCCACGAGGCTGAAATCGGGGTCTCCTCCGCAGCCCAGCCCGCGAGAAGCAGCGACTGGCTCAGAGGTTGCAGATGTCTCTCGCAAGCAATGCAAAGAAAATAAAGAAAGACACAGAGACAGGATCGAGGCTTCAGGTAACAAAGAAAGAAAGATTGACAAAGGGTATGCTGAGCGTATATTATGGCTGTTTCCCTAGATCCAAGGTAGATGCTGGGATTGGATGCCTTGACAGGAGAAAAGAAACAAAAGTTGGGTAGCAGAAGACGAGGTCAGGATCTAGATGCCAATTGGCAAGCCTGCGTTTATCCCATTGCCGCTGTGGCGTGCGGAAGCAGTCCCCGTCCAGGGGCAAGAGAAACAGCTGGCAGCGCCCGAACAAGCCTCTGAAGGGGGCCAGTTTCAGCGGAGCGGCGCCCTGAGAGCCAATCTTTCCCCCCGCATCATTTCACGGCCGCTGGAATCCGCGCCAGTTGGCAGCCAGGCGCTAATATGCACTGGCCCCAGTGGCCGGGCTGTGCCGCCGGTGCATGTTTGCCTTTGCTCCCGGGCCATGTAATTTCACAGTTGCAGGTCCTTTTTGGCCTGCTCCAATCAAGGCTCTGGGATTGCGTTTGAGATTGCGAGAATCTACTACCCTTGCGTTTGCAGTTGCAGCTGAGCAAGCCTACTTTATTGTTAACTTTATGCTTTGTGCTCGGAAATATGCTTAAAGTATCTTGAGGGACACGACCGATTACCGGCATCTCATCTCGACGTAGCGTTTACTAGTGATCGCCCATCTCTCAGCATCCATTCACCATTGCACTGGATCTCAATTCCGAATACAGTATATTAACACGTGCCCCGTAAAATATAGAAAAGGTAGACAGACATATCTTCAATTGCATAAAAACTAAAGACACTGAAACAACGTAGTTATCAACACTTGTCCCATACCACCCATCTATCTAACTCATCTCCTGGTTCAGGAGCATGCCAGGTGAATGAAGCATACATCTAAGTATAATACAGTATAAAGGCAGAATATAATTAATAAAACGAGGCCAGGTTGGCATGACTTTCCTGGCCCGTGACGCTGCCATTCCATGTGCAGCTCAGCCTACCCGGGACGTTGTCTCATAACAATAACTGCCTAGCCTGTCCTATGCCTCCAGTTTTTCCCCAAAATTAATCCATATACCCGTCGTCAACCGCCGTCGTCATAGTTCGCAGAAGACATGTCATCATCGCAAAAGGCGATTCGTATTAGTTCATTCGCTGGAAATGTCCTCATGTCCAAAATAGAGATTAAAAATTGTAATAGTCCCCTTGTAGAAGTAGCAAGTGTTTTCATCAAAAAAAGTAGAATGCTCGGCACCATTACAGTGCTTGAGCTGTTTGGCCATTGAAACTTTTGACTGAGACATGGTTGTGCCCTCATAAGACATCTCAATGGCCTGAGATGCGGCCAATTTAAGCCTTGCGGGACCTAGCAGTGGCACCGTTGGTCTTGGCGCCGGTGGTGGTGCCATTGGTCTTGCCGCTGGAGTAGGTAGCCATGTGGACGGGGTCGGGGAGAGGAGCCTGGCTCATGCGTCGCAGAGACTTGCGAGTAGTAGTCTTGCCGTCCTTCTTGTAGGTGGCGAAGTAGAAGGAGATGAAGAGGACCAGGTATGAGCTGAGGATACCAATGCCAGCAAAGGCAGCAAATTCCTCACCGGCGCACTTGCCAGCATTGGGCATGGAGGGGAAGTAGGTCGAGGTGAAGTAGGTGTAGGCAGCAAAGTAAACGAAGCCTGTTTGTCAAATCCAAATTAGTCAACGGTCGAGAGGATGTGAGGAGAAAAAAAAAAACACCAGACGGCGATTCGTCACTTACCCAAGTCAATGATGAACTGGATGATCTGGAGACGAGTAACCCACTCCTTCCACCAGATCTTGATGCCACGAGCGCTCTGGAAGTAGTACCAGTACATGACAACGTGCACAGTCAGGTTAAGGGTAATGGGAACCCAAGAGACGGAGGTCAAGCCAATCAGCTGAGTGTAGCAAAGAAGAGCGGTGGCACCGTGGTGGTAGCAGTGGAGGAAGGTCAAGGGCTTCTTCTTGAGGAACAGGAAGACGGTGTCGAGCAGCTCAAGGTACTTGGTCAGGTAGTTGAGCTATAAAAAACCATCCATTGTTAGCCCATACCGCCACGTTTCGCTGCCCACGAGTTTCACTTACGTAGTAGAGAACAACCAGAGGCTGAGTCCAGCCGCCATCGTGGCTACAGATGGCAAAGAAGACACCCTTGCGGACAACAGTGGGCAGAAGCTGCTCAATGAAGAGAGCCAGGAGGAAGCCGCTGATGGCGGTCAGGTAGAAGTTGTGGACGAGGAAGAGCGCCTTGAGCTTGAAGGGCTCGCGGTTGCGCATCAGCTCTCGGCCGCCAAAGATGATGAAGTAGTAGATGACGATGAATATGGACGTCGACTTCAGAGTGGACATGGGAGTCCCAAAGGGCACGAACTCGAAGTCATTGGCCGAGTAGCCAACGACGGCCGTGAAGAGCTTGTCAAAGATGGGCCATAGGTGGATGCCGAAAGGGCGATCGAGCGTAGGGAGCGGCAGCTGCTCGTAAAACGTAGCGGGAGCCGACATGATGGGCAAAGTGATCCAGGCACCAGGTTTCTGCGATTCAATTGAAGAAGAGAAAGATCCGATCCTCTCTAGTGGACACGCGACGCGAAGAAACGACTTCCCAAAAAAATATTAATAGAAAAAAAAGGGGATTGCAATTGCAATTGCAGTCCGTAGATTTTAATCGAGGCAAAAAAAATTGCACACCGAAGGAATGACGAGAAAAAGAGGGAGGGAAACGATCAGACTCGACGAAGCCAACCAAACTCCGAGACGAAGACAATGGCAACTCTCTCGCGGGGGGGATGGAGGAGAAGGAGGAGAATGGGAAAAAAAGGTTGGAGGGCAGAAGAAATAGTGTTTGGTAATACTCGGCACGGGAGCGTCGCCAGTATCAAGTACGCGCGCCTCTCCACTAGCACTAGCATAGACTAAGGCGCCTCATCCCCTATTCCAGAGTGGAAATTTGGCTGCAGTGAGGCCAAGTGTACATCTGGCCTTTGGCGCATGTGATTGGGCACTGTCGGAGATGGGCAAACGCTGAAGTAGATGCTCACGCGGGGCACAGAAAAACAGGGATGCGGGAGTTCGGTACACACATATCTATATAACGCACATACAATATGAGGAAGCAATTGCCGTAGAATGTGTTTCTGTTACTGATTTGTACGCACTTAATCATTCTATGGCCCTTCTTTTTCAAACCTCTGCTTGCCTGGCTCCGAATGTACATGTGCCTCGTCTGGTGCTCGCACGTGACCTCGGCCCGGGCAGGGACTCCAGCTGTGCTGCCGGATGCCACGTAATTTCGGCGCTGCGCGGACGCCGGAAGCGAATGCGATGGGATTTGATTGTTGAACAAGGCAGAAGCAAGGAACGCCAGGAACATTAGTACGTGAGGCGAGCATATTGGGATGACCAATACGACAGAATGAGGTCAATTCATGCAAGGGCGGCGGCTGAAAAGTTCATCATGGTGGGAGCTGAAACGCCCTGGTTTGGTGCTGGCCTCGTGCTCATTTTGCCCAAGAGCGTTAAACGCCCTGAAAAGATTTCTTGAGCGGTGGAATCTTCATCAATTAGGCCTTTGCGTGCATGGCAGCTAATGATACTATCAATTGGCATCATGGCAGTTGATTGAAATGCCTCGGAGGGTCCGATGCGAAGAAAGCAAATGTAAGAACCGCCGCAATTGGCAGCACGGCGATCCCGACGCACTTCCGTGGCTGGCATCATCTTAGCCCGGGGCCGAGGATTTCTTACCATGTAAACTCCTCGGCTGTCTATAGTAGAAACTTACAATAACACATTCAGCTTCAAGGTGGCTAGCGAAATGCTGTATCGGCAGAGCTTTAGAGCTTTATCAATCTTCGCAACGCTGCTGCGGAGATGCTGGTTCCATCTGATAGCCTATCGCTCGGCATGCATTCTTTCGTCTCGGCATCAGCAGCTCGTAATGCATGCGGTCCTCTCGTCGAATAGAATTTGGCTTATTGAAAAGTAACATGACAGTCCGTACGCGCCCGCACGGTCTGCACTGTCCACACAAACGGCAATTCACACCAGCGCTCAGCCCCGCCATAAAACCAATTCGTACTGTGCCCTCTCCCTCCGCCTTTGCCCGGTAAATCAGGCAATCCCCACCGCTTAGTCATCCCCGCCGCCTCTCAGACGATTCTTTGCTCCAAAACACCTCTGCCAATCTAGACAAGCCTAAAACGCTCTAAACACCAAAACTCCTCTCTCTTCTCTTCGCCAAAAAGGGCTCTCTCTCTCTCAATCTTTCTTCCGTCCAGCCATGCAGTCCGCCGCCCTGTTCCGCGCCGCCACTCGCGGCTCCTCCATGGTCCGCGCCGCCGCTCGTCCCGCGCCCTTCGCCGTCCGCTCGGCCGTCGTCGCTGCTCGCCCGTTCAGCATCTCTGCCTCCCGAAAGGCCGAGCACGCTGAGGAGACCTTTGAGGAGTTCACTGCTAGGTGAGGATCACCATAGACGCCCTTCGTTTTCCATTTTACGCATCGACGGCACGGCGATTGGGGCGCAATGCGCCGCAGGAGAGGGAGTGTATACAACGCAAAGAGGAGGGAAAAAATAAAGTGGGCGGCAGAATGGGACATTTACAGCTTTTTTTTTGGTGGTTGTCCGGGGGGGAGAGGAAAAGCGACCCAATCAACGACGCTCTACATGCTGCTGTGCTACGCTATGCATACCGAATGAACCTGTCCAGTGGCTGACGAAATTTATGAACAAAATCACAGATTCGAGAAGGAGTTTGATTCTGTGCAGGACGTCTTCGAGCTCCAGGTAAAAACCGACCCTCCACAAAGCTCCAGCTAGAGAATCGTATGATGTGCTAAGTCATCTTTTAGCGCAACCTCAACAACGCCTTCGCCTACGATCTCGTCCCTTCACCCTCCGTCGTCGCCGCTGCCCTCAAGGCTGCCCGAAGAGTCAACGACTTTGCTACCGCCGTCCGCATCTTCGAAGGTAATGGCCTACACTCACCCATCTTTCGTTGTGTTGATTTGAGGAGTCACCGGTGTCCCCACCCTTGATATACACCTATATCCTTATGTATATATGCATGAACAAAGCTTATTGAGTCATGCATATACACCTCTTCATGCCCTGGCTCTTATTTGTTCCCATCTTTTCCCTCTTCTCCTACTTCTTGTCGGGGATATCAAATTACGTCATTTGTAAAAAGCTAGCATGCTAACACAAACTCAATATACAGGCATCAAGGCCAAGGTCGAGAACAAGAACCAGTACCAGCAGTACCTGGACGAGCTCAAGCCCCTGCGAGAGGAGCTTGGCGTCGAGCTGAAGGAGGACCTCTACCCCGAGGAGAAGTAAATTTCTTGCTGCTGTCCAACCGAGGATCTAAGAGAAAGAAAAGAAAATCTTGTTCAGAGTATTGTACATGGTATTATTTATATTTGGAGTGAAGAGGAACAGCGAAGGTGCTAGACGGTTGATGGGAAGGGAGGCTAGTAGCGGCATCCCAAACCAATGTGTTATTATAGTTGATGAAGCACGTAGTGTATACTGCCCCCTCCTGTTGGTTACAACGTCTAGTTGTCTCAACAAATCTTAAAAACAAAAAGAAGAAGAAAAAGGGATCATAGATTCCCTTTACTGTGCTTTGTCTTTGGCTTGTACTGTAAGAAGTACACCTAATACTTTGTCAATTTATTTGTTAAAAGCGCGTGCTACTCAGATCTGCAAATCGGCTCTTATATAATGCCCTGAGCAAACCTTTCTTCATATACCACTTTTATGTAATGTATCCATCTCGAACCTTGCAGTAAGGCAAACCACCTTTGACCAATACCCTATTGAAGCATAGATAAAAGACAGAGAAAAAGACGAATCCCTCAAAGAAGACGCAATAAAAAAAAAAAAAATGAAAGCAAAAAAGAGAGCGTGGAAATACAACACTCCCTTCCCTAGCCCCAGGCACCAAACAACTCAGTATAAAAAGAAAGAAGAAAGAGAAAAGGAAAGAAGTTATAAGTTGCAAGTCCACTCCAGTCCCTAATCGCAGTCAAACGTTATAAGCACACCCCGCCCGCCCCTTCATTATCCTCTTAAATGATCCCATCGGCCATTTCCTGGCTGTTGGCCATAAAACTGCATGCCTTCGACGCCAGCTCCCGAGGCCGGGCTAGCCCCTCTGCTAGCTGGACCTCCGTATGCTCGGGAAATTGTCCGTGGGCTCATCATACCCATGCGTGGACTTCGAGGTACGCTAGACTGTCGAGTCTCCCGCCGTCCATTCTTGAGCTGTCGTAGCTCCTCACGAGCGCGATCCAATTCTACCTCGCGTTCTTTGACTTGAAACTTGAGCTCTGTAATCTGTTCGAGGTACAATTTGATGGTATTCCGCTCCTGGATCTCATGAATTCGAGCAAAGTTCTCAGACGCCTTTTTATCCAGGTCCTCGTTCTGGCTTCTTAGTTGGTTATTTTCAGATTTCAATCCAGAAGCCGTATCGGCTGCGTCTTGATACAAGTTCCGAATATATTCTGCATCCTTGTGGGCGTTTTCTAAGCGCTTCTCAAGATAGACGACCTTGGCCTGTGCTTCCAGCAAGAGGCTTTCAGATTTTGCCAAAGGTGTATCCTGTGGATTAGAGGCATTGGGGTCTTCTGTTAGGCGTGCCACGGTAGCCTCCAGCTCAAGAATTCTCTGCTTTGCTTTTTGGGCCTCCTTCTCGGACTGGTTCGCTGCAGACTGCATGGCAGATTCGATGTTGCGCTTCTCAGTCTCGAATCGAGAACGGTCTTGCAGTGCAGCACGCTGTGACTCGTACATCTTGTGCGCTGTTCTCTCATAATCTTTGAGCCGCTTTTCAAGGCCCGAAATGACGGATTTATATTCTGCTTCGTGATTGTTCGCTTCTATGCGACGTTCATACTCGGAAAACTACGCAAAGTTAGACAAAACATTTTTTTTTCTAAAAGGGGGGACATGATATCAGGCATACCTTTTCTGCCAAGATTTGTAGGACTGCTTGGGGAACGTTGACCAATACTTCCGGGCGAGAGGTATCCTCTTTTGGCATGGCGCTTTCCAATAGAGCTTTTACTTCGTCAGATAATGGAGGCCTGCCCGTTCCAATTCCAATTGACGAGGTCATTTGTCCAATAGAGAGCACTCGTGGTCTCTTGCTATCAAAGTCGTCAAAATCATTCTAATATGCCATATGAGTTAGTAATTCATAATCATACACTATGCCATTCCTCAACTACTGAAGGCCGCCTTACATGTTTGCGTTTTCGACCAGTTTCGCGGTCTTGCTGTGAGATTGTTGAGAGCATCTGTGACTGTGGCTGAGTATGGACATAAACGTCAAGGATGGCCTCTGGGACAGGTATTGGGTCCCATATCGGCGTGTCTTCATCACTTGCTAGAAATTCTAGGAACAAAGAAGCAATCTCATGTGGCTCTTGGTAGCCGTGATTAGGACTCTCCACCAACTTCCAAGCGCGTACAATCGTAGAGATTAAGACGCTTTTTCGCTCCATTGGAGGCAAATCTTCTGATATGTGGAGGTCGATGTGCTCGATTGAATGGGTTGTAACCAGTACCAAGATAAGCTGTCGTCTATTGGCACTGGGGTTTCTTGATAGTCCTTGAGCAACAGAAGAGTGCCTAAAGGAGTGGTCGTATCCGATCACGACATCAAAATCTCGAGAATCGATGTCTTCAGTTGGTAGCGCTAGAACGAGTTTAGAATTTGAGCCACCGGCCGAGAGATCTGATCTGCCAATGGCTTCGCAACTGAATTGCATCTTGAGAGACTCTGCCAAGTGAGAAAGGAGCCGAAGGAGCTCTGGCGAGCGAGCGACGATTAAAATGCTGGAATGATCCTCAATTCCACTTAGGAGTTCAAATATGAAATTGAACTTTGGGTTAGCGTCGCAGCAATATTTGGCTTGCTGTGCTGGAGGTAGCCTTTCAAGGTCGCTTCCCACAATATTCTCAGGGTAATCACACACGTTCAACAAGTTATTGAATAGCTCGTTGATACGATTTACCAGTGATGGATCCGGTTCTGAGTAGTCTTCGCCGCTGAAACACCTGTTAAATTCCAAGAAAGGAACCCTGTACTCAACTATTATGTTGTTGTATCTCTGGCGAAGACTTGCTTGGAACGGGAGGGTGACTGTATGCTGTTGGAGCGCAGCTGGTGAAGATTGTGCCGCTGGTGGAGATGCCGATGATTCGGTAGGGCTGGGTTCGCTATGAACCTGCTCAGAATGTGTAACATCTGAGGAAGGCTCCGGCACCAGGGGTTCATTAGGATGCGTAAAAGACAGGAGAGGGATATCTTTATAAGCCGGCTCCGGTTGGCGACTTATGTCCGCAAGGGAGACTGTAGTTTGCTCTGCCTCTATGGGTTCTGCCTGTACAGATTCAGGGACAGATTGCGGCTGTCCCGACCCAGCCTCGCCAAAGACTGGGCTAAATATGTCGGCCAATTCTTCAGCAACGGACCTTCGAGGAGCTGAGGGTCGCGATCCGGATGTCGTAGCAATAACACTGTCCCCGTTGTGTGCAGTCCCGTCAGATACTGCTTCCACATTCTCAGAAGGCGCTTTTTCTTGAATAGAAAGCGGTCCAACGCCAAGGGGCAGTGGGGATGACTGCATGGGTAGCTCAATATTCGTATCCCTTGTGCCCTCCTCAGCTGGCGTAACATGCTCTTCTTGCACCCCCGTCGAAGGCTGATTAGATTGCATCTGATGCGACTCTGGAGAAGTAGACTCGGCATCGAACTCATCTAGGCGAAATATTGCAGAGAGCTCTGCATCCAATCTTCGTTGTATCCTTTCGGAAGTTTGCTCGGGAGTTTCGTTTTCCATCTTTCGCACTTTGAAAGTATTCAGAGGGGTGACTGGCTTAGACTGTGGGCCCGTAGCCGCTGCTAGATGGCTGATTCCTGATGCTGATGCTGGTAGTGGAAAGGCGATAGTCTTTGAGGCCGAGAAGAGGCTTTGATCTCTCACGTCGATGGGTTGATGAGGCGTGCTTTGAGACTTGGGCAAGCTTTCCGAAGACTCACTTTCTGTAGGAGGCCGAGATAGTATCTCAAAGTGGCGAGAAACTATTTGAGCAGCTTGGGATGCCCCTGGGTCCGATACAGATGGAGCGCTAGAGCTGATAGTAGACACAATCTCTGTGACAGGATGAGCAGGGGATTCGTAAATCCGGCTAGTTATAGAACTCTCCAGTTGCTCCAAGACGGGTGGGATTGGTGGCTGGGTAAGAAACCTCGGGCTTGCGTCTGATTGCGTAATGACAAGTGCTGATGACCCCGAGGATATTACAAGTTGCGATGCGCGGGCTGCTGGTGTGCCGTGCGATAGCGATGGAGACAGGGTTGGGCTGTTTGCTTCTAGAATCTCCCCTGGTCGATTAGGCTGATGAGAAGGGATGTCTGAGCTAACAGTATCATGAGGCTTTTGAATGCGATTCTCTGATGCTTCCCCCCCAGTTGCCCTACCAGATGGCTGGGTGGTCGCTGTAGAAGGATCTTCAAGAGAATCTGGAATGACACGAGAACTTGACTCGGGTGAACAGCCTTGAGGCTGAGATTGGATTAAACTAGGAGGTGACTGTAGCAGTTCCTGTGGAATAGGGTTCTGAGCCCAGGATCGGTCTGTACCTTCCTGGGAGCCCGAATGGGTTCTTTGGCTGCTTGGCACAATGGAAACACGACTATCCTCGCTCTCAAGTTCGGCTAGAGACTGCGTGGATTTGACAGTTGACTGCGAGCCAAGAACGCTCAGATAATCAGCCCGGTTGATGTTTGCGTTCTTAGGGATCTCGACTATCAGAGCCGAGGCAGCTCGTGAGCGATACTCTGAAATATCTACGTCAGGTAGATCTGGAAGTTCGGAAGGGGTGGAGATTGAAGGCGATGAGACGAGAGATGCTCCGGGCTCGTCGCACAGAGATCCGCACGTGTCGCTTCTGATGACTTTACGAGGGCGGATAGAAGATGAATCGGAAGAAGATGAAGCTACAGAGGCTGAGCGTTTGCGCTTCTGCTGAGATGCGTTGACCTTTACTGGGCGACGCCGGTGAGCAGGTCGCGGCGGTTGGCTCGCGTCACTCTCTTGATCTAACACGGGCTCCTGCTGCGCTTGCCGTTCCTGGTTATCTGGAAGCTGCACTACTGGCTGCTGGCCTTGCTGTTCCTGGAGATCCGACTCTGGCTCTGAGCCCGATGCCGGCTTTGGCTGAAGCTGCTCGTCAAGCTGCTCGTCAATGAGCTGTTGTTCCTGACGGTCCTTTTGAAGACGCTGAGCCTTGACCCGTTCCCATTCCTGTAGGGCCAAAGTCGTGACCTCAGTGCTCTGTATATGTTGGTTAGCGAAATGTCCATCGGCGCGCGCAGGCTTATACGTGATGAGCATCATGTTAGACGAACCCAGGTAGGATCATATGCTTGCCCGGTGACGGCGTTATCGTCCCATTCGACAAAATACTGAACACGACCTCTCACGGTCTTCTCATCAAGGATGCGCTTGATGGTGTACCAGCCTAGGTCCTCTTCAGCGGGCGCCTTGCGATTCTTGGACTTCTTTGCGGCTCCTCTGCGTGACCTCGGCATTGGCTTGAATGAGATGAGTTAGCGGGCAGAGTGCGTTGCCTTTTCCGCTGCGGAGGGCGAACCAGCTCTGCGGCGCAGAAGCTGCTTCTGGTGTTGCTGCGAGCCCCGACGGCCTGCGCCAAAAAGCCTGGCGACACAGCGCTCGACGCTGGAGAAAGGATGTAAGTCGAGCGCACGGCGACGATTGGAGAGACGAGGCTGAGATGCGCCAGCGGCCCACCAACGACGATTTGAGAAGGTCTGACAAGGGAGAGGCAACAGGAGTCTCTTAGCCAGGGAGCTGGCTGGCTAATCACGTGGAGGCGCCGGCTCTAAATTCCAGCGAGTCAAAGGGCGCTGGTTGGCGGGGCGAGGCGCTGAGGAAACGCGCTGGCGACGATGATCTTTGCACCGAGGTGTCTGGAGTGAAGATGCTAAGAATAGCGATGATCGGGAGAATAAAAAGATGGAGATGAGCTGTCAAAGCGGAGAGAGGTGATGAAGATTAAAAGAAGAAGAAGAAGAAGTGTTGCAAAAGAAAGAGTCGAGGCTTGACCGTTGGTGGATGAGAGAAGGCGTGGACGAAAGTTGAATGTTGGAAGAAGAAAGAATCTCGTTTGGACTCAACGATGCCTTTTTACAATCGTTTGGACCCTCCCTAACGTGCTTAAATAGAGTGCCAACGCAAACGCTTTTTGGGTCACCCATTCAAGGGAAGGGGAAAAAAAAGAGTCAAGATAAGGGTGCGTGCGTGTGCACAATCTGAACAGCAAGTCATTTCCTCGTCACCTTTGTCCGGTTCTTTGAACATGTAGCCGTTCATCCACTTTTCCTGCCTGCTGAGAGGTGTAGGCACCTTGCCTGGCTAATAGATTCAGTGCCAGCTCACTGCATGAGCAACGCTGCCATGCAAAGACCCATACAAAAGTCTCTGGTACTGGCATCAAGGCAACATGGGCCAATGCGCAGAACCAACATTCATCTGATCGAGGTGACAAACAACTGAAACCACGGGCCTCTTCATGCTTTGTGCGTCAAAAAGTGCCGTGCCCCCGTAGCTGTGTGCCTGGAAGGCGGCATGAAGGCAGTATTTGGTCACATGTGTAGATGCAGGTAGATGGCAATGCCCCCTTTCAATTGTATGTTATCGTCGGAGAGGTGGTACAGAAATCCCACACCGACGAAATGGCACATTTCTCTTCATTCGGACAATCGCACAGCAGGCGTGTAGACATAAAAGCAGTGCTAGGTACATGTATCCGTACCTACAGTAGAGTCCCGTGTAATTTCCCAACATCCGCCTCTTACAGACCCTCGTCAAAACAAAAACACGGAAAAGAACAATTAGGATTGAAATCAATATTGAACCGTTTTTAGATCGGCTGCTGACCCGCGGTGGCGTCTCGATCCATCTTGGCTGCATGCTGCACGTCTGCCGCCTCCGGCAATCCTTCAATCGTTATACCAGTACCAGGTTGCCTATTTGCACTGTATCAACTGGGCCCCAACCTTACGGGAAGCCCATTGACGCTTTACCGCCAGGCTATTGCTGTGCTCCCGCCAGCGTCCAAACGCGCTAAGATCAACCTCTCTCACTCACCTTATTTGCACGTCTCACATGCCAACAGGTCGCCTGTCGAGCATTGTTATCTAGTATATGGCGGTAGCTTCAGATTGTCTGTGCCTGCGGCTCCCAATATGGCCTCCAATTTCTCTATAGAGCCGGTAATGCGGTTTTCAGGCGATAGTCAGCCTGTGCGGAGGCCTAAGGTGAGTAGATGTACTTGGAAGAAGCTGCGTTGTGCCGAAATGTGGCACCTGGCATATTGATTTCTGTAAAAAAGGGGGGATTTCAAATTTTTTTATTCTCGTCAATCACAAGCTTACAGGTTGTCTGAATAGGAGTTTGCGTGCTTCTCCTACGATGAGAATCATGAATATCGCCCCGATGATTCATCTATAAAATACTACTATCCTCCTCAACTTGGGGCGGATCTCTCTCTTGGATTCGATACCTTTGTCAAGCATGACGATTCCAAAGCTGAACATCTCGACAGCTTGCTGAAAACCATTGTTTCTCATGAGCAAGAGACTAGGACCAGGATAGATGCGAATATAGTCACATGGAGAGGCATGATGACCAAGGTACTGCTTATTTTGTCCTTTGCATCGTCACATTTCGGCACCACTCAATTCCTGGTTTATCAATCCCAAAATAAACGAAAGAAATCAAATTTCAGTATTTTTGTAACTCACAATTGCTTGTCCTAGATATTGGCTGCGCCGTTTGAACGATTTGACGGGTAGCATTCCATTCCACCCACCTCAGACGTCATCGCAAAACACCCATCTGACATACAGTAGTTTTGAAATGAATGCCACTTTATATCAGGTATGTTCGTTCTTGATACGTCCACTGGCTTTTAGCTGTATGTTTAACCATGATGCTATTTTATAGGGCACAATGTGCGTGGCGCGAAACGAAGTTACCTACTATTAGCTGGCTGCTGACTCTGGTATAGCTTCATCGAAGAAAACCACGAGCACAAGATGCTCTCAAGGCAAAACGAAGACCGCGGGAAGCCTCGAAGAGGGCCACCTCTCGATGTGATGCAATTTTGGGGTGAGCATAGGCATTTATCTGCTGCCGTAATCATTTACCAATAAACTCACCAAAAAAGGGTATAAATTCGAGACGCTATCTACACTCCCATCTCCTTGGGCCGAAACATCAAGAGACTTCATCGAAACCCGTGAAAGCCAAATCGTCAACAACAAAGAACAATACTGTTCCATTGTCCGAACAGGTATCGGCAAGGCTACCCTCTGTCTAGGAGGCGAAGTCGACGCAAGTAAGTCTCCTAGTGAATTCTCTCGCCGTCATGAGTCTATAGATGAATACTGAAGCTAAATGCAACGCCAATCAACAGTATGGGACTCCAAGCCTCAAGACAAAGGAAGCCCCATCAACTGGGTTGAGCTCAAAACCACAGCCGAGATCCGCCACAATGGCGACATGGAAAACTTCCACCGCAAACTCATGAAATATTGGATCCAGTCATTCCTGTTGGGTGTCCCAAAGATCATCGTCGGCTTCCGCACGCGTGACGGCATCCTCGTAGATATCAAGGAGATTGAGACGCACAATATCCCGCAGACGGTAAATGCGCGACCGAACCCGGCCTGGAACGCAGACATTTGCGTCAACTTTGCAGCTGCCTTCTTAGATTGTAGGCCCATCTTTTCTTTTTCTCCTTCGTCTTCATGTTTTATTCCTCTCTTTCCATCTATTCTTACCAATTTTACAAATAGGGCTCATGCAGACGGTCAATGACGAAGGCGTGTGGAGAATTTCTCGACGAGCCAATTCGCCCATTATTGAAGTATATAAAGCAGAGGAAACAGGCCATGGCGATATCCTGACAGATGAGTTCAAAGACTGGAGGATCAAACTGGGGCTCGAGTCAACGGAGTCATAAAAGCGTCGCGCCATGCGATAATGCGTGGGTTTGCCCTCAATGAAAACCGGCAATCTTTTTTTTTTTTTTTTTTTTTTTTTCAAAGGGACTGGCTATCCGGCGCCGTAACTTGGCTATCTAGCACCCCAGTTGCAGTTTAAGAAGGTAGTTAGCCTATATCTATATAATATTTAATTGCATATATTATATATATTTGAAAGTAGCACTTGTAGCACCAGTAGCAGTAGCCGGCATGCTGGATAACAGAACTAGGGTGCTGGATAAATTTTCCCCTACTTAAAGAAGACATAATCACGTCGCAATACATCGTCTTACTGTTATGTAGCAAACTAAGCCAATTTTCATGATAGGTGCATTCATAACATGGTAATCATGTGTGCATCATATATACATTCATCCGTGTAGAAAGAAATCGATTGTAACCATTCTCCCAAACGCCTTTTCCTCCAAACGCAACAAATAAGCAAAAAAAGTTAATGAGAAAAGAATAATAATTGGAGAAGAAGAGAAGATTTAAAGAAAAGAGAAAAGTGAGAAGTAGAGAATAAAACGCAAATGAAAAAAGTAATGGTCCACTCCAACATGTGTGTCTCATTTTCTTTTTTACTTCTCCAATATCAAGGCCGAGCTTCCTAAACATTCGTAGATCCTAAACGCCCCTCCAGTGATAGCTCATCATCTTACGGTTGGTATCGGTATGCAAGCTCATTATATCGCATTTGAAATCGTACAAGTCGTTTTTATTGGCTTTGATTTTCTTGCCACGACAAGTCTAACGATATCATTCCATCTATTAAATTCGTTTCAAATCGTGTCACCCAAAAGGCACACATAATTGTCGGCTCTTGGTTCCGGATTAGATAGCTGGCCACCGGATGCGTAAACCATCTGCCCAACGATTGTAGAGTACGTCTGATAGCTGCTTGCAATGCTCCATGCCCAGTTGTGCTTCTCGTCCAGGATAATGTTCTTCGATTGCTGCTTTATCTTGCTCTCTGAGAGACTCTTTCGATACCGGCGACTCAAGCTGGCGTCGACGTTGGGTTCGGAGGTGAGGGCTTAGCACTATCTTGGCAGGGCTCGCGGATGGAGTAGAGTTCTTAACAATCACCGTCCCTTGAGAAGTGCCGTCACTCGGAATCTTTTGCATAGACTGGCGAAATACCGCCGCGTTCAGTTTGTTATCTTGGCTCATGGCGGCGACGAGGCTGTTCATGAGATGATACGTCCCTTCAGGATCAACAGCATCCAGCGCCGCAAATGCGTCAGATAGCTTAGCTATGGCCTCGCGTTTCTGCGCCGTCGAGGCTTGCGCATGAAGCTCTGCAAGCGTAGGCTCTACTGCCTTAGAGTGTAGCCTCCGCCCTAGAAGGCCTTCCTTACTCTGGGGTTCGGCCGATGGAACCACGGGTGGAGGAATATTCTCATCGACAAACACATCGTCATCAGGAGACATACTCCTGCTACCACGCATACCAGCTGAGCCATCTGATGGGGCTCCTCGGAAAAGACGCATAGTCGATCCCGAATTTCCAAAAGACGTATCAGGCTGGAGAGGCCTCTTTGGAGCTACTATTGCGCTTCGAGGCGAGCCATTAGCGTATGCTGAGGGGACTTGCACGATAGAAGGAGCGCGCCGGACTGTCGATTTCCGGATGGTGCTTGTGGCTGGAGACGAAGAACCCAGCGAGTTTTCGTCAAGATCCGACTTGCGCAACCCTTCTTCAGCTGTTGCAAATACAGAAGATTGTTTATGCTGCTTGGCGATTGGCTGCTTCGGTAATGCCACCGATTTTACAGTGTCAAATACCCATGCTTCGTTGTCGTCGCCCTTGGTTGAAATAGGCTGTAGCGTCTCTTGGTAATAAATCGGATGCTTCTGGCGATTCCGGTTCGCATCCCACATCTGTCTCTGCATAACAAGCTCTTGAAGAGCCTCAATTTTGCCAGCCGAGCGAATAAATCTGTGTCGCAGTAGATCCTTGGCGTTGGGTCGTCGATTGCACTCTTTAGTGAGACACTGAGCAACGAAATCTTTGAACTCTTTGCTAAAATGGCCTTCTAGTCGCGGCGGCTGATTTTTGGGGATCTGAAAAAGCACCTTCATTGGGTGGATATGACAAAGAGGAGGCTCTCCGTTGGCCATCTCCATTGCGGTGATGCCCAAAGACCAGATATCCGCCTTGAAGCTGTATCCATCTTGTTGAATCACCTCGGGGGCCATCCAGAACGGAGTGCCGACAAACGTATTCCGCTGAGATTTGATGTTTGTGAGTTGAGCGGCAACACCAAAGTCGGCCAACTTCACTTTGCCGACATCTGAAAGCAGCACATTTGCCGCCTTGATATCGCGATGGATCTTGCCTTCCGAATGCAGATATTGGATTCCATGAAGAAGTTCGCGGCAAATGATGGCGATGTGAGCTTCAGTAAAATTTCCTGGTTTCAACTGCAGCAGGGCGACTGATTAGGGATAGAAGACGGACGGGAGGGAAATGGCTTATGCTCACCAAGTCAAGACAGGATCCGCCACCTAAATATTCCATGATGATCCATAGCTTGTGCCCTCGAAGAAACGAGCCCTTATACTGGGTTACGTAGGAGCTAGCGCAAGTGCTGAGGACAGCAATTTCGGCTTGAATGTCTTGAATATCATCGTCGCTGGATTCAAGATCAATCTGGCGCAGATGAAGAGGTTAGTCAATGGGGCTCTGTTTGACCGAGAGAGGGCAGCCACTTGGTCGGCCGAATGAAGACAAAAGCTTACATGCTTGATAGCCACAGTCTCTCCAGTGACCTTGTCGATTCCCTTGTACACGACGCCAAAACTTCCACCTGGAGCCCCTGAGTTAGCGATGCGATCCACGACAGCGCATGAACTGCGGATCACCGATGAGACTCACGGCCTAGTTCCTCTAGCACCTGATAGCGGTCCGCAAGGCCCTCGTCATCGGCCATGTTTGGCGAAGCCCAAGCGATATTAGGTATCTTGTTCTTTTAATTTGGCCCTCTTCTGGAAGCCAGCACGAACGGTCAGGGGCAGATCCTGGGAATCGATACTCGCTTCTGGCAGCTCGAGCAAACGGGTGGGACTTGCCGCAGACCTGGAGCCGGCAGAAGCCAAGAGCGATCGGATCAAGAGGTGTCAACGGTCGGAGCCCAAGGCCAATACACAGGTCGCAGCGCTCTAAGTACCTCGCCGGCCAAGTGTTGCTAGCAGTTTGACGAGAGCACGAATGAGTGGTCGGTTGTCAAGGGCAGTGGAGCCACGCTCAGCTAGGGGTAGCTTTTGTTTACAATGCTCCGCTTTGGGATAGCTTTCTTTGACGGTTCCGCCCAGAGTCAGTCTGAGCTGGATCAGAAACCGCTACAGGACTGCTAGCAGGTACCTGCTGGGTACTGCCGCCGCAGCGCCGATTAAGCTCGGCCCATATGGTCTGGCGATGCAATTTTAGGTTGTTGCCGTGGTTTGCGATTGAGGGTGCGGCACGTGCAGCAAAAACGCGCAAACGCCCTGCGCAGCTGAGATGAGATGCCGCGGAAAGCGAGGATCAACAAGATGCAGCCGCTGCTCAGGTCGTGGGCGCGCCAATGCACGAAAGCACTGCATCAATCCTTTTCAGCTTCTGCAGCATCAGCGAGCTTGTGCAAGTCGACGGAGCACAGCCTGTCGCGGGCAGGCAGGCAGGCAGGCAGGCAGGCAGGTGTACATACAGGTACTTCGGTCTTGTCTCTCTGCTGCCGGCGCGGTCGCAAATGTCATTGGATCGTCATAACGGAGCTGCCCGGCGTCTAGCACGTCTAGCACGACTAGCATGTCCAGTACGTAATTCTGACACCGTCCATATCATGCTGCAGCGCGCAGTACAGCGCTGTGAAGGGGCGGCCTCGAGGCTCTGCGCTACGCTGCAGCGCTGCAGCCGTCGCCATGGAACCGCGATCCCCAGCCACCCGCCGCGCCAGATCTAGCTCGCCATTGGCGCCTGGCCTTTCAGTTGATCCTTTAGCGCCATGCACCGTGCGATGGCGCTAACACGAGGGGCCGCCCTCCCTTCCGCCAGCCACAGCCAGAGTTGTCACGGCAACGCCCTCTGCCCCTCTGTTGTCCCAGCGGCCCTTGCAAGGCTTCGCCGGCAGCTTTTCGTCGGCCAGTCCCGTAGTTCCCAGCCACCGGGGATATGCTGAGAAGCGGACCTCCAGCTGCGTCCATGCCTTGCTGCAATCTCGCTTGATGCAGCGCCCAATCCAGCGTCCGCGATACGCTGCAACACAACACAACAGCACAGCACCAGCCTTGTTTGCGCCAGACAGTCTCGGTGAGCTGCTCGTTCTCGTCCTAGCCTGCCCTGCCCTGCCTGTACACAGAGGTACCGGGGCCTGTCCTTTTGCGGTGCTTGGATGCTCCCTCGCTGAGAGACCGCATTCCAAGCTATCGGCCGAGCTCACCCCCGTTTGACATCAACACGAGTCTGCCTGGGCTACCATGCTTTTGATACCGCCGCTGTATCGCACATTTTGAACATGCGCCGTCTGTAAACTTTGGGCTTTTTTTTTTCCAACGCTTTTACCAGCGACACCGGTCGAGATCGCGTCATCGGGCTGCGTTCGAGGGCCCAGCCTGATTCCATCTGGCGAGGCGGCGAGGATCCGAACGCGTCGGTTCATCAGCTGCCCACACCTGTCGCCCGACATTTTGCTCTGTCAGACAAGGGATAAACAACGACGGGGATAATTTCCCTTGCCCTTTCCTTGCCTTTTCTTCCGTCCTCTTCCTCTTCTCTCACCCGGTTGCTCTCCCACGTCTTCAGAGCTGGTCAATTAGGCGACACGGACGCGGCACATTCGTCGACATGATGGCCTTATCACCGCCGCCGCTGCCCTCGCGATTTCCGTGCTGGTGCCGAGCCATCTATTCTTGGGGAGGAGAGGTTTGTGATTTGGTGGTGTGCCACTAACATGCGCTCAATTGCTAACATCTGTGTGCAGTCGAAACGCGATCTTGGATTCATCGAAGGCGACTTGATCGAATGTCTGAATGCAGGAGACGGCTCGTGGTGGGTGGGCAGGCTGTTTCGAGATCGGAGGACTGTTGGCTCTTTTCCATCCAACTTCGTCGAAGTGCTGCCAGAGGATTTTCGGCCAACAAAAACACCGAGCCCAGTACCGCCCAATATAGCAGCGTCGGGACCCAAGACTGTGCCGCAGAAATCGAGAACTTTCCGGAAACCATTTGAGGCCTATGCAAAAGCACCGCATTATACAACAGCGAAACAGCCGGAAACATTTCGAGAAACACCGAGATCACGGCTGCAAGACAAGCCCTCACGGGAGGCGACTGTAACGTCGCGAACCAGAGGAAACTCGACGCCGAATCCAAGCACTGCGCTTGTCCTTGCAAGAAGTGCTCACGAAGATATCGCTCGCGCCCCTTCTCCTGCGCCTTTCCCTGCCAGTAGCTATGGATCAAGAGCTCCATCACCGGCGCCGTCTATTGGCCGTCCAGCAAGTCGTGTAGAGAATATATCCCGAGGGGATTCTCCACCGCCTCCGGCACCGCCCCCTCATAGGCACGTTGCGCGGGCAGATTCAACCGATGCAACCCAAAACTATCAGTCAATATCAAGAGCTGGCTCTACGGTTTCGTACAACCCGCGCGACATCTCAAGACCAAGCTCCACCATTTCCTATAACCCAGCAGATATAGCGAGACAAGGCTCGACAGTTTCCTATAATCCAGCGGATATAACGAGGCACGGCTCTACCGTCTCATACAACGCAGAAGATATAATACCAAGACACGGCTCCGCTGTTTCATATGATCACTACAAGCCAAGTCAGCGTCCTTCCAATGGCTCCTATACCGATCTCCAGAATACGTCAAGGCAGGCGTCGTATACCTCATATGACGATGGTTATGGAAACCAGAGGGACGGATACCACACACCTAGGGGTGGCAGCTCTCATCGGCCATCAATGGAGGGGAGCCATATGACGCCGTCACCGTTACGTGAAGCCATGGATGGAGTAATGCAGCAGCTGGATCGATTGGAAGGGTTAGGAGGGATCCGAGAGACGCAGTCGCCTGAGAGACAGTTCGATCCTTGGTCTCCCGAGTCCTTTGATATGGTATCCCCACCACCGCCACAGCAGAGACAAAAGTCACGGCAGAGGGCTGCTAGGCCTCTGACGTCAGTAGGTGTTTTGAGTCCCGACGAAGGCTATGAGACTTGGAGCGGAGGATCATCACAAAATACCTCTCAGCAAGACGGCAATCGTGAAAAATTTTACGACCCGTCCCAGCTGAGCAATTATGTGGAAAGGATGGAGAAGCAGATTTCGAGAATGCACCAGCACAGCATCAGTATGCCAGAGAACCTAGATGACGACAAACCTCCGCCTCCGCCTCCAAAAGGCCAGCCTTACCCTCGACCCAAATCGTCTGCTGGGTCAACGGTCGGGGAGTTGGTCTCCTTTGACAAGAAAGCGCCACGTGGGCGAAGATCGGTGTACGATATGATTCCGGGCATCGAGCGCACCAATACAACCAAAACAAACCAAACCAACGCTTCGACCGGCAATCAGAGCAACAGCAGCTCTTCGACACAAAGCAGCGGTAGGACGCTGTGGAGTGGTGTTTCTGCTGGTGGGTTTAGTTCTACGAGCGCAGGAAGCTTAGCTCGGACGGCCCACCGTACTCAAAGTGCGCTTAGTATGCGCAACGATGATGGCGATCGGCCAGATTCGCCATTCACGGGCGTGACGTACCACAGCAGTCACGCCAGCAATTTTGCCGGACATGGAAGCAGCATCGCCCGACCGATATCTCAGGTAGGCTTTCATGAAGAACTCACCCCTGGATTAGGTGGTCTCGTTGCGCCCAAGTCACCGAAAAGGAACATCTTCAAGAAGATCTTTGAATCAGCCAAGACAGGCGTTGCTAGTAATCGGGGAAGCATAGCCGCTGGCCATATGCCTATTGTGAGATCGTCGCCATTTTCTCGCCTGCAGCAGCCACATAGTGTGTCGCCAGGAGCAAGCATGGCCTCGTTGAGCGGCGCCCGATCTAGGCGCGACGCCGCCCGAGAAATGGGCCTTGGCGCTGGCGTTGACTGGGTCCAAGTCCGGCGTGATGTAAACCGGTCCAACTCCATCAGTAAGATTGAACGAACTGAGCGAATGGAGCGCTGTCAGATGCAAGACCATCCCACCCTCAATCCTATCGACGAGCTCTATGAGGGCATTGAAGGCGATGAAGGAGCGGATGGCATGCCTGTTCAAAAACCGGAGAACTACCATATGATTAATCTTTCTCAAGTGGACAAGAATTCTCGTTATGTGAAGGAGCCGCCCCCGGGAACAACAGTGGCAACGCTCGCTCAGACTTATATTTGCAGGCCATACAGGAGTGACCTACAGCGGCTCCGAGCAATATTCACCTGGGTTGCTGAGAAGATATGCTGGGAAGAAGATTTTGAGGGCGATGCCGATACTCAGCGAACTATCCAGGTAAGGCGAGGGTGCGCAGAAGAATATGCCATGCTCGTCATGGAAATGTGCTCTGCAGTTGGACTGCATTGTGAAGTGGTAAGGGGGTACTTGAAAGCCCCCGGTGATGTACCGGACCTCAATGTCATGCCCAGGCCGAATCACTGGTGGAACGCAGTCATTGTTGACGATGAATGGCGCATGATCGATGCTTGCCTCGCAAGCTCCTCCAACCCCAAGCGCGCTCTTTATTCGAGCCTAAGCGGGCCGTCGGCGGATCTCTGGTGGTTCCTCGCACGACCGACAGAGATCTGCTGGACTCATGTGCCAGAGCACCACGACCAGCAACATATTGTGCCTCCGGTGGCCTATGATACGCTATTGAATCTGCCATGCGCATGCCCGGCGTATTTCAAGAATGGACTCGAATTGGTGGATTTCAACACCAGCCTGACGAGGATAGAAGACCTCGAAATGGTCCACATCATGTTCAACGTGCCGAGCGATGTTGAAATCGCGGCCGAGGTTGAAGCACGGGCTTTCACCAAGGATAACGATGGCGATCTGTTTGAGAGTGGCGATATTGTCAAGAAAAAGGCCTTGGCGCAGGCTGAGTGGTTCAACGGCGTGAAACGCTACACAGTAAAGGCGCTTCTGCCCGGCGATGAAGGCCAGGGCGTTTTAAAGGTTTATGCTGGCAAAAGGGGCTTGATGCAGAGTATCAAAGATATTCCTCATCCTCTGGCCTTTACTCTCCCCATCATCCACACTGGTGAGAATCCACCATATGAATTTGTCACACGACATCCGACGCCCCACGCACAAAGGCACGACATCTATGTTGTCCAGCCTCAATGTCAGCAATTGGCTCTCAACAATACCTTTGTCTTTGCCATCAGGCAGCACCCCAGCTCCCTTTCAGGTAGCGCACAATCAGCTCTCACGCCAGCATCAAACCCTGGATCGACAAGCCCTGTGCCTTTTGCTCGACCATCATCTGCGATGAGCGTCAACGCTTCTAGTGCAAGCGGTAGTTCGGCTAGCGGCACTGTTGCGGGAAAGAAGCCAGCTAAGCTGGCAATTCAGACACCAGGAGGCAAGATTCTCCGTCTTATGAGGAAAGAAGACCGCAAAGGGATCAGCGTTGGATCGAGGACCCCGGACGAGGAAGTTAGCGACGGTGGTACCTGGGAGACAATCATCAAGTGCTCCGAAAAGGGCATTTGGAGAGGTCTCGTTCTTGCAGACCGCACCGCGCGATGGTGCGTGTTTGCTGAATGGACATGTGTTGGTTAAGAACATGAGTACGAAGAACGACTAATTGATACCTTGGGCCATTGAGCCTTTCGCACGAAGCAAAGAAAGAAAAAAAAAGAGTGGTGATTTTGGAAGGTATATGGTTGCATATGCATGTCACGGCGTTTGGCTTCCAGCTGTTCATTTGTTTTATTTTGATTGTTTTCTCTTTCCTCTTCTGGTTTTTGTGTTATGGCTGCCAGAGAATTGGGTCTGTTGTCATGCGTCAAAAGAAATTATGTTGTTTACGCTACAATGTATGTCATGTAACTTAGTTTTTTGGAAGGTGCGGCGAAAGAAGAAAAGGCCGCAGCTCAGACTACGTATACTTATGAATTATTTGAACCCTGTTTTAATACAATACAACCACTGCAACTATATACCAATACGGAATGTATAGTGACGACAGAACTCCAGAACTCCAGAACCAGCAATTCTTCTGCCTAACTTGATACAAGGCAACAAGATGACTGATGTCTCCCCTTTTTTTTTCTCCTTCAAGATGCCAGATCTAGCGACATCCGGCATGGCGTAGCATTCGGGGCGTCCAAAGCAACGTCCGGATCTGCGCAGTGCCTGTACAAGTAAAAAATTGGCGGGCCACTCAGCTGAGCCAACCATGTGATAGGGCGGTCTTTTTTTTTTTAAGGCGCGGCGCGGCTGATTCGCACAGTAGGCGTGTTCCCGCAAGCGTAACTTGGACTCTGGACTTTACAACGTTCAGCCTTTCCCGAGTTTCGGAGAGTCAGAGGAGGTGGAAGTCCCAATTTCTTTTCTCGCTTGTATCTGTCTTTATTATCTAATTCTACACCTCTTATTGTCCCCGCGACGCGAATTATTCGACGACGAACGCAGATATCGAGTGCACAGAGGGACCAGGGCCCTTTTTCCAAAGCGTTTCGAGCCGAACGACATCACGCGCGCTCAACTTGCGTCCCGCACGACAGACACCTCGACAAAAGCCAAAAATTGCTCCGTCTTTTTGAAAGCGACCGATGAACTCGACCAGGAGGACAGCATGAAACTTGGTCTGCGCCGTGCTTCACTCTCCTACCAGCAAGACCAGCGGCCGATGCTGACGGTGCGATGTCGTTCCGAGGGACGCTGCCTTCGGGACAGGCCTATCCAGGCCACGATGAACAGCAGCAGCAGCAGCAGCAGCAACAGCAGCAACATCATCACCTGAATCAGCATCACCAGCAGCAGCAGCAGCAGATGTACGGCCACCCGGCTGGGGCCTACTTCTCGCCGCAGATGCAACAGCAGATGGCGCAGCCGCAGAGCCAGAACCAGCAGCAGCAGCAGTTCCAACACCATGGCCAGCAGTCCATGTATGCGGGCGGCATGGGCCACGAGCAGCAGTTCTATCACCACCAGAACCCGCAGCGGCAGCCTCAGCACGGCATGTACATGCAGCCGCAGCAGTTCCAGCAGCCGGCGCATCAGCACCAACCGCCAATGTCGGCATACAACGTTGGCTTCAACGGGTACCCCGAGTACAATGCTTCAGCGCAAGTCGGAGGCCACCAAGGCCATCATTTGCAGCAGGCGACGAACCAATATCTACCGCCGAGTAACGTATGGCAACAGCATCATCAGCAGCCGCAACAGCAGCCGCAACAGCAACAGCCCCAGCGGCAGCAGATGACACCGCAGCCGATGCAGCATCAGCCTCTTCCCAACCAACGTCTTCCGCACCAACCTCTCCCTCATCAGGCTTTGCAGCAGCAACAACAACAACACCAGCAGCAACAGCACCATTCGATGCAGCAGCCTCTCCAACAGGTCCATCGGCAACAACAACATCAACCATCTCCTGTATATCATTCGCAGTCGCCCGCGCCGTCTCTTCCACCACAGCCATCGCCTATTCGAACTCCCGCGCCGCCGCCCCCACGACCGCAAGCTACTCCCCAGCCGTCACAATACCATTCACCTGTGCCTCAGCCGTCGCCGCAGAGAGAGCAACAGCGACCGCAGCAAGGAGAGCAGCAGCAGCAACAACAATATCGACAGCCTACTCCGCAGCAGCAGCATCAGCAGCAACCGCGGCAGCAGTCGCATACTCCCGTGCCTCAGCAGCAGACTCCTGTACCTGTACCCCAACAGCAACCTCCCATACCTCAGTCGCAACCTCCTATACCTCAGTCGCAGCCTCTTATACCTCCTCAGTCGCAAATTCCCGCCCCTCAGCCGACCCAGAGCGTTGAACAGCAGCCTCAGCAAGATGTACCTCCCGATCCTCCGCAGCAACCTCAATTCGTTCATCCCTCAGAGCTCCAGCAGGAACCGGTACACTATGTCAATATGCAAGATATTCAAAAACAGCCGTCGATGACCTATTTACCTATATCAACGGCGACGTTATCGAATATCCCGGTTGCCAGCCATGAAAAGCCTAAAGAGTCTATTGTCAAGCCGCCACCTCCCAGTGCAGCTCCAATCAAGCAAGAGAAGCAGGAAGATGGCTCTATACCGACTCGGGTACTTCAACAAGCGCCCGATGGTCGCATTAAACCCAGTCCACACTCTTCAATGACAAACTCACCCTCGCTTTCCATGAGATCTCCGAGTATCACGAAGAAGTCACCTGCAATAACACCTAAACCTCGACCTGTCAACACAGCACCCTTAATGATAGCCATTGCAGAAGAGTGCCTTGAAAAAGCGCGAATCGCCTCGCACGATGTAGCCATGGCGTTGTGTCCAAACCAAGTGAGCGAGTACCAGGAGTTAATAGCAACGGCGCTATCGTGTCTAGAGGCTGCTTTGCAAGGCAACAACCAACTTGCGCCGCGAGAGGAGGCGCGTGTACGATTGCGATATGCTGCGCTTTTACAGGAAGAGACGGAGAATTTAATGGAGGCTGAGACAGCTTTGGCAAAGGGAATTACGCTTTGCGACAAGGTAAGTAAAGAAAACGGTGTAGACTAAATTTTCGATTCGCTTCCCTTGGCATGTATAGCTGACATGATACAATCGATTAGCACCGTTTGTTTGATTTAAAGTATTGCATGCAGTATCTCATGTTGAAGGTCTTATTCCAGAGGAATCATAAAGCGGCATTAAAAGCGGTAGACGGTCACATTTCTAATTGCGAAGTGTAAGTGAATCTTGGAGCCTGCTCCCATGTGGTTGATGATCAAGTCTGACAGGATCTGCAGATTTAAACATGTACAGTGGTATTACGCCTTTCGGTTATTAAAAGCTTCCTTTTATCTTGGTGTTGGGATTACAGACGCTGGTGCCCTCGAAAACATACGATCTATTCAAAATGTCGCCAATACCAGAGGCGACACTGCGCTCTCTGTTCTCGCCTCACTAATAGAGGGCTTCACTCTTCTCAAGACGGCCAAGGACGGCAACATGGAAAAGATACAAGCCTGCATCGCACAGGTCGCCAAATATCAATTTGACCCATCAGTGCAGATAACGCAGCTCACCATGTTGACTCTGCTACTAGAAGTTGCTGCAAGCCTGCATCATCAGAACCCGGACCACACAGCCCAGAAATTACGGCAGCTACAGACGTGCCTAGATGACTGCGAGGACTGGCATAATGTCAAATCTGATTTTCTGGTACCGATCAAGAAGGAGTTGTCTGCAGCCAAGACTGTAAGCGGTGACACTCAGGCGATTCTTCGCTTGGGCGAAGGTGAGGGCGAAATGGATCATTTGGTCATGACGTTTATGACGAAGGTGGAGCTGAGGTCGCTCGTGTACGTGCATTACAAGATGCCCCTTGATTGCCATTGAGATATTCTTCTAACATGTATTCAGATTTACCATCAGCGGTTTGGTCAACTTTCATAAGCCTTCCTCACAAGGGCGCAGGTCAACAGAGTTCTGGAAAGAAGGCTTGAAGATCTTACAAACATGTAACTTTACCTGCCGAGACGCATTCTCTCTAGAGGCAAATCCCACTAACTCTCTCTCTCTCTCTCTCTCTAGGGGACTCTTCGACGGCTGGCATTCCATACGGCGCCCCTGTTCCTCTAAACGTGGCGATCAAGCAGCGAGCCTGGCGGACAGAGGCTCAAGCATACTTGAATGTTCTCTTGGGGTTGGTGGCAGCGAGTCACTGCCAATGGTCAGATGTTAAACAAATGGTCCAAACTCTTGGGTCTCTTGTCTCGCCCTCAACGCAGCCTACTGTGAGATTACTCGCCATCTATCTGAAGGGTGTATATTTCCAAGGCATTGGCCAACTTCAGCAAGCTCTCGACATCTTCTTAAATAACCAATTTGCAGTCCAGCAACAGGGAAGCACTGGTATCAAAGCCGGACACCAAGAAATTGCTCTTCTTGCAGGACTGAACAGGCTCTGGATTATGCAGCACCCTTCTTGTCGAAATGACCAGACAACGCAAGATTTAATCGAGCAGCTTCAGCCTCACTGCACTAACCACACCAACATTGATCTCCGAACCGCTTGGCACAACGTCATGGCCGCCATAGTGACGGACCCTCCCCAGCAACTCAACCAGCAAAAGCAGCACATACACGCCGCCATGGCAGGCTCCAAGGTCACTAGTAACGTCTTGGGAGCTGCCGTCACGCTGTGCATCATGCGGAGCCGCTTCTTCGAAAACGTCATTGGCGAGCAGGCTCTGAAGAGCGCCCGAGCGGCGGCCAAGCAGGCACAGAGGAGCGGCAACGTCCTGTGGCAGAGCGTCGCTGATGGCATGCTGGCGCAATCGTATGAGGTACAGGGGCACAGAGACGAGGCTAAACAGGAGTGGGACAAGGCGACAGAGGAAGCTAGAGACGCGTTTTCTCGAAGTCTATGATTTGTTTTGTGGAAAGGGCATTATGCATGAAAAAAGCAGGAATCAGATATGGTGTAATTTTGCAATTTACGACGGAGAGAATAATGTTTTGTTACGGAGGAGTTGAGGGGCTTATTTTTTTTTTCGGTACTGCTGTTTGTCTTTGCTTTGGTTTTCACAACTGGTTTTCATTTGAACTTGACCTTTTTAGCCAGTGGGAGGAGCATTAGTTGTTGGATGATTATACAGTGAACGGGATCCTGTTACTTACGAGACAACAAACCAAAAAATCTCCTGTACAATACCTGGATGCAGAACATGGTTGTTATTAAACTTTTGGGAGGAAAGGAGTCATATCAGGGTGTTTATATAGATACAAGAAGAAGAAAAAAAAGTCCTTGAGTTGAGGAAAGAGTCTTCAAAATGTTTCTCTCCCCCCCTTTTTTAAAAATCCCAGACTATTACATGTTTTGATGGTATTGTGTCTAAAATGGCTTATTTCTTTTCATCGCCCCTCCTCTTGCCTAAACTGAAATCAATGTCCGCCTTGTCCAAACCTTATGTATTACATAGAATTAAATGCTAAAATGCAGAAACAAACAAGAAACCGTGATTTGCTTCACCGGCGACCAAAACCCGGTGGAGGCTGGAAACCTGGGGGTGGCATGAATCCAGGAGGCGCAGGAGGCGTCCCTGTCGCTCCTGGTGGGGGCAAGGGAAAGCCGGGAGGCGTGACTGCTGGGAAACCTTGAGGCGGAGGAGGAACTGCCGCAGGAGGACCGCCCGAGGGAGGCCGGTAGCCAGAGGGGTGGAAATCTGCCGGGTTCGTGTATCCGCCCTGAATCTGAGGAGGTCGTGCGGGGAGTCCTGAAGGAGCTGGTGGGAGGGGAGCCGAGCCTCGTCCAGCGCCAGGGAAGCCGTTTGGAGGAGGGTGGCCAGCACCGGGGTTGTTGTAAGGAGACGGCCCGCGTGGAGGAGGAGCAAAGCCGCTGGGCATGCCGGCATGTGTAGGCGTGCCCATCATAGGCGGCGGTGCTCCAGCGGGTGTGCCTCCCATGGCGCCCGAGTCGAAGCCTGCGGGAGCGGGTGGAGGGACCGCAGCAGCTGGAGGAGGAGCGGTGGCATTGGAAGCCATTAGGAAAGCTTGAGGAAGCGGCTGGGCTTCGGGGAGGATATTTCTTGACTTGGCCTGTGCAGCCAATGATCGTTCGGCCTGATCACCGTGCCTGTCCCCCTTGCCGTCCTTCTTGAAAGCGTATTGCACCGAAACCTCCTTGCTGAGGATGTACTGTCCGTGCAGGTTGGCAATTGCAGCGTCACTGCTCTCGAAGTCGCCGTAACTGACAAAGCCGAATCCCTTGCTCGCGCCGCTATCTTCCCTGGCCACCTTGGGGATGCTCAGCAGCGGGCCAAAGCGGCTGAAAGTATCGTAGAGGACCTTTTCGTCGACCATGGGGTCCAGGTTTCCGATGAACAGCTCGGCGCCCACCTCGGCGGACCGCTGTTTGTCGGCGCTGGCCTTGTTGACGCGGAGCGACTTGCCGTAGAGCTTGATGCCGTTCATGACGTTGGCCGCGTACTCGGCATCGGCGGGGGTGCGGAACTCGACGAAGCCGAAGCCCTGGTGAGTTTGGGTGACGCGATCGCGAGGCATGTGGATGTTGTGGATGGGGCCCATCTGGAGCATGATTTCGTAGACCATGGCGGAGGTTGCGCGCTCGTCGATGTTGCCGATGTAGACGGTGGCCTCTTTGTCTTGCTCCCTGCGAAAGAAGGAGGGTTAGTTGCGTGTTGGCCAGCTCATTGGGGGTTTATAGAGGAGTGATTAAAAGCAAGGCGAGGAAGAAGGATGCTGGAGGATGTAGGAGCTGCTCAGAGGGAACGCCTACCAATGCCGATTGACAGCCATCCTGACGGTTTGCAGGCCGTGGCCTTGGAAGAAACAGTAAAGTGAAAGAATCAAGCGTCTAGTCTCAGATGAAGGAATTGAATCGTCGAATAGCGCTGGAAACTGAGATTGAGAGGAGGAAACGGGTCCAATGGCGTTCGTCGCGTGTGATGCAGTGCAGGATGAAGCTCAGAAATCTCGACGACTGAAGCGTTTAGCTTGTATGTACACAGGTATCTATCGCCTGCCGCTTCTTATCAATTAGCCAGAGTTGAGCCGCGGCTAGATTGGCGGGCGCTTTCCCGCAAGCAGTAGTGACCGCATAGCATGGCTAGTGCTAAGCTGGGCCGCGAAATTTCTTAGTCGGCGGGACAAACTGAGAAAAGACGTTTGACGCTGGAAGCATCAATTTGCGCATTCTCGCCAAACTCGTCCGCCGTCTGTCGATATTGTATTCTATCGCTCTCCACATAATCAAGATGTTCGCCCTCTCAGAAGAGTCCAAGGTACGGCATGCGAAGCAGCTTTGGGCAAGAAGCCGAGAAAGAGACAAAAACGGCGAAAGCCATGACGATGAAACAGCCGGTCTAACACCATCTCTCTACTGTAGGAGCGCATTGCCAAGCTCATTGACATTTCACGAGTCGCCATTCACTAGTAAGATATTTCCTACATGGTTCTCCTGCTGCGGATTTGATAGCTGACAACTGCCATCTAGTGGCTACCTCCCGCTGATTCTCTACCTGGGTATGCGATCTCTACGCAGACGCACGGCATACGCCGGAGACTGACTCTTTTCGATTTAGGCTACACTCGCAGCGACCCCCGACCTTCAGTCATCCGGTACGTCGCTTGTTTTGTTCATATTCGAATGATTCAAGGAATGCTCGACGCTAACATGTCGGTTGAAATAGCCTCCTCTCTCCTCTCTCATAAACGCAAAATGCACCGAACGAGGGCGTTGCTGTACGATATACGATGGTAATACGACAAAAACGGGGAGGGATTTCATGGAAAGAAAAGCAAGTGAACCACTTGGAGGGAGATTATAGTGTCCAGCATTCATGGCGTTTGGGCAATATCCGGTATCTCTTGAAAGACGAGGCGAGACGGGAGGGCAGCGTGGTACAAAAGATGACGACGGCCGCGGGGAAGAGACACACGAACGGACCGGTGCTGCAATTGTACCCATAGGAATGTATCATCAGTTGCTTCGTATTACCCATAATTCGACCAAGAAACCACTCTGCGAAACCAATACCAATACATGAGCTCTTCTAGGTGATGGATGGAATCTGCGAGATCAACTTACCCAACGAGACAACAGGAAAATCGTGAAAAAGAGGCGTAGTGATTAAAAGTTACAGAAACGAAATCTATTCTGCAACAACATCTCTTCATCTCCCTCGCGGCTAATTACAACCAGAAGACCTTCTTTTGGTACAGCAGTATGCAAGTAAGCATATAGTAGCATCAATGCACAGATGGGTGCTGCAAGAGACCCTCTTGGGTTTCCCGCTTTCAGTAAACCGCAGCAAGCTGTAAGCGGTGTCGAAAACTCCAGACATAAACCACTGCTGCCTCCGTGAACCGTAAATTGGCGATTAAACCAATTCAACCCACCCAAATCTTGTTCCACCTCGAGCCCAACAGCCGGTTACACATGACAAACTGTCACTTCAACCACCTATACCTTACAAAGTAGCACCAAGCGACTACCGCCCGAAAGCGCCCGGTTTTCTAAAAGAAGAAAAAAAAATCTTCCGCTACTACCCGCCCAGCCCAGTGAATCGGCTCGGTTCTAAACTAAAGCGCCAGTAACTCAAAGGGCCCTTTTTTCTCTCCAGAGGTCCCCTAAAAAAAGGGCTTCTCGCGGCAACTATCTGCTTTGCTTTCCCATGAGCCTCGAACACTCGCCCGTCAACTTTGCGCAGCCAAACGATGTGACGGGACGCAATTCCGGAACGAACAACTACATGCCCGGACGCGAACATGCGGGCCTCTCTCCCGCCATTGTCGAGTCGATTGCCGGCCTCAGCGCCGGGACGGTAGCGACGCTGGTGGTGCATCCGCTGGACATTGTCAAGACACGCATGCAGAGTAAGGATTGGCTATTTCTCTCATCTCTATATTCTCTTTCATCAAGCAATGTACGTTTCATCTTATGCGTCTTGCTGAAGTGCCCCCCAACCCCACCAATATATGGACAGCATCCAGCAAAGATGTACAAGACAGAACACAGATTGCTCAATGGAAGAAGATACGAACAACGAGAAGAACAAAAGCAACTCGTGCTAACATCTCAACAGTCAGCACCAGCGCCGCCTCGGCCGCCTCGCACGACCTCTCCACCGTCGCCATGCTGCGCTCCCTCACAAACAGCCCCAACCCCTTCGCCTCGCTCTACCGCGGCCTCGTCCCGAACCTCTCCGGCAACGCCCTGAGCTGGGCCTCCTTCTTCTTCTTCAAAACCCGCTTCGAGGACCTGCTCACCCTCGCCCGCGGCTCCGAGCGGCCCTCGCCCTCCGACTACTTCGTCGCCAGCGCCCTCGGCGGCGCCGCCACGTCGGTCCTGTCGAACCCCATCTGGGTTGTCAAGACGCGCATGCTGGCCTCGGACAAGGGCGCAAAGGGCGCCTACCCGTCCATGTGGTCTGGCTTCCGCACAATCTACGCCACCGAGGGCGTCCGCGGCCTGTACCGCGGCCTGGGCATCTCCATGATTGGCGTGTCGCACGGCGCCGTGCAGTTTGCCGTGTACGAGCCGGCCAAGCGCTTCTACTTTGCGCGCCGCCAGAAGATGGGCGTCGACAACGGCCGCATGACCACCGAGGCCACGCTCGTCATCTCCTCGGCCTCGAAGCTCATCGCCGGCGCCGTCACGTATCCGTACCAGGTCCTCCGGAGCCGGCTGCAGGTCTACAAGGCGGACGAGAAGTTTGGCAAGGGCTTCAGGGGCGTGGTGAGGATGACGTGGAGGGAAGAGGGGATCCGTGGCTTTTACCGCGGCCTGATTCCGGGCGTCGTTCGCGTCATGCCGTCGACGTGGGTGACGTTTTTGGTCTATGAGAATGTGCGCTTCTACCTCCCGCGTTGGCTCTCCTAAGCATTGATACGGCCAAGATTCCTTTTTCTTTACTTGTTTCACGCTATACGTCGGCGACGGCAGTTGTGGTAATTAGCATTTATTTATTACAGAAAGCATATTTTTGGGCGTTCCGAGAAGGAGAGAGCAATTTCATATAGAGCACAGGTCTCAAGATAGATGGATATGAGCACAAGGAAAACAGTAGTTAATAATATGAATAGATTTTTTTTTAGATCTGTTACTGTATATAATTGTCTCAAAAAGCGTAATGCCATAAATCCTCATGCTCTTGAGTGTACATCTCTCCCATCATTAGCTCTACCAATTTGTACAAACAGACAAGAATTCGTCTATTGTGATTGCGTCCATGACAAAATGAAGTCCTAAAATCCTCTTTTTAGAACTATTTAATTTATCAACAGCAATAAGGTGTTGAAACCTCCTTATCAGCTCATGAATTTCGTAGATAAACAAGTTTCGTTCACGATATACCCTACAATCAAACCCCACGGGGCACGCCAAGAGGTACACTCCAAAGTCATACATCAACTTCCAATCAGAAAGACCAACCTACTACCAACTGAATCAATATGAAACAGCTATAAATTCATCTCCTACCTTTACCCCGATCCAGTCCAACTCGTGCAAAGCTGAACTTTTGCCCTTGCCATGGCAAATACTTCACACCTTTCACCCCATTGTGGCGACATGGTACGCAGGGAGAAAGACAAGCACCAAAAAAAAAAGGCGCTCTTTTCTGGCCCAATCATTCTTCACTCACTACGCAGTGGCAAGAAGAGATTCAATAGTGAGATTACAATGACATGCCAAAGTCAATAAAACACATCGAGACAAAAGTGGAACAACGCAGCTCTCAGCTCAAACTCATCGCTGGTTATACTGACCTGTTGGCGCCTTAGTATGGCATCTCCGACAAAGTCAGCGGCATACTTACCCGGTACCTGCACTTTATGACATCTCCTTGCTGGATCCAAACGTCATTGCTTCCTAATGAGCATCTTTTAAGAGGTACCTTTGATTTCCACCGATTTGGTCAATGTAACCAAAGCTGAGAGCATAGTTTCTCCCTACCTACATAACCGTAATGCAAGTCCTGCCTTGGATAGTACACGCCTACGTGCACATGTCTGCACTCGTCACTCTACACATCACACGCTTTGACGCCCTTTGCCGCACTGACAGCGCATCAACCCGTTTTGCAAATGACATAATTTCAACTGAAAAAAAAAGGTGCTCTACTCTTCAAGCTCATCTGGTGTATGTGCTTGTACCTACAGTACTTTACGTAGGTACCTATATCAACCAACATTTTGCTCAAGTAGACTAGGCCGTCAGCACCGACCACCAGCCACCCCAGACAACAACAGTACAGTTAGCGACTGGATGGCGAGCTGGTAGGCGGTGCTGGCGGCAAGGCCAGGCCGACGAGATGACAAGATTTGATTTCGAGATGAGCTTGAGCCGAGCAGGGCAGCGCAAATCAGAGCAGGCCGGGGCTCGTCTGTCTGTCTGTCTCTTCTGTCTGTCTCTCCCTCAACCCTCGCCGCCGGCATCACGCCCCCCTGTCTCTGGCCCCAGCTCTCTTCTCGCTCTGCCACGGCCAGCCAAGTTTTGCATTGCATCTTCCCCCCCCCATCCAGGCCAAGGCCAATGCAGGCTAGAGCAGGGCAAGTTAAGGTCTCAGTGCAGTATGTACACACCAAGAAGTGGTGCTGCGGCGCATAGCGACCTGGATCCGGGTCCGAGCCTTCCACTAGCAGGTACCTGTACGATGGCTTCGCTCTAGTCGATTATTTAATTTTTTTTTTCCATTTTTTTTTTCGCCTCTGGCCTGACCCTGTCCCCATTCCCTTGGGCTCCGGTACTTGTTGGCCTGCAGGCCTTGGATTGGCTTGGCTTGGCTTGGAGCACAACTGCTGAGGCGGTACGTATCTATCGCTCGTCTCTTCGCGCAGTCCAAAAACAGCCTCTCCCCACCTCCTCCGTCTTCAACTTCCCATCTTTCCCGTTTCCTCATCCTCATCGGCCTCATCACCGCCGCTTGATACTTTCTTCTCCTCCTCTCCTCTTCTTCTTTAAAGGGCTAATTCATCCCCCAAGAGCCCAGTCGTCGACGCTCTCTCCCCGCCTTCTGTCAGCAGTGCATCATCCCTTCAGAGGCTGTAGTCTTCTTATCTCTCCGCCGTTGCCGTGCCATCAGCCCATCCTTCGGATCTCAGCCGTGCTTTTTCTGCGCATCTCTGCTTCTTCATTTCTCCCTACCTCGGTTATCATCAGATATATATATCTTGGGGGCTGAGTCATAGTCATCTGTCTCAATCTCTCCCCTTGCTCTTATTTCTCCAACCGACTCGACAACTCTTCCAACCGAGCCGGCCGCATCTGTCCGCCAGACCCATCGTTTGGCGATCTTATACACCACCATCCGCACCTAGGTTTGTGCTTCTGTGGCTGCACCTCACAGTCTTTTAGCTCGGTTGCTGGAATATTGCCCGAGCTTGAGACCGTGTCGTTGTTTCCCAAAGCACTGCGGAGACATTTGTCCTTGCTGTAAGTTTCCACCATTGAATTTTGGCTTGCCCTGCCTTTCTAGAAAGCCCTTGTTGCCCTATACGAAATCTTTCGATAAACTCTATTTTCTTTATTTCATCAAACTCTGCCGAAAAAGAATAATCAGCCTCGTTTTGGAACGCCTTCAACTATTTTGCACGCCACAAATGAGCAATCGCCGTACTGTTTCTGTGGGCCAAGCTTTGGTTGTTTATAAAACATGCGTTGCCTTCTACTCTACCCTTGTCACCACCATAACCTCATATATACTACCTACTACCGCTGTGAGATCTCAGACCATCAATGTGCTGACAACGTACTTTCCCGTGTCCCAGATCTTCCAAACTACCTAGATACTAGCTTCCCCGTCGCTACTCTCTTCAACCCGACAACAAAATCCTAGTCCTTTTTATCCTATGATCTAATTCGGGACGACTTGGGCACACACACATCAGTTTTTATCACGACCCGCTTCCGCCTATAAGAAAAAGCTGCAATATTACTTCATTCAAACCTCTTACTTTCCCCCCAGATTTTACCCCAGCCAAAGTCCTGGGAATGCCTTACACGCCGCCCTCCCACCGATCTCCCGCCTCCTCAGCGACCGTTTCCCCGGATGTGAGCCGCCGATCATCAGTCACGTCAGGCCAGAAGCCTTCGCTGCCTCGCTCCGCCTCATATCTCAGCAAGCACCGTCGAACGCCGTCTGCCACACCGTCCACCACTGAGGCTCATGCCACGCCGTCTCCCCCCTATGGATCCTCCGACGAAGTCAAGAACGCTGCCAACCCTCCTGTGAGCGCGAGCTTGCGCAAGTCTCCCCCGCCGGTGACTGACGATCGAGGAATCCCCAACGGCGCCATCATCTCTCCGCCTGACTCGGCATCATCCGATAGCGAGGATGACAGCCGTCCGGAAATTCGGGGGAGGAAGCTGGGGAAGCTTAGGGATGCTGTCAGCCAGATCCCCCAACCTCGGACACCGTCACCCCCAGCCAAGGAGTCGAGACTAAGCCTCGACGACGATGCCACTCCTCGGAGCATCATGCACACTAGCTTCAGTGCCATGACATTGAGCGAGCTGAACGAGCTGACCGAGCTTCCCAAGCGCCGAAAGGGCCATGTCCGATCTGCCACCGATCCCAATGCATCTGCCATCATGACATCTGCGGACAACTCCCAGACTGTCTCGGAAGACTCTGAGGATGACATGCGGCCTAAGCCTCCCATGGTACGCAAGAAGTCTGGTGAGCTGGTCCGCCCGGCTCTGCGGAACTTCAAGCGACCCTCGAGTATGCCCGGCACTCCTGTATTTGCAAAGGCCGTTCACTTTGACTCCCATCTGGAGCACATCCGCCACTTCCTTCAGGTCGACCGACCTCTTGCCGTCAGTGCAGGCTCGTCACCAGTGGAGAACTACGAAAGCGATGCTGAGTATCCCTTCCCTGGAGGTGAGAAAAGGGGGCCCGTTGCTCGATCGCCGCCATTCGATTGGCAGCTGATTACGAACAACTTCCCCCATGACTCCCCCCAGAGACGCGAGCAGCCCGTCCGTGTCGAGAGAGTCTGGCTCTCTCCGGATCAAAAGTCGATGATGGGATCTGTTGTTGTTTCCAACATCTCCTTCCACAAGACTGTTGTATGCCGTTTCACATTGGACTACTGGAAGACGACTTCCGAAGTCGTTGCCGAGTTCAACCACGAGGTCCGCCCCGCCGTCACCCGTGTCAGCCAGGATCGCTTCCAGTTCTCCATCAAGCTGTCGGACACGACCAACCTGGAGATGAAGACGCTGTACTTTTGCGTTCGCTACAACGTCAACGGCCAGGAGTATTGGGACAGCAATAACAACTCCAACTTCCAGGTCGACTTTCGAAAGCAGTTCAAGCCGCAGAATGGTAAGAACTCCTTCCAAGGTGCTGGCTCGCGGTCGACTGGCAGTCTGCCGCGCAGCAACCGGAAGCAGAACTCTGCCGCCGCCGCCGGTCGGCCTCTGCAGATGCCTGCTTCGTTTGATGATTTTGATAAGAAACCAAAGTTTAAGTTTGATGACCACCTCGACTACTTGGGCGAGCACAACACTCCCGGCCTCCGCCTCAAGACCAAGTCCACTAGCAACCTGGCTAGTGACAACATTTCCAAGGGCCTGGGCCTGACTGCTCCCAGCGGACTGGCCTTTGCCAACCGCTATGATTTCGGTGCCTCGTTGAGTGCTGCCGTCCAGGCGGCCAAGGATTCGGCGACCAAGAGTTCGACGACCAAGGACAAGGACGCTTTGTATATGAAGAGGAATGTCCGCGATAGCCCCAGTCCCAGGATGAACTTTGGCCCTCCCCTGAGCATCCCGTCTGCTCCGGCGCCCAGCCAGTCCACTGCTGCTGCCGCCGCCGCCGCCGCCTCCTCCTCTGCTCCTGCGCCCGGTGTTGGCCTCGGCCTCGGCCTTGCAAGCTCCTCATACGAGGAGCTCGTCAGTAAATACTGCTTTGTACGTACCCCCGGAGACCACTTCAGCGTCCCCCAACCGCCCCAGCCGCCTGCCGCCATCTAGTTGTTGGTTACAAGGAAACGCAACGAACACGCAAGAGGCTGGAAGTGAAGATTGGGCTGGAATGTCTGAAGGAATATCCATCAAAAAATGGGATGGGAACTGGTAGCTGACATTTGGTTTTTCTTTTCGTTTTACAGTTTGGCTCCAAGACATCGACCGCGGCTTCGACCCCTGGCGCGACCAGGCCCGCTGAGGACGAGAGCGTGAGCCCGACAACGGTGTCCTCCGCAGTAGTTCCTCACGGTCCTCTTCACCATGCCGGTCCTGCGGCTCACCACAGCCTTCATCCTCAGCGCCCCGTTGACATGAAGCTCCATCGGCCGCTGACCGCCGACTATCTCGCGGCATCGCACTCGTCTGCCCTCGACTCCATGTCCTCTGTGCTGATCAGCAGGGACCAGCCGTCGGCTCCCAAGACGATGCCGATGCCTCACATGAGATCGCCATCGCCGTCCTTCTCCACGTCACCAACTGATGCTCCGTTTTTCGCCCAGCAGATGATCCAACAGCGATTTCGCTGGGGCGGAGAGCCTCACACTGCCACCGCCATCCGAGGCTAGATGACTGCTGGCAGCGGCTACCGGACGAGGACAGCTTCTATATGCAGGATATTCCTCAGTTAACGATTTTTTTTTTTCACTCAAGATTGATAACAAATTTTTACAACTGGTTATTTTGGTTTTGGACAGCTAACAAAGCAACAACAATGTCCCTTGTTTAACACTACGAGGCTCTTCCACATGGCCTTCGTCGCTTATTATCAGCAAATGTTTTTTTTTTTTTTTTTTTTTGGACTCGCCTTTGCAGTCTCCGCTTCTCTTATTCAACAGCAACAACTAAAGCGAGAACTCTTTACTATTATTCTTTTCTTCCTCTTTTTTATACTATTTCCTTACTTTACTTTTGGGCTTTGTGTGTTTTTAGCTTTTGGAGTTTGGTAACATACGACAGGGATTCTGATTTTTTTTATTTCGTTTTGCTTGGCGCTCACAAGGGCATATGGAAAACCGGCTCTCATTTCTTTTTCTGCTCTTGGTTTTTATTACGCGCTCTGGGTTCGGTTCATGACAGGTCTTGCATTGGAGTAACTTTGCCACTACGGTTATCTCTCCTTTGTGGTCATCTCCTATTTGTTTTTTTTTCCTATTTTTCTTCACTTTGCTCTACATGTCTCTTACGGCTCCAGACCGTTATGAACAAGCGGAACCCGGCGGATTGATAATGACTTGTCGATGCTCTCATTTGTTGTTTAGGGAATGGACTGAAAGGCGGCCGACGGGGTTGGTGCTTAGGTCCAGGGTTGCATTGGGCTACTACGAGCAGGCTGGTAACGGGAAAGGAAAAGTCGGTTGCTAATGGTATTGATTCAATTGGTTCGAAAGGCATTCTGGTACTACTACTACTACCACTACTACTACTACTTCTTACAAGAGAGAGAGATCAGACATAAATGGAATTGCCTAGATTAAAAAAACGATGTTGTGCTCCTCAACTACGCCGCTGCCTTTGTGCTATGCTGAGCTTCTCGTGTGAAACTATGAGTATGATTACATGTGACTGCATGTGATGACCTGTCCATGCTGCATGGCAGACTTGGCTTTTTCTCATGGACAGTCGACGGCCCACTTGGTGGCGGTCTTTGACCTGGGGGGACGTGGCGCGGGACCACGGCCAGCAAAACCCCAGCCTGGAGCTAGAGATCCTGGCCATTCGGTAGTTCACCATGTTGAATACGGAGTCGTGGTCTACTGGGCAAGGTTGTCTACATGTACCTAGAGGGGAGGCAAAACTTATCCGCTATTCGGCATCTCTCCCATCGCTGTCATTTCAGAGGCAAGGCGTTTGTCAGCGCTGGGCGGCGGCGACGAGCTCGGCAACTTTGCGGGGGGCGAAGTACGTGCATGAAAGTCGAGCCATTGGGATTGGGCAGTGTGCCTTGTTTTGCTTCTGTTCGCTCCTCGCTGCGGCCGTGATATGCATCTCAATATCTCATCTCAGGGCGTAATAACTATTACTTCCACTCCTCTCTTATCACTCGCCCGCCGTTGCATTGGGCCTATCGGACGAGAGCTTGCAAAGACGGAGGAACTACCTAGCTATCAAACGAAAAGTATGACATGAGTGGTTTTTTGGGGAACGCTTCTCGTATGAGAGGAGCAGGCAAAAGGTACGGCAGAAGGCAAAGCAAGCAAGCCGACGTGCATTTTGGGCGGATGTGCATGAGAAGGGGGAAAGATGGAACATGTGGTGAGAGAGGAGTGGCTGTTTTTATAAGGTTGCTTACGTCTTGATGCCTGACGATGGGGGGGCGGAGGGGAGAGGGGGGCCTTTTATTGATTTTACTGGTATTGTTCTAGCCGTGGTAGTATTTTATATACGATAGTATAGTACCTATTTTCTTCTAGGGGGGAGTGCGTATGGAGACACGGGTACGTGTAAGATGCACGACGGTATGGAGAAGGAGGGATTACGAGGACCGAGAGTACAGGTACATGAGGCCAAGGCAGAGGCCAAAAGGGGGGCGTGTATGGATAACTGTGATAACGGGAAAGATGGAGATGGAAAGGATCGTGAGAGGGATTATATATGGAGTTGGATAGCTAGATTGGATAGATTGGAAGCTAATAAGCGATGAAGCTTTTTTTTTTTTTTTTTACTGGGTACGAAGAAGATGCTGCGACTGGGCGATTTCGCCTGATGGGGGGGTCAGACCCCGTCAACCGTACATGTCTCAGTGCTTCCTCTGCTCCGTGCTCTCCTCTCCATCCGGGAAGAGATGGAGAAGAGCAAGAGAAAAGCACGTTATGCGAGCATTGTGGAGAGACGAGAGGATATGGGCCCATGGCTGTGGAGACGAGATTCTTAATCGAGAGGGTCGTGCATCGCGAACATGGATCTTGATGCGGTGGTACATGTGTATATTCCAGGTTGCTGCATCGCATTTTTGGCCACCGGCCGTTGGTAGGATGGAGAGGGGGACAACTGGATGGATGGACCCTTTATTCCCCCAATTGACCTGGTTTCTTTTTTTTTGCTTCTTTACTTTTTTCTTCTTGAGATGCATAACTGGGTGCTGATGCATATGCCATGCCAACTGCAAGCTCAATCGCGCCAACGGGAGGCAAACAACCTGCTGTATGCTGTAGGCACGCATCATGGAAGGCTGCAAGAGAAGGAGAAATACCTGTCGGATTACTCCGTGGTGCTGTATGAATGCGTAATCGTGCTGCTGAATGGACAGCCATCGCCGATGATGCTTTTTTTCTCCGCTGGAACGGGAGCGGGGAGCGGAAGCTGTTCTTGTTCGACTTGTTCGACTTGTCTGGTGGAAGCTGTACTATAACTGACTGAGCTTTAGCTCGGGGGAGGATTTCTTTAGTATCGTGAGCGGGACTTTGATGGCGCCGATTGGCTTGCAAGTGCCGTTGGGCTCCGGGTCATTGTCTATGTGGCGTGACATTTCACTGCATATAGAATTAGGTAAGGGGGGGAGAAAGGCTCCGAGACAGCGTTGAATGGTTACTATGTTGAGGTAGGACTCAATTGTGAGGGTATGACGTGGATGGGACTGTTTGATAGATTGTCGTGCCGTTTTGTAAGTCGAAACGGCGATGCAATGGACGGCCTCCAGGATCAAATACGCGCAAATAGTGAAAAATAACCGCTGGGCATTTGCTTAGCTAAGGAACACTGGAGAAGATGCCGAGCCAAGTTTGATGAGGAAATCTGGGCCGTGCCGATGGCCGATGGAACGGGCGATGGAACGCAGGCGTGACGGTGCTGCCGATGGCCTCGACTTGTCTGTGGCCCGTGCAATAGCTAACGTGCCTATGAGAGCTCCGTAAAGCTTCAGTTGTATGTAATAGGATTGTTTACGCAAGATAGCACTGTGCCGGGTACTGGCTGAGGATCTGGAATGTGTTGTGTTGATGGGAACCAATTTGCCACTTTGCTCATCCCTCTAAAGATAACCTTATGTGCGTGGCGAGAGCTATCCGATACATACACCATCAATTGCACAGCTACCAGCCATCTTTGAAGAGCTTGAAAAAAAAACAAGAAATCAAGCTTTTACATCACGGGCGGAAATCTGCCGAATCCATCTCGTAAAACCAGGGGATGCGCCCTTCGGCGACTTGTTACGGCTAGCCCACCGGCTGTCGCGATTCGTTACGAGCCCATATCAAGTATGGCTCCAAACGAGCACTGCCACAATTCATCTGCAAATGAGTAAGAAACTATGACTCTCTGAGCCGTGATGAAATGAAAAATACGCCTGGAGAAGGAAAAACGGTTCATCACCCACTTGAGGCTCAAAATTAGATGGGGCAGATTGCCTGGAACTGACGGGGTGGTCTTCCTTTTTGATGCTCAAACGAATTTTTTTGTGGTTCATATCGGTATGCTAGTATGGTTTTGTAAAAGTGCCGCCTGAACTTTAACGGTTCAGCTGAACAAGAATAGTTTGTGCAAGTCATTGTCGGTTTCAATTTGTTCATTTCTGCTTTCAGCTGCTTCACGAGTGAACTCCTGTTTCAAAATTGGCAGATGCCGGTGTCAAGACAAGGCAGAAGAGAGAGACAAAAAGTAAAGACTCTTTTCATTTCATAAATTGGCTGCCGTCAACCCTCGTCGAGTCGAGTCCACCCGAACATGTAACCGATTTCAACCACTGAGTGCGGGCGCTCCGGTTGAGCAAAAACACACGTCCAAGATGCGTACAGCCGTGACGGCCATGAAGATCCCGCCGTCGCTGCTGAGCTGGCGCAGCGACAGCTGGCGCAGCGATGGCCGCACGGATAGCTTCTCGGACGAGTACTTTAAGCGCAGGAATCAGTTCAAGCGGCTGCTCCTTGCGTGCGCGTTGCGGTGGTTCTTGACGGCGTTGCTGGTCATGGGGACGTATCTGGTGTTGTGGCGGTATTCGCGCAAAGCAGCCATGATTAGCACCAAGAAGAAGGAGTTCAACACGCTGATTATCGCGCTGTCGATTGCGCTGGGTTTGAATATTGCGAGTTCGCTGAAGCATCTCGTGAGGGAGTTGAGGTGGTGGGTTCTGAGCTGGCACGAGTGGATGCCCAAGGAGGTAGGCAACGTTGAGCTGCGCCACGATCAAGAGGAAGACCTTGCTGATGTTGGTTGATAGGCCGATTATATTCTGCAGAGCGAAAACTTTAGTAGTCTCTTCCAGCTGGGCTATGTGACGCGTCGGCACTGGGTGAGGGCGTATGTCTTGTTCTGGGTCATGGTCAACGTGGTAAGCAATGCTTCAAACCCATTCACGCATGCTTTTGGATTGCTTGAGCTGATTTTGATGACTTTGCCAGGCTTCGCAAATAGCTGTTGCGACGCTTGGCTTGACTTACAACATCAACTCGGCCGATACCATCGCCGTGACCGCGCCTGGGACTGTCGCCATACCGGACATGACCAATATTCAGACTGGCAAAGTGTTATCGACTAATTCACAAGCTACCAGTGCTCTGAGATACACTGCAAACAAGTAAGTGTCGATTGTGACGGCGTGAGCAGCGTGGTGGCTAATACTCAACTCCCCAGCTATGGTCTTGTCGCTCTTGCATACGGATACGGCGCCGTGGACGAGATGCCCGGGCCCGGAAGCCTCTTCAACTCGGATGCAGATCTGATGTACTGCGAAGAGAATTCATGCTACTACGTCTTTTACGAAGCAACGCCCGATAACCTGGATTACTACCAGTCGGTGGCGACGAACCGAACGATATCCACGCAGGCAACATGTCAGAGCTGGAGGGTTCTCAAGGGAGGCGATGGGACGCAGCGCATAATCACCATTGACAACGCAAACAAGACCCAGATAGCGATTCCCGCGCAGAACGGAGCGTCGCAGACCACGTTCATGGTCGATCCGGACCGCGGATCCGGGCCGACGTGGGGGCATGTCTTGGCGTTTGAGGCCTCGGCAACGGATCCGTGGTTCTACAACTGCAACATCACCATCGGGCCGGTCACCAATGTCGAGCACCCGGTGCAAGAGGTCGGCGTCAACGTCACCACCTTGGCGGCCTCGGCTATCGCTCTGCAGGGCTACGGCGCCTCGACTCTCGGCGTCAGCTTCAACAGCACTCGGCGCTTCCAGTTCCAGAGCTATCCGGCCGAATCCTACTACGGGGGACCCCAAGGGGGCAACAACACTGGCATGGGCCAGCTCATGGCGGCCTTTGCCGTTGGCGTCGTTGCCATCACGGCACAGGTCAACTCCAACGTCAACGCCACGGGGCTGCTGCCCCTGAAGGCCATCGAGCTGGACATCACCAGCTGGGTCTATGTGCACATCATCCTGGGCTTGACGGTCGGGCTGCAGCTGCTGCTGGCGGTGATTGCTGCCGTGATTGCGAGCAAGGTGACGATACGGGACCATAGCTGTGTTGGCTTGGCGGCGGCGCTGCAGCCGTTGCTGTGGAAGCTGGATAGTAGCGGAAGCAGCCGGACGACGTGCGAGAAGAGAATCTTTGAGAGGCTTGGAGAGGGGATCAAGGTGAGCTATGTGAAAGGGAGGAGCGGGTTATACTATATAAAAGTAGACGAATAAGGGACTGCTGCTGGAGTCTCTGTGTATCATATATAAACACATAATGCTTAATACTATGCTCAACGAGCAAAAAATGCAAAAAGAGATGACGAATCATGGAGCTAATAGTTTGCGAAACTGTAAAATGAAAACTAAATGTACAAAAACGGGTTTGAGAGTCAGGTCTATTAATGATAAATCGCTAATCTATCACTTACGTTTGTAAAGCACGAGTGCAACATTAACATGTTCATGGAAAGTATCAAGCAACGTGCTTTACAATCTACTCAGCGAACAATCTCATTCACTCAAGTTCTTGTTGGAGTCAACAACGCTCCCACAATCATCACGAGGGTCCCTATCTCACCAACCTCGGCCCTCCAGTCTTCCCAACCCACCGACCAAAGTGTAACAGCGTCGTCGGTCAACAACAGCTTCATCAAGACTCCCGTTCGCAAGAGGCCGTGTACAACCCGCTCCTTGGCGCGGCTTTCGAACTCTGTTTGCCATTCCTCGATGCCACTTGCATTCCACAAAGCCTCGCTGTTCGCCAGGGGTATAAGAACGAAGCCGCAAGTGGGATACGAAGAAGCCTCAGTTGACATCTCAATCAAAGTGTTGAGTACTTGATATATGAGCACCGTTCTTCCCAACAGATCAGTATGCGTTACCACTCAATGGTAATCAGTAATACGTGTGCTCACCGTCTCTTTGATTCGTTAAAGATCCAATCCATCCAGGTTACGCCGGGATCATCAGGAAGCTCTACCTTGCGGATCCCCCCGGCTGTTGAGTTTAATGCGTTGAATATAAGCTTTTGTAATTGTCAGAGCACAACGCATATCGCAAAAGTTGATGCACCGCTACTTACATTCACCGTAGTCAGAAGGGCGGGTTCGAAGCCGTCATTGTCCACCGGCACCTCCTGGATGCGCAACAGACAGTAGACGAGCAGGGATTGGAAAGCAGCCAGGAGCTCCCATTTGTCAAAATCCACATGCTAGTAACGGTTATTCCAGAGTCCTAAATGAAAACTAACTGACACATACTTTGAGGAGTATTTTTTCCTGCTCAAGCCTGATCAGCTTCCATACAAGCTTTTTGCTGGAATCGGTTCGAGATTTGAACAGTGAGACTAGGCCCATGCACGTAAGTAGTGACTGCTTATCAAGGGAACATTAGTAAAAGGTCCAAAGAATCGATTGTGATACAAGTGTTTCCACAGGCGCTCTGATTTGCCGGAAAATAGGCTTTGGAGAATATGAGGGCGAACAAGCACATCAACTGACCTGTTGCCGCGGCCCTACTCCAGTCTCAGCCCATGAGGCTTGCAGAGGGTTAATAAACGGCGGCAGTGCGGCTTTTTGGAGTATCATAAAGGGATACGATCGCAATATCTGCAATGCCAACAACACCAGGGGTCCTTGGCTTGGCTTAGAAAACGTCCGAGGTGCAAACAGCGAGGGGCCAGAAACATCCCACGGCCTGTACGCAGATATGGCATTTTCTATTTCGCAGAATTCTTCACACCAAGGAACAACCAAAGGCTCGATACCAAGTTCAATGTAAAGCGGAGTCTCAAACAGGACGCCGAGACCAGCATTCCATGTGTCTTCGCTGACGCTTAGCCATTCGAGAGACATTGAAGAATTGGAGGAGCCCTGTGGAAATGCCGTGGTTTCCAAGTTCGCAGATTGACTGGACCCTCTGGAGAGAGCCAAGGTAGTTGCACTCCCTTGAAGCTCCGACGGCTTACCTGCGGAGCGAGTTGTATCACTTACATCGCTTCCACGAGGCTCATCCTTCCGCTGCGATGCTACAGCAAACTCGCATTCAGCACTCCGGTCACGGCAACGAATGCAGGCTTCTGAAGAAGCATCTTCAGGCACGATGCAGCGAGTTTTCGCCCGAATGCATGCGGCGCAGGATCGCCTGCGAGATCTGTTGGTGTCGGGAAGTTTGGAGCGACAGTAGTAGTAGTGCCGCTTGCTTGTGGACTCTAACAGATGTAATCAGCGTGTGTTAAAAAGTCAGAATAACTACAGAATGGTTTTCCAAGAGATTTCAGACATTCCCCTACCCTGGTTGAATGTTTTCTTGCACAGCGGACATTGGTGACTTGCTTCGTGGTTGCTGGAAGGAGTTGAGCGTTTCTGCCCCGTATACATTCTGACGTTTCCTGGATGCTACACTGGATTGTGCGGCTCAGTGTTAATGGTTCACTTGCTAGGAAATGCACTTTGTCGAATTCATCTATTCCGTATGGATTCATCTATTCCGTAAGGATGCCGACAGACATGAGTCGTCGTCTTTACCCCTGCCCCTAAACTCGAATTCACGGAGTTCCGTGCAGCAGTTGGCTTATTAATCGCATCTGTCAGGCATGGCAATCCTGAGTTAGTAATGCTGGTTTATTCGGTTTTAAAGTGCGATTTAGTGTCTTCGAAAGCACTTTAATGTGGATCTGACGGACCGTTACGCCTTCTTCAGGCAAGACTTTAGCCAATCGTATTGTTTCTAGACTCGGAATTAGCTTTGCTCGCATGATTTCCCAAGATCCGCAACATCAGCTCCATGCAGATCTTGAAAAGGTTATCTCTCGCGTTTCGGCGATATAACCACCCGATCGTTTCCTTGGCACTATCGACCTCTTGTGCTAATTCCGAAATCACGATAGTATCGCGAGTTTCAAGGGTGGCTTCATGGGGATGATTTCACGTTGAGAAGTTTCACGGCCTGAACGCCAAGTAGGCCAGTTCAAAGTGATGATACACGCTGGGCTCGCAATGTGTAGATCTGGTAGCAGCAAGAAGTGCCATGTATTTTCAAATAAATATAACACTCTTTCATCCCCCCCAGTCTATTTGGCCGTAAGGACTCGTGCAATAAGGTGGAGCCCACTTTCAAAATCCTGCGACTAGCCGTGACTTTACTTGAATCGAGCAGACTATTGTACATGGTAGGCCGAAAGAAACGCCAGATAACTCCGCCCATTTACATGGTTCCAGTAACTCCGCCGCTGACCGAGATCCATTGCGCGGTAAGCCAGCGGCTCTTCTCCGAAACCAAGAGCAACGCAGCATCGGCCATGTCGTCGACTGTCCCAATTCGTGCCTCAGCTCGCGTTTGCGCCTCCACCGCTTTCAACATATCAGCCGATGCGGTTCCGTCAGCTGCTTCCAAGAATGGCCTGGCCATGTCTGTCATGATTGGTCCCGGAGCGAGGGTGTTGACGGTAATTCCATGGGAACGACCGAGCTATTGCTTGTCATTAGAAACAGCACGTCTTTATGAGAACGGGAGCCTTGTTGCAAAGAAAAGCTTACCTGGCCAGCCCAAGACGCCGTGAGACTATCTTGCGCAGCCTTTGCAGCGCCGTAGACTGCACTGACTTCGGGGCCGAGTTTTGACGCAATGGAGCCGACGTTGATGATGCGCCCGCCTCTGGGCATTTTACCCAGTCCAATGACTGCTTGTGTCAGGTAAACTGTGCCAAAGACATTGATCGCGAACTCGGCTTCGAGCGACTCTGGCGTTGCCTCTAAGAGATTTCTCGGAACTCCATATCCAGCGTTATTCACTGAGTCGTAACCAGTTATCAGCCACGTTCAAATCTCAGTTAACGAATTAGAAGTCTTAAATTACGTACCAAGAATGTCAATGTGAGAGGCTCCGAGTCCTTCTAGTGTTTCCTTGACCATCTTTGTCGCATTGCTGGGCTTCTCCACCGCTCCTTGTACAACGGTAGTCTTGGTTCCAAACTCGCGACTGATGTCTGCTGCCACCTTCTCAGCCCGCGGCTTAGAGCTCTCCGAGGCATAGTGAATTGCAACATCGGCACCGTTCCGGGCAAAAGCTCTGGCGATGGCAGCGCCAATGCCATTTTCTCGGCCGGAGCCGGTGATCAAGGCAGTCTTGCCTTTGAGCGAAAGAGTGTCTGCAGTCATGTTTTTGTTGAAGTCAAGTGAAAGATGTTGATACTGAGTGAATAGGATTGGTTTGGAGACCGTTCGATTGGATCTTTATAGTTTCATTTTCATTGTTGTCATTAAGGCACAAGTTGACTACCTAGATTCAACTTGAAACACATGATTATAAATTCCGATACTATTCACGGCTCTCCGTGAACGATGAAGTCGTCTGTTTGCATTAAAAATGGCGATTGCGGTTTTCATCACATAATTTCCAATAAACTGTCTGTCTGAAATATTACCAACGTATCCGTAAACTGTACATCATAGGCCCTGGCGGATTTCCCGACCAAGTTGTCTAATCGCCACCTTCCGAATTCCGCACCTAGTGCGGAGAACAGTCCGCATAACCGTTTTGAATCTCATCCCAACGGTATTACAAAGCAGCCGATAGAGAACTTCACGGAAATCCGCGAAACAAGTTTCCAAGCGGTCTTGATCGTAGTTTACTTTGTTTGCATAGATGTACTTAAGTTTCTATCGCTTCAATGTGTTCATTATATATTTCAGCGACTTTCTCTTCTTCATTCATATGTATAAATACTTGAAGTCACATACTCAGGACTTGTGACTCCTAAACTTTGGTCAACTGGCTGATCCAACGTGTATTTCCCTTTCAAGTCTTTGCCAGAGCCAGCTTCTTTGGGAAGTTGGACGACGGTCAACCCAATTGTTGGGCCTGCGACCTCGACTCTGTTGATAATGCTATAATCAACGTTTTTTGAAGGCTGTGACCATTACATCTACATTGAAAAACTTCAGAACTAATGCCCACCAGGGCGAGCTATGCCTACTTCACGTGCTTTCCTCCTCAAGTTGCTATGTACGCCGGATGAATGCATGACGCTCTCTATTCGCTTTGAGACTGCTGAGCTTTCTACGTACTTGCTAGAGCCTTTTTCTCTGCATGGGTACAGCTTCAGCAAGCTTTGTAGCTACCCAAGCGGTGGACAAAAAAACAGGGACCGCAAAATGAATATGTGCGTAATCCGCTATAATATGCACATCTTTTTCAAAAGAAGACTCTCGAGATTGTATGTGTATAATTTCGGCGTGGGTGTTCAAAATCGTCTTATTCCCTGTTTTTCTGTCCCCTCCTTGCTACCTTAGTCGGATACCAACCACGATGAATGAATGGGATAGATTCGGCAGCATGGAGATTCCAAGCCGAAACTTGGAGTTTCTATCATTGTTGACGGCCGTATCTCAGCGAGCAAGAAATCCTCCGAATATAGAAGGAGCGAGAGAGGGAGGTAGAGCATGAAGCATTTCCGTAGGCAAACCTCATATCCACCCAAGATCCATCATCATGAAGCTTCAATTCCTATCGAAGAAAATATTGCTGGATAGGGATCGGTGAGTCGAAGTGAGAGGGCCGGCTACCCACTTCTCGTCTGCTGAAAAAGGATGCGTGAACCATCGTCCTGAAGGCCACCAATTTCTGGAAATTCGTGACAATGGAAGCTGCGTTTGGTTTTCTAAGTGCTACTGTGAGATATGAGCTTGTTAGTCATCAATCTTTCGATGCATTCACTATGTGAGCTCATCTGAACGGTTGTCAATGCGCCGTCATTTTCGATAATGGCCAAGCAGCAATTCAGCGGCCGGTTTTGTCTGGGTAAGTCATCAATCAAGTCCCTTCAAGGCTGAATATGCATGATTCCATAGGTACGAAAGATGGCATCCCATAGTACTGTATACCGAGTTATCCCCGTAGTATGATTTCGGGAATTCAAAGAGCAAAAGTATTGGTTTTTGCCATGGTCCATAGCGAGTCTTTAATACCCATAATCATTCTTCCACCCTTGGGATACAAGCAAAACACCATTCCTGTTATGGAAACCAGTACCCTTGTCATTTTGCTGCCCCGCATCATACGCCACTCTTCTTTTCCTTATCCCCGTTGTCAAGCGTAGCTCCCCGAATACGCTAAAGAGTCAGCATTCATGGCACTTCAAGACTGAACTTCTTAAACGCGGTCTCATGAATCCTTTTCGAAATTTCCCAGATCTAGCTGAATATTCTCCGTATTTTCTGCAAGGTTCTCATGTATACTCGTAGAATTAATTCCTCATCGCCAACCCAGACAACATGCCCGACCTTGTTTTTATTACGGCAACCAATCGGCTGATCCCCGATGACAAACAAGCCAGGAAACTTATACGGAAGCAGGCTATGAGCAAGCCTGCCCATGCCAGACGAAAACGAGGCGGTTATGGACAGCATAACCTGATACAATATCCAGTTGGAATCATCAACGAAAAAGAGAGTGAAGAGAGATATTATGCCGCTTGGGAGGCAATTCGGGCCATTGTACCGAGCCTACCGAGCTGCTCATACGAGAGACTGAGGACGCGATACAACTTTGATCTTCTTGATCTGTCACAACTGACCTCATTCCACATCAGCTATGCAACGGCGAGCTCTCTTGCCAGCAAGCCTGATATGTTAAGCGACGTTCTCGGCCGCCGGCATTGGTCATACTTGAACTATCTGCCAGGCCGCATCGGGCAAAACGGTGCTCTGGACAAGGCTGCTGTATGTGTGGCCGCCAGAGCCCAGCAATGGCTCGCTTCACCATCGGAGCCGGTATCCGGCAGCATATTGAAGCTGTATTCGGAAGCATTGGCGGATCTTCAAGCCGAGCTGCAGTGTCCTGACGCATGTCTTGGGCCAGACGTGCTCTGTGCCACGGAGCTGCTTGGAATATACGAGGTAAACTATTACGCGTATACAGATATCTTGAGTCACTCTGCTTATAAAGTTACATAGTTGTTGAAAATGTCGACTGAAGACGCTTGGAACTATCACTCCTCAGGGGCAGCAGCACTGATTAAGCTTCGCGGTCCTGAACGCTGTCAGAGTGACTTCGAAAAGGCACTACTGCTATCCCATGTTGGTCAAATTGTAATCTTCTCCTGCCATCTCCGCAAAGATCGATCTAGCGCAAGATCTGTATGACTAACCATGTGACCAGTTCCACGACGCGCTTAATGTTAATCAGAGTTGCTTCCTAAGTGATGGCCCATGGCAAGCCGTGCTGCGCGCAATACCTACAAATGACAATCTTTTCAACGATAGGAGTGAGCCAATTGTGGCTCTGTTGACCAACGTATGCCATGTGCCAGAGTATTTCCATAAAACGACACAAATCATTTGCGTCACTCGCGACGATATTCCAGACTATTGGTTTGACGACGTGACGAGCAATCTACATCGACTCCGGCTGGCATGCTTACAATGGCAGGAAGAGTATTTTGGATCGGCCGCGGCGGGCTGTCCTAATATGGTGATAGATACAGACAGGCAGCATGAGGCTCTCGGGTTCAGCTTTGCCGTCTCCATTGTAATCAATCGATTGCTCTTCAGCTTGGACCCGATAGCGAATGCTTATTGCGAAGAGACGGCGCAGAAGTTTGCATCGAAAATCCTTCAGATCAAAAAGATGAGTTTGTCGAATGAATCTCAGGCAGAGCTTTTCATGGCAATCAAACTCAGTGTTGCAAGGACTGCCCAAGCCACAGCAACAAAGTGGAATGACTGGTGTAAAAACGCGCAGCTTGAGCCTTCGACTAGATCTCCTCTGTTGCCGAAAGAAGTCTTTACCGATTGGTGTCGCAGAATGAATTGGGAGACGCCTTGATTCGACAAGAGATGAATGGGCATTTGGAATATTTTCTATCAGGCGAGGGTTTTATTTGTAATGTATTGTAACATTTCTTGGCATGTTGGGCTGAATTACACTCGGGTATTGTATAGCTACTCTGAATTGTAATCGTGACGGATAGGCTATTCCCCACGACTTAACCATTTGGTATTAGTTCAACAGCTTATAAGCAACTGCTTCATTTGTATCAAAAGATTCCAATTAGAATATACATAGGTATACTGAAGCTTGCAACGGCAACTCAGAACCAGGGTACTGGCCTCTTGAATGAGTTTAGTGCCCACTCTATTTCTTTCAAAAGTCCAACGGAGTCTCTGCCGTCCAACGTGCCGCCGGCGGCCACTAAAAGGACAGGGGTACTGGCTACCGAGATGGTATTAGCGTCGCCATTCGGGCTCCTCCGCCAAAGCTTGATCTTCGTGGAACACCAGAGAAGTCATAGCTGATGATGCAACTAGATGCATTGAAGTTGGGGCTGGTGATGAAAGATGTGTAATCATCGATGGATTTCGGGTATTCGATTTACAAGACTTGCGGTTTATCATCATTCGTGGTGGGCGTTATGAGATGGCTCTACCTAAACGGCGTCTCGGAATCGAGTATATAAGGCTGTCGAGTATTCCTCTCTAGAGTCGAAATACAATTCACTCAACAGACATTCAACTTCAATCAATACAACCTAACACATTCACAACCTCTTCTTTTTACTAAATTTACAACCTTTCAATCCGCTACAATGCCTATCGGACACGTTCTCATCAGAGTCGCCAAGGCTGACTTTGCTCCCACCGTTCAGTTCTACACCAGTGCTCTCAAGACTCTCGGACTGAATGTCCTTCCTGGCTTCCCAGAGGGTATGGTTGGCTTTGGCACCGCTGGGCCTGAGTTTGTCCTGCTGTCCAGCGACAAGCCCGGCTACGCTCACGTCGCTTTCCAAGCAGCTGGTAAGGACAAAGATATTCTCATTACACATAGTCATGTGCAACTATTCAACAAGTATAGCTTCTAACTATTATGATTTAGATACCAAGGCAGTTGATGCTTTCCACTCTGCTTCTCTTTCTGCCGGCGCAAAGGACAATGGAGCTCCCGGAATCCGAGCTGGAATTCACCCTCAGTACTACGCTGCTTTCATCCACGACCCTGTTGGCAACAACATTGAGGCCGGCACTTTGACTTCCGCTTGAGGACGACTTTAAGAAGCCCATGGGAAATAGGAATGGGTCATAGAAATGAGTACGCTGTATAACTCAGGGTGCAGCTTAGAGGATCACATGAAGTTTGTACAGCTAGCTAGCCATGAATGTGTAAACCAATCGAATCTTGTATAACACTATTTTAAAAGGTTGCAATTATTTGTCTTTGTGTTCCTGTATGCATTACTTGAATGTGTCAAAAGAGTTGAAAGAGCAACTTACTCGGGCTCAAGTTCGGCATTGTACAGAACTCTCAAGTTCCAACGGCGTCAATTACTTAGTCCTTAATACCCCACCATCAAATTGCTAAACTTGTTCAACTTGGCACAAATGGCGCATTCCAATTCCAAATCCTGCTGTACAATAGCTATAGCAGTCAACAAGGTTTTTTGGCTTCTGTGCGGATACCGCGGAAATGGCGCAGCTTTCTGCAAATGCCGACAGCCGTCCCGACAACGATGCCGCTGCCGTGCCGCTGGCGAAACGCGAGAGGCCATGATGCAACCCGAGCTAAAGCAAATATTATGACGCTGTAATAATAGCGCTGTAGAACTGGGACTAAGCGGCGCTGCTGTATCTGCGGTGCTGAGGTAAGACGTATAACTACGAAGAGAAGGAAGCTCGGATTTTATATAAATATAGGGCAGACATATGTGGAATACCCAAAGTTTCTTCTTCTTCATTCTTTTATACAACTCCACAACTAAAGCAATTCCTCACAACTACATCTACTCACAATGGCCGCGCAGGAAGGACGAGCTCCATACCCCCCATTCACGGCGGAGACGGCGCAAATAAAAGTCAAAGCCGCACAAGATGGGTGGAACACCAGGTTCGTATACCACAAACCGTCTCTTTTTACTACTTGGCTTTGCTTACCAGAAGTTGTAGAAACCCAGACGGCGTCAAAATGGCGTACACTCCAGACTCTATCTGGCGCAACCGTGGCACATTTCTGCAGGGCCGTGACGAGATTCAAAAGTTTCTCGCAGACAAATGGAAGAGAGAAAATGGCTATCGCCTGCGAAAGGAGCTCTTTGCCTTTACAGATAACAAGATTGCAGTGCAATTCTGGTATGAGTGGTACGATGAGGCTGGACAGTGGTGGCGCACTTATGGCCTCGAGGACTGGACTTTTGCGGAGAATGGGCTGATGAGGAAGCGCCAGATGAGTGGAAATGATGTAAAGATTAGAGAAGAAGAGAGGTGGTTCAAGGACGGTGTCGATGTGAACACGGTAGACATTTCAGAGAAGCACTGGTAGAGAGGGCATTAATTTGAAGATACCGATATATATCCTTGAGTACATCTTGCGTGATTACATGTAGTTTAAGTGAGAAAACACCGGCTAAACAATTGGACCAACGATAGGAGAACTTTACATCTGCAAATTAAACTTGTCAATACGCAAATAAGTTATATGTTGCTATTGTTTATACAGCTATGAAGTGCTGTGTTGGCCTGCATTATACTGTTCGTGAGCTTCTTTTGCCTCGCAAGCAAGTTCTGGATACTATATCCTCATGACTATACGTGACACCAGCGGGTCTCGCTCCCGCGTATTAACGACGCCCGTTCACTGTCTCCAAGCTTATACTCGTAACATTTCGGGCGACTGTTGCCCCAGACAAAATGTCTCTAGCGCTCTAGGGCTGCATTGGCTCCGGGGATAAGCGCGTCGCTTCGGGGTTTCTGACTCAGCGATTCCGCAAGTTTCCTCTCTTGTTTCCGTCTAGCGGAAAACAGCGAGGATATTGTATAGTAAAGTGAGAGAATACCTATATGAGGTGCAAGGTTATAAAGACGAAGCGATGAAAATAGGATTGGAAACTGTGAATGAGATGAGGACACTAGGCTGAAAAGAGATTTGAAGGCAAGCTAGTAGGGTAGGTGAATAGGTAGGGGGAGTGAAATGAAAGACAAATCATTTGTAGCTAGAAGATGAGGGTAATAATGAAGCGTAACTAGATTTGGATTTATAAATAAAGGCAGGACAATATTCTATCAGGCTATTAAGTTTACCATTCTGGCTGCCGATAAAAACGGGCGATAGATGCTATAATCGGAAGTTGAAATATGCGTAGATAGCCTTTGAGTGGATGTAGCTTATCCCACTATACGAGACGTGATAAAGATGCTTAGTTGATCAACGCAACTATTATGAACTTAGGATAGCATTCATCCTACGACGCTATACCGTTTAGCTCTTTTGGGCTACATCAAACAATTGTTTCTTCCTTCAACCCAGTCGTTGAAGCATGGCTGTTGAATTAACCAAGCTTAGATACTTGGCTACATTTCAAGCCTGTGACAGCCGGAATAAAGATTCACTGCTTCCTACAACAGGATATCGTGCATGTCTAGATAGTATGGCTCATATGCTTAGAACATGGATACTATATTGCTCGTTTTACGATGAGGTAGTACAGGCGTCGCGAGTGGCAAACCTATAACTGAATGAAGCAGGGCTCGGGAGCCTCAACTGCTATCGCGATTGAACACAAATCAGCGCTCCACGCATATGGTTTTTGCCATGCACTTGTCGGCTTTTGCCATTTGGGCAGATAGAGTTGCGCTTTTTGAAGAGCAGAAACCGGGTCCCATATTGTCCACAGCTGTCTCACCCATGCTCGGCGATTCCTGCCCTTCAAAAGCCCTCCAAATATGTATGTATTGGGAGCGCATTTGACTATCTCTCTCAAGTATGTAATGTCCAGTCTGTAGATTTTGTCACTGCGGTTGGCGGAATGACCAAGGCACGACCAACTTTAACGGTTGGCCTAGAGCAAGATAGATATCCAGTTTGAGTCTTCCGTTGAGCACACAAATTCACTAGTAATCCACTAGGATGTGATCTTGAGAAGCGATTATATAGCAAACTAGTTACATATTGCCAAAGACATTCTGGAATTATTAGCTTCATCCAATGAGATGGGGCGCGTCAATTACAGCCAGTGTAAAACGCGACCCAGTGAATAGATAGCCAAGAGATAACCCAGTAGGACTTTTGCCACTTTAAAAACTCCAGGGATTTTTGTCGCCATCTTAGTATGCCAAGAGCGTCTACTTGTATGCAATGTGTCGAAAGGGCGCCCTCCGAGGAACTTTTTTCTAAATGCCGAATCTGGGGTAGCGCTGCGGCTGTGAAGGAAAAGATCCCTGTGCCTCGTCTGTCAAAATGTTAATCAGCCCTTGTCTATGTTGAAATCGCAATCCATGGCCTATACGTTTATTAGATAAATGGTCTGGGTTCTCCGCACGCTTCGACGTTCCAACCTTGTTGGCCAATCTTTCGGCAAAGTCCGTTCAGGCATCTCTCTTCACTTATGAGTAGAATCTAGTCTACTGACTTGGCACGGCCATCAGTCATGGCCAAACCATCCATCTGCGCTGGTTATCGCTCAGGCTCAGTCACTGGCAACGACTAGTCTACCTGTAGAGCATCTTGTAAAAATGAAATTACACTGAACCCATTTGTATTCTTCCCTGCAACGATCAGCGTTGCAGCACTAAGATAGAGTCGAGAGCAGCCCCATATTATTAAGACAGCGCTATCTTGGCGTGCGGCAAGGTTAAAAAGGTACCCGTTGGGAGTCAGCCACGACGAGCACCAACCAGCAAGCTCATTTGCGACCTTACTGAATGAGCTAGGAGCAAATACAAAAGTCCATGCAAGACCCGGTCAATGCTCAGCTGCAAACGGGATCTTTGGGTTGACAAACAGGGCATGTGAACGGCACTATATCTCCACCATCTCTCTACTCGTAGACCTCCCATGTCCCCTGTATCCCGTTCGCCGCTGTAGCTGTACGGTTTACACTCATAGCTGCGATTTAAATGATCTCTGCATATCCGTATGCAGTTATCCGTATCTGAAACGAGATTGCCTGAAAGTCGGTGCTTTTCTATATCTGGTACAATCCTACAAGCAGCTTCACCAATGGCGAGCAGAAGTGGATGCCGAGACTTGCTCAAGCGACAAGGGTGATGGTACAACGCCAGCGATAGACTCCATACCGACGGCCGAGTGCGGAGTAGCACTGCTCGGTAAGAATAGCTAATAATCAAGCTTACTGGGAATAGGGCATCTAATTTGACCTGCATGAGAGCCGACAACCGCTTCAAATAATAGCGTGTTCCTGTGCCATTCGCGGGCCTGATACGACCATCTACGGCTCCTTGCGTGCTTGGTCCCCGGCATAGCACAGTAGCAAATTGGTTTAGTAGTGTCGTACGGCATGAATGAGCTGGCTGGAAACAGCCCGTCGCTCGGGATATCGAGGTGGTTCCGCACCATCATCGTCTTACGCCTCGCGGCGCATTCCGGCCGAAAGATTGCTTCCTAGAATGGGTATTTACTGGGTCGCATTATGGCTATCCTCACCATGTATAGTTAGACATGGGATTCTGCTGTTGGTCGTGAAAGAGCTTCTTTATATTGTCTCTATGCAAATAGCCGTGCAGGCCTGTAGGTTCCCGAAAACTGGTTCTCGCTCGTGGCTTGCACTACGAGCCCTTTTCACCACTAAATTAGAGTTGCAGATTCCCAAGGAACTCTGTTCTCCCCTACGTTGATAAAGACTTACAAGTCATGCGCCAGATATGGCATGTAATACAATGAGCACCAAAAATCCAGGTAATAGACTGATATCGCACACTCAGTACTATCCAAGTACGGTGTATCGGCGGCTACCGACCAACTCCGCCTCGTAGCTGGGACTACTGTGTGGCCCAAGCATTGTCTAGAGACCCATCGCCACGGCAGACCGTCCCAATGAGGCAGGCAAAAATAAATAGTGGCGATTTCGATCTAATGTATGCCGGCCGGTGAGAGATTAGCTCCGCAGACATTCTCATCGCGTGCTCAATTCCGTTGTCCACTGAGCCAGTTAATATGAGATATTGATCTTGGCGGATGCAATCTGTGCTACAAAAAGACAGCCACCAATATCATGTGCGGCTAGCATGGAACAAAAGGTCTCGGACCCCTGAAGCTTCAGCTGCAGGGGGGTAATGAGAGCTTCCAAGTCCCCCAATGACCGTTGGCCGTGTCTTGGCTACCGCATCAGTGCGCGTCCAACATCGTGTTCTAAGCCGTCGTAGCGATGAAAGGCCCATGATGGAGAGAAATGTCTGGACCAAACCGGGTTCGACGGCTCCAGCCGACTGCAGGGTCCATGGTCTTATTTCGAGGGAGCGACTACTTATATTCGGGGTGTCCCATCGCCTCGATGGCTGATCTAGTGAAGTAGAGGACAGCGTTCTGGTTGCTCGCAGCCTGGTGTACGTCATTGTCGTCATTGTCGTCGTCACGACGCGTCCTTTTCCAAGCATTGCGCTGCTGTAGCACCTTGACCTACAAGCAAGCAACACTCCACGATGGTTCGCTCAGCTTTGTTTGTGTCGCTGCTGGCGACCATAACCGGAGCCATAGCTCGCGGCTCTGGTCACGCATCAAAAATTGTCCCGGGCGCCTACATCTTTGAGTTCGAGAATGACCATGTGAGTTGTTCCCTCAGCTATTGGCATATAGCGCCGCAGCGACGAGTGTAGAAATATTAATGAAGCGCAATTAGGACACTGCCGAATTCTATAAGCAGCTCAATGGCGAAGGGTCGACCCGCATGAAGTTCGACTACAAGCTGTTCAAAGGTGTCTCGGTCCAACTCAAAGATCTTTCCAATCATGAAGACAAAGCGCAGAAGATGGCCCAGCTGCCCGCCGTGAAGAACATGTGGCCGGTGACCCTTATCCAGGCCCCCAATCCGAAAGTCGAGTGGGTTGCCGGTACCAACTCTCTTCCCAGTATCCAGTCTAGAGATGTGTACCCGCCCCCGACAGACGATGGCAACTTTCCTCCCCACAAGATGGTCCAGATCGACAAGCTGCGGGCAAAGGGTTACACCGGCAAGGGCGTCAAGGTTGCGGTGATTGACACAGGTGTAAGTGGAAACCAATCAATCTTCTGTAGCTGGCTCTTCGCTAGACATAAAGCTAATGAGATGCTAGATTGATTATACGCACCCTGCTCTGGGCGGCTGCTATGGCGCAGGTTGTTTGGTGTCTTTTGGTACCGACTTGGTCGGCGACAACTATAGCGGCTTCAATACTCCTGTGCCTGACAATGATCCCAAGGACTGCGCCGGCCACGGCACTCACGTTGCCGGCATCATTGCTGCGCAGAAGAATCAATACGGGTTCACGGGTGGTGCTCCTGATGTAACTCTCGGCGCGTATCGGGTTTTTGGCTGTGAAGGCCAAGCCGGCAATGATGTCTTGATCGCCGCATACAACAAGGCCTTTGAAGACGGCGCTCAAATCATCACAGCCTCCATCGGAGGTCCGTCTGGCTGGGCCGAGGAGCCATGGGCTGTTGCTGTCACCCGAATCGTCAACGCTGGCGTTCCATGCACAGTCTCTGCCGGCAACGATGGCGACCACGGCCTTTTCTACGCCAGTACGGCGGCCAACGGCAAAAAGGTCCTCGCTGTTGCTTCCGTTGATAACCAGAACATCCCAACCGTCTTTTCGCTCTCCAGCTACAAGATTGATAGCGGTGCTGACACAAAGTTTGGCTACGTTCCTTCGTCCAAGGGAGCAGAAGGCTGGAAGGGCGTCACCAAGCCCGTCTATGCTTTGACACTCGACACGACGATTGCAGACGATGGATGCTCTCCTCTGCCTGACAACACCCCTGATTTGTCAGACCATATTGTCCTTGTTCGCCGAGGTTCCTGCACTTTTGTCCAAAAGGCTCAAAACGTTGCTGCCAAGGGCGGCAAGTATCTCCTCTACTACAACACCATTGCAGGCGCCTTGTCGGTCGAAGTCAGCTCTGTGCCTCAGATTATCGGCGCCGGCATGGTCGAGGATTCCACCGGAGCGACTTGGATTGCTGCCATCAAGGCCGGAAAGACTGTTACTCTGTCAATGGTTGCTCTAAACGAAGCTACCAAGCAGGTTCAGTTTGCTGACAACAAGGCGACTGGCGGCGCCCTCAGCACTTACACGAGCTGGGGCCCTACCTGGGAGATGGACGTCAAGCCCCAGATCAGCTCTCCGGGCGGCAACATCTTGTCTACCTATCCCGTTGCTCTTGGTGGCTATGCAACCCTCTCCGGCACATCAATGGCCTGTCCATTGACTGCTGCTGCTGTTGCTCTGGTGGCTCAAGCCCGCTCCAGCTTTGACCCTGTCCTGCTTGAGAATCTTCTGGCTACTACTGCCAACCCACAGCTGTTCAACGATGGTACCCAGTTCTACGACTTCCTCGCCCCTGTTGCTCAGCAAGGCGGTGGCCTCATCCAGGCCTACGATGCAGCCTTTGCGACCACTCTTCTCTCCCCATCCAGTCTGTCGTTCAACGACACCGACCACTTCATTTCAAAGCGACAAATCACTCTGAAGAACACCAGCAAGAACAGAGTCACCTACAAGATTGGCCATGTTCCCACTGACACGTTCTACACCCTGGCGAACAGCAGCGGCTACGCAGCTCCCTTCCCCAACGACGCCGTTGCGTCTCACGCCTCCGTGAGGCTCAGTCAGCAGCAGGTGACTGTACCTGCCGGACGGTCAATCACAGTCGATGTCTTCCCTACACCTCCCCGAGGCGTGGATGCCAAGCGCCTTGGCCTGTGGTCGGGTTACATCACGGTCAACGGTACCGATGGTTCGCATCTTTCCGTCCCATACCAGGGTCTGACCGGCTCTCTCCAGAAGCAGCAGGTTCTCTTTCCGGAGGATTCGTGGATCAGCAACTCCACCGACACAAACCTGAACCCTGTTGCCAACGGAACCGTATTTACGATTCCCGGTCCCGGCAATGCTGGGCCCTCGGATGTACTTCCCGCTCTCGTCGTCAGCCCAGCTCTTGGAACGCGGCTTGTTCGTGCTGATCTCGTTCTCTTATCAGCGCCTCCTCACGGCAGCAAGATCACAACTAAGAAGTTCTTTGATACCACGTCCATTGGCCAGCCCAGTGGATCCCCTCTTCTGTGGCAGAGCCGAGGTCCCACCCCAATCTCATGGAGCGGCGAGCTGACCGATAACAAGTTTGCGCCCCCTGGAACGTATAAGGTCGTCTTTCATGCGCTGCGCATTTTCGGTAACGAGAAGAAGAAGGAGGACTGGTATGTAAGCGAGTCTCCGGCATTCACAATCAAGTATGCCTAGATGGGGGACGACAGAATATTTGGGCTTGAGGCGTAAAAAATAATGAGAATATAATGTATTTTGTTTCCTATTGTCCGTTTCAAAATGAAAGCCATAGTTACATTCGTCCAGAAAGCTGTTGAGCTTCAACTTCAATCTCCAGACATGTGTGGTCATGTGACCTTGAATAGTAATCACAGTCACGTGGTGTGGCATCTGCTTATCATCCCAATCTTCTTCAACCGCGCCTTGGAGACTCCAAGATCAGCCCCGGTGCCATTTAAATCCTCCAATCAGCTCCTTCCGCCGCCACCAAAAGACACCAGGCAGCAGGATTTTTCCCGATGGCGATTCGCCAGCCCTCCCGTTCTGGGTGTCTTTCCCCCACCAGGCGTTGCGGGGATGGCGATTTAGGCCCGTGAGTTGAACCCTTGGGAAGCCGAGAAGGGACGAGACAGCTGGGCAAGGGACGAAAAGCTGGGCTGCTGGAGTACACGAACGAACGATTGCTGTCCACACGGTGTTGAGCCGCAGTGCCACCGCAAGGCAGCGAGTTTCACCTCGATAACGACCGTCGGCTGGATAAACGCTCACCAGCCGCCTGATCTGGTTCCTGGCCGTGCTGTCCATCTCGCAGCCAGCTCCAGGCTCGGTATCTCTCCGATTGCAATTCTTCTGCCTAATCCGATTCCTCGCGGCCGTTCTGGCGCATATCTTGCAGCGCATATCCTGCAGCGCACGTCTCGTCATTTTTCAAGCTCGGCGGGAGTGCCTTTTGCCCCTCCTCAGGGTGTATGCGCCAGTGCCTGCATTGGATTGGCCCGTTGCTCTCCCAACCGCCCTTGGATATCTGCGACGCTGATTAGTGCTGCGATGCACCGCGCTTGAATCAAACGTCGCAGACACCTATCCGCCCTGCAGCTGCGGCATCGAGGTCAGGCGAGAGGTCCAGCTTGATCCGCTTTGAGCGTCCCCGGTCTAACCGGGTGCGGCCCCAGTGCCTGATCGAGTTATCATAACAGGGTCCCCTTCAGGCAACAGCAAACATCCAATATATAGGCCGCGCAATAGGAGGAACAGCAGCTGGCAAGCAGCGTTTCCTCGTTTCTCCCGCAGTGCAAGATGGAGTCCATCTTGCCGATGGGTGGTTTTCAGCTGCCCTTCCAGCGCCGCCTGAGTCGTCTTTACAACGACACCAAAAAGTCCAGCGATTTTGTCAAGGAACCTGCTCAACATGAAGATGACCCCGAGATCAAGGCGCTATATCGCAAATTGCGCATCCAAAAGGATCGCTTTGTCAGCTGGGGACTGGAATGGTCTGATCCAAACCAGTCTGCTGAAATCGATGAGTCTCTTTCCAAGGCCGGCCTGAGCGAGGTCGTCGGCAGCATCATGTCCACCATCAAGGATATCCTCGCCGAAGCAGAGCCTCTATGGTTGAGTTATAAGCGAGTCGTTGAGGGAGTTCGGCCATCACCTGATCGTAAAGCACCGCTTGTCCAATGGGATAAAGGGCGATTTGAGGGTCTAATTCATGACCTCACTGCCTCCATCGATACCCTCTACGACTTATCGCGTATGCGCTCATCTGATACTCTGAACTCGCCGGTAACAAAGTCGACGTCCAAGGCCTCTGCTTCAGAAGGGGATTTTCGACCATTTGAATCAACGCGGATGCAGACTCCTCAGCAGATTGACCCCAAGAGCTTGACACACTTGCAACCTTTGCAAGATGGGTTGAGCACAGTATCAGCATCTCGGCGACATGTTGTCTACATGAGCAAGACAGCTTACTCTGAACTCACAACCCAGGGTGCTACTAGACAACCTTGGGCCCCCCTTCTCCTTGAGTATGCCGAGTTTGATCCAATCTATTCGACTACGGGCATCATGCCCCCTATGGCCCGCTTCGAGAAGCTCTCTGCTGGCCTTCAGCGAGATCCCCAGAGAGCCCCTGGCTCTTGGACCGGCCTGCCTCGCTTGCTCGGCTACTTTGAAGATCTCGAAAATTCTCGGCTGGGCTTAGTCTATCTCTTCCCGCCTTCCTTCAACACGTTGGCTTCCAACCGTGTGAGCCAAAACCCTCAGTACAGTCTGCCTACTCTGAGTGACCTCCTTGCTCGTGGCGACTCGGAACCTCCGTTAGAGGCAAAGTTCCGCTTTGCATATAACCTCGCAAATACGGTGTTTGATATGCACGCTAGAGGCATCACCCACGGTAATATCTCCGATGCCAACATCTTGTTTAGCAAAAGCACAGCGCCAGGGAATAGCGACGGCACAGGACATGTTGATATTCGCCGACCTGTGTTGTCGTCTTTCGACGTCTTCACTGAAGAATCTTCAATTACGAATTCGATATGGCAGCACCCCCTCGATCCTCGAGCCGCGCAGACGTCACCTCTCCCAAAGTCCACTGATGAGAGAGTGTTGGAAGTATATTCCCTAGCAATGGTACTCCTATCTATTGGACTGTGGACAAAGTTGGAGACTCTTGCACCAAACGCAGCGCCCACAACTGTTCCAGAATCTGCCTTGGATACACTGGCTATTAGATGCGGTACATTGTACATGAAAGCTGTCCAAGCCTGTTGGAAAGCTGTCGACGATGAGCTTTCAGGCGAGGTCAAGGGTGAATCTCTGCTTTCTGGCGTGCAGATGCGCGTTACGCGGTTCTTGGAGGCCTGTTGCATCTTGGATGGTGTCAGTGGATTCGAGGAAAGGCTGGGCCATGAGCCATCCCTTATGGAAGCTGCGCCATTGCCCACAATAGGGCCTTCGAAAGACTCCAAAGGTTCCAAAGACAAAAAGGGAATGCCAGTCCCTGCGGCGCCTACTAAGAAACCTCCTCCGCCACCAGTGCCAACATACACCCAAAACAAAGGCATTGAGGCCCATGGTACGTGACTGCCCGCTCCCCTTGACGCATTAACAAGAGACAATACCTAACAATGGAATAGAGCCCGAAATCAAAGAAAGCAAACCGGAAGCAAAGGTCCGATTATATCCTCATGTACCACTACCACCGGACGTTGTGGACAAATGGAATTCCATCCTCATGCCTCAGATCAACATTGCTCTAAAGTCATTCTATCGCAAGCACCCCGAGTCAGTAGAAATATCTCTCGAGTCTGTGGGGCCTAGCCCTCACCAGACTAGGCCTACTGTATTGGTGGTCTGCGCATCTGTTGGCAAAGTCCGTGCCATCTTGAAGAAGAAGCTGGGTGAGCTGTTTGACGATTCCACTGGCTTTGGTCTTAAAGTATGCCGTGGGAGCGTCATCAGATCGCGACGACAAGGATCAATCATGAGGTCCATGGCGCGAGGAAGTAGATCTAGCGGACATCAATCGGGCCACGATAGCGATGACGAACATGTCGAGGCTGTCAATCCTGAATACCAGGAAAAGCCCAATAATGGCGCAAGCATTGGGGCCTGGATTGGAGACCGACACTTGCCTCCGGTGAGCTTTGGCGGTCTTGTCATTGTTGACGAAAAGACGTATGGCATGACTGTGCACCACATGCTCGACGACCCGGAACGCGATTTTGCATTTCCCGATACCACGCGTAGCAGCGCTGTTCCAGGACGCGAGTGGCAGCCTGAGTCGACGTTTGGTAGCTTCGATGGCGATGATTACTCTTATGAGCTGTCCGACACAGAATCAGAGCCTTATTCCGAAACAGACCTCACTAGCGACTACGACGATGAGGAGGAGGACGAAGACGAAGAGTATAGTGAACCTGGTGATATTCCAGGCATAGAGCCCGGGTGTGGTGATGGCTACATCGTCACCCAGCCTGCCCTAGATGACGTGGAAGAAGGCTTCTATCCTTATGCTGAGACTGAAGATGAAGACCATCTCGATACTTTCAGTCTTGGAGAAGTGTATGCTTCTAGTGGTATTCGTCGTAAGGAAGCCAATGGCTTGATTCATGAAGTTGATTGGGCCCTTTTCGAATTCTCAGACGGGCGTTTGCCTGAGGACAATTCGATCCCCAAGATATCGGATGATGGAAACCAAAGGTCCCGCTTGCTCGGAAAGAAAGCCCAGAGCAATCAGCCGATGCTTCGGCCAACCACGGTGGCGCCGTGGTCAGCTCTTCCCGGCCTGGAGGTACAATGCGTTGCACGAACCAGTGGCTCACAGACTGGGCAAATCCTACCAGCCTTGACAAGCGTCAAAATTTATGGACGTCAGTCTCCGAGTCACACATATCAAATCGCCAGCGTTTTATCTGCTGCCACAGGACAAGACACGAAGCCTTCCTATCCTCTTGGAATACCAGGAGACAGTGGTGCCTGGATTGTCGATCGGCAGCACGGGCAGCTCTGCGGGCATGTGTTGGCCTGGAGTCAACGCAAGCGCGTGGCTTACATTTGCCCCATGGACGTCTTGCTCCTCGACATTGCGCAAACTCTGGAAGCATCCGAGGTGCGACTGCCAGGCGGCGAGCCTGTTGTGATGATTAGCGATCCCGAAAAACATGGCAGTTTGCAGCGCGAGGAAGAGGACGGAGAAGAGGCCTTTGACGAAGAGAATGATGAGGATGAAGAGTTGGATATGCCTCCGCTTCTTGTCGGCCAGCCATCGAGCCCAAAGAGAATTGCATCACCGGCCGCCTCATCAAGTCCGATCAGGCTAGAAGTTCCGTCTGAGATGCAAAGTATCACTAGGAAGATGGATAGTATCAAGATTGGCAATCGGAGGGTTGACGTAAACGTGTAAACGCGAATCAAGAGCACTGGGTACTAGGTATGGGACGGAATCGACGGGATACTATCATTATATCTTCTTTTGGAAAATACTCTTCTTTTAGTTTGGACTACAAGTTTTTGAGTAGTACCATGTTTTTTCTTCTTGCAATACCCTATTTTGGAAGGAACAGGCTCACAGTTAGGCAATGGTATTTTGGATTTTTTCTTATTAATCGCCTTCTAAGATGTCCTCATGAATATCGCCAAAGATCTACATAAAATCGTCTTCCCAATCCGCCGCCCGATCTTGGTTGCTCGACGCGGCCATATTCTCTTCGGTAAACATCTCGTCGTACGCGTGGTCTTTCTGCCACTTCTTCTCTTTCCACTCCTGAGCCTGCCGCTGTTCTTCTTTTCTCTGTTATGGGGAAATTGGTCAGCCAGACGATCATACGGTCTTGAAGTTGGCACCCCCGAAGCTGTAGCCTACGCAAGGCAACAATCTTTTAGGGGGGCACGTACCTTGATTTGCTGTGCTGCCTGATCCTTGGCTCGTAGCTGCTTGAGCATGTCGTCCTTTTCGGCCTTGAGGTCGGGCTTCTTCTCGACTTTGGTCTTGTTGAGGCGGTTGACGATGGGGTTCTCGCGATTGGGAACTAGGATGCGCTTGACCTGGAGAGGCTCCACGGTTAGATTAAATAAAAATATGGCGGTATTCTGTGAGGGATGCTTGCTTTTCTCTGATCGTGGAAGCTGACTTGGCCGACGTCCATGCTTCCATCCTTTTTGAGATTGGCCCAAGGGGTGTAGATGACGGTGATGTTGTCCTTTTTATTTCCTAGAGAACCGAATTGCGTTAGAGACTCGTGGCATATGCGATGGGGATGAGAGCTCATGAACCTTCTATTGAGTTTGCCTTTGTGAGCTGTGCCAGGTCCATGACCAACTCCTGGGGCAAGTCATCCCAAGTCTGGCCAGGCTGCATGCGAAGGTAGATGTGGGCGCTGGAAAGCTTGTCGACGTGGAACTAGAAAGCCTCTGTCAATATCCATAAAAGCCATTGAAGCCTGGAGTCGTTGCCTCATACCCTAGAAGAAAGAGTCAGCCGTGAAATGAAATCCGGGGGGAGGCCTCATACCAGACATCTTCCTCCCAGCCATACTTGATCAGGTCCTCATCTGCGCAGAGAATAAGCGCGCAAACATTAGACAACGTCCTCAGCTCGTCGGTGAATGAGTGGATTCGCAAACTCACTCTCATACTTATCCTTGCCCACATAGATGAAGCCGGCCGGCTCAACCACGTTGGACGTGAAGTAATACACCATTTTTGCTGTTTCTTTCTTTTCTGCTTTTTCCCTCGGTTTCCTTTTCGCTCGTATCCCCCTTTTTTTTTTTTGTCTCACCAAGAACTGTTCGTCTCAGTTAAATAAGCGTCAGGCTGCGTTGATAGTCATTCCCAGCGCCACCTCCAGCTGCTGGCTGCTATCCGAGGCTTTCCTTGAAGCTCCTCTTCAAAAGCTCGTCTCAGGGCCAGGCCGAAAAGAGGCTGCGCGGGTGTGGGGACCAGCTGAGACACGTGATTAACATCATTTCTTGTGCCGCCTGTTTAGTGTTTAGGCTACTGAATGTGCGCGATGGAGCTTATTGGCACTTCATTTTGGGAGAATGGCAAATGAATGCTCACGTGTCTAAACGACCACAGAAGATACACAATTTTAGAGGACGACATACTATCTGATGTGTGGATAGTTACAATGTGTGTACGCGAAGTTTTCAAATTCTGTGTTTGGCTTCCCAGCCGGCACTGTACAGGTATTCTATTGGATGCCATCTTCTTTGGGGTCCATCACCAAATCTCCCTTACATCCAATCCCCATAAAGCACAGCCTACCACACTTTGTAAATCAGCTTCGATAGGCTATTAGGCAATCACTCGGCGGGCCGTCTTTACGCCCATGCTTATCCGTCCAGGCTTGCTCATGGAGAGCACCAAAAGAGAAATAGACAAGAGAAACAAAATGAAACATGGTAGCCCTTTGAGAATGACTCCTTGGCTCACGCCCTCTCTCTCATCACGCCCTATCAAGTGCCGTCAAAAGGGCGTGCAAATACTGGAAGCCAACCGTATGGCTAGTAAAGTCCGATGGTTTTCGGGAAAAAGCAAAGAGAGATCCAAGACAAGGACCCATGTCTGTGCTACCACCCCTGTCAACAGGACTCGTAGTTGATCTATGGACTTGCTACTATGCTCATCTACTGTAATATTGATGCAAGCCATTCAAGTGCTACTTGTATGAGGGAGATGAATGGACCAATGGGTCAACAGGTGATTAAAGCAAGTAGATTTTCCAGATTCTAGCAAAGAGCGACTTATACAGCGAGCGAGCACTGGTGAGAATCTTTGGATGAATTTAGCTCAGTGTCATCCAAGAGGGCTACACAGAGATCTAGCGCCTAGGACGCTCCCGTAACTACGTGCGTGTATGGCGGCCACCTCTTTCAGCACTCTCCCCATTTCTGTTTATGGGCATTTATGAGAGAAGCATATCCATTCGTCACCTCCATCCAGCTTCCTCACTGCCTCTTCCTTTCCTTTCAGCCCTGTCTTAGACAAGCCACAATCCTGCCGGCTCTTTCTTGCGTTCCCGCCTTCTCGCTCCTCCACTTCTCTGGCCGAGTCTGAATCTGTGGCACTTCTACCCGCTCCACTCTACGGGCTATAGTACGAGTAGATACATTTCTTTTCGTTATTTTTTCCCCCGGTCCCATGAACCACGCCCCTCGCAGATGGACTACATCAGCCCAATGGTGACCCTGGATGTGTATCTCTTGGATCTTCCCAAGAGACACCCACCCTCTACCTGACAGCAAACATTCGTGTCTTTACGCACTATTGGATTTCTTGTGGTCATAGTAGCTGTAAACGTATTAGTCTCTTGACGAGGCGCGTACGAATGTTTCTCTCTCTTACCATCTTCTGCCTCTTGCTCCCTTTTTACCGCCGCCCCATTCTTGGACATGCCTGTAGCTGCCCTGCCTATCTGGCTGTCAGTCTCAGCTTTCGCTTAGCCGACGGTGAAGGATCACTGTGCAGATGACAATCTCACTACTACGCCTCGGCTAGTCTTTTTGCTCGGGGTTATCGATCCGAGCCTTAGATTCGACGGGTAGTGGGGAAGTTTGTGCAGCCCTCTCTAAATTATGGGGATCAAAGCTGAAGTAACCATGTCTAACGAAGCAGGGGTGGCCAAGAGATGACGCATCACTGTCGAGATTGAACGTGTATGAGAAAAAATTGCAAGCTGGCGTTCCGAAAACTATCTAAAGCTATCTAAAACTATCCACGGATAATATCCGTGATTCCCAAGAGCAAAAACAAACTGACATACAATCGCCAAAAGACCCTTTTCCACCCCAGATACCCTGATAGGTACAAAACGATTCCCTCAATTACATATTAATGTTCCATCTTTTTCCAATTCCTACGCCCATATCCATGCAGAACAGTTCAGATCGGCGTGTATTGATCTTTAAGAGATGAAAACATGATGCTATGTTGGAGACAAAAAGGTCAGCGTGTCTGGTGCTACTCTGCCTCTCCCTGAAAGACTGCGGTGAGTTTGAACTGACCTAGTGCTGAAGTTAAGCAATTACTTCGACGGGGATCGTAGTCTTGGTGAGTTGATTGATGCCGCCAGCAACTTGCTTGTAGGCCTGGATACGGATCTGGTACGACCCAGGCTCAGAGATATTCATGCGGTCAAATTTGAACACAATAGTCTCTGCTGCATTTCCGCCATTCATTGGCTCCCAGGACGCAGCTAGTTGTCCTCTGAGGACACCATTGACCTCTTGGCCGTTTGCATCGAGAGCGTCTGCATGGGCCATGTAGTTTCCAGTTGGATCCGCGACGGCCAGCTTGGCGGTGATTTTGATGTTTGTGCCGCTCTTGATGGGACTTTGGGGTTTGGTTGTGATTTGCATGGGAGGAGAGAAGCTCATGGTGTATTGGGCGGCCATGTTGAGGGTATTGGAAGAAATATCAAGAAGACAATGTTGAGGAGACGATGGTGCTGAAGCAGAATAACTATTGGCTTTGAGGATATGAGAGTGAGTAAAGAGGCTGTGCTTGAGAGTGTGAGTGTGAGTGTGGGTTTTTATTTTGGAAAATGAGAGGCGAGGAGGCCGCGTTATATAGACGAGAGGAGGCCTACATCTCCATAGGAAGTGTCAAAATTATGTATAGAGAAAGATACCAAGTCAGACAACTACGTACCACCAGTGACTTATGTTCAATCAAGACTATACTTCTGAAATAGAAGCAATATGCGCCTCCAAATTCCAGGGATGTACCTAGTATGTGGCATGGGCTCACTGGGTACAAGTGGTATGAGGCTTGACGACATTTGAATTTGGGCCAGTGGGGGACAAACCCAATATGCAGGGGGGTAAGTTGTGATGCTCTCTTCACGATTGGACAGCTTGCAATGGCTTGTCTTGAACTGAAAAAAAGTGTACCCAAGGACTCACATGCGAGTTGTTTGCTACATGTAGTAGTGGTGATGGTGGGCAATTTCCCTCTTTCTCTAGCTTTTGTGCCCTGGCGCCTCTTCTCTCTTTCCAGTAACTTTTCTTGGATGAAATTCTTCATGATTTGCTCTCGCAAAAGACGTTGAAGTCAAAGCAGATATTTACATATACTAATACCCCTTTGACAGCCAACGCCAACAGTTCATCAAGACGTTTGGCCCAGTTGTGTGATCACTCCGTGTCCTGTGCCAAGATGAGGCTGAACGCTAACCGGGTTTTCGGGACAGGGGAAGGGGGTGCAATCAAAATGACAACTGACAACCCCTATGGCTAGGACGATGATTTTCTGCCTCTAAGCGTGTGTCTCAGATAAGGCTGCCTCGGCCCAGATGGCTGACGGCAGAGGGGCCAGGTGAAGCAGACTTACCGGCAGCGGCTAGGGTTACATGCTAGATCTGTGCTCAACCCCATCCGTGTCTCGCCGGTTTCCCATCCTAGCCCTACTTTGAGTGACAAGCAGCTGTGGAGAACCTGGGCTAGTTATGTGACACTACTTGCAGTTGCAGGTGTCAGTAGCATCGGGAAAAGAAGGCTGGGCCTAGCGGGACGCTGCATTATCCGATCGTTTTCTCTTCAAGTGAGAGCCGGGGTACGATTCTACGCGCGGAAGCCTATTTGCAGCCGGGGAGAGTTACGAATAGGAGGGGTGGGGCTTGTAATGAAGAGTATTATGTAGGAAAGAGAAATGGCAGTAGGCAGTAAACATAAGATCAAACTCTTAGTGAATTGTAGCCCAGCATTGAAGCTTTCGTGTATTGCCTGCTGTTCTGCCGTGTTGTAGGTAGCTAAGACGTGGTATCGTAGACATGTTCCAAAATCTGTTCTCACAGCATAACGGGCGAGATAGTAAAGCCAATAAAGCTACACATTGTTTTCATGTAACCTTTCTGCCTTTTTGTAATCTGCTCGTGCCTGGAATAGGTGTTCGTGTGACTTTGCTGCCGAGATCCTCGAGTCCGGGCTATTCCTAGCGGAATATTCAAGTTACGGGTAAGACAACTCGCCTCATTTTAGCAAGACCCGCCCTGGAGGGCTTTAGAGATGGACAAACACATAGAGAGAAATGTCTATTGACAAGCTAGTTGCAATATGTTTCAGTCTACTAGCCTATCCAAGTGATGAATTCCTAGACTAGTTGAAGTTTTTGACATGCGGATGGTTACACCGGCTCCATCTTTCGCCGTATGATTGGCTACCAACGAGATCTACCGTTATATTTACCTACAAAAGCTCATGCAAGATTCCCTGAAAACCACGTTTTTGGTGTCTCATGTGCCATCCATAGACCAGGATATGCTGTTGGCTCGTCTTCCAATTGATTCTCCCTACCGGACACCTGGTGATGATCCTCTGGTTAATCACGGTCTATACAAAATTAATTAAACAAGGTCCTTGTATGGTTACTTGAAGAAAGTCGAGACAGAGAAAACAACATATGGATCTACCGAGAGGTGTTCATGGAGCCAAACTATGAGAGTAGGATCGACTTGAGTATAGTAGGGGCTTGAGCAGTTTCCCCCCGGAGCTCTCTTTGCTTTTACACTCGTATTCGTATTCATGATTTCATGTTGCAATACGAAAGCACTACCGGAGTGCCTGAACATTTGTGTAACCGGTGGCGCCATACATGGACGGCATGGACACCCAGGACAAGGGTGTAGATCCTGACGGTGTACATCTCTGCGGTACCTGCTTGACAACACACTCGCTATCCATGAGCCTCACCTTGAAACTAGCTAACCCCTTTTCATTATACGAGCTAATGAATCGGAGCGCTGTAATGGTTCCCGCCTGCTTGGTTTTGACAGACCTGATCAGCCCCAGGATTGCTGGTACCCGTACTCCCCAGATGGGGCATCAAGGTGGATATGAGGCGCGGAACGTGCCGGTTCCGAAACTATTTCTGTCCTGTCACATGCAATATCTTGACCTACATGAATGCTTAATTAGATGTCAATATGCCAAGTGTCCGGTGATGGGCTGAGAGAGGGCTCCTTGTCTGGATATGGCAATATTTTGCGCCCATGGCGCAGATCACTCGGGCACTTCCGAGTAAGAAAATGATCTGGTGTGCTTGAGGCAGCTGCGGCACTGAGACATATTATTGGTTACTTATTGATGCCTCGTGATGCTCTTGGCGCTCTGTTACGATCGACAACCTGCGTGATGACAGCCTACGATGGCCTCAAGTCTGCCGCCTGCGGCGATTCAGAGTCGATTCGACGAAAACAGGCAGGATTTGCGTGTTTAGGACCCGCTAAAGTACTCAGATTTGGCACTATTGATGCTTGTCTCTCATCGTCGAGCAGCACTTCCGCGGATTACAATGCACGCCCCTCCTTGAAGCTACTCTATTACAAGAGGTTTCGGTGAGAGTATCGGTCATGGACAAGTAGGGCCGAAAGCACATGTCAGAAGTCCCAATGTAAAAAAGAAAAGAAAAGTCGGACTCGGCGTGATGATGTCTGTCTCAGTCTTTTACAGCTGTGCTCTTGCGGTGAGGCTGGCTGGCCTGGATATGACACTATCCGGCATCCAAGGGAGTTGTTGTGGCACAAACTTCTAAGCGAGCTCCCGACACTATGATACGGTGGATGATGTGAAGTATGAGGAAATGACAAGACATATTACGGCTACCTATCTTGGGGGCGTAGAGCAGAGCTGAAAGTCAGGCGTAGATCTGAGCCAGGGGTCTCTGTACTTGACGAGAGGCGTACAAGTCCCCACTTATTGTCTGATACGCAACGCTCTGTGAGGAGCGGACCAGATACATGTAGCCAGAATCACAGCTATTGCTTTCTTTTTGACCGCAGCCTGGTAAATTGAGACCGGGCAAGTGATTGACGCACAATTATCCATGACGCAGCCACCGGAGTGTGAAATACCCGATTGCAGCGCTGATGCTGCTGCTCAATTGTATGGACGTCCTCGGTTTACATTACGCTACCCTATCCTATTTGATATCCGCTAGGTTGGGAATCCCAATTAACGGAAGACTAGAATCACTCTCAGAAGATGGGCGAGTCCGAGACGTTGAAGCTAGATACGTATCTACCACACGTCAACTAGCCACATTAGGACCTTGGCACAGCATTGCCCCAAGGAACGGGAGGGACAAGGCGAAAGATCAAAAGCGTTGAAGAGGTGCTTGGCCCAGTGTAAGTGTAGCGTAGCTGCATATCCGGATCGCAGCCGGAGCTGAGGTTGCACCAAACTGAGACTGAGACTGATATGAACCAAAATCTGGAGCGTCATATGCCTCTTCTCCGCCCTTACAGCGCAAGGGAGATGCTCGTTGCATGTGCTTTGCTTTTGTTGTCTGTGCGCTGGATCACAGCACTCTTGTCCAGAAATGGTGATGCCTGGATGGGTCAACAACGACAAGTACATACATGTACCAGTTACTAGGAGGTGTAACCTGTAAGTGTTAGATAAGGTAGCTCCCGGCGAGTAGTCAGGCCAACTGACGGCGTAGTCGCAGATGAAGCCCTACGAATAGTGGTGGTGCAATCAGCACATCCAGATGCTGATTCTGTGTAAGTGAGCAACGCTTATTTCTGAGACCCCGATACGAGAGCCGCTGACAGCCGCTGTGGAGACGATGCATCCATTTCCAGCGAGCGGAGTCCTAGCTTGGTGCTAGGCTCTAGCAGTTGTTTGTTCAAGGGATCGAGCTCGAGCTCTTTTGGGGGTCCTGTAGCTCTTGCTCTACTGCCTGTTACGGCATCGATGCTGGAATAGCTGCAGCATTCCAAAGACAGCAGATGCTCTGCACGACTTGCATCTATACGCTGTATTGTCATTTTGTACGAGCTCACTTGTATCTGCTGCTGCCGCTCATTATACGCAGATACTTACCGACCTCGGCCAGGAACGGACCCCATCCTCTCTCTTTAGCGCACAAAAAGTCCCCTAGCAGACAGAAATGCGGCCATCTTGGACGGAGTACGGATACATGAGAAAACCAAAAATTCCCAAGCCTTGAGCTACCCGTTGAGTGGCCTCTACAGACGGCAACATCCCACTCTGTCCCGCTAGAATCACAGAAATTACAGCACTCCAAAGAGCCCAGAGCCCATGCTGCGACCTCTCCATCGGCCAACTCTGCTGCTCAAAGGACCCAAAAAGCCCCGCGTCGGCGTGAGCCTCCCCCACCATACGCATCATCGCCAGCTCCAAATCCGACTCCAGCCTCGGACGGCTTTTGCTCCTCCACCATCTTCTCCCGCATCTCTCCCCCGTTTCTTCTCATCGCGCAAAAGCTCAGCAGAAATGGTTGCCCAAGACTTTGAAGCCGTGCTCAAGGGCAAGTACCCGGGCAAGGCGCACGCCCGCCGCGTCGTCGACCTCATCCGCAAAAAGGACCCCCAGGCCAGCGGCGTTCTCTATCTCGAGGGCCGCCACACGAAGCTTCTCGAGGACAACGACTCGCCCGAGCCCTTCCGGTAAGCTTCGACTCTACCTAGACACTCTCTGGCTTATACGGCCATGGATGTGCATTGCTAACCGGCGCCGCATAGACAGCGCCGCTTCTTCTACTACCTCACCGGCTGCAACCTCGCCGACTGCTTCTTCACCTACGACATGTCCTCCTCAAAGTCCACGCTCTTCATCCCCCCGATCGACCCCCACGATGTCATCTGGTCCGGCCTGCCCACCACCATCGACGACGCCCTCAGGCTCTACGACGTCGACGAGGTCAAGCTCACCACCGAGGTCAACGCCTCGCTCGCCCACCTCGCGGGCACAAACTCCAACTCGACAGTCTACGCCATCCAGGACCAGGTGTCGGACCACATCACCTTGATCGGCTTCGAGAACAAGGACTTTCAGCTCCTCAAGCCCGCCATCGAGGTGTCGCGTGTCGTCAAGGACGAGTTCGAGGTGGCCATGATCCGCAAGGCCAACGCCGTGTCCAGCGCGGCGCACAAGGCCGTCGTCGAAAAGGCCAACAAGGCGTCCAACGAGAGGGAGCTCGAGGCCGTCTTCTTGGAGCGGTGCGTGGCCAACGGCGCAAAGGAGATGGCGTACCACCCCATTGTGGCCAGCGGCACTGCGGCGGCGACGCTGCACTACGTTCCCAACGACGCTCCGCTGGCAGGAAAGCAGCTGCTGCTGATTGATGCCGGAGCTGAGTGGAACAACTATGCCTCTGACATTGTGAGTACATCTAGCTTCGTTATGCTTCTATCAAATTGTTGCTAACCAGCCATGCAAACAGACCAGAACCTTTCCCCTCAACGGCAAGTTCACCAAGGAGGCCCGCGAAATCTACGACATTGTCCTCAAGATGCAACAGGAGGTCATTAATATGATCAGGGCCGACATGCACTGGGAACAGGCCCACGTCCTGGCCCACAAGCATGCCATTGCCGGCCTGCTGGCTCTGGGCATCCTCAAGGGCGACAGGGAGGAGATTTTCAACGCCAGAATCAGCCAGGCCTTTTTCCCCCACGGCCTGGGCCACTACCTGGGCATGGACACGCACGATACCGGCGGCAACCACAACCGCCAGGACCCCGACGTCCTCTTCCAGAACCTGCGTCTGCGAGGCCAAGTTCCCGAGGGCGCAGTTGTCACTGTCGAGCCTGGTGTAAGTCGTTATTCATTGCCGGTCAGCGTATGGATTGTATCTAACACGCGAGCACAGATCTACTTTTGCAAATTCATCATCGACCCCTACTTGGAGAACCCCGAGCAAAGCAAGTACATTGACACGTCTGTGCTTGCCAAGTACTGGGACGTAGGCGGTGTTCGGTAAGCACTCCAATCTCGTTTCCCAGTATTCTTATTTAAACTTGGAAAATTCCAATTCTAACTAACTCGATGCAGCATCGAGGACAATATCCTCGTCACGGATTTCGGCTACGAGAACCTCACCACCGCCATCAAGGATCCCGCCGAGTTGGAGGCCCTGATGGCATCTAGCTAGATGCGGCAAAATCAAATAGCCAAAATTGAAAGAAGAGTAAAATAGCTTTAAAAATACAAAAAAATACAAAGAAAAAAAGGACAAAAGAAATGATTGAAGAATGATATCAATCTCGCTCGTCGTGCACGCTAAACAAGACGAGATTGCCTCAATTGCCAATCACAGCCGCTGTGCGAATTGCGCTGACGCGTACCGATACGAGTCGCCCAGCCCTGCATCTTAGCAAGCTTTAATAGTGTAAAATGGCCATTAGTCAAGCCAGCGGGCCTCCAACTGCTCCAGACTAACCTGAGCTTTTGCCCGGCAAACAAAGTCCAGCTTTGTCCGGCACTCAAAGAAAGACCCCCTTTTGATGGACCCCCATTCCCCGGAAGAGCCATTACTTACATGCCATAGCTCTCAACAACATCCGGATCAATGCCCAACGGCGAGATGAGATGCGATGCTTTCGCCTTCTACATCACTTCTGTAGTAGCCAGGGTCTATAATTAATTTTCCTTTCTGTGCACGGTATTCACTACAATGGAGGGACCTGGACTCCGTAAGCCTGTCCCGGCCATACGGCGGCGGCCCGTCCCAGCAGCCGAATATGCCCATCAGGATCAGGCCGACATGTACGACTTGTACACGGACAAAGCATCGCCGTCACAGCCAGCAGGAGTCCAGCAGTTGAAGCCCAGTAAATCAGCCGCCAGCCTCGAAGCGTCACAATGGCAAAGACGGGCGGTTCCTCATCCAGTGATCCGGCCCGCCACCGCCGTTGCTTCATACTCTCAAGAGATCAATGTTGAGACCTTCTCTGCCCAAATCAGCATCACAGCTCCCGACGATGACTTGCCTCCTCCGCCCTATCCCGGCCTCTCAGTCTCTCCGGCACCGCCTCTGCCTCTTCGTCACACGCAGAGCTCCTCGGTACTCTCTATTGCAACTTCTTCATCGCCAGACATTCCCCCCCGTCCACGTCCACATCCGCAGCATGCCGCCACTCTGCCCGTAGACGCGAGCGCAGATGCAAAGCCGCAAGACTCCTTCTGGCAGTCCGCCATGGGCAATGCGCAATACTTTGCCTCTGGCCTCATCTCCCACCCTTGCGAATCCACGCGCCACTTCTCCATCATCCGCCACACCAGCGCCCTGATCTGGTACGCCGGCCCGTCCACCTCCGTGTCCATCTCGGTGCTCTCAGACGAGCCTCTTCCAGCTACACGCACGCTGTGGATGCAGCAAAAGGGCTTCTCCGGCAACATGGGCATGGCCATCAAGGCCTTTGCCGGCACGACGGGCTCGTGGATCAACGTCACGCCCGCGCGCCAGACCGCCGTGGGCGACACGCCCGAGGCCGACGAGCGCATCGTCCAGCGCGACTTCAAGCGCTTCGCCAAAAAGGCCTCGGGCAGGCACAAGAAGCACATGCCGCGCGAGACGCACGTCGTCCGCATCCCGGCCACGGCCGCCGACGGCTACTTCCGCCTCGTGCTCTGCGGCGGGCCCGAGCCGGGCAAGAAGATTCTCTGCGGCAGCCCCGTGTTCCGCGTGGCCAGCACGTCGACCGACGTCAGCGTCATGAGGGGCGCCAGCCTGAGCACCATGCCGCTGGAAATGGGCGTCAAGGTCGCCAGCACCATTGGCCAGGCCGTGGCCAACAGGTACATTGGCGTGGCCAGCACCGTCGTCAACAGCCAAGTGAGCAGCATTGTCACCAACCAGACAGTCAAAAAGGCCGGCACCGTGGCCTATCAGAGCTACCAGGCCACCGGCGTGGGCGATGCCGTGCAGGAGAGCTGGCAGCGGCAAAGGGCCCAGCTGGAAAGGTATGATTCTCTCATGGACAATGTGCCAACCATTGGCTCCGAGGCTGGCCCCGAAGCGCCTTTTCCCGTCAAATTCGACGGCAAGGTGGTTCCTGGAACAGGGCGGTCATATTCCGAGCTGAGCATCCCATCAGCCAATCTAAGCGGTGTCTCGGACCAGATCAAACTTCGCATGCCGGGCGTGTTTGCCGCCTGGGCATGCATCCACATCCCTCCCAGCAACAACAATGAAAAAGCCCCAGGAGATGTTCTCCCCACAGATTGGTTCGAAGCCATCGTCACCATAGCACCATCCCGCCACGCCCCTCCCTCCGTCGCCATGGAAAACACCATCACAGTCCACATCATCCACGACTTCCACGGCGCAAACTTTGTCAGCGCCAAAGTCAAAGTCCTCCTCATGGGCCATCTCCACCCCGCCGCCGGGCACAACACACCACCAGAGGTCCTCGTCAACCAACACTTTCAAGACGTCGACAAAACAATGGCCAGTCTACGCCGTGCAGCCTGGGGGCCTCACGACACGGTGGCGATGCTGAAGAGCGTCAAGTCTAGCCGAACGTTTGCGGAAAAGGTGGACGACACGACGGGCAAGGTGGTGAGGCAGGTGGATAAGATTCCTTTGCACCGGGTGGGGATGAGGTCGGACGTGGGCTTGATGCAGGACAAGGCGTATGGGAATGGTGGATTGTGGATTGTGAGGTGATTTGACGAGTTGAAGTAATTCGAAAAGGCATTCATTATACTGCGTCGTTGTATTTCTACTTGAGCATCCATGTTTGCATATTATAGCGGAAAGGGCACGGAAAGGGAAAATGGAGTCAGGCTAGCAGTGTATTTCACCGATTTGTACCTAATGTCTAATCTACACATCTGAAATCGTCTACATCATTAGCAAGCTGAAGGAGTATCAAGTCCAGTGGCTTTACCAGGAGCTAGCTCTTATAAACGGGATTCAATTGACAGCTTCACACTTCTCAGATGCTCCAATAAATCCACAAACACATGCATTCTTCAATAAGAGGCCACTGTTAATTTGATCCACCATAAAGATAAATGTATCTTATACATCTACCCAGCCCATTCAAACAAGTTGCTCCAAACCACTGCTCACCTGCTCAATCCGGTAATTCCCCAACTCAGCCAACCGGCAAAGCCCCGGCTCTCGGCCCATCGCCCGCGCTACCAAGAAGGCTTTCGGCAATCCCTCCAATGGCCGCTGAATAATTACAATCAACTTTTCTTTCCATCCAGCCATCTACACCAAAAACAACAAGAAAAGAAACTCCAAAAGACACTTCAAAACATCAATTCAATCTCATCATGATCTGCTCATCCTGCCGCTCCGCGCTCCGCCTGCGCCTCCTCTCCCTCCCAGCGCGCTCCATCACGCCCATCACCACCTCTCTCAAACCAGCAACCGCAAAGGCCTCCCAGCTCACCATCCGCTCCATCTCCTCAACACCCACCCGCCAATTCTCCTCCTCTCCCCTCTCCTCCTCCCAGCAGCAACCACAACAAAATGCCGAGCCACAAACAGACGCAGACCTCGACACCGGCATGACCCCCGCCGAATCCTCCATCGCCGCCATCCTCGCCTCCAAGCTCAACCCCACCGCCCTCCTCGTGCAGGACATCTCCGGCGGCTGCGGCAGCATGTACGCCATCGACATCACGTCCTCCGCCTTCAAGGGGCTCAACATGCTCAAGCAGCAGCGATTGGTCAATGGCGCGCTGGGCGACTTGGTCAAGGAGTGGCACGGCGTGCAGATACGGACGAGGGTGCCTGAGGATGCTTGAGGAATAATTCGACGAGGAAATAAAAAAAAAAAAAAAAAAAAAAAGATGAAGAAAGAACATGATGAAAGGCTTTTGGGTTTAATGACAGCCAATTGTATACATAGACAGGGTTGGGCGGCATGGTTAGGCGACTATATTCGAAATAGACGAATATATAGTATCGCATTGTAATAAGAATCTCTATTCCGTATTGCTATGAGTAAACGTATTGCTACGAGTAAACGCTATACATTACTACAATACCATGTAAGCATGTCCATCTCTTCATCTTCTAATGGGTCAAGTAAAAAGAAGAAGCCCACGTCTCTAAACTCCACACTTTCCAACTTCCAAGCCACGAGTGCTTGATAATGATTCAATGGCGGTACAATACCCTTTCGAAGCGTCCAAGCGTAAACCCTTCTCAAATGGTCAGCATGTCGCTTCCAAGATGGGGCTTTTAGCATGACAAATTCGGGAATAGAAAATCACTTGAGTAAGGCTTCATTCAGCTCTTACAGGCACACACTTGTTAACTTTAAAAATGCCATTGATATCTATCATGAAACATCAACCATAAACGCTTCCAAATCAAAACGCCTCTTTCCTATAATCACCCACATATCCATCTTTATTCATACATTTACTCCTTCAGATACGTAAAGACAGCCTCGCGCTCCTCCACAGGCATCACACGCAGAAGCTCCCGGATGCCCTTCCAGCCAGCCTTCTCATTGCTGCGAACAGCCTCGGCCAGCTCAGCAGCCAGTCTGTCGGCCTTGAGCGCCTCCACCTTTTGCGCGATAGACTGAGTCTCCTTCTCGTACCACTCAGCAACCTCCTGGTCCTTCTTGTCCCAGCCGGCAATGCCAGACCAGCTCTCCAGCAGCTTCAGGCCCTGGGTGCGAGCCTCAGTGGCCTTGGAAGTGTTGGGCTGGGGAGTAGGCAGGATGCTAGTGTTCATGCGCTTGAGGATGTACTCCTCAGTGATACGTCTGCGCAGACGCCAGTAAAAGTATCGGCGAGCGTTGACCCAGTCGAGAGAGTCACGGATGACTCCCTTGGCCTTCATGCGGCCGGCACGGTCGTGCAGATCAGCAAACTGGACGGCAATCTGCGAGTAGACGGGCAGAAGCTGCTTCTCGCGGGCCACAAGCTGCTGCTTGATGCTCTCCGCATCCTCGCTGGAGAGCGTCTTATCCTCCAGCTTCTTCTTCAGCTCGGCGTAGGCAGGATCTAGGCGAGCCATCGTCTCCAGCTGCTTGTCCTTGCGGTACTTGATACCAATCATACCCTCGGGCTCAAGGACACCACCACGAGCCTCAGTGTCAGCGTACATCTCCATGGCGTTGGGGTTAATGGTAGGATCAACAACGACCCATGAGCCACCACGGAGCTCGCCAAAGGGAGGAATGTACACAAAGATTGGCTGTTCGTACTTGACCAAGGCATCAACGATGAATGAACCATACTTGAGCACCTCGTTGTACATGTCTCGCTGGCCACCAGAGAAACCACGCCAGTTGGCCAAGATCATGAGAGGAAGCTGCTCACCATTGTTGAAGTCGTTGATAGCCTGGGCAGTCTTGAATGCAGAGTTGGGGTACCAGACACCACCGGCCTCGTTGCTAATTTGTTCGGTTGAATCAGGGTTGGCAGGATCGGCAGGGGTAATGTTCTCAACACTGCGAGTCTCGACAGCGATAACTCCCATGGGGATACCGCCCAGACGAGCACGACCAACAACGACAGTGCGAGCCCAGCCGCCAAGGGCCTCAACAAAGGAGTCCTTGTCGAACAGACCGCTCTGGAAAGAGCCGTCGTCCTCCTCCCTACCGCCAATCAACCACCGGACGTCATAAGGCTGCTTCTGGGGAGGGTAGTAGGTGACATCACGGTCCCAGGCATCGAGGCTAGGGCTGACCGGGACGGGGTTGCCGCGCTTCTCGGGAACAAAGGCCATCCATTCCACAATCTTGGAGACACCCTCGAAGTCGTCGTTGGCAGTCATGTGAGAAACACCGTTGCGGTACATGATCTGGGTACCACCAAGCTGAAGGTTAGACGTGTAGACCTCACGACCAAGCAGGTTGTTCAAAGCCGGAGCACCAGTAAGGATGATGGGCTGGCCCTCAATCTGGACAGCACGCTGGCCGAGACGGACAAGGTAAGCACCAATACCTGGAAGTTGTTAGTCATAGTTATTAAAAGAAAGTCAAAGGGCGTTTAAAAGAAAGAAAGAAAAAACCTACCAACTGATCGGCAAGTGACCAAGGTAATGGTAAAGATGTCGTTGTAAGCCTGGCTAGTGGCACCGGCAATAAGGCCAGATCCCCTCAAGCACTCGACACCAAGGCCATCCTCCTGACCAACAATGGTGACAATCTTGTAGCGCGTTTCACCATCCTCAACAACTTCTTCAGTAATGACAGTGTCCTTGAAGCGATCCTTGGCCTTCTCGTCGAGGTACAGGTAGCGGAATCCGCCCTCGTGCTTGGTAGCATCGTTCCAGGCAACCTTGAAGTGAGGCATCAGCTCGTTTGCGAGACCAAGGCGGGCACCAGAGTTGGCAGACAGGTAGATGCGAGGAATGCCGAGTTTGCGAGCCAGCTCAGTGCACTTGTAGAAGAAGTTGTCTTCCTTGGGGCCGAAAGACCCAATGTTGTAAGTGATGTCGTTGGCGACAATGATGAAGCGGCGACCAGTGGGGTACTCGGGGGTCTTAGCCTTGATGATCCATCCCACCATACCGCAGGTGTTGGTGCCAGGCTCGCGGTTGACCTCGTCCAGGTTGTCCTTGTCATCGAGCACAAGCTCAGTGAATGTAATACAGTCACCAACCTTGGGCTGCTGAGGCGCCAAAGCAGGCTGCCTCTTAACAGCCTTGGCCCAGCTGTTCTGGATGGCCTGGCGGAACAACTCGGGGAAGTCGTACACGTACTGGGTACCCATCAAGTGAGCCTTGTATCGCTTGGGCTGGAGCCAGTTCTTGGTGGCATAAGGAGTGGAGACGGACAGCAAGTGAAGAGGTCCCTTCTCCTTGGTTCCGCCAATGCTGTGGAAGACCCAGTCGTCCTTTTCAGACTTGCGCTCGGCATACAAATCGACATCCACGACGTATCCAGAGGTGTTGGTGATGGTAACACGTAGAGGGTAGGGGATACCAGTCTGGGGATCCGTGCAAACAATGCGAATCTCCACCTGGGCAACACGCAGTCTCCAAGCACGAGCACCGAAGCGATCCAAGAAGCCCTGGAGAGACTGCTCAACGGTAGCAGGGTCGAGCTGGAAGACGGGGGTGAAGTTCATGAAGATGTGGTTGAGATCAGAGTTGTTGTTGCCGATAATCTCAAGGGCATCGAAAATGTCGTTGATGACTCGGTCAGCCTCAGAGATGAGATACTCAGCAGTAGGGATCTCGTCACGGAGACGGCCAGGTCGGATCACAGCACGAGTAAAGTAACGCTTGTCAGAGTCGACAGTCTTGCCAATAGCCTCGTACACGTGAATGTTGCCGTTTCCTGTGAACTGGGGCTTGATGCGGAAGTTGGCAAGACGAGCAAGCTCGAGCTGGAAAGACAAGGCGGGTTCGCTGTGACGAATGCTGTCGTCTTCCTCGTAGTCGGGGCCTCGGAATGTGTAGTAGCTGGGGTAAGAGCCATCGCTGCGGCCGCAGATAAAGGTCAGACGACGGACACCACGGACCAAAAGTTCGGCCTTGAGACCCTGGACAATGGGAACAATGCGCGAGAGGATGTCTTCGTCATCCGTGCTCTCAGTATCTCGAACAGCAACGTTGATGACGGCAGACAGCTCGTCGCCGTTGTTGCGGCTCTGGAACTCCTTCCTAAGAGCAGCAAAGGGCTTTCGCTTGCCACTCAAGTCAGCGAGAAGATTAGACTGGCTGTTCTGCTTCTTCTGCTTGTTGTAAAAGTTCAGCGTCTCCAAGGCCTTCTGGAGCATCTCCTCGGCGTCGTCAATGTACTTGACAGGGACCATGACACCCTTGCGGGACGGCCCACTGTTCACCTTGCTGGTGAGGTATGACATGTCGCTAATGGAATGAATGCGATTGAGCTCCAGGCCGCTAGGGGTGCCGGGAGTAGAAGGAGCAGCAGACTGAACGGGAACACCAAACTCGTTGTTGCCAATCTTGCGCAGCTGGAAGTCCCAAGACACGTAGAGAGGGTTATCAGATTCATCATTGTGGTACTCGATGGACTGGAGCATATAGGCACGGTAAGCACGGCGAACGTAGACTTCGAGAGATGCCAGAGAAACCCAAGGATCCTCGTGAGCGAAGAAGGAGGTCAGCACATCGAAGACGGTGTACTTGGAATCGACAACCTCCTTGATCACCTCGAGGCTAGGCTCCCGGTGGTCCCAGCCGCTCTCACCGTAGCGAGAATCGACAACAGACGATCGCAGGATGTGCTCCATCTGAGACGTACGCTCCTCAAGGGACGGCAGAGAGCACTGGATCATAATCTCTCGGGCCTTGAGCGAGACCTTGGAGGTAGCTCGAGAAGAGAGCTCGGTCAGCTTTCGCAGCGACTCGCGCAGGTACTTGTTGACGTTTCCGACATTGGGCTTGTTGGGGCGGTACTCCTCGAGAATGGCAATGACCAAAGAGTTCTTTGAGCTCATGCGGCTGTGCGAGAGAACAATCTGCACGACCTTGGCCATGTTCTCCTTGTTCTGGTCTCGGAGGTTCAGGATGACGCTCTCCTCCTGAGCTCGGCTCTGGAAGAGGTTCTCGACCGCCCAGTAGGACTCGAGAAGGTTGTTGATGACGTTGAGCTCGCGAACCTTTTGGCCCTCTGCATAGTTGTCAAGCACCTCGGTAAGGGGCGCCAGCGTGGTTCTAAGCAGACCAGCATCACCGGCCTCCACATTCTCCTCGAGGAACTTGCTGAAAGCCTTGCTGAGAGCCTTGGCAGGAAACTCGCCAGTGCGAGCTCTGCCTCGCTCGACAATCTGAGTAAACAGGGTGTCTAGCTTCTGGGGCATACGAGCATGCA